AATGGAAGCCAGGAAAGCAGGGTTGATGAAGCGAGGAAAAGCAGAGACGCACCAGCAGATCGTTCACAAGAGGCACACAAGAACCCACAGTAGTGGAGACCTCGGACTGTCGTGAGTAGATAGGATCAGAAGGAAGAGACAGGAAAAGCAGGATAAGGAATTGGTGAGCGAGGTGTTGTCCGAAATTAATGGGTGGCCTTGTAACAGGAGCAATTCGGTTCCCATGATCGCAAAACAGGGGTATGGTTGGAAGTTGATTCGTGTGAGCTGGCTGGATGGGCTGGGAGTGGATGGGCTGGGAGTGGATGGGCTGGGAGTGGATGGGCTGGGAGTGGATGGGCTGGGAGTGGATGGGCTGAGGACGAAAGTGCTGGAGATGGAGCTGAGAATGCACAGATCTCACTGATACTCTTGGTGGGTACTGACCTCCAATCTCATTTGACAATGCTGACCAGTCGACAAGGAAACAATAACAATTCTAGCCACAACATCGACACCAATCAAGCCGCCCTTCGACGCATCAACCTTGAGCCGTATGCGAACCTCAAACAAATATACCCCACCGATTGACATGAACAAGCGATACGAGACAACCACCAAGCTGCATCTTCAAGCGCCTTTCCACGAGGAATGAACCAGGAGTACGGTTGGGCCCTGAGGATTATCCAACAAACGAATCATCTCCAGCATCACGAACATCAGCAAGCGGCCACTTCTAGTTCTGGCCTTTCAATCTTAGATATTGACGACAACCGTATTGAGCGGAGATTCGGACAGGCACTATCAAACATCATCCAGTCTACACCTGAAAGACGTCCAAGCTCGACAATACCTGATCTCTGTTCACTCCTGTCTCGACACCTCGATTGACTCAACATCTTTGGACAAAAGCTATCGCCTATCAATTTTGACCTCCCTCATAGCTCCATTGTCTCACCAAGCAACTTTGAGCAACATTGAGCGACGCAAAATGGCATCGATCTTTGTCCGGCTGCTTTATCATATCCTCAGCAGATGTCATTATCAATCTCGACCAGAACTACGTGGCAGGTGACTCAAGCGGCAATCTTTTACTATGCCTGCCGGAGTCCCAATTGCATGGGCTCTCAGCCAATCGTCACACCCTTCCTTGCATGTTCGATCACAAACCACAATCCACTTGATGAGACGAGAAGCAGCAAAACATCGCTGAACGACGTTCGCCCAGTCATGAGGCGTACCTCCTTGCTGCCGACCATATTGTCACAAAGAAGGTCTGAACACTACGTCAATTTCCACTGTCAGCATCACACTTGTCACGTTCACTTGAGCGATGTTCGCCAACAGTTCATCCTCGGTCGCGCCGATACATCACCACGCTTAATTCTATATAACCACCGGACTCGGAGCATCTTCGTCACTCCTCCCTACCTTGCCGATACTCACGAAGTGTTTCCCAATGTTATTCTATTTCAGCCATGAACTCGAAGGACGTCCATAGTTCCCTATCTAGCCTCGTTCCAGACATGAAATCAAACCTCCAGATTTGTCACCAAAGCCCACGTCCTATGTGATATTACGCAGATGCTCCAAGTTGTTCCTCTTGGCCAAACTGCGGAGTATAAGATGGATGGTTGGCACTGTCTTTCTTGATCATACGCCATTGAAGGTGGACCAGAGCCAAGTAAAGGCCACTTCTACCGATAAAGGGTCTCGTCAAGAGATAAAATGTGATTATGTGTTTTTCAAGACTGTCAACACTGACCCCCTACTCTCACTATCTCACAAGGTCGGGTTTCGTATCGTGTATGACGCCATTCTTTTTTCCTTGCAGCCGAGCTCCGAAGACAAGTGCCAACAAGTATGAGTACGCCAGTGATTCAACAACCTTCGCTTCTGAGTAGCGACATGGAAGATGGACAGCCCTGAGGACCTCAAAGATGCGAGGCTTCATTCAACAATTTTAATCGGCACAGGATGGGTTCTTCGTAATCACTGCTCTCGGGGCGGGTTCTTCGTTATCACTGCTCCCAAGGGCCGGTTCTTCGTTATCATCGCTCCCGGGGGCGGGTACTTCGTTGTCACCGCTCTGGGAGCTGAAGACCGATACCAGACGTGGTTGCTTTGTCGTTATGCCTCGCTAGTCTAGACATCAGGTCAGCACATATGACAGAATCGTATATCATGGCCCTCTGGTGAGTGAAGCAAAATTACAAGCACTCCATACTTCTTTTGCGAGATAGTCGTGAAACCTAGAACTCCGGTCAAAGATCCACGGAGGGAGGATCGTCCTTAGGCATCTCTGTGGTTACGCCTTTTTCCAGAACGTTATTGTGCATTTTTGCAGCATATTATAGCACCTTCAAAGTGTGGGAGAGGGTCGACCCCGAAGTTGTGACTATACTTCACACATAGGTAGGGAGGGAGGGTGAAAGACGCCCTGTAGCCCAATGCCAATGATCTTGGTGAGCTCCATCGTCAATCGCCATAGGACTTTGTCCGCGAGACTGTGTGCACAATTGAAGCTTTGGATGTCAACGGTTACGGCCTTCTTAAGGAACTGTCAACCAAGTGTAAAAAGTTGGGCTCACAGGTTTGGTAATCAGAGAGCCGCGAACCTCTCACTCCATCCGTTGAGGGATCGCTAGAATTTCACTTACAAAACATTAATAATCCAAAATACGACTGACATCGGAGTGATAAAGACTTGCGACTCTCAAGAGATATACTATGGTACCTTAGGAATACGACAGATCAATACTCTATTCAAATACATGTTTGGCGCGTGCTATCGTCGCCAGTAAGCATTCGAGAGATACCAAAATTCTTGTAACGAGGATGACCCTGTCATACAGATATTCTAACCATCGAAATACCCGCCACGAGCAACCCCAATCATCTTGTATCACTCGTTTGGTGTGTCTATAATGAGATGTCACTCTATGCGATATATGACCTACCTCTTTCAAACTGTTTTAGACGACAATATAGAGTCTAGCATAACTCGGACGAAAGTTGATGACCGACTTCTGACTATCAGTACATCTCTCACCTTGGACTGCTCTTTCGTAAGTTGTGATTACAGCCTCCCCGTGTGTTAAAGTTGTAACTCCGTTCTTCTCCCACAAAAGCGTACAGAAAAGCGTAAGCTGTAAAAAGGCACGATTGGCTTCCGAAGCAGAGCAGTAGCCAAGGAGAGCCGCCAAGATGTTGGCTCTCAGTGGATAATGCCTTGTCTCTTGATAGCACTGTGCATTTTCATGGCTGCACGCGTTGCATAGTTTAGCACACGCGGAGGAAGCAGACCTGCTGTACAAGCCTTGAGTGTCCCACGACGCCATTTCGTTCTGCTCAACGCATCCTTCTCTTGTTCCACCAAAGCCGGTGATGCTTCTGGCCTTCAGTCGACCTCGCCTTGTCTCTGACATGTTGAATGCCAAGACATCGTACAAGCGTCAGAGGTAGTGGAGTCGAGGTCAGATACGTTGCGAAGCTTCAAAGGACTCCTACAGATCCTCTTTGGTTGTCTGCCAAGTCAGGGCGCTCGTCGGTGCCTTAAGGATCCAGGATGAAGGCGGCTGAGAGGGCATGGAGCTCTCGTGTGTCGGCGAAGAACGAAAAGGCCGAGAGGGGTGGTCGAAGGCAGAAGACTGGGTACTTGATCCTTTCGTCTGTGGTTTATGACTCCATCTCGCCTGCGGTTTGACTGCGAATCAGATCTCGATTGACATGATTTTCAATTCGTTGGCCCAAGGAGAAAGACTCCAAGTGCTTCCACAGCGGTGGCATGTTGCTCGCTCCAATGCAACCTCGCAAGCCTCGGACGACTCAAGCTGGCAGGTCGAACCTGCACCCCAACGAGGGAGCGAGAATTCCGCGGGCCGCGTCAACTGTATGACATAACCCTCGTGCCGTGATGGCGATGGACGACAGCGGGAGGTCGTGCTTGCTGTCAGGGGAAGTTCGAACGGAGAAGGTGCGGCGTTGATCGTGGTCAGGCTTGGCAACGAAATCATCCATCGCTCGTGCAAAAGCCATGCAGGCACAAACACAAACCACTTCTTTTTCCTCGGTCCTGCTTTCCAGCCGCCTTCCGGATGCTATTTTTCGATCGATTTGCTTTCTGTTCCTGAGAGACCCCACAGAATACCCCAGTTAAGTTAACGGGATCATGGCAGGGTTTCTTGAGCTTCTTCTCGACATCATTCGTTCATCCTCGGACTTTTCGTCATCTTACCCACATCCGTACTCGCACGTATCGAAACACCGTCTTCGCTGGAATTGATGCCACCGAGATCTTCGTCTTGTCTTGCCTGTTCCTCTTCGGTCCTGCTGCCGACACTCGCAGAACGTGAAATGCATTGATTTTCGACAGTGTGTTGGTTCACGCGGTACTCTGTTATCTCACAAACCCAGCATCACTAGGCCAATCTGGATTGAGGACTGATGCAAGATGCTGGTAAGATGTTCTCACATTAATCAAGAAGTAGTGTCCCATATGGATCAAGTATGCTGGTGTTGACCAGACATCGGCGGACAAGCGACATATGGAAGTGATATTCGTATGTACCCGAGTACCCCATCCTTTCTCTTGCCCTGCTGCTGTTGGGGCACAATTTTGAGTCAGAAGCTCGCAACCCTAGTGGACAACATGATCTGTGACTGGACCTTTACCTAAGAGGATGCCTTTTGTCAGCCACCTCCACTTCCTACACTCGAGCCAATACAGAGCTGCAGTCCGTATTGATGACGCTCAACTCAACTCTCGAGTTCCGTCTCCATCTTGGTGCAAGAGCGGAGTATGACATCTGTTGAAACAATGGCTGGTGATCATCGTCGATACACTACGTTGATTACTTGCACCTTTCAACAAGCGTGTATAAAGAGGTGGTGCTCGACCTCCCATATCTATTCTATCATTCACAACCACTTGTCAACTCTCACGACAACAAGGACATTTTCTAATCTCATTCTTCTTTCGCTTTCTCTTGACCTTCGCTCACAGTACTATTTCACCCGAAATGAAGTACACACTCCAATCTTTGGCCCTTGCCTCGGTCGCATCTGCCCGCGTCCTTCACACCAGACAGTCATCATGCTGCTTTGGCATTAACGTCTCTGGTGATGGTGTCCAGGGCGGTTCTCTTGGACAGGTAGGTTGCTTCTGCAGACACAAATGAAAGAAGACATGTCGCTGACCTTTTCGAAGTNTGAATGACGGTCAGAACCGCTTTGGTCCTAACCAGTCTGGTGCTACCTACTGCGTTGACGGTGGCAAGATCACCGACAAGAATGGCAGAGGATGCATCGTTACCAGCCCCGAAATGCAGTTCCAGTGCGATGAAGGCGCTAGCCCGACTGGAGGTTTCTCCATTGCTTCTTCCGGTCAGATCCAGCACGATGGTGATTCCACTTTCTACGCTTGCCCTGTTGACGACAACGGCAACTACAACATCTACACCGAGCCTCTCGACAACATGCCCAAGTGTGTCAAGGTTGGCTTGAGCAGCGCTGACGGAACCTGTGCTGCCCCTTCATCGGCTCCTGCCTCTTCCGCTCCTGCCTCTTCCGCTCCTGCCTCTTCCGCTCCTGCCTCTTCCGCTCCTGCCCCTTCATCGGCTCCTGCCTCTTCCGCTCCTGCCTCTTCCGCTCCTGCCTCTTCCGCTCCTGCCTCTTCGGCTCCTGCCTCTTCGGCTCCTGCCTCTTCCGCTCCTCCTGCCACTACCGCAGTCTCTGTCTCAGTCTCAGTCCCTGCTCCCTCAGTGTTAACTTCGGTCTCCACTGAGCAGTGCCAGCCTTCTACCGTTGTAAAGACAGTCACCGAGACTCAGCAGGCTCCCACTGTCTATAAGACTCAGGAGCACACCGACTTCCAAACCGAGACTAAGCAGATTCCCACCACTATCTACCAGACGCAGACCCAGTACAGCACCATCAACGAGACAAAGACTGTTCCCACAACTATCTACCAGACCCACGAGGAGACCACCACTGTGCTCAAGACTGAAGAGCAAACTCAGACCCAGACAGCAACAGCCCCACCTGTCACCGAAGAGGTCACTCAGAAGACCACCATCGAGCAGCCCACCACCGTTGAGCAGCCTACTACCATCCAGCAGTCCGTCACCGAAACCAAGTCGATTCAGCAGCCACCTGTCACTGAGACCAAGTCTGTCCAGCAGCCTCCCGTCACCCAGTCTGTCACTGAGCAGGTCACCACTTCGGTCGCCAAGCCCACTACTTCCCAGGCCCCTTCCTCTTCCGCCCAGCAGCCTTCCGCTACTCCCTCCGGCTCCGGAAAGTGCCCCCGTGATCTTCCTGGCATGGACTCTTACCTCAAGCCCCGCCTGATCGTTCCCGTCAACGGCAACAGCCCCGACAAGGCCTACGGCACTCAGTACAACGCCTACGTCGGTAACGGAAACAGCACCATCTTCAGCTTCGACATTCCCCAGAGCTACGAGGGCAAGCAGTGTGAGGTCATCTTCACCTTCCCCACCCAGTCTCAGCTTGAGACCTCTTTCGTCTCCGAGTCCGGCAACGGCGGTATCGACTTCAAGCAGCTCAAGAACGCTGCTGACGAGAAGACTACTTTCAACAACCAACCTGCTGTCGGCAAGGACTTTGGTGAGAAGGGTGTCTCTACTGGCAACGCTTACTCAATCACCACTGGCGACTGTGCTGTTGGACAAACAATCTCTTACGAGCTTACCGCCACTGGCGACTATCAGGCCAGCTGGTTCCAGGTTAGTAACCAATCCTCCATTCTTACACATAACAACGATATTGACCATTCACAGGACTGGAACCCTTGCCCCATCGGCCTGTGGGTCGTTGCCAACTAAGTGCTTGGATTAGCATCTTCACAACACAGCGTGAAAGTGCATGGTCACCATTGGGTACCAGAACCAAAACTCCGGGAGTATGAAACGTCCCGAACCAACTTATGACTCTCCTTTATACAATCCTCATCTTTATACAATTATTTAGATACAGCTTTAGAATAGTGTAATGTAACTTCACTACATCCTTACCATTTTCGCAGTCTTGTATAGCAACAATGTTACATTAACTATCCTCCTGATTACGTTCATGGCCTTGAATTTCTGTAAGAATCACAAAGCCCAACCCTATTTACCGATGTTCATCTTCTTGAAGCTTTCCTCGAGTCCATCATCGTGCGTGTATCCCCTTTGCTCGTTGATCTCTTTCTTTCTGAGCGTTTTCTTTCTTTTTCTTCTTCAAGAAGCCCTCGGTACCTGTGTGTTTTGAGGACTTAGGCTTTTTAGGGGTGGCCTCGCTGGGATTGAACTTGACAGGCATGGTTTGGGTAACTTATTCAAGGTGAGATGGGAAGGATTAGGATGGATGAGGCCGGTGCTGGAAGTTGTGGAAGTCGAGAGGATATGCTGGTGTTTGGTTTTGGCTTTGATGGTATGTTTTCGACCAAACATGAGTAGATGAGCATGAAGGATGGAAGGGTTTTATATCTCTCTCAAGGTATCGAGAGTGCCTGTTAGAGGTGATGTGTTGGTATCAATGCCAAATGATTGAGACAACAGCTTATTGTTATGGAGTAGGCAAGACTTTCAAAGACATTATATATCTCTTGCTTTCTTCCAACAAAGAACACTGTTTCATACTCGAGGTTTGTGATTGATACATCGTTGGAATGTCTTGACTGATGTGTACCATGCTTAGTAGTCCATTGTTCAGACTTTGGAGTACAATCAGCGGATTCGAGGAGAAGGCTCAGAGATATACTGCTAGATAGAAAGATACAAGTACATCGCTTGGAAACCTATTCCCATTTCATAGCCTTGTTTCTAAAGCCTCCACTTCACAGATCCTCGTTCTCAGCCACTCTATCACCTTTGCGACTCTATTATCTTTGCGTCCCTGACATTCAATCCAGCATCTCCATCTAAACAATGCCTCCAAGGAAATTTACAGACAACAACAGCAACAACAACAGCAACAACAACAGCAACAACAACAACAACAACAACAACAACAACACCAAGCAAGATTATAGACAGAGTTATCAACAGCTGTGGAACGAACTCGACAACAATAATGGATGCGAGAACAGGAAAAACAAGCAGCAGAGGCAAAAAGGGTCAGACGGTCTTGATGGTCTAGAAAAAACCTTCCAAGAATTCAACATTGGTATGGTGAAACAGACGTACATGTTGAAGGACAACCGCTGGTAGTGATGAAACCAAGCGAGGGACGAACACAAGAAGATATATGACATGAAAATGAAGAAAAGGATGAAAAGTGTAGACTGTACGATTGACACAAAATCTACACAATACGTCTACTAACCCTCCTATTCTCTCTTTGACGCTTGACTTTCATCACATCCCTCCTCCTCTTCTTCCAAGCCCTATTGCTATCACCCCTGTTCTCCCAAAACCACTTTGAAAACTCTGTTTCCTCTTCTGCTTCTCCCTCGCCCTTTTCTTTGATTCCCAAAGGCTCCATGTTGGCATTGTGTTGCCAGTCTTGCTCGTCGTCTTCGTAGCCTTCTTCAACGTCTTCGTCGGCGAATTGGTTGGCAAATGAAAAGGAGAATTTGCGGCCGATGGCGGCTGTGTCGGGGGTGGGTGCTGCAGAGCGTATGTCGCGGGTGCGGGTGTAAGGGGTGGATGGGTAGGTGGAGGCGTCAAAGTCGTCCATGTCTTCGTCAATGTCTTCGGAGATGCCGAAGGAGAAGGAGGTGTTGATCGGTGCGGGGCGGGGAGTGGTGTCCGTAGGGGCCTTCTTCTTGAAGAGGGCTTCCAAAGGGTGGATCTCGCGGGGTGGGGTNGCTTGGTTTTGCGTCCATTGTGTCTGGTGAAGGAGATTTTTGGGCAGGTGGAGGCGTCGAAGTCTTTTCGGCTGGTGTGTCGTCGTCTGATGAGGAATCAGAGGAGTCTGCTGACGGCTCGTCTTGTTGCTCTGTTGGTGCTGGGGTAGCAATNNCTCTTCGGCACCTTCCTTTATCTCTTCTGCGATTTCTTCCTGTTCGGCTTCCTTGGCTTCCTCTGCTTCCTCGTCTGCTTCGTCATCATCATCACTGTCGTCAGTCATCTCTTCATCGCTCTCGGAAGACACGTCCGAGCTCTCGTCACTCGACGAGTCGTATCCTAGCGCCTTTGCGCCAGCGGTGATGTCCTTGTGCATAGCAGGTTCCTTAGGGGCAGTAGGCTTGATTCTGATCTCAACAGGCGTATCTGTCATCTTTGCGATCCTATCCTCACGTTTCGGCTTGACCTTCACCTCCTCCACAACGTTGCCCTCTGCATCAACCCAACCCTTGCCAGGCACAAAGTCAGCAGTCGCAGAAGCCTTGCTCGAAACATCGGATTTCAAGAACGAAGGCACGGGTTTGTTCTTCTCAAACTCGTGGATGACGGTGATGTTTTTGGTTGTTTGGATTTCTTGTTCTTCTTGTCCTTGCCCTCTGCCTTTNTGGGCCATCATGACGGCTTCGGGCAGTTTTTGCTTGAAGAGGACTTCCTGCTTGGACGAGTATTTTGACTTTTCGCGCTTTGGCGTCTTGTCTTTCTTGTCGGCCTTGTCGCTGCTGCTTGACTTGTGGGATTTGTCCCTTTTATCCTTGTTGTATTTTCCGGGCTCCTCTGTCCATCCGCGCTTTACTTGTCTGTCGTCCGGAAGCTCGAAACCAGTAATCTCCTTATCCTTTTTCTTGCTGGATTTTTCCTTTTTGGCCTTTTTGCGCGGCTGCTTTTCTGCCTCTTCTTGAGCGTCATCGTCCTTGTCGCGGCGTCTGCGCTTCTCGGGCTTTGCTTCCTGGATGGCCATCTTTTGTCCTCGCAAGGTGGCACCGTTGAGCTTNTTGCGCAACTTGTCGGCGTCTTGTCTGGGTAACTCTACAAAGCCAAAGCCGCGTTCGGGAAAGGTTTGCACTTGGTGGTAGGAGATGTTTGTAGCGTTTGGTTGGACGGAGGCGGGAATGATGTTTTGGAAGAGGGTCGCGTTGAAGGGGGTAATGTGTAGGCGCACGCGATCGCTTTCTGCCATGATTGGCATGGGCAGCGGTCGGTGATGAGAAATGTCTTTTTGGTCGACTTCACATGAAAAGAGCGGCCCCGCGTTTTGTGCTTGGCGCGTGTGAGACTCCATTCATCTGGCTATTGATTGACCATCAAGAGTGCCCATTCCGCCCAGCGTAGAAGCGGAGTATCAACATGAAGCAACGACTGCAGTTTCTTTTCGTATGGCTGGCTTTGATAGCCCCCGCTTTGTGTGCCTGTATGCTTTTTCCTGACGCCAATCAAAACGCAAGCTAACCCTGTCCTCCCAGCGNNGCAACATCTTTCTGCAAATGTACATGCTTCAGCAACAGCACAATCATTCCCTTGACAGATATTCCCGGCGAAAGCACCGCCAAGAAAGCAACTTGCAACGATTGTAACAGGCAATTTTGTCTCTCGTATAACCTGCCCATATGCAAGGATGCAAAGGATGCCGATGTCTTTACCACTTGCTTTCAGCGAGACTCCACCAAAGATCAGATGATAGTCTATACTTTCATCCTTGTCACTTGCGGGTTGCTGATCTGGGCCACTATTAAACCCTATGCTGAGACCTATCTTGAGGTGTGTAACCCGCCTGGCAATCCATGTATTCCAATGCTGATCAGGTTCAGANAATTCCGGAATCGACATAGCTACAATCCTGTGGCGCAGAATGGCAACTGATGCGTTTCAAAAAGCGGCATGGAAAAGCTTTTGGCATGATACCTCGGCAACTGTACAAGTGTTTTATATTCTTACAAGCAATTGAATGCGACCCAACCATGAGCATGCGAAGCCATCACCTCCTCAGCAACCAGTTTGTCCAGCTCTTTGACTTTTCTTGCACTGCCAACACTGAAGCAGCTGCTTCTCTGTCCAACGGGCCTCCAATCACGGCCTCTGCGCCGACTGTACGCGGCTTCTGCCACTTGTGCTCGTCAACCTTGTCTTCCACGGCCTTGACAATACCCAAATCCTTGACCTTCTCTTTCGCAGCAGTCACCGTCTCCTTGACCTCGAACGCAGCATCATGGGCAGCGGCTCTCGCAGCAGCACCCAAATTTCCTCCCTGCTGCTCCTCCTTCGGTGCCGACGAGAAGATGCGGCTAATCATGCCAGGCTGTTTCTTTTGCAAGTCGGCGGCTTCGAGTTTGGTGCGCTCTTGGTTAAGAAGGAGGATTTGGTCTTCGTCGGCGAGGCCTTGGTTGAATGCCACACGGGCTTCGTCAATCTTGACTTTGTGCTTTGCTTGTTGGTCGGCGAGCCATTCGTTGCGCTTCTTGCGGTTGTGCATGAGCATGTCTCCGATGGCAAAGGATGCGGTGACTCCACAGACGACTGTGTTTCAGAGAAACGTCAGTATTTCTTTTCGTTTACGTTCATGTTCTCTTTTTGCTCTCGTCCGTCGCCTCCAATGTACATTTCAGGACTGGGTGTAGCGCATACCGGTCAAGCCTATCAGCGAATAGGCAGTCACTCTGTGTGCTCTGTCTGCCCATTTTCTTCCAACCCTGACCACGGCATCGAAGCTTGATTCCTTGCCCGTTCGTGCTCTGGCGGCTGCAGCTCTTAATCTCGCAATCTTTTGCTGGGGTGTTTCTCCAGAAGGCGCGGCATGGCCCATGTGTACCGGAGCAGGAGTGAACTGGCCCTGAGGTTTGGCACTGGCATATGGCGTGGTTGCCGTGAAGCGGGTGGCATCTTTGGCTGATCGCGCCATAGTCGAGGACGTGTGTTGTATATTTGTGTGTGCGTGGAGAAGCGTCGAGTATATATTCCAGTTGAGGAGCTACTGAGGTATAGGTGTCGAGGATATGGAGCTGTTTGCAAGCAATTGGTGGAGGATCTCTTTTGCAGCAACGGGTCAAAACTTCAATGATGTCGAGAAATCGCAACTTCTTGCATGATCATGCCTTTCTTGGCGTGTTTTCGGGTCTTGTGTTCCGTGCTGTCATCGAGCCCTAACGCTAGCCTGTTTGGTCAGCATTGCTCTTTCACGCCTTCCTACTCCAAAGCAATAAACAACTATTATATATCCACAACATTGCGAGACTGTACGAGAGGGAAGACTATAATTATGGCAGATCCTACAGTTCCCCCTGATCTTGCTTCCATCCTCGCAACTCTTGCACAGTTTGCACCCCAGCAACAAAATGCACAGCCAACTCCACCACCCACAGCCACAACTCCTACGATCGCGGACCCTAGATTACAAAGACGCCAAAACATCCAGTCATCAGTCCAACCCTTCACTCAGATACCGGATCACCTTCAGCAAAACAACCACCAGCCATCAAATTCGTATAACCCTCAAGCTGCCGTCTTTCAACCTGTAGCCCCACAAGGACAAGCAACCACACAGCCATCAAGGACATCAACACCTCAACAACAGGAACAAACCATTATCGATCCTGCAACAATCACCGAATGGTCTGCTGGCTTGCGATGTGTGACCAAGATCGCCGCTCGAAATCCACAATTTGCAGAAAAGATACGTGGTGTAAGTTATGTTGTTAATCATTCTCTAGAGCCCAAGACTAATTGTAAATCTCAAGNNTTGATCAACGATCAAAGACGGAATGAAATGCAATGGTAGGTTTTCAATGAGGAAAGCTGCAAGTGAACATAGCTAATGAATGTAAACAGGTACACGAGTAGACAAGCACTCAAACAGATGCAAGCAAAAAGATCCACTACTTCGAATGAATTGCAGAACATCTTGTAAGTTTTGCATCTCCCTCTCAACAATCTCCTCATCAATACACCTCGCCGTCTCAACCAGCACAATCTTTCTGCACCATCTCAATTATCCTGATCAATCTTGCTCTCAACTCACATGCCCTCTCAGCNNAAAACAATCGGCAGCACAAACACACCCTCAACCNCCCAAACCCCCGAGGAAAAAGCAGCCGAACTCCACGCCTTTGACCAAAAACTCTACAAAGCCCAGCTCGACATGAATGAGTCAATGTCTCAAGTGCTTAAGCATTTGGGTGTTCCTTTCTTTGGCACGCATGCTGCGTTGATCTTGCCCGATCATGATGGCAGAGAAGACAAGGAAGGCAAGGTAATGGATATACAAGGTGAACGACCGAAATGGTCACCGAGGGTTACAGGCAAAGAATTGATGGAATTGAAAAAGAGGATGGTGGCGTACTTGGAAGATATGTATAAGAGTTGACGTTGGGCTGTTCAGGAGAAGGACAAGCATTGCTGAGACTTGCTTTGGTGGATCAGCTAGTAGAGGAGTGTTCACGAAAAGTACTGCTCGAGTTAAAGCCTGCATCGACAGAGCAGCAAGGCATGGAAGGAAAACAGCTTTCGGATAGCCCTGACTTTGTAGTTTCTTTGTTGTCACTCCAAAGGTATCTCGAAGCGGACTTTTGCGATTCATGCACGCACCCTATAGCTCTTCTTTGTCTTTGAGCCTTTTCCATACGCGCTGTCATGCTTTGATGTTTCTTTGTCGTGTGGCGAAGCGTGTCCTACCGTGCCGGAAAAGGTCTACATTGATGTAAGCCAACGAGCATTTGATGAAGCCTTGCGAGCGTGACAAATTCCTTCTCTCTCCTTTCGTTCTTTGTTTCGAGACGACACTCGCTTTGCACCTCAATTGTACAGTCCCTGGTCTCTGAGAAGCGAACTGTCTGAGCACCAGCTGTCTATACTGCTTTCTGTATATCTTCGAGGCAGTCGAAATCCAGCTCGTTTCCACGGTGTGAGCAGCAGTCCTCAAACCAGACACGGTTCAACCAAGTACATTCACCTCATCCCTGATCACCACTGTCGTCTTCTGCCCCCAACAACAAACCTTTCCACACATAACCCGCCAGTAAAGCAGAAAATGGACACTTTAGCAAAAGAAACAATGGGCCTCCCCATCTTCATCTGCCCCCAAACAACCAGATAATCTCCTCTGGCACCAACACCACCACCACCACCACATCTTCCGTTTCTGCACATCACAGCAAAACAAACTCTTCTTCAACAACATCCACAACCCTATCACCCACAACACCCTTCTTTGCCACCGCAACAGCAAAACGATCTCCCATATCCACCACTTTCTCTGTGGCTACCACATCTTCCAAAGTACAAAACANACAATATTAGGGATGCAAGAAGAAATACCTACACCCCACCCACTTTTTCTCCCAGACGCGAGAGTCTACTGAGTACTCATCGTTTATCACAGGTTTTTGACCTTGCATCTTCGTTTGCGTCGCAGGTGTTGAGTAAAGCCGCCGATCAGGTTTTTGGGCAAGAGGAAGGTGGTAGAGTAGAAGGAATTTGGGGTGAAGATTTGGAGGCTGGGGATAGGCAGAGGGAGAGAAAGGATGAGGGAAAGTATCAGAGGTTTGGAGAGGAAGCAGGGTTCGAGAGTTGGTTGGATTGAGATAAGATGCGAGTTAGGATGCGAGAATTTTGGGTCACTGAGGGAAGAAGAGGTGTGATTCGTAGGGATGAGAAGGGGCTAGTGTAATGAATTGTGCAAGAATGTCTGTGTTGTGTATCGGGATTTCCTGTTCTTTGGACTTGCTTGTGGTGGAAGACTCGGTTGCTCAATTGAAATTCGACTCTCGGTCTGGCAAACTTACTAAATCGGTTGTTGTGTCTCGCTTCTTTTTGGTTGAACAGAACAGAAAAGAGTTCGTGGCTCTGAGACCCATGCTCACCACTTGTACCAACTGTAGTGATGACTCGAGGTCCTTGCGTCTTGCCTGCTCTCATCACAGTACGTGAACCAAAAACCCCTCAGCCATCTCCAGCACAAACAAATCCCAAAAACCATGGGTATCGAACACAAAAATCCATTCAGATATAATACACCAGCCTTCTCTTTTTATACAAATCTCCTCAATTGCCCTTGCATATCTATCCCATAGCCTTCAAGAAATTGGCCTCCTTGATCTTGGCGCGTCTGTTCTTGCGCATGGACTTTGTCAATGCATCTCTTGCTTCCATGGCATCAATTGCGCCCTGCAGACTGCCATCTCCAGCAGGCAGATCAATGGTTTGTTCGTGCAGAGGGATTTTCGGGGCCAGTGCTTCTGGGTTGAGCAGTTGTTGTTTGCGGAGGGCTTTGGCAGCTACACGGCGTTGTTTCTTGGACTTGGCNTGTGAAAAAGAGCAGACGAATTAGCAATGTTTCTCGAGCAAGGGAGGGGGCAAGCAAAACATACAAAACAAATCTCCCTCCACAGACCCAGCATCAGCAGCACTCTCTCCACCCTTCTTCTTCAAAATCCCCCACAGCCATGAGGGATACTCTGCATCCTCCAAAGCAACGGGGTCGTTCTTTCCCTTGACAAAGTTCAAGCCCTTGAGCGGCGTGCCAGCAGCAACAGAACTCTTTATCGTAGGAGCAGCTTTCTCTGCACTCGGGGCTTGCAACTCTGCAGCCGAGGGCGAAGCACTCAGCGGTGTGGAAAAGGGTTGCGCGGCTCCTGTTGATGTGGCAGCGGAGGGTGTGTGAGCAGAGCTGTTTGGGTTGCCCTGTCGTGGCGCGGCAGCAGCTCGAAGTGGTGTGGTTGTGGTGATGGCGCGGCGAAAGGGGAGGGAGATGGGGCGCTGGACGGCCGTCCGTAGGCAGCGGTTGCAAATCATTGTGTTGCGTGTTGTGCTTCCGGCAAGAGAGCGATCTAGATTTTTGAATTGGCTGCTCAATGCGATGCGCCTTGAACAAAGATTCGATGGAGGTCGCGTGCCAAGACTTTCCGCGAGCGGACTTTTGTTGGTTGCGCTTTCCGTCCTTGCCATCACGGTGCTGGCATCTGGATTTCCTTTTTTGTCACCTGCATTCCTTCTGGACGGAAGAACTGTTCGAGGTCTGGGATAATGGTATAACGAACGTAAGTATAGGTGCATATATCTTGGGAGACTAGAGTTTGTCTTCGAGCAGTGCATCGTGAGCCTGATTGTTAGAGCTACACACGCTCTTCGACTTTGCATACACATAGGCACGGGAGAGAGTATCAGAAAAGCAACATGGCATGACAGCCAGGGGTATATTCAGTTTTTGTAAGGAGCGAAGGGAAAACAAGGAAAGAAATATGGTATAAAAACAAAAGCAGAAAACACCCCCTGTGCAAGTGCTTGTGCAGATGAACACCCATCGTCAAGTCGTAATGTAAAAGGCTGGCCGTTCTTTGCCAAACACAAGAATCGAAATGCTCGTCAAGCCCAAAGGAACCGTGACGCCGGTTGGTCATAAGTCGTGTCTGCATCTCAAGACGGTTTGGGACGGATCACTAGAGTCTATCCTTCGTCGATGCCGTCTTCTTCGGATGTCATGCTTCTGGCATTTGATTGTGTGCGTGACTTTTTNGAAGGTGAAGATTGACTGTCTCCAGACTTGCGCTTGGTTCCGTTGGTAGGTTGCTGCGGCTCCACACCACCATTCTTTGCAGCTTCAGCATCAAGAGCGGCCACTTCCTCGGCTGTGAGGAAGCGCCCTCCTGGACCACGCGGTCTTCGCATGGCATGGTTGTGACGAGACTCGTGCAAGTAGGGCTTTCTGCCCTTACTCGTGAGGCGCAGTTGTTCCTCGAGTTTTTGTCTGGCCAAACGTCTCTTGAGAATTCGGTGAAATTGTTTCGCGTTGACGTAAAGAGGTGACTCTTCGGTGCTTCCGCCATTAGCAGCCTCTGGTGACGAGTGCTGTTGAACGACCTGTTGGACCATCTGAGGCGCAACTGATGCGCGTCGTTGTTGCTGCATAACAGGCTGAGGAGGCTGAACTGCCTGACTCATACGGCGTGCAACCATTTGTTGGGGGATTGCCTGAGGAGCAGGCATGACCATTNNCTGACCAGCCATACTTACGTTGACGTTCATGTGACTTTGTGATGGCGACCTTGGTGTCTGTCTCTGTTCACTCTTGACAGATTGTCCCATGCGTGGTGATTGTCTCGGGTCTTGTGCTAGTGGTTGCATAGCTTCTGGCATATAGTTGTAATTGCCTGAGGCAGCTGCCGTGGCCATCGCGGCGGCTTGTGTAGGAGACATCTGGTTTGCGCCCATGCCGTAATGCATGCCTTGGACTGAATAGCCTTGCTGATACATTGGCATGACCTGGTGAGGTCCAACGCTGGAGCCTGGTTGTTGGCCGTAGGCATGGTTTTGTTGTGACATGATGGGAGAGACCTGATTTTGTTGAGTGGGNGAGGTCACTGGCGGACCAGATTGACCGTTGTGAGTGGGCGCGTATGCGTTGTGGGTATGCGCGTGCGGTTGTTGGTAGGTTGTGTAGTCCATGGCGACGGTATGTTTGTGTTAACTACGAAGGTATATAATCGATGGTGGTGTTGCGCGATGATCCGACAGGATGGTTGGGCCGGCGCGACGTGGGTTTGCTATTCGATATAGCAGATGGCGAGTTGTCCAGACGAGGCTTTGTCAAGTGCGAAAGCCGTGTCGGGGTTGTCGCACAATGGGATTGTTGTACAAGGCTTGTTTAGTTCGATGTGTATGGGTGACGAGGGTTGGTCGCATCCAGGTCGAGCGAGCTTCCAGAATCCGGGGCGGACGGAGGGTCGTTACCAAACAAGTCAAGCTTGGGAAGCTTTGTTCCGACGCGTCTTTGGCGACGCGATGTTGGAGAGGTGATGGGATTGGTAGAAATAAGATGAAGAAGCGCAGCAGGTCGACCAAACAGAACGCGAGGGTAGTGCGGATCTAATCACGGCCGGGACGTTAGCTGGGGGGGAAAGCACGAAGGATGATGGGAGTCTTGAAAGCGGGCATCGAGGTCGCGGGCGCGGCGTGGCTGTGGACTCTGGCTGCGGTGTGCGCCGTGTTCAAGGCGATGCGCTGGCAAGTCGCATGCAGGCCTGACGCAGCCTTTCTGCCGTTCCGTTCCCTTTGCTGCCTTACCTGAATTGCTTTGCTTACATGAGATGATGCGAAGAGTGTGACCTCTTGCGCTGGCGCAAACGCGTGCAACGATGATGTAGGTTGCTGGCGTCGGCTTGCTCTCTGCTCTCTACTAGACGGCGCGGTTAGCATTGCGCGCTGCGAGCATGGAAGCAACGGCTACGGACCTTCAGCGTGACACTGCAGGTACGCACGCGCAGAGAAGGTGTATGCTTTGAACGACAACCTATCAAGCTGCTTGTTCTGCTTCGCCGAGGCTTCGACGCGACTCAACTTGGTAGCAAGCTCCAGATACCGTCGAATCACGGCGGCTAAAGGCGATGGGCGAGGCGATTGGTTGATGGTACAAGTTCCTGGACGAGAGGCCTGTGCAGGAAATGGAGGAAGATGACTGGCTGCTAGAACCTCGAAGATTGAAATCTCCACTTTCTGCTTTGGCGAGGCCAAGGTCACGTGGACGGCATCATATCGGTGCTTCTCGCTCTCAATCTTCCAGACCCCGCCCTGGCTGTCCTGCTGCTCGTGTATCAGATACGACGCCATTACTTGATGGCGTGCCGTGAGGATGGATGGTTACACGGCACGCTATGCCTTGATCTCGAGCCGGATCCCGTCAACAGCACGCGGATGGGCAGGTCGTCTTGTCTATACAACCTCGGCAAACTCATTCTCACGAGCATGTGGTACGAAAACAAGGGTGTCTCTTCATTCCATCGTTCTAGACGTCCACGGCATGCCACGGAGAATATGTGAGCATTGACCGGCTTTGTTTGATGTTCTTGAAGGCTGGTTTACATATATATGTTTCCTCTATCGAAACAGTGAAGGGAAAGACTCACTAGACATAGTCTTTTGATACTAGAATATGTCTGGAGTCAGACTCATAATGGCCTCATCTTTACTCATGATGTACAGTAGGAAGAATCATCACGCGGGCGGTGAACTTGGCCAAAGATTATTGCTCGCGTTGCACAAGGCATCTGTCTAGGCTGAAGCCTTGGTTGCGTGGTCTGTGATTCATCGTTGAAACCAGGAAAGTGAAGATCAGTGTCTGAGAGTTCGATGTGGCTCCAAGACTTGACCACCTTCACAGTCCAGACAGAAAGCCACTTCTTCGAGTGAGCAGGGTGTAGAAATTAGAAGCAGCAGAGTTGGCAAGACCCTCGAGCGGTTCACGAGAGCAAGTCGCGATCTGTGGGGAAAGTGTTGGCTGGCCTTGGAACAAAAACGGCATAAAATCAGCACAGACTCGAGCACAATAATCGACACTCGATATTATGGCCCTCAGCATCGCCAACCCGGCCGGCCCATCGCCAAAGACATCGGCATCGCCTCCTCCCTTGTCGACATCGCTGTCATCATCAGCGGTGCGGTCGCCATCACCACAGCCGCCTCCTGCAAGCCCTCTCACGCCTCCTGCCCAACCAGCCAAGCTCGCAACCACAACCCCACCCAAACCCATACAACAACCACCGCCGCCTCAGTTCATAGAGCAGCCACCTTCGCTGCCCTTTTCCAGCCATGATTCAAGTGATGCCATAGCCTTGCGCGCCGCCATTTCCTCTCTCCAGTTCCAGCGCCTCCAGGCTCAACGAGACTTGCGCACTCTCGAGGATATCAAGCGCCAGGCTGTCGAGCGCCCAGAAGAATATCGCCGGCATGTCATCGCAACTGCTCACGCTAAACCTTTACCTCCGCCATGGGCTGTAAAGGACTCTCCGGACCAGGGCATGGAGGATGATGACGATGCTGTTCTCGGCGCTTCCAGCATGAGCGAACACGACCCTGTCGATTCGCAATCCGAGGCCACGACCAAGCCATCTCCAATCTCATACGGCTCCATGTTGCACTCACAAACAGCAAAGAACACACATCAGACTTCCACCTTTCCTGCTGTTCCGTTACCGCAAGACATCGTCCGGTGTCCTCCCATCGAATGGGCAAAGTACAACATCGTTGGTGAATCCCTGGACAGGCTTCACCGCGACCAACAAGTACGACCAGGAGACGCTGTCTCGGCTCAGCGCGATAGTGTTGTTGCTGCTCCCTACAACCCTTTCCTGGATAAGCTAGATCCGCGACCAGTGCCGGAGGCCACCCCTTCGTCGAGAAAAGACAGTGGTTCTTCTGCCTCGGATCAGCACGCGCAACGCAGGTCTAGCAAACCTGCCATGTGATTGATCCTCGCAAGCGCTCTCATTCCACGCTACAAGACATGAACTACAAGACATGAATTACGTGTTCGGATATCTATTATGAGACTATTTGTCAAACAAAAAGTATTTTCTTCTCTATCCACAAACACCAGCTCAATCGTTTCCATGATAAAACAGCGATCAGTCAATCAAGCGCCAATCATGTGAACACAAAGCAGGTATTTATATATTGACCTGGCGTTTCAAAGACCTCAGCGGCTGCATATCTTGGCGTTTGTCGCAGCCCTGCTTTCTGGCACGACATTGCCAGCACTTCATTGGAATGAGCCAGACGTCATGTTTGAATTCCTTGTAACTATGCCAGAAAAATAGCAGTAGGTTGTTTGCTGTGGTCTCACAAACAAGTTGGGTCCTGTTTCTGGTTTCCTTGCTCCTTTTCTACGTCTCTCCTTCCTCAGCTGTCTCTGTCCTGACTCTCGCGTTGATATCGAAGATATATCATATCACTTCAGTACCTGTTGACTAGAGAATCGTCATCACACATTTCACGAGATGCTGCGCCCTACAGCGCTGATACCGGTCATCTTTGGCCTTGCAGCATTCGTATTGACGATGCTGTGCATTTTCGCCGGCAGCAAGCCAGACTTTATGCAGGTGCGTCAGCCATCCCACCTCTCCATTCCCTACTCTTCTTCTAACGCATTCTNNCAGGACTACTCTATTGTCACACTCAACACATCACGCATCGGCACCAACGTCCTCAACACGACTTCCAACACCGACTCCGACTCCAACATCTTCGAATCAATCTGGGATAATGTAACCAACAGCATTGAATCTTCTATCAACGACAAAATCAACTCTTTCGCCAAAGACTTGGGTCTGCATGATTTTTACTCTGCACATCTGCTTGATTACTGTGAGGGATACTATACACCTACCTCTTTACCCAATGCCACAATCTCGGCCTCCAAAATCGATCAAAATGTCACGTTCTGCAGTAACCGCACTTTCTTCTTCCACTTCAACCCCACCGATGCGCTGCAGAATGAGCTCAACAAGTCTGGCTTGGGAATTACTCTGCAAGACCTACACTGGCCAGATGCCGTCAATGATGGCATACACACCCTACGTATAGCCCAAAAAGCCGCTTTCCTGCTCTACTGCATTTCCGCCGGTTTAATCCTCATCGCCACCTTCTTCTCTCTCGTCTCCTTCTTTGTGCATGGCCGCCTTTCCGCCTTTATCGATATCTTGCTTTGGATACTCGCGTTCCTGGCTGCGGTTTTGGCATCGGCGATTACCACTGCGGTGGCGGTGAAAGCGAGTAATGTGGTTAATGAGCATGGCAAGAGTGTGGGCGTGCAAGCGCATAGAGGGGGTAAGTTTATGGCGTTGACGTGGGTGGCTAGTGGGCTTTGTGGGTTGAATGTGTTTGTGTGGGTGTTTGAGTGTTTGAGGGGCAGACGTAGGGCTAAGAGAGAGAGTTATGTGGGTGGGATTGGGAAGTAGGTATGTTTCTTGGAGGTGTTGGTTGGGTATTTGTTGAAAGGAGAAGTGGTGGTAGAATGTGCAATGGTGATAAAATCTTTCTTCTCTTTGGTTGGATTTGTCCGTTGTTGTGGACTTTGCTAACTACGAAGTGAGAAGCGAAAGGCAAAGAAAAGCAGCTGTGACACCATATGGCTTTTACAACTCCATAGTAGCAATCCTACCACCCACCTCATAACCTCTACCTCCAAAAGGCCCCTCATCAACCTTCTTCCTCAACGTAACCACCACATCATCCCACTCCTTTGCTTCTGCATCTCCTTCCTCCGCATATACCTTGAGTCGATTATACACCTCCTTCAAACACTCAAACTTACTCATCGCAACCCGATAAGCAGAATTCTCACTATCCCCNACTCCACCCACCAAGTTCGAAAACATCTGGCTCGCAGACAACAAATACGGCAATGTATACTCCAAACTCGGCGGCGACAAGAGAGCCAAGAACCCTTTNTGCTGTTCCGCAAGCGCGGTGTGGGGAAGTGTTGCCCTAAAGTCTGTGGCTGTAGGTGTAGAGGCATCGGTTAGGGGCAACCAATTCGCAGTCCCGATACTGCGGATGCAGCTAATGGCAGCAAGGGCATTCTCTCTGAGTGCAATTATGGAAGCGTGACGCACGAGATCGGCGAAGAGTAAGGGGTTGTGGTTGAGATAGAGATAGTACAATGCATATGCAGCTTGGGCTTCAGACTTCCAGTGGGCAGTGTGGGTTGTATCCATCAACGGACTCATGACTGGATAATTGATGATTTCCTGCTTGGAGGGTCCGTGGAAGATTGTCGCTAGAGTGGCCAGTACATCTGCATTTGTGGATTTTGTGGGCAACAGGGAGAATGGAGAGGAATTCCAATTGTTGTTGTCGGGTAACAGAGAGCTGCGAGGCATAGAGGCAAGAATGTGTAAATCGTGTTTTGGGGACTCGGCGTGGGCCCAGCGGTTGGGCGATAGGTCCAATGAGGTTTGTAGTCGTTTCATGAGGGTTGGTTTGAGGGAGCTGGATAGAAAGTGGGAGGGATATGATGACACGTAGGCAGCGAGGTAGTTGGCCGAGGGTGCGTACAGGAATTGAACATCCAAAGGGTCGTGACGAGGGTTGTTAGGGTCCAGGTAGAAACTCATTGCCTTATCGTGAAGCTTGTGCTGAACGAGAAAGTCCAGTGCAGCAGAAGAGTGAGGTGAACCTGCTGACTCTGTCGGCGTGATTGTTTGGAGCAAGGTAGCGTAGAACTCCACCAGGCAGCGATGCATCAAGACATCGCCAGCGGTATCGACCATGCATGTAGCAGCAAAGTACAGCATACCTTCTCCCTTGCCATCGGTGAAGCGCTCCTCAACCTCTGGATGATGTGCATGTGTAATGGCATTCCAGTTCACAACACCCACCTCAGGCAGCCACTCGAGCAGTCTCGCTTGAGCTAGCGTCCTCTGGCTCCCCGACAACTCCACACCTTCAGTATGCTTCAACGAGCAGACGGAAAAAATCAGCGCATAAACATCCTGATCACCAAACACACGCTTCCACATCAATCCCTGACTGTGACCGGGCAGCGACTTTTCTTCGCCAGCACCAGGAGGCACCGCATGATCGACCTTGAGCAAAGCAAGCAACACATCGCCAGCCTGCTTGGCAATTCCAGCATCCCCAGTGCACAGCCAGAGATTCACCAACGCAGTCACGACTTCAGGTTGCGCGGCAATGGTCGCAGCGTCCGTGGCATTTCCAGCAGCTTTGTTCAGCAGCGCAAGCATAAGTCGGTTGTACGGTACGGCAGCAACATGCAGCCCGCCAGCAAAGTCGACCGCGGCATTGAGACCGAGCACGTCCGAATAACTCAACGGCTCCAGTAAAAGCACCAGGAATTGGATCGGTTGTGTCGGATCCTTCTGTAGCACCGGCAAGATGCGGGAGAGCTGTGAGATGAGCGTAATGGAGTCCTTATTCGAGAGGCCGGGAGCCAGAGCTAGTGAACATGACTCGAAAAGACGTTCGTCGATATCTGTGTTGGTTGGATCCTCCTCCAGCTGGCCAAGATGGACTTGGAGACGTTCAAGTAGGTCCTGAGGAGCCGCCATATTGACAGTGAATGCGCAAATAGTTTTGTCGGATGGAAAAGCGACTGCTGATGATTTTCCGATGTTTAATGGTCTGCCAGATCAAAAGTTGTGGTGCTGTGGCATAGTGAAGGTGCCACAAGAGGCAAACGCGGGCAAACAAGATACACGTCACGTGAAAGGTCAATCATTAACAGACGAGCGAAGTGAGTCTAGAAGCGCAAGCATTTTTGTTTCATGCGATATAAGATATAAAAATGTACATAATTTCGTGTCGTGATTCAATAAGTGTCGTTATTAAGGGAGGCTGATCAATCCCTTTCAGAAATCAACTGCACCGATACCTCCCATTTGAGGCCGCCAGACCCATAACCACCACCAAGCCTGTTTCGCACAAGACTGGTAATTCTTTCCCTCGTCTTGGCCAAGTCAAGACCATAGTCAGCTGCTCTATATCTCAGAGTCAAGTTGGCCATACAAAGTCCATAGTGGACTTGCCAGAACTTGGCGTCCTGAACGGCTGAAACGGATTTATCGGTTTCAATCTCAGAAATCACGTCCTTGATTGTCGCACTGCCAGCAGGCGCCGAATAGGACATGAGAAGAATGGATGATAGTGATGTGCCTAGGCGAACACCCAGGCCGATCATGGCGACTGCGATGAAAAAGGACATGGCGGCGTCGAACCAGTGATATGCTTGAATGCTGAGCAGTGGCAGCAAGAGCAGGAGGGTAGAGCATGATAAAGTGATGAGATGGCTGGGGTTGCTCAAGACGGCGCCCCAGCATGATATGTACTCGAAGCGCATAGCCTTGCCGATGCGAGCATGATTCTTTAGTACAAGAGCAGAGATGAGAGTGACAACAATGGCGAGAAGGGCGGCAACATCAACAGATCCAGCCGAGATGCGACGGTGAGCATGAGGCGAGTGAGCAACATGAGATCCCAAGTTCTCGAGGGAGTGCTGGATACCATGAGACAAGACATCGAGACCCATGAAGCCGATGAAAACAGCGAGTCCGAAGCCTACAAGGACATCGAGTCGTTCCAGACCAAAGGGATGCTTTACACTGGAGCGCTTCCAGACTTCGAAGTTTCCCATAGTCTCGACCAAGACGCAGGCAATGGCGCCCGCAGCATCAAAGAAGAGTAGACGCGAAAGGGCGGTCATGGCGAGGGAGCCCGATGCACTCCATTGAACGTATCCGGCGATCAGGAAGTGGCAGAAGCACCACGCGAGGCGGGCCTTTTGATTTGATGTCATGCTGTGCTGGACCTCATTACGGGTAGGGACGGGGAGAGAGGCGGGTAGTCGAAGAGGGGCGCGAGGTGCTGGCTCGATGAAGATCTGGTGCGAAACACTGGAGTGCTTGTACTTGTGACCGCGACGCTTGCCGACATTGATGTCNCTGGATTGTGTCAGTAGAGAGCATGTTGGCCCGTCAGTCGGTATGCTTACAGGCTTGGCGGGAGATAGGGTGGCAGAGTATTGCTGAGTTGTAAAGTTGAAGGGGTTCGCAGCGGTGATGGTGGGCTCATCTTCCTTCTCGGACGATTCGTCTGGCTCGCTGATGACGCTCTGTGGAGTTGCAGGGCTGTACTGGTCTGCAGGAGTGGATAGCGAGAAGACAGGTGAGACCAGGTCGGTACGGCCAGTGTTCATCGAGGTACTCGCAGTGTCCGGAGGTGAAGCAGATAGTCGGTCGAATGAACCCGAGAGACGCGATCTGACAGGAGACTCGTTGTATGCATGCTTGATACGCAGGCCGGATTCTGCCAATTGAGGGTCCATCTCGTCGTCGGACGTGGTGGGAGTCCTCGGGGGACCNGGCATGGGAAAGTGGTTCGTAGCCATGGCCAGTGTCGGCAAACAAAGAGAGCCTTCTTTGTTCTTTGTCCAGCTGGGAGCGGATGTTTGGGGAAAGTGGTCAAAGGAGCGACGCGAGTTGAATGCAGAATGTAGAGAAAGTGTTCACTGAGACACGAATTAGGGGCGCGGGACGGTGACTATCTCTGTCTCTTGTGCAGATCCATGGAAATACGCGCGCTTCAGGGGTGTTCGCTGTCTCTCTGCGCGACACTTTTGACGTCGTGGGCGGTGGCGCCGTTGGAACTTGGAAAGCGCGCGACAAAGTCTCTAGCCCTATAATTCCCCGCCCTCGGCCCGCCCATCACTGCCTGCTCCTTCCATCGAGTTGACCCTGTCTTGCCTGTTTCGTGAGACGCGACTTCTCTCATGTAGTGCTTCATCACTCTCCCGACCTCCATGTAGAAGAACCCGAGTTCAAAAATGCACATCTTCACCGAGTCTATTCTGGGAGCTCCATGACAACGCATGGCAGAAACATGAACGGCGCAACTGAGACAGACGCCGTTGAAGACGACCACTTGGCAATCACCGTCCTTCCGCCAACAAAGCACAAGCACCGGAGCCTCTCTGCCGGTCTCCTACAGAGAATCAACTTTCTGTCACGTCCACCGCCTGGAGAACTGTCGACATCAGCTCCTGCTGCAGTTGACCTTTCAATGCAAGCAGAAGATGAGTCGACCCATCCATCTCGTCCACTCAAGGCGCGTAAACGCAAAGGTTCACTGAGGAAAACGGCCCTGCTGGGTCCCGGTCGCGTCAAACAAGACNCCCCTGCCACCGAAATATTCATACACGACAAGGATGCCCAGTCTGACCATGCCGTCCGATCCCTGGATGATGCTTTGCACCAGGCTCTGGCCTACGAAGACCTTCACCAACCTCGTCGTTTGTCTCTAGTTTTCGAACACTCGCCCAACTCGTCGCCGCCCTCGGTGCTTCCTCCGCCTGTGCATCCAGACTTGGGCTCGCCAATCATCAGTCCCACGAGTCAGAGCTATGCCTCGACTACCGACGATGACGACCTTAGCATGGCCGCCACCGTGACACGACCCTCTTCATACTTTGACACTCGTCCTGTTCTCGACGTCGTGCGTCGCCGCTCGTCGCTGAAGAATGTACCATCCCCACTCGCTACCTTGCCAGTCCTGGTACACAATGCAGACGACGCCTACGATTATTCTGAAACAGAGCGATGGGGCTGGGTCGTGCTGGTTGTCACCTGGGTTGTCTTTGCTGTCGGCATGGGTAGCTGTCTGGGTGTGTGGAGCTGGGCCTGGAATGTTGGAGAAACTCCTTATGCGCCGCCTGAGCTTGAGGACGACCCTACGCTGCCTATCGTTGGCTATTACCCTGCCTTGATCATCTTGACTGCTGTCATGGCTTGGGTATGGGTTGTCATCGCCTGGGTCGGCATGAAATACTTCAAGCATGCAAAGATACAAGGCGATGACTGATGCTTGTTTTCGTTTAGGCTTATTCAATGATACCCTCTTCTTCTTTTCGCGGCTTCTTCTTATGCCATGCTGTTTAGAGTCACTAGATCTGTATTGTCTATCCCTCTATCACGCCCGTGATTCTAATTTCCGGTTCACCACTCCTCCCAGCCTTTTTATAGTTTAGCAACCCTCGGCGTGACAAACACACCCTCCCCNCTCGCACACTCGACCAACTCTCCATCCTCTACCTCCTCTGGTCCCTCCTTCTGCAATGCCCGCGCCGCCAGCTTGATCCCCCTGCCCCTCCTCTCCACCACCTCGACTCTGACCAACACAATTCCTGGCGTCCTCACCGGCCGCACAAATTCGACATTCAGAGTTTTAGTATAAGCATCTATACTCCCTGCTGTGTCTTTCTTGACTGTACTACCTGCAACGGCTTTGCGCTGCTCGGCAATCTCCTGCAGCAAAATGCCCATACCTTCGTCTATCAGTGTTGCTGTCATGCCCCCGTGCAGGATGTGTGGGTAGCCATTTAATCCATCCTCAATTTTGTATAATATGCTTATAGACGCGAGATGTAATGAGGAGGTGTAGTAGGTAACACAGTAAGGTATTGTGGTTTTTGTTGCGAGAGTGGTTGCGAGGAGAGAGTCTTCGGTCGAGGGTTTAGGGGTTCGGGACGAAGGTGTTGTGATTGTGAGGTTTGGTGTGCGGAGGAGGCGGGATGTCCAGGGGATTGAGGAGAAGAAGGCGTGGGAGGTGTTGAAAGATGGCATTGTTGGGTGCTTTTACGCAGAGGCGGGATGTCGATGTTGCGAGTGATGGGGTTCCAGATGGTCTTTTGGTATCAATGACCTTGGTTTGGCCCTGTGATTGAGCAGAGACACTCTTTACGAGGTGTATTGGTTTGGTTGCAGAATTACATTCTTGCGACGAGAGCTACTTTTGGGAAAGGCTTCAGTTGAAGATGAGGCTCAACCGAGGTGCGGAGGTTGTTCAGGGTCCTTGATCCCCCGCTGTCGATCTTTCAGGGGGTAAGCAACATCCTCTCGTGCTTAGTGTTTACTCGGATGTTCGAGTTCTCTGACTACGACGCGTAGCAATACCTCAAGCTATAGAAACGCACGACTGTAACGAAGTTCAATGATATGTCCAGAGAGAAGGCTACCCATGACGTCTCTCTGTGGATATCGCTCTGTGTTTTGAAGGTATCGTGCATTTGTGGGAGAGGCTTGCAAGGACATTCGGTCCATCGCGATCTGCCTTTCGGACTTCTGCCATGACTTTCCTTTTGTAAGAACTATCGAGATGCAGAATTGCTTTCAATCCAGAGATATGGCCAGAGAGAGTTGAGGAGGACACGACTCTCTACGCACTCGCCTCCAAACCCCGAAGCTATTGTGTATTTCTACAGTTGTCAATACAGACTTGGGATCGCGGAGGAGCGATGTCATCTTAACCGTAAGCCCAAGGAACCTGACCATCTTCTAACAATGCGTTCAAAATCGCTCTATGCCTTGTGTCATCCTGGCTGCGTCCGGACTGGAAAAGACGTTCGGGAGATCTGGTGCGGCAGGCTCTTGGTGGGTCGAGACCACGATGTGATGACCCCAGGTCTCCGTCAAGGTATTGACCAACTTTGTAGTCTTACCTGCGTCGCGATCACGTACAGAGATTGTGATCGCCTCTTCGACAGGTACATGAGTATGCAGGTTCTCGTCGTTGTACGTGTTTGTGGACAGGTTCAGTTCGCCGCCGTTCTTCCTCCAGTCCCTCATGATTTATGGGAGATGGTGGTCAACGTACTTCTGGACGATGTCTAACACATTCGACTCGAACTCGGTCCTTCCCAGAGTGCCGGTAGAAGACTGGTACGTACTCACTCCACGATCCCGTGAGCGAATTCAAGAAACCTTGTTTCCTCATCATCCTATATGATGACTGAGGAGCGAATAGTGAAGTATTGGTGGGTGTTGACCACTCTCCAATAGCTGCGAGGCTCAGGGACTTTACGGTGCGGACATGCCTGATATAGTCTTCAAGCTGTCCACCTGAAACCGCCGAAGATTGAGTTTCCATTGAGTCCCGAAGGAAACCAGGTCAATTATTGCGGCGCTTCTCTCGGGATCACCTGGTAATACATCAAAGTAATTCTTGTCACTAAAGATGATACAATCGAGCTTTGAGTGCATGCAATGTCTTGCAAGCTTGTGCTAGCCGAACAATACACGTTCTTTCACCCTCAGATGGTAAGGAAGCTGACCGTACTAGTCCCTGAAGCGCCCGTCGTCTGAAATGAATGAGCGGGCAGGTAAAGGTGAAGGGATAACGTCGAAGGTTCGGCCTCCAGCTTAGAACCTCATGGGGTTGCTACAGGGTGTCATCATCGACTTCCGTCTTTGCGATGATCATCTTCTTCATGTGTTGAAGAGCGTGCTCTCGGACTTTGGTCTGCAGAGAGCTCAGAGCACTGATTCATCTGCACTAAAATATCACATCAGTCGTAGGAATATTGCACATCAAAAGTCCATACAAAGATATTGCTCGAAGTAACAGATTTGAGCACCCAAGGAGGGAACACAACTTACTGTGACAGCGTTATATTTGGTATACGCCAGGTTGGCCCAAAATACGGTCAAGAAGGAGGAGATTTTGGGCCGGATAAAAGTGCTTAGAACACATGCCAAGATGGCCATCACTCTCGAAGTGAATATGGACAACACAACGTGAAGATACGTTCACCTTAGATGCAGCGGAGTCACACATCAAGCAATCACCACGACTCTCCAACCGGCGCCACAGCTGTCCATCAAACCGTCACCACAATGGACGTCCCCGACATTATTCTCAAGATGCGCAATACTATCCCTCGAGGTATATGGAACCGAAAACACCCTCTACAATGGATCAGACTTCTGGATCGGCGGCCTCCCTACCTTGGACAACCCCAGCGTCAGAACTGTCTTCGCCAGCGTTCCCATGGTCTGGTGGAGAGTTGTCACTACCTTTCACAGCAGAGACGCTGGAGGAAAAGTAGCATGGATCGAGATACGACAGAAAGAAGGAGCAAGGAGCGAAATGCGCCGTCGTGGAGGACCGAGGAGGGAAATCGTGGTGAAAGTCACGTCTCGCGCCGAATTCGACGACTTCGTCGATGCAGAGTATGCCGCAAGTCTCGACCTACAAGCCAAGGATCCGCATCGAGATCGAGGAGTCTACCCATTGCTTGGTCCGCTGGAGAGACCACAACTCTGTGGGCCTCAAGCATGGATGCCCGAGGTCAAGCAGATCGTCCGACGCACATCTATTCCTAGGCTTAGAGAGTCGTCACTTGCCAAAACTCCCGGCACATGGCCTTTTGCGCAGTGTTCGACGATTCCAGAGCCCACGACACTCGATCCAGATTACAGACGCAAATACCGCAGACGCACCCCATATCAAAGCAGAACCAACTCCCGAGCGTCAAAGGAATCGCTGGTGCCATTACTGGAATTCCTTACACTGGTCGACCCTCTGAGCAGAACCAGCTCTAGAGCTTCAGCAGAACCGCCAGCGCTACCAGTGCATGTCCCTGCATTGGTCTATGCTTCGAGCAGCCGCAGCTCCAGAGCGTCAGCAGAATCACCAGTGCCACCACAGGACACAGTGAACGAACCTCCGAATACAGTAAGAAGCTAACTCGCGCCCCTTCCGAGTGCGATTGAGCGTCAGCGCCAGACCTTCATTTCTCTGGGTCAATACAAATATACCGCATCGCGCCCGTGAGAAAGGAGTCAACACAGGTGACAAATCTTCCCGTATCTTGGTCCTTTCGTTTTCAGAAAGCTGTATATAATCATGAAACAAATACTCTTCGAGAGTCACGTCCAGCGTATAAGCATCGCTTCTGGTAAAAGTGTCTTCCACGGGAAAGTTGCGTAACATTTTGACCAAGGCTCGAGATGTAGGATCGTGATACGGCATTATGAATGGCTACCCATGCAAGTCACGGCAGCGACTCACAGCCCAGAAACAAGAAAATGCTATGCAAGCCGTAAGACATCACATTGATGATAACAATTTGAGAGGTCAATAATTGCCTTTCAATCCAAGCACCAGGCGTCATTGGCACTCATGAGAGAACTACGTGAGTGGTAGAATCGTTCGGGCTGAGTTGTAGTGCTTATATCGGAAGTTGAGTCGCTTGTACTAATCACATCGGATGTCGAATTGAGCCGGATTCTCGACCTCCAATGGCTCTGTAGTGGCCGATCATGTCGTATGGCTTCGCCCCATCGGTAATATTCGTGTGTCTCGGCTACCACCTCACCATCATCAAACCAACTGTCAGGGCAATGACCCGACATGACTTCCTCAAAACGTGGGTCTTTCGTCGAAATTGTCAGGACTTCGAGGGCGGTGACTTCCGGGAGCAGAGCTGGTCCATATCCTCTTCTTGAGACGTGGCGAGCCTTGCGCAAGTATCTTCATAGATTGCGATCGCTTCTTACCCTCCAATGCTCGTATTTGCGCGTCGAGCCTGATGTTGGTGATGGTATCTTGGTGGGACGCTTTTGGTATGCGTTGGAGTCGACTACTGGTGCTCGGACGACACGGCGTGGTCTCGCTATATGCTTAGGATCCAATCTGCGTGGGGAAGGTCCTTCTTTCTTTTTGTGTCGCTGCGGCCGTTCGAGAGGGCTCAATAAGATATCGAGACCAAGTTCCTTGTGATGATCGGGTTGATTTCTCTCGGCCAGGTACTCACGGCGAAATTTCATGACTTGCTCCCATGCCTCGCGTGATGTTATCCTGATTGTGAATTCCTCTCCGTCTCTGTACTGCATCCACACGACCTTGTCTAGGTCCACTGCAAGTTGTCTCCACCAATAACGTGGGATATCTTTGTCGATGATCATGGCCAGGTACTTTGTGCCTCTAGGCCACGGTCTTCTTGAGATATATGCACGATCATACCACCATGTAAGGTCCGGGGTTACGTCCTTGTGCTCGATTGTGGAAATTTTGACGCGTATTCTGCTGAGAGGGTTCAAATAGACCTCCGGTGCTTTCTCCATCTCGTCTTCGATGCTGGATTACGAATCGTCTCTTCTAGAATAGATTTTCGTAGGAGTGGATCCGTGCGATCTCACCGGTTCTTGGGATTGATTGCTCTTGATGGGCGTGTCGGGAAGCGGAAGTCAGAGAAAAGTAAAAATGTTGAAGAGCAAGGTGGTGATATAACGATTTGTAGTTGGGCTCGGCCTATGTGAGTCAGCGACAGGAAGCAAGTACGACTATGAGTGATTTTGCGAATGAATTTTTGGCCTGGGAATCGTTTCAACTTTCTTGTCAGAAGAGAAAGATAACGACTTAAAGCTGCGAGTTGGCACATAAATTGCCAGGGAGAAAAGTGTAGGAGGAATAACATCAGTAAAGATTGAGTCTAGAAACAGAAGTGCTATAAGCAATGTAAGAAATTACAAATACAAAAGAATGGGGAGGGTATCGAGTACAAAACAGACGGATCTCCTACAAGTCCTTGGTCGCACCAAGGGATCAGACAACAGATAAAAACAAGCGATCGAGCTAGCCATGCAACATCACTTCTTCCTCAACTCCAACGACGCCACCCTGTCGATGCCGGGATATTGGTCGTGTCGACTGATCATACTTTCCAGCGTAGCAGTATGCGTAAGCACATGCGTCAAATCGTCGTTGGCCAAAGACTTGCTACGCACGGCCTCCAATGGCTCACCGTTACCACCGCTGGGTCCGCTTTCAGACCTTGAGCGCGAGGGGTCGGCCATAGCAGGAGTCAGCTTCTCCATGCTCTTTCCTGAAAACAAGCGAGTGAGCTTAGGTCGCAGGGAACCCAGTAGCTTGCCTTTCTTCGGTGTTTTTGGTGGCGAGATGGTTGGTCTGGGTGCTTCCTGCGAGGGACGAATAGGTTGCGAGAGCATCGTGTGAGATGCCGTCTTGTGAATGGTGGGGTTGTGATGCTCAGACATCATGGCGTCGTAACCGTGACTGCCTTTCCATTGATCGGTGACATTGTCCATGGCTTCTTGCGCTGCAGTACTGTATTCAGGATACAGTGTTTCTGAAGCTTCGACTAGAAGTGATAGCTTCAGCGTGTCGCGGATTGTTGCATTCATATCTTCGCTGGGATGCCACCCCATGGCACGAACGTCGGATCGCATTGCCTTATCAGCTCTTGTTTGCACATCCATAAGTTGAATAAGATAATCCACTTTCTCGCGAATCAGAGCGCACAGCTCGCTAGCCTTGGCCACGTCCATAATCTGCCAGGCCATTTTCTTGTTCACACCATTGTGTCTGTGAATCTTTGCGTGAGGGAACGCGGTCACAACTTCTTGCAACAGCTCCAACTTCTCGCGAAAGGCTTGCAGTCTGAAAGGGTTGGGAGCCAGCATATGGTTCTCGCGCACTCTCGGCGAGCCCTTGAAAAGGTCCAGTCCATAGGTTTGCAACATCTTGACTTTGGTCAGATGCGTCAGTGGACTTGCGATCGCATACAATGAATCTTCCACGCGTTGTCTGAAGCGAGGATCATCAAGTCGCGCATCTCGGGTTCCGAAGTACAAGGCCTTATCAGGTTCCGGGTTTAATGCGCCAGGATGCTTCGGGATGGCAGAGGTGATTCCTGTCGAAGCTGGCGGCGAGCTGATGCCAACTGCATCGCCCCAGATCAGAAGACGGGCTTGTTCGATACCAAGCTGTGATGTGAGGATCTCCTCGCTATGAGACTCCTCGTGGGTCCCATGGATAAGATTTATGGATTCGACGCAGTCGGCGAAAAGGTCGGCAAGTGTATAAGCATCGCTCAATGACTTTGCGCTATTGAGGCGGTCCATCTTCGATTACCGACGCCCTTTGGATACTGATACTGAAGTTCGCCCTTGTCCCAGGTCTCCAGAGTTCGAAGGTGGTCGCGAAGCTGATTATCTTTTGCAGGGCCGCAGGATTCCACTGTGACATCGGCGGCGTGAGAACCTTCAAATTTCGGTCTTCCAAGTTGTAGAAAGATGTGATGTTTCTCGAAGACAGTTCGATGGGTATATAAGCCTTTGGAACCCAGCCATCTTTCTAGACCATTGGGACGCTAACCCACCTCAACTGCTCGAGAAAACTTCCCACGCGATTGTGAAAGGTCAGAGCTTCTCAGCCAAAACCTTACCTCAATCATGTCTTGGCAAGGGGTCTCCTACAAAGCTGCCCTTCCAACCCTGTCTTTGATGTCAACATCACTCCTTACGACTTGGATTTGTTGCAACTCCTTCGTCCTAACATGAATCGGGTATGGATCTCAAATGCTAACTTGCTGTGAAGTAGAGGAAATCCTGTTCGTAACGAGGCTGATTCTTCATGCTTTCTGGGTTTGGGTCCGACGTTGGCATCACTCTATTTAAACAACGAACCACGACTATTACCACGCTGGCATCGAGACATCAGTGTGTGTTTTGTAAACTCTCATCGTATTGCTGCCGAAGGGTCACTATCTACGGTAGTCTTGCCAGCATAGCAGCAAAGTCGCATTCCATCTGGTTCATCCGTCCGCCTTGGTCGCATGAAAACTCGCATCGCCTTCTTTCCCAGGACTGTCTTCTCTGCAGCAGTTCTTCTACGCTCCCTTGGATGGATTCCAGAAAGAAACATTGATCTCATCAATCTATCTCTCGAACCGTTGTCATCTCCATCGCGACGCCTCCTTTCGTGGTTGCTGGCCATCTACCCTCAGTCGCTGAGACCACCCTCTCGTCTATCCCATCGTAGACAGTATCTGCTTCGCTACAAGGTACCCATATGGCACCCGATGACAATCGGTCGTCTTTTCTGCAGCGTCGGCGTATCTGTAGACTTCACAGACGACGATGTGGCGCAAGTCTCGCTCGAGTACGATGAGGGCCAGGCCTGGAACGAACGAATGTACGATCAAAGGGTGTAGGACGATAGTTCATCACGGGACAGCTCCGAGCGGGTCCCTCCGCCTCCCTTCCGTCTGGAAAATCTGTAACAGGAGTCCAACCTGCCCCAAAATCAATGTTTCTGATGTCGACTGGTTCAACATCGGGAAATGTGTAATCGTACTCAATGCCTGCGAACGTCTCAAATGGACCGCACCTCTGAGTAATGATCTCGTTGTCACCTTGTCTGATCTCGTCGATGAAGGGCGTGGGTGTTGTTGGTCTAGATGTGGCGGTTGTATCTGCGAGGTTGTTCTCCCAGGAGCTTCAACTTCGCGATCGAGAGGGCGGTGCAGCCCATCTATCGGGGCTAGGTCGTCTTCATCGGAAAGGTCAGGAGGATAGAGAGCCGGCCATGCCTCATTCTCTAGTCGTAGTTGTGGTGCAACTCGTCCGAGACCAACCCGTACCACCGCCATGTTTCTCTCAAGTTCTAGCAATCTGAATTGGGTAAGAGGCTCCATCAGTGGCTCTGCCGTGTCTAGCACTGCTATTGCTCTTGTAAAATTGTCCCGAGTAGTCGCCATGCTTTCGACCAATCCAAGCAGCTGCTCGTGTGTGACGGTATCGTCGAGACCATCGCCATCTTCAAGGACAGGCCAGGTAACAGTATCCCAACGAATGTCTCCCTGAGCCGCTGTTCGCTGGAAATCATTCGTAGGTCGTCGGTAGAATCTGTAAGTTGGAGAGTCGTCTTCGAAGCAAGGACATGGTCCATCGCCAGTCATAGGTCTGCCACAGATGTAGCAAAAGCCCATTCCGCAAAGACATNNCTGGTGTTCGTCAGCTCAAACCGTCCTGACAGAAACAACTCGACCAGGGACTTACTCCATATGGTTACAGCCATCCTGCCTCTGTACGACTCTCAGGCAGTTGTAGCAACGCTGCCAGTGCATCTCTTCGGCGAATCTGAGCAACGCGGCTAAATCCAGATCCGCAGGACAGTCCCCTCCATGAGCTGGGGCTTTGCAGATGACACAAGTTTCTTTGCCACAGCTCGAGCACTGTGCGTCAATGCTGTAAATACCATCAGGATGTATGAATGTCGAGCATGTGGGGTCCGAGCAGTATGTTCTGTCGATTGTTTCATACTCCAAGCCTTTCTCTTCGAATTTCGTTCCAAACTCAGGCTCCAGAAATCGTACTGCGTGCTCAAGAGGGATTAGTTTGTTGGCACAACATCTGGGAGGATAAAGCGACTCGTCCGATACGGCTGCGTTGAAAACCATGCTGAGACACGAGCCGCAGTAACAGTGTCCGCAGGAGGTGAGAATGAGATCCTTGGGNGGNAGTTGTTCTTCGCAGGCCACACATCGGATCAACTTCTTTCCACATGCAGCCTGTGTGTGATCTATCTTTCTGACAGTCATGTAGTCTAGGAAGTCGACAATGGCATCCGTGTCATGAGGACCGACTGTTGCAATCGCAAGTTCAGTGATCAGAGGGTCGTAATCGCCCCTCTGCGCCAGTCTGACCAGAACAGCTTGAACTTGAGCCTCCTCATCCGGCGCAGCGTCGACAATAGTGACAATCGTGGAGAGTTCCAGAGTGGGATGTGCTTTTTGTAAGTTATGATGGACAAGTCATGGAGTAGAGTTTCACGACGGCTTTGATGCTCACTGTCAAGTCTCTCGATCTCCCAGGCGAGATTAATGGCCTCCTGATCGGTGGACCACAAAGCCTCTGCGAGAGTCGCCTCCATGTTTGAGTGTGCGAAGTCTGTAGACAAGAGTCTCGTGTAAGTGGGTTGATGAAAGCCAGTCCGAGTTGATGGATGAAGGAACTTGCGGATGGAAGATGTCTGATGGAGGCGAGAAATAAGGTGAAAGGATGAGGCGAGAAAGGTGTTGTGAAAGGATGAGGCGAGAAAGGTGTTGTGAAGAACTGACGCGACAAACCGGATGCTGCCAGACGTCTCAAATGTAAAAGTTCTGTCAAGCTCGACAGACAAGACAGACGGAAAGTCGAGTGAAGAGTCCGAGTTGCGATTTACCGAAGACGATGGGCAACACGCGTGCTTGATGCAGATAGAATCATAGGCTCGAGTACCACTCGTGCAAGTCCGGTTTCTTTGTAAGTGAAAAAACACCACAAGCGACCTTGTTGTTTGCTTCAAATTCTAACTATCATCCATCATTGACTGACCTCCTGGGCTCCTCCTCTCTCCTGACTTCTCCGGTAGTTTTGACGTCCTTCACAAAATCTATTTTCATTCACCATCTGAGCGCCTCTCAAATTTTTCCATACATCCTAAACTTCACTAAGCCTAACCCATCACTGGACGCTTTTACATTAGCGCGACAGTCGATGAGTCTACACCACATGTCTTCGAAACAGAGGGAAGACAGTAGGAGGTTATGCCTTTTCGCGGCTTGATCCGGGTCTGTAGACGCAGTCCTTCTGCTCCTCGAATCGTTCTTTCCCTTGATGTGTTCGTTCCCTCGAGTCGCACCTTCCTTCAACTTCGTTCTAGCTCGTCCTCTGTGCGTTTGATCTTCCAATCGTCCCTTCCCTGGATTGTGAAATTTTTCGATTCGCTCCTTCTCTTCTTCGACGGGTTTCGTGATTGGTCCGTTCCTTCCCTTTTTCTGTCCTTTCATTGCCTTCATGTGTTCTTGAGTCGTTCTCTCCCTTGTATTGCTTCTTCCTATGGCTGGGTTGTTCCTTCCCTCCACTCGCATCTTCCATTAACTGTTTTTCCCACATAATCTCGTCTTGATTCGATTTTTTCTACCTTACAGCCATCGCGATCATCTTAACAGTACTCTCTTGCCCACCACCCTGAGAAGACGTATCTGTTCTTTTGGCCTCTGTCAAAATACATCTCTATGCTTGATCGAACCAGAGTCTTCCCCGTCTAGCGTTCCATGATTTTCTCTCATCTCAGATGACTTTGCAATCCTATAGCTGTTATGTATACTTCATTGTTGCTGCGAGGGTGCTTTAGACGTGGGGACAGATGACAGTCAAATTGCTCAATATCGAAACAAAGTGTTCAAGCAATGCGATGTGAACTCGATAGACAGTTGAACAGCGTGTCATTGTATAAGCGGTAATATAGTTAACGATCTGATATCGCAGTTCTACAGACAAACTCTCGTTGATCGAGATCGGCGAGTTATCAAGTGAAACACGCGAGCTATCAAGTCTGGCAGTATCGTTTCGATTGCCTGTATCCGGTGGACAAGAAAAGGTTGGCGATTTGACAAGTACAGACAAACTAGCAGGTGAGGACTGGGAAGCCGAGTTTGGCTTCTCTGAATCAAATGCCGTGGGCATTGCATTCGCTGACATCATTTCCTGCAGATATTGTCTTTATACAGGACAGTCATAGAGATACACATATCAATCGAGATATCAGGAGCGATTCAGTGAGACGATGAGGATGACAGGGCTCCTATTGGATGTTGGTTGAGACTCAGACTTGAACGTGTGTCTTTACAACAACAGGTCTACGGCGGATGGTAAATCCAGAGACTCCACTCTATGCATTTTCCACTTGTCATGCCATGTTTTGGTGATTGTGAGAGAATGTGGACCAGGCCAGGGTTGTAGCAAAAAGACTGTTGTTGTCTAGAAGGTGGCACGAGATAGGGATATTCAAATCTCTTTTCTCTGACTGTCTATACCTTAAGACGCACGAGAAAGTAGAACAAGTGCAGAGCAAGCAGACATGATTCTCTGCTAGTGCTAGAGACCATGTGCTCTCCACAGTTCCGACTATCCTCACAAAACACTCCAGATCCGCGCAGGTGACATTGAGTACGATGCTGTGGCTCGTATCTTGTCGTTTATGTAAGATATGCGGTTGGGGATCTTGTAGAGAGTTTCGAGATGATGTGTTTGGAAAGTCCAGATGTTTGGAGGCGTTCCAGTACAGAGGAGAGCATCAGAGTCCAGATATACTCAGAAGTTGATAGCTGACCATATGCGAGACGTTTCTCAAGTGCTAGGAGGAGGCGAAGCACTGCTCCGACGAGCGGACGGTCTGCCTTTGATGCCCAGAAGTTCTTCTCTACGTAGATACAACTGCTCTACCGTCTTGACATGCTCGAAACCTCGGGGCAAAGCTGCTGATGGATCTTTGAAGAAGCACGGGGTACAATCATATAGAGGTTCACCGTCTTTATGTTCCTGTCGTCGCTGCCAATATAGCTTCAGACCTCCGTGGCGTTTGACACCGCAAGAAGCGCAGCGACGCTCCACTTTTTCTGATGTCACAACTGGCACATGTGTCTTCCAGGAAAGTCGGTCGTGGATGCCAGGAATGGAATAGAGCCAGCGTCGCAAAATGTCCCGGACAGCAAATCTTGCGTCTTCTTCCATTCTAGTGTGATAATGATTGCGAGATGTCTCCACTTTATGAGCACGATATTCTCTGTCGCGGATAAGTCGAGCTTGCAGATATGATCTTGTTCGCTCAAGGCGTTTTTCGCGCCAGATTGGATCGGTTGCGTATTTCTCCCTGGTGTACTCCCTCTTGTGCTGCTTACGTAGTGCCTTCGCGTCGAGGTCCTTTGGAAGTTTGAGATCTCTTAGTAGTTTGAATTCATCTGACTTGGCGTCCTTTGGTAGTTTGAACCCATTTGACCTAAAGTCCTTTAGCAGCTCGGTGTTTTCTGGTTGTTTGTTCCCAGCATGACAGGCGGAGAAGAAGCGCGAGTTGGTGACTGAGGACAAGGACCAAGTTGAGTAGATCTTCGACCTTGAGGCGATCTCTTGGAGGACAGATCTGCAGCTTTGCATGATTGCAAGAAGAGTGAAGTGTTTATGAAAAGGTCAAAGACGCTGCGATGTCGATTGATGTGGCAGATGTGGATCAGAGAGTTTGCGGTAGAGGGCCGAGCCACTTTGGCACGTGCGCTTGGGCAAGCTACCTAACAATGACATACCCATCTCGTCCTCGACATTCACATCCACACAACATGGCGCCTTCACTCCAAATCTCGATCCCGACGACGTCAACCGGCGAGGAAGACGGCAAGAAATACACCCTCTACCATGTCCAACTAGCCCTCCCCATCCGCACTCATGAGACCCGCAAACGCTACTCGGACTTCACCTCCCTGCACGACACGCTCGTCTCTCAAACCGGCGCTGCTCCTCCTAGCCCTCTACCGCCAAAATCCTGGCTGCGTCGCACTGTCGATAATCCCGCTTTGACCGAACAACGACGCCGTGGTCTCGAAGCCTACGTGCGTGCGATCCTCGATGCCCAAGATGCACGCTGGCGCTCCTCGACCGTCTGGCGCCATTTCCTCGGCCTCCCCAATAATGCCTCTCAAGCAAAAATCAAGCAACAAAATGACAGTGTTACCGATCCGGCAGCGTGGCTGGATCTACACAGAGATGTGAAGAGCCAGTTGCACGATGCGCGCCAACTGCTCAAGAAGCGAGATCAAGCAGCCACTGCCCAGGAACAACACGCCATCTCCGCANACCGCAAAGCTGCCTTGGTGCGCGCAGCCACCGGGCTGGCGAGACTGGACGACGCACTCACCAAGACAGCCACAAAAACAAAAGATGAAGATGACGGCGGTTGGGGTCAGGCCTCCCGCCTGGGCGAAGGAGAAATTCGAAGGAGAAGAGACATGCTGGGGCTCGCGCGCACAGAGACAGAATCACTGGAGTCCAACCTCAAGTCTTTGGTCGTCAAACCGCAGGGAAGCATGTTGAGCGCCTCTTCGGGGGCTGCTGCTGCGACTGATAGCGATAAACGCGCGCTTTGGGGTGATGCACCCTCGACAAGGAGCTCCAGACGTGTACTGGGTGGTCCTGCACAAGAGACAGACAAGACTCGTGAATTGGACAATGGTGGTGTGCTGCAGTTGCAAAAACGCATCATGGGGGAGCAAGAGCAAGATGTGCTTGAAATTGGCAAAGCCGTGACGAGAATGAAGGAGATGGGCATCATGATCAACGAAGAGTTGGTCGTACAGAACGAAATGTTGGGAATGCTAGACACAGACGTGGATCGTGTGCAAGGCAAGATCGACATTGCAAAGAAGAGGATCAAGAAGATCAATTAGATGGATGTATGTTTTGATTGGGCAGTGGAGTTGTTGGTTAGTACATAGATACCCTTCTTGTTTAGTTTGTTCTTTTTTATTTCGTATATACCATGACGTTTTCACCTCATCTGTCTTTCTTGTGTTTCGACCCGTTCCTGTAATGCATGCACTACTGAGATCTTCACATCACTTGCTCCAAACGAGTCGCACAATGCATTCTGTCAAGTGATATTCTGTTTTCTAAGTTTTGCACGGCTGTCCGCTCTCCTGTGCCACGAGAGAAAGAGAAAGAGAGGGTATTTGACCCCTCTCAAATGCATATTTATTGGCAAAAGAAGCTCCAACCTACTTGCCAGCACTTCTCCCCTGCTTTCTTCTCTTGCCTTTGACATCTCTACCTTCCTCGATTGCCAAAAGCGCCTCCCTCTTCTTATCGCCAACAACATTCAATGCATCTCTCACAACCCTACTCTCCACATTAACACCTTCCTCTACATACTCCTCCATCTGACGTCCCACCCTCTCCTCAATCGCCTGAACCAATCCTACATCCCTCTGGCCCACCAAACTGACACTCGTACCTTGTCTCCCNGCTCTCGCCGTTCTACCAACCCTATGCACATAGTCATCTGGATCGCGGGGNAGATCGTAGTTTACGACTAGCGCAACGGAGGGGATGTCCAGTCCTCTGGCGGCAATGTCAGTGCAGACGAGAATGCGAGCGGCATTTGCGCGGAAGCGAGCGAGATTGTTCGTGCGGTCGGATTGCTGGAGACCTGAATGCAGAGAAGTGACGCGGTGGTCGAGGGAACGTAACATGTGTTCGAGGAGGTTTGCGGTGGAGGTGCGGTTGACGAAGATGATTGTTGGTTTTTGNAGGTTTGCCTCGGTGAGGAGGAGGACGTGGAGGTATTTTTCCTTGTGCACGACGTTGACGAGACAGTAGGTTTGGTGCAGGGTGTCTGGGATGGCGAGGGTGTCTAGATCAACCTGTTTGTTTTGTTAGGGTCTTGGGCTTCGAGTGTGGAGAATGAGAGATCAAAAGATAAAACTTACCTCACACACGGCCACAGGAGGTTTGCCTTTGGCNCGGGGTCTATCCTGCAATGCTCTGACTTCTGCCGTGACAGTTGCGGTAAACAGACAAGTCTGTCTCTTCCCACTCTCGGGCAATACCTCCATGCAAACCCCCAAATCAGGCAACATACTCCCNTTGCCAGCCGCCAACAATCTATCCGCCTCATCCAGAACCACAAACTTGACTCGTCGTAATCCAGCAATACTCTCTTCACCACTGCTATTGATGTGATCCGCAAGCCTTCCCGGCGTGGCAATAACCACATGCGGCCTCCTCGCCAACTCAATAGCTTGCGCCCTCATATCCGCGCCTCCAGTCACCAAACAAACCTTGAGATTCTGTACCGCACCAATAGCCTTGAACTGTTCGAAAATCTGCAGTGCCAGTTCGCGGGTTGGCGTGAGCACGAGACCGAAAATGCCAAAGGGGTCTTTGGCCCATTGTTGTAGGATGGGCACTGCAAAGGCAACGGTTTTTCCTGAACCTGTCCTACTGCCACCGATACAGTCGCGTCCGGAAAGGATCTCGGGGATTGCTGCTGATTGAATGCGTGTGGGGTTTTTGATGGCCATGTTGGCGAGTGAAGATACCAACCAAGGCGAAACATTCAGATCCGCAAACGTAGACTTTTCATTGCCTTTCTGGGCTGCGGTGATAGTTTCTGTGGGGTAGAATTGGTGGTTGTTGAAGATGTTGTTGGCNTTGGCCTTGATGCGCGAAATGGATGGTTGAATGCGAGATGCAGTGGCCATGGGAGGAACAACCTTTTGCTGCTGTTGAGGTTCCAGCTCCGAGTCCGAGTCTTCTGATCCGGTGGGTGAGAGTCTACGGCGCTTTCTAGATCCATTTTGGTTTACTTCTTTGCGCTCGCTGTGGATGCTGCTTGTGGCTGAGTCGCTGGAGTTGCCAGAGTCCGAACTGGCGATGGAGGCAGCCATCTTTAATTGTTTTTCGGTTATCCTCTTCGCTAGTCCCAGTAGAGAGGTCCTTAAAGGGGCTGTAGCGAACTCTTTGGGATGCTGTGCTGTTGTTGTTGGCGGTGGACTAGTTTTCGCCTTGATGGTCCGAAAATTTCGATGGCACGTGACTCTAGTATAACTTATATTCGACCAAGACAACAACAACCTCAGCTCTGACGATGTATTCAGTATGTTTTTAGGCTTGTATTTGTATGCTCGTATATACAGAATTGTTGTGTCATAAATCAGATCTTTTGTTTCCCACGCTTTGCTTAGGCAGTGGTCTGCTCCTGCTCCTGCTTGGCCTCGTCAAAGTAGTTGGGAACCATCTCCTGTTCGCGGTATCCGCCTCTGGTGAAGCTCTTCATGGGAGTGAGACCGTACTTTGCGAACATGGCCTTGTCCTCGTCCCAGCCGTTGCACTCGGTGGTCAACATCTTCTCACCGGTGAAAATGGCATTGGCACCGGCGTTGAAGCACAAGATTTGCTCTGCCTCACTCATGGTGGTGCGGCCAGCGGCAATTCTGATGATGGTGGCAGGCATGACGATTCTTGCGGTGGCGATGGTGCGGAGGATGGCGTCGAAGCTGATGCGTTTGCGGCTAGGGTCGTCACCGAGCGGCGTACCCTTGATAGGTACCAGAGCGTTGACAGGGAAGGATTCAGGGTGGGCAGGCATGTTAGACACGGTGTAAAGCAGACCAACGTGGTCCTCGGGCTTCTCGCCCAGACCAAGAATACCACCAGAGCAGACATTGATGCCAGCCTTGCGCACATTGGACAGAGTTTCCAACCGCTCGTCGTAGGATCTGGTGGTGATGACGGTGGGGTAGTGCTCGCGCGAGGTGTCGACGTTGTGGTTGTATGCAGTCAAGCCTGCCGACTTGAGCTCCTCGGCCTGGTTCTGGTCAATCATGCCGAGTGTGACGCAGACCTCCATGTCCATGGCGCGCACGCCCTCGACCATGGCCTTGACGTTCTTCAAGCTAGTCTTTCTTCCTCTCATGTCACGCCAGGCGGCGCCCATGCAGAAGCGTGTGCTTCCGTTCTGCTTTGCGATGCGGGCTTTCTCGAGGACATCGTCGACGGGCGACATTTTGGTTGCCTTGAGGCCTGTNGTGTTGCAATTAGGTTTGTTCTACGGCGAATCTGTACTGAGTAGGGATGGCTTACCAGTGTTGTAGCGGGAAGACTGGGCGCAGTACGAGCAGTCCTCCGAGCAGCCACCAGTCTTGATGTTCATAAGCGTGCACATCTGGATGGACGAAGGAGAGTGGAATCGGCGGTGGAGAACACCCNNTTTGGGCTTGTCAATCATACACGTCTCTCATGCTCACACAGCACGTGTACATACCGATTGATGTGCCAACTCCATCAGGGGAGTCTTGTAGATCTCACGAATCTCATCCTTGGACCAGTCGTGTCTAGGTCCAGTCTGTCTCATGGCTTCTTGAAGAACATTTCCGGTTCTGGGCAGAGGGCTTGTAGCTGCTGCCATGGCCATGCGGTCGTCCACGACTGTGCTGAAAGGTCGACCATTTGTGAGCTGTCTCAACGACCGTACTGCTTGTCGGGTAGACATTGTGGATGTGATAGCGATTGCGAGAAAGAAGAAGAACGATTGAAGGGACCAACAGAACCACAGGCACACTGTTCAACGAAGACGGCAGAGAGCTTGTGACTGATGAGTCGAACAAAGATCGAAAGGTCAACTGTTTCTCCGTGCTCGCACCGCGCATCCCTCGGTATTCGGGGTTCGTTGGTGGGGAAGCTCAATCGCGGGCTGGCCGTCAATTTACCGTCTCTGTCGCTGTGATTGGCTGCTTCTTCGGACAAGCTCCGGAGACACGCGCTAGAGCCGAGATCTGCCATAGACCTGCAGCGAAGATGTTCTGTCCCCTCAGTTCAACCAAATTTCTGTCGACCTTGGCTGCTTGGACGAGACCATGAGGCTGAGGAAGCCCATATCAATATTTCGCAGTATGAGATAAGGGCTGTTTTGGGCCCCTTTCTCAGCTGATGGATGTGGTTGTAGCACGACTCGCCTTACAGTGGTTCTGGCTCAATATTTCATAAAGTATGTCTCCTTGCTCGTATTTTTGGAGACTTGTTTGCAGCTCTTCATTCGAGACCGGCTCTATGCATGTGCAATCAGCATACGCATCAACCCCTGCGATTTGCTGGCAGGAGGATGGCTTTGTTCGGATGCGCCGAAATAGATTTCTTGCGACACGGTCATGCCGACCGAGGTTTCCGAGTAGAAGTATCATTATTGCTTGGTTCAATTGAACTGGTGAAAGGAATATATGAGAAGGTCTCACTAACCAAGAATTAGTGCTCGTTTTATGGCGGTTGTCAATATTGATGCACATGTGTTGAGAACAAGTACAACCGTAGCCTACCACTTTATGCAGCGCATAAGACAAGACTATCCATCTTGCTGCGGGACCCTGTGCTCCCGTTACACTGTACAACTAGTGTCATCACAGCTGCCGTCCATGCACATGGCTGTTGAGTGGACGTTGCTGCGACCGTTGCGGAACAGCATCAACAGTCTATGGATGCTAGCAACGGCTGTCGTAGTTGGATCTTATTACAGGTTTCAGGAACTACATGATATGAGATAGACGGTGCTAGACAGCATGTAGGAGATACATGGCATCAGGTATGAACTTCTCACCGTAAGTTTCCGTTTGTTGCTACAAATAATCGCTGGCCCGAATCCACGTACGTGTGCGTTGGCGGAGGAGTGCTAGCATGATCTGCAGGCTCGAGGTCGGGGCCAGTCTCGATTATGGCCAGAGCAAACAGATCCGAGCCCAAACAAAGATCCAAAAATCACCACCACTCTTCGCGCAAACGCAAAGTGATGATAACTCTGGTAAACGCAAGACTCCAACGCGGAGTCACACCACCTTGTGTCTGGAGTTCTAAAAGCTGTGAGAGCCTTTTTTCTACGCACGTATCAGCTGCTTGCAAGAGACACGAGGTTCACGTGATCAGTAAAGTGCTCAAGTGGACCAGAATTTCCACCACAGACTATCAATCGGACCTGAGCGAGTCTCCACATAGTGTATGCACATCAATATTGAAGCTGTAAGCTGTGGTGACATGGTATACCATGTTTATAAGCTTTACAGCGAAAGATGATTGACATGAGCCACAAACCGGGCACCCCTGAGTCTCGGAGAATTGGATGATGCCATAGAGCACGGCGCCATGGCTGAGACATCTGATACGCGAGCCGTATCCAGTGAGCTGGTTTGAACGTTGTTGCCGAATAATGGACAACGGAGAAGATGTTTGAATTGTGGATAGGCAGGCACTCTCGCACAGGTCGAGGTCGCAGAGCCAGACATACCGTTGTAGTATCTCGGGAGCTCAATCTCAGGTGTTCTCCATATCAAGAGGGAAGGAGGTCGTTGGAGCAGGGCGCAACTCAAACGCCGACCCCGGTGAGGAACGCAATTCTGGTAGCAGCTCCCACGTAGACGAAACCCAAATTACCCCAGTACATTGGATTCCAATCCCAGAATTGCCAATAGACGTCGAATCCTACATCCTTGACGCTGTGAATGTGACCAAAGTCGGCAAGCAAAAGGCCGAAGAGAAACACTCTCCAGACACGAAGGTTGGTGGTAGAGCGTAAGACAAGGGCTTCGTTTAGTGCAAATACAGCGTACATATTTGCGAGTTGACTCAGAACGATGCTTTCGCGGGCGGATGGACCGAGAGAAACGGCCGAAGCCGAGGTGTAGGTCATGTCGAGGTAGTCATGTTGCTGAAACCAAGCGTAGTAGGCACCGACAGCTGTAGCAACAGGTTCAATGTAGAGAAAGAACAGGCGGTACCACAGGGCGATGGTGGCAGCGTTGGCAGGAGGCATTGTTTATGATTGCGATGCGAGCAGCAGGAAACAATGATGTACCGTGCATGCAAGAGGTTGCGGAAGAGAAGAAAAAGCAGGATGCAGGGTTTCGGATGGCGGTAAGCCAAGAGATGAAATGACGACTGGATTGGTACAGCGCAGGATGGGAATGCCTCGGAACGGCTATTCACCAAATAGGCGCACAAAGCGGACGGTCAACGGGGGCGCTGAATGATGGAGACAAGCAGCAAGAAACAACAGCGACGACAACAGCAACAAGAGTAATTCGTGAAGAGGCACAAGCTCACGACGGTGCAGAGCGTGACGGAGGTCAGGCGGGAGGCCTCGGGAGGCGGTCGGTGAGGAGGTTAGGGACAAAGTGCGAGACAAGCAGAGTAAGATTTCACTTTGAAAATGATGACGGAAGTCGAAGTCCAATAACGCGATCGGGATGTCTCAGAAGTAGATAGAGTGTCTCGCTATGCAAAACAAGGCAAAGCGCCGGGCGACCGAGACGGCCTGACGGTGACTAGCAGCGTGTAGGGCCAATCCGGCGGGCCAGAAGAGGGAGAAAAAACAGGGAGGTCTTGGGTCGCAGCGTGAGCATGGGAGATCGCAGGAGTCGACCGCGGAATTTGACTTTGCTACTGTTTGACACCAAGACTCTTTTCGCTCAACGGCAAGAAACGTAACGCGCGCGCTGTTTCCTGCTGCTGCGCTGTTGCTTCCCTTGCTCCTTCATTCCAAACCAATCGCCCCCGTTTCGCTGTCGCTTGTCGCTTGTCCGGTGCCAGTGCCAGTTTTATACCATAAAAACACTTCGGCCGCCGTGACTGGGGTCCCCCGCCTAGACACTCGATCCATCATAACCGTTTCGCTTCCTTCCCTTTCGCGCTCTTTAACTCTCCTTTCCGCCTCGCCCTCTTCTTTCTTCCACCTTCGACTTTTCAACAACACCACCACATCCGCTATCCAACCTGCTCCACTCCTTTTTTCTATTATCAAAACATCCTTCGCTCTGAAACTAATAGTTTCCAACTCGGCCGTATTGCTCTACTCCACTGTCTCAGCCGTAACACGGATCCACTCTCTCTCACTCCGACTCGATTGAGTCCCTCAAAACTCTGTTTCCCTCGCCAAGGGGCTCGCATCAAGCCACCATGTCAGACTATGATCTAACTCACGTCCTCGACACGCACCACAAATACTACTCTTCCTCCCAAGGCTCGAGTGGTGCCGAGTCCTCTTCATCCTCGACCTTCTCCTCGTCATCAACCCGACCGCACACCTCTCAGGTATCTTCCACCACCACTCTTGCCGCAACCATCCAGCACATCTCGCGTCCATCAACACAACCCATTCCCATCCCTCAACAATATCAATCCTACGACCAGAGCCTCGAGGCCGAACAAAGACGGGAAGCCGAGATGTTCCGTGAAGTCGAGTGGAGGTCGCCCAAGCTGGAGCAGAACGAGAGAGATATGTCTTTGAAGCGTGCTTCCTCGGCAGACCTCAGCCAAGGCACAAACACAAAGACCAAGCAACAGAAGGAGAACGGCATCTTTAGAAAGACGTCGCAAAAGTACAGAGGCTTCCGTGCACACCTGCATGGAAGGACCCGACGCAACTCTGGCGATCTCATGGAGGGAGTCGAAGGTTCTGCTTCTGCATCCATCCCCGAGCACTCGGCATCTTCTGGTCCTTACCACAAAGGCATTCAGCGTTGCCTTAACCCTACCAATCGTTTACTCCAGTCATTGAAGGCTCCTAGGCATGACACACCGCAACCTGCCAACGCTCCCTCGCCAACCCTTCAATCCTCCTCGACCATGCCCGCTCTTCACTACAACCCCGATCAACACTTCATGCATCGCTATGTCTCTGAGGTGCATGCCGGCGAAGCTGCTCGCCGTGCTGCCTCGGCCACTAACGCTGCTAGCTATGCTTCCAACTCTCGCACATTCGTTCCTCACTATCAAGCACAAAGAGATCTTCATCGTAGCCGCATCGGCAGCATTCCTGGAGCTAGTGACAGCGGTGCTGATCTGGCGTCCAACGCTGACCTGGACGTTGAGATGGCTGATATTGCAGAAATCGTGGCCCCCACCAACAAATGCTCCGATCCCGTCGAAGCCCTCCCCACCGAGATTGTCACTCTGATTCTCTCCCACCTCGACCCCGAAAGTCTCAAGGCCGCCCAACGAGTTGCTAAGAGCTGGTCTCGCATCGCCAAAGATCCCCTTATCTGGCGTGCCCAATACCTGCAACAGTACGAGAAGCAGACTTATGTGTCTCCGGCACCTATCCAGATTGGCGGTATCGGCACAGGTCTCCCCAACCAGCCTATGCAGCATTGGGAGTTGATGCACGACGCCAGAAGACGCATCGATAAGAACTGGACTCGCGGCGACCAAGGCGGCAAGGGTATCTACTTGGCTGGCCACACCGATTCTGTCTACTGTGTGCAGTTCGACGAGCAGAAAATCATCACTGGGTCCCGCGACCGTACCATTCGTGTTTGGGATATCAACACCTACAAGTGTCTCAAGGTCATCGGCGGTCCTAGCGTCCGTCCCTCTCCCGGTCCCAAGGTCCTGCGTACTGTGGAATACCCCAAGTTCCACCATGCCGAGTCATCTGTTAATGGCACTGCCTACGGCAACAGTATCTACCATGTTCCCTCCGACTTCCACAGCGCCAGTATTCTTTGCTTGCAGTACGACCACGAGATTCTCGTTACTGGTTCTAGTGACAACGATCTTCTGGTTTGGAACGTCAACACTTACGAGCCCATTCGTCGTCTGAAGCAGCACACTGGCGGTGTCTTGGACGTTGCATTCGACGAGAAGCACATCGTTTCTTGCTCCAAGGACTGCACCATCATTGTCTGGGATCGTAAGACTCTCGAGCCCATTCGTACCCTCACTGGTCACCGTGGCCCTGTCAACGCCGTGCAACTCCGCGGTAACCTTCTTGTTTCTGCTTCGGGCGACGGTGTCGCTCGTCTGTGGGACTTGAACAAGATGCAATGCGTGCGTGAGTTCCCTCAAAAGGAGCGTGGTCTCGCTGCCGTCGAGTTCAGTGATGATGCAAAGTTCGTCCTTGCTGGCGGCAACGACCACGTCACTTACAAGTTTGACGTTGCTTCGGGAGAAGAGGTCAAGCAGTTCACTGGTCACACTCAGCTGGTGCGTTCGCTTTTCCTCGACACTCAGAACCGTCGCGTCGTCAGCGGTTCTTACGACTTGGACCTGCGCGTGTATGACTACGACACTGGTGCTCTCCTTGGCCGCTTCAACGAGTGGACCACTTCTTGGATGCTGGCGGCCAAGTGTGATTACCGCCGCATCGTCTCGACAAGTCAAGATGGTCGCATCCTCATGATTGACTTTGGTCGTGACGCTGCTGGCCAAGTCATGCCTGGTGTCGAGCTTCTGAAGGGTGTTTCACCGCTCTCGCTATGAGGCAGGTAGCACGGACTAGCATCGGATGGGCAACAAGGAGCCTATGGGAGTTTTAAAACAATTTTTAGGAAACAAGCGTGATACCTCGGGACACTATAAAGGGGCAATTGGGGCAGCGGGATTCTTCATTTTCTTTTCTCTTTTTTTTTGTTTTACTACTAGACCACTTTCCTTTCTCCTCGTCGCTTTTTACTGGAAGTCTTTGGAGATTCAAACTCGGGGTTAGGCAAGCAAAGGCATATCGGGCGTTTTTTGTCTTTTGGAGTTCACCACAACTTCTTCATCTGGGTGGTTGAGAACTAGGGAGGCGTCTTCTTTGATGTGTGTTTGGATTTTCGCTCTCTTTTCGGTCGTTCGCAAATTTCGAAATAAGCCAGGGATTTGGCATTCTGTTCTCATCATTCATGCTTCTCAATTTCGCTCTTTGTCTGAACACTTGCGAAAAAGTTCTGCCGAATCTGTTTTTTTTGGACATTTGACGACTATCATCTGTCTGTTGTTTTTGGTAGTTGTATGGAATGACATTCTTTCCCGTCACTCATGCGATCTCTCGTTTCGATCACCAATGCATCACTCTTTTCACAAGCCTCATTTGTCGTTCGAGACCGAAATGGGAAGTCTCTTTGTAGTAATACTAGTCTTTGACATGTTTGTGTTTTTCGGTGAGGTGATTGCGCTTTTCTGTCATTGGAAAGATGGGTTTTTGATAACATGGTGCTGGACAAAGAACTTTACTACCACATTATACTCTTTCTATCCCATTGGCTTATAAGGGTATACTAACCATCTTGGTACTCATTATCTCACTCTCTATAGCACTTGAGAAAGGCCCTTAGCATAGGGAGCAAGAAGGTGTGGTCGTTAGAGAGAAGAGTACATAAGCCAGGGTCACACCCAATGCGACCGATACTTTGTCAAATCTTAAAGAATGGAGAACGTCGCGAGTGTGACGCACACGAATTACTCCATCAAGATCTTTTACGTATAGAGAAGGTAGTAGTATACCATTGAGATATTTCCAAGGCAAGGCAGATCAAACAGGATAGAATCAATATCATTTCATAGGTACAGGGGTATCTTTTCTAAGGAACCAGAAGATAGCAATGCACACCATACCAACACAACCACCACGATGGTCACACAAGGACACAAACTACTTAGCAGCCAACAACAACTCCCTGAACTTCGGTCCCAAAAGCTTAATCGTCATCTCCGCCGACGGCGCCTCAGGAGTCTTGTCCTTGACAACCTTGTCCGCCTGCTTGAGATCAACCCCAGACTCTTTGATTTCGCCATCGACATCCCTTCTGGCCTCTTGCTTGACACTGGCACTGGCGCCCTTGCGAACGGGTCCTTTGGCCGTCTCGGGTGTCACCAGCGTCGAGTCGAGCAGTTCCTGCCATCTAGCCAGATAGGCTCCGGGTCCGTATGGCGTCGAGGATTTGTTGCTGATCACGTCGCTGATTCTAGCTGCGGATGATGCGTATAGTTCGTCGAGGTATTTTGCCGAGGCGTCGACTTCTTTGCGGACCTTGTCTTGCTCGTCGGGTTTAAGTCCGTCAAAGGCTGTGGAGAGGGAGTCGTAGATTGAGGGGGAGGCGCGTTCTTGCTTGAAGTTGGCGGTGACCTTGCGGACGTAATCCTTGAACCATTGGGTTACTTCCTTTCCGTTCTTGGCAACTTGGTGGATGAAACGATGCGAGGCACCCATATGGCTGTGCAAGAGGTGTACAAAGTCTTCGACGCTGGAAGGCTTGCCGTCCTTCTTCGGCTTGGCTACCTTGATCATGTCGTCCATGAAGGCCTGGAAATCCGCGACAGTGGCGCTGAGGTCAACAGCTTGGTGAACTTGTCTGATCATGGGCTCGTAAGCAGCTACGCCATCGCGTACGGCTTGGGTGAGATGATCGGGACTGTGATGACAGAGAACATCGATAATCTTGTTTCTGTCTCGTACAGCCAGGCTCAAAGACAGGTACTCGAGGGCCAGTTTATGCTGTTTTTCGTTGAGATCCGGACTCGCCGAGGACAAGGATAGAATGGTCGAGACGATCGACATAGACTGCTCTTGGCTTCGTCTGCGGCATTCTTCTTGCTCTGGTCGGCTTTGTTCCATCCAGGCTTTTAGTGCTTCGCGCTGGGCCTGGGAGGGTGCATCCTTGTCTTTTTCGATCTTTTCCAGTCGCTTCTTGAGCTCCTTCTTGTCCCAGCCAAGGACGGTGGATATGATCTGTTGCATCAAGTTCATGCCTTCGTCTGCACCACTGCTGATGCCCATCCAGTTGGTTAAAGTGCCGACACTAACCTTGGCAAGCATCAGTTTGACCATGCCATTAATCATGGTAGCAACATTGCCGACACGCAGCGTCTGTCTCATTAATGTGTAAGGTGCACTAAATTTCTCAGGTCAGTGAAGTTCGAGAGCATTAGGACTTCCATGCACTTACAGCTTGTGTACGTTCTCGACCATGCGAAGCAATGACGGACCCTCGGGACTAACGACAAGAGTGTAATGCATGAAAGACGCGAGATTGACAACAACAAACTCGTGAGCCGCTTGAACGAGACTATCATGCTTGCGTAGGTCGTCCGTCTCTGCAGCCTTGGCGAACAGCTTGTCGAACAGGTCGCCATAGACCAGCTGCTGCATAAAGACATACCACGCACGCAGCACATCATCAGGCTTGGTGGGGTCAAAGTGCTGATCCTTGAGAGCCGACTCGTCCTTCTTGATGCCACCATAGCAACCTCTGGCGGGGTATTCTATCAAGGCCGAGATGGCAGTAGCCAACGTCTTCCTTATGCCCAAGAGACCCTTGTCGTAACTCTCACTCAGGTTTGCTTGTGCCAGCTCTTCAATTATGTTTTCGACTCGGACTTTCCAGAAGTCGGGCGAGACGTCGTGGAGTCCTGGTAGTGGGAGGATGAATTTAGAAAGCAGCGATTGCAGAATGGGCGAGGATGTGGTCTTGGAGTCTTGGAAGGGCGGGCCGTATTGTTTGATGGCGGTGGGTGACTTGAACTGGCAGATCTCGTCGTAGGTCGCATGATGGGTCAACAGGTCGAACAGAGCACTGCTCTGCTCGGGGCTTAGGTGTGAGATCGACATGTGGAGAAGATATAGATGCTGATATTGATTATGATTGTAGAATACTAGATTGAAGACGGGCGATGTGGAGGGTCGTGTTGAGTATCAGGTTATGGATTGTAGAAAGTGTCGAGTTGCTCATTCTTGGTGACATCATGGCAGTTGCGCTCATGATGCGCCTGCTTGACCCCGAATGCTCTTTCCTCCTTGATATTCTACCACCAACATCAAACTTCAGATATGTGTCCGTCGCATGCTCGTATCATGCTCTCGCATTCCCATCATCTCTGCTGTTGCTTGCATGTGCCCAACTCTGATCGTCCGCCTGGTTCGACTGCGTCTCCATCTCCAAGCATGTGAAACCATCACTCTCGCTCTCTGCTCTCTCTGCCTTTTCTACCCTACTCACGACTCGAGACATCGCGAACAAGGATACCCCGCTCAAGATCGTATGATCCAGCAAAAGCCAGAGTGGATATGCCTAGAGTCAATTAGCCGTTGCCTTTCGCCAGCTCTACCTAAATTCTCCTTGCTACTCGGGGACTGAGACGCTCAGCTTACCGCAACCCGACACAAGTGATTCGCAAACCCATCCGTATTGTCCATCGTCTGTTGAGCAACAGCACAACTGAATGCCCCAATCGTAGACCCCATGCTCTTGTCAAGACCAAGATTCGCCGGACTCAAACCCACGTTTGCGTAATATGACGAATGTCGGTCATCGCGATGTGTCGAGTACAACCCATAGCCGCCCATGATAACATTAACCATACCAAGAAGCAACGAACAAGCTAGTGCTGGTCGTTTCCCAGGACTCTCTGCAGGGACCCGTCGCTAGAGAACAGGCATAATAGGCACATCCACAATCGCGAACCCACAGGCTGCCATGGCAGACCGCATGCCTCCCTCCAGGATCGTAGCTGGCAAGACGCTGATCAGCGAGCGTCCATTGGGGGCAGCTATTGAAGAAATCCTCTTGTGTAAGGTGGTTCCATACTTTATCCCATAGTGTAAACGACTGTAAGATGCAAAATGTAAAGACTAGGTATATAAAAACACTTCACTATATACTCATAAGCAGCAAGGCGCAAGTACAATCAAGAATGATGGCGAAGCATCCAGTAGGCACAGCCAATGGGCAAAGAATGCAAACATGCAAGGGGGCAAGCAGCTTCAAAGAAGACATTGTCATGTATTTATTGCTTTATCTAGCTTTGTATATCTGGTATACCCAGACTGTGTATTTCTTTTGTATTATTTTGACTTGTCTCTCTTCAAAAACTGCATCCTGCAGCGGAGTCTTGAGTGGAAAGTTGGATGGCAGGAGGAAAAAGACGGGCGCCAGCGCCAGATCAAAGCCATTATGCCGAGTCTATGCGATGTGAAAACGTCAAGTCAATAAAACTAATGATGAGGGTATTGGTGAAAGGTGTTCATGGCATGCATCGGGGTAGATTTCCTTAGTTCTTGGTACCAGGAGGAGTCGAGGGGCGAGAAGGGTTGGGGGTGTCCGAGATGGCAGAACCCTCAAGGCTCTTGGTGACGCCGATGATCTCGCGGAGTTGCTTCTGGCGTTCGCGCTCGATACCGTGCATGACAGCGTCCAAGACATTGGGAACGGTAGCCTTGGGCTCGAAGCGAGGAGTAGTGCCGTGTTGGTATACACCAGTCTCGACCAGAATGGAATACCAGTTCTGTTTGGCGACCTTGTTGAATTCGTTGGTTCCGCGGATATCGGACTCAGGAGTGTCACCGACGAAGTAGATGGTCTCCGGNGGAGAGTCGATACCGTGAGTGTACTTGCGCCAGTGCTGCAAAAGACGAGTGGCGAACTGGAAGGTACCGATCTGAGGCTTGCCGAAGGCAACTGTCTCCAAATCTTTACCAGTGACGGCCTTGTACATAGCCTCGAGGGAGACGCGGAGAGCACCCATACCGAGACGGGTGTGTTCGTGAGATGCTGACCAGATGACATCGTTGTGGGAGAAGAAGACTGGGGGACCCTCGTCCAGAGTCTCGGAGCGGGTGCCGACGACACCACCCTTGGACATGAGAAGATCAAGAATGATCTGTTGGTCACCAGCCCAATCGCGGCTGTCGGCGAAGACGAAAATGGCCTCAATCTTGACGTTGGTGAAGTCGCGATCACGGGAGTGCTTCAAGTCCTCCGCGGTCATGGTACGGAAAGGCGTTGTGTCTGGGTTGTCCTTGATGATGTCTCCAGGAGTGACGACGTCCTTGAAGCCGTAGCCCTCGGCGACTTGACGGCACTTGTCACCCTCACCACCAATGACGAGGACGGTGTTGTATTTGTCGGCCATCTCCTTCATGGGTGTGTGGCCGCAAATGAACTGACCAGGTGAGACCTCAATGTCGAGCTGTTTGCTGAGCTGAATACATCTCTCCTGCTCAGTCTTGCCACCACCGTTTGTAAGGAAAATGTAGGGNACTGCGAAGGTCAGTATTGAGAACCTGCTGTGCTGAGAAGACGGAACTTACATCTTGATTCCATATTGATTTTGACCGTTAAGCACCTTCATGGCCTCAACAGCCTCGGGGATAGGACGACCACCACGGATCAGAACACCATCGATATCGAAGGCGTATGCATATCTGTCAGTGACGCTCGACTCTTTCGGTGTATCGGAATCCTCGAGAGGAGTGATTGCTTCAATCTCTTGTCTGGCCAATTCCATGGAAGCCGCAATGTCGTTAGCTTCCTGGTCAACGAGATGGGGAGGCACGACGATGGCAGGACCACGCGAAAGAAGGTCTGCTGTGGCATCCTCGCTGGACAACCTGCGCAGGGTGCGCGGTCTGGGAGGGTTGGACTTTGTGGTAGTGCTCATGGTGACTCTGGAGGGGTTGTGACTGGTATGAAGGACAGCACAGAGGAGGATGGAGAGAGAAATATGTGGGAACCACGTGCGGGGAAAAGAAGGAGAGTGTCAACAGCCTTGGAGAGAGCGGGCGTCATTGCAGCCTATATAAACCGAGAAAGCACCTTGGGTTCCTGGTGCTTCTGGTTGAACTTAGCCCACCTCCGCGCGATTAAACGTAAAAGCCTCTGACGAATTAGCGCGGCCTCCGACTTAGTCAAAGCTCACCAAAATGTGTGCGGCTCAACTGAATATGAGCTTCATGCTCTCGACGGTGTGTTGCCAGGCTATATCATCGTTCTAGTCAGGTATATAGACATTGTGGATGTCAGACCTCGCAGATGGTCGTTGATGTTTTGCATGGCGTACAATGATGTTTGACTTGTGCTTGGGTCGTCAAGCGCGAACCCGATCTCTGTGACGACATGGTGGCGCTTTCCCTCGTTGCCGGCGAGCGTTCCTCCTCCGACCGTGTTTTGTTGCCTCAACCGATTTCCATGTCGATATGCCGTACAAAATTGCATCAAGACACATGGAAGTACCTACCTAATATTAGGGCACTAACAGCACCGGATCTCACTTCTCGTGCCGGTTGGTATGAAAATCTCGGTTCGAGGAGAATCATCGTTGAGATCCCATGCACGTGTAAGAGTGTTGAAAATTGCTTGAAACAGCTTTCGGATCCATACGAGATGGTTGGTCTGGATGCACAATCACAAGAAGCCCTTGCTCGGCATATGTGACCTGAGTGCTCTTGCTCCGCTCTGGCTTCGCTATGAGTGACTTCTAAGTATGATACCTGAGGTAGGCAGGCAGGAACATGCTGTCGATATCCAGCCATATCTAGAAGCGACTACCCACGTAACTTCCTTAAACACCACAAACATGTAAACGGAACTTTCAGCCTTACCTCAATCACTCACCTCATCATCAAGCAAGATGAATTGGACGGGAGGCAAGCTGCAACGAAACTCAAAGAGCAAGGGCAACGCTGTGGTTGAACGTCAAAGGTCGCACTTTGCCAAAGCCCGTAACAAAGCCCCGAATAGAATCGCCTCCTCGACCAAAGACTGGAACGACACCTCCCCAACTCGACCTCCATCTCCTCCGCCGTTCAAGAAAGCTCGCACCCAGCACAGGCACTCTCCACGGGTACAACAATGGTCCCTGTCTGGCCAAAGAGATGAACATCGTCTTGTGGGAGACTTTGTGTTGCCATCTAGAAACAGTGATGTCCGCGTTCGGGTAGGCCAGCGAGCGTTTGCAAGTCAGCTCGACACGACTGTGGCTAGTCCCTCGACCAGAATTCGATCACACTCCACATCTTCTTCGGATTACTCCTCAAACTCGATGCTCCTTAATGGGGTCGACCAGCTAGGCTCCCAGACCAAAGTCTCCGACAATGGTAAATCTTACCGACCAGACCAAGGCAACAGCTTAACCTCACCATGTATGCCGGAACGAATGCCGTTTGCGTTGAGTGATTTGACGGAGGACATCTTGTGGAGTCAGGATGATACCCAGTATCCCTCAGATTTTGCAACACATGCTTCATCAGCTGTTCATGCTGTCGCAAGTCCTGGTAATGCTCCGAACAACACATCAGCCGAGGATATGCAAAGATTTCCAGATGCGGCTGAGCGATTGGAAGGCTCACCGGTCAAGCTACCAAAGCACTATGCTGCACCTCAATATCAGACGCAAGCCTCGCCGAATGCTCTGCCTACTTTGACAGCGGTTCATGATGAGCCGTTCTATCGGGTCAGTATTCGTGGCAGCACCCCGCATTCGTCTTGTCCAACAGCACGCGCATGTCTGCTCGAGACAGGAACATCGAAGCGGATAGGCGGTGAGATAAGCGAGAAAGGACCAAGACTCAGCCACGACGATCAAGTATGGAGAAGATTTGTGCTAGGATACGATCCGACGGATGCTTCATGAGTGTACATCATGATCAAACAGGAAAGGAAGGGGGATCGAATATGGTGACTCGTGCTTTCAGGAGTCGCTACAGAGGAGGAGTGCCACGGCAAACGTTTTCGACTCCAGCTGGAACGACTTCCGTCGTCTGCGAGACATACAGCGCGTTTCTGGATTGCTAGTTGCTGCAAGTTGAACGGTCAGAAGCACGCCACTTGCGGAGAAAGACATGTGGGGGTTGTGTGTTGTTCGATTCTCTAACGACAGGGAATAGTTCTTGACATGTCAGAAAAGCTCCACGCGGTCAGACATACATGGCTCCCTGGATGCTTATCATACGCCTATATCACTATAGATCAGTTCACGTGGTACAGTTCGGGGTGGTCAGCCAAGATCTTTATACATGTCCGCAATCATGGTCCCATTAAACAAATCACGGCGAGGTGCTTGTTCATGCACGTGTCGACTGCCCAGCCCTTGCCAACATAGGCACGGCTGTGGCGTGGAATGCACAAGCACTGTAACGCTAATGCGACAGGACGTCTAACGTGAGCGTAGGCAGGTCAAGCCGAATCAAGAAGTGTTTGATACTCCTGCCCTTAATACTCACCCCCACAGGAGATGATGTTGCCTGACATCCCGACATCTTTCGCGCAGGCGGTTGCCGCGAGCCGCAGAACTGTTTCGGATCGCAAATTTGCCGACCTTGCTTTGTCCAAACTTCAGAACCAGCAGGGGTTCAGAGTATGGATGCTCCCAAAGTCTAACAATCTCGGTTGGTTGAAGGATTCAGAGAGCGGTGGGCTTAGCTACATGAATCCGTATCTAACGGGCGCGAGGTGTACCCTACCCCCTTGGAACAAGTAAATCAGGCCCATCCTGATAACCAACGAGCTTGCCAAGCTGCGGACCGACTGCACGGTGATGTTGTTCGCAAACTTGGTGGGCTTGGAATGATGACAAGCATGAGAGACACGGCTATCTAGCCGTTTTGCATTCAATACGGGCGTGAACGCGGGGAGTTTCCAATCAATCAAAAGAATGGTGGCGGCAGATTGCGATGAACAGTGTTGGAGCGTGTTTCAGCATGATGAGGGCAGGGCCCGGAGCGGATGCGGCCGGCGCTGGGAAAAGTAGATGGATACAAGTTTCGTCTTACCGTCACCTTACGTGGGCCCTGGTCGCGGGAATTGAGAGAGTTGGTTGTCGCAAGTCGCAAGTCAATGCTGGCGTGAGCGGAAGCGACTACCAAGGGAGCTTGACAGTCAGGCAAGAAGGCTCCGCAAGCAGGTTTCAGCAGTCCGTGTGCATGACAGGAGTCGAGTGCCCAGAGGACGAGGTTCCGTGGGCCGTGGGATCAAGTGGTTCTCTGATGTTTTAGTGGACCTGTCAGACTAAAGTTAGCTAGCTACGGAAATACCATTCGCGTTCCGAGAGACACAGAAGATGTTTCGCAGCAGTTTGAGGCAGCGCCAAGGGCGTGTCGCTCGTATCAGGAGATGATGCGAATCGTTCTCGAAGGAAGCAGGCAGGCTGGCGCGGGTACTGCTAGTTAGTCGGAGAAGTAGATCATGACATTGTGTTTGTGTGTTAGTGCTTGGATCGGCTGGCGGCAGGACTAGCCGGGGGCACTTTTGCGCCAGACGCCAGTGCAGGCCAAATAACCATCTCGAGATCCACCGCGTTCCTTTTCCTCTTTACCCAGCACCTCCCGCCCTGTGTCTCAAATCTCTCTCTCCGCCTTTGCTCTGTTGTGTCAAGATAGTCAGGATAACCTGCGACGGCCTTCCGACCAACATACGTTCCTTACACCTGCATTGCCTCACAGCCTCCTGGAGCAAACTATTTTCGTCAAGCCTCATCAGCCTTACCATCCCCCAACTACAGGCGCGTCATCTTGCGAGATCGACCTGCAGCTGCGCACGCCCCGTCGCATTGCCAACACGCACACGCACCGCCAACAGTAGGGTAGTCCTTGGAAGATGCATCACCGCCTCGCCAGGACCTCGACATGAGCCTGACCCAGTTCTACCTCGCCGCCGCCCTGACACAAGACTCGCCGTCAACCACAATCCACAATGGCTTTCATACCGCTTCACAACCCTTAACAATCCCCACCAGCGCCCCTTCGTACACCAACTCGACTTTCGCCATGGCCCACACCCCGGCATCAGCTGCTTCTCTGAGCAAGGTCTCGACGGCCGCCAACAGCCCAAGCGATCAATGGAACATGTCACACTACCAACGCTCCGTTGACCGCGTCGCTCCTATATCTCTGCCTCCTTCTGCTATGTCCGACTATGTCTCTCCTTCGACGAACGTATCCTCGTCTTACAGCTCCATGACCGAAGCTTTTGGCATGTCCAAGGGTACTGGTCTCATACGACGCTTGTCTCGTGGCGCCCACAACAGACTCAGGCGAAGGCCCTCCACCACGCAAACTAACCGCATCCGTGATCAAAGCGCTGGTCCGGTTCTGGTGCGCAGAAGGAGCGACAGTACTGGCCAATCCGACCTAGCTGGCGATATGTCCGACCTCGATCTCGGACGCACTTCAGAGGATGGCAACGAAGACACAGTTACCTCCTACCCACCTCCAGATTCATCAATATCATTCGGCCTGCTTGCCAGTCGTAAGGTTTCGGCAGCAATGGTCGAAGGTGGTGTTGCCCCAACCATCTCATCCGTTCTGGAGCAAGGTACCTGGCTTACCAAGGTCACCAAGAAGAAGCGCAAAGTTCTCAAATTTCGTTTGGACCCCTTGGCCGCTAAAGTGTGCTGGAATCCTTCGAATCCCTCCAAACAATTCTACATAGACGATGTTCGCGACATTCGAGTCGGCGCAGAGGCGAAGTCATCACGCCAGGACATTCAGATCCCTCCTGACCAAGAACGATGCTGGATTACCATCGTTTACGACGCTTACGAACGATCCAAGGGCAGTTCAATCAAGACTATGCATCTCATCGCCCCGAACGACTATATTGTCAAGCTCTGGACTGATGCACTGAACGTTGTATCACGCGAGCGCATTGAGATCATGAACGCACTTTCAGCGAATCCCGAAAAGAGCGAGCGCAGCATGAGAATAGCGTGGAAACAGGCCACGTCACGCAAAAACCCCGACGCTGAACCAAAGATCGATTTTGAGGATGCAAAGTGGATCTGTCGTAAACTCGAAATTAACTGCTCCATCAACACGGTCCGCACGCACTTCAATCATGCAGACCTTGATCTGGTTGGTGAGCTCAATTACTCGCAATATCAGTACTTCGTCAATCTCTTCAAGATCCGCAAGGATGTCCAGTCGCTCTACTACGGCATCAAGCGCTCAGACGAGCCAGAACTCAGCCAAGAGGCCTTTCTTGAGTTTCTGCGCAAGGAACAACATATTGACGTTGAGAAGGATCGTGCTTCATGGGAAAGCAAGTTCGAGCTTTATTGCCGAAGCGCTTCTGGTAAAGCCACCGATCGGCAGGTACCCNCCACCATGAATCTGCAGGCCTTCCAGACCTTCCTCTCCTCCGGATCAAATGGAGCCACAGCTTCAATCAAGTCTGATCCTACTCTTGACCGTCCACTCAACGAATACTTCATCTCAAGTTCTCACAACACATACCTCATGGGCCGCCAGGTTGCAGGTCTGTCCAGTGTAGAGGGCTACATCTCAGCTCTCGTCAAGGGTTGCAGATGTGTTGAGATTGACTGCTGGGACGGCAAGAATGGTTTGCCCATTGTCAATCATGGTCGAACTTTGACTACCGAAGTCATGTTTGAAGATTGTATTGCTGTCATCTCGCGTTATGCATTCGCATCTTCAGTCTATCCATTGATCATCTCACTGGAGGTTCACTGTAATCCAGATCAACAGCTGCACATGGTCAACATCATGAAGCTCTATTTCGGAGACGCTTTACTCACCACACCTCTGGTTGAGAATGCATCTGTACTCCCATCTCCGGAAGAGCTCAAGAACAAGATTCTGATCAAGGTCAAGGCGGCTTCACAGCAATATGGAACACAAGACCTAGCAGAAAATGGTAGTACTCACAGGCAGAGAAGCTTCAGCTCCCCATTCAGCCGAGCTACAGAGAACAGCGTTCCTCCATCACCACTGCAGAACGCTGTGGTTGGTGACGGGCTTGTCGCAAAGCCATCAAACACTTGGCCTGTACTACGTGGCTCTTCGTCTGCCCAAAGCACAGTACCTTCAACATCCAGCTCTTCTGAGGACAGCGACAGTACACCCGCGTCTGTTGACTCGAAGAAGAAAAACAGCAACAACAAGAAGACCAGCAATATCGTGCCTGCTTTGGGTGCTCTTGGTGTCTACGCTTGCGGCATTAAGTACTCCGACTTCTCTGCTCAAGAAGCACGAACATACAATCACATCTATTCCTTTGCTGAAAACACTTTTGATCGTATCTCTAGAGATCCCGAAGTCAAAAGCCAGCTCGAAAAACACAATTCTCGATACCTCATGAGAGTTTATCCTGCCGCTATCCGCATCGACTCCTCGAACTTCAATCCCCTTCAGTCCTGGAAGCGTGGAGTACAGATGGCCGCTCTGAACTGGCAAACATATGACATTCACATGCAAATGAATGAAGCCATGTTCGCCGCTGGCACAGACCGAACCGGATATGTTCTCAAGCCTGAGGAGATGCGTTACAACAAGCAAAACCAAGCCAGCGGCTCGATACTCGACAGCTTGAGGTTCCACAAGAGAGGAAAGCACTTGGTACAATTCAGTGTCGACATCATCTCAGCCCAACGTCTACCTCGACCTCGTAATCACAACCCTGAGCTAGGCATGAATCCTTATGTCGAGTTCGAGGTGTATACCGCTGAAGACAACAAGTCTCGTGGCTACGCCAAGGTCGATGGAGGTATCGATATTCAACCTTCTGGTATAGGACCCTCTGTCAAGAGAAGGACCAGACTGATCGAAGGCAATGGATTCGATCCAAACTTTGGTGATTGCTTCAGAGTCTCCCTCGAGACAAAATACCCCAGCCTGGTTTTCGTCCGATGCACAGTCTGGAACTCACCCGACGGACGCAATGCCTCATCTAACAGCACGCTCCTTGCCACCTTCACCGCAAAACTCACCAGTCTCCAACAAGGCTACCGCCACCTCCCTCTCTTCAACTCCTACGGCGAACGCTACCGCGACGCCAAGCTGTTCGTTCGAATCAAGAAAGATTCACCCATTGCCTTGGCATCGGCCGAGGCGGAATCGAAAGATGAATCTTGCCCTGTAGTCTCTGGTCCGCGGGCGGAATCCATAAGACAAGGGTCAAGGTCATGGTCGAGAANNAAGATTTTCAAGCGGGCGTCGAGTGAGAGGAGACGGAGGCCACAGTGGCCTGAATGGCAGGGACCACTTAGCCGCACTTCCAGCACCGAACGATGTTAACGACTTTACGCCTTTTGCATAAAAGCCACCCTTCATGACCGTGCGAGAATTTCCTTGTGCAGACCTCTTTTCTCACAATTGCATTCGAATTCTCATGGAGCCCTTTCTCTTTCTAGGGCACCAAAGGGTGGTGTGGTGGTTTACTGTGGCGATTTTTCCTTGTTCTGGATCATTCATCTCGAATACCCAAGCGGCTGTTTTGCGCACTTTCTCCACCGCTTTTGATCAGTCGGTCTCATCTCATCTCAACAACTTTTTGCTTGCAAGCAAAGATAACAACACTCCCTGGTGGCGGTCGTTTTCCCCTATGGAACTCTTTCTCCTTGATCTGATACCCCTGTATTATTACTACTTTTTCCCCCAGCCAAGCATCTTTCTTGATGAAAACTGGAAAGAAACACCATTCGCTACTTTTTACATTATTCTTTGCATCTTTTCTTTCTTTTCCTGTTTGCTTTTTCTTGTTCCTTGCTTCTTTCTTCTGGAGTATTCTTCTTTTGTATACATTTAGAATTTTTCAGTGGTGGTGTTTTGGAGGATCATGGCACTTCAGGGCTGGTTTTACCTGAGTGTTGATTGATCAAAGGTCCAGGGTTATGGGTTCTTGAGGCATTTGAGTGATAGCCATCGATGAATATGAGATCTTTGTCAATCCAAGTCTTTGGAGCTTCTCATCTCCTTTTCATGCGTGTTCCTTGTCATCTGTTCCATCTGCGTGTATGTGTTTGTTTGGTGTAATTTGAAAGACTCGTGAGTGGTTGCAATTGGATAGAACAGTCTCTGTAAAAGCCCTGCACATGAACAGCAAGTGCTGGCATTCTCTGTATCGAAGGGTGTGGGCTTGACTTGCCTGGGACTTGCACATTTGAGGGATAGTCTGGGTCTTTGCTGGAAATCACCAGGTTTTTGCATGAGAGACCTCACGCGTGATTTGCAAGACGAAAGTTCTGCAAGCTTCAAGAGGGAAAAGAGGCAGAAAAGGAGACACAGAACATATTGTGCCGAAACGTTGCGTTGGAAGAAGCAAACCCTCTGCCTCAATGCATTGGAAACAAGTGGAATCGTGTGTCCATGAGAAACGAAAAAGGCACCCTCAAGGCGCAAGCAAGAAACGAACACCCCATCCCACGTGCAAAACCCCTCCACCAGTGTCTCTTCGACACAGAAAACTCCTGCTTAAGAAAACAAATAATCTCCTCTTCCCAACCACCAAAAACTCCTTGCATTCCCTGACAACTCAATCAAAGCAAAACAAAAACCAAAAAGTCGCACATCTAACCAAGACCACCCCAAGCACCTCTAATCCTCCTCGCCAATTGAATGTCTTTTTGCATAATAGTGACCCGTTTGGCGTGGATGGCGCATAGATTCGTGTCTTCAAAGAGGTGTACCAGGAATGCTTCGGCGGCTTCTTGNAGTGCCATGATGGCTTGCGATTGCCAGCGATAGATGCCCGAGCCGGCGGGTGCCATGGAGATGCAGACTTCTCTGACCNNTGTGCGAACGCAGTGAGCATGTCAGCGAGTGTTCGACTTCATTCATCCTCTCCTGCCTCGAGATACGCGCAGGAACGAGCCTTGAAGGATAAACCAGGAAAATCTCACCAATCGAGCAAAAGGCAACTTCAAGATCAACAGATCCGTACTGCGTTGATACTTTCTGATCTCGCGGAGGGCGACGGTGCCGGGTTTATAGCGACGTGATTGCTTTACTGCGCCTGTGGAGCTGCGGCGTGGAGCTTTTGTTTTGATGCCTTTGCCTGCTGTTGTTTTGCCGGCGGGGCGGGCGGCGAGAGAGGTTCGTGGGGCCATTGTCGAGGCAGTGTGTGTAGGTGGGTGTGTGAGAGGGCGGATCGCAGAGGTGGTGAAGAGGTAGCAGTCGCGCGAATGTGAGTCGCGTGGAGGTAGCAGCCGCGAATGTGTTGGATATAGTTTCGTGTAAGAGTCGGGTGCGTGTTGTATTCTTTGTTGCTGGCAGGTATGTTGTTATGAAGAAAGAGAGATGGAGCAGTCGCGTTGTGCCAGATGCGGACAACTGCGATGGCGCTAACATCTTATCTTATCTTAACTCCGTATCTGCCTCCGCTAATCCCCTCCCGCCTCGGCTTGCAGTCCATCTATTGTTGGAGCTTACGTTTGTTCCAAGGGTCTTTGACAACTACACAACGTTTCCGACATTATCATTTCAACTTCCTAACTTTACACACAACTCACACACACAGTTCCTAGCGACAATGGCAGCAATGTTGGGAGCTGCGGGCGGAGCAGGCGATCTGGGCGCTTTACCGCTTGAACAGTGGTTCTTTGAGATGCCCGTGTGCACGCGATGGTGGACGACTGCCACGGTGGTTACTGGGTTGCTGGTGCAATGTCATGTGTTGACGCCCTTTCAATTATTCTATTCCTTTCGTGCTGTATTTGTTCGCTCGCAGGTATGTTTTTCTATTCTTCCCTCCCTCCAACCTACTATACGAAAGTAAGGAAATACTGACACAGGCGGAAAACAGTACTGGCGCCTCTTTACCACATTCATCTACTTTGGCCCTTTGAGCTTGAATTTGCTGTATCACATTTTCTTTATCCAGCGCTATGCAAGGATGCTTGAGGAGAGTGCTGTGAGCCAAGCGCACTTTACATGGATGCTGGCGTATGCGGTTACAGTATTGCTTTGCCTGGCGCCTCTGGTATCTGTGGTTTTCCTGGGCAGTATACTCAGCAGCACTCTCGTCTACATCTGGAGTCGCAAACACCCTGATGTCCAACTTTCTTTCCTTGGCTTGTTTATCTTTCGCGCGCCCTTTTTGCCTTGGGTTATGATTGGGTTGAGTGTGGTTATGCATGGTAATTGGCCCAAGGATGAGTTGTGTGGGATTGCTGTGGGACATGGTGAGTTTTTTTATCCCTCTTTACTTTTCTTCTCAGATTATGATACTAACGGTCTCACAGTCTATTACTTCTTCAACGACATTTATCCAGCAAACCACAATGGGCAGCGACCCCTGGATCCGCCCATGTGGTGGCAGAGACTGATACGAGGAAATGCGGTCATGGATGCAGAGGTTGCGCAACAGAGACGCGCTGATTAAAAGATATCTTTTCCTTGTTCGCCACGCAAAGATGCATCTTTTTCTGCTGGGTGGAATTCGATAAACCGAGCATAGATATTGCCATTACTTTCTTTTTCTTTTCATCCCACACTTTTCGCTTGTGCCATTTGGGAAAGGTGCAAGGAGCGTGATTGAAGAACAAGATTCGTCGTCTGCTTTGATCATATGCAACGCGTTCGAAAATGGAGGATTGTGGTAGATGCTCTTTCGAGTCTGCATGGCATCTTTGCTTCTGTTCTTACTCAAGATGAATAGAACTTTCAAGCCCTCCCCTTGCCTTTCCTCTCCCTCTCCCTATCCCACTCTTTGCCTTTATTCCTCCCTTTATCCCCCACAATCTCTTTCGTTTTCTCTCTCGGATCAATGACTTCAAACTCTTCCATTTTCCTCTTCCACTCTAGATCCTTGCCCAATGTATCCTTGGCGAAACTCAAGGCATGAGACATCCAAGTCACATCATTGTCATCCTCTTCTTCCTTGTTTGCATCTTCATCATGCCAGGTACTGCAACTCTGGCAATTGGCGATGAAATGCAAATCACAAAGTTTGTCTTCTGTATCCATTGCTGATTCTGTTTGCGTGGTGTTGGCTTCTGGTATGGCAGCTGTAGCTGTTATGGTAGTGGTGGCTTGTTTCTCGGCGGGCAGCTTTTCGAGACGCTTCTTGAAGGCGTTGAAGGTGGATAGGGACGAGGCGTCTTCTTTTGCTTTTCCACGTTTGCGGCCGCGGGTCGCTGATGCTGGGATCATGGATTCGAGAGCGGAGAGTTTCTTTTCGGAGGCTGCGGTGGTTGTTGTTGTTGTGCGTTTCATTGAGGCTTTGAGTTGAGCTATCTCGGCATTCGTACGTTCGAGGGCGGTAGGTTTGCGGCGTTCTGGCGAGGGTGTTGGTGAAGGCGAGGGAGATTGTGCGGGTGCAGGTTTCTTTGTAGGAATAGATGCTTGGCGTATCGCTGGTACTGGAGGAGGAGATGAGGATGATTTGCGAACAGACTTCTCTCGTTTTGGTTGCTCAGGGACCTTTGGTAAGGCAGAGTTGTCTTGGACTTCCTTCTGTTGCGGTTCGGCCTGGGTAAAGTTGGGATTGACCTTTACTTTCTTGACGACTGGTGCAGCGGGCTCTTCTCCTTCCTCTCCTCCGAAACTCAAGAGTGTCTTTGTAGCCTTGCGCTTCTTCTTGGGAGCCTTTGTCTCTTGTGTTGTGGATATGGCGATCGAGGCTTGCTTGACCATGTCGTTGAACGGATTGAGCAAGACTTCGGTGGACACTATCCTCGTAGGATACAGGGGTCTGTCCGAGTCGTCTCCAGCCAGATCGGCCTCGGCCATCTTCATCAGGTTGTAAATGGTGTCTCCTTCGATACGACCAAACATGGTATTCTTGTCCTGCAGCTCGGGCGTCCTGTCTAGGGTAAAGAAGAATTGCGAAGTATTGTCGCTCTTGTCTCCAGAGTTTGCCATGCCCAGCAAACCACGGCGGTTGAACTTGAGTCGCGAATGAAACTCGTCGGCGAACGGGGCGCCATCGTTGACAGCACTCACACCACCAGAGCCAGTTCCAGTAGGGTCGCCGCCCTGGATGATGAAGCCTGGGACCAAGCGGTGGAAGATCGTGCCATCGTAGTAGCCATTCAGACAGTGTTGGAGAAAGTTGCGAGATGCGAGAGGGACTTGTTTGGCAAAGATTTCGACGACTAGATCGCCGGAGGTGGTGTTGAGCAGGACCTTGGCCGTCGGCGGCGGTTCGAGATTGTATAGCGTCGACATGATGAGTGTGTGTATGGAGGAAGAAGAATCCAGAAAGTCGCAAAGAGGAAAGAGCGACTCTCACAAGAAGTTGAAGCTTGGGCCGACTGACGACAATGTGGCAGGCGCGACTGCGGGGAAGACGACACTCCTGACTTGCCCTGTTGCACTAGTATACCACACTACATCACATCACATCTTGTCTTTACACGCCGCAATCATGTCGGAAACAATGTTTGCACAAGCCCTCATGTCGGGCTTGGAGAAGCGCCCCTCCAGACTCAGCAGCGACCACGTCTCGGACCCCAGGAAATACCCTGCCCAAGCTCCCGTGTGTAATCACTGCAACCAGACACTCACTCTGCAGCTACTGACCTATCTCGTCTAGTACACCCTTCCCAAGCCTGTCCACCCCTTCCCTCGCCGTCAAAGGCCCACCGCCGGACAACAGTCGCAATCCGTCAATGTCACCCTCAGGCCACTCAAGGGCTCTGACCAGCTCGACCTTCAAGCCCAATCTCCCAACACCACCGTTCTCGACCTCAAGACTCAGTACGCCCAAAAGTTCAGCCTCGACAAGACCAAGATCAAGCTCCTCTTGAACAAGAGACCATGCACCGACCTCAAGACCCTCAAGGACGTCCTTTCTGATCCTCTTCCCACAAACGCAGACTTTAGCGTCATGCTCCTCGCTGGTGCTTCGACCCCAAGCCAAGCTTCCACTCCTGCTCCAGCTTCACCTGTTGTCAAAGCCGATGACGCCCAGAAGCCGCCTCCTGACTCTGCTCCATTTTCCGAACATGCACAAGCTGAAGCCGAAGCTCTTCCTCACGCCCATGACACCGCCAGTCAGATGTTGCAGTCTGACGAGTTCTGGGCTGATTTGAAAGACTTCTTGGTCCAAAGGCTGCGTGATGAGAATCAAGGCGAGAGGCTTGTCAGCCTGTTCCGCCAAGCCTCTACTTAATCGCTCTCTCTACCACTACATGGCGACAATTTAGTCATCGCAGAGACGTCAGCTATTACAACTCGTCGTGTTGACCGACTAGGAAAATGAACTCTGTTGATAACGTGGCATATCAAATGTTATTTCTCACACTCTCCATGAGCCACCCTTGATTATTACACGCTCAGTATTTGAGTTCGTTCGAGTTTGTCTTCTTCACGGTCATCTCAACATTCCAACCTACTATTTATACCGTGCCTCTTCCTTCCATCCTCCTCCACCTCGACACTCAACCCCGTCGGAATAATGCAGTTGGCTGTCTTGTCGCCTCTGCTGCCCGTGCTGGCGCATGCCGCTCCACTTTGGGCCAATGATTCTTCAACCCTCGCTCTAGAGACCTTGCCTACCAACACCAGAACGACCACGCTGCCAACCGTGGATTCTCCATGCAATAGTGTAAGGTTGGCTGTACAAGCCTCGAAGGACACGTCCCCCAAACACCACAAACATAGTATACCTGCCGAACTCGCCTACGATTGTCTAAACTCGATCCCCTTCAACCAGAGTGCCGCGGCCGCCTTGATGGAGTCAATGAGACCCTATCTGGAATGGCAATCGACCACTGCTTATCTCAAGGAGCCACCAAAGGAGGTAGACAGCATATTCTACCTGTTTAACATGTTCAACTACTGACTTTTCGACAGTNATGCAGAAAAGGTTCAGCCACCATACGACTTTTGGGCGACTTTCAATACCATCGAAGCTAACGTCGCCGACGGAGCTTATGCCAGCGAGTACGACTTTGGATGGGATCTCTACCAATCCACCCAGCTAGCACACGACGGCGGCCACTTCGCCTACATACCAAATGTTCTTACACTCTTCGCTTTCGGACGTACGACTCCACTCGTGTCTGTTTCTGAAGACGGTAAAGATCTACCAGTCGTCTACGCCTACGCAGACATCCTGGCCTCTCAAGGTTGCCGTTGCAATTCGTCCTTCAAGCCTTTTCATATCGTGCAAATTGATGGGAGGGACACCACCGAGTTCCTGCTCGGACTGTCGCAGGACAGTGGTTTTACAGACAGAGATGCGAAGTGGAACTCCATCTTCTACTCGAACGCGAAGGCTTCGGGTGCAAGTGGTGACACTGGATCCTTTTCCGGCGGTGACCGTAGCCCCATCATCTATCCAGGGCCTACGACTACTCTGACTTTCGCAAATGGAACCAATATCGTCATCGAGAATTATGCCGTTTCCCGTTTTGGTGTCAAAGGAATTCAGTCTGGAGCTGACATCTACAATAACTATCTCACCCCGCAGCCTGAGGCCTATCTCAACGTGTTTGAGGGGCTGCAGCTTGAGAATGAGCGGAATGGCGAGAACAAGGACAACGATATGCGTCTTCCTTACTTCAAACCAGAACGCATTACTCACTTTGCAGAAGTCGATGACAATTCATTGGAAGATCATTCCAAAACCATGCCTGCTCCTGGCTATCCATCTCCCGTCGTACGATCCCGGCAGAACCTCAACGGAGGCTACTTCCTCGAGGAACCTGGCTTCGAAGATGTTGCCGTTCTGACAGTGGGATCCTTTGTAAGCATGCCACTCGCCGGACCTGAATTCAAGAAAGTCAATACCGAATTCATCGCCGCCGCCTTGGCTGCAAATAAGACCAACCTGATCATCGACGTCAGCGCGAACGGTGGCGGTACAATCATGCAAGGCTACGATCTCTTCAAGCAGCTCTTCCCTTCCATACACCCATATGGTGCGACCCGCTTTCGTGCCCACGAATCAGTTGACCAGATAGGTGAGATATACTCGAACACGAGTTGTTCCCCAGACAACCCTGTACTGATACCGTGGGACTACCGTACCGATGTCGACTCGGACGACCAACCATGGCCCTCTTGGAAAGAAAAGTATGGGCCCCATAACCTCGGAAACGATACTTATTCTTCGCTCATCCGTTGGAATCTCAATGATCCCATGATGGCTCAACACGCTGGTGGCATCGACGTATCTGGGTACGGCAATGATTCCAACGCATCTAATGAGCAGCCCTTCAAAACTGAGAACATTATCCTAGGTAAGTGGCGTATCAATATTCATTCTGTACAAGACTCATGCTGACATGGTTCTCTCCAGNTGTATGATGGCGCCTGCGCCTCGACCTGCGCGATCTTCTCCGAGTTTCTACGCCAAGAAGCAGGCGTAAAGACAATTGCTCTCGGCGGTCGTCCCTCCACCGACCTCATGCAAGGCGTCGGCGGCGTCAAAGACACATCCGTATATCAATGGTCATACATCTGGGACACCGTGGCACAAACCATTATCTGGTCGCAAGACAAGGAGGAACTCAAGGACACTGTATTGGCAAAGTACACCAAGCTGCCACTAGCTCGAGGCAAAAGCGCTTCCGTCAACTTCCGCGATGGTATCAGGAAAGGTGACGAGCAGCAGACTCCATATCAATTCATCTATGAACCCACTGACTGCCGCATGCTCTACACAAAAGCCATGGTGCTTGATCAGAGTGCTGTATGGAAAACTGTGGCCGACACCGTCTGGGGTGAAGGAAACGCATGTATTGCTGGCTCCAACAACTTCTACGGCAACAAAGATAAGCACGATGGATTAAAGACACCAAGTATGCCAGGCGACGGACACAGAGTTTGGGATGTCAGAAGCGACTTTGATGTTGAGGAAGCCTGGAAGGGATTGGAGGTTGAGCACACGCCTAAATGGGAGCGTCACGAGAAGGAGGACTGGGTTATGTATGCTTGAAGCAGCCCGAGGAGTAGTCAGGGGATGGGTCAAATGCTCAATGAGGGAGAGATTACGTTTGAGTAACTTTGATTCAAGTTAGTCAGCAATAAAGGAAATGCGTTGAAGTAGCTTAGAGAACTTTGTTTGAATCTCGTGAATAATAGTCAGGACCTCTTCTATCCATCGTCGAAGTTGGCTTATCCAATTCTCTTGCGTAACTTTTTTATCTCTTTGCATGTGCTTCTCTCACTCCGAGACCTTCATTACGTTTCTGCATTCATGTGACGAATTGCATCTTCCTCTGCTTGCGATGATCCATAGTCCTCTGTCTTTTACAAACGATCAATACACTTGCCGTGGTTCTTGCTACAAGGTGACACTTTTGTGGTATATACCTGTATGTGTTTCTGCCCTTGTGATTCTGGCTTTATCCGGGAACGTGTAGTAGAATCAGAATAATGGGAAACGTGACTGAGAACCTAGGTCATAGATGAGATGGCAAGTCAAGTCAAGACATGAGAGGTAAGTATTTGGGAAGAGACGGGGAAGTGGTACGATAGAGGGCAGCATAAAGGTTACAAGGTGAACGAGGAATCAGCGACAGAGAGATAGTAGACGTGCTTTAAAAACTCTTTGTACTATATGTACTGCTTTCCACATTGATGGCACAACCCTCTCTACTTTAGGACTCCATTCTTTTTCCAGAGGCTGTTTCTTCACAGGCCTCTTCAAACAACATCTCATCCCTCTCCCACATGGCCAGCAGACTCGCGCCAATAGGCCCAACAAGCACACAGTACCCAAGACCACGAACCGTCACCAGGACTTTACGCAACAACGATGACTCTACGTGCCCTCTTGCCCAAAAAGTCCAGATCAGAAAAGTGCAAAACATGATTAGCATATCCCACTGCAAGAAAATATGTGCTCCTTGCTCCAGAGTGGCCACTTTTAGGGCAGTGGTTGGCCACACGGGCATGAACAGATTGCTCGGACGCAGAGACAAGGCCACGTTTTTGGCAAAGAGGTGAGGGGATATTGTTGCCAGCAGGGATATGCAGATGGCACCAATGTGAGTGAGTGTGGCAGCGAAGAGTCCAAAGGCGTAGATGCGTCGCGATGCCTGCACCTGCAATCTGCGTCCCTTGTCGACAGGAGTGTCTTGGGTAGATGCAAAGAAGCGTACAACAGGCGTCCAGATCCACATACCGACATAACAAAGCAAAGGGAANAACTGCCACACACGAATAGCGTCAATCTTATGCCCAACACTCAACACGCCAGGCGCAGGCAACGACATAACCACAGTCGGCACCAACAACCCACCAACCATACTCAAGACAACGGCATCAATCTTCCATCTCTTCCGCTCAAACCCCACATCCCACCACCGTCCCCCCAGCGGCGCAAAGNNCAAAAACAAAGGTCCAACAACAGCAATCCCCAGCCCTTGAAACAACATCCCGAAACTAGTCGTAAAGGACACAATCCCCCATTTCTTGATATTTTGCTCGCGTAGTCCTTCAAGCACAATCAACACCCAAGCAGCAACACCCTGTCCCGCAAAGTAAAAACACATCAGTGAAGACCCGGGCACGTTTCCATTCACCATGGGCCAGAAGAATGTAGTGGGTCCTTTGAGAAACTTGTCTAGTGCAGTAATACCGGTGAATTCTGTCGGGTATGTCGCGTCTGATCCAGGTAACTGGTTGAGGGCAGATGCTTCTCGAGCGAGCGATAGTGTGCCGTTCTTGTCGCCAAAGATCAGGAGCGCGTACACGGCATACGCGCTCAGAGATACAAGTAGGGCGTTACGAACATAAGCGGACATTTTTGGCTTTCCGATGTTGATGATGATGCTTGTCAATTTGATGGCTATCGCAGGTGCGTCTCCTCGATTGTGCGACATCATAGAGCTATTGGAAGTCGTTTCACTTGTGTCACGTGAATGGCTGAATATACTCCCATCTATTGCCTACTTTCAATTTGAACGTCACATAAAGAAGACCTGGCTCTCTTCCTTGCCCAACCCCTTTCTTGACTGTCGATACTGTGAGCTGTAAAGATGCACGAAACTTCCTAGCCATGGACTTGTCATTATCTGGAGGTTGTTTCGTAGCCACGTTCCTGTTTGTAAAGCGACTGTGTGTTTTGATAGCGAAAGAATACTGCTACATTTTCGATGAGAGAGAAAGCAAAACTACCAATATCTAACGCCGTATGCTGCCCCGTTTTGCACCAAATCAAGTAGAATAAAACAGCTTGACCACATCCTTGATCCTGCGTCTGCAGACAGGACAATCCTCCAATCGTCTCGCACACTCAACGCAAGCACATACGTGTCCGCAATTGTAGAATGCTGCATCTGCCTCCTGCCCATAGCAAATTCTACACAGCTTGGCCTCCTCTTCGCTGACCTTGTAGTGCATGGTCCCCGTGCCGAATCTCTTACCTTCCTGCCAGTTGCCGGTGTAGACGTTGCCAGTACGATGGTATGTGTAGGTACCCTCGCCATGTGGCTGGTCTTGCGCCCATTGGCCGTCGTAAGTATCGCGGTTTGCATAAAGCATCTTGCCATATCCGGAGCGCTGAGATTCACTGAAACTGCCAAAGTATTCGTCGCCGTTGAGGTACATCAGGTGGCCATAGCCGTGATATTCGCAGCGTTTGTTGACATGTCCTTCGTAGAAAGGGTTTGAGAGGTAATTCATCGTGACCTCCTCCAGAACATCGGCTGGTGACTGTGCTGTGGGAGTCTGGGAAGTGGGAGGGTCGTTCATTTCCTCGTCTTCGCCGTCTGATGTTGTGTCCTCATACATGACACTCTCGTTCACGCTTTCAGCGTCACCCGTTCCGAGCTTTGGATGGTAAAAGTTGAGAACCCACTGTGGCAAATCCCATGGCTCCCTCGCAGCGAGGTCAAAAGTGTCGGGATTGCGCACGTAGACAACCACATAGGCTACCGCATCAGCCTGATCTTGAGGATGAATGTAGTCGATAGGGCAGTCAGAAGATACAACTGGCTCTTCGATAGCTACAGAAGAGTCTGTCGAGGTAGCTAAAACACCTTCCCTTGATGCAATGGCCTGTGCTCTGGTTTGGCATACAGGGTCCTTATTGTGCATGTATGTATACCATAGACCGCCGAGACCACCAGGGCGGAAATGGCTTGTGTATTCGCCGTTGCGCAGGTACCCTTCATGCGCGACAAAACCATACAGCGTGTATGTGGAACCGTCTGCAACTGTGATCTGATCGTCCAGACGCACTTTGTCGAGACGCTTCTTCCAAATGCGTTTTCCCGAATCGAAGACCTGACGCTCGAGTTCAAGAGTGAGAATTTCGCTTTCAAGGAGCACTTCAGGTAGATCTTCGTCAACGATTTCTTGCATCGAAGTCTTACCAACAATCGATCGTTTAGTCAACCGATTGCCAGAGAAGGAGTCTGTTCCGAACAGATTGGTTAGGTTCTCGAGAGCGTCTTTGTGTTCTTCGAGTCCAACTTTCATGTCAGTGAGGATTGCATCCATAATCTGCATGGCATCCATAGCATGAATGCGCCTGTGGGGGCCTCTTTTCAAAAGGAGGTCATTGATGAAATTTCCATTACAAGGGGTAAGACCTTTCTTGTAATCGACTCTGGATCGCATACGCGACAGGATCCACTGGAGCTCAGTGACTATGCTGTCACCCTTGTTGGCGAACAAATCGATGGTTCCGAGCTTGTACAGCACCTGGCGAAAAGGACGCAAATGCAGCCACAAGGCCAACACGGGGAAGATCGCGGACTCGCGCCAGTCGTCGGAAAATGGATGCAGGGCAGTCAAAGCTAGCTTTGGCAAGTCTTTGGGAGCCCACAAGCAGCCAGTGGGATCATCGATCACACGGATGAATGCTTTGATGGCTAGAGTGTCATTGCGGAGGAGAGGCTGTCGCTGAGCATAAGAGCGACGATGAATTTGATACCATGGCAGGCTCGTGAAGCGAGTCCAGCCGTGGTCAGGATATTTTGGAGAGAACTGAGAGGCATCTGCCTTGAACTCGTTCACAAGAGGCTCTTCCGGGTTGTAGATAAGAATTGATATCTGCGCAGCGACAGACATGGGTTTCATAACCTTGGTGATGCCTAGTAGAGGTAGAGGCAGCTGATCCTCTGGCCACTCCTGCGACGTTGATGACTGAACCGAGACATTTTCGACGTACAGACTAAGACGATCGGTTTGCATGTTGCCATGTGGCAGCAATTTGATCCTCCAGTCGTAGCCACCGACACGAACGATGTTTGAAGCGAGCAGGAGACTCTTTCTAGGGTTGTCCTTTGTACCGTTGAAGTCTTTGACTGTCCACTCAATTTTGCCCTGCTCTCTGGGCACGAATTCGGGATCTTGTAAATCGAAGAAGGTCTCCGATTGCCAATGAAGGTCGTCCAGAGCACTGTGTTCGACGTTCGCTCGTATGTTCCTCAGCTCCTCGGCATCTGGAATACTCTTGTCTTCCTGGAAGGGATAGAAGCTTCTTGCTCGCTCGTCGCCGATATGACTTCTAGCATCATCCTCGTCGTCCTCTTCTTCATCCCCGTCAATTGACCCTCCGTGGGCGGGTGTCAAGGCTGGTGGTGGAGGTGGACGAACAGGCGAGAGCGGTTCGGGTACGGGTGAAGGTGCGTCGACAGCGTCCGGAACATCAAAGACGTTGACATGCGTGGTGGGTGTATCGGGAGCAGGTGAGTTCTACAATATGTTAGTCGGTAGTTCGCTCTGACCAGAGAAGTGGAAGGCCAATGCAGAAGCGAACATAAGCCTTGCAGATCTGCAATGTCGCATGCCCATAGATCAAGTTGCACAGCTAAAGACGCTGTGCAGTACGACAAACATAGAGAGTCGGCAGCAGGCAAACAACCAGGAAGACTTACTCCAAAAGTATGATGCGACTGAGCCACAGGTGATGTACCGCCAGCAGTGTCTTCGGCGCCCTCCATGATTGAGTCGTTGTCGTTGATGTGGGATAAGGGAGGTAGAGTGAGACGGCTTCCAGTATTGATATGTTGATCCATGATGACAGATGTGAGAGGCGGATTCGTTGTGTGAACTTCCAAGTCGTCGTGTGTTTCGTAGGTAGAAGCGTTGTAAATCGGACTTGTCGTTTGCGCATGCAGCGCGTGCGGTGATTGAGTGAGCGTGGCAGCCATAGTGAAGGCGACGCGTCAGGGAAGGCAGGCACCAAACGACAAACCACAGCAAAGCAGACAAGGCCAACTAAAAGTTGCCGTGCGGTGTCTCTTTAATGACTGTTCTCCTTCTGGCCAAGAACAGCTCTGATCCAACCAAACTTTTGGTTTCACATGCGCTGCATGTGCAATCAGGTCATCCCCGCTTCTGCAGCCACGCCATTCCAGCGCCAGACAGGCACATACATGCACCTGCGACACTGGTAAAGGGCAATCATCTTTTCTCCATTCAGACAGTCGAAGAGCGTGTTCGTCGGATTCCAAGCTACTAAGCAATATACAGCTATCGCCTGCCATAACATATCCAACATTCGAAGCTCGACATGTTTCCAAGCAGGAACTTTGAAGGACCTTGCAGCTTCTCACATTAGGACTGTTATGTCATTTGAATACTCTGTCTATTCCTAGTCCCATGAAATGATCGTCGTGACCTATGGGACAAGGCAGCAGCAACGGCTCTTATCAAGGAAGAGCAGATGCTCATCAAGGTACCGCTATGCTTCCGACCTCGGCTTTGACATGGCACGTGCATCGATTTGCCCTGCCGCGCGGGCGCTAAGGTCTGCGGTTCGGCTCGCGCCTAATCCTTCGTCAGCCTGGCCTGGCCCTGCTCATTGGTTAAATTTGAACCGTGGAAGGAGAGGACAAACCCATGCACCTTGCCTGCACTGCACCCGTTCGCTCAGAAGTGTTTCATTCTCAAACGCATACTCGCATTCGGTGGACAAACCTGTCTGGCAGTCCCCATGCAGCCTGGACTGCAGTTTGCCTTGGGTGGCTCAAGTTGTGCCTCTCCCAATTTATCTTCCCGTATTCATGGAAACGTTCAAGCCACCTTGGCAAATGTTGCTGCAACGATCATAGGGAACACAACCGTCGCCTCGGCGTAGACCTGCAGGTTGTCTTGTGTCAGCACGCATCTTCCAATCATCTGCTGCATTCAGCCGCCGTGACTTACCTTGACGCTCTCGCCGTCTATCTTGATCTTGCCCCAGCTGACGGCCTCGTCTGGTCGTGCGCCTGCGTCGCTTCCGTCAAACTCGTTGGCTGTGTTGATGATGACGGCGCTCTCTGCTCCGTTGCGCATGAGGCAAGCATTGGCGATGTGGTGCTTGACGATGCCGCCTCCCAGGATGATCATGCCTGCACGCTTGGCTCTGACTGCGATTGTGTTGATCTTACGGATGTCTTCAACAATATCGATACGCAGCATCGCTGGTGAAGCCTTGAACGTGTGGAAGTACAGCATGTCACCCAAGCTTCCGTCCGTCAGAGCAGGGCAGAAGACGGGAATGTCATTCTTCCATGCCCAGTAGTATACGGAGCGCTCGTCGTTGATCTCCTTTCCGAGTCTGTTGATGACTTTACTAGGAGTCCAATAGATGGGGTCCTCTGTGCCCTTGGATGACTCTTGTTCTTCCAGCATCTTGTCCAGGATCGGTACGACCCAGTCCTCGAACGCGCAGTAGTTATCGTTGGGCACGATCAAGTTGCCGATTCTGTTCATGCCCTGGGCTCTCAGAGATGCTCCGGGCGTGGAGAAGGCACCCAGGTATGTCGGGGCCAAACACTTGATGAAGTCTTCTTCAACACCTCCAGCAGTTGTGACAATGGCCGAAACATGCTTGTGCTGTACCAACCACCGCAGAGTCTCTCGCAGACCAGACGAAATGAGGTTTGATGTGTATCCCAGGAAGATAGTTGTGCCTTGCCCCGTCTCTTCATCACGCCATTCACGCNNTGTCGTCCTCGAGTTAGTCGGCTTGTCGGTCTCGGAGTCTCGAGATGGATTTACCATTCCGTTGATGATCTTTGTTGCTTGTCCGACTGAGCTTGCTTGGAAACCCATGTTGGTCATGTTTTCTACCATCTCGGCTGCGGTGATGTTGCGGTTGGCGAAGTTGTCGAAATCGAGTCCAGTCACAGGAATGGCTCCTTCGGGTACGGGGTCGGAAGGTCGGAGGACAGCATCTTGAGCTCCAGTCGGCGCAGTCATGGTTGCGAGGGTAGCGTTGTATGAGCGAGTGTGTACGGGTATCGAACGCGAGAATGAGGACGTGGTGCTTGTCGGCGGCGACTACCTATCTTTCTGGTGCTGGCGTGACTGTTGGTCTAGGAGATTTTCGAGAACCCTGGAACTTCGAGGCTTACTAACGCGCGACAGCTCACTCTAAATGCAAGCGGCTCGGCACGCATGCTGCACAAGCTAACTTTTGATGACGGTTCGACGCCAAAAACGATTCACATCAAGATTCGATTGCAATTCAATCTTGTTGTGCAAGCTCCTATATATGCTCTACAGTGACGGTCATATGCTGTAAGGGAACATCGAAGGTGGAAGGTTGATAGGATGGACAAATACCTACTGAGTCGAGGATCATCAACATCTCGATCCGCAAATCCCTGCTCCTGGCTTGCCTGGGCTTGCAGATGTCGCAGCCGAGACTTTTGAGCTTCATAGCCGTTAAGGTGCTTCAAATGACATATGTGATCGACCAGCCCCTCGTTCTTGCAATCAGTGCTGCTACATATCTATCGCGCATTCGTGTGTAAAACACTGGACGTATATCGGGCTGTTTGTACGATCTGGTTCTTTGCTCAAAAAGACGTCAACCAACGCGATGATTAGATTTTCACTCTAGCCCAGGCATTCCGCCCGAGCGTACGGTTCACGGGTTAGTGTACTATCCACGAGATGCGTGAAACTAAGCACCGGCCAAAGCACCGGCCAATCAGCATGACATAGAGTTTGGCTTTCGCTCCGCACGCCTACTCTACACGTTCTGTTTCCTTCTCCTGTCTTTCGACATCCTCCAGCCAAACACCTCCATCTCGCTCAGACGACCTCAGGACTTACCGGCACATCAAAAATCGGACTCGGCATCATTATCGCTTCTTTTCGATAGCCAAGTGACCACCCCGCCAGCCTCTTTCGTTGTGATCGTTCGAGATCCGGCCATTTCCTCGACTCTTTTTGTCAAATTTCTCCCAATAGTAACTCTCGTCAACTTTCACTACCTTATCGTCTCAAGGAAAGCTCGGACGCCGCTTTTTGAGTCCTCAAGGTCATCTTGTCGTGGTGTTGAAAGTTGAGGGTGAAATTGTTACACAGACACGGGTGATTCGAGGTGCCTTGTCTTCGAAGGCCCACAAGCGCGGATCAGTTCGCGGAGTTCTTGGCGTTTAGATCTGACGCCAAATCTTGCCACGCCTCGACTGCAAGTTTCACCGCGCATACCACTAATAATTCCACTCCTTTGACAGCTCGCGCAAGCACCATCAATTGCACACACTGGTTTTTCGACGATTCTGGTTCATCACCAATCCATTTCCATCACCCAACCGCGCAACACGCGTTGACGCAGCACGTGCCCCACGATCTATTCTCCTCCATGATAATGTTTTGTGCTGTACATTAATAGTATGTCGTCACGCTTTCCTCCGGTACACGAGTCCCGCTATCTACCTCGTACTCGGTCGCGATCGCCGCCGAGGTATCAGGATGGATGGAGACCGAATGGACCACCGAATCCTGGATTCAACAGCAACAATAACAACAGACACGGAGACTTCGGCCGGGGACTGGATCCCNCAAGAGGTCCCAAGACCTTCAATGACAGCCCCAGAGGACCACCAGGCTCAGGCCCGGGCCCAGGAACTAGCACCTCAGCACCACTTGGACCTCGCGGCAGAGGCGCACCACCAAGACCGGAATTTAGAGAGTTAAGAGACGCACCACCTCTTGGAACTGACCGCTCATTCAGAGAACGCGAATTCGATCGCAGACCAAGACCTACGTCTCCCAGAGCTCGTTCACCTGTAAGGGGCTTCAGAGATGGACCTATTCCACCTCGTGATCTCGACCTGGGTAGAGGTCGCCGCGACTCCAGAGACGGACCCATCAATGCTGGGCCTGGTTACTCGGATGCACCTCCATTTGGTCAGCCTCCGTTCGGTAGGGGTGGCTTCAACGGCAGAGGCCGAGGAAGGGGCCGAGGAGATTTCGGCTTCCGTGATCGCCGCGGACCTGCAGACGACCGCAACACATTCAGACCCCGAGACAGATCACCGCCCACGAGATGGGGAAGCGTATCTCGCACTGACAGAGATGATTGGCGTCCCGAGAGACGCGAAGACGATCGCTGGCTCGATCGTGATGACCGCGAGCGCGAACCTGATCGTTTTAGAAGAGAGCCTGCATCCAGCCGCTTCGACTCACGCCCGCCTACTCCTCACCAACAAGTGCCCTTAACGCAACCTCCGGCTGAGCGCGTGCCACCTTTCGAGTCTTCGAGAGATGATCTCGCAATGCGAAGACCCTCGATGTCATCCTTGTCTGGAGCCAAGGAGCCTCTTCGACGTGATGTGCCGCCTCAGAATGCACCGCCATCGATGCCTCTACCACCCAATGATCTTCTGGCTGGCCGCGTCGAGTCTTCAGCTGCTCGTTATGGATCTCGTGCCTCATCACCACCACCATCAGCACCCCAAGTGCCTGCTTTCGGATCTCTATCTTTCAAGTCTCAGCCATATAGTGGCCCTACTTCAAATGTGTGGAAAGCTTCGCCCGAAAATCGTCCTCCAGCCACCCCTGCAAAGCCGCCAGTCCCATCTCCTCCCGGCGTCAAGACCATTCCCACTGCCCCCAAAGCACAACTCGCGGCACCACCACCTGCTGCTCCTAGAGCGCCCAGAGCACTTGAGAATGCCCCTCCAAGTGCTCCTAGAGAACCACCTCTTGATAGAGCACCTTCTGCGCCAAAGGCTAGGAACTCATCTGCGCCACAGCCTCCAGTTCCTACCGGACCATGGGCTCTGCGAACAGATGATAGAGCAGGTGGGCAATTTGCTGCAGCAGCGGTCCGCGAGGGACGTAGCCTTTCGGGTTCTTTCCAGCCAGATGTGAACAACACGCCAACGTCACCTCGTACCTCGGGACCTCCTGTCGCTCAAATGGCCCAGATGACCCCAATCAAACCCTTGGAGACTCTGTCTAGCCAGGTGTCTACACCCCCTCACAATCCAGCTCTANGCAACGTGCAAGACGGAAGAGCTCCACGACTGGATATGGCACCACCCAGACTTGGTACACCACCTCCGTCAGCGCCCAGCGGCCCACGCAATACACATGCGTTCAGCACATCTCCTATTATGCAGAATCCCAACATTCCGACCGCTCCCAAGGCCATCCGCGGGCCACCCATGGCTCCAAGAGCCTCAGTGGACCGTGGACAACCTCTTCACAGACCAATGGATAGAAATGGCCTTGCTCCTTCGCGTGTTCCTCCAGGAGCTCCAAGAGCGCCCGCATGGAACCAATGGATAAGACCTGGTGCTCCTCAATACAGAGAGGCTACAGTGCCCGCCAAGAGAGACTTGAATGGTGATGAAAAGTCGCAACAGTTCATTCCAAAGACTTCCTCACAGAACATGCACCGTCAAATCTCAGATCCCTCATCTATGAGAGCGGAAGAAACCAAAGATGACCGTGCCTTCAAGACAGCACCTGTGTCACCCGAACGGAGGATGTCTGATGCCAATGCCGTCAACAACNCCCCATTCCAAAAGGAGTACAGTGTGCCTAGCCCTGGTGAAACTGTTCAATCTGACCTTGCAGCGGATGCCGATCTAGCAACTGCCGAGTCGTCTGAGGACTTCATTAGTGACGAAGAAGGCATGGATCTCGACGAAGAAGACTTTGCTCAAAGCAAGGCTAAGTTCGAAAGGCAAAAAGCACATCTGGAAGCCCAGATGATCGATTTGAATGCTAGGCAGTATAGAGCGACTACTCCTCTGGAGCAGATTGCCAGGCTTGCCAACATTACTGTCCACGACCTTCCCACCGCTCAAGAGTCGACCTCAACAGAAGCCAAGGATGATATCATGGAAGGCATGGAAACATCAGAAGCATCTGCACCAGTTGTTTCACCATTGTATTCACCATCGCCGAGAACTCAAGAAGATATTGGAACAGATCTCATCACACCGAAGAAGGAGCAGATTGACGAAACAGAAACCGTGACTGTTCCCNCTATTCTAACAGCCTACAAGCAATCTGAACCTGATCGAGCACTCCAGTCTGCCGAGGCCAATGAGAATGACGACATTGACATGGATGGTAGTGAGGACTTGGACTTCATAACCCCTGAACCCAAACGAAGCATCGAGACCATCACTCTACCTTACCTGGCCAAGGCACCTCTAACTCCCCTATCAGACCTGGGTGCTTTCCACGAGAACATGGCACGTCTACATGCTGCAAAGCCAGCGTTGATCATGCACTACCAAGCGCAGGCCGAGGAAGAGAAGATTCTGCAGAAAGACCTGCATGAGCAGTATCTCGAAAAATACCGTGCCTGGCAACTGGAAACTCAGCTGCTTGATCGTGAAAGAGCAAGCAAAGAGTCCGAGGAGAGACAGATGTCTGTCGAGCTCGGCCTTGATATTGAGTCAAGCCCCGTCCTGGAAAACACTGCTCCTGAATCTCGAAGCGGCAGACTGCATAAGTTCAGTAGTGAATATGATATACAACAGGTTCTGAAGCAGTCGGAAGAGACAGCCAGACTCGAACAGGAGAAGGTTGAACGAGAGTCTAGACGGGCTCAGATCGATCTTGAGAAAGAAGCTATCCCGCCAGAGACGTGGGACCAAGCTTCAAAAGAAANNAAAAGAATCTTTAGGAACATGAATCGATACAGGGATCCCATCTGTCTCACAGAGATTTTTGGATATGAACCAGAATTTGACACCTTCACCGAAGCCGAGCACAAACGTTTTGTGGAGCTCTTCAAGGAAAGGCCAAAACAATGGGGCGAGATCGCTGCTCAACTTCCGGGTCGGTCATATGCCGATTGCATCCATCATTATTACAAGTACAAGTGGGACGGTCGCTTCAAGGAGAAGCAAAAACGCAAGCCTAAAGGTGGTGGCCGTCGGGGCGGCAAGACAGGTCGCGCAAGAGGTCCTCAAATGATGTCTGATCTGCCAAAACTGCCCGGAGAGGAAGATAGCTCTTCCGGCCCAATGCTTACCGAGACTGGAAGACCGAGACGCGCAGCAACTCGCACCGCATACACAGCCGAGAAGGACCCTGAAGTCAAGACTGCCGCTGTCTCGACCACTACCAATAAGAAAATGCCTGCCACTGGTGAGGTCGGTTCTGAAAAACCAGCGAAGCGTCGCAAAACCACAGCTGCCGGCGACAAACCGCAGAAGCGAGGTAGGCAAACGCTGGTTTCATCTACTACTTCTGTCACATCACCGGCCGGGATCGATAAGGAAGTCGCTCTTTCGGATGATTTCGCCCGTGCTAAACAATTGGAGGATGCCGCTCTTCTTACTGGAATTTTCACCGGTACCAGAGCCATCGGCGGACCTCAACATGTCGAGTACGCGCATGATCCACTCCCAGCACAGATCACGAACGATCCCGCAGAAAGAACTCGTGCTCCTGCACAGACACCCATGCAGAGATCTAGTGCATCAAGCTACTGGTCTGTACCAGAGCAAACGGATTTTGTCAAGTTCATCTCCCACTTCGGTACTGACTTTGGCGCAATTGCCAACCACATGGGCACCAAAACTCAGACTATGGTGTGTAGAGTTTCATTCAACCGCAACTTGCAGCTGCTAATCTATTCATAGGTCAAGAATTACTACCAGAGACTTGTCGAGAGTGGAAATCGCTCCGATGTTGTCGATGCCGCTAATATTGCGAATGCTCGTCGTGATCGAGGTGAGGACATGGGCGTTCCGCCAACGCCTACACCAATCAACAAGAGACGCTATGACAATCCTGGACCGAGTCTGCCCAGAACAGCTTCTGGATCACAGGGTGAGGTTATGGACATCGATCCTGTTCCGCCAACACAGCCCTCAACTCTCTCCCAGTCTTCCTCGCAGTTCCAGCATCAATACAGATTCTCAATGGCTGCGCAACCGACGTCTGCAGCTCCGCAAAGAGCGGCACCTACTCCGCTTCAGCCTCATGGATCTCCTGCTCTTAGCAAACCCGGTCCATCTGCACAACCACGTGCGAGCATATCTTCTTCTGGTCCGAAGATGGGGTTCTTCTCCGAATCTAGAATGGAGCGACGACCCACTCTGCCGGGCTCGGAGCGTCCCGCTCAACAGCCGTCGCCCTCTTTGATGCACCAACAGCAGCCAACACCACCTGGTCTCATGCATCAAAACTTATCCCATCTGACCTCGGAATTTGTCAGAAATCTCAAGGAAGAGCAAGAACGGGCCTTGTCTATTCAGAAACGAGCTTCTCAAGAGCATGTGCCACAAGTCGTTCAACATCCGTTGTTCCAACCCCTTGCTGCTCAAACTTCTGCACCAACCGGATCTCCCCAGTTGTCAATGCTGGACAGACCCCTAGAAAGAGACGAGCGCTCTGGTACACCAGGCATGCCATCACTTGCACACCCTCGTGCTGGACCCGCAATGTTCCGAAACATTTTGGGCTCTCCTGGACCGATGCCGTCTCCCGCTGTCACTATGCACCCTCCTTTCAGAGCCCACGTGCCATCTCCACCAAAGAGGGAAGAGCAGCCGATGTACCGACCTGGCTCAGTACCAGCACCGTCGCCTGCTCCATCGGTCGTCAAGCCTGCCATGTCTCTTACTACAGGACCCTCCGCCGAGCCTCGTAAGACGTCTAATTTGGCATCTTTGCTCAACTCTGAGCCAGAAGAGCCTCGTCAAAAGAAGAGAGTTGCAGATCAGGCAACGCCATTCACACAATCACCAACACCGTCCACGCTGAGTGTTGCGCCTTCTGGGCCAAGTTCGACCATATTCCCTTCCAGAAGAGAAGTATTCAACCAGACACCTGGATCTAGACAGGAGTATGACGAACGTGCATCGTACCCTCAGCCAACTTCCCATGCGCCAACTCGAGCCGCTCAGCATGAACTCATGACTGGTAGATCAGGCACGCCGGTCGGATCAAGACAACCGGAGTGGCAATCACGTCCACCTATGGGTCAAAACTTGGCTTCCAGCTCACCTCATCCACCAGCACCCCTCGAGCGTGACGTCAGACCATACTTCTCGCACCGTGCGAACTTGGGTAGCCTCAACCCTCAGTCAAGAGCGAACCCATCGCCACCACCAAACACTCATCCTTACATGAATCACTCTCGAACTCCATCGATTGGTGGCCGACCAATGACACCTAGTCAGCTGCAACCTCAGGGCCCATCTGGATTGTCGCACATGACTCAGGCACAAACAGCTCAAGCACCATCTCAGATCATGCAATCCAACCCATACTCCCAGCCCCACGGTGGACCATCGCACATGCAGCAGATGCAGGCTCATCAGCAAAACCAGTATAGCCATCGTCACAACAGCTCCGGCGGTTCATCTCACAGTGNNGGATGCACCAGAGACAGCCTAGTCGTGGCGAAGAGATGTCTATGCTGAGACAACAACAGCAGCAACAGCAACAAGAGAGAGTTCCATATGAGTCGTGAACGCGAGCATCGCATGGAAGTGGACCGACAGTACAAAGAGCGCGAAGATCAATTCCATCAACACCAACAACAAGAACAGCAACGCTTCGCCCAACACCGTACACCCCAGCCATTCCAGCAACAGCCTCTTTCGGGACCTCCACCTCAAATGCTGTCTCTGCGTGAACAAGCACGTATCGAGGCTGATCAAAGTTACCGTGATGCCAGAAACAGAGAACAATACGAACAAGAGATGCACATCAGACGTATACAAGAAGATGAGGAGAGGATGAGATATGATTATCGAAACCCGTCTGGAATGATGGGTAGATCTTCAACAGGCGGATATGGAGGCGGTTTCCCACCACCCGGTCCGCACAGAAGATGAGAGGTGATGTAAAATTTCTTGTTTCTGATTGTGTTCACTTCTTTAGATAGCACACCCGGGAAGCAAAGAATTGTTTGCATGGGAAGGAGCTTTGCAAGTACAGTCGTTTGTTGAGTAAAAGATACCATTGAAATTCAGTTATTCACATTGTTCGGAAATACTTTCGTACACAACCACTAGTGCTGTGTCGTTTGACTTCGATGTGTTACAGGCACATCTTCTATTGTGAGTCTCCGAGTCTGTTATGTGGTCTCGGCAACTGCTCACACTCGTAGAAACCAGTTTCGGATTTCACGAGGTCCTGTCGAGCCTTGCATCAGTAACAACACATCTCCACGGTGTTGCTTCGACGTTGCAACACTCTCTTCACTTTTCTCTTCATCACCACTCTTGACTCCCCACCTTCCATAACTTCCTCTTTTCTAATCAGGTCTTCCCTCTTCCTGCATCTCCCCCACATCACCACCTTTTTCTCTGCTACATAGCACGAGTTCTTCTCTCTTGGTGCAGTTTTCTGCTTCTTCAACCAGAGCCAAAAGTGTTGGTACTCTCCTTGACGCAGAGTTACCTCGACGATGACCCGTTCACTCCAGTTTCACTTTCACATAACTGCAACACGACACTGACAGCGCCTCACTTCTACCTCTTCTTTTCCTCTATCTCTTGCTCGCAACTCTACTCCACTATCAAACGTTCCAGGTACCAGCAAACGTTCGTACTTGCAGTCTACGTCAAGAACACACACCGCAACAATGCCTATGAGCTGGGATGCTGCGGCTGATGCCAAGGTGAGTTCTTGTCTTGCTTTGCTCTGTCCTCTGGCTTCTTTGTATTCATCGGGACTAAGAAGAAGCGGAGGAGGCGAAGGTGAATATGGGATACATGCTGACAATGGAAACAGTTGTTCACTGTTGTCATGGCAGTCTACGATGTCAAGATTTCCGGCGCACAGAACGAGAGAATTGCCAAGTTGATGGGAGAAGGTGAGTTTCTCTTCTTTCTGTTCCCCTGCTCTTGTTTTGGGTTTGTTATGGCGCCTTGTGGTTTTCTGTTTCTTGCTGCTTATTGCTTGCTTTGGGAACCACTGACAGCAATACAGACGTCACNNCCCAAAGCCATCACCCACCGTCTCTCCAAGATCAAAGCCCAAGCCGCATCTTTCGCCCCTAAAACTCCTAGCTCTCGCAAACACACTGCCCCCACTAAGACTCCCTCTGCCTCTGCCACGAAGGCAAGCGGCAAAGGAAGTGGAAAGGGCGGAAAGGCTCTCTCAGCAACTCACACCATCACAACCCTCATGCACGACAACAACAGCGATGACGAAGAAGACTTCTCCGCCTTTACCCCCACCCACATCGCCAAGAAGAGAAAATTTGGCTCCAAAGGTCCAAAGATTGAGGTTGGAGATGAGAAAGGAAAGTTTCCTGGTATGGATGATGGTGCAGAGGGTAATGGTGATGCTATTGATTTCAGTCTCCAGCATGCATACATCAACACTGTCATTACTCCTGAAATCAAGGTTCAGGATGAGGAAGGCAGCAAGCAAGTTGTGGACTTGACTGCAGATGCGGCGGATGCAGATGGAGGAGCTGGAGATAAGGCACTCACAGTCACCAAGACCAAGGGTAAGGGAAAGCAGAAGGAGACCCGCGAAGTCAAGAAAGAAGATGAGGATGAGATGATGCCGGCTAACGAAAATGTTGATGATGAGATGGTCATTTAAGCCCTTCGCCTTCATTTCCTCATCATCATCATCATCACACACATTCTCGATCGACAAGAGATTATCTTACCTATCCACAAGTATCCCGAAGTCCCAAAGCTTTGAGTCTCAAGTCAACAAGCATCCACTCAAGCCCTGCAACAAGGAAAATCACGAAATTGGAAGGAGGGGAACAGCCACACAAAGCACATGAATGTTTCTATCAACCCACATCAACTCACATCAAACACCAAAAACAACGGCCAAACAATAACGAAAAAAAGAGTGCAACCAAGTCTCCTAGTCACACAAAGTCCAACCATCCAAAAAATTCACAGAAACAAAAAAAAGGCATGTAACAACAGAAACCCTCAAAGGCAGCAATCCGAGCAATGAAATGATCATCCGAAAAGAAAAAGTTTCAACACGATCAGGGAAATAATGACAAGGCGAGGGCGGAGGGAAATACGACTAGTCAAAAAAGCAGCAAGTATAGCTCAAAGTTTGAAACGTTCAAGCAAAAGTCCTCAAACATCACAGTCCATTGAATCATTCTCATTAACACTATTTCCTGTCGTTTGTTTTTCATATATTCTGCATCTCGAAACGAAATGCGGAGAAATGCAAGACATGTAAGGATGGTGAAAGGTGTGATATGGATTTGCTGTGATAGTAAGCATTCTCACTTTATAGAAAAGGAGAAATAGTTATCTTGACTTCTTGCAAAAAAAATACGCACGACGCAGAAGAAGAAAACACGTAAATTATCGCAATGAAACAGAGCTACAAGATAACCAGATGCAACGACATGGGCGCACTCCACAGCTCATACTAATCTGCAAAAGCCATCACAAAGCTATCTAGGCTGGTCCTATAATCAAAGCAAAGCATGGAGTAAAAAGTTTCGAATTGGGACGATGGTTCGAAACAAACAAAAGATAGATGATTGTAAGCTTGATCTACGACAAGGCTTATGGCATAATGCATTTATGAGCTGCAACAGAAAATTATTCGTTCTTGCTTTCTCGAACTTCAGGAATGTTAAGCATCAAGATGAAGCATGTCTTGTTATTTCGAACAAGACAGATAAAAGTCTGCCATTCTTCTCACACTCAGGCGACCACACCCTGACTTTTGAACTCCTGGACCTGCTCCTCGGTATATCCCAGCTGCAACAACACCTCACTCGTATGCTGTCCCAAAGTAGGCGGCGCAGACCGAATACTCGGCGTACTCTCCGAAAACTTGACTGGTGTGTTGACAAGCTTGATAGGCCCACAGGTAGGATGCTCAATGGTTTTTACCATATCTCTCGCCAACACTATCATCTCTTGTCAGCAGAGCAAAAACAACTTGTGAGTATGGTGAAGAGCAAAAGACTTACCATGTTCATGCTTCATGGTGCCTTCAATGTCATTGACAGCTGCATAGGGCATCCCACTGCCCTCAAAGACATCCAACCACTGCTGCGTACTCTTTGTTTTGGTGACTGTAGTAATCAGCTCTTCCAGCAAATCTCTGTTCTGGACTCGGTCCGCATTAGTAACGAATTTTGGGTCGGCTTTCCACTCGCTCTTTTGCAGGCGATCGCAAAGCACGCCGAATAGTCGATCGTTGCCGCCACCCAGCATGATACTACCGTCTTGAGTCTCAAACCCTTTGTAGGGAACAATGGAAGGGTGAGCTGTGCCCCAGCGTCCAGAATCTGGTTTGCCGCTGATGAGGTGTGAAGAGGCGAGGTTGGAGAGGGTGGCGACTTGGCAGTCTGACAGCGAGACGTCTATCCATTGGCCTTTGCCGGTGATGCCGCGTTGGATCAGGGATGCGAGGATGGAGTTTGAGGTGTAGAGACCTGTGGTCAGATCTGTGACTGCAACGCCCACTTTTGCGGGAGGGGCATCGCGGTGGCCGGTTATGTGCATGAGACCCATTTCNTCTGTTTTCCCCTCTCATATTAGCATCTGCAGTCCCGGATTTCGTGAGGATCAGAAACAACAAAGAGAAATCGAAAAAGTCAACACTCACGCTTCAACCATAACATCATACCCNGCCCTATTCGCGTATGGACCTGTCTGCCCATATCCCGTAATACTCGCATAAATCAATTTTGGGTTGACTTTACTCAACGTCTCATAGTCCATCTTATATTTCTTCAGCGCACCAGGCAGGTAATTCTCTACAAGAACATCGCACTCTGCAGCAAGTTTGTGAAGAATCTCAACACCAAGAGGAGATTGGAAGGACAATCCTAGAGACTTTTTGTTGCGATTGACGGAGAGAAAGTAGGCTGATTCTCCAGGGGATGACTTTTGGGTTGGGGTGGAGGTGGGTGAGATGTGGGCGGCATAAGGGGGACCCCAGGCTCGTGTGTCGTCGCCACGGAATGGGTGTTCGATTTTGATGACTTCGGCGCCTAGGTCGCCGAGCATTTGTGTGCAGTATGGCTGTTTTTGGAGAGTGTCAGTTGTGATGTTTGTCTGTGCTTCTACTCAGATCGTGGTGGTGAATGAGTGTGGTGCTTTTGATCATGTGTTTGCTTCTCTTTCATTCTGCTCTTTGATTGCCCTCGATGTTTCCAGTTTTGTTGGCATGGACTATGGTTCATGAAGACATCTGCTTTTGCATGAGGATGGTGAGCATGTAACCCTTTTTCTTGCGAAGCCAGAATCCGCTCTGCCTGCTCTTTCCTCTGCAACCAACTCTTTCTTATCCACATCACAATTTCGTCCATCTCTTCTTTTACTCCATGCACAGTCATACCCAGCATCTCGTAATGCTCTTCTTCTCCCTCCTCAATCCAAGCTCTTTCCATTCCATCTATTCCCGTCTCTTCCCACCTATCCTCCTCTTCAAACGAACTCCAGAAACCAAACCCACTCAAGAAGCACATAATACAATCGCAAAGGCAAGAAAAAAGAAACAGAAATGAAAAGGAACTCACCCCAGCAAGCACTCGAGTCATATCCAACACCTTGACCCCCTTCAACGGCAAAACCTCTTTTGCTGGCGTTGCCGTAGCCAGCCCTCGACACCATCTTCTTCTCCATACCGAGCAAGGTCGTGTGAGCATCGGCATCGCAGCGCGTGGTCCAAGTAGTTGGAAACTCATTGTCGCAACCCTTTGACACTAGAAGAAGGAAAAAGAAAGACAGATACACAGAACAGAGACAAAGGACAGTAAGATCAGAAGAAAGGACGAATGCTACTCTATCTTAGTCGCAAAGAATGAAGTGATGTTGGTTGCGGATTGCGGGCACGAATATGTGGGGATACTCGGGGCCGAGTTTCCGAATGGGTGAACACGGGACCGAGGTCCGATAATCAAATTTGGGCAAGGAACGAACGATGGAAAAAGAACAACAGCAGCGACAAAGCACTTGCTATGTTTTCGCATCACAAAACGACAAGCTCTTGTTTTTGTCGAGATTTTGCAGAGAAAATAGTTGGTCATTTCATCGACGTCGATATGTAGATTCTCACTCCTTCACCCTCCAGAAGCCCTTTGTCCCAGAACACCATTTCCCAATGCAGCATTGAAATATGAAACGAAAACCCCCTCCTATGCTCGAAGACTTTTGATCATCCTCTTCCTCGAACCGAGCATCTAGCGATATAAAAACAATAATCGAGATATAGTGTCATTGCGATTAGCACATGACGTAGGTGCACTTGCCCTTAGCCTCGCGACCCTGCTCGTTGGCCTCGAGAGCATACTCAATCTCGACGTCCAAGTCTCTTCTGTTTCTCTCGTTGGGCTTGCAGAGAAGGGTGCCGTTGAGCTTCTCGCCGGCCTCGACGGTGAGGTTGTCGTCAAGGTAGAAGACGGTCTGCTTCCAGTGCGTGTATTTTGTGTGAGGGCCGGTCGAGAACTTGACGGGCTTGTGGCAGGCCGAGAACTCAATATCGAACCAGGCGATCAGGGCGTGCACGTAGTCGGTGCGGCGGACAGGGAGCGAGTAGGGAAGGTGGAATGCGAGATCGGCCACTTTGCAGGTGTAAAGGTCGAGGGTGATGAGGGGTGCGGGGTCGGTGACAACGGCCTTGAGGTCGACAGTGTCGACGAGGGGCTCGGTGAGGGCGGTGCGCTTGAGGGGAGAGTAGTTGAAGCCCCAGACGTTGTCCCAGACTNNGTGCATTCATGTCAGCAAGAGTGTGTGGGCTAGAGGAAAGAGACGCGACTGACAGTTGATCTTCTCCTCCTTGTAGTCGCCGTCCTCGATGCCGGCAACAAAGATGGTGGCCTTGTCGGGGAAAATGAGACCGCCCTTCTTGAGGTAGCGGTCACGGGCCCACAGGACAGTGTCCAACATGGACTCGTAGAGCAANAAGTAGCCCATCCACTCGGAGATGATGATGTCGACCTCGGGGAAGGGAAGAACAACCTCCTCCATCTTGCCCTGGAGAAGGGTGATCTTGTCGCTCAAGCCGTTGACCTCGACAATCTCCTTTGCCTTGTCGATGATGGTCGACATGTCGACGCCAATGACGTGCTTGGCGCCAGCCTTTGCTGCGAACCTGTGGGATATGTCTCAGCATGCTGTTGTAGAAAGTAAGATTGGGAATGCGCACATGGACAGAATGCTGGTTCCGCATCCAACATCGAGGACGACCTTGTCCTTGAACAGGTGACGGTTCTGGTAGATGGCGTCGCGGTAGCTGCGGGTGCGCACGTCGTCCTTGAGCATCTCCTCGTGGATTCCATGGTGGTTGTAGCTAGCGAGTCTATCAGTCTTGTGCTCGTCAGGATGGCGGAAAGAGGTAAATTACGAGTTGAAGTAGTGCTGCTCAGAGTGAGCAAGACCGGCGAGACGGTCGCCTTGTTGCGGTGCGGCTGCGTTGTTGGCCATGTTTGCTGTGTCGGAAGAGATTCAATTGGGCGAACGCGACGAGATGTGTAAAAATGAATGCGACAAAAGATACAAAAGTGGAAGGAGGATTTTTCTGAGGAAGGAGATGATGCTTTTTCATCCAAAGCAGAAAGCTTCGACTGGACTATAATCGTCCGAGCGCCTTGTCGGACTTTGTCCTTCGAAACGCCGCGACCAGCAGTCCCTGCAAGACCCTGTTGAACTGACCAAGTCTGGACTGCCTTGGCAGTAGTTGGTAGAAGGATGGATAATAGATATATACAGCAAAGAATATTATAGGTTCCAAGCCAGCATCAGCCGACAACCTCATCTGCGCCTGCCATGGTCGCACCGTCCATGCTGCCATTTCGTCCAGACGGTACGAAATGGCTGTAGACTTGTTCATTGTCATCCACCAGCCAATTCAGATCATTCTCCTCAGGAGGAAGCAACGCTGCCAGTCCTTGACCAGGCTTTGGGTAATTTGCTGTGGGATTCTCGAGCTCGTTATACCCTTCATCCACGTCATCATCCGGTCGTACAGGCAGAGGATAGTAGGCATGTTCAGATTCATCAGATGGAGGCTCAGGTGGATTTGGTGGTAGAGGTTCCACTTGAGCTTTGGGAGGGTCAAGCAGGTCCGAAAGTGTTGTGGGTAAAGGTGTCTGGAGAGCTCCTGGTGGGAACAAGGCCAGTTCTGGGTGCGCTTGCTCTGCTCGTAGCAGCAAATCAACCAGCGCATTGGTCGGGAGCAACATCAAGACATCTCGTTTCTGCAGCTGTCAGCTAAAGATTGTTGATTGTTCCAGAAGGATACACACCTGATGATCCATCAAGTCTCCTCCAGATACGAACGAATCCACAGCAACATTAGGCGGCGGTCGCACGGTACAGTCTGAGCAGAACCATTCCATGTCGGGTACATCTACAACCTCCTGACTAATAGACGGGTAATGGCAGTAGCGGTGATAGGGAGTGTTGCACCCATCACAAAATACTATCATGTTGGTGGCTGGACTGTGAGGTCGGAGACATTGTTTGCACACTGCCAGTTCCGGGTTCCTGCGTCCCCAATTGCGCTTACGTTTAGTACCAGAGGTGGGTGAGGGTATGACGGGTACGAAGGTGGTGGGTTTTGTGATTGCGCGACCAGAACGTGAGGTCGTGGCTAGCGGTGTGTTCTCAGCGTCGTCCAGCAAGTCATCATCGCTATCGGAGCTGACTTCGTGAATCTTGATGCCCTCAGCAAGAGGCTTCCTGCCGCCTCTGCCACCTCTTCCTCTCGGACGACCTCCTCGTCCTCGGCCACGACCTCGACCTGAGGACGGTGGTGTTTCTGCAGCTGCAGACGCTGGCGATCCGGCNGGTTCCTGCCAATGTACCTCGTCCTCTGCCTCTTCCTCGACTGCCTCGTGGACGGCCTCCACGATTCCTCCCCGTCCTCCTCGCACAACTGGTGTTGTAGCATCAATTGACGTATCCATATCTTCTTCTTTCACTCTTGCGCCAGTACCGATCGTGTCCTCAGCACCTAGCGAGGTCGAGGTGGTCATGTTCTTGAGAACGGCATTTCTAGCGGCTTCCCACTCCTGACTACCATAAACAGTGGACGAGTTTGTTGGAGGCAATCGCCCCAGGATGTTTTCAGTGGCTGGAGAGAAGGACTTTATGGCGGGATGGATAGTGGTATTGTCTATCGGAGCATTGATCGAAGGAGTTATAGCCGCCGGCGCATGGGCTGATGGAGCGTTCAGAGACGATGGCTGAGTTGAATTGGCAGAAGGAAGCGCATTTGGGTGAGCAGCACCGGAGGAAGGAGCGACGACTGGTTGATCATCACTGTGGGCAGTCGACATATCGACGTCTGATGGAAGCAGTCGCGAGCAATCGCACCTTCCGCATGACATACAGTCTTCAGCCACAGTGTGGCTGAAGAGTTGCGGCGCCTACGTCAGCGGGTTCGCGTGGACATCAACAAATGTCGAGCGTTTCTGATCCCCTCGCACGACAACAACAATGCCTGTACCAGAACGACCGTCAATCGCCGTTACGGCTGCGAACAAGACTGAGCGCCACGACTTTGCAGATTCGACCACTCCTCCACCGCAATCCTCGCCCTCACCGAGCCCCCTCTTCATCAGCCACNGGCCCGTCTCTCCCAAACTCTCGACGTCCTCCTCCACCAAGACAGCAGAGCCGGCGCGTCCAAGATGGATCCTCCACTTGCAGGCCCAGATGTGGCGCTTCCTCATGGGCATTGGCATGCTGCTCCACCGCATGGCGCCTCCCCACCCTCCTAAACCATCGTTCAAGCGCTCCATTAAGGCCACCGTCAGTTCCAAGCCTGGTGACTTCGACCTGCACTTTTACGTGCCCAAGGATTACGAACAACACCGCCGCACAAACTTTGCAAAGAAAAAGTACCCCTGCGTCATCAACTTCCACGGCGGAGGCTTCACCTTGGGCAGCCCTAGTGATGATGCCCGCTGGTGCGGAACTGTCGTCGACGAATGTGCTGCCGTTGTCGTGAGCGTCGATTACCGTCTGGCCNCCGAAAACCCCTTCCCTACCGCCGTTGAGGATGGAGTCGACGCTGTGCTGTACATGGCCAACAACGCCGACGAACTCGGCATTGACGAAAACAAGATCGCTCTATCTGGCTTCAGCTCCGGTGCCAACATGGCCTTCACCGTACCCCTCCGCCTTTATGACCACCAGAGCGAGTTTGGCAGAATCGAGACTCATGGTGCGAGTTCATCCCTGCTAAGTCTGCCCAGGACTCAAGATCCCAGCTCGTCCAGTCTGAGCGTCGACCGCATCATACGCAGCCGCAGTCATACGGTTGCTCCCACCTTGGCCTCGCTGCAGAAACAGCAAATGACGGTCAAGCAAGTCGAGTCGGTCCAGTCTGTTTCTGTTTGCGCCATCGTCCCTTGGTACCCGTCTTGCGACTACACCCAAACCCGTGAAGAGCGCAGAAACACTTCGGTCCGCACCGATCAGGATCTCCCCGCCATCTTTACCAATCTGTTTGACGAGTCATACCTTCATCCTCCAGACACGATTCCTCTCGACTCCCCCTACCTCTCGCCTGGCATTGCACCCACAGCCTTCCTCGCCGAAGCCCTGCCCCAAGACATCATCATGCATACCTGTCAATGGGACATGCTCTTGGCCGAGGGCGAAAAGTTCCGCGACCGCTTGACCGGCAAGGGCATCAACAAGACCGTCCATTACAAGATGATTGAAGGCGTGCCTCACGGCTGGGACAAGGCACCCAACCCTCTCAAACCTACTCCTGGTGTCAAGGAGCACTATCTCAATGCTACCAACCATCTACGACGAATCTTTGCCAAACAAGGCGGTAATGCTAACGAAGATGCAACCATTGGTGGTGTAGCTGGTGAAGGCAGAAGAATGAGTACACTGGTCAATTAGATGTCTCTGCTTTTCTTTGTCGTCGATTATAGCATGCAAATCTAGCCTTTTCTATCCTTTCACTTTGGGTCTTTTCTCATACCTCACTCCGCCGGAAGCCACTGGATATTTCGCTGATCCCTGCATTACACCATTTCCTTGGAATCATCATTGTGCTACTCTACAAAGGGGCAAAGATCTTCTGTGTCCGCACATCGAAGGATTGCCCAGCAGAAGGATCCGCCAAGTTTCTTGCGTCTTCACTAGTGCGATCCATACATCGTTTGTTATTCACTATATCTCGGGTGAACTCGCCTGTACAAGCAGTCATCTTATCATGACTCGCACACATCTTATCAATCAGCCGGATCACGCTAGGAGTCCGCATCCTTCCACGTCTTGTTGAGGCTCTTGGGGTTTTTGGCGCCGAGTACCCCAGTTGTGTTCGTTGGCTCTGGATGGGCACTTGGGAAGATCTTGTGCTTTTTGTACTGATTGGGTTAGTGAGTGGTTGCGTCTGCGTTGGTGCTTTGGGGTCTTTGCATCTATGGCTTTTTGTGCTGCGCAGGTGAGCTTTTTGCATCTGTGGAATCGTGTTTTGCTGCGTGGGCTGATTTGATGGCAATCTAGGTGTTTTTCTCGGTCGGTACCAATGGGTTGATTTATACGTATTGCGTGCTCGCGGCCGATATTACTGATTTGAGGAATCGTGGTCTGGCGTTTGCGTTTACGTCGTCGCCATATATGATTACAGCGTTTGCTGGGTCCAAGGCTGCCGAGGGATTTTTGTTGAATGTCAATTGGCGATGGGGCTTTGGGGCGTTCGCGATCATCTTTCCTTGTGTCACTGCTCCGTTGTTTGCAGTGTTGAAGGTCAACGAGTACAAGGCTAAGAAACAAGGTCTTTTGGTCCGAGGGAGCAGTGGTCCATTTACCATTGGCAGAGTTTGGAGAGGTATTCTTGACTTTGATTGTGAGTTGAGCGAGTAGCCTTGGTGTTGTGGAGAGACGCTGACAAGTCATGATAGTGCTTGGTGTCATCCTGGTCGCTGGCGGTTTGACAGTGTTTTTGCTGCCGTTCAACCTGGCAACATCAGCTCCGAAGGGATGGTCGACCGATTACATCATTGCCATGATTGTTACTGGTATTGTCATGTTGGCTTTGTTTGCTCTGCATGAGATTTACCTTCCTCCCGCGCCGTTGTTGAAGCAGCAATACCTGATGAACCGAACCGTCATATTCACCTGCCTGCTCGATGCCACCTACCAGATGCCATAGTACTGCTGGAACTCCCACTTTACGTCGTTTCTCCAGGTTGTCAGTAATCTGAAAGTGACCGAGGCTGGATACTTCAACAGCACATTCTCAGTTGTGTCAGGGTTCCTGTTATTCTGCGTGGGTTACCTGATCCGCAGAACTGGTCACTCCAAATGGCTTTTGGTCATCGCAGTGCCCCTTTACATTTTCGCTTTGGGTCTCATGATCCACTTCCGTCAGCCCAACCAGTACATTGGCTACATTGTCATGTGCGAGATTTTCATCTCGATTGGTGGTGCCATCATCACACTCATCGTGCAGCTGGCAGTTCTCGCATCAGTCGATCACCAACACGTTGCTGCCGTCTTGTCGTTACTGTACATCAGCGGCGGCGTCGGTGGAGCCATCGGCAACACAATCTCTGGCACCCTCTGGACAAACACGTTCGAGAATGGACTTGTGCGCTATCTTCCTGAATCAGCGCAAGCCAATCTCACGACTATTTATGCGAGTCTGCCTGTTCAGTTGTCGTATCCAGTCAACAGCCCTGAGCGCATTTGTATCCAAAAGCATATGAATATGCACAAACAGGGATGTTGTCGGTTGGTGTTGGATTAATGGGCTTGTCGCTGATCTAGATCTGTTTCATCAAGAATCTGAATGTGAACAAGATAAAGCAGACCAAGGGCGTGGTCTTCTAAGCATTGGCAGTATGCATCGAAGCGTCTGAGTCTGTGGCGTATGTTGAGATGAAGATGACTAAAAGCGTCATGTCATTGGTACTCCAATTCGATTTTGTGTTCTTGCTCCAATTCTGTGCCGACTATGTTTGACGAAGTGTGAGAGTTGGCGTGTTGCTTCTTGCTGTGGGTAATGAGCTTCGGAAAGCTGCATGCGTCACCCATTGCATTCATGCACATCTAACGTAGTGAGTAGAACACGGGTCCATACAGCAAGTTCGCTGTGAGCGGTGATTAAGAAGTGATTGTGAGTGAATCTTGTAATCTCCTCAATGTCTCGTCGCGTTTCTGCCAAGCCAAGCTCCGGCATTCCTTCTCAGGTTTCTGACAAGTTCAATCTTTCCTTCCAATGTCGACATTACCGGTCTATATCAAACATTGTAAGTTTGCTCTTGATACACAATGGCCATGACTCCTCCAGTAAGCGGAATATTCCTGCACGTCAAAGGGCTAGACGAAGCGGCAAAACAGCCATCTCCTCAGCTCTTTCAACATCCCCCGGTCATCTGCAGTTCGCACAACCTCGGCCATTTGTGAATAGTTTCAGGCTACAACGACATCAACGAACTACAATCAACCCGACATCAAGCTTCTCCCTTCGAGGGGTCCTTTGAGCCTCCCGCCCGGTATACCGCTCAAATTATTGCTTTACAGCCTGTACGGGCTTGGCTTTGCTGGGCAAAGATATATCAACGAGTTTACCCTCCTTGGCAACGCATACCACTTCATATCAATTTGCGCCACCAAGTCCAAGTCCTCGAATGAGCTCTGCATCAAGGTTGACTAGTGAGGGGCAAGTAAATTACCCCAGAGGGGAAATGTATATCCCCACAGTATGCACCTCTGCGGAGGCGATCAGTGGAGGAAGGCCTGGCCTTTGCTTCGTGTATAGCCGACTCGGACTACTGCAATGGAACTCCTCCAAAGTGCGATGCCGCTTCTGGTATGCATCTTGATTGCGGCTGGTGGACGGTTAATCTAGGTTGAAGAGGAGGTAGATGCAGAGGTAAGTGTATAGTGTTCGGGATTTATCCCAGGACGAATACAAAAGGACCTTCTGCCCTTCGTATATTGCAAGATCTTCATCGACAGATCATCTCAGTACATCAACCAACCACTTGGGCCCAGAATAAAACCTTGGAAAACATGCATCTCCCTAGCATCACCGCGGCCCTAGCTCTAGTCGGCTTCAGTGCTGCCACTCCTACAGAGTAAATCTTTTCTGTCGACACTCAATGTTCCTCACAAGTCTAACATCAACACTTCAGTTACAGCACCTCCTCATCCTCCTCCAAGAACCAAGGTCTCGCTCAAGCGTGGACCTCTAAGGGCCGCCAATACATTGGTACTTCCCTTACCATCCGCGACGACCCCATCGAACAAGGCATCATCCAGTCGCGTACCGACTTCAACTCCATCACTCCCGAGAATGCCATGAAATGGGAGTCCACCGAGCCTCAACGCAACAACTTTACTTTTGCTGCTGCAGACGCCATCGTAGACTTTGCCGATAGATACGACAAGGAGATTAGATGCCACAATCTAGTCTGGCACTCTCAGCTGCCCGCCTGGGTCAGTCAAGGAAACTTTGACAACAAGACGTTGATTTCCATCATGGAGAACCACATCAAGAAACTCGCTGGACGATACAAGAACAAGTGCACGCATTGGGATGTTGTCAATGAAGCTCTGGAAGAAGATGGCACTTACCGCAAGTCCGTCTTCTACAACACCATTGGAGAAGCCTTTATCCCCATTGCTTTCCGCTTTGCCGAGAAGTACGCCGGCTCAAAGACAAAGCTGTACTACAACGACTACAACCTCGAGTACGGCAGTGCCAAGGCCCTTGGTGCTCAACGTATCGTGAAGCTCATTCAGAGCTATGGTGCAAAGATTGACGGTGTTGGTTTACAGGCACATCTGAGCTCTGAGGCTACTGCATCAACTGGTGGCGGTGTTACCCCTGACGTCAAGACTCTGACTAACGTCCTCAAATTGTACACTGACCTCGGCGTCGAAGTCGCATACACAGAGCTGGACGTCAGATTCACCACCCCAGCCACCGATGCCAAGTTGAAGGCTCAAGCAGATGCATACGCTAGAGTTGTCCAGTCTTGCATCAACGTAAAGAAGTGTGTTGGTATCACTGTCTGGGTAAGTTATGCTGTCTTATCCTCTTTTCCCTTTCGTCGTTTTTGCTCTTTATAAGGCATACAGCTGACTTGTTGGTGCGAAATAGNNGGTGTTTCGGACAAGTACTCTTGGATCCCTGGTGTTTTCCCTACCGAAGGCGCGGCCTTGCTGTGGGACGAGAATTTCAACAAGAAGCCGGCATACTACTCTGTCCTCAAGACCATTCAGGCTTGGCGCAAGACTTGAGTATAAGTGGCAGCAGTGGCGCTCAAAAGACCATGAGTGGAAGGAAGAAGAGAGAGCAGCTTTGTATCTGAGTGTATTGCGTATTCATCTCGTTCATGATCACCGGGTCTTGTCCACGACCACAGCGAGTTTATGTGGCAGAATCTTGCTAACAGTGATATTCAACATGTCTGGAGCATTGTATGTGTGATTCGTTACTCTGGATAAGTGCCGTGCCCTTGTCGCAAGAATTCCATGCATCGCTTGTTGGGCATTAAGAGATGGGAATTGAGACTTGCATGATGGCACAGCCGCGCCGATGGCCCACTCCATAACTTCCAAACACATGCTCATGCAGGCAAAAACACGCCTTTCTTCTCCACAGCCTCAAATACCGCTTCCGTGTGCTCAACAACTTTTTCCTGGAACCCTTCAGCTCTCAACTTCTGATAAAACTTGCTGATGTCGTTGGTTTCGTTTGTGTAGGTGAGGGAATATGCGCCTCCNCCTACAAATCCATCGGTCGCTATTGCTGTCTCTGCGATTTCGAGTCCTTTGTCTTGCGCCGGATATCTGTCCGTGCACAAATATAACACTCTTTGTCCAATTTCCTCTGCAGAAATATACATGGGTAAGAATTTTACCACTGGCTTAGCAGCTCCCCAAGCAAGTTTGAACCACCAAGGAAAATTTGGATCCTCAAAGCCTTTATGCACAACCAAGCCAGGATAAACATGCGAAAATGATAATTTGCCAGCATGTTTGGCAGCCAAGTGTTCGAAAAACATGGTTTTCATGAAGACGCAATGGGTGCGGCAGTTTGCGAAAGAGTAGTTTTTGGGTGTGGTGAGGGAGAGATCGGAGACGTGTAGGGATCCTTGATTTTCCATGCCTGCGGCATATACGGAGATTATTTTCGCGCCGGTGGGGAGGCTAGAGGAGAGGAGGAGTGGCAGAAGGTTTGTCGTGAAGCGGATGCGTGAGTAGTAGAGTAGAGACATTGATTTGTCTAGACCTTCTTTTGTGTCTTTTTCGATGGTGGATGGTTAGTTTAGAAGATAAGAGAAGAAGGGGATAGGGGTGGAAGACTGACCAATCCGTCCTCCAAATTCTACTTTTCCTTGGGTCATGATTAACATATCTATTCCTTTCGTCTTTGTCGCTTCCACGATCTTCTTGATCTCATCGCAAGCTTTGTCTACACTTTGCAGCAAACTTATGTCGCCAGCCTGCACAAAGTGAAACTCTGCAGTGGTACACAGTGACTTGCATTCATCAATGATTGTGCGAGCAGCGTTTTCATTGCGGCCAACAAGGATAATCCGTAGTCCTGGTCCTGAGTTTCCATTTGTCTTGCAAAGTTCGCGAACGGTGAATTCGCCGATGCCGTTCGTCGCTCCTACGAATACGGCTGTGAGGCGTTGTTGCTTGATAAATGCAGTATTCGCGCTTGCGATGGTATTAAGCTTGACCATGTTTTCGAAAGCTTGAAAGTAACAAGTGGTGAGGAAACTGCTTGTCGAAAAAGCTTAGCAGATGTGCGTAAATATATAAAGTCGCATCGGTTGAAGGATGTGCCGATATTTGTTGCGTGGTTGCGAGTGCGAGGGTGCATCGTTCGAAGTCGCTGTTTCGTCTGTTTTGGGCTTAGGCACGGTTGAAAATTGCTCCGAGGTATACAACGTGGTGGATACACCACATCTTGCGAGGGTATTCACACTAGCGGGCTGCATAATAGCCCCAATCGCTGGAGTAGTATGGTCTTTGTGTTGATAAAGTCTCAATGCCAGCGGTATTGTATAGAGATTATGTAGATGCTATGGAAGCTTGTTGCTGGGAGCACCCTGACAGTATGGATTGGTTGACCCGAATAGTCTTGCAATACTAGGTCTTCGTAAGTCGTATATTGTGCTTGCTCCAATCCGACCATTGCATGTATTCATGTATTGCGAGTGACCTTCAACAAACTGGAACCAATCGTAAGAGGAAAGTGAGAACAGGGAACATCACACAGACCCAAGATAATGCTAATCGTCAAGTGAACATATCCAAACTCCATCTCTGGCACCTAGACCTCAAAAATATTTCATTTCCGCTCTTAGAACGATCGTCCATCCGAAGGAGTATGCAGTCACATTGGCGCTACACCATAGGTATTCTGTGCCGCCTGCGTCCATTGCGTCAAGTCTCCAAAGTCTATGTCAAGATCCGGATTTGTGTAGCCTTCCTCCCAGAGCCCAAAGTCAACATCTCCAGCATCGTATGAAAACATTTGGTCAACGTCCACAAATGTCGTGTTTTGCTGGGGCATTGGGGCAGCAGGAGGGGTAGACGTCGCGTTGGCAGCCGAGAGCGAGATCAAGGAGCGCAAGTGAGATAGCAATTGATATCTCGCAGCAATGTGTGTGTTGCCTCTGTCAGCCATACTCCGAAGAAGCTCGAGTGATTGATCCATGGCGAAGATTTCTGATCTACTGGCAGGGAAGGCAACACAAACCATGACAAGAACGATAGCCGCAGAGAAGGCATGTTCGCCATCCATGTAGCCATAAGTCGCGACGAGATCCATTTTTGANGCATGTGTCATCATAGTAACAGAGTCTTTTGCAGCCGAGACACAAAGACAGATGACAGCGATGGTCGTTGGAGATAAGCCATCTTTCCAGTCTTTGCCAAGGTCGTCAGCGTTTCCATGTAACCGCTTCTCTACCACATGAAAGAGAAGAGGTCGAGCAGTGAGGTTGATGCATTGATGATAATGCAGGAGTGTCGAGACAGACTCTCGGGATACACTCAGCTTCGCAGGATCGAAGCGAAGCTCGTTGGGCAAATCGCGGTGCCATGTGGATAGATCGGTCATGATCTCCGAGACGGACGCAATAAGTGTCGAGCCGCTTTTGGGTGTTTTTCTGTAGATTGTTTTCATGATCCGTCCAAGTATTCGAGACAGTTGTGTATAGTGTCGCAAGCAAACTGCAGAGCAGTACTCGGGCTCATTGCCCATTCTTTTNGGAAGCTTGACGGCAATGTCTTGATCATCGATAGTCAAGGGATTACCAGATTTCACGCAAAGTATCCTATCGAGTGAATAGACGCTCCACCAGATGCGACGACGATGCTCTTTGCTCGCTTCGTCGAGACGAGGATCTGGTACTTCTTGGTGTAAAGCAAGAGATATGGCCATCCTCAACGCAGTGCCTACGTACAAGAAGGCAGCATCGCGGCGATTGAGATTCTGCATAAAGTACCCAATCAAGGCCAAGACGCCTACGAATAGGACAGATCCTTCTTCGTGAATGTCGGGTAAATATTGCAAAGCTTGCGTGAAAAAGTCAAAGCCTGGGGGCCCATCAAAACCAGACCACTGGTTGACGGAATATAGCTGACCAAAAGCCAGTACCAGGAGGGTTTGGCAATAAGCGAGGCAGGCTTCTCTATCACCAACATCTGGAGGTCCTTTGTATGCTTGTTGTAATTGTTCTTCAAANACTTCAGGGGTGCAGAATGCAAAGATTGTTCCGATATAGGAGTGCTGAGCGATGTACAGACGTTTTGCAAAGGCAGCAGGAGGTAGCATCACGTTATCGACAATCGAAAGTCGGCGCAACCGCAGGGCAGAATGGTTATACGTCGAATACTCTCGGTCTAGATCGTAATAAGGGTTCGTGATGCCTACGATATCTTGAAATCTCCTACCAAGAATTGTTGACGAAGAGCTTCCAAGATAATGGTGCTTACCAGAGGGGCTGATGACAAGATTGGCGAAGTTGTCCATGAGAGGGTTTACGTCGAGCTCTAGGTCGTTGCTTCCACTGACAAGCGAGGGTGGATGAATTGCTGCTGAGGAACTTGCTNNGTGAGTCTGTATCAGTACGAAGGGAGTAAGACTTGTGCTGGCATGGCGTTCAATACCCTCGTATGACTCCAGCTTGGTCTGAAGGTTTTGTAAATAACTGNNGATAGGGATCAGCGACCACCCTGTCAGCTGCCCTTGGTGAGCTTTGTATTACCTCTGTGATACCATAATTTTGGGATCAAAATCGTATATACACTCGTGATTGCCTTTGCTGCAACTTGAGCAGATAGGCTGGTCCTTGGAGCAGTATGTGCGACGGCCTCTACATCTGTTGCATGCCACTGGACGGCTCAGGTTGCATTCAGACGACGGAGAGATGCCTGTTATACTCGCAGCCATTTTCTCTATCCTACGTCGGTTTTGCTGATCATGTCAGTTGGCAGGAATGAGACTTCCCCACAGTCATGTATGGCGAAGGGACCGCCGGCTGCTGAGAGCGAGTTCGTAGCTGTGTGGACGTTGGAAGAACAGGATTTCCCCGGATATCACGAGGTGCTAAGCATGTTATTAATGGTTGATGGCATCAGAGCGATGTGATAATGAAAATTAGTAGCGCCATGTATAGGGACGAGTCAGACGTCGCTCCGGTCTCCCGGTCTTCGCTGTCCAGTAGTTGATATCGTGACGCTCGGACTGCCTCCCGATCCAGCGATAGCGCATCCCCTTACGGTCCAGTGGCTTGGCGCGTCGCTGTCCGTCCCCGATCAATCCTGCCGGTGCTGCTATCGCTCCGCTTTTCTCCTCGCTGTCACATCCCGATACCCTGGCGGCCATCGAGAGCGATCAGAGCTCGCAACGGCAATGTCATCGTTCTCGTAGAGGAACGGAATCTTATCTCCTGGAGAAGGTGCCCGCTCATGCGGGGTACATGCCTCGTGGTTGAAGGCATATCTACAAGATAGGCAGAAGATCGGCTGAACGCCAGAATGGCCAGTACAAGATACATATTGCATAAGTTTAGCCCATCTCTCGAACACTCATCAACCTGTAATCTATTCCACTTCTTTGGTCAACATGCCTGAGAAATATGACGACCACGCGTTGGATGGTGAGAAGCATGCTGTCGATGTACAGCTTGGAGAGTTCATCGACCCTGGCAGGGAGAAGAAGCTTCTTGCCAAATTGGACTTTGCACTTGTTCCCATCATCATGTTGACCTACCTCGCGTGTTTCCTCGACCGCAGCAATATTGGCAATGTAAGACTGCAACAAAAAGGTGCTGCACGTATCTTAGCTGACAAAGTCTAGGTCAAAGTTGCTGGCATGCCCGAAGACATCGGTGCAAGCGCAGAACAGTTCTCGACCGCAGTATCTATCTTCTACGCCACATGTGTCTTGTCAGAGACGCCATGGGCTGTTCTGTTGAAGAAGTTCACGCCCAAGTACACTATCGGTGGTCTCTGTGTTGTCTGGAGCTTGACGACCATCTTCAGTGGCTTCATCACCAGCGTCGGTGGTCTCTACATAGCTCGCCTTGTTCTTGGAGCCTGCGAGGGAGGCCTTTTCCCAGGCTTGAATTTATACCTGACAATGGTCTACAAGAGAGAAGAGATGGCCAAGAGAGTGGCTTACCTTTTCGTCTGTACGANNGCCCTCGCGGGCGCTTTCGGTGGTCTTCTGGCATACGGAATTCTTCAAATGGACGGAGTATCTGGTTTGGCTGGCTGGAAATGGGTCTACATCATCGAGGTCAGTCCCAACATGTCATTTTACAGTACCAAGTCTAACATACCAAAGGGTATTTTCTCGGTCGGCGTAGCAATCGTTGTGTTTGTCTTCTTGCCCAACGATCCTAACAATGCATACTTCCTCAACGACGATGACAAGCAGTTGATGCAGGTCAGAGCAAGACAACGCGCAGCATACATGGGGTCTGAGGATTTCAGCTGGGCAGAAGTCAAGATCGCTCTCACTGATCCCAAGGTCATTCTTAGTGGTCTTATACAATTCTGGTATGTTTTCTACCTTGAACGTCAAGAGCTCAGTCACTAAGAAGTTACAAGTCAAGATATTCTTCTCTACGGCTTCTCGACCTTCCTGCCATCTATTATCAAGTCGTTGGGTTACAACTCCCTCCAAGCGCAATATCTTACCATCCCGGTCTACATCTTCGGTGGTCTCGCATTCATGGCTGTCGCTTGGTTCTCGGACCGTACCAGTATTCGTGGACCGCTAGTAGCATTCGCCAACATATTTGGCATCATTGGATATGTCCTGATTATTTGCCCAACACCACACGGTATCAAGTTCCTGGGCACTTTCCTGTGTGCTGTCGCTGTCTACAACGGACCTGGTCTAAACATGAGTTGGCTGAACGTCAATGTCGCACCACAATACCGCCGAGCCACTGCGATTGGTTTCCAGCAGACTATCGGTAATACTGCAGGTATTGTAGCAGGACAAATCTACAGAAAGAGTCCATATGTGCTCGGTAACTCCTTTTCGCTTGGAGCTCTTGGAGTGGCACAGATCTTGATTGCTTGCAAATGGCTCTATCTCAGACATTGCAACAACGTCAAGGAGAGAATCGCGAATGGCGAGGCAGATACCAGGAAGGTGCAGACTGGAGATGCTGCTACGGACTTCAAGTACCATCTGTGATCGTCGAGACATTTGTTGATGGCCTATGTACAATCGGCGCACACATATCTGTTTTCACGAGACTGATTTAGACTATCAATCAAGAATTTATCATTTTACACTTTGAAATGTGATGATCAGGAAAGCGAGTGAGCGTTGTACAGATTGCGGAAGGATAAAAAGTAACGTCCTGGGGCTCATTTTCGTACGAGCATTCGGCTGAGTTGACAGAACCAATGAATCGTAAATCTTTTCATGAGAACATATGTAGATATCAACGATCAAATGCTAAATACATCTTCATCCTTCACATCGAGCAGAATCATGTGTCCAGGGGCGTGTCCCAGCACAGTCCCTTTGAGCCCAGCTCTCATCACAGCTTCCTGGGGNGTGACACCACACCCCCAAAATACAGGAACAATATCGTCGTTGCTTCGATCCAGTGGCTGACCATCCAGCTCCAATGGTGCGTCACCCCAATCAGGCTTGTTGATATCTGAGATGCCCAAATCTTTCATGCCATTCCAACCCCAAGCTATGGGCTCTCCATGTGTCGCTACAAACCGCCGTGTGATGTCTCTCACTTGTTCAATGCCTGATCGCCTGTATGGACGCATCGATACGACATAAGTCGCTCCTGTGAAGACCCCAGCAGGACAGAGTGGGATGTTCGTTCGATACATTGGAACATTCCTCTGCATAAAAGTATGACGAGGAGGAAAACCAGCTTTGATCAAAGCAGTCTCGAAACTATACGAGCAGCCAATCAAGAAAGCAACGTGGTCCTCACTCCATTCAGCAGCGATATTCTCGACGTGAGAGGCAGATAGGACTCCGTCTCGGTAGACCATGTATCGGGGAGCATCATGGCGAATGTCGATGTCAGATGCAATCTGTTGCCCTGTCAAGCCGGCGAGGTGAGACTCCAGGCTATCGTAGGAGCCAATTTGTGAAGATTCGGCCAGGAGAGGACAAGGGACAGGATTTCGGGCACAGATGAGGCGGAAATCAGCAGCATAACGCGAAGGTAGAACAATGAGGTTGGCTTGAAGAAAGGAAGGAGCGAGGCTAGACGATGTGACGCCGGTCAAAGTGCCCTTTCTGGCAGCCAGTCGCACAGCCACTCCAGTAGATATATGTTCGATGGCCATGTCGACGTGTGAATATTAAGCTTGCTGCTGGCCATCTATATGGTTGATATCTGAATATCTTCCTACATCGGTCTCACGGGCAAGCCAGCATACTCTCCGCGCAAGTCTGCGACCACTGATAGGCGGGCATGTTTTGCGACGGGTATCAAAGTATCGGTGGGGGTGCTTGTCGGGGAAGGAGCGCGAGAGATGGTCAAAGCGTCGGTGTGGGTCCCCGATCGTTTCCTTCCTTATCGTCATGCGCGCACTCCTTCAACTCGAACATCGCGTTGAGGGCCCCCGATCATGCCCGGTCAATCAAACGATCCTTATTATGTGAGTAAATCTACATGGCGGCCTCGCGGCCGAGGTAGGTTCGTGATATAAGTCCATCTCGAGGACCTCTAAGCTTTTGGCATACTCATTTCAGTACGCAACAATGGCCATCAAATCACTTCAGATTCGCGTCTCTATCGACAGAGGCGGTACCTTCACTGATGTCCACGCCGCGACACCTGGACGAGAAGATATCATCCTGAAGCTTCTCTCGGTGGATCCTGCCAACTACCAAGATGCACCGACGGAAGGTATCAGACGGATCTTGGAGTTGGCTACAGGTCACCCGCATCCCAGAGGCCAACTCCTGGACCTCTTCCACATCGCAAACATCAAGATGGGCACAACTGTTGCAACCAACGCATTGTTAGAAAGGAAGGGTGCCAGATCTGCCCTGCTCATCACGAAAGGTTTCAAGGATCTGCTTCTCATCGGCAATCAATCACGGCCAAACATCTTCGATCTGTCAGCAGCGAAACCTGATGTCCTTTACGAGCATGTAATCGAGGTCGACGAGCGCGTGACTATGGAAGACTATACGGAAAATCCGAATCCTGAGACGGTCAAGCTGGATGGTTCAGATCCTGACATCGAGGAGGCGGTCACTGGCGAACGTATCCGTATACTGCAACGACCAGACCCAGAGGCCATGTTGGACACGCTCGAACAACTATGGGATCAAGGATACCGCTCGATTTCCATCGTCTTCCTCCATTCTTACGCATATCCCGCTCACGAGAACCTTGTTGGCAACTTGGCTGTTTCAATGGGCTTCTCAGTGTCGCTCTCCAGCGCGTTACAGCCTATGATCAAGGCTGTTCCCAGAGGAATGAGTGCTACAGCAGATGCGTACCTCACACCAGTCATCAAGCAATACATCAGTTCAATCTCAGATAACTTCAGAGGTGGGCTTGGAGCTCAGAACACCCGTTGCGAGTTCATGCAATCGGATGGTGGACTTGTTGACTTCCGCAGGTTTGGCGGTCTCAAGGGCATTCTGTCTGGTCCGGCTGGCGGTGTTGTTGGCTATGCTCAGACATCATGGGACGATGACGAACGCCGACCTATTATTGGTTTCGACATGGGTGGTACAAGCACAGACGTTTCGCGTTATGCGGGTGTCTACGAGCACGTCTTCGAGACCACAACCGCAGGAGTTTCTATCCAATCACCTCAACTGGACATCAACACTGTCGCAGCAGGAGGAGGTTCTATCCTTACATGGAAGAATGGTCTGTTCCACGTTGGTCCTGAGTCTGCTTCTGCTCACCCTGGTCCTGCCTGCTATCGTAAGGGAGGACCTTTGACCGTGACTGATGCCAACTTGTTCTTGGGAAGGTTATTACCAGACTATNTTCCCAAGATCTTCGGCCCCAAGGAAGACCAACCGCTCGACCGCGACATCACAGCACGAAAGTTCTTGACGCTGACTGAGGAGATCAACCAACAACAGCGTCAAGACGGTGCCGTCACATTCTCGCCCGAAGAAGTTGCTCTAGGTTTCTTGAATGTTGCCAATGAGGGTATGGCAAGACCTATCAGAGGCTTGACAGAAGCCAGAGGCCATGACACTGCTGCACACCACTTGGCTTGTTTCGGTGGTGCTGGCGGACAACATGCCTGCTCTGTGGCGAAGGTTCTTGGCATCTCAAGGATCATCATTCACAAGTATTCATCAATCTTATCCGCATACGGAATGAGCCTGGCAGACGTTGTGCATGAGATCCAAAAGCCAGCAGCCATGACCTACTCCTCAAAAACTCAGCAAATCATTCAGAAGCAGCTCGAAGATCTCGCTGTCAAGGCATCAATCGAGCTGAAAGAGCAAGGGTTCACCGATGAGGACATCACTTATGAGACCTTCTTGAATCTTCGTTATGCCGGCTCAAGCAGTTCTCTCATGGTGCTCAAGGGTGCTAATTGGGACTTCCAATCGGCATTCGAGGAAAGACATCAGCGCGAATTTGGCTTCCTCTTCCAAGAAAAGCCCATTCTGGTCGACGACTTTCGCGTCAGAGCAATTGGTGCTGCGCATGAGAGGATTGCCGCAAGTCCATACGCACAGCTGACACAAGCCGCTTCTCTCAGTGTTCCCGAAGCCGTACCCAACGCTTCAAATCGTGTGTACTGTGAGGGCAAAGGATACCTGGAAACTCCAACCTATGAGCTACCTACTATCGCTGTCGGCAGCAGAATCCCCGGTCCGGCCTTGATCATTGACAAGACTCAGACTATAGTGGTCCTTCCCAACGCTATCGCAAACGTGCTCGAAAGCTGTGTGGTGATCGATCAGGAAACATCCACTATGACTGTCGACAAAGCTCTTGTGAACGATGAGCTCAGTCCCATCCAGCTTTCCATCTTCGGCCACCGCTTTATGTCTATCGCTGAGCAGATGGGCAGAACACTTCAAAAGACGTCTGTATCTACCAACATCAAGGAGAGACTCGACTTTTCTTGCGCGCTATTTTCCAACGATGGTGGTTTGGTAGCCAACGCACCTCATGTTCCTGTCCATCTTGGCAGTATGCAATTCGCAGTCAAGTACCAACACAATCTGTGGAAGGGGAAGCTGAAGGACGGCGATGTACTTGTGTCCAACCATCCTTCGTCTGGCGGAACCCATCTGCCTGATATCACTGTCATCACTCCCGTCTTTGACGGACAGGATATTGCTTTCTACGTGGCTTCTAGAGGCCACCATGCTGATATTGGTGGTATACTTCCAGGCTCAATGCCCCCAACAAGTACTCAGCTGTACATGGAAGGTGCTGCTATTGAGTCACTAAAGATTGTTGAGGAAGGCAGATTCAATGAGGAAGCGATCACAAAGCTACTTCTCGAGGATCCCGCACAATATGACGGCTGCTCGGGCACCAGATGTCTGAAGGACAACATCTCAGACCTGAAAGCACAAATCGCCGCCAACAAACGTGGTATTACACTGATCCAAGGACTGATCCACGAGTTCGGCCTGGCCACCGTTCATCGCTACATGTATGCCATCCAAAGAGCAAGCGATATCGCCGTGCGAGAACTGCTCAAGCAAAAGTACGAAGAGTTTGGCAAGAAGCCTCTGAAGGCAGTCGATTACATGGATGACGGAACATCGATCGCTCTAGAGATCACAATCAACCCTACAAACGGATCTGCCGTTTTCGACTTTTCGGGCACGGGTCCTCAGGTCTACGGCAACACCAACGCACCGGTCGCAATCACAAACTCAGCAATCATCTACTGTCTCCGCGCGCTCATCTCCTCCGACATTCCTCTCAATCAAGGCTGCCTAAATCCGGTCGACATCAAGATCCCTGAAAACTCGTTGCTGAGTCCAGCAAAAGGCGCAGGTGTCGTCGGTGGCAACGTTCTCACTTCTCAACGCATCACCGACGTCGTGCTCCTCGCCTTCCGCGCGTGCGCCGCCAGTCAAGGCTGCTGCAACAATCTCACCTTTGGCACAGGCGGCAAAGACGAGAAAGGCAACCATGTCAATGGTTTCGGCTACTACGAGACCATTGCTGGCGGCTCTGGTGCAGGACCCACCTGGCAAGGGCAAAGTGGTGTTCATACGCACATGACCAACACCCGCATCACCGACCCCGAAGTGTTCGAAAAGCGCTATCCTTGCATCTTACGACAGTTTGGTTTGCGCGAAGGCTCAGGAGGCAAAGGCAAACACATGGGCGGTGAAGGCACAATCCGGGACATCGAGTTCCGCATGCCAGTTCAATGTTCCATCCTCTCTGAGCGACGCAGCCGTCAACCATATGGCCTTGAAGGTGGTGAAGCTGGCGCATCAGGCCTCAATCTAGTGATCAAGAGGGACGAGTATTCTGAAGAGAAGAGAGTGGTAAATCTGGGTGCTAAAGGCACTATCAAGCTTGGAGAAGGTGATAGAATCATCATCAATTCTCCTGGCGGCGGTGGATGGGGATCTGTGCAAGAAGATGGCCTTGCAGATAGCATGGCGAGAGAAAAGACACAGGCCAAGATCTTGGCGGGCGGGTCGGTGAATGCTTACAAGGCTAGGCAAGAGACGAATTAGAGTCATTGATCTGTAGTAAAGAGATGATCATACTATTCTTTTCTTCGATGATAAACCTCTTTCCTGTTCGGTGACCCTCCATACATTGTCCACTTTTTCGTTCTTGCTTGGACCAAAGAGAAGCGCTCCATGGATCACTTCTTAGATCTTTGCAAGTGACAAAGTTGGTGATACCCTCAGTTTACACTAAACTTTTGATATCTTATAGTCTCTAACACAAGTGCATCTGTATAGCTCACGGTATGATGTTAATCTAAGCCTTGTAGCTAACACTAAAGATCTGGAATCCTTCGACCTTTGAGCTCAGGATAACTTTACCATCCGTGTTGATGGAGATGTGTTGTCCTGTGGAGGTTTGCAACGAATGACCCTTGCCATTGCCCAAGTCATTGATAGAGATTGGCGCTGCCTGAGAACAATCACTCATCTCGCCAATGCCTGCAGCACACTTGCCACTAACCACACTGCTGAGGGTAAATTGATTGTCACCCTGCTCGACCTGGTGCAAAATCCATCGCTGGGATAAGATCTCATGGATGGGACTACTGCGCGTGGCGGTCAAGTAATTGTTGCTGGCCGATAGTGCGAAACCGTTCTTNTCGAACACCAAAAAGCGGCCTTCGGTCAATTGGCCACGCACTAATTTGTAGCCTTGCTCGGTGGCAAGTGCTGAGGCTTCGGATTGCTCGCCATAAGGTACGGGAGGACGTGAGTCGCGGGGGTATTTAGCTTGACATAGAGAATATCCATTGTAGTTTCCTGATTCATCGACCGAGGGNGCGGTAATATCGGGCAAGACGGGAATACTATAGTCAGGCTGTTTGTTGTAAAGATGTTAGAAGCAAGCCATCTGGTGTGTATGCGCGTGGGCCAAAGAATCCGCAAGACCTACGTGAGAAAAGTCGAATGCTTTTGTGAGATCTGCCATGTGTTGTCGGCGCCAAGCTGGAATTTGCGTGGATTCAACGTTGTTGTAGCCTTTTGCCTGAAGCCATTGCTCNTGTTCATCGTTTCAGCTTGTCGTCTCCTACGATGGTCTGAGTATAGTCGATTACTTACCAACAAACTTGATTTGCGATATGTGATCAGCATGTTCGGTGTACACGTTGCCACCACGCGTCCAAGGGGAGACGATGTAGAACGGCAGACGGAAACCTNNAGGCTAGATCAATATATTTACTGTAGAGCAAGGGTCAAGAGACGAACCTGGGCCGGTATATACGTATCCAAACTCATTATAAGGATCTTCAATCCACTCGCCTGCTGTACCATTAGGGGAATGGTAGGGCACGACATGATCGCCCAAACCGCCAGATTCNTAGTGACAAGGGGTTAACGAACATCAATTCGAAGCCTGGTCTTTCTTACCGTCATAACTGATGATGAGGGCAGTGTTCTTGTAGTTTTTGCCATTGACAACAGCCTCGACGACCTTTCGTTGTAGCCATGCTCCGTCCCTGGGTTGATATGGAGGATGCTCGGAGAGTTCGGCAGGGCCAATGATGTACGAAACTTGAGGCAAGGTTCCAGCTGCAGCATCGGCATAGAATTTGTCAAGTCCAACATAAGCCATACCACGTTGACCTAGTGCACTTGTGTTGGATGCATCTTGGAATTGCTTGAACCATGCAAGAGGGTTGTCATCGAAGCTGAACTTTTGTCAGCAACCGACTTTCTTTGACGAGTTTTAAATCACATACTTGTCTGTGTCTTGATAGACCTGCCATGAGACGCCAGCATCTTGGTAGTACTCTGGTATAGTTTTCCACGTGGTGGGATAGCAGTTCAGATTCGGGCCCTCGCATCCAGGAGTTTCNCTACATATGTCAGATTGATGTATCATTTGCATGAGTTTAGTGCTTACATTGTTATCAATGACGATACCACCTTCGGACTGAGACTGCGGAGAGCCTGGTGCGTTGATGGAACCACTTATCCAACTCACGCGGTTGGGGTTTGTTGAAGCAATCACGGACTCCNNTAGAGCAATATCAGCCGCAACATCCTCCAGAAGTCAATGTTCAAACCGCACCTGATACATATCGCCAACTGTCCAGCCTTCGGCAATTGCAAAGTGTATAGGCAGATCAGCGCGCTTGAAGTAGCCCCACGACCATGGGGTGTTTGCAAGTGCCCATTTGTCATTGCGATCTGCATTCAACGCGCCATGATTACTATCCCACCCATTATCGCCAGCAATCAAACACTGCGTCGCTTCCGACCAATTACCACCAAGATAGTTCAGATAGAACGGGAGCAAAGTGTCCGTCTTGTTGGTCAAGGTAGAATTGACGTCNCCTTTCGTATGTATCAGCCATGGCAGAAAGTCTGACTATTTCCGCTGGGGAACCTACTGATGAAAAACAGATCTTCCACCATTGTAGTGCACATTGGGGTCCGCGAATCCTCGGACACCAGCCATGGTGCCGAAGTAATGGTCAAAGGCGCGGTTCTCCTGCATGAACAAAACGACATGGTCGATATCCTTGAGNGAGTCGGCTGCGCTTACGCGTAAACCGAACAGGACAGCGGCCCACACGGTCAGAGCGCGTGTAGTCATGAGCACAATTTAAATTCGAAGACTCGTGGTGTTAAAGCTGTGCTGGAATATGATGGAGTCTTTTCAAGCTTGATATATAATCCCGTTGGCCACAGATTGTTGGGTGTCGAGGGGTACTACAAGCACAAGAAGTGGAGTCCATACGAAGTAGCATTCTCAGTAATGTTCATACAGGGCGGCAATGCGAAATGAATTTTAGGCTCTGTTCACGTCGACCACTCCTACAAGGTGTGAACCTCCACGTGTAGGTTGACCGTGGAGGTATTGAGAGCTATGCCGGGACACGGCAACATGATCGCCGGACGCAGCTTGTATTCGCCAGTGATAGGCCGTCGACGGAGGCTCTTGGCGCCGCTGTAGCCAATTGGTATCACCGTTGAAGCTGCGTGTCGTGGTGATAGACAAGCTTCAACAAGGATTGATTCTCAACAAGCCATTCGGCAAAATTCCGGCAGAGGCAGAGGTGCAACCATACGAACATGTGTTCTACATGTTGCCTATGTCCAGTTCCTTCTGATAGAAGAGCGAACGCTATCATGTAAATCGAGGTATGCCGGCCGTCTTTCTTTACAACCGGACAGATAGCCGTTGAGGTCATCGCGACTTCTGGCGCAGACACTACATCTTCAGCACACTTGTCCCGCATTTGCTTGCGCGCTCTCAGGTGTTGTACGATGCTGGGAAACCATCGAGTTCTCGGTCATGTCCGCGCCCGTGTGCAAAGCGTCTGCCTCGTTCTCCTTGTCTTTGTCGTCTCTACTTCGCTTACTGCGAGGTTTTACGGGAATCTTGACCTTCCGAGCTCGTTCAAAACGACCAGCAGCGGAAGCTATAAGCCTTCGACCTTACCACCATCAACATCATCTTCATCAACATCATCTTCATCAACGATAGCAAGGCTAAACATCCAGCTGCGTCCCGAGGATCATATCACACGAGAGCCAACTACTCTGTCATTCAAGTGGCGCGTAACCTCCGTCTTACAGTATCCTGATGGCGTCGAAAAACTCGTGTTCTTGATCAACGGGCAATTTCCTGGTCCTACCATCGAAGCTCGCTCAGGCGATCGCTTGGTAATCGAGCTCGAGAATGGGCTAAAGACATCTCACACAGCGATTCATTGGCATGGTATCCAGATGGAGGATGCAAATGCGATGGATGGCGCGGTTGGCGTGACCCAGTCTGCCATCAAACCAGGAGAGATGTTTATCTACAATTTCACAATCTCATCATCCGAGCACGGCACCTTCTGGTATCATGCCCACGACCAAGTGCAGAGGGCAGATGGACTGTATGGCGGTCTGATCGTCCACAAACCTTTCCAACAAGATTCGAGGCGTGGAAGCGCAAGCTCAATTGCAACAGAACAGCTTCTGATGGTCAGCGATTGGTATCATCGCAGTGCTACGGACGTGTTATCGAAATACATGAGCCCTGGGTCCTTTGGCCATGAGCCAGTGCCGGACTCACTATTGCTCAACGGACGGGGTTCGTATAATTGCTCCATGGTAGTACCCGCTCGACCAGTTGTATGCACCTCTATCGAACGGCCAACAATTTCGCTGCCACCGATTGGGAGAACGAAGCTCCGCGTTATCAATGTTGGTTCATTCGCCGGTGTCGAAGTGAAGTTGCCAGATTTCGATATGGCGTTGGTGGAGATCGATGGTGGAAACGCAGTCACCACTGCGAACCTTGCCAAGGTCAACAAGGTTATTTGGCCAGGCCAGAGGGCTGACCTTGACATCTCTCCCAGCTCTACAGCACTCAACACCCCTCATATCAGCATCGAGCTCAGCCATGAGAATTTTAAGTACTCCAATCCCGCACTCGCAACAGTGCATAACTTTTCGATAACATATCAAGAGCCGCCACTCAGAAAACCATGTGGAAAGCATCGTGTTGCGCAGGAATCCCGAGGTACATGGGTTGACAAACCAATACCCATGGCACTCGAAGCCGACAAAACCATTGTGCTCTACTCGACAACACTTAAACTATCTCACCTGGCCAATATCCCGCATGGGTTTGTCAATCATACCTCATGGGCACCTCAGGATCCTCCATTGATCTCGGTGGATCGCACACTGTGGAACGACAACCAGCTTGTAGCTCATATCCCCTATAACGACTCACATCCTTTGTGGGTCGACATTGTTCTAAACAACCTCGATGAAGACAGTCATTCGTGGCATCTGCACGGCCATAGCTTCTATGTCATTGCCTCTCACACTGCTTCTTTCGGCTGGGGATCCTACAATCCATATGTGGATACCGAATTGCCTGGCGGTGCACTGGATCTGACTGATCCGCCTATGCGAGATACCGTCTATGTTCCTCGGAGGGGATATGTGATTCTTCGCTTTCGGGCAGGTAACCCAGGCATCTGGATGCTTCATTGTCATATGCTGTGGCATCAAGCAAGCGGGATGGCCATGGCGCTACAAGTTGGAAATGGAAGTTTGTAGTGAAACAAGATACCATCAACGCCAAGAATCCATATCGTCTGTGTCCTTCTCTGGATTGGCTGTCGTTTGTGGTATCAAGAGCCTTTGGGTTACCTTGTAAGCCCAAGTGCAGTGAAATGATGGCATGAGAAGTAGAAGCAACAATCTAAACGTGTTCATCCCATGCACAATCAGTTTCACTTCGTGTGAACTCGAATTCCAAAAAGTTGTTTTATATTTGACTAAGATTTGACCTAGCTCCAGTCAATCATAGAGCTCCTATTTAAGAAGATTAGTGTACTGTAGCTGATATCCTATATGCTTGTTTCTTAGTCGATGACTGTCGTCGATAGCATGGAATAATATTGCGACCAGGGTGATAGCAGCAGCTAAGATGGCGGCCACGACTTATGGCCATCCGGGCCTTAGACTGTGCTCTAAGCCTTCCCCACTTGCTCCGCTACCCGTCGGTCGATCAGTGTGATAGTAACAATGCCTTGGTGGTTCAACACTTTTCCTCTCTTTAGTGTTTTGCATGCAATTATGAGCTTTTAGGAGCAGACAATCCTTGAAGGAACAGATGCTAGTGGCAAGAATAGCAGAATATCGGTGACTGCTTGGCCATGTTCCATAGGCGGTAGCCATTCGTTTACTGAGAGAAAGTTTGCAACAAGAGAGACGGCGGTCAAACTTAGAAACCTCGGGCATGAGTTTCCTGGGTCGGATTTCGCGTGGGAGCCGAACGACAGAGTGAACGACAGAGTGATGCTGGTAGTCGATATAAGATTCAGCCCCGATGTTGGCGAAGGATGGGGAAACTCGAATGGGAAGGTAAATAAGTGATGAAGGATGGCATAGCTGAAGATGTAACCTAGACATGGCATGCGTACTCGACATGCGTAAGGATTTGATGTGTTGTCACGAATCGCGTTTGGGACGATACTAAGCTGATAGCTCTATTCATGGCTTTAAGTCGCTTCGCTCGACAGCCAGTCGTGTTGTTTAAGAAAATGAAGATAGTATTTTCATTCATTCATTCAACACGAGCTTCCGCCATCTGCGGCCTGCCATGCTGAAGCGTTTCGGGCGTCGAGAGGGGTTCACGGAACGATCGCGCAACGGTGACAGCTTAGTTTGAGAGCATCATGCACGCGAGTAATCGTAAGGATTCCGCTGGCAACCGTGTGACTGGTTCCTTTTGACTCGTATTGCTGCAGCTTGACGTTGATGCATGACTTTCTTGGAAGAACTCAGAAGCTTCGAAGAGCAACGGAGGGTCGTCCGTGAAACACAGTGTAGGGCTAGGGTATACAGAGCATTATTGGAGTGTGGAATCGCATATGGTTCGCATGAGTCGATAAAGCTGTCCAAGGCATGCTGATTCCAAGCAGTTGGATTGGAGGCGACAGAGCGGTTCGCAACTTCCCATTGACCGGATGAATCTGGACGGGTCCTTGGCAGCATACCGTGGCGGAACGAGCGATAGGGGAGGTTGCATCGAAGGAACGCCAGGTCAATATACGACCCCGCTATCTTTCACTATTGCTGACAACGAGGCTCAAGCGGACTGGTGGACTCGGTCTCCCCGTACCCAGATAGCGGCAAACACACCCATCACCTTTTGTGTTGATGCTTCCTTTTGTAAAGCAACGCAGATCTTCCAATAGTACTTGTCGAAGGATTGATGTGGCAATAATGATAAGCTTCGGTGTAAACGATTCCAAGCGGTCAGGTATCAGGTACAAGCAACAACGCTCGCCCTTCCTTCCATTCTTGTCGAACACCACGGTTGCTCTTGTTTGAAATTGCATCAGGAAAGCATCTCGAAGCAGCAGCGAAGCAGCCAAGATGCAGCACAAGCTCGGAGGCGCACGAGGATAAATAACATGTGCTAATTTCGACCAGTCAGAGACACACTCATTACCCAAGCTTTCGCGCTGCAGATAGACGGCTGGCGGCCGATTGGCCACTCCACGATTCTCTCCGCGTTGGTTTGAAAAAAAGAGTTCTCTTGACAAGCAGTTTCCCTTTCCTCGACGTCCACTGGTTGCCCCTGTGATCGCGTGCTTCGGTTATCTTTGGTCCTTGGCGGCAGACACACGCGACATGATTTCCACAATCATCCGTCGTGGACTTGCCGTGGTGGGCCTTGCAACTGCGTTCCAAACCTGACCTGACTTCGTTCTCGCGAACAGGACACCTGTCGAGGGCTACCGTGAATCTATGCTGCGATGGCGTGCTCAAGGTCAAGAACGGGAAATATCGCTTTGCGCCGAGCAGGCAAGAGGTCAATCGCCTGCGCGCGTGTATGCTTGTTGTTTGCGCCCGTCCTCCAAGCACGAAATAAAGTCGGTTAAGTGCTCGAATCGCGTGATAAGCTCGACAGAAACGAGGCAAGCCTAAGATCAAGAATTGGCTTGCTTTAGCGACCTCTTCACTTTGCTTATCACATTCGTTTGACAAGCCTAGAGGATTGCCCAGGCCTGGACTTGTCTCAACGTGTGCTAGCTTTTGCGGCAGGTGAGCGACCACCGGAAGATACCCGCACTCGACCGAGACGCAGCCTATTTTTCGAAGGCAAAGAGCTTTGAGGCTCGAACGGCGCCGATTCTGTTGACCTGCCTGTTGGAGATTGGTTAGGAATTGCCTCTTCTATCGTGCCTCGGATCTTCTGATGATCATGGCCTTATCTATCCGCCATGCTGTAGCACCCGGGCTTCGCCTGCACAGTCAGTGCACCAAGTGAAGGGCCCGGGGGTCGCATTGGAAAGTGAACATATATGAGATGCACCTGTCCCTCGTCCCTGCGACCGTCTTCTGATTCAGCCGTTTCCACATCGACCTGCGCATCCATAATGGCCGACCAAATATCTCCGGAACGTTCAATGGACGAGAAGCACCCTTACACCTCGGGTTCTGAGCCTGCTCATGCTCCTGGCCTCACCACCGAGGACTACGAGGGCAAGCCCACCGAGGAGGAGCGCAAGACTCTCCGCCGTATCCCTGGTTCTCTGCCCACCGTTGCTTACTTGATCTGTATCGTCGAGTTCTGCGAGCGCGCTTCTTACTATGGATGTCAGCCCTTGTTCAGCAACTTCGTCAACCGTCCTATGCCTGTTGGCGGTAACGGATATGGTGCACCCGCAGAAGGTACCCAGCAGACTGCTGGTGCCCTCGGTATGGGTACTGTCAAGGCCAACGCGGTTTCTCAGTCATTCTCCCTGCTGTGTTACGCCCTTCCCTTGATCTTCGGTTACCTCGCCGACGCAAAGACCGGCCGTTTCAACCTCATTTGCTGGGGTGTTCTGCTTTTCGGTGTTGCTCACGTTCTCCTCGTTGGTGCTTCCGCTCCCGGTCTCCTCGCTACCGGTGCCGCCAAGACACCCTTCTTCATCTCCGTCTACCTGCTTGCCGTTGGTTCTGGTAAGTTTACTCCTATTGGTTCTGGAAAAAGCATCGTATTAACGTGTCTTGCAGGTATCTTCAAGCCCAATGTTTCTCCTCTCCTCCTCGATCAGATGCCTGAGACCGTGCCCGTGGTCATCACCACCAAGAAGGGCGAGAAAGTCATTGTTGACCCTGAGGCTTCAACCGAGCGCGCCATGCTCTGGTTCTATCTTCTGATCAACATTGGTGGTTTCATGGGTGTTGCCACTGCTTACTGCGAGAAGTACATCGGCTGGTGGTTGGCGTTCCTCATCCCTCTTATCCTCTACATTCCCCTTCCTCTTCTTCTCTGGTACCTTCGTAAGCGCCTCGTCCTCCACCCTCCTGGCGGTTCGGATCTTCCCAACGTTTTCAAGGTTCTCAGCATCTGCTTCCGCGCCGGAGGTCTTAAGAGAATTGGTCGCCACGGATTTTGGGAGCCTGCCAAGCCTTCAGTCATCGCCGCCAGAGGCACTGGTTACTCAACCTCCTGGGATGATCAGTTCGTCGAGGACGTCCGCCGTACTTTCCAGGCCACTGGTATTTTCTGTTTCTTCCCCATTCAGTACCTCAACGACAACGGTATCGGTTCCGCCGCTTCTTACCTGACCACTATGCTCACTACCAACGGTGTCCCCAACGATGTCATCAGCAACTTCAACTCTCTGTCCATTATCTTGATGGCTCCCGTTTTAAACTACGGTCTCTACCCTCTGCTTCGCCACTACCGCATCTCGTACGGTCCCGTTGCACGCATGACCACCGGTCTTGCTCTTTCCACCCTTGGTGGTGTCGGTTACACTGTTCTCAACGCATACGCCTACAAGCTTGGCCCTTGCGGCAAGTTCGGTTCCAGCGAGACTTGCGTTGACGCTGACGGTATCTCCCTCGTCGCCCCCATCACCATCTGGTGGGTCGCCATCCCCTACGCCATCGGTGGTATTTCTGAGCTGTTCATCAACGTCCCCGCCTACGGTATTGCCTACTCCCGCGCTCCCCCCAATATGCGTGGTCTCGTCTCCGCCATCAACCTCTTCTCCACCGCCATCGCTTACCTCATCGGTCTTGCCTGCTCGGCCGTCATCAGAGACCCCTACCTCACCTGGGACTTTGGTGGTTGCGCCATTGCCGGTGGTATCCTCACCGTCGTCTTCTGGTTCCTCTTCAAGCACATTGATGACGAGGAGTACACCCTCTCCCAGCGCGACGACCACCACGTCACCCAGCAGGGCCACGACCCTACCAGGGATGGCCACAACTCGCACAACCCTGTCATTGGCACCGACCCTGACCAGGTTCTCGAGTACGAGAAGAAGGGCGAGAAGGTTCCTACCGCTTACTAAAAAGTTCTTCTCTTTCTTTTCTGATACCAATGTTTGAATTTCTCTACGTTTAGCTTCCACAGATGATGATAACCACGCATAATTGATGCGAGGATTCTATAATGAACAAGCCATTGAGCTTCTTTTCCACTTCAACTGATTCTTGTTTGCGCGTGAATTCTTCTATGACAACACACTCTTGACTTACTTCTCGCTACGTGGATCTCGAAGAGTGGTTTTGCGGTTGTTCCTTGCAATACGCTCGAAAAGGTCTCAGCAACTTAATCGAGCAGTATTTTGAGCGTTGGTGAATTATGTATCATATGACCAAACTCGTTTCCAACAATTGGTTGTATAGTGTAATGGTTAGCACATCGGATTCTGATTCCGGTAATCCCAGTTCGATCCCGGGTACGACCTTATCCTTTTGCGTTTTTGCACGACCCAAAATTGTAGGTAGCGTATAGAATACGTTATTCTAGTTGGGGGTTGTTTCTGCATATGTTTGGCAAGTACGATGGATGTTCTTCCCTTTTACTGAGGGATTTTTCTGCATTCTTGGCGTTCTGTCTTTAACCACAAAAACAGGAAGAAGACGTCGTGTTGAGGTAACGTTACTTCAGGTAATGGCTTTCTGGGCTGTAGACAGCGCCTTGAACTCTGAATCATCGATGATCACACCCTCCTGAGTTGCTTCATTGATGTCGAGATATAATGTTGACGCGAAAGGAATGAGTCTGCCGCAGCTTTGTCGCGTCTCTTTGTCCCCGCGTCGCGATGAAACATTCAGGCAACAGCTGTCCAGCATCTCCTGGCATGCTTGGATGACTTTCTGATCTTAACATCCATCCACAGAAACGTACGCCAGACATCATGGCGAGGGCGAAGCAGACGGCGAGAANNAAATCAACAGGAGGCAAACATCCTAGAAAACAGCTCTCAAGCAACAGATCCAAAACATTGACTATCACCGATCACACTGGAAACAAAATCACCATTCCTGGAGGTTCATCACGACTCGGATTAGGTTTCTTTCCGTTCCAGGTGTATATACTGGTGAGTGCCGCCAGTCTTTCCACCGACAGCGAATTTCCTCAAAAGCTGAGAAGCTACATCATCTCCAACGACGCATGTGTTAGGTTCAATGAGAGCTGCCATTGACGCTTGAAAATATTCAGTCTTGCTCAAGCCTCTGTACTGGATTGCATCAAACACCATGAGCAAGAGCAACAATACCGCAAGTCGTTGGGAAAGGGTCCAATCATGCTCAACAGGAAAGAGCTTCTTGTTGTGGACGAGGTGGAATGGGAGATCAAGGGTCTGCTCTCGGTAGAGTACACTGCCCAATTTCTTGGCCGTGATGGCAGTGAGCGTGAATTTGAAAATCACGTTAATGATCACCCGAGCTGGCGAGATGATGATGAAGAACTCGCACTGCCTAAGCTTCGAAAGGACCTTACAGTACTACGCTACCCCAACGTTAATCAGCTTGCTGAAGGCTTTCTGCAGATTGTCTGGGATGACGAAGGCCACGAATGGGCGCTCAGCTCGTTGATGGAGCGCAATGTTGCTTTGGGTTGGCCGGATGATCCTAATCTTTTGGAATCCAACACTCTGCCAAACAAGCCAGTCCCCAGACAGATCACTCGCGGTTATCTACGAAGCGAGAAGAGGCCACGGATCAGTGCCGAAGATGATGACGAAGACGACGATTGTGATCAGTTCACCGACTATCTTGAATCCGAAGATATCATCACATACGGCGAGCGATGCGACCCACACACCGCAATACCCAAAAGCGTTGCACATTTTGAGAAACCACCAGTACCACCTATGCCTACAGATATAGAAAGGACCATATCTGTCATGACAGCTTACGTTGAGGTAGACGAAGTCATTGACAGCATCGGAAGAAAATGTGTCGACTGCAATCATGTCAGGAGACCCACTGACAAGACACACTTCTCGTTCAATCTCTATGTCATTGGTCAAAGGCCTGAATCGCCACAACTATTCTTTACCCTTCTCAACCAAAGAATTCTGGAATACATACCCTTGAAGCTGCACGTGTACGTCGTGCCAAATTTATCGACAGCACTATCGCATCACGAAGATGAAATGGCGACTAGGCCTTTGTCTGGTAGATTACCAATCAATTATGCCGGACTGCCTGAGCAACCTCAATCACATGTTTTCCTATACATCGATGAGCATATGATGCGGCATAAAGGTCCGAAGGTTGTCACAAGAGATCCTGCCATGGAAGGTCCAATGCTTGAAGTCATGCACGCAGGTAGCTGGGGTAGTACGGCGGAAATGCTTCTCACCTATTTTACCCTGTGCACTGAGACGCCAAAGTATGCCATACCTGGGTCGCAGTGGAGTAAAGATAGCTAATCGTATCCTAGAATCATGGCTCCACTGGCCAACCCTTACTACCAGCCTCCGTCAATTTCTGCATCTGTGTCCCTAACACCGACACACGTGGGCTCCGGACCATGTCGTGTACCTGATGAGATGCATCTCAATTTGACTCTTACCCTAAGCACCGCACAGACACGTAGCATCGGCGCTCACACGCGTAGCATCACTGTTCACACGCGCGATACCATCTTGTCCTCGAAGGACTATCTTTGGGACAGCTTCCTAGTCGTCGTAGACGCTGACACGAACGAGGAGGTACTGCCACCGTCGCCTTCCTACTGGAATACACCACAGATTTTGAGTACTGAACAATTACAAGCCTTATCATTTCCTTGGTCTGCTACCTCACCCGCTCGACACCAGGTTCTTACGCTTCAGCTCGGAGAGAAAATTGTACGCACTGTCATCTTCGAGAGCAGCTGTCTTTTCGAACGCTGTCGAAACACGCTAGTAGAGGGCAAACGTTACAAGATCATCTTGAAACCTGAACAGACAATCAAGGAATGGATGTGGGGAGAAGTTACGAGAGGGATAATCGAATGGAGGCCAATCTCGATATTGGCAACGCAGACGGACTGTTTCTGTACTTTGGCTAGTGAGTGTTGTCCTGATTGTGAAGTCGCATGTTTCACTTTCAAAGGACCAAGAGATACGGCGACGTCCGATCCGGATCCTAGTTGCCATGTCGATATCTGATTGTGTTGGCGCCAAGCACTCCCGAGTTCCGCCCACTCCGGTTTGACCACGTCATCGGTATACACCGATTTCCATCAACTACTATGAATCTTCGAGTGAGTAGTTTGGTGCTGAGTTGAAGAAATTCTCACTATGGTATCCAGATGAAATATTCGGATATGAGCCTAGAAAATATACAGGCTGCTATGTACGCATGCTCGACGATGACTGTTCCGCGGCCGTCCAGCGGTAGTGGATACTGACTTGCTGGCTCGAAAGTCTGCGGAGAGCATATTTCAAAGCATATCGTATGCCGACTGTATATGATATGAGGATAACCAAAGAGTCTCGCTGCTGTGGCTCTGTATTCTATTTGAACACTTCCCTACCTTAATCAACCTCATTCGAGACAATCGACTACTTCTCACGATCATACATGACATTTGAACTTGCGAACAGCTACCGAGGTGCACATCTGGTAGTGCAACCTTCTGACCTGGCACTTAACCCACCACAAAGCTATCTGTACATCCAAGATGGCCTCATTATCTTCTGCGGCGTCCTCTATGCGCTTTGCTACCTATTCTGCATGATTCACACGTATCGCGACAAGACATGCGCTGGCTTCATCGAGTTCACGTAAGAAATACCCATCCCTCGCGACACTCATATACTGACTTATCGCAACCAGCNNTGTGGAACAATGGCCTACGAAATCTTCTATGCTTACACAACAACAATCACACCATTCGAGCTTATCAGTTTTTCCATGTGGTTTCTTCTTGATTTTACCTTTGCAGTAGTCACTATCCTCAGCACCCGCGCACCTGGTTCTCGCTCTCCAGTGGTCAAAAGAATGATTCTCGGTGTCCTTGTTTCTCTCGCATTCTTCTATAAAATCGCANGATTTTGGCCCGACGAGCGTGAACAGATTACTGCTTATTGGACTGGTCTGGCATTGTAGTTTCCCATTGGCTGGNGAAGTTTGTACTTGCTTTTANAGAATTGGGATACTAAAGGGCATTCATTGGAGATTTGGTAAGCAAAAGTCTGGTAAGATGAGATGGTAAGCCAAGACACTGATATTGCAACAGGGNTGACGAGATACCTTGGTTGTTGGACGGCATATGGCGTGTTTGCCTGGCGCTATATGAATGTGCCGCAGAATTGGTCGTATGTTGGTTCGAATGTGAGTGTTGCGGTTATCGGATTGACTATGGTTCCTGAGACGATATATCCTTTCGTCTATATCTGGGTGCATAAGACGAAGAAGGGAAAGATGGTGGGAAGTGGTGTTTCCTATAATGACCAGAAGGTTGTTTCTTGATGATGAAGGATATCCGTTATACTGTTACGCCAGGATTTTGAATGATTCGGTTCCCTTTTCATGGAAGAAAAGACACCTCTAGAACCTTCTCACCTCCCTTGGCTTTTATTCTGCTAAGTGTGATCAACTTCTCACGCAGTTGTAGAGAATCGTGAGAATCTCTTGATCACGGTGTGGATCTTCAATAGTCAACTTCTCAAGTTTCCTATGCCAACTGCCCGGAATCTTGGGACCCGAAAGAAAGGAAACGAGACAATCAGGACTTTCTAGTGATGGAAATTGAGGTTAATTGTACTCTTGATAAGGTCTTCATAAAACACAACAAGAGACACTGGCAAGACTTTTCACACATTGTTGGAACAAAAAAGCTGTGACAGTGACGAGAAAGTTGAAAAGATGCGAATGAAGACAGAGGTTATGGAAGGCGTGATGAAGTCAAGTTCGTACGTGAAACATACAATACAACAAAACGAAAGAATGGAAGGCGCGATGAAGCTAAACACAGAAACGGAAGGGGCGGTCGAATAGACGACGAGATTCGGAAGGAATGATCCTCTGTTCATCTTCCATCTTCCATTTGATGCTCCTGAGTAAGATTGACTCGATGATCCATACAACCACAAGTGAACAACTAGTCATCGGCCAAATAAATCAGACGCGAATTTTGTGTTAATAAGCAATTTTTCCATTTCTCTCGGCACGAGGGGGTATCTAATAATGCCTTTACTCAGCGTCCGCTCTTTGCTTCTCCTTCTGAGCCAATTCATTCTCTCGCGCTTCAAACCTAGCCATCAAAGCACGCAACAACTGCTTTAGCTGCTGCTCTTTTACTTCGGCTGCTATAAGCTCTCTTGTCTTTTGGACATGTGTTATGTGTTCCTCATATCGTCTGGCAAACTACGCCATGCGCGCTTCCATAACGGCCGAGGGTAGTGAATCTCGCTCCTCGTCTTCATCTTCCATGTCCACATCCTCTGCTTCTTCTGCTCCGGGTTCGCCTTCTTCGAAATTGGCTGTATTGTTGGCTTCGGGTTCACCCTCTTCACCGTCCTCATCTTCGACTTCTTCCTCATCGCCCTCTCCGCCATAATCTTCGACTTCCTCGGCACCTTCGACGCCATCTTCATGTTCCTCTTCAGTGTCAGTGATCATATCGCTGTCCTTGACGCTAGAGAAGCGAGAAAGGAGATTCGGGAACAGTGAAGGTAATGTCGGGGGAGGCTTTCCAAGGCGACGAGCCTCGAGCGAAGCCAGGCCTTCAGAGTTGACAACACTCTCATCGACATCGCTGAGCTCGCTATCGCTCTCGTCATCAGCGGAATCGTGGATACTACCTGCGACGCTGCCTTCTGCCGTGTTGATACCTTGTTGTTCAGCCAGTTTTGAGGAAGGACGTCGTGTTTCTATCACGACTGAGACTTCTTGACGGGGTCGAGGAGGTTCGTTACCTGCTGGTGTGGAAAGACCAGCGCCGATCTTGGCGATACAGGCGTCAGCACACAGACGAACTTCACGTCTACCCACACCAATCTTGCGGCGTGAAGCTGGTGCTTGATCTCCCGTTGGTGGTGTCGCAGTACCATCAGGCACCGAACTGGCGGCAGAAAGACCGGGTGTTTTCACAGCTGCATCGGGTCCGCCATCCACATTCATGAGGTGCGACAGGTTCATCATGGGATTGCGTTCCACAGAGGGAGTAGCGGCTTGTTCCTTGGCAATCGCCTCCTGCTTGCTAGCCTCATCTTTGGCTTCTGCCATAGTCCAGAGCCTTCGTCCGACAGTGTCGTAAAGATAAGCATAGGCATCACCAATCAGGTCATCGATGGATGCCGCCTTCATCAGACCACCATTGATCCTCTTGAGTTCGATAACCTCTTGCATAGTTTCTAGCACAGGGTGAGTAGCGTTTGAAGGCTCTTGACACCATTTCTCCAGATAATCTTTGCGTCTGAGGAAGTCCTCATGGTTGATGCCACTGAAGATTGCGGTTTCCTGTGCGACAGGAATCTGGCCATGACGACGGAGTACTTTGAGATAGGCAGTGCAAAGATACTGCCAGAGATTGCCATGCTCAAAGAACTCCCCNGTCTTCTTTCGGACTCGACGCGCAAGAGCATCGAGCAACGAACGGTCTTCCAAAAACTCGAGAATCTTGATGAACATGTCTGCGTACCGCGTGGTGTAGACAAAGTGACGACCGGGGCGCTCGTTCTCAGGCTTCCAAACGTTCATCATCATGGTCTTCGTAAACATTTGCTGCATAAGCTCATGTTTCGCTGCCAAGCAGTATGACTCTTTGGTACCATCATGGAAAAGAATGGCAGCTGTTCTGTAGATCATGCGATGGTGCCAATGAACCTTGTCTGCTGCACGTAGACTTTTGAGAACCTTGAGGATGTAAGGTTCCCATGAGTCAAAGTTGGAGACCGGATCAACTTTCACAGCATACGGCGTAGCAGTGAGGATACTACAACCTTCAGCTGCATCAATGAAACGTCTTGTCACCATCTTGTGCACCACAGTGACGAGCTTGTAGTGAGGTTCCAGGATCGGCTCGCGCTTCGAATCCTTCTTTCGTGGTAACAAGTTGATAGACTCGCAGAATTCGTTGATAATGGCATCGATACTCGGTCGTTCAGTTTCCTTTGGAGCGTTGCAGTACATCTTCCAAAGACATTTGCCGAGATAAAAGTGTAGCTTCCACTTGTTGGGGTTAATGCGAATAGCACGACGAATTAGCTCTCTAGCAAGCTTGAAGGCAGAGAAAGGAGTCAAGGCCTTGAAAGGAGGCACTTTCGTGATGGTTGCCCGACTGAGGAATCTTTCAAGATCATCAACCGCAAAAGCCTTCATGCCGAACGGCTCNCTGGATGAAGAGTAGATCCTCATTGCGAAGTCGGCATACATTTCACCAAACTTTGCTTGGGTGTCTGCGCTTGGTTCAGCAAAGCGCATTGCTAATGCAACAGCCATGGTATAGCAGTGAATAGCAGCTCGTTGCCATGCGATCAGCTCTGTCATATCGCCGTTGAGCTTCTCGGCAGTCCACGAGACAGCTTCTTCGATTTTAGAGTCGTATGCTTGAGCTAAACGGAACCACAGCTCCCAGTCATCCATACTGTATTCAAGAGCTTGCATGAAAAATGCTACGGCAATGTTAAGATCCTCAGTCGCAGTGGGGCCAATGCGTTTCTGAGCTCTGAACTTGCTCAGTGAGATATGGCCCATCAGGAAATACCAGCCTTTGGCCGCTAAGATGGCGTGCTCAGCAGGTACTGGCGCCAGAGCAAGCTCCCCCNNCTCCCTCAAGCATTTGTACAAATCGACAGGGTTGATATGTGACTTGAGGAAGCCTCTGTAGACATCGCGATTGCGGAGAATTGCCTCTGATGGTTTCTTGCGCCCAATGATGCCATGTACCTTCTCGATCGTGTCTTTGAGAGGATGTTTCGGTAGCTCCGTCATCTTGATTCTAGAAGCCAAGTTGAGTAACAGATCGACAGCTTGCATGCCCGATGTCTTGTCAACAAAAGCATCATGAACGCAATTGTGCTCCCTAAGCGCATAACTCGGGTTGAGGAAACATTTGAGGCCAAACATGTCATAGAGAATTTGAGCAAACTCGAGGTCAAAGTCATCGTTTTGCTCTTCTGACTCATTCCGGAAGCGGAGCACTTCTGACTTTGCGAGTTTGAGGAAAACTCGTTCTGATCCGCCGCATATGCTTCGAGCTCCCAGCACTTGGTGAACAGCTCTTAGATACTCGAACAAGGACTCATTCGGTTTTTCGACCTTCTCACTGTTCTGAGCTATGCTTTCCCGATAGAACTTGTACATCAAAGTCCAAGATTGTAACTGCATCTCCTGGAGGACCTTTGTGACAGTGGTGAACGACTTGAGCGGTGCGCCATTGCTAGAAGATGGTGTCTGCTTTGCTCCAACCTTAATCTCGTCTTGTAGCATTGTCGAAGCATGTAACACTTTCTGCAGATTTATCAAGCAGCCTGTCGTGTTCTGAAGTCGTTCGTCATCCATACAATCCAGAGCATCAGAATGGGAGATGATCGAGGCACTGATCTTGCCGACAAGGTCGTTAATAAGACGCATGTACTTCAGGAGCACAGTCTGACGCTCGTTGACAGATTTGTCAGCGTAAGAAGATGACTTGAGGTCCGAAAGAAGAAGTTCAATGACACGGAAGTAACAACAGACGACCATGGGTTGGTAGTCGATCGTTTCGTATGCCTCACGCAGTCTTTGCCAGAGNGAGACTTGCATGCCGATATTGCTGTTCTTCAGGAAGTTCAAGAGTTCAGATGGGGTCGAGGCAGAATTTGCAGGTTCGACACCTTTATCAGAGCTGGGCATGTTGTCACTATGCGTGTCGTGGTGCAAAGTCTCTAGAAGAGGTTCGAGGCCTTCAATAACCACGGTAGGGTCATTTTGTGTAGGATCGAAAACCTTGGTGAAGAAGTCCTGTGTCGTGAGCCTAGAGAGTTCTCTATCGATAGCTTCGACCGACATCTGCGGCATGACGGAGTTGTTGGGAAGATCAATCACGACTTCTCCGACAGCCTCGAAGATCAATCTCAGTTCGGACCAACAAGCAATGACTTGCTCCTGAGAGATATTGTTTGACACACTGATATGATGAGTGACAGTCCACAAGTAGCGCAAGTTGAGCTGGTCTTTCAAGCTCGGTGTCCGTAGTAGGCTAGTACGCAGATTCATTGCATCGCGTGCAAGGTTGCCCCATCGCTCGGCACGGTCATCTTGCAGGTCTACAGTGTCGGCATCGACGCCACTGTTCGGTTCCTTGACCAATGAGTAGACGTCCACATGTAGCTCGAAGAGCGTTTGAATGACCTCGATGAATGAAAGGGCATCATCTGACTGTTCAGTCTTCGGATCTGAAAGCAGGACCTTATCCCACTTCAGGACAAAGTCAGACAGTGTCTCAAAGATGAAAGCATCCATCGTGACGAGGACACGAACCAGAAGCGACTTGAAATCTTGCGGCCATGTGTGGCCGATGTAGCTAGAGGTATTGGTGGACAATCCTGGGCGTACTAGCATGCCATGGTCAGGATGTAGAAACTGTACGACCCATTCGTAAAGTACATCGTTGATATGAAGGAAGTCTGAGTTAGTCTGAGAAGTGAAACGATCAAGCTCAGCATGAAGGTCAAGATCGGGCTTGTCGGCGGTACGGGACTGAGTATTAGGGGCGGCAGAGAATCGACCACTCGGCTTGACATGAGCATCGGAAGTTGTGTCAAGGTCGCTGTTAGCGTTGAGCAAGACCCGTGCTCGTTCGTCCGAGTAGTCGTTGAGGAAGGTGTACATGTCCACACAGGCAAGATCCACACCTTGGAGTGTCACATCCGTGTTAGTTGTAGCTTCGCGTAAATCTTTACGAGCATTGGGAGAAACTGCAAACTTTGGCAGTTGAACCTTCTCGAACAGCTCGTCGAGTGATTCGAATAATTGATTGTCGACATAGTCCAGATCTGCCAAAGCATCATCAGCTTGGACAGGGTCCATCATGGTGTCGTCTTCTAGCTGGCTCTGATCGACGATCGACTCTCTGGCACGCAGCCGCTTGCTTTTTGATCGTGCACCCTCAGCAGAGTTGCTGTCAATTAAGCCAGCAGCGTCGCTTGAACGTTTGCGAGTCGGCAGAACTGTCACGGATGGAGCTTGAGGAACATTCTCTGTTTCCTCAGAGTCTTTGAAAGCAGGTGGGGGGGAATTTGGCTGACCCCCATCGGTACCAGGAAACTGGGCTTCAACCAACGAAGACATCTCGGGTGGTTGGACCGAGGTTTGACGAGGTGATGGCTGATCAGGCTCAATAAGCTCGATATCCGGAGACTGACGATCGGCGTTGAACGAGATACCGAGGCCAGGTAGAGCTGATGTGGTGCCTGCCTGCTCAGCGAGATAGTGGCGCAGGAGGATGTCGCCCAGATCATGCCACGACTTGGGCGAGCTGAGCACACAACGGAGGGCTTGATGTGACGAAACGGCCAGTGCAGGATGTTCCGTCTGGTAGTTGTGGATGACTGAATAGTTGGCCAGCTTCTGCTTAAGCATGCTAGACAATTGGCGACGCTTCATGGTTGACAATGGAGCTTGCAGTACGGATAGTTCGTCTTGCAGTTTGGCGACAAGGTCTCGGAGCTGCTGACCAGCCAGTGTTTCTGAGATGCCAGGTATAGATAGGACAGAGTCCAGACCTTGGGCGTCGTCGTCCAATACGGCCTCGAGGCAGAAGCGAGCAATGCGATGGCTGCTCAGCATTTCTCCAACAGCGGCAGAACGTCTCCACAAGTCCAGATCCGTGTCATCCTTGTCTATGGCCTCGACGAAGCATTCGAGAGCAGCGGCAGACGCCTTGAGGATGTGTTTGGTGTTGAGCTGAGCATCTTGGGTCGAGTGCAGCAGTTCGTATTGTAGAGACTCCAGCAAGAACTGGCCGTGGTTCTTGTATGCGAGATGGATGATTTGAGGCAGCGTGCTGGGCGCATTTTCTCCAGTCGGTACAACGTGTTCTTGGTGGTGATCGAAATAATCGTCTGCCTCTGGTTGTGGACCATAAAGTTCCAGACGGTTCAGTTCTTGTTGTGACTCAGGATATTTAAAGATGTCGGATTCGAATAGGGCGCGATATGCTTCGGCGGCTTGTACATAGGAAGGGGGNCCGTCCGAGTGGAACTTCAGGGCAGTCTGGTATAGCTTGAGGGCTTCTTCGATCTGGATTTCCTTGGTGTCGTCGATCTCGATGTCTTCTTCATCGTCGGATTCTAGGTTGAGGGCTTTGAAGGTGGCCATGATGGATAATGGCAGGCCCGGGTGGCCACGCGACTGCTATGAATATCCCACGGTCCGGCATACGATGTGGTGTGTGGAAAAGGAAGGCGCGCAGACAACAATCGCGAGACAGAAATCAAGGTGCTTGTTGCGGAAGGAGCGTCAGGGCCAGATGGGGCTGCTCTTGCCCGCGGGGACGCCAAGAGGACCATGACGGCGCGCGCGTCCATTGAACAACAGCAACAGCGACCTGCCACTTGCGACACAAGAAAAGGAAGGTGCTCGGTTTGGAAGGAGCAACCCAATTTGCTGTTGTCTTGGTTTGTTTCTGTTGGCGCATGGTTCACTCAAGTCACCAACACAAGCGACAATGATCCAAACAGCTGTCCCCGAGTTCGTAATCACCTCCTTCAAGCTTCAGGACCTCGTCGACTGACAATAACAACCAGGATCTTCGAGGATGACTCAACCTCGGTAGTAGATATTCGCACGGAAAACTTGCAGGCTCTGCGAGAATTGGGTCCGCCTGATCTCGTGCACCTCTTCAAGCAGCCTGTCAAGTCGACCAGCAAGCAGGTACAACACAATGCGCCGAAGCCTCCTGAAGCCCGCCGTGTCTGACCATGCCCTTCTAATAGGNTCGGACTCTACCACCACGTCACCGGTACCGATGCCTCTTCGTCTGCCAGTCTCGCCGCCTACATCAACACTCTCGTCTACTCTCCACACGACAAGACCAACAAAGTCACCTCCGGTCTCTACTGCTGCTATAATGCATTCTCCCGCCTCGACATGCGTGTCCAAGTCCAAATCCCTGGCACAGTCGAGAGCTACTGCGTCAACGAGCGTGGTGACAAGCTCGAAGCTTCCGAAGAACACTGGCTGGAGACATATCTGTGCAGCGTCCTGCGCGCCTACTCGTACGCTGATGATGGCTCGGGTGACACCATCAAGAAGATTGTCGGCGTCCGTCGCTTCAATCCCATCACAAACACCGAGGCTGAGCACAAATTCCTGGATGCTGCCGAGCGTCTCTTCTTTGCTGGTGAGTCTGCACCACTCACAATTTCCTCTACCACGCACTAACTCGTCGCAGGCTGGCAGCTGGGCTCTGATCCCGAGATTCAAGTACCCAACCTCGTGTCGAACCATCTCACAACTGGCCTGCTGAATTACATCCGAACTACCGGCCGCTACACGTCAGGCATCAACCTCTTCGAGAAGCTACGCACGCGCGACCCTGAGATATCATCTCTGCTCGCCCGTGTCTACATCATGGGAGATGAAGAAGTCAAGGCTGTTCAGTTGCTGCGCGAAGCCATCCACCAGATGCCTATGGACTACCCCTTGCTCGACTGTCAGGCTGAATATTGTTTGTCCAAGGGCAGAAGCGACTTGGCCCTGGAGATTGCAAAGCGAAGCGTCATTTCGGCTCCCAGCGAATTTGCGACCTGGGCGAGACTGGCCGAAGTCTACATCAGTTTCGAGCAGTGGGACATGGCGCTTTTGACCCTCAACTCGTGTCCCATGTTCACCTACCAGGACAAGGACTCACCACGTATGCCCGAGCCCGCTCGTGTCTCCCTCCCACTCGCGCCAGAAGCCATGTGTGATGAGATTGACGATTCTAACACCGTGGGAGAAGAGCTCGTCCACCCCAACCTGCGCAGATTGAGCGCTGCGAACTACAAGGGCACTTTTCAGAAAGCGTACTCATTGTTGACCGAGGTGACAAAGCGCATCGGCTGGGACCATCTTCTCAAAATCCGTAGTCAGGTTTTCGTCATGGAGGAAGAGTACCGCCACGAGAGACAGGCTGTTGTGCAGCAGGAAGCCCACTCACGCAGCGCTAGCACCACTGCTTTGCGAAGCCCTGCCATCACCGACGACCGACCATCCACTGCTGGTTCGGTGTTCACCAACAGCGACACACCACCCGCTTCTGCTGCTCTCGGAGACGATGTGTCCAAGCCACAACACACCGTCACCGCAGTGCCATCAATGGAGACCCCGGACCCTCAGCCCCCGGCTGCTGACCCGCAACATCTGCAATACACCCAGTTCCAGCACAAACGTCTCTGCGAGCGTTGGCTCGATAATCTTTTCATGGTCTTGTACGAGGACTTGCGCATCTACACGATCTGGAGGACGGAAGCTCAACAATACAAGTCGCAGCAGCTCGCTTACAAGAAGTCCGCCGATGAGTGGGAAATTCTTGGCGAGCTTGCAGACCGCCTACACAGACCCGATGATGCAGCCGAAGCTTGGGAAGCATGCCTCAACATGCGCTTCTCGCCAAAGGGCATGCGCGGGATTCTCTCTGCATATGAGAGGTATGGTGACGTGCGGGGAGAATTGGGTGCCCTGATTAGACTCATCGCTTGGCAGTACAAGTGGTACTCGGAGGTAAGGACGATTTCAACCCTTGTCTGTTGTAGTATACTAACATTGCCGTTCAGTNTTTCGCCCTCTTTGGTTCATGTCATCAGAAAGCTGATTGAAGAAGAAGGCGCCGTCAAGGTCAGGAGTATCATCCAAGCGACATCCCTTCCTCAACATATCTTGGATTTGACGCATCAATATGCCGGTCTGTGTGCGGCTTTCAGAAGTAGCGGGAGCGAGGCTTGAGGTTTTACGATGAGGATACCCTTTGTTTATCAACGCGTCTTGCAGCATTTTCGTTATCACGGAGTGGGAAAGGAAGCAGCACATCAAGCCGCTGGAATTCATGCCAGCACAACAAAATTCGACGCTTTTTGCACGCATCTCGTTACATGACCTACCAAATGCAGGCAGATGTTCGTCTCAGGAAGGAGAATTCATGTGAGTTACCATGCAGCATGACATGTCGGCAAATGTTGGTAGCGAGCGACGTACCACAGCCGAACTACAAATGCAAGGACGGAATATATTAATGACAGATGTCCTCGAAATACATTCATGTTGACCCACATTATCGCAGTGTTCGCGAGCAGTTCCTTGAGCAGCACGGGAAGCAGGATGCCGTGATTTCGCTGCCTGACATATCGAAGTTCCTGTTTCTTACGCGACTTTGTCTTCGGAGGTTTATACCAGTCCTCTATGCCGCGCCCCCACGTGGTTGTGGTTATCTGACCAATGGAATTGTGCGTCGCTGCTTGTACGTACTGATTAGACATCCAGACATACGCTCCCTATTGCTTTCTCAAGTTTCACGGCACCGCATCTATCAAGACACATCTCGAAGTGTCAACGCGTCAGTCAACCGCCCATCAGCACTTTCTGATGATTGTTCCCGAAACGCACCAGCTCAGGGCTCAGATGATGGCTCAGATGATCGGTCGGATGATGCGTCCATATGCGAAATCCCGACCTTTCTATCTTACGCCTCTTGCGATCAAGGCTCGACCGAGGGGCTAGAGATCCAACCTATGAGGAACCAGCTCGTATGTATAAGCGTTGCGTTTTATCACTGACTCTACTATAAGACATAGAGAAACGCTGCGAACGGCTGCTAGTCCCCATGACATGACCGTTATACGTCTGAAACACCTCCAGAGTTCATCAAAAAGTTGGACAAGATAGTAGAGGAATTTGCGCGGGTGCCGCAACGTCCGCGTCTCCGCACCATCCGCGTCAAATCTCATGCGAGATGATCGAGACCCTATTTCTTTTATACACAAGTAAGACACGATATCACCCCTTGCGGCTGTAAGCGAGACTGAAAACATGATCGCCAAAGTCGGCAGATAACACTGTTAAACGCCATGATGCAGTAGAGCCACCAGCAGCGCGTGCGGCGGTTCGGTCTCTTCGGATCCCCCTCATGCCCTGCCCTCTTTTCTGTCCTGACTCCTGATAGCGTGCGATGGTGCTCTGAGGTTGCTTCTCCACACCAGCAGCTCCCAGAGGGTGCAAGCATATGCACAGTCGCAAGCTTGCCATATTAAAGTTAATCTATGTTCGCTGGGGAACGTGCATCCGGCTTCGCAGCCAATGACAAGCGAGGCCTTAGCGCCATTCAACACAACAATAAACCCTTCGCTCGCAGCCTGCATACGATAGCGTGCCTCCGGGGTGGAGAGACAGAGGGGTCTTTCTGATCGCTGACACCTATTTCTGACGGTTTGCCCTGGGTGGTGGAATGCTTGTCCTTCCAGATTCCGACGAATTGGTGACATGGTTCCACTCTCGCTTCAATCCACTAGGGCTGCGCCTCTGGTCCCAAGCCGGGAAGCATATTGAGCAAGACGGGAAGAGGCGTGGCCCATATGAATTGATATGATAGATTGCAAAGGTGGTGAAAATCTTGGACCGAGCCAGTTGTCAATCAACACTCTACCCGAGGAAAGGCCCCGCTAACCAATGCATTACTTTTAGCAAGTGATCCCTCCTTTTCGGCGCTTCGCCTGAGTTTCACCTCCTTGTCTGTTGGATCTCTGTCTGGTCGGTTCGTACAAAACGTCTTGCTTGGATATCTGGATACCCCGCCTGCTGGAAACCAGATCCCAGGTGATAAACAAAACCCAGACTGCACGCCGCAGGTTACAAGCTTGACACCGAGAACCGCTTCTTCGGGACCTGTCTGTCTGTGGTTTCTGCCATTTGGCTCTTGCATTTTCCAACTATGGCAACCACAGCCTTACTATCCATGTCATCATTCCTGCCGTCTCTGGATTCTGTCGCCACCACATTGGTGTCTCATTACCTTGTCACCATCTCCCTCACCTTTGCTCTTGGATATGTAGTGTATCAGCGTTTCTTTGCACCTTTGGCTGGAGTGCCCGGACCATTCTGGGCGAGTTTAGGGAAGGGATGGTTGATTGTGAGGGCGAAGAAGGGAGACCTACATAGAGAGTTGATACGATTGCATGAGTTGCATGGACCGTTAGTGAGGGTTGCTCCCAAGGAATTGTGAGTGCTGAACCATATCATTTTTCCTTGTCATTGTCGCGTACTCCAAAGAAAGACTGAGGTTCTAATGGAACACGATATTTCTTCCAACCCTCTCACAGTTCGAGAACGTTGTTTACCCTCTCTCAAGCCTAACATATCCTTCCCTACATGTCTTCAATCTGGTCATCTCATCGCCCACAACTCATCATGGCCTAACTTTCTTTCTCCAATCAGGAGCGTAGCAGATCTCGATGGGGTAAAAATGATATATGGCGCTGGTTCTCAGTTCCACAAATCAGACTGGTATTCCGTCCTCAAAGGCCACCGCACCTTCGACCCATTTGCCGAACAGGACCCTCACGTCCACGCCGCCCAGAAGAAACTAGTCATTCGCCCTTACGCCATGGAAACACTCAAGGATCTCGAACCCTACGTCGACTCGACAATCTACCATTTCATCAACCGCATGCGCGAGAAGATGACATCGCAAATCGATCTCGGCAAATGGTTTCAATTGTTTGCTTTCGATGTCATTGGCGAGATTACGTTTTCCAAGCGCTTCGGATTCATGGATACCGAGCATGATGACGGGAGTCTGAAATCTGTCGAGAGTACTTTGGCTTCTGCATCTTGGTTGGGTCATGTGCCATGGGTGTTTTGGACTCATGATTTCTTGAAGCCGTATATTGGGAATTGGCTGGGCGTCACCAACCGTACTGGCAGTCTCATGCAACGCGCACTTAAAGAAGTGGAAGAGAGAAAAATACGCGGCACTGACCGCAACGACATCTTGGAAAAGTTCTTTCGCCTGCAGAGGGAGAAACCGGATCAAGTTACTGATGTAGCCGTTATCAGTATGGCTGCTGCTAACATTACTGCCGGCTCGGACACCACAGCGATCTCGTTGCGCAGCATCATTTACCATCTCTTGCAGAACCCTCAACATCTGGCTACCCTGCGCGAGGAACTCGAGCAAGCGAAAAGGGAACACAGATTGAGCGATCCAGTCACCATGGAAGAAGCAGACCGCCTCCCCTTCCTCCAAGCCACCATCCTCGAAGGCCTACGCATCCACCCCGCCATCGGAGGCCTCCTACCCCGTCGCGTTCCCCACGGCGGCTGCGTAATCGCCAATCGCTATATCCCCGCCGGCCATGTGGTTGGCGCATGTGCTTGGGTAATCAACCGCAATACCTCAGTCTTTGGCCACGATGCTGCAGATTTTAACCCCCATCGCTGGATCAAAGGCAACAAGGCCGAAATGCAGAGATATTTCCTCACGTTTGGCGGCGCGTCTCGCATGTGTTTTGGCAAGAACATTGCGTTTATGGAGATGACCAAGATGGTGCCAACGTTTTTCAGGCATTTTGATGTTGCGTTGACGGATCCGCAGAGGCCGTTGACAGAGAAGAATTTGTAAGTGTTTATCCTGTCATCTTGGTTTCGAGAGAGATGCGATTTGTGGTGAAGAGAACTTTCGCTGACTTGTTTGTGAAATAGCTTTTTCGTTATCCAGGAGGGACTTGTCGTTAACCTTCAACCTAGAGATGAGAAGTCAGAAGAACAACAGGCTAATGGAGGTGCTGGAAAGGAGAGTAATGGATACTAGACTGGTTGCTCAATCGTTTCATCTTCTGCTTTTCTTTCTTCGACACTTTTTCACGGAGACTTTTATATGCTATACAGCGGCTTGGGTTCCGGCTTACCTTTTGAGATCTACCTTTTAGCTTCTTCTAATGGTCTAAAGATGTGCAGTTTCTTACAGCGATAGTTCTTTGGTGGCTCTTTCTATCGCTGAGAAATATCAAAAACGATATTGATCATCAAGTTCAGATTTGCACATGCATTCCAGCAGGAGCGGTCAGCCAGCCACTGTACGTACACTTGGTACGCGACCTAGCCAAGTTGACATCTTGGCAAGAGTGTACAGCACACTCGCGGGTCCTACACTAGGGCAGCTTCTATCTCGAAGAGTCTTCTGATATGGCATGCTCTGTGAAGATGCTTCGTTTTATGCAAGTCTATTGACGGGCTTCTGGCAAAAGGAACATTAGAGCTAGCTGTACTTGCCAGTGTGTCAGAGGCTACAGCTGGACATGTTGCAGTTTCGATGGTGATTTCGAAGACTCCTGTCTTATCGCTATAAATATAGGTACCTTTTCAAGGTTGAGCAGCGGAAGGATGTCGTGACTGGGAGATCCCGAGCCCCGAGGCCAAGGGGCGTAATTTGTTCGTGCTCGGCGCTCGTGCTCGTGCTGAACCCTACGCAGCCTCGGATGTAATCTACCGCTGTCGCCGCACCCGAAAGCCCTAATCCTCACAGGCAACAATAAGACTTCTTTTTATTCTTCATCACTTCACACCAACACTGACACCACTGCCGGGATTTTGTCTGGTCTTCATCTCCAAGATACCTAGATAAGTAGCCAATACGGGTATCCTTGTACCCGAACAGAGTGATTAGGATCGCCTGATCTGCAGTGTAGCGAGCATGTACGTTCGGGGCTTGTGGCTTGCGGCCGCCTGCAGCTCAGCCTTTACGGTCTTTTGCAGCACCTCATCACCTCTTTTGGCTTCTGGCTTCCAAGGTTTCTGCTGTGTCTCGCGCAGATATGGAGGAGGGCCAGGATGTAGCATCCAGACAATCATTTCCAAGTTGTGAGTCCAGTGCAAAGAAGTGGAGATGGTTGTTGGGGTTTTACGTCTCCATGCCTTGTCTTTTCGCACATGGGACGCCTCGACCTTTTCGCAGGATCTTTGTTGGCTTTTGTATTGGTAGGATCGAATGTTGAGTGCGCGATGGATCTGGAACGACACGCTTTTGCTCGCAACTGACTAAGGTCGCCTGCAAGGTCGCTGTTTGTAGTGCTGACAGGTACGTATTAGGCACACCCGGACTACACTATTGCTTGACCATTGTTCACTTTTGGGTCTGACAAGTTGCGTACTCCATCCAAGAAAGGTAGTCTGTGGCTCACGGCCTGGGGTTTTGGTGAGTACTTAAGGAATAGCTACTCAGCCGCATGGTACGAGCGAGACAATACGGCCGGAAATGCTCCCAAGGCCGCAGCTTTCGTGGCCACAAGTAGTAACAGTGAAGCATATTGCGACACTTTGCAGAAGCCAGCCCTGATCAATAAATGTACACGAGCTCCGGTCGAAGCAGAAACACTGACATAAAGCCGCAGGCCCGCAGATAATCCTTTCCCCAAGCAAATCAGTCGTGTTTCACCAACTCCCACTCACTTCGTGCATGAGGACCAAAGAGGCTTGCAGCAACATCCTCTAAGCACTTTTTCCAACAAACCTCTGTATTGTGGGAACATAAAGCAGGAACGCAAAAACAACAAACAATCCTTGCAGTCAGCCATGGACCATGAACAGACACAGCCTCTGCACTCACCGCCTCAAGCCATCATAACACCCTCGCCTGCGTTATCGCAGACATCCACCATCTTTGACTCCACACCACGACCTCCACGCCAACGAGCAACCTTCGCTCGGCTGGCTCCCGTGGACGATGGACAGTACACAGTGATCAAGAACCACGAGGACGACATCACAGATGCTTCACCCTATAATGACGACTACAACACATCTAAGTTGCATGGCTTAGGCATCAATGTCGACAGAGATACTGAAGAGAATTCGAAGATGGATGCCGATATGAAGAAGGGTCCCTCTGTTGGGGAGCATGAATTACCAATTTGGAGTCCTAGATCTGCGGTCAAGGCCTCAGCATTCAGTTCGCAGAGTAGCTTTCCGCAGGGCACGGCGTATGAGCCTGATACACAGCGTCTGCGCAACCGTCGCAGCTTTGCAGAGTCGTTGAAGGCAGTCTATAATGGTGAGCTTGCGACGTTTTTCGTTGACTGGAAAGAGTGCATGGTGACTGACCAGTGAGACAGATTTCGGACCGACGGATACTTGTGCTGCTCACCAACACTTTCACCACAATCGCAGGAACTGGCTCTCTGTGACGATACTGGTGCTGGCTTTCTACTCTACGGTCATGTCTGGAATCTTTCTCATCCTGGCCATTCGTGGACCGCGATACAACTGGATTCGCAAAGGCGGAAACATGACACCGTACATTGCAGATCTACTCACAGCGTTGTTTGCCAAAACAATCGAATTGTCGTTTGCAACGGTGTTTGTCTCCTTTCTCGGACAAGTGCTTTCACGCAGAGCGTTCATGAAGAATCAAGGCCGCGGCATCACGCTTGCTGAGATGGATATGCGGAGTTGGGTTATGCAACCCGGAACCATGATTACGCACTTCGAAGCCCTCAAGTCTAGCATTTTGTCTTTTCTGGGTGTGCTTTCGCTGGTTGCTGCTGTGGTGGCTATGCTCTACACTACAGCGTCTGAATCTCTGGTACAGCCATATCTTCGCTACGGACCCTGGGAACGAGGTTCGATGCAAGGACTAGTCAAAACCATCTTCGCCAATCCAAAGTATCTGGGGATAAACTGTGCAACACCAATTGCAGCCACGCAGGATGAGCTTGCGGGTAGTACCTGTCTCCAGATTCAATATGCTGCGCACAGCTATTACAACTACCAACGCTACATCTCTGACTGGTCAACTATTTCGAGAAACGGTAATGGATCAAGCGATCCTGTTCATCGACCCAAGGGCTTTGCGATGATATATGAGAATACTACCGTCACGGCTCCTTGGATTGACTTGGAGTACAGCAATGTCACGGCAAATTCGGAGAAACATCAGAGGATCGTCAACAATGTGACGCTGGCATTGCCGCATTCTGGTGTGCCCGGAGCAGCCTGGGACTCGGTCAATAACATTTTACAGCCAGAGGTGCGTCCGTCAAAAGCTCTTGATAAGGATCATTGCTAACACTGATACAGGNACTTGGATGGCCAGGGTGTGTATCAGCTTCAAGCTTCTGTCCCATCTCCAGCAGTCAATGTTCTGTGTGCACAAATGACAAAAGAAGAGCTCTCGCCAATCGTATACACAGAATGGAATAACAACACTCTGAACACTACACAATGGCCCACTGGAGCACAACTAGCTTTTTATCAACCCGGCAATGTACCCAACGGTACCTACCTCAACAAAACAGTCGTCGACGACATCTTCGAATGGGGAGAAAAATATCAGACGTCGCCCNCCGTATTCGCCAAACTACCCATAAGCTACAACACCATAATGAACCACACCGGCGTGTATGGAAGAAAAGCAATCTACCTATTAGGAAGAGATGCAACAGACAACTATGCTCTCTGCTCTCTAAAAGTGTTCCAGACGCCTNTTTGCTCCACTGAATACAATGCTTCAGTGGTGGGAGCAAGTCTAGAAGCCAAATGCTCCAATGGAAAGGACGCAGCATTGACAAACTCGATGCGATTCATCGACAGCATAACAAACGCCACCTCAGGAAACGACACCGTTAGTCTAGATTGGCCCAGCATCGGCACCGAATGGTCAAATTCTCTATCCCTCAACGACGGAATTTTGGACGGTCAAGCCGCCAACGCACGCTTACTTACCGAGCTGATTGTCTCTGGCCCCTCATTGCCTTTGGATCGCCCTTCCATTGCTGAAGCTCTAGCTGTACTTGCTTCCTCCACTCTACTCATGTCCTGGCAAGATGCCCCCTTCACCCAATTCTGGAATTACTCCTCTGTATCTTTGTCGCCCGGACAATACCAATACTTCAACGCCACTCTGCGAGCCCAGGAATATGCTTCGGGTGGTAATGGCCAACAAGCACCTCACGCTTTCTTTGTCGTGCTGTTTGCCATCTTCGTGATCAACATCATTTGCCTTGTGTACTTTGTCTCGCAAAATGGACTCGTTACTGATTTTTCGGAACCGCTGAATTTGTTTTCGTTGGCGGTCAATTCGCCGCCGAGTGATTTGATGGCGGNNGGGGCTTGTGGGGGTGGGCCGAGGNGGGAACAGTATAGGGGATGTTGGTTTGTTAATGCGGCGGGGGAGCATTTGTTTATGGAGAACAAGGTAGATGGCAGGGAGGTGGGGCATGAGGATGTGAGGAATTTGCAGGGGCATGGGTTGGGAGTCGGCGGATTGAGTCCGTTGAGTCCCATGAGAGCGGCTTATGAGAAGATGAGTCGTAGGAAGAGTTGGTTCTAAGTGGGATCATTGGTGTAAGATAAGAAATTTTCTCCCGATGAAATTTTAGCTGGGTAGGCTACAATGATATAATGCACATGAGATAAGATGAATACTTCGGGGGATGAGTGGTTTTCGATCACGCCTGGTAGTCCTTTCAGCAAGTACAATGCCAAACGGCTGTTTGCAATCTCACGCGACATCTTCCTCGCATCGTTTCCTCTGGATGCCGCCGCTTCAACCTTGGATGCCATGATCATCGTTCGTGCCTTTCTTGGTATTTCAGGCAATGGCATATACTTCGGCATCATGGCACTGCTCTTTGTTTCGCCATATGACAAGGAACGACCTATTCATCTCCGCTTGGGTGGTCTGATCTGGGGCAGTACCCAGTAGAACCTTCAAAAGGTCTTCTGTCGCTGGAACCTCTACTTGAATCTCATCATCGGTGGCGTCTCTGCACCTGTACATAAGTATGTGCATACCTCTGTGCGGTTCAACAAGTGCATTTCACATACACATGGGAAGCTTTTCACTCTGGATATGATAACCGAAATAGCGTAGGTTTCGTAACATCGAAAACATTGCGATGAACCAAGACTGAAAAAGAAGTATCAATCGATTCTCTGCTTAGTATCCTAGAGGTACCACTCTTTCTAGCGCTCGTTCCGTATCGTTCTCCTCTTGGTATACGTCCCATCTATCTTCAAAATCCTTCCATAATTTGCGCTCTTTCGGTGTTAGTGTATAATCTGGGAAGTACTCCGGTCGAGCCGCCAGTCCAGCGAACCTAGTATCTTTCTCCAGCTCTAGTAATACTTCTCTCACCTTCGGCCCTTTCGATCCTAACATTCTAGTTCTTACGAGCGGGATCCCGTGGGAAGCTGAACATCTCTGCCAGCCGGCAACAGCAATGTTTTGGATCATGCCTAGAGCGCCAACGCCAAAAAGATACCACGTATCTTCTTTAAGTCCGCCAGCCACAATAAGAAATATGACCCACAATATAGCAAAGCCCACAGACAGCACTCTGGTTCCCAGACCTGCCTTATGCCGGCTTCCTGCGAGATGTTCGAGATTCAATCTAGACCCCTTGACTAAGAAAGCATGGCCATGACCGTTGCCACGAGTGAGTATAAAGTCCGGTATCTTTGTTTTCGCGCGAGTTTTCTCATCGCGGCCGAACTTTTCGTCTCTCCATTCTCTCAAAGAGCCTGTAGAAATAGCTAGCAAAGTCCCGATGATGGTGATCAGTAAGATGGACCAGTTCCGGCGATCCTTGTGAGAGTATATTGGAATGCTGGCAATAACCATCTGCACAATCGTCACCGGAAAATACAACTTCCAGATCCAGTCTTTTGATGGCTCATCCTGGACGCCCTAAATGAGTTAGTGGTCTTATCTTTCTTAACGATGATAATGGATACCTCGTAGACGGAGAGCACAAGCGGGCGATGACGAACCTCCTTCTCGCTGCCAGCTTATCTAGAACCCTTTGAACGATGCCTATCCAGGTTTGCCCATGCTTTGACTCTGCTTCGAAATCCTCCTCGAGACTTCTTTCGACTTCCCGCTCAAGATCTCGGATCAAGCGACCAATCATCCATGATGCATTCACCTTCGACATGCGGGACTTGACTGTAATGACGACTGCGGGACAATCTGGATCTGGCATTAACCTGCCTTCGCCAAAAGCGGACAGTAATGCATTGAAAGCATAAGAAACCCAGCCAAAGCTAAAAGCAACAAACGTAAAACTTCGGGGCTCTTCACAGGTCATCTGAGCAACAGCTTTCTGTACAATGTCGCCTCCGATGATCATTAGTACTGTGAAGACTTCGGATGGATTCTCCAGTTGTTTCAGGAAGATGCCCCTTGTTACATCTTGCCTTACTCTTTCTGTGCGTGGTTCTAAGAAGGGTATTATTGGTGAACCGTTTATCTTCTCCACTAAATACATATGTTAACAAGCCAGATTTCGAAGACTTGTGGTAAATCTCGAAAAATCCTACCTAAAAAGGAGATAAGAGACCCAGGCAAATATAAATCACAATAACGTTTTGGTTGATCGAGTGACCCATCGTAGCAAAGTTTCTCTACCCTTGAGAATGTTGGTATACGAGGGGACGAGCCCTAGGGACCGGATGGAGATATAGGCCCATGGATGGACCTGCATATATACATCTGCTTCGAGATGGCAGGTCAAAGTCGACACCTTAGGTGGTCATATATATGATGTAGCTTACATCTTGCATGCGCCACATGTAGCGATGTTATCCAACACTCTATGTTTTGAAGATCGAGGCAATCGGGTAAGAACGCGAACGCATGCTAGTTTCCATATGTCGAAGGAATAGTGTATTGTGGCGTCGATTAGACAGCGTGTGGCTTGCAGACTGCACATTTGACCCTTGTTATCACTCACTATTCGCTGCAATCCTTGAACATACAGACGCTGAGATATGTGCGCTATCCATCGGATGTGAAAACACCCTGTATATTATAGCCTGAATTTAGAAACGAATTTTAGATCGAGCCACAGGCTTCTTGATTTGGATAGCGCAAATTCGCAAGATGATCTTTTGATCTAAGCGATCGGATGACTCCGGCTGGCGTGTGACCTATTAAAGCGGTCGAGTGCGTTATTTGCGTATCATAAAAACATCATTGGCGAAGGCGTCCTGAAGGATGCTGTTGAACAGGTAAGATTGACCGAACCATCTCTCAACGTAAAGCGCTTTCATGATTGACGCAAGCCATTCACACAACCTGCACACTAATCTAGCTGCAAGCCAAGGAGAATTACATCACTGCCTCGGCGGAGACCGGATGTGCAAAGATACAACTGATAATGGGACGAATTCCTCGATTCCTTCTACTTCTTGCTCATCTTCACGTATCTGCCATACACGATTATGGTTTAAGCAGCTTCATGGACCATCTTCCCTTACCGATACATGGGCTTGCCCATGCTCCGATTGAAGTGCCTTTCTTATGCCACGATGCATTCTCTTATGATGATCAAGGCTTCCTCACATTTCCGTGCCGCGTTGGAATGGACCTTGGTGCCATCTTTGATGGTGGGCTTCCACGTGATGAAACCCTTTCTTTCTTACAAGCATGGTTATGGTTTGGGCTTATTGGAGAGATAATCGGTATCGGAAGCCGGACAAATGTTCCCCAAAGGATAACAAGTTTTGCATCCTTCGTCGAAACCAAGGAGGACGGCTCTCGGGTCATTAACAGCAGCGATCTTCCCAAACATATTGTTACTGCTGCAGGTCATAAACAGGCTCCTCTCTATAACAAATTCCACAAAGAGAGGTTTGATTCTTGCATCTCAGTTGCTACGGACACTGTGCAAAAGTTGATCACCATTATAGATACTGGCACAAGCCACGCTGACATGGAGCGAGCTTGGCTGTCACGGGTCCTTCTATTATCTGTACAAATCTTAGTGGAAACACTCGTCTCAGCCCGGCCGCTTTTCCATCCTCATGTACCAGCTCTCTCCGACACCAGATTCGTTCGCTTCCGATCCGACATCGTGGATCGTCTTTTGCTGGGAAGTGGATGGTGTGCAAGGGACTTGCCTCTTCTCTCACCAGAAATTTCCATCCGCTACGTCCTCAGTTTCATGTCCCGTGAAAAGCACGCCAATCATAGAGGTTGCATCCATCGCATGCACGAAGAATTGTTGGGACGAGCTTCATACACCCCATCTCATACCACTCCGAACTGCGAATGTAGGGACATTACGATCTGCGAGGCAGAAACAGAAGTTTCGACTCGAGCGGACCAGATTCTTTTGCTCTCTTTCCCAAAGATGAATGGTGCTGAAAGAGTCCTTGAACTTGAGGTGGTTGATCTACGACAATCAACAAAGCCAGTTCCGCAATACATCGCCATAAGTCATTGCCGTGCGTTGGGGCTAGGAAACACAGAGAGACATGCTCTACCCCATTGTCAGATGAAGCTCCTCCACGAGGCCGCTCACAATGTTTTGGGTGATGGATCAGGGCGAACGCTCTTCTGGATCGATTCGATGTGCATTCCTGTCAATCAGAATGCACGCAAGCTTGCTCTGAAGCATGTCTCGAAAGTATTTGAGCAGGCTCACAGCACAGTCGTCGTTGAGCCGTCGTTGCTTAGAAGCCTGGTAGGCTCCGACCAGGACTGCTTGATGCGACTCAGATATTCCATGTGGAAACAAAGGCTCTGGACTTTACAGGAAGGCTTCCTATCAAAAAGACTGCATATCATGTTTGCCAACAAGATTGTCTCTATTGACGAATCTATTGGAAGACTAGAACAATATCCAGAAAAGCTACACTTGTCACGCTTTCGACATTCAATTCAGCCAACACCGGGGCATCTAAAAGTCATTTTAAAGCTCTTCGATAAGGATATGAAGATGATCCAGGCCTTGGATAAGAGTACTGTCAGCCTTGGTATTGACCAGCACAAATTGCGTCATTTACTTCGTCTTGTTCTCCTGGCTTGGCCACGCTTTTGCTATCTCTCAGAGGTGGCCGAGTTTACGGATATTGCTCTAGCTGCGCAAACAATGCAGAACATCTACTGCACTTCGCTTGAGCCTAAGCTAGACGTCGTTGTTTGTCAGGAAAGAGCTATACAACGTCTACGAAGACTGTCTTCGGTTGACTTAGCCGGGGTCCAGTTAGGAGAATGATAATTGACATAATGACGCAGGTTGCTGGTCATCAGCTTGGCAGTTGTCTTTTTGATCTTTCACCACCTAATTCACTTGTACTTCCCTGTTTTCATCACAATAACATCAACAATGCGTCGAATCATCACAACAACAACAGTCCTCCATCAGACAATCACAAAAATGCAGTCCACAAGATCAGAACCTTACATCACTGCTGTCCTCCATGGCGCGCAAACAGAACTCGACCTCTCTGGCAGTAATTCATTCAGCCTGACCATCTCCCTCACCCTCCACGCCGAAGCTCCTGTCATCTGCTACCTTGGTGATGACGATAACTTCTTTGTCTCGGACAACGCACTAGCTGATGTAGGCATCGTGTTCACAAACTAACAAACACACAAACGTGTGAAAACTTCCTACCGTTCTTGTACCGGGGTCATTGACGGCTCGGGACCAACCAGACTTTTGAGCTCAGAATCCGGTCTTCACCTCAAGCCCAACATCCCAATCACCTTTGACATTCCTTTCAACGGGTCCAAGCAAAAGCAGGGTGATAGCAGCTTCGACATACGTCTTTACATGGTCGCTCACGGGTTTGAGACTGGCGGCACCTACGAGGCTGCGCTTCAGACCGGTCGCAAGATCTTCTGGTGGAGATATGCGAGCTTTTGGGAGACTGAGGGACAGCAACGGGAAGTTTCTGCCATTACAGCTGGGGTGAGAGCTGCAGTCAAATCCGCTGTTTCGTGGTGGACGGGTGATAAGGAGTGCGAACAAGGCGTGCCCGTACTGCCTCGAGAACAACAAATGCCAATCTATATCGAGGGCGAAAATGTTGTCTTCTCTTGTGTTGGAAAGCTGATGGAGTGGCCGATACCAGACGAGGAAGCAGAGAGAAAAATGGCCGGAGAAAGAAGAGAAGTCAAGGAAAAGAGGAGCGAGCTCGCACGGGTGCCATAAATGCAGCTATGGCAATAAATCTCTCCTAAGCACAAGACGGGTAACCCAAGGACACAGTTATGATCCATGGGAGACGGACGATTATGGAGTGCAACATGACAACTGTATCTCAGAGGGTACACTTGCAACCTAAAACTTGTCATCATAAGGCGCCATCAGTTCGTTATGCTCCACATCATGAGGGAACTTCTCAGTGGACGCTGTAGTATGACACCAGGGCTTGACCGCAACCTCCTCTCTAATCTTGTTCGAGAAGCAGCCAGACCAGCCCCGACGAGGATACTTTTCCACGACATCTTTGATGGTATCTGGATGGACGTAGTCAGGACGGTATCCCATATTGTCAAATTGAGTGGCCAGCTGAATCAGTAAGCCAATGGTCGTGATGGTACCAGTTTCCACTGGATCTTGGTGACGGATTATAGCTTCGGCGACTGATTCCGCTTGTGTAGCTGGAGAGCCGAACTTCTTGAGCGTATCCATGGCCAAATAGCCTCCGTAGAACTCAAAAGACATGAATGTGCCATGTGTGTGCTTGTCTGCAGTCCCAATGTCGTGGAACAGACAAGTTAGCAACCATGTCTCTGGGCCGAACTCCCAGGAAGGGAACTGTTGGGTAGCTATTGCCATGCCTNNGTTTCCTTTACTCAGCGTACATTGCAAGGAGGACAAGGAGGTATTACCGTAAAAGAAGACTCGCATGCTGTGGTTGAATGTATGCTCTGGTAGTTCTTGTCTAACATGCTCCATGGCGGCTTTGACCAATGGCGTGTCGGGCAAAGGCACTTCACTACAGATTTGCGGAACAGGATCTTTGTTGTTTTCCTTATCACCGCTCCACTCTTCAGGGTCGCAGGGAAGAGCTGTCCAGCCATATTCGGCGATCTGTTCGTCGCGCGAGAGACTCATGGTGTCGTGTTCTGAATAAGCCTGTGAAGAGTTTTCCTTGTCTGTGATGAGATTGCTTGGTCAAATCCGCGAGTGAAAGTTTTGTTAGAGAAGAGGCAGGATCGGGGTTTGTTCTTTCTTTTCGGTGATCACGGCGAATGAAGTTGATGCTGGTTACATCATAGCTTGTCAGTGGGGAGCTCCATTTCTGCACTCCAATCTTTTGGAATCCATTCATCCGTGGTCCATATTGGCGAGAGTATGACAAGTCGCAATCTATTTCGAGCTGCTGGGAGCTTTTCCGACCTAACATATGGAGCTGAGAATCATCTCCTCGCATCGAAGCGGAGGTTGTCGACCAAGATCTTGATGATACGTTCGAGGCTCTGGATATGTGCCTCGACACGTCCCCGGGTAGACTCGCGCGGTCGCGTCGAGCGACAGTCTGATTTCCTATGCCACGCAAAATATTCTTGATGATTCCTCTCAGAATAAGACGTGGTGTTTGTTGAGATTGCTCAAGCGCACAGCCAGGTGGCACTAGCCAGAAATACGGCGCATACGGCGGATGGATACGAAATACGCTCACGCAAACAAGGTAATACACCGAAACGTTCTAACAAGTTCAACTCATGCTTTGGAAGAGGCAGCTGCAAAGTCATGGGGCAAGTACTCGAAATCCCCTTCCACCCCTATTTCCTCTTTTCTGCTGGTGTTGAACCGACTCTCCTTGAAGCCGCATCACCAGGTCAGAGGCGTGCTGTCGAAAGACAAAAACTTGCCAGAGGTCTCCTCGCAAGTCGCCTTGTCANNAACTGCGATAGACTTTAGCATCCCAGCAATACAGGCTTAGCGCTGACCACTTACCATTCCGACCATGCCGTCAACAGCGAACTCCATAGGTGTCACCATGTCCTTGGACATTCCCGTTGCTGCTTGGGCCTTAAGACCATTTTCCGTCTCGATCACACTATGAAGAAGTTCCGTCAGGCTATGCTCGTCTATGGTCATGTAAATGTACCTGGAATCAACTTACCCAGGATGTACCGCGAAAGAGACCAACCACGGGTTCTCGATGTGAATACGGTAGGTAAGAAGGTTCATCCCAGCTTTGGAAGCACTATATGTCGCCATAGGAAAGTCAAAATATTCTTGCATCGATATGGATGCAACAGCAGTGCTGATGTAAGTGAAAATCGGCTTTTGAGATTTCTGCAACAAGGACGATGTGGCTTGGTATAACCGAAGGGGCCCGACGGTGTTGACGTTGAAGTGCTGTATCAAGTCCTCGCTACGAATCTTGGACACTTCAACAAAAGCGTTGGTCGCGTATAGCCCGGCATTTGCGATCACAAGGTCAAGGTACGTGATCTGGTGGTTAGCGAGGCTGGCAATGGCTTCTTGAGCGTCTGTATCGGATGTGCTTTCGATCTTCACAACGATGAGATTACTGCCTTTAGCCAAGGGAAGGTCATGAAGGCTCTTCGCCTCTGCAGAGTTGGGATTGCGAACAGTGGCTATGACTGTTATGTTAGGGCGACCGAGATATTTTCCCACGAAGGAGTAGCCAATGCCCTTGTTGGCTCCGGAAATCAGTACGTTGTAAGTCATTGCGCCGGAGGTAAAAGCGTGAACGATGATAATATGAATAGTCACCATCGCAGTCCATCACTGCTTTTTATCTTGTAGGCAAAGGAATTGGCGAGTTGATTAGAAAGCTTTCGAGAGCAATCGATTTGTTGTGTAAGCTGCAGCTTACAGATAGGCGGCTGCATCTCGTACATTCCCAATCCTTCGACCAATTCAGAAAACGCTCAGAGTGACCGACGCCTATGTAGGAATATGGATATCTGAGGCCAAGTGTTCTACTCCTTGTATGCTCATATTGAAGCGTCTGATTAGAAGACAATCCATGTATTTGTAAGGACGGTGATGACATTAGCACTGCTCGGGGCGCGTCGAAGTTGATGTCGCTTACATCAGCATCGCATGTCGGGTATTCTCGTATTCAGAAGTCGTGATAATTCGCCACCCCCAGCTTCGAACTTAATGCTCTCAACTGCTAGTTAGATGACTATTAGCTAGATTGCTATACAACCACAGTACTATTACCTGTTATACACGTTAATATGAATTAATCTAGTGCTACTAATGCTCTGCTCGTAGTAGTATCCTCTTAAACTAGCGTACATACGCGCTTGCAAAGCCGAAATCGCGAATCTAGCCTCTTAGAGCCACTACCCTTGCTAGCTTAACTACCTACCTATATAGGCTTAAGACGACATGTACACTTCGAGGAAGAAGAGAAAGACATTAGAGAAGGATACTCTATAAGCACGCTAAGGGCCACGCGCGGTAAGGCTCCTATTCGCCTTATTAACTAACAAATACCTCCCGAATCTATACCTCGCCGGGCTATAACAAAACGTAATACCTCTACCTAATAGCTATAACCACCTTTAGGAAAGGTACCCTCTTTAATAAACCACTTTCTAATGCTACGAACACGTTAGAAAAAAGGGGATTAAAAACTTCTAAAAAGACTAAGATATAGGCCCTAGCGCCTAAAACGCGACCCGCGAAGCCATGTAATAACCTAGCTACATCTGTTCGTCGCTTAACCACCTCTACAAATAAGGTTACTAAACCTTCTAAGGTCAATTAGAAGGCTAAAGGGACCCTCTACGTAAAGAGCGTATTATCGAATTCGACTGCTATCGCTACGAGTTCCGCCGTTATAACACTACCTACCCTAATACCGTTTAAGTTATAATTCGACAGTCGTTAGGGCTACTAAAAGATATCTAATGGCGATACCGACCTTGCTAACAGTAAGAAGACATAGGTAACAATTCGTTAGGAGCTAGATCGGTCGATTATACCTTATCTTAGAGATTAGGAAATCACTAATTATTACCCTTAGAAGATTAGAGCTCTAATAACTTTAATAGGCTCTCGCGGTGTACGCTTAACTAAAGCAGTTACTTTATATAGACTTAAGCATAGTAACGAGCAGTAGAAGAAGGCCATAGACCTCGTTCGCTTTAATGCTTCTACCGGCCTTAAAGATTTGTCTATTATAATCGAGTCTATTTAGATAGTAAATAGCAAGGAGCTAGCGCTAGAGGCTCCTCCTTCGTATAAGGCCTCTACACTAGTACCCTTAACGACATCGGGACCTCGAGCTCGCCGATCCGAGCACTCTATATAACAAACTGCCACTTACTTCGATAAGAGGGCCTTATTTTAGGACGAGGTTACCTAACATTACCTCTATAAACGACCTAACCACTACTATGTATATGCGCGTAGAGGTCTCGCTTACCTCGAGCATAAGGGTCACTATTATAAGATCCTCTTTAGCACCGTAGCAAAGTAGCGCGAAGAGGTAAGGGTAGGTCTCTATACACTTAAGGAGCCTTCTCGCTCCGTCGTATAGCTTATTATTAGACGACATTAGCAGCACGAGGTTAAGCTATCGAAGGCCTTAGCGTAAGGTAGAGGCTCTACCTAAACCTCGCTATTAACCCCTTTAACTATTAACAACTTCTATGTCGGTCTAGCTTAGGCATAGTAAGTTAATCCTCCTTCTCTTCCTCCTCCTCTCGTTACGCCTCCTATAGCTGCTCCTCGACAAGTGTTACCTATCCTATCTAAGCTTAATACCGCTATTAACTAGAAGGCCTTTTAGGAGGGTCTTAAATAAGCCTATCCGGACTAGTTAGCTAGCTTCGATAGAGCAAGGGTTTAGCTTAAGTAAGACTACTAGAACTTACGCTTGTTATTCTAGTCGTCTAACAAGCAGTTGTCGCGAGTAGTAAAGCAATCCGGCCTCCGAATAGTCCTCTATAAGGAACTAACTAAATTCGTTAATAACTATAAGCAAGCTTAGCGCCTATTAAATAGCTCGCCTACTATAACTCCTCGAGCACCCTCCGGCCCTTAAGGTAGCCATGTTTAGCACCCTTAGAGCGTTACTTCCGGCTCCTCGTCGTTAGCTTATAACACCTCCGACACTAGCGACCATTAAATTTAAGGTAATACCCTACTTCTAACGAATAAGTTCCTAATATTAACCTTATCGAGTGCCTAATACGTTGCTCTCTCGAGGTGTAGGATCTATGCTTCCTTATAAGCTTAAGGGTCTATGTTACTAACCCGAGGAGCTAGATCTCAATGTCGTCGAAGCTATTGTTTTAAGAGGTAGAAGGTCTATTCTATAGGGTCAAGGTATAGCGAGTATAGCGGTAGGTATAGCAAATATACGCTAAATTGGTGTCCTAGATTAGTAATCTAGCGGGCGTTAATTTACCACCAATTATACACTAAAATCTAACATACACCTTATCTAAGTAGTAGGTTAAGCAATTGTCTATTATAATAATTAACCTTCTTTCTAGAAATGGCTTACACTAAGGCAATATAACTATCTCTAGCTAGTGCTTATACATAGCCTATGTAACCGCACCCTTAACGATAAGGGTTAAACCTAGTATGTATCTATGGATATCTAGCGCTAGTAGCACCGAGCACCTTACCTTTAATACTAGCTCTAACCTTATAAAGGTAGGTAGGCTAATTACTAACTATAAACGACGTCGGAACATAGCCTTCTCGCTTACTATAGATTCGTTAAGGTAGAGTAGCATATTTATAGGGTTAATGTTAACCTTATAGCCTCGAGTTATTAGCTCTACTAGCCTCTCTTTATAGAGGGCTTATTCGATAAGGGATTAACGACTAGCGATACGAGTATTAACCTTACTCAAGAGCCTCTCCTCCTTTATTATACGACTAATAGTCGGTTAAGACACTTAAATGCCGAATTCGCACCATAATTCGAAGGCTAACTCCTCCTCCTATAGATCGTTTCTATAGTTAAGTAATAGCATAGCATAATCACGCATCTCTAGCGTAATCTTACGTAGAGCTCCTATACGCTTAAGCGTAAAGGGAGGCTTCCTAACCCTACTAAAATTAGTGACATTTTGTTACATGCGGTAGAGCGTAGGTCGAGCCGTATAGGGTACTACTTTATAGACTACTTCGACGTTGCTATCATTACGAAACATGGCCTCAATAAGGTCCTTGTCGTAGTCGTTAAGAGGCATGTTTTAATAGCGAGATTATAGCTTAGATAAAGCCTATTAGGTAGGTTAATATAGCTTAAAAGCTAGTAACAGATAGCAACTAGTTACCTAGAGCTAGTACACCAATATTGCGACGACAGCAGCTGTATAAAGCATCAAATAGCAAGATTAGTAGTCTAATTGCTAGTTGAGAGCATTAAGTTCGAAGCTGGGGTGGCGAATTATCACGACTTCTGAATACGAGAATAATTTCCATCTCGCACCTCCGACACCCTCTGGACGACCGTTCGACAAGACAAGGCCGGTGTCAGACACGACGGCTGCTTCCGTTCTATCTCCACGAATCTGAGCATTATCTTGTTGTCCTGAGTATGTTGGCACGAGAAGTCAGTGGCCGCCTTGGTGCATTCAGGGCTGAGCGCAGCTCCGCGCGACTCGATACGCTGCATACGGCCTGCGCAATACGCTTTTACAAATACGGTGCTATACGGGATAGTGTCTCAACAACACGATACCTAGCTACGTATAAGATTACAGGGTAGGCAGGAGAGTTTTCCTTTATAACTTTGTGTCGCCCAATACTATCGGCGATCGTTCATTTCGCTCATCGATCATTCCATTGTCAATCAAGATGAAGCCCTCATATTCAGATTTCACATATCCTAGCGATACGCTGCCATCCTCTCGACATAACACGAACCGGAACACCCTGGGTGAGGACGACTGGAATGATGCTCCGCCACCATACACTCTGATTGCTAGCGATGGTAACTCGCACATGCAAGATGATGGTCGGGTTCGTCTTGATGTCAATTCAAAACTCGCTCGCACTCTCTCAGTTTTCATCAAAGATACTCTGGAACAGCCACCACCCGACTATCAGGAGCCAGTACTCGAAGATCTCGAACAACCACCATGTCTGAACATCGTTATTCAGATTGTCGGTAGCCGGGGAGATGTACAGCCCTTTATTGCCCTTGGACATAAGCTCCAAAAGTCTGGCCATAGAGTTAGACTAGCGACACATGGTGTTTTTCGCGGCTTTGTCACCACATCTGGGCTGGAGTTCTATCCCATCGGAGGTGATCCAAATGAACTCATGGCTTATATGGTCAAGAATCCTGGTTTGATCCCCAGCATGAAGACTATGCAAGCAGGAGAAATTACAAGAAAGAGAAAAATGATCCGGGAGATGCTCGAAGGGTGTTGGAGGTCTTGTATCATGCCAGACGATGTCACGGGTGCACCTTTCGTCGCGGATGCTATCATCGCCGACCCGCCGAGCTTCGCACATATCCACTGTGCTCAGGCTCTGTGCATCCCGGTCCATCTTATGTTCACCATGCCCTGGACGGCAACGAAAAGTTTTCCTCATCCATTGGCCAATATCAAGGACAACAAGGCAGAGCCAAACATGGTCAATCGACTCTCATACGCCATGGTCGAGTGGATGACGTGGCAAGGTCTGGCCGATGTAGTGAATGGATGGCGTGAGACTATGGACCTCGAACCAGTCCCCACGACCGAAGGACCTTTTCTTGCATACACACAGAACATACCTACAACATATTGCTGGTCGAGTGCTCTCGTCCCTAAACCACAGGACTGGGGACGACACATTGATGTCTGCGGATTCTTCTTTCGAGACATGCCTGATTACAAGCCGCCGCCCGACTTGCTAGATTTTCTGGATGCTGGACCTACACCGATATACATCGGCTTCGGTAGCATAGTTCTTGAAAATCCCGAAAACATATCTACCATCATTGCTCAGGCTGTCAGAAGCGCTGGCGTTCGCTGCATTCTCTCGAAAGGCTGGGCCGGTTTGAGCAATATATCGGGCTCATCAGATATTCTTGAGTTGGATGACTGTCCACACGGTAATTTGACTCCTCTTGTCGTTGCTCCATAGATAACTAACGATGGGAATANNGAATGGCTCTTCCGACATGTCTCGGCTGTCATCCACCACGGAGGAGCAGGCACAGCTGCTTGTGGTCTGAAGAACGGTCTACCGTCCCTTGTGTGCCCCTTCTTTGGCGAGTAAGTGCTTTTCCAGCTTTCGAATATGAACTTAGCTGACAATGAGCCAGTCNAACCGTTCTGGGGAGAGATGATTCACACAGCGGGCGCGGGTCCCAGACCAATTCATCACAAGAACCTCACAACCGAAAATCTCAGCGAAGCGATCAAATTTCTTACGACACCAAAAGCAGCACAGTCCGCTCGAAACATCGCGCAGCGCATGTCAACAGAGAATGGCGTGAAATCTGCAGTTCAAGCTTTCCACCGTAATTTGCCGCGCCACACCTTTCGCTGCGACGTCCTACCTCATCTGCCAGCGGTATGGACATACAAAGCATCCTCCAAGCGTACCATCAAGCTGTCAAAGCTGGCTGCTGAACTTCTGCTTGATCGCCTCAAGATCGATGGCGAGAAGTTGGGGATGAACGAGATGAAGTGCTACATTATTGAGAACCAACGCTGGGATCCTATCACGGGCGCTGCTAGTGCAGCCATCGGTACAGTGTACAGATCTGGTATGGCAATCGGTGACGGATTCAAGAAAAGCAAAGGAAAGCAACCCTGCGATCGAGATGAATACCTCTTTGTTTCTGGGACCTCGACACCAAGACCAGGAAGTCGTAGCAGATCATTGCAGCCAGAGAAGGACGATGGAGAGGGCGACGATTGCATGTCTATCATATCGTCTTACGAGGACAAAGCAAAAATCGAGTCCACCATGACGACGACTAGTAGAGAGCTCGATCTCAAGAACCAGAAATCAGATGGCAATCTTGTAGCCAGAGGTTTTGGCAAAGCAGGTAACACGATACTCAAAGGCGGATTAGTCGACATCCCCTTCGCCTTGGCTGAGGGCCTGAGAAACGCTCCCGCCATGTACGGCGACAAGCCGCGCGACTTTGGTCCCGTTACTGACTGGAAGAGTGGTGGGGTCGTCGCAGGCAAAGGCCTCATTTTCGGCCTGTACGACGGCATAACCGGCCTTATAGTCGAGCCCTTCAAGGGTGCAAAGAAGGAGNGGGCATTGGGTGCACTGAAGGGCTTTGGCAGAGGGGTGGGAGGCATGTATTGGAAACCTAATGCCGGACTCGCTGGTCTGCTTGGGTATACCGTGCAAGGAATCTACAAGAGTGTGTACAGTGCTATACATACAGGAACAAGGAAGGATATCGCAGCGGCACGAAGGGAAGAAGGTGCTTGGCTGCTTGCAAGAGCGAGAGAAGATCAGGAGATTGATCTGAGGGATATCGCCAGGGCTTTTGATGAGTTGAAAAAGGACGGATTCCGATAATCCTCGTCTCCATATCACCCAAGGGTCGGGCTGAAGGAACCTCCCTCCGCGTGCAAAAGACAGTCACACCCTGTACTCGGCCCCTTGGCCACACTAATGCATGTGCTATGATAAGCTGTAAAAATGCACAATTTCTTTTGGAACAGAGATGTCACCATGGAGACAAATAAACATAACGTTCTCTCCGTGGATGTTGCTCTGTTATAGAAGGTATTGTGCGATTCTATAACCACGCTGTGGCTGTTTATTGCACATGGAGAAGCTGCATCAATACTTGGCTGTTAGGGCTTTCTGCTTGGCCATGACTCCGTATGGTTTATGACAAGAAATCCAAGAAGAACGGTCGTTCATTAGAGTTCCTCGGACATCCAATGCTGTGCGATGATACAGAGAGCATCCGTACGTTCCGATATCCTTGTTGTCACCGAGTGCTGGACGTTGAGATTTGTAGCCCTGCGCTACATTGTAACGATGCTCCATGAGCACATTCTCTCGTCCAAGATCCTCGCCCTTGTTCTAGAGAAATTCTTTGATCCGCCGGGAATGACTATAGTTGAAGATGGGCCGGGAATGAAAAATAAAGATGAGGCTTATTTTTCCTTTACGAAATCTGGGGTCAGAAAACCTTCCGAGGAAGGGGCGATGATGCGCTCCAACGCTCTTTCAAACTTGGCATCATGACACAATTTACTATGATGGATTTGTTTACATCATCTATCTGGAGGTTGCCCAAGTGTCAGGCCCCTTTTGATGCCCGGAGTAGCGTTGGGCATCTTCCGTATCTGGCATCCGAAGGATCCGTCAGCGCTGATATATCTTCTCACCCCCTTCATCCTACAAACTGATATTGCCTCTTCCGATACTTCCAACTTATCTCTTTCCTACATCAACACCCATCATAAAAACTACACGATGAAGTCATTCATCTCAGCATCGCTACTATCAATGCTGGCCCTCTGCCAACATAGCAAGGCAGCAGCCACCTGCGGTAACTTCACCATCGTAGGAGCCAACAACTACACGAAATCCTCCTCTATGACTTTCGCCGTCAGTCAAGGTGTCGTCTGCAATGGGACTTCTGACTGCTCAGTACCGGTTGGCGGAGACGTGACCGACCGCCGCACCACGAACTTGACGGACTCTACTCCGGACTGGGCATTCCAACTTATCAGCAACGCAACCGGGTATTCTTTCAATGCGACATTGGTCGGCGCAATAGAGAACACCACATACACAATCAACAAGGGCTCCTCGGGATATATTGGCTTCACGCCTACATACCGATGCACGCAAGGCATCCTCTCAGCATGCGAGAACAAAGACCTTGATGGCACACCTGTGGAAGCATGCACACCATTTGGCTGGGAGGAAGGCATGATTAATGGTACATTGGCGGCAGTCATGACATCGCCGGAAACTGCTTCGGCTCTGGTCTGCAACCCTGCAAATACAAGTTTGGCGTCAAGTGGCAACAGCACCAATTTCTGTATCAACCCGACAAATTCGTCTTCTGGGAACACATCGGCACCAGATTTGTCAGCTGGTGCTGGTCTGTCGAGCAGTGTGGGCACAGTCTTGTTGTCGGTTGCTCTGCTGGTCGCGATTATTGGTATCTAAGCCACACGGTGCCCCGTCAATCTATTTGATACAGGGACTCGGACACATCTCGAAACGCTCCTCGGTTGTCTGCGATCTCGTACCCTGGACGGTGTGAAGTACTCATAATTAGCCTCGGCTCCCTCAACAGTAAAGACTTGTGCAACTACCGATTGAGGCTTGAATTTCCACAAGCCACCGCAGGCTATAATACCGGCACCTTGGAGACGGCGCGATGAGCGAGCAACCCGTTCAGAAGAGGTCAGCTATACAGCTGCTGCACATCATGTCTGTGACGAAGTGCTTGGAACTGTCTCTAGAGACCGAACTCATCCGTACATGAGAGAACTTAGCCGGTTCAATTCTTTATTAAGCATGAGTCGGAAGATCAGGAGTTCGTAAATGGTGCTAGCTTAGGTTTTATCTGAAGCATCGCACCAAGCTTGAAGAGTACTATATATACCCGTGAGACACGACGATCGAGAATACTCAAACATGCTGCGATTTTGTAAGCGAGTGGACTTGTATACCTACATCGTGGCGCACGATGAAGAGGTAGGACATGGATTGGAAGATAGCTCATCTGGGACACAGCACGTGTCCCGAGTGGCCAATAATCGTGTCTTGTCGCGCAACCACCCTGAGTGTTTTTCTTTTCCTATCGCAGACTCAAATTACGTCTAGCTTCGCAGCGAGTGCTGTCAAGCATAGGAAGGGTGTGTTCCATCACGCTCAATAGGAGAAGGGATTGAGCTTCTGACAAGGATATCGAGGAAAGTACATACAAAGCGTGCTTACTCAATCAAAGCAAAGTACAAGCTTTAGCAAAGCACCTCAGCATCTTGCACTCGAGACGGCACCCACGTTCGACATTATCTCAAATCCTTTCACTAGATCACAAGGACGTTACCTGCAAGCATCCACTCAAGAATTGATCCGAGCTGAGAAAGTATGTAAACGACTATGCAGACATCTGACCATAGCGCAAGCACGTAAGAGCCACTTCGATGCATGTTCCTTGATGCAGGGAGCGTGGCAGCACCATAACACGTACGAGCCGACAATACACAGCCGGGGTAGCTATCTCTAACGTTGAACTAAAAAAAAATACGTACAAAAATAACAGTAGCATCCCGCTCAACTCGCGATCAGAATCATAGTCCGTTGACAGCATCATCACTCGCGCGAGCGGACAATTTCAAGCGTGTCGGCGGAGATGGGCGTCTTATCTCCGAGATTAGAGCTGTTGATTTCATCCCTCTCGCGTGGCTTTTGCGTGTGCAACACGGCAGATCTTGTGCGCATCACCAAAAATCACAAGCCCTGCGCACCACAAACTACAAAAATACTTGTGTGTTTGCGCTGTCCCCAGCGTCCACATACAGACGCCGTTTCTGATCCTTCCTAGTTTGAAACCATCAAACGATCGTCGTTGTCTTTCGACATAGGCAGCCAATCGACAACTTCGGTCTTTTTGTAAAGAGTCGGAGACCGAACCTCCAGTCCGAAACTAGACCCTTCCCGGTACATAACTTGGTCGCACCCGCCGACCACCATCACCGGTTTTTCTCTCACACGGCTCATCCCTTTTCATACCTTTGTTGTCTCTGTCCTACCCATCTTTCACGATGGCGCATTCGAAAACATCCAGTGAGAGTCTACCATCGACAACATCACCAACTGAGAAGCCTCCGGTTGTTCCCAACGAGCAAGCCGCGCCAAACCCCGAAGTCGTTGTCAACAGCAATGAGAAGGACGTCGAGGCCGCCGCACCAAGAGCTCCGCCACCAAACTTCCTCGGAAACGTACCCAACGGAGGTCTCCAAGCATGGCTACAAGTCGCTGTAAGGATTTCTGCTACATTCATGTGCTTACCATTGTAATCAAACTGACGTCAAACAGGCCGGGTAAGAGATGTTGCTCTTGTGGGGTGTTGTCAAACTTTGGTGACTCTTCACCAAAACTTGACTACACCTTCGCCAGCCCTCACGCACCATTGTAACCAAGCTAACCGTCAAAATCTCATAGGTTCGCGTTATTCTTTAATACATGGGGTCAGTAATCATGCTAAATTCACGTTTGTAACCAAAAACTAATACCGGCATCCAGGAATTCTCAACACTGTTGGTCTACCCGCCCTTGGCACTCGATTAAGCTTAACTAACCAAGCTTCTATAGTTCGGAGTCTTCCAAACATACTACGAGTCTGGTGTTCTGATACGTGCTTCGTCATCTAACATCTCATGGGTCGGTGCTATCCAGTCGTACTGTGTATTGCTCATGGGCTTCCTCTCGGGTCCTATCTTTGATCGAGGATACCTTCGTCCATTACTTTGTGTTGGTTCTTTCCTTATTGTACTAGGATTTATGATGCTTTCAATCTGTCATACTTTCTGGCAAGTACTTCTGGCCCAGGGCTTCTGCATTGGTATCGGATCTGGACTCTTGTTCGTCCCAGCTGTTGCCATTCTCCCGACGTACTTCAACACCAAACTCGGTCTTGCAATTGGTCTTGCAGCTTCTGGTAGTTCAATGGGTGGTATCATCTACCCCATTGTGTTCTACAGATTGCTCGACCAGATTGGCTTTGGATGGTCTGTTCGTGTCTTGGGTTTCCTTGCCCTGGCCACCTTGCTCATCCCCATCTTCGTTATGAAGCAGCGTGTCAAGCCTCCAAGGGCTCGTGCATTGATTGATACAACAGTCTTCAAGGATATCCCATTCATGCTCTTCACTCTCGGCGCAATGATCGGCTTCATCGGATTGTACACCGTTTTGTTCTACCTCTCATTCTTCGGCCAATCCAATGGTTACACCGATGCCAGCATGTCCTTCTACATTGTACCCATCCTCAATGCAGCCTCGGTGTTCGGTCGTACTTTACCCAACGCTCTCTCCGACAAAACTGGCTCGTTCAATATCATTCTGCCTGGTGCGGCTGTTTGCTCAATCCTTATCTTCTGCATGATTGCCGTGGACGGGCTGGGCAGTATCGTTACGCTCGCCATTCTCTTTGGTTTCTTCTCCGGCGTCTTCATCGCTCTACCTCCCGTCTGTCTTGTTGCTCTGACCGCGGACAAGTCCAAGATTGGCAGCAGAATTGGCATGGCCTTCGGATTCATCGGGTTTGGCACTTTGGCTGGTGTAAGTACAAACCTGGTACCACGAGTTGTCAAGGATCTTGGTGAACTCGTGGTATTTTTTCATTTTTTTTTCAGAGCTATTGCTAATTCGGCTCTTGTTTAGGGACCCGGTGGCGGTGCTATCTTGCAGAACTATGGCCCTACCAACAACTGGACCGGCCTGTGGGTTTACGGAGGCGTTTCTTGTGCTGTTGCTACTTCCTTCTTTGCAGTAGTCAGGTTCATGAAGGCAGGAGGTAAACTCATGGTCAAGGTGTAAGACTATATGATCAAACGGTGGCTATGCGATCAGTTCTTCTCAGCACAGCATAAAAGGTAATTGTAATATCAGAACGTTACCAGAAGTTGCCGTTTTCGGCTTCACATCACAATCTTCGTCTGATTCTTACCCAACACTCGACTGATTTCTTTGAGAAGCCTTCAGTACATTCCAACGATTCCTGCTCCAGCACAAGATCGTAACGTCTAAACAGCGTTGCCACAATCAACGATAGTTCCATCAGTGCCACGTTCTGTCCCACACAAGCCCTGGACCCATAACTAAAAGGATTGAACGCAATAAGGCCAAGATATCGTGGTGATTGTCGCACTGCTTTTCCATCGCGACCAGACGATTAGAGACGGCTTTGGCAGCTATACCGTGTAAGTTCTAAACCGAAGCAAGTCCTTTGGAGAAGAAAGGGTCGGGCAGATATGTAGCGAACGGCCGTAGCGAAGGCAACTAACCTAAAGTCGACGAGACCTCACCGCGTCGATTTAATGTTTCTGCTCCTTTCGTGAGTACCATAGACCCATCTAGCAACTGCGTCTCGCATTCATCCCTCCCCTTCTCCACCATCCCAAACGATGTAATAAAGGCCAGAGAACCAATCACATTAAATGCGATATACGTGCACCAAGGCATCATATCTACCTTCGCATACCCATTGTCTTCTCCTCTTTCAACAATGCCACCCGACTTCCTGATCCAACTCTCCAAATTCTCAGCCATACAGTATATCCTTCAAATTCCAAAACTTTCTTCGCACTGAACGCATGCGCAACAATCTTTCTCTTTCTCGCATGCTGCACTCTATCCCTCGTACTAAACACTCCTGGCACACCACTCACAAAGGCATCATAGAAGCTCTCCTTAGCTGACATTTTCGAGGATCGAGTTATCATATGACTGAGACAAAAGCTTTGCGTATCACTATTCTATACATGGTGATAAGCTGTTACTGGATGCGAGAATGGAGTGTACAGCGTAGAAGCTCTGAGATCGAGGCCCAGCAAGACACGGGACCGTGGGAAACATCTAATGGATATTTGTGATGCGTAAGAAAATACTCCTGTAATTGGCAAGATCATACAGATTAACCACCACCTATTTCACTGACCCCAACTCATACCCCCAAACATGGCTCCATCACATCATCACAGACCACCATTCTTCTCCGCAGCATTCTCAATATCACCCACCTCAGCCTTGTCCTTGCCGCCAGGAACAGTTCTTTCCTTGGCCTTCTTGGCAGCAGCAGCGGGACCAGACTTGTCAGCAGTGTCATCGGCATCTTCGCCAGCGTCCTCGTCTTCGGGGTCGGCGGCTTCGTCTTCGTCGTCGAGGTCGGCGGGGTCGACTTCTTCGTCATCTTCGCCGATTTCTTCTTCTTCGTCGTCGTTTTCTTCGTCATCGTCGGCGGGTGCGGCGGTGGTTGCGGTTGTCTTGCGCTTTTTCGAGGCGGAGGGGCTGGGAGAGGTGTTAGCTAAGTGTATATCGAGAGGTTGATTGGAGAGAATAGGAAGAAAGAAGAGAGTAATGGTATAGGGGGAAGTGCAACACATACCAGCAGGCTTAGCAGCAGCCTCGTCCTCGTCATCGTCCTCATCGGCATCGCCCTCTGCTTCAGACGAGTCGTACCTGTATCAATCTTCCGTTAGCATTCATCCTTGATATTGGTCTAGCATAAGATTCGCTGTAACAATGGCGATTGAGCGACCATCTCGCGTGAATGAGATGAACGCGACAGCACCGCGATAGCTAGCAAACATGACGTCAACTCACTCTTCCTCCTCCTCAGAGTCCTCAGGCAGCGATTGGAGCTCCTCCTCCTCACTCTCCTCAGCTCTACGTTTGCGTGTTCCAACCATGGTGTTTTGTGTGATTCGTGTGTTGTGTGTAGAAAAGGGGAAACAGAAGGGAGAAGGAGAAGAGGGAGAAACAGGGCAAAGCAAGGACAAGAGGCCCGCGGCGGGCGCGGCTGGGAGCTGCTGATAATCCGGGGCAGGAGCTATGAAGACGTTTGTGCCTCGATTTGGAAGCGGTCCGCTAAAGAAGGAAGCTTGGGCCATGTGTTGTGGAGGAGGTAGAATCACGGGTCCGAGGTTTGTTTTGTTATTGGTTGCTTTGGAAGACAAGTGTTTGTATTGTTGTTGACGCTGTGTTGCTGCTTGGAAACATACGTATCCAGGAGAAGCGTCAAGAGTGGCGAGCAGGTCGTGTGCATGATGAACATCGAGCCATTGATGAAAACACAAGAGCGAGAATATGAAGGCATCATGGTGTGAACAAAGGTATCGAGCGATGTCGTTCTGGAATCGATGAATTCCGACTTCTCGGGTCGTGCTCCAAGAATTATACAATGGAGATCAGTCAACGTGGAAACATGTCGCGTTGGAGTCAATAGCAGGGGACTATAGAGTGTAACTCAGTCTCTAGCCTCGACTGAGAGGGAGGATCTTTGAAGCAGGCATGGAAGAGAAAACCTCACTCGAACGCCACCAAAGCTTCAAGGCTCTATGTCTTGAGTACTCGCAGCGCGCGCAATGATCCTCGACCCTTTCCTCGGTCCAAGACGGTCGATGGGTTTTCCAAGGCAACTCGCGAAACCACTCATGCCGGCACCAACCCTCGAACTTCACCGTTTGGCGGTAAAGCCCGGTCGGACCCAAGCGCTCGCCCTCATCAAGCCCTACAAGTTGTTGCTTGCGGGCTAAAACTTCTTCCAAAGTTTTGACGTCTTCGTAACCCTCTGGCGTCGCGCAGGTCCAGTCGTCTTGGCGGTTGAAGCAGATATGGCAGAGAAATTCAGGTTTTGTTTTGAAATCTTCTGCGGTCTGGTTGGCTTTCCGCCACCAAATCTTGAAACCTCCACGTCTTGTTATTTCGCATCCGCTGCAATGACGTTCGACTGGCTCAGATGTAACAATAGGACAATAAAACTTCCAAGGAAGCCCCGTGCGAGTCCATGGGTATTGCAATAATAGGGAATGATAAGATTTCGAGTGAGATACGCTGGATCGTTCTTCATCTGTTCGTGACGGAGTTTGGCGAGCTGTCTCGCGTGCCTGCGATACTCAGAATCCTCGTCATGTCGCTTCTTTTTCGATGCAGCTATCATGTCCAAGTGAGCGCGCCAGGCTTCTGGATCTGAACGCAGTGTAGCATATGAGGTCCTTCTTCGGTCCGGAGAACCGGAAGAGTAGAGTGAGCTGTCCCTGATCCAAGACGGTGATGACTAGAGGGAGGTGTGTCGGAGGAAGTATTCGCGTGTTCCGTGGTTGTTGTATCAAGTTACTTCTTTCGTGCCACCAGATCGCTGTATAACCTGGCATCTTCGAAACCTTTGGGCATGATTTCGCTCCAATCGGGTTTGGTATAGCAATAGTGGCAGATATGACTGCCCGTAGGACTTTTCCACCAGACTTTAAAAGCCCTTATCCTCGCCCGATCGCAACTTGTGCATTTGAGCTCTTCCTTCTACTCAAAAAACAGCGGCTGGTGTGTCGGCCAAGGCAACATGCCTACCCATGCACGATAACACCGAGCAAGCATGCGTTTTCTGCGTGAGATCGCATCATCCATCAACATATCGTTTTCAAGGACTGCGCCTTGAAGCTGTTTCTTGCGGGCTACCAAACTCTTGAAAGTCTCAACATCTTCATAACCTTCAGGCATGACTGCACTCCATTTCTTTTTTGTTGTGTAGCAGGAATTGCAAAGATAGCTGTCGGCCTGACCTTCACCCGATACAGAAGCCGGAGCTTAGACCGACTGAGTCGGTTTACATTTCCACCAAAGCCTCAATCCTCTGTATCTAGTGATGTGACATCCATCGCAATAGTGTTCGACTTGCTTGTCGAAAACAAGTGGTTGATGAGACTTCCAAGGTAGAGTATCACGTACCCAGCTGTATTAAAGCATCCATCGTTTGGAAAGATGTATCATCCGATGATTGTACTCATTTGAAGCATACCGCCGCGAATAATATGTTCTGAGCTTTTCTGCCCGCTTTCGGCGCGCCTCAGGATCATCATCAAAGTGTTTCACTATTCTTAATGATTCTTTGTTTTGATGTGCTCGGTAAGCATCCTGGTCCGATCGTAGCTTTTCATATTCTTCCTTGCTCATACATTGCGCACGGCAGGTATAGAAGCTTCGTGTAGCTGCCGGATTGAAGACACTGAACGTAACTGACGATCCTAGGTTTATAGTTCTGTATTGGAACGAATTCGACACATTGGTTGTAGATCCTATGTTGCATGCAATACTAGTCTTCGTGTTTGTGAGCTCCTTCGAAGCTACGACGCGCTTGCTCCAAAGTTCGACTTTGAGAGTGTGGCACGAAGAGAAGGTGCGTCGCGATGCGCATGTTCGCATCGTCGAGCCCATCAAGGTGAGCATAGAGAGACTCCTCAGCAATGACAGAGCCGTTTTTGAGACATCGAGTAAGTCGTTACAATCAATCGATGAGCGAGAGGAACGAAAGACATTGGTATAGGATTTTCTTCTGCGACGACGTGTAGATTGCACGAGGCGGCGAAGCGGCGACCGTGCGTTTGCATAAGTCTGACATAAAGCTATTCACTCAGAGTCTGCCACATATGCGACCAAAGAAGCAATGTTCAGGATAACCATGATGGCCAGTCAATGGGCTCATAGAGAGCGAATACGAGCGATGGGGGGGAAGTGCCAAAGAGTCAAAGTCGCAAGGCCGTCACAAATGTGGTCGCCCACTCCAAGAGTCGAACACAAGCGCAGAAGTTTGTTGAGCGCCAAGCCTCGTTGGCGAAATCGCGCGCTTTCCCGCCGCGCCAAAGTGCCGTGAAAGTGAGCAACAAGTCATCCGCAAAATTCTGACACACCGCACCGCGACACTGCGCCTGCACCAACCTCTACCCATCGACTGCCATCAGGACGCCCTACCATATCCGAAGCCTGCATCGCACGTGTATACCAGGAACATATCTGGACTGTCTGCCACATTTTGGTCCGCTGCGCTCGCGACTTGTTGGTGTTGCGCTGAGACTGCCAGGAACTGGACTTTGGACCTGTTTGTCTCGGTCGCATTTTTCCTCTGCATGGTACTGTCTTCACTACTCGGAAGGGGCCGGTTCACCAAGACTTGCTCGAATCGCTATCAGTCACCAAGTCAAAGTACTCTTACATTTTACCAAGGAGTCTGACGTCTTTTCATCATCAACTCCTGCTTCCAATCATAATTCAATTCTACTTTCTCTCTCAACACCATGCCTGGTATTGCTCCCCCTCGCCGACCTCAGCGTCTATCTGGTCTTGGAGGCAAGACTTCTGGCTCCTTCAAACCAATCCCTCGTCCAGCAAAAAGATCAGAATGTGGCTGTGACGCTCCCAGTTTCGAAGTCATTGACGGTGCCAAGATTTGTTTGAACTGTGGTACTCAAGTCAGCGAGCAAAACATTGTCGCCGAAGTCACTTTTGGAGAGTCGTCTACCGGTGCTGCCACAGTCGAAGGTGGCATCGTCAATGAAAACTCACGTCACGCAAAGACGCTGGGCGCCGCTGCTGCTCGCAGGCTAGGTGCTTCGATGCAGAGCAGGGAGGACAGCGAGAACAATGGCCGTGAATCCTTGCGTTTGTTCACTGCACGTCTACCCATTCCACCTGATGTCTCAGACAAGGCCATGGGTATCTGGAAACTCGCTTCTAACAGCAACTTCACACAAGGCCGCCGCGCTGATGAGGTCGCTGGTGCTTGTTTGTACATCGCTTGTCGAAACAAGGCTGAGAATACAATCTTGCTCATGGATATTGCCGAAGTCATCTCGGTCAACGTGTTCAGCTTGGGTGACACCTACAAGGGTCTACTGGCTAACCTCTTTGTGGACTTCAAGGAAACTACCAAGATGATTGAGGTTGAACCGTTGATTCTCAAGTATGCCAGCAAGCTTGAGTTTGGTGAAAAGACACGTCAGGTCGCCGAGGATGCTGTCAAGATTATTCGCCGTATGAAGAGAGATTGGATTGTTACTGGAAGACACCCAGCTGGTCTTTGTGGTGCCTGCCTCATTCTTGCAGCTCGGATGAACAATTTCCGTCGCACAGTCAGAGAAGTCGTCTTCGTCGTCAAGGTCGCCGATCTCACGATCTCAAAACGTCTCGAAGAGTTTAAGCGTACCCGTGCTGCTCATCTCAAGATTGATGAGTTCCGCGAAAAGGGTGTGAGAATCAGGGAACAAGCAGATCCCCCGGCTCTCCTGGAAGCGGAACTTCGAAAACAGAAACTCTTGAGGAAACAGCTGAAGCGCAAGGCCTATGAAATGAGCAAAGAGTCATCACGTCAATCCTCTGCAGCCCCTGAGCCTGGGTCCTCTCAAGCAGAAGCAGCACAATCCGCCAAACGACAANAGGTGTCGAGCGCCCGCAGCAATGCCGCCGTCCAAGCTGCAACTCAGCAGCAACACCCCCGCCGTGATGCAGACGGTTTCGCCATCCCTGATATTCCTCTCGATCCAGCCCTTCGCCGGAGCGCCAGTGTTGTCTCCGATACACAAGCAAACACTGAAACATCTTCTACACCCGAACCCACAGAAATCATCAAAGTCAAGAGCGGTCGCAAGAAGGAGACCATCGCACCACCACCCCTTACCGACGCCGATTTCATGGCCGAAGAAGAACTCGAAGGCGAAATCCAGAATATCCTCCTGGAACGCGAATGTGTTTCCTCCAAGGAACAAGCTGAGAAGGAGAAGATTGAAGAACGCGCAAAGACACTTGCAGAACAACAACGTGCCGCCATCGTGCAAAAAAATGCTCTAAGGCTCGAAGCCATGGGTCGTACTCATACTCTCGTCTCCGATTCTGAGATTATTGGTGAAGACGAGTTTGCTGATGATCCTGAGGTTGCCAATGCGCTGTTGAGCGAGGAGCAGGTCAAAGTAAAGGAAATGATCTGGGTCGCCCACAACGAAGACTGGCTCCGCGCCCAACAAGCCAAGCAATTGAAGAAGGCACTCGAAGAAGCAGAAGGCAAAGACAAGAAAACCAACAAGCGCAAAAGANGAGGTCGCATGGGCGATGGCACTGTCCTCACAGATGCGGGAACACCTGTAGAGTCGCCAGCAGATGCTTCTTTGCGTATGTTGGAGAAGAGAGCTCCCAAAGGTTTCTCGCAAAGAGTCAACTATGCTGCTCTTGGCAAAATCTATGGTGATCGTAGACATGGAGAGTCAAGGGCTGGATCGGAAGTCTCGACACCTGCACCAGAGAGCGTGCGCGCCGCTACTCCTTCTACCGCTTCACAATCCCCTGAAGCCGGACCCGCACAAGCTGCTCTCCCTACACCAGCGGCCACACAGGCCTCTCCACATGACGAATCCGCACATACCGCAACAGAAGAAGCCGTGCCAACCGCACCAGCAGAAGATGAGGAAGCAGAAGGGGATGACGATGATGACGAAGGCGACTACTGGTCAGACCAAGAAGCCCAACCTACCTCTCCACAATACGAGGACGAGGAATTTGAAGCTGCTACCGGGGATTTGACCGGAGACTTTGGCATTGGAGACGACGATTACGGTGGTGATGAAGGAGATGAATGGTAGTAAAGTGGCTTTGTGGAGTTCAAGGTGAAGACATAGCTTCAGGGTGGAAGAAGACAAAAGCATGCAGTTGTAGCTGACATGAGTGAGAAGCGCACATATATTATTTACGCCAGAATCGAAAATAGACAGAGTATACACTCGCTACCCAAACGAAAAGAAAAACATATTCTACCAGACACAATAACTGACGTGACTGCCCTGAACAATGTTTCTTGAACAACTCAAATGATCAACACTAAATCCTTCTACACGGTGTCATCTAGCCCAGCCGACTCCTCCTTAACCTCTCGAGAAGCTCTGTCAAAGCCTCCCAATCCTCATCATCACATCCCGGCTCTTGAATCTGTATCCGATTTTTCTTATCTTCCTCCCACTCTCTAAACACAAAATCACGCGGCTGATAGTTTGAGAAACTCAACCAATAAGTCTCACAGAAGATGGCGTATCGACCAACCTTCAAAGCAGTGGACAATGCATCTGCATGTTCGTACGCCCATGTGTCGTCATGACTATGATTGATGGCAAAATGTCCGAGTTGCGGTAACTCAGCAGCAAAGCGGTGGAAGAGGTGATGCCAGCGGGTATCATTCAACCAGATCTGTGAAGAGAGAAGATAGCTGCGAGGTTTAGCTTGATGGCCCGGTGGATTTGTCGAGTGGTCTTTTTCGTAAATGACGCTGTGGGCAGCAGTGTCGATAAAAGTTTCTCCCATTGTTACTGCTATGCCTATCATGGCGTCGTCGAGGATTAATTCTTCTAGTGTGTTTGCGTGGGAGAGTACCCATTGTATTTGTTTTTCATTGCAGATGCTCATATCGCCTAAGATCATGGTACGCAAGCATGGGAAATAAGGTAGGGTGTAAGCTGGATAGAACCCNCAGTACACCTCTCTATTGCTATAGAGTTTCAGATACTCCAGATTTGCTGCGAAAGGCTAGAGCCAGTATTCGTTTAATTCGTAGCCGAAGAAATCGTGGAGTTCTGGGAGTGGGAGAGTGTTTTCTGGAGAGGCAAATGCATCCTCAGTCGTGATGCACAGACTTAGTTGCGTGGTTCTCTTCATGACCGTGTCAAAGTTCTTCTTGAGTTCGACTTCCTGCGGAGTGTCCGCTTTCCCCATCAACGATTTTGGCGTCATGTTGTGTAAATTCTTAATGCTGAGGTTTTGNAGCTTGTTCGCATGCAGCAGGCCTTGGTAAAACGCAGAAAGGACTTGAAACTGAAATTCTTCACTCTCAGGTCCTTGGTCCCATGGGTCCTCTTCTCCGGCACATCGAGTCGAGAAGACCAACCCAGCATGAGTGAAATTGATGAACATGGCAGATTGTCGCATTGCAGCAAGCAAGAAAGGGCGAAGCTCCCAGTAGCCATCGCCCTTTGACATATCCCGGTTCGAATATTCATAGAGTCTTGCATCTGGCTGTAAGCGTGTTTGAAACACCACTTTTCTGACATGAGGGCTCAATGTTTTGGATCCCAGGATATCGCGATATCTTTCTGCCGAAGCCTCAGTGGGCAGGATCCGAACGCATGAAAAAAGTAGTGGCGTGCTCAGAGACTCAAAGGACTTAGACACCGCACGAGGAGATCGCAAATTTGAGATGTCGGGTGCAGGTGTTGTGGCTAAACATCTTGGCTAAGCAGCATTCACTCAATGAACCTCAGCTTCAAACGAAACGAATTCGCGGTAGGCTGGCTTTGGTTCGCAGTGAACAGTCTCCCACCAAACAAGACCAATCCTTCTCCACGTTGCAGTCATGCTTTCTCGGGCCAGTATTACAGCATAAGCACGATGATAGTCATAAGGTATACTCGTACTATTGCTGTCGCCCAGCAGAAACGCTTGCAGCTGAGCCCCTAATCCGAGTGTCACCTCTCTCTCGAACATTTTGCGAAAAGAGCCTTGAGGAACGTGGTGGTGGTCAGAGTCCAGCTTTCGAGGCTCTGCGATGCTGTCTAAGGGTGTTGTAGACCAGGCATCCAGGGCGAAGTACAATGCGTGGAATCTCTTGAGCTCCTTACGACACATATCATCCAGCTGATATAGTGGACGGGCAAAGCCAGAGAAGATAGCTGTTCTTCTTGGTGTAGGGTCGATGGCACCAAACATACGCATAGTCATGTCGTCGCTGAAGGTCGGATACAAGATCAATTCAGAAGGAACATGTGAACGCTGACTGATCATCCAGCTTCGATGCTGCTGCGGCTGTGCGGTGTGCACAAACCACTGCGACAGCATGGGTGATCGAGAAGTCAACTGTTGTGCCAATTGCAGCTCCAGATCATCCAGTGTGACGGGAACATCAGGGTGCAGCGACTCGCCCAGTCGAAAGCCGTAGACCTGCATAATGGCATACACACGATCAAGTGGATGTCTGGTGACGCGGTAGTACGCCATACCATACTGCACGTTTGGATTGTTCGTCATGGTGAAGAATAGCCCAGATGTACGGATGACTTGCTGTATCTGCCTGGTGAGTGGTCTAGCTTCCGACGGCCATTCATCTGCGTAGTTGTCAATGTTCACCATCATGTTCCAGCACGTGTTGCAAAACATCTCCAGTCGAATTTTGTGTTTGCGATTAAATTGCAAGGTCAAAGGTCGTCCATCGGTGGATAAGATCATAGCATCTCTCCTTAGTACGGCCTCTTGAAGCGTCCATAGAGAAGTGAACCAGGGNTCTCGCATGAGCGACTTCAATGTTGACAAGATGTGTCTAAGTTTTGGGATACAGGACCCCTTTTGAGCGTTAGAGAGCTCCCAAAGTTCCCATCCTGAGATGATGTTGTCAAGGTCGAAAATAATGTCGAAAAGGCCTTGCAGCTCCTCGTGCGTGTGGAAGTTGAGCCAAGCATAGGCATAGGCCGCTTGCTTGAAGATTCCAGCTTGCCTTCCGACCTCATACATCTTGGTGGCTGAGTCTTCTTGATCAATACAACAAACATCTATCCAGGCGAAGTCTACAGACTGGCCCATATGGGCGGTGACTCTTTGAAAGGCATCGACAGTAAAGTGTTCTCCTCTGATCGGAGGCACCTTCCAGCTTAACCCTCCGACCTGGAGAGCTGGCATGTCTGCGGGGGCTCTGAAGCGACCCCAGGTGTAAGTCAGGATCGCATATCGAGGCGATCGAACTGTTCCATAAGTACTATCACCAGTTCGCTGTAGTGAAGTCATGGTGGGGATGTGAAGCAGACGTAAAGGCCATAGTGGCATGACTTCTCTCCAAAGTTCTCACTCCGATGGTCACCGTGATACGCCATCGTAATAGCCAAGTTGTGTTGATGGGATCGAGCCAAGTCGCGGCGTTGCCTTGAGGGTTGACCGAGATGTATAGCTTGGTCTGTCAAAGTCAATGCGACATCAAAGTACTTCGCCGTACTTAGCGATTGGTGGATCATCGGGGCCAGCCGCCTGATTATTGCTCCTTCAGCCACCTGATAATCTTGCATATATTAATCCACATGGGTGTGTCAGACAGCCCTAAACCCCAGTGTTTTCCACCAGACATCCTGAACTCTGAACGGACGTTCAAAGCCTCCATCTCTGAGCCCAAAATCTATCTATGGTCTCTTTCAAGGACATTACCGGTGCGCTAGGTACGATTCTGGGCTACCTCGGCGCAGAGGTTGCAGAAGAAAGCGTGTTCGAACGACTTCTGTGGCCACAGCGATACTACAATGACTTCAGTCCAACCATCTTCCTGAAATTCGTCTTCCTCATGCCATCCGGAGGGCCGCTGCATCGCGCAGCACTCGAGACTCTGACGCAGTTCCAGAAAAACGGATTGTATCTGGGCAAAACCCGAGGCAACATGCTTGGTAGTGCATTCTATAGTCGGCTGGATGTGTCGTACTTCGCCAGGACCCTGACTGGCCAGGAAAATGCAGCAAAAGAGTCAAGGAACGGGTTCTTGGTGAGAATATCACGCTCGTTGGCGCACAGCTATGTGGCAAAACAGGACGACAAGGAGAAGATACTGTCTGCTCTTGTAGTCTCCAAACGAGCGTATATTCCGTTGCATCGTGTGTACCTCAAATGTTGTACAAGCCAAACACCAACGCCTAGCGGAACCGTGGTCGTGTCCGAGGACAAGCTGACCTGGAAATGCTTCGTCGGTGTAGTGGCTAGCGAGTCGATCGCTATCGCTGCAGCTGTGATCGCAAGCGTGTACACTCATACAACTTGGCTTTGCGTATACTTTGTGCTGCCGTTACTCTTCAAGGTCTTTTCATTTGGAACCAATGTCCGGAGGGAGAGTCTCAGAGTTGCGGTTGATGGCGAGAGTGAGGTCGAAACCATATTCGAACTGGATGACCTCAACCACGGTCTTGTGCTTATACAAGGTCCAGACCACGTTGTGCGACAGTTCTGCCGGCATTATGGTCACCCAATACGTGGTTCGGACGTGACAGCAAACAGGATGCGAGAGACCATGTCAATGTCGGTGGTATACCTTTTTGTCGGATACTTCCCAGCTGGCCTGATCGCTTTGCTGTGGCTTGACGACGATGCTCAGGTGTTATGGCTGTCGTATCAGCTCTATGTTGTTTTCGTCATGCATATCAGCAGACTGCTAGGTCTCAATGAATGTGGCCGGACTGAGGAGCGCATCGCGCGACATCTCAAGAAGGGCAGAGAGGTGATGTTGAGCGATTCGACGGGACCGCTGGTTATCTTCAGAGTCGAGACGGTATGGTTTGAGAATGTGACAGAGGGCAGGAGAGCGATGTCAGATACGATCGCTGCACACAAACGATTGTGCAAAAGTAATGGGGAGGCGGGCAGAGCAAAGCGACTGGCAGTGCAGTCACTGAGGAAAAGACTCAAGGAGACAGTCCACCTCCTATGGTGGTGGGGCTGTAGACATAGATCTTGAGTGCAGAAATTGGTCGAGAGAATGCGAGCAACCTAGCGAAGCAGGATTGAAAACACTTCTGGTCCAAGTTCGAGATAGGAATGGCAAGGACGTCTTTCCAGCGCCAAAGCTTCAAACTAGAGGATGGATGAGTATCGTGTTTCAAGATAGGAGAAGGATCAGCTCGGCCGGCAGATGGCATTGGCAGGCACGCGTCTGATGCGAACCAGGTTCTTGCCATCATGCATGGCTGGTGTCCAATATAATGAGAACCAAGTCAGACCACTCTGGTGACTGTCCAAGGATGGACAGACGATCATGGATCAAGGATGGGATACACGGTGGCTGGGTAGACGCTCGGACGATTGGCCGAGCAACGGCTGCGGGAAAGAAAGGTGGAGAAGGGCCGCTGAACGACAACGAGGATAGCACGACAGAAGCCATCTCTTGTTGCAGGACGCATGCTGCAAGCTTGCGTCTGTTGTGTGCGACCAGCGCATCGTGACCATGTATAAACATGTAGACGGAGCCCCAAAGCAAGTAGGTCTTTGCTGACCAGGTCCCCAGCCTGCGAGTTTTCCGGCGGCACCACGAATCTGCAGCATCTGACCAACCACCTCACTTTGAAAAGCCACTACTGCTTGGTTATTAACTCTTCCGCCTTTTCCTGTTTGTTTCCTGCACACTCTCAATCACAAGCGCCGCCGTTTGTCTTCTTATCTGACCTTTGCCCTCCTTTCCACTTGCTCAATCCGTCGACCATGTTTTTCAAGCGCCTGTCGCGATCTCGCAGCAATTCGCAGAGCTACATTGACACCAACTACTCGCCGCACGACAGCAAGACGCAATACGACGACGACTACGACAATCGCCCCGACTCGGCGCGCGGTCCTCCCACAAAGTCGGCTTCGCTGAACGAGGGCTCCATGTTTGCCCAGCAGCAACAACAGCAGCATCAATCCATGGACAACTTCAATGCTCCTCCCATGTCGAGACAAGGTCCTCAGACCATATCCAATGGCTTTGGAGCACAAAAGCCGGCGTCCGTGTCTGCGCCCATCCAGCCAGAGCCCATGCCCGATCTCTTGACGCGTGCCTTTAACGAAGCCGTGCGTCCCTACACCAACCGTGTTGAAGAGCTCGAGAACGAAGTCGCCGACCTCAAAGCTTGGGTTGAGCAGCTCGAAGGCCAGAGAAGAGAAGTTCACGCCTGGATCGACAAGCGAGGCTTAAGACCTGGTACGCTCTTACTTGCCCTGCTCCACAGTCCATCACACTAACACATCTCTGCAGACGTACCCNCCAGCATCGCCCAACAAATGGACGCATCCAACNCCCACAACCCCACCGCCGCAGCCTCAACCCTAAACGCCCAGCTCGACCGCAAAATCACCATCGTAAACTTTGATCTGCACCGCCTGCAAGACGACCTCAACGACTCCTTGCCCACCCCCTCCTTCAGCGCCTGCATGCTCAAATTCCTGCCCGACATCAGTCGCCTGGCCGCCCTCCCTTCAGGTCCCAAATACGCTTTTGATCTGCTGCTCAAGCTCGGCGGCAACCTAAACTCACACGGCGGGCTTGAGAACGGGGATGAGGAAGACTTGCGCGAGCGCAGGAGTTTCTATGCCAGGCTTGATGAGGCCATGGTGGAGATTGTGCGTGGCAGATTCAGAGAGGAAGGTGAAGGTTGGGGTGTCGCGAGAGAGATCAAGAGGATTGAAAAGACGGGCGCATATCTCCGTAACTGGGGTGTTGAGCCCTACTTCCCTCAGACGCTGGATGTGATGAGGGAAGGTTCTGGCGCTGCCGGCGCTGGTGTTTACCACGGCGGTGGTACGCCTCCTGCTTACCAATGAGTAACGTTGTCCAGAGAGGCATACACATGGCGTTTCTGTGGGCTTTTATGCTGGCGATGCTGTTTTCTTTTCTCTTTTCTTTTTACGCTGATAATACCCCCTTCCGTTTCAAATCACTTTCGCTTCATGCTCCATACAGAGATGAGCACGGCGATGATGGCATGACCTCTTTTTACTGTACAACTTTTCCTCCAGCACCTTATGAACCGGCAGGAACAAAATAACTCAATAGCTCTATATAGTGGAACCGAAAGATAATCAAAACCGTACAATCAACACATGAAAAAGATTACATTCAATTATACACATGTTTCTATAGAACCCCTCAAGACACGCCCACATCAAAGGATGCATGTCTACTCTACTCCACCTTCCCACCACCAACCTTACCATTCCCCTTTTTGATGTTCTCAACCTCAACCTCATCCTCAAACTCAATCCCCTTGACAAAAGCCTCACTAACCATCTCCAACCCAGCAACAAATACACAGAGCGCACTCGCAATCACAAACACACTGATACTCTCTCCAATTTCCAACCAACTGCCCTCATCCCTAACACTCCAGAAAAACCTCAATGTTAGCCAGTCTCCGATCGCCATGACCAGTGCAAAGAGCGCGCCAGACTTGAGTCGCAGACGTCTAGTAAGAATGCCCAAATTTGCAGACACTAGAGCAAACGGCGCAAAGATTTTGAGAATGAGCAAGGCGCCTTGAGAGAAAGGGTCAAAGACGGGGATCAAGCGGGCCACGGCATCGAGACTGAATGACGAGATGGAGGCGATGTTGCCCGTGCTGAAAAAGGCGGATTGGAGGAGGTAGAGGAAGAAGAGGGCGATGCGTGCGTCGGCCAAGGTGAGGGAGCGGTATTCGTGCTTGCGTAGAGCGGTTGCGCGGTCTGTAGATGCCGCCAAGGCAGGTGTCAGAGGGTTGAGATCGGAGACCGGGCTCGTGGGTGGAGGTAAAGATCCTTTGGTTGTGAAAGCGCGGTAGATGCGGTGTTCGAGTCTGACCCAGGTGATCAGGGTACAGCTGAATGCGAGATAAAAGAGGCCCTCGTAGCTAATGGTGAGGATGATGAACATTGGTGCAAATGCGAGAAAGATGATGACTAGTCGATGAAGATAGTGGTTGTTGGGCGAGAATGAGTGAGCAAAAGGTAAGATCAAAGACGACACAAACACTACCCAGCCAGTGACCTGCGCACCGAGAGGCAGACCAGTCTTTGCCTGCAGCGAAGCGACACTTGTACGCGTGACAACCATGGCCAATGCGACGAGACCGATTTGCACGCCAGTGAGCATTCTAGAGGTTTGATCTGGCTTTGGAGCAGCGAGACCACTCTGGCTTGATGTAGCTGGCACAAGTACACTCTTCTCAAAAGCAATGTATAGGATACCAATCAGGAGCATCAGTGCACCACCCCCGATAATCAATCGAGCATCTTCAACCTTGATGGCTGGCAAAACAGTAAAGACGCTCATGGAAGCACATGCCAATGCCCATGTAGCGGAAATGATCCAGTTCTGGCGCAAGAACTCTAATCCGTACGAGGCAGGCCAAAGGATGGCCAGGAGGTAACAGAGCGTGTACATCTCTCGGTGATAGTAGCTTTGAACCATAATTTCGAGAATTCCAACAAAGACGAGTAGATTTAACCCGAGGCCTAGCACATCCTTGCCAGATAGTTGCTGAGAGAGCATGGCTTTGGCCTGCGAGAGTGCTTGACGACGAGCGAACACCTCTTCCCAGAACATGACGGGGAAGAAGGCATATGCGTAATAAGTCCATGGAGAAGACTGGACTAGCAAGAAAGCGAGAAGTGCAACAAAGATGCTGGAGAATGCAGTCGTAGTCACGGTGGATCGAGTTGCATCGATTTTGCCATCAAAAACGTGCTGATCCAGAGCATAAGTAAAAGCAAAGGCCATCCAGCCCAGATATCCCAAGGTTACCAAAGCACGCAAGAAGAGCCAGTCGTAGGTTTGGAGATATCTCAATCCCTGTAAGCCCATCTTCATAAGAACGTCAGAATCTAGAATTGCCTGCTCATAATGTCCCTGGCTTATTTGGTTCTCGATGGCTTCGATACGATGGTCTGGGGAGTGTTGGTCGTCTGAAAAGCCCGGGAAAGGTTTATAGCGAAGCACGGTATTCTTCTTGTCATGTTCCTTGATGCGATACATTTCCAAGATTTCTTGGGCATTCACCAACATTGCTTGGGCCTTGGTCTGCTGATCGGCCGACAGGAAAGCCAATGGTAGTTCACCTACCGAATTGACGGGGAAAGAGAGGCCAGCAAGATATGCCATGAGAGTAGCAATGTCTGCTTGAGCAACGTCGTTGCGCTGGACGTGATCGAGGTGCCAATCGGAGGAAAATCCATCATCGTGACCAGGAGCTAGACCAGAAGAAACCGTCACAGGTTTGGCGACTCCAGAGCCCCAGGCAATCAAGGGGGTTCTGGTATTGTCTGGGTGTCCATCACCATGACTTCCCCAATCACTCATACCATGATCGGCAGTGAAGACGTAAGCTGTCTTATCATCGGCGTAGAATTTGTCGATCAAGGCGGTGATCTTCTCGACACCTTGATCGACGATCTTGATGTTGTGCAGGTACTCGCGAGAGTAGGGACGGTAAGAGTGACCGGTGGTGTCCAGGCCCAAGAGATGCAANAAGAAGACATTCTTGTCCTGCCTTAGGCGTGCGTCCAATTCAGGATCCTGACTGGCGCTTGCAAACAGTTCCTCCACTCTTTCAAAAACCCAAGTGTCCAAATGAGTTGCGTCCTTGCTAAAGTCCTCCTCTTCGGCACCGTACATGAAGGCATCTACGCGACCAGGCACTGCGCCTTCTTGGAACATTGGCAGAATATCGGGACTACCCCAGCTCCAGGTATGGCGACTGCGATTGAAAACGCTGTCGAAGTGGACAGGATTCAGCTTCCAGCCAGTGGTGACGGCCGAAACATCTTCATACAAGCCGGCAATGAGGGCGACGTGGCCAGGTCTCGATTCGGTAGGGACTCGAGTATGCGATACGCCAAAGGTGCCATGCTCGAGAACGCGCGATCGCAAAAAGGGAGCAAGAGGGCGCGGTTCCTGCCAGTCGGCCTCCTGTTCGGCGCCAGGGGAAGGGTCGGGGAAGTACTGGAAAGCCTTGTCTGCGCGCAGTCCATCGCCTGGTATGCAAGTGTCAGCTGTCGCTCAATACTACGACAAGAGTACCGGTCTGGTCATACCGACAAATAGTACGAGTCGTTTCGCTGGAGCTTCTTCTTGATGGGCGACGCTGTACTCGCGCATGCCACTGACGATCGGACTGACAAAGTAAATGTCGAAGATCGAGTAGGCATAGATCAGATGAAAGGCTACCGCCACGGCGAGAAAGCCTAACCTCCCCATGCGAGCCATTGTTGGATACTGAGTGTCCCCTGGATTGACTGTCCTTGGTTGAATACTGTTTTTCGACGACGCGCCGCAAGCCTGGGGAAACGACTTCAGCCAAGAGCTCGCCAAACACCTTGATGTCCGCCGACTGCCACTCGGCTATGTATCGACATTCGAATTGCCATCTTTCGACTCCCTAGAGATACTCATGTAACTGGACACTCTTGATGTCGGTTTGTGCCTCCATGTGCATTGATTTCTCGTGTCAATCGTTACTACATGACTTCACACAGGACTATTGTAAAGTCGATAGAAAAGCAACACCAAGACTCGACCAGCCATCTTCGGCTGAGCCGCCTGTCAAGAGCAACGCAGTCCATCACACTATCGAAGCAATCAACAGAAGCACAACAACCTTGTGGTATGCTCATCGAGAATGTTGTACTTCCCTAGTTGTGGTTGTTGACAAACAAGTATCAGGGTCGCCCTGCTGACATGGATCCAAAACGTTGCAAATTGCAATGTGTCGAGGCTTCAGTGGCTATGAAAACTACTCGTACGTGTGATACTCATACATCATGAGTCTATAGGGAAGAGCACAACTACGATGTACGCGAGGTCTCAGCTCAGAGCAAACACCATTTGCGTCCATCCGCGAGCTTGTTGATTCCGTGCAACTCGGGTCTTTTTTGTTTGAATATTGAGTAGCCACAGCAAACACGTCAATCGCAGAGAAGTTTCTTTGGGACAGCCCTGCCACGAGAAGCGACGGATAGGAACAAGTCTCGAGTGGCGAAAAGTCGTGGACCTATCATTGTCGCCTTGTTGCCTCGCATGCCGTTGTCATGTTGATGAATGCGGCACTGAAAAATTTGTATCACCATACCGGCAATGATGAGAAAGCATTGAGATGCGGTCTCATATGACTTGCTCATGACGCTGGACACACACAAGGCGTTATGGCTGACTTTTGGTGGGGCTGAATGCTCAAAGCATACTGAATTGAGGAAACTTTCTACACGTTAAATGACATGTTGGCTGCTGGTTTAAAAGGTGGTTTGGTCGACTGTGGAGCGGGCTGTTTCATGCCAACTTAGTGCGCCCGCCGAACTGCAGGGTCAGAAAGCAACACAGAACCACTCGGTAAAAGGTCGTAATTCGTTTGGGACTACTCTTCATCTCACTCCCTGCAAGACTTTGTAGACACTGACTTCTGCTAGGAGCTGATGTTTACGAACCAAGACCTGGTTCACTAAAAGCTGATCTCCTGAATCAATAGACAGAAAACGGATTGAGCTGGAACGAACCTTTAATTTCGATTTGGCGCAGGAGACCCCAGGGCAGGCGTTAGCCACGGTCACAGAGCCTGGAGAAGCTAACATGGAACTGGTTTGGTTCGCGTCTCGGCTTGATCGTGTGGCTTGAAAAGGCTTGGAGAAGTGGAGACTTGTCAGTAGACTAATGTGTATCAAACGGGGATTACATGGCGGGAGATCTTCTGATGCTTGCGCATGCGTCTCATCTGTAGAGAGACCCACCGGCACTGTGATGACGACGAGGCCGTCGTTGAGCCTTGAAGAAGGGCATTGTGACAGGAATCCTTCGGAGATACGACTGCCTAGGCGCGCGGCTGTATCAGGTGCCGTGGTATAGAAGATTAACCAAGAAAGAAAGACACAAGCAAGCCGAGCATCCAGATATTGAAACTATTTTGAGCGCGACAGAGGGTGTCATGATTGGTGGTGGCTTCCGTTAGTCTGCGGAGGGTGATGCACGAGTCTCAGGTACTTTGCTGATTCGGGAAAGAAATCAGCGGTCGGAGAGTTTGGCAGCCGCAACCGAAAGAGCAATCTCTTGTTCCCCTTCCTTTCTTCACGTCTTTTCGAGTCTCGACGTCGTCGCTTTCTGACCGCTGCCGCACCATCCTTTCCTCTACCTCTTTAACGGTTCCATATTACTGCGCATTTGCGGCCTTCTTCTGCCAACGCGCGCGCGCAGCTGCCCGTTAGACCTTTCTACTCTTCCCCCCCCTTTTGCCAGCGTTCCTCGACAACGGTTTCCGCAGCCCCTCCAGCACTCTTATTTCTTTCTCACTTCTGACCTACATACTTTCTCTTCGAGAATCGGCTCACCTTCGCTTAATCAACCATTGCTGGCCTTTTGATTGTCCTCGTCTAATATCGCGGTTGATCAAGTCGTCACCTTGTTTGATCACCCTTTCGCTCCTTCACCCCGTTCATTCATCCATTCTCTTCTTCTTCTGGCATTGTCAGATTGTCCGTCGAGCATCGCCGTCGTCGACTCTTGTGTGCACAGGGATACTCTTGCATCACCGAGCGAACAATCTCCACCTCTTCAGGACATCGCATTGTGCCTTGTTGGTTGGCATTAGTCGGTCTTGATTTCTTTGTGTCGGCACGTCAATTCCTTCTTTGTTGACGAGCGCGCTGCCGCGACCGTTGACACATCGCTGTCTCCCGCCACGCCACTCGTAACTGCCCTTTGCGACGCCTCTTTGTCTGCCAACGCCGACCCCTTACACTCATTTCACCACGATTGGCTTGAAGGAAAACGATGTTCTAGTGTTTCAGACACCTTCATCTTCAGTCTTCCTCTATCCACTTGTTGCCAAAACACCACGGCCGTTGCCCGGTCTTGTTCAATATCTTGTAAGTTACATCTGGCTCCCACCGCCGCGACTTCCTGGCCCCTTGCATAGCAGCCCGGCCCGGTGCTGACAAGACGCCTGCAGAATATTCTCCTTTTGACATTTGTTGTCAAGTCCACTCGTTTATACACGCGCTTTTGGTACACAAGCCACACTGCTTGTAGATCACTGCTTGTCGCCATAACTCCCGACCCAGATCCGATCGACAGCTAACCACAGGTCAACAACATGAGGACGTCTTCTGCCGTATGGGCTGCCGCCCTGGCAGTCATGTCTGTCCAGGGTCCTATACTAACCACCGCCGAGGCCGCCCCGCACCTCAGCAAGGTGCCGAGCCTGGACAGCAAATGCGATACTACTTCCCTCGCCCCGTGAAAAGACAGAACGCTCTGCAAAACACGACCAGTTCCTCTACTTCCTCTTCGACGTCTGAAGCCGAGACATCGACCTCAGACCCTTGGAAAGCATTCACTTCCTTCTTCTCTGGATCCCAGGATCCTTCTTCGGCATCGTCACTCGACTTCCAAGATCTCTTCTCGACCGCTTCACCCTCTTCTGCGCTGGACGCAGCAGCGGCTGCGACCAGCGACTCTACCGGCACAACCGACTCCGAGACTCCCGCAACAACTTCTAGCACCGTCGATACCTCTGTCGCGTCCACTGGCTCGTCACCCTCTACCACGATTCTTCCCACTGCATCTGCCGATTCAATCACATCCCAAGAGACTTCGACCTCGAGCGAGAGCACCGTCAGTTCAGCGGCAACCGAAGCCCCGTCATCTACCGAGCCTTCTTCAAGTGCTGCCACCTCTGTCGCATCGACCGGCAATGTTGCAAGTGAGTCGGTCTCGCCAACTATTGCATCGCCCTCAACAGTTGCGTCTTCTACCGAGGCTACCTCCTCTGTTGCATCCACTGGTGTCATTACTTCGGAAGTCGTTCAACCCACAACCTTCTCATCTTCTGCAGCCCAGCCGACGTCATCCGTCGTTTCTACAGACGAGTCTACCTCGGACAGCCTTCAGTCATCTGAAGCCTCTGTGGCCTCGACTGGAGTAAGTCCCTCCGAAATCGTTCAGCCGACCGCCCCATCTTCCTCGGTCTCGGTCGCATCAACTGGCAGTCTTCCTTCAATTGTCATTCAGCCCACTCCCTCGTCTTCGGTTACTTCAACCGCACAGATTACTACCGAAAGCGTCGAGCCTACAGCTCCTTCCAGCGTTGCTTCTACCGGAAATGTTGTTTCGGAAAGCGTCGAGCCTACTGCACCTTCAAGCGTTGCTTCGACTGGCGTTGTCACTTCTGAGAGTGTTCAGCCCACACCTCCTTCTTCCGTCGCCTCGACTGGAGGTGTAACTACTGAAGTTGTGCAGCCAACCTCCAGAGAATCATCATCGGACTTTGTTCAGTTGACCTCTGGAAGTGCGTCACCATCATCATCCGTTGGTTCGACCGGAGTCAACGTTGTCGAATCGGTTTCTCCCACCGCCCAAAGTACGCTTGCATCTCTGGGCTCAACTGGCAATGTCATCGTCGAGTCAGTATCGCCAACCGCTTCGGTCGAATCTACCATTGCTCCTGCTGTCGGCACCACCGGCGCAGTTGTGTCCGAATCCGTCGAGCCCACCGCAGCCGCAACTTCTTCTCGTCTTGATGCATCTGTCCAGCGACCTGCCTCTACCGGTGGTGTAGTTTCTGAATCCGTCTCTCCCACCGCTTCATCCTCGGCTCAGACCACCGACAGCGACACGATCGCTTCTAGTGTCGGATCTACTGATGGCGTCAAGACTGAGACTGTTGTCCCCGTCGCTGCATCTACAGGTGCCGGTATTCAATCCTCTGATGAAATCCAGCCTACCGCTGCTTCCACCGGTGTTGTAGTTCAATCCTCCGACGAGGTTCAACCTACCGCTTCTAGCACCGACATTGCTTCGTCTGGTTCCGTAGTTCTGTCTTCCGATGAAGTGCAGCCTACCTCCTCGCAAGACGTTGCCCAGTCATCAGTCGCCTCTACTGGTGTTCCCGTCTCTTCTGCCGAGGAGGTACAGCCTACTGCCACTACACGGGAGACTAGTAGTGTTGCATCTACTGGTAGCATTCCAGCCATCGTTATCCTTCCCACACCTTCGTCGACCAGCGGCCCCCAAACATCAGACTCGAGCACTGGCGCTGGTATCATTGTCGGCCTTTCTACTTTCCTGAACGGAGACTCTCCCACCACTTCAACTGAAGGTCCTGCTTCTGCAACCACTGGAAGCGAGTCGAGCACCGATGCTCCTGTGGCTGGCCAGAACGATTCTAACAACGCCACTGCAATTGCAACTTCCTCGACCGACCTTCTTCCTATCTTCGCCACAACCACTGGTGATTCTTCCGAGACTTTGTCCACTGGTACCGCTTCGGTTGAGAGCTCCGCCACTCCTATCATCCCCTTGCCCATCGGTGTCACCACCTCGGACGGCGTGACATCTCTTGCTAGCGCTAGTGCCACTGGTACTCCCGATGTCTTGTCAAGCATCGTCTCTTCAGCACAAGCAGCCATTGAGACAAGCATCTCTTCCCTGGCTTCTGCTGGCTCGACCGACGCCACGCAGACCTCATCTGACGGACCTACCTCAACTGGTCTCGTAGGCGGTCTCTTGTCGGGCGTGTCGGGTCTCGCTTCTTCTTTGGATTCGGTACTCTCCAGTGTAGTTGCCACTGCTACCGACAGTGCCGTCTCGTCGTCGCTGGCCTCGGACTTCTCGAGCCTCCTTTCGAGCGCTTCAGCCTCGCTTGCATCTGACACTACCGCCTCTGCAACCGTCACGGATGCCTCTGCAACCCCAACCAGCGTGGCCGACAACACTACCGAGGCCATCCCTGGATCTGTCACTGACTCGAGCTCTCTGCCCGCAGTCACATCCACCGACAGCACTGCCTCTGGTACTAGTGGCTTGACCTCATCTGAGATTCCTGCCTCCGTCACTGGCAGCGCAAATACCACTGAAAGTGCTGCAAGCCCTTCGCAGTTGACAGAGAGCAGTGCCACGACTACTGACCTTACAAGCGACGCCTCGACCACTACTTCAGCCGCCCTGTCCGAAGCTACCAGCAATGTCCCCAGTAGCGCCACAAGCGATGTCTTGACGACTACCGCACCTAGTACTTTGATCGCACCTGCAAATGGCACTATAGCAGCATCTGGTACCGAAAGCAGTTTTGTCTCGGCAACTGCCATCGAAAGTACTGCTTCTGCATCTTCCGCAACCGATAGCCCTGTCTCATCTGCAGACAGTACCGTCGTAAGCAGCGGAACAGCCATCTCTGCAACCGTCGCACCAACGGGCGTCTCTCCTTCGGTCACCTCATTCACCGCCTCCACTTCTGGCACTCTCGTGATTCCTGTTCCGGTGACCACTCCACCATCGTCTCTTGTTTCGTCCATTTCATCTGCCCAGTCGTCAATCGCCTCTTCAGTCTCTGCATCGATTTCCTCTGTCGAGTCTTCTCTTGCTGCATCTGCGTCCGCCTCGGCTTCGCAAGCATCCAGCGTTGCTTCCTTCGTGCCCAACAATGCCACCATGACGACTTCCGCCGCTGTCGGCATCTCGACTTCTATTCCATTGTCAAGCGGAACAACTCTTGATCTGTCTTCTACCGCCACTTCGGACATCAGCTCTGTTTCTTCGGCAATTTCGAGCGATGTTTCAATCACCACCACTTCAGAAGCCACTGCAGCATCAGCAACTGCTGAGAGCAGCGCATCTTCAAGTCTCTCGAGTGCTTCTTCGACCGATGATACCACCATCGTCCCCATTGAATTTGCTTCCAGCACTGAGGCATCGTCTCCTCCGTTGACATCGGTAGTCTCGACTACACCTGCATCTCCCGCTCCCACTCAGGCATCCACTTCTGTTGCCTATGAGCCATCGACCAGCACTGCTCCTACCAGCATTGTACCCATCGGCACCAACACTTATACCTCCATGCCTATCGACACTAGCATCTTGTACCAGCCTTCCGAGACAGCAACTAGTTCGGCTACTGCCAAGGCATCTGGTATCCCCTCGTCGATGCCTCGTGTCATTCAACCTCCAGGTGGCATGCCTTCGGCTCCCGACAACACCACTCTGGTCCAGGTTGGTTTCACCTATGGCTTGAACTATCCATTCGTGGTTTCCACTGGTGGCTCCGCCAACCAAATCTTCGAATATCTTCCTGCCGGTTTGGCTTATGGTCTCAACATTGATGCGGCCAAGGTCAAGATGTACGCACTGCAGCCCTACGACACTACTGAGTCATTGCATTACATAACCACTTTGGCTCTTGTCTATGTCCCCTCCGAGGCAGTCAACCAGTTGCAGCTTGATCTACACACTTCGGTCGCTACCTTGTACAACAACCCTGATGCATCCACCAAGACTCTCATGGGTATGATCAACCCCGCCATTCCTATGATTCCTGGTGCAAACGGCATGAGCAACAGCCAAGGAAATGCAAAGAACCCCTCTGGCTCAGGCACTACCTCTGACAGCAATGGCGCACCTCTTGGAGGCGACTCGAGCAGTTCATCACCTGTCAACGGTACCTCCGTTGGTATTGGTGTCGGTGCTGTCGCTGGTGCTGCCGTGTATGCCGCAGCCATGGTCTACGTTGCTCGTCGCTACAAGAAGAAGCGCGCTTCACATGCTCGCAGCAACAGCGTACCCTACACTGATGAAAGAGGCGAGATGAGCCAACGGAACAGTGCAGCAAACTACTTCATGTCAGGAGGTCGTGGTCGTGTAACCCCTACCAGCGGAAGAGGTAGTCGCCAAAGCGGAAGCAGTGCCAACGGTCGTAGCGTCAGAGAACAAGGCATCAGTGCTCCCGTTCTTGCAGGGAACTCTCTTGGCTGGAACTAGATGGTGATGCTAGACCTTTTGACGAATTCAAGGACCCATGTGCGATTTTCCCTTTCCAATAAATTTTGTTTCCTTTTCCCCCTGTTTTATTTCCATTCTCATTGCCACCAAAGCGTGTTTGTTATTGTTGTTGCCACTGTTCAAAAAGAGATTCGAAGATTATTTCACTTCTTGTAGATTAGCTTTCACGCCGAACTCTGGTCAACTCCCTGTTTAGTCACAAAATAAATGCTATTTCTTGGATACAACATCGAAAGAAAGCTTATTATGCCCTCAAGTATCCTTAGTTACGTGTTATCATCTAGCTAGTGTAGAAGTAAGCCACAATGATCCCATGTCAGTTGACCTACGATTAGTTTTCCAATCATACGTCTAATTCTCTAAGATTCCTTCTTGGTCACCGCCAACATGTTGCCAGCATCACTTGATCATGTATAGACTGCCTGTTCTAAGCATGTTGGCCATGGTAGCACTGACTCGTGCATCAAATCTCTCGATCTTGCACATTTCGTTCGATACTGACACGACAGATCAGCATAGAATCAGAGTCTTATAACGATTTACCTCCTTCATGCTAGAACTTCAAGAGCTTTATCATAAGCTTGAGCAGTCTCCTCGCAAAAGACATGGGAGAAGACATTTCGATCGAGATGGTCAGCCATTTAGGGCTCCCATGGCTACAGCCTTCTCTACAAAGTCACTTAGTTTACTTTTGTTCCAATACAATTGATGTTTTCGCCAGGACGAATGCGAGGGCGATGACGGAAGCGGTTTGCTCGAAAAAAAAAAGATAAGCTTAATTCTTGAGTGGAAGTTGGAATTGACCACATGTTTTGCGAGTCGCTAACATTCTAGAGACGAATCGAGCATCCAAGATTTTGAGATTCAGAATGGTAAATGGTGTTGGTTTTGACAAGATGTCAACCAATGCTGATTGTGCGGCATGCCGATCGCTCCTTCTGTCATGGTAGAGTTCAAGAGATTGACAACCAGGCACAGTGTCATGCACAGGAAAGATCGATAGCGATACCAACACAGAGTTCATTTAGCCAAAGCTTTCTATCTCCTGGAACATCAGACCTGAGTGATTGCCCTCAGTGAGAATCTATTCTATCGCGAACCCTCCAGCAAATGGTCAACCCGACGAACCAAGTCAACAACTTTAAAGGGCTTGGCTATGGAATCATCCATTCCTGCCATGATGGCATCGTTAGTCTGTTCGGGTCTCGCATTGGCGCTAATGGCGATTATAGGGACCTTGCTGCAAGCAATGCTACTGGTCTCCTTGGTATTGCTACTCCAATCGCTTTTGACGGAAGTGGAACTGCTTCCTCTTGAGAATCGTGGTCTGGACTTGATGGTGCAATTGTTACTGATGAGGTTGATGTTTTTCTCCCACTCTCTGATCCGTCTTGCTGCGGTCAGACCATCCATGACGGGCATGACTACGTCCATCAAGATACAGTCAATTTGGACTTCCTGGGCTGGATTTGTGAGAAAATCGAGGGCCTCTTGACCGTTGCTGGCCACATGTACTTCGTAACCGTGCCTGACGAGCTGCTTCTTGAGCACTCTTTGGTTGAGGAGATTATCTNNGATCATTATTAGTTATTGGCTGAAGATCATGGTTGGCTATACCATACCTTCAACAACAAGTAGTGTCGTCTTTTGNCATGGCTCCGGTGTCTGCGTTATCTGAATATGTATAGCAGAATCGGCCTTGGATTGATGGCTTAAATTCGAGTCCACCTGCAGGATTTGCTGAACGGGCGGTGCATTAACAAAGAAAGCGAATGTGCTTCCCTGTCCAAGCTCGGCTGAAACACCAATTTGTCCGTTCATCAATTCGACAAGCTGTCTGGAGATGAACAAACCCAAGCCAGAACCACCGTATTCGCTATAGGTCTTACGAGAACCTTGGGCAAACTATTTGGACGTTAGTGTTCATGAATTTTATTGAGGAACGCAACTCGTTATGAGGTATGCGCTTACCCTGGTGAAAATGCGAGCTTTCTCCTCAGCAGAGAGACCCCTCCCAGAATCGGTGACCGTAAACCATAGATAAAACTCTTCCTGAACTTCAGAAGACGTGTCATATATCGATTCTGGGTGGTGGAACGAGTCGACCGGCAGATCCAGTGGCCTGACATTAGAAGCGCCCATAACGACCTTGATTCGACGAAATTCCGGCTCGTTTTTCGTGAACTTTATGGCGTTGGAGACCAAGTTTATAAGGACTTGTAGAGTTCTTCCAGAGTCCAGGTTGACTTGGTCCACCTTGTTCTCCGTGATTGAAGAATCGACGATGACTTCCAACATGATTCCTTCTCTTTTTGCTTCAGTCTCGAACATATTGCGAACATTTTCTAGCAGACTTGTGGCAAGGATCGGTGAAGGGTTGATCTGGAGCAGCTGAGAATCGAGCTTTGAGAGCGACAGAATATCCGAGATAAGACGCCGCTGGTGCTCAGAACAGTGGGTGATTGTCTCTACAGATTCGTTGCTGCTTGATATGTGGTCCAGAAGATAGTTGATCTTTTCGTCTACAACGGAAGAACCTTTTGTCTCTAGAGAAGCGAGGCTGTTGACCAGTTTACGCATCTCAATAAGATTGTCGTTGATAGAGTCCGTGCAATGGATGACANNCTAAGCATCAATCAGCTTTGTTGTTTGGCTAGAAGGCAAGGCAGCTCACGCTGATAAAGGATTTCGAATTTCGTGGCAGACTGTGTCGTAAAACATCTCTTGGTTCTTCCGCGCTTCGAGTTGCATTCTTGCTTGGAACTTCAGATGGGACACNCTAAAATGGAGGTGCGGTTAGCGTGGTCCTACGAAACGGGAAGTAGAAACGCCATGATTATACTGGAAGAACGAGCTCAGATCTGTAGATTCCTGTCCTGGGCGGAGTTTGATTGAACCACTCATCGCTGGTTGGACAATGCGTTCAAAATGAGACAAGCCGCCAGCACTGGTCGTGACATCTCTACCAACGGTCAAACTTACATCGACGGTGAATCCTAAGACTCTGATGACCTTACCACTATCATCGCATTCAGGTAGTGCAGTAACCATTAGCTCGGCAGGCCCTCGGGGTTCGCCGTCGCCATCGTACCAAAGCCTCTTGAGCCGCAGATTGTAGACCACTTGTTCTCCACGCAGCATTGCNCTAGAATTTGGTGTTAGCGCGAACCAAGAAGCGTACAATTCTTGACTTACCTGCCAACCCTGTTCTGCAACTTCTATGTCATCTTCATGGAGACAAGAATTCCAGTCGATCTGATCTAGCGGTACACGAGTGTGTTGTGACAACTCCCACCATGTCTCGTTTGCGTCTGATGATTTCAGTCTCAGCGTTGTCACATTACTCTTGAGGTGGAATGCTTACACNTGAACTCCTTTTTGGGGATCGGCGATCATGCATCCAAAAGGAGCAATTTCCATGCATCGCTTGAATCTCTCTTCACTGACTCTGGCTTGTTCCAGTGCTTCGGCGCGGTCGAGAGCGATCTTCTCGCTTCGTTTTTGAGTCGAAATGTCGGTGACTGCACCAATAATCGAGGTGACGACTCCATTACTGTCCTTGACTGGCTGACAGGCTACAAGAGCCCATTGACCGTGTTCAGTGCCGTTAAGATACCTTAATTCGAACTTCTGCCATTCACCATTGATCATGGAGTGCCATGCATGAGAGACCATGTCCACGTCTGCTGGATAGATAAGGTCGAGAAACTTGTGTTTGACGTGGGCTGGGCAGTCTCGAGGGTATCCACTTAGTCGATAATAGCACTCGTTTGCTCGCACCAACTCCCCTGTGCTCTTGTATTCAAAGAATCCTATNACTGACTAATGTCAGTACGCAGTCGCGAGCAGTACATGTGGAAACAAATAAGAAGAAACTTACTCAACCTCATCTATCACGGTAAGAACCTTGACGGCCAAAGTAGTCGCAATTTCTGCCTCTTTTTGCCGAAGGGCAAGCTCTTTAGCAAGCAAATCCTTTTCCAGTTGGTTTTGCCTGGCATTCTCTTTTCTCCGATATGTCGCCTCAATGGTTGTGACCAAAGTATTCACAGCATGAGCAAACTCACTCTGAACCTGCCTGAGGTGTTGTTGATGGGGTTCGTCGAGGAGTGTTCTGGTGGGTAGGCCAATAACGAGCAAGGCTTCTGCATCTTGGTGACGTGTAAAGCTACTCGGTAGGGCAGCGGCTTCTTTGCAAATATCGCGAGTGCCGCGTTGTAATGAGCCCCTGGCCCATTTATCAGGTAACTGGTTGATGACGATCTGTTCTTTTGACGTAATGGCTTGTTTGAGAGGTTCCAAACTCGGATCTGTCGAAGACATGTCGAATGTGGGTGGGAAAGCGCCGTCGTCAAAGTCGCCAACAGAGCCCTCAAGATGGTAGAGTTCTTTTTCAGAACCACCTCCTTGTTCACAGCATAAGTCTGGAGATGTTCTCGTAGAGTACACAGCGGCCATGGGAAAATCTTCGGGATTTTCGGAGAGGCTTTCCAATATGAGTCGCCATAACGAGGGAAGATCACTCGCTGAACTCCAAAGTTCGGACAATTCACGCACGGTAGACCGCCTACGCTCGCGCAAGTCGCAGTCTGTAGTCTCCTCAAAGCACAAGTGAAAGCCTTTGACTGGTGGTGGTAATGTTGCGATGTCGAGCTGTAGGTGAACATTTTCCAATCGGCCCTGATTTAGCATGGGTATGACAAAGGAAGGACAGGCATGCGTAGGCAGCGAGGTGACAGCACTTCGTCTGTGTGCGGCCATCTGGGCTCTGTAACTCTGCCATTCCTCTACACTGTCCAAAGGCTGACCGAAGATCTTGGGGTGGAGATCTCGGACCATTCTGCCATAAGCTTGATTGTATAGTAATAGGTTTTCATCCCCAAGCACCAAGCACTGGGGTTGGGTTGCCACCATCAGAAGGTAGATAATGGTTGATAATTCTCGAGGCCAGGTTGATATGGGACCGACAGAGTATTGTTGCCAATCCGTGGCCCGTACGAGTTGTAAATGTGCATTTGTCGAAGCATCTCGCTTCTCGAGCAGTCGTAGTGTCGACTCGATGTTATTGTCTTCCATGGTGTATTGGTCTGATGAAGTTCGATCGAGTTGAAGAGTAGATGCTTCGGACTTTCTGATATCTGTATGGTGGTGTGGTAGATCTGTGATCGTCTTTTCCAAGGGCCGAGGTCGTTGTTGGTATCATGTATGGACAAAGAACTGGATGAGTGTGCCGAGTGTAGGAACAAGGAATGGTTTTGTTTGGTCGGTTGGTTCTAGACCCTTTGTCTTAACGGGTAAGCATATTCGCAACGGCCAACAATGGTATAACGAAGATTGAATTCAGGTAGCCGTTGAGTCAAGATTGTTTTAGCCAAGACGAGTCATGAGGCTCTAGAGCCCTGAGAAATGGATGACAGTCCATTCTCGAGCGGTGCGAGGCAGAGTTGGCGCTGGGGTTTTAAGACTTTTATCCGTTGTCGAACATGAAGAAGGCCGCTCTTAAGTCTTTGTAGATGCAGAGGTTTTGTTGCAATGCATAGACTCAAAGGCAAGGGGAATTGTGTGATAGAGATGTGACAGCCATGGGCTTCCAAGAATATCAAGGGTGGGAGTGCTTGAATACGAGTATCGAGCCGTCTGTCCAGATTGGGATGGTGGCAGGTGGCATGGAATGTTGGATTCGGAAGAAGTCATTCCAGACTGGATGCTAGCTGTTGGCAACAAGGGGAGGCTGCCAAGACAAGGGCCATCGTCATAGCTGCAGCTAGAAACATTTGACAGACGCGTCTCTTCACAGTCGCAGCTTCCCTCTCTACACGCTCCAAACCCAACATCAACGCAAATGGCCTACAGACGCTATGATTCGACCGTCGTCGCCACGGCGCCCCTTGTCGATGCAGACGCGTTCCGCGCCCCGTCAGAGCACACTGCCATGGCAGCATCGTCGGCTTCACCTCTCGACCAGGCGCGCGAGAAGCATGCCTCGCGCCGTCTGCCCACCTGGTTCGCCTACCCGCTGTCCATCATCCTGAGCCCTGCTCTCAGCGCCCTGCTGTACAGCTTTGTGCCCGACATCATGGGCGCCCCTCTTGCTGCCGTGAGCCGTAGCTTGAATGAGGAGTGGCAGATTGGTGGTCTGCTTGCCTGGAGACTGCTTGAGATTACTCTCGGCTGGTACTGCCGCCTCGATCGTCAGTTTGCGCGTCGCTGCACTGCTTCAATCATATTCTGACAATTCTCCAGACNNTTTGACTTTGTCCAGCTCGCTGGCATGGCCAACGCGCCTTACTACACCCTCTTGTACCTCTTCTACGGCATTGGCTTCGAGCCTCTTGCTCTGGCCCTCGTCATTGACATGTTCTCTCTGTGGTTCCCCTTCTGGCTCTTGCGCCCTCTCAACTACCACAACGACCTGCGCACCCTGACCACTCCTGGCACCACCAAGGATTTGGCTGTCGACAAGACCGTCCAGATGTACATGACCGCCTTCGCTGCTTCCGTCTATGCCGCTGTTGTCTACCTCAGTTTGGCCTCGTGGCTGCCCGTCTTCTTGATCAACACCTTTGAAGAAGTCTTGACCCTCGACTTTGCTCACAATGCTCTCTTCCCCGTTGTTTTTGCTGCATGCCTGCCCATTGGCTGGGCTGCCAAGGACTTCCTCTTCAGCACTTCAACCGTCTATGCTCGTGCATTGCCCTCCGAGTTCAAGCAATTCGACCCCAAGACTGCCACTTTCGCCGACACTCTCATGTGGAACCTGGGCGTTGACCAGTACTCTAGCAGAGAAAGCGTGCTCTTCAGACGCACCTTTTTGCTTGCCGTCTTCACTGCAGTCCACTCCTTCATCAGAGTCTTTGCTACCGTCGAGGGTGCCACAGTCTATGGAGCCGCTGGTTGGTCTGCCTTGTGGAGTGTCGCTGCTCTTGCAGCTGGTACAGGCTTCCTCTATATTGGCGACGCTTGAGCTGTGTCGTGCCAATGAAGCACAAGTTCGTCAATACATGTACTATCAAGACTCTCGCCCTTCTGCTTTATAAGGAAATGCGCATATTGTCTGTAGTTGTCTGCTTCGACTATTTAGTCCAAGATCATGAAATCCCAGTACAAGATCCGACTCTACCACTTCCCCGCGCCCGGCACCAGACAAGACTTTTTTGTCAGGTTCTCATTCAAGTTGGTCAGGGACAAGATGGTACTCCTTTTACTAGTTGATGTAGTATGATTTCGAAGAATTAACAAAGAAGAACAAAAAAAAAACCAATCTTCAAAATTGATCACAATCCAAAAGCCTCAACGTGTAACCAAACGTCTCGCTTATCAACCCATTTCTGTGTCTTCCTCCTGACCTCGTCCGCCATTGATCTTGGGCCACAAACGAGCACTGCCACTTTTGTATCATCGCGCGTGTGGCTGAACACACCATCCAGCATCTGACCCAAGTCTGGTCGACCAGGGTGAATTTGCCATTTCCGTGTGGAGTCGTTGATGTCTCCACTAGGCAACAATCGCTCGAGTTCAATACCCTCATCGGCATCATTGGTCTTTTGCTCGTGCTCTTCGGAGTCCATTCTGCCGCTCCTGGTGGCATAGACGGTCATGCGCTCCTGCATGCCCTGCCTTTCCTGCTCGTCCTCGGGGATTGCCCAGCTAGTCTCTGCCTCATCCCTGACAACCCAAACGAAAGCGACGTTCTGTCTTCTCCTGCTTCCAGGGCTGGGTGAGAGATCTCTGAGCAGTGTTCTATACAGCGGCACCACAAAGGTAGCGCCCACGCCGCCGGCTATGAACAACACACGATTGTATTGCAACAGCGTATCTGGATGTGTGGATAAACCGTAAGGACCTTCGAGGATCAGGGGTATGGAAGTGGCTTTTCCGGTTGCGCCTTCTGTTGCTGATTTTGCGAGGGCGGCGGTGTTGTTGTTGAGGACTCTGGCTATTAGTTTGAGTGTGCCGTCTGAGGAGGGGAGTGAGGCGATCGTGAATGGATTTTTGGATTTCAGAGTTCGCTTGTAGAGGGGTGCTTGTGCTAGAGAGATGTAGACGTGTTGGCCTGGTTGGTATTGCATGAATGATTGTTGCTGTGCCTTTTGCGTGATGGAGATGTTGATTTCTAGTAGGTTTGCTGTGCCAGGGACTAAGGTTAAGGAGCCTTGGACTTTGTGTTCGTTGAGGATGCGTAGGGCTAGGTGTAATGCATATACTATCAATGTTTCGATAATGTAGATGCGTATGTGCGAGACGTGCAAGTAGAGCATGGGAAGCAATATGCTAGCCAGAGTAACGTGAGTGGTGTAAAAGACACGATAGCTCCACTTTCGAAGTGGTGACAGTGCAGTAGTGCCTACAGCTGTGAATGCAACAGTCCCAATCAATCCGAGAATGACGTCCCAGTCTTTGATGCGTTTTGCCAGAACATGTGCTTGTACGAAGAAGTTGAGATAGAAGCCGGCATGTAGGTAGAACAGCACTGTCGACACACGACCCAGAATTTGATGTGCTGCATTCAGTGTCGTCCACGAGCATCTGGTGAGGTGTTGGATAGGGCTGAACGGCGACTTGAAAGCAAGAAGATACTGTAAAGGCAGCTGTGAAGCACCCACAATACCAAATCGCTTGGTCAAATGCAAATAGTCTNNACGAGGAGATTCAGCGATTGCCAGTGCTTGGGAGTACGGATGACACATACCACCTTGTGTTTGTACGCAACTCAANAAGATCAGCCATGCTGTCCATACCACACCCGCCACTATCTCTCCCTTTGCCACACGAGACCCCCAGATATCGAATGTATCGCCCATCCACCAAATCGCTTTCCTCCGAAAGGTCTGGAGTCTCATCGCAGGTTCATTGAATGCATCCGATCGCCGCTTCTTCAGCTGCGGTGAGCTGGGAATGCCATCTGCATCATGCTTTACCAACCACCTCCGCTGTGACCAGACAGCAAGAAAATATAGTTGAAGAAGAGCAAGAGGTATCAGAGCAGAGACCTGAGCCAGTGAGCCATAGAACTCCAGCAGGCGCCTTCGCTCGAGCTTTTGCTCTTGGTTCAGATCGAGAAAGTGCCACATGTCGTTCGAACCTCCTGAGAGAGTTACAAATGTTGTTATTAATGGGTTCGATGGAGAAGTGAACCAGATTCGACCTTAGACAATCATAATGTCACAGAACTCATGCTGACATGCTGTTGAGTCTGGTCAGAAGTTGGTGGCTGGCTGACACAAGCGCTCGGATTTAGGAGGTTTGCTCGGAGCCGATTTCTAGGGTATTAGGGTTAGATGTGGGCATGACAACCCTGTCTTTTGATATCAATCTTCTCCCATCGTGAGACCATCAATACTATCGTGTACAGACGAAGGAAGACGGCGGAGACATACGAGCACATTATATCGTCGATGTTGTCCGTGTTTCAATTTGGCCTGGGCAGGGAATACCAGCGTTGAGATTTGCTTATCGATCATGACTTCAGGATTGAGAACTCGAACGTCATCCTCATGATCACTTACGCACTCGATGTTGTTCTTGCGGTTGATGAGATCGTGCTCTCTATAGGAGGCAAAAGTGAGTGCAATCGTGATTTCAAGGTATGTACTAAAGACTATACACAAAGGTAAGCTTCTCATCTCCACGCCGTAGTCTATCAACCTCGGCCCAATCACGCAGGTTGTTCAGCTTGCAGACTCTTGCGATGAATGTCCAGATGTTTTTNCGCTCAACCACAGCACCATCTCCAAACATTGCTTCGCGTCTAACCTCTTCATCGTCCCAATCTGCCACGATCCGGTTCCGCCCATGATTCTCGGCAACAACCAGAGCTCTGAAAGCAAGATAGCCAACAAATGCGGTCAAAACGCAGGCTAGAGTAGCGTAGAAGGGGACGATGTAGCCATCTTCGGCAAATCTGGGAGCAAAAAGCATGCTCGAGATTACACCAGCAAAATTGCCCCATCCGTTGATTCCTAGGACGATCGCACGTTTGCCAGGCTGAGGTATGTTGTTACTCAACCATGTTACTGTCAGGGGCGAAGCTACAAAGGAGCCAGACAAGAGGACAGTCAAGGCCAAGTATCGAAGTTTGTAAGCACGTGTGGGTAGCGCAACCGTAGCTGCCAGACCAGCGAGGAGAATTGCCAAGCCATATAAGATCGGGATCAGCCGAGTCTTGTGTCTATCAGACCACCAGGTGAAGATCCATAGGATGATTGCACCAGCCAAGAACGGAGGTACTACAAGGAGATTTATAGCGGCTGGTCCTAGGTCGTCTCTCCCTGCGATGCCTTTGATGACGAGTGGGAGGAACACCGCAAACGCGGTGGCCGGAATTGCGGATAAGATGTTGCAAAACAAGAGGTACCAAACTTTCCAATCAGCCACGGCGGAGAAGATGTCTTCGCGAGACACTCCACTATCAGCAGTGACCGACAAGACTGAGGCATGGCTTGGTCGACGAGCCAATGGCTGGGTGACTTCAGCATTGGGGAGCAGATAATCTGCCTCATCGTCCTCCAGTGTTAGAGATGGACGTGGTTCTGGCAGGTTGGACGACCTTCGCTCCTGGATGTCGAGATCTGATTGCTGCTTTGGGTTGACCCACGAAGTGGCTGCGGCAATTTGGTCCCTTCGAATGCGCTCTTCTGCGACAAGACGTTCATCGGCAGTCAGGAACCAGGCCGTGTTGGCGCTGTGCGGAAGCCAGAAGAATCCAACAAATGCCACTAGGATTGTCAGAGAGCCTTCGATAAGGAACAGAACCTCCCAACTTCTCCATTTTCTCGCAGCTATCCGTGGAGTAGGGTCATCATGGGGAAAGTAACTGAACACCGCCCAAGATAGGAGGCCTCCAAAGCATCCAGCGAGAGCTGCTTGACCGTAAAAAAATGCCAAGCGCTTGCCAAACTCGTACCGAGTATACCAGAGACTCAGGTCTGAGTAGTGGCACATTAGTCCATGATGATCCTAGCAGTCTCGCAGAGCAAAACTTACANNGCTGACCACGGTGGGATAGAAACCAGATTCAAGTGCCGCGATGAGTACTCTCAGTGTTACCAGCTGAGTCTGAGACTGCACAGCAATGTGAAGAGCTGTACAGACCCCNCAGAGACTCATGGTAGCCGGGACCCATCGAGCCATACCATACTTGCGACCGTAGTAGGCACCGATCGGCTGACAAGACACAAAGACAGCAAAGAACCAGGCGACAGAAACGTTCAAGGCGGACTTGGGCAGTCCGAGGTCTTCAGTGAAATGACCAGACTCTGCGTTTCCGACATTGGACTTGTCTAGAGAATTAAGCAAGAACAATAAACACAAGAAGGGCAGGAGCAAGAGGTCGAGTTTCAGCACGACACGTTTGCTCAAACGAGCAAAATCGTCAGCGTCAAGATGACGAGGTAGAGCTTCTCTCCATAGGCGAAGCGGACACAAGCTCGATGTCGCTTCCGATGTTCATGGTCGACAGAGGCTGGCCGCCATCGGTCAGGCTGGGGAACAGGCTGGTTGTTCGCGAGTCAAGAGACCCACGCCGGATGGAAAACAAGCCTCACGTCACGATGCATGGGCCGAGCGGCTGTTGCCATGGTGAAGGCGCGCACAGCGAAAACAAATTGGATTTTAAATGCGTTGTCCAATTTTGAGTGGGCAGCTTTTGATGAGGCACAGATCACTATCTCGTACCACTTGTAGCAGGTAAGGAGCATGTGTTGACTTGTAGTGTGATCAAGGACGAAGAAGCACACATAAACAGTGCTCCAAAGGCAAACACGAGAGCAAGGCTAGGTTTCACTGTATCGCTAACAACTTGGCCTTAGCAGCAGCACTACAGACCGTCACAGCAAAGCAAAGACCAGAAGAAGGCGCTGTAACATCACACGGCCGGGGAAGAGCGGGCCGCGCCCTGACAGTGTGCCTGTTAGCGACGTGCTGCGCCTGTCGTGCTGCATCTGGCGGCAACCTGCTTGTCCGCTCTGCATTTGGTGAGCTGGACCAAGTCTGGAGCGTGTATCTGGCTTGAGGGTCAACAGTTTCTTGTCGAACAACATCCTTGCCGCTGGATCAAGACGTGAGTTGAAGGGCTGGAAGGTAGTTTGCTTCCCCGCAGGTGCGACAGGCCGGTGCAATCGACAGGTCAGAAACGGCGTCAACGGTGCTTGAAGGACAAGAACTATGGCCGACGCTCCACCACCTCCTCCACCACCTCATGGAGCCAACCCAACGTCAACGTCCGGCGGTTTACCAGAGGGCAATTATGACATCTTCATCATCCCGCCTCACAGCTCAGGTTCTGGATTTTTGTACCTGCCTTCGCTGCAACCGCAACGCAACTCGTTCATCGCTGGATTCGCATGCGCCATCTTTTGCTACCTGGTATGGATAACGGCCGTGCCAGTTCTAGGCCAATGGTTGTCAATCATTGCTGCGAGCGGAAGTGCCGGCGTGCTTCTGCTCGTCGCCGGTGTGGGCGCTGTTGCATGGGCTTTTGGAAAGACTCAGGGTGAAAGCAAGCACCAAGGTCCCCACAGCCCACCTCCCCCTGGCGGTGCTGGTTCACAAGGAGATGCAGGCACAGAGGGTGGAAGCAAGCACAGCAGAAGTCGCAGTGGTCCTTACAATGCTTCGCATTCCTCAGATTCAGACCACACACATTCCGCACCGCCTCCGCGCACCCCTCGACAAGACTACTCGACTCCCCCCCCAAGGCAGGAATACAGATCACCACCACAGTCGGAGTATTACTCACAACCACCGCCTGAGCACAATGCTCCTCCACCTCGACCCCAACCTCCACCAGAATACGCCGCTCCACCACCACCACCACCTCGATCAGAATACAATGCTCCCCCTCCACACACCGCTCCGCCACCTCCCAGTTCTCCTCCGCCCACACCGAGATCCGCTGCGAATCCACCGCCAAAACCAGCCCCTGCACCACAAGCCAAGCCTGTCCCACCAGAGCCTTCGCCAAGATCTGCATCTGATGCTGCAGCAAGCTGGGAAAAGGCTCGTGAAGAAACTCGTAAAAGGGAGGAGGTCAGAAAGAAGGCAGAGGAGCTGAAGAAGGTCCGCGAAGAAGCGCTACGAAAGAAGGAGGAAACCGAACGACAAGCCAGAGCAGCTGCCGAAAAACTTAAATGGGAGCAGGCCAGGGCACGTGAGAAGGAAGCCCGTGAGCGAGAAGCAAGAGAGCGCGAGCTCAAAGACAAGGATACCAAAGACAACGATGTTCGGGAGAAGGAAAAGCGCGAGCGTGAGGTCCGGGAACGAATCGCAAGAGACAAGAGGGAAAAGGCTGCCGCCGCGGCAGAAGCAGCAAAGTCACCACCCAAGCCCATCACACCTGCCGCCAAANAGTATGAGCGTCCCAGTGCGCAAAGCTATGCCAGCACCGAGACTACAAGTGCTTATGACGCCCACACGGTCATGTCTTCCTCAACGGCGTCATCCTACACGGAAACACTGTCTTCATATGCACCCTCGACTTCTACCGCTCGCACCACTCCGCCTCCCGAGTGTCGTGGACCATACAACACATCTGACCCAGACAAGATAGTCATGAAGGCTGTCTACGTGTACAACAACACTGCACCGAAGAAGCCCATAAGCCAGCTAGTTAGCGGCGAAGCCAATGTAACTGATGGCCTCGTCTTGAGGATGAGCACCGAAGGCCTGTTCATTGACGACGACGTACGCCATGTTCCACAGCGAGAATGGGACATCAAAGCCTGGAGTCTCAAGGGCATCGAGAAAGGAGTTTTGAACCCTCATTGCATGTTGCGTGCCACCATCAGAGACACCGAAGGCAAATACTGCATTTTCGTCATCCCATCAGATCAAGGATGGAAGGTTGACAACGGATTGGCTCGCCTGCGCAAAGGTAACTTGGTCCGCAGTATGGGAATGGGTAGCATCAAGGCACCAGAGATGAAAGGTTTGCTAAGCGACCTTGGTTGGATCTGATTGTTATCGCGCCGAGCAGGCAGAAGATACGACCCCCGATCTGTCATATCACGGAAGGGTTTTTGTGGACCATTGGCCCAGAGTGGCTTTGAGTGTTTCACTGCATGCATGCATCCCAGCGACCGGCGATTTTCTTTTCTGCTTTGAGCTTACCAGCTCTTCTTGTCCTTTTTCTTTTTTTTTTTCTTTTTTTTGGACATCTTACCACCTCGCTACGATGGAACGACTATTGAAAAACTGCGGATACCACCTTGTGCTTTTTTGCTCTCCATACGGAGTGTTACATACCATGTTAATAGAAACGAGAACAGTTGTTTGCGACGTTTGCCTCTTCTGTGTGTCCCGAGAACGTGGATGATTGGTCCTGGGAATGGCGTGCATCGTGAGTTGTTCTAAGCAACATTCCTCGGTCAACGGACCGATGTGCCTTCCTCGTATAATCCATAGTCATGCTACCTCTGGTGACATGAGCATCGAAGGAAATACCGCTTTGGCAAGTGACGCAGACTGCGATCACCATGGTAGAGCATACACCGCTTCTTGTTGCACATGTTTCTGTGAGCCTATCGGGGATCTGTCTGTGTGAGAAGATGTTGCCGATGTCACACCCTCTGAAAGCAGCAATCCGATGCTGTTTGCGTATCTGTTAGCCAGCTTCTCTTAGATCCCCGTCTAATATAAAACACCTCGATGCCTTTGGCTCGATGTGTTATTCAGACTCGTCGAATCGTGATTACAAAAGAACAACGCATTCTCGCTCAATATCATCATCGCTACCTTGAGGAAAGTCAGTTGTCAACTGAGTCTTCCATAAACAAGATGGCATCATCAATCGCCATGTTGGCAGCAATGCTCTACGCCTCCACAGCACTCTCCCACCCTCAACCCATCATCGAAGCCAGCCTTTCTCCAGCCAACCTCGCCATGACTTGGTATCAAGCACCTCTGGCTTTCAGCGAATCAGTCTCGACTGAGACAACCTGCGGCTGGGCCGTATCCACAGGACAGCTCAACACCACTCAGTGTTACGTCTTGCGCACGTATGCTCTCGGACTACACCAAAACGAGCAGCACTCGTGTGCTTTAAAAGTGTGGGATGGCGTCTCTGACTGTTCTGGCAATGGATCTTGGACTATGCATGCTATACCTGGTGGTAGAGGTACCAATTGTGTCGAGACTGGTGTTTTGGATGGCGGCAATTTTCAGCATAAGAGCTGTGTTCTGACATGCTCTTAGAATGTTCAGGTGTTGTGGCGTTGGAGATGTCCAGGGTTAGAGGGTTAGGGGAGGCCTGGTCTCGGTGGATGGGGTTTTCATAGCCTCCTTTGCCAATGTCTCATACGCTCTGTACCAGACATGTCTCATTCTTTTTCATGATTGTCGGATGAGGACTTGCAGAAAATGACAATACTTATCTGTTCGAAACTTTCAAGCTCTATACATCAGCCATTGAAAAGAATCGTGATCAGAGGGATTTGATGGATCAACTTCTTATATCAGTCAGGGCAGGCCTGCTTGGTGGTAGATTCATGGCCTTGTGATGTTGAGACGTGAGCATTGCACGTGCCGTCTTGTCTTAGCACGGCAAAGGTGCCGTGTGGATGCTAGTGTTCGAGTCCCTAGGTCTCGGCTTCCACTAAGCTTTCCAATGCTCAAGCCCTCTACTCATAACTAGGAGTAGGCCGACTCCGATAACTTCTCATGTAGGATTCGGACCGCATCTGGTCTCAATGGAACCATGGAGAGCTTCCCCAGAGATGGCATGTCTCGGGAGAAAAGGACCGATAGCATTGCTAATGGCTCCGAATTTGCGAACGGTGTTCATTGGTCCGCGCCCTCCCCATACCGATTTTGTCGTGGAGGTTGCGGGGATCAAGGATGGGGCGTTCTCTAGAGCGCTTAGACTGGTCTCCAGGCGTCATCTCCACAATTGATGATCTCTGCGTGACTGTTGACGGACCGGGAATGCCTTGGTACGTGGTTGGAACAAACAAAGGGAATTGTGCATCGAGTAGCCATCTTTCTGATGCAGAAGCGTTCAACAAGGCAGCGGACAAATAGAATCGGTTGGGGAGCTCAGTGCGAAGGACAGACGCCGGAGAGCTGGGGTGCGGCGGAGGATAATTGATGAGTGGGAACAGGCCCAGAAGCGCAATTTAGAACGGTAGTACGTTTCCTAGCCGAGCGCTTGCACCAACTTTTGGCTAGAAAAAACGTCACTGGGGATTGGGTCAGTCGAACGATTTGTCCCAGCCTGAGGCTTCAATCGTTGAGAGGAGCGCGTCTCTACAGTCGGGCGTGCCCACGCCGTCGCAATTGCTTCAAAAGACGTCGAATTCCGCCTGCCCATGCTCTGACAGACATAAAGCGATTGTGCAAGCAAAGAATCGCCCTGCTCGGCTGCACGCAAAAGCACACGGACGTCATTGCCGTGTTGCTTCTGACCATTTGCAGGTGAGTACCCCACAGCTCGCCGATCTCGTTCGGGATGGACACGAGCTAAACCGACAGCTCTCTTGGTGCTCCTTCGACCTTCGTCACCCTACTTTTAGCTTGCTCCTCCCACCTTCTTCCTCCGTCACCGTCATTGCTCGACGCCTTTCCCCGTCACCTCCCTCCGTTCATACCTCACAATGGCTACCCCGGGTACCACAAAGCGCGACGTAAGGAATCACGTCCTCTTCGAGGTCGCGACCGAAGTCGCCAATCGAGGTTTGTCCCGGCTCACAATGCATTGTTCGCACCACGTCGGTCGCTAATGTCTCGCCANNGTCGGTGGTATTTACTCGGTCCTTAAGTCAAAAGCCCAGGTCACCACAGCAGAGTATGGCTCAGCTTACACACTGATCGGTCCCTTGAACCGCAACTCGGTAAGCTGCCAATGTACCTTTGTACTCGTCGCTGCGATAGTGGACTGACTCGAATACAGGNCCGCCGTCGAGGTCGAGGAGCTCGAGCCCAAGGACCCTGCCATGGTAGCGACCATCAAATCCATGAACGAGCGTGGCATCCAGACACTATACGGAAGATGGTTGATCGATGGTGCCCCGAGAGTGTTGCTTTTCGACACTGGCACTGGTTACTACAAACTCGACGAGTGGAAGGGCGACCTTTGGGCAACTGCCGGCATCCCTTCGCCTGCAGACGACCATGAGACCAACGAGGCCATTGTCTTTGGCTACCTTGTTGCATGGTTCCTCGGAGAGGTATGTCCCCCATGTTTGTTCTACGAATCTCCACTGACGCATCGCTAGTACGTCTACCACGAGAAGGAGCGCGCAGTCGTTGCTCAGTTCCACGAGTGGCTCGCCGGTGTTGCTCTTCCTCTGTGCAAGAAGCGCAGAATTGACGTGACCACCATCTTCACCACTCACGCAACCCTCCTCGGTCGTTATCTCTGCGCCGGCTCTGTCGACTTTTACAACAACCTGCAATACTTTGACTGCGACGCCGAGGCCGGAAAGAGAGGCATTTACCATCGCTACTGCATAGAACGCGGTGCTGCTCACGCCGCCGATGTCTTCACAACCGTATCGCATATCACTGCTTACGAGAGTGAACATCTGCTCAAGCGCAAGCCCGATGGTGTCTTGCCCAACGGTCTGAACGTCAAGAAGTTCTCGGCAACCCACGAGTTCCAAAACTTGCATCAAGTAAACAAGGAGCGAATCAACGACTTTGTCCGTGGCCACTTCTATGGCCACAACGATTTCGATCCCGACAAGACTCTATACTTCTTCACCGCAGGTCGTTACGAGTACCGCAATAAGGGTGTCGACATGTTCATCGAATCTCTGGCCCGTCTCAACCACCGTCTCAAGGCAGCTGGTTCCGATATGACCGTTGTCGCTTTCATCATTATGCCCGCACAAACCACCTCGCTCGCCGTCGAGGCCCTCAAGGGTCAAGCCGTCCTCAAGTCTCTGCACGACACTGTCAGCTCCATCGAGAAGAACATTGGCAAAAAGCTCTTTGAGCGCTCTTTGGCATGGCATGAGNGGCAGAACCCTCCTGATGAGACTGGCCTCTTGACGGCAGAAGACAAGGTTCTGCTTCGTCGTCGTCTCTTCGCCATGAAGCGCTCCAACTTGCCTCCCATTGTTACTCACAACATGGTCAATGACCAGGAAGACCCCATCCTGAACCAAATCCGCCGCTGCCAGCTCTTCAACCACCCCACCGACCGTGTCAAGGTTGTTTTCCACCCCGAGTTCTTGAGCTCCGGTAACCCAGTCCTCCCAATGGACTACGACGACTTTGTTCGCGGTACCCATCTGGGTGTCTTCTCGTCTTACTACGAGCCCTGGGGCTACACTCCTGCCGAGTGTACCGTCATGGGTGTTCCTTCCATTACCACCAACCTGTCTGGATTCGGATGCTACATGGAAGAACTGATCGAGAATGCTCAAGACTACGGTATCTATATTGTGGACAGACGTATGAAGGGCGTCGACGACAGTGTCAACCAACTCACCGAGTACATGTTCGACTTCGTCGGAAAGAGCCGCAGACAACGCATCAACCAACGCAACCGTACCGAGAGATTGAGCGACCTCTTGGACTGGAAACGCATGGGTATGGAGTACGTCAAGGCCAGACAGCTGGCTCTTAGAAGAGCATACCCTACTTCATTCGAGGGCGACGAAGAACCTGGCTTCTTTGATGGCACCGAAGTGAAGATCTCTCGCCCGCTTTCTGCACCTGGCTCGCCAAGAGACCGCTCAGGCATGATGACTCCTGGTGATTTTGCATCTCTGCAAGAAGGTAGAGAAGGCTTGAGCACCGAGGACTACATTGCCTGGAAGCTTCCGTAAGTTTCATTATGATTCACGTAGTGATTTGAGTCTCGCATATTAACATGCTCAATAGTGNAGGAAGAAGATGTCGACGAGTACCCATTCCCGCTCACCCTGCGAAGCAAGACGTCGTCGGCAAACGGAACCGGCACCACAACACCCACCAACGGCACTGCAAGCAACCTGACTAGCAACACTAGCGGTGCTGCCTTTTAAGAACGGGATTGAAGCTAGGAAAGAAAGAGAAGAATGATGACAACGATCATAACGCAACATGAAAGACGAGAAAACTGTGGTTAAGCACGGGACCTTTTTAGTCGTTGCACCTTTTTGTACACTACCATGTAATTCGCGAATTGCTATTCCAGAGGTGCTTTATTCTTGAGCAGGAATCTTGCCGTGACGCCAGGCGTGAGGTTGACAGGATATACCGAAATTGACGTTATGCTTCTACCCTTACCGTATTGCCCAGACGTCAGTTCATGCATGACTTTGGGCGTCGCAAAAAGCAGGCATCACGGGCGAAAAAAAGCAAAACAGGGGATAGAGATAATGAGCACCAAAGAGGTCATTGAGCAACATGAGGGTCGGAAAAAGGGAAAGGAGACGGCAAGCCGAGGGACATGACTGGGGCTGAGCATGGGTGAGGTTAGAGGTCAGAGCCAAGGCGATGGAGGCGGTCGATGGCTGGCTGTGGGTTGAAGATCGTCAATGCGCCGCCCTCGCGGTCGGGTCCAAGTTGCGATTATTGTCTCCTTCTCCATGACTGCATTTTTGCGTTGTTATGCCGCCTAANCCACTCGACCTAGCCCTCGACCTGTGTATTCCTCTTCGCTTCATACTAGCCGTGCTCCCCGCCGCTTGTTCGACAGCCTGTGCCTCGCACTCGACNCCGCATCGTGCCCCCTCCTTAACTCGACCGACCTCGACTTCTGACGATGGCGATCGCGCCTCATCATCAACTCTGAGAAGCTTTGCCGGCGACGACTCTCCCACCATAGCCGCCACAAGATCTCTTNNTCGGACGCACTTCGTCTCTCTGAAAACTCCTGCGGTGGCCAACCTCTGAACAAATTCTTCACTTGCTCTTCGACCTCTTCTGGTCGTCATACTGCTCGTCAGCAACACTTTTACAAGAGATGGAACGCCTAAAGGGTTCGTGGGGATGGGCCAAAAACCGCCTGCCCAACCCCTTCAAGCGTGGTAAACCGCACTTCAACTTCATCACAACTCACTNNGTAAGAAGACTCGACCTTGTGGAGAGAAAGCCAAGCTGAGATGCCATGAACATAGATACATATATGCTAGGCTTGACTATACTGGGCTCTATCATGATATATCCTGCGGGCGTAATGCCGTATATCGACGCTCTCTTCTTCGCTGCGGGCGCAGCTACTCAGAGTGGTCTCAATACGTCAGTAGACTATGTGCCCCGAATCATGCTGTTGCTGACTTGAGGTAGCATTGACGTTAACCAATTACATACTTATCAACAGGTAAAGTCTTTGACCTTTGCACTTGTTAGACCAACGCTAAGACCTACTGTTTCAGATTNNGTGCTTTACTTTATGGCCTGCCTCGCCAATCCAATTTTCATCAACACATGCGTCGTCTTCATCCGTCTCTACTGGTTTGAGCAACGATTCGACCACATTGTCAAGGAAGCCCGAAACCAACGTCGCACTCGAACAAGGTCACGGACTGTCAGCGAATCTCGAGAGGACCCGGATCTAGGACGTGTCGAGATGGGAGTCAATGGCCGTAAAATTACAGTTCTGCATCACACCACAAAACCAAATGGTATGAACGCTAGGAGCGCCAATACCAAAGTCAACGGCATGAACGAAAAAGAACGCATGGAGCATCTTGCTGGAAGTCTAGACGATTCTCATGGTAGCACGTCAGAAAGTGCCGAGTCAAGCGAGAAACAGGAGCCAGGATTGCGTGGTGGGGATGAAATCAATAACATCGACAGAGAAGAGGAAGTGGCTCCGGACGTGGTGGTGACACGGAATGACAGCAACGAGTCAGAAGAGGAGCCACAGGAAGAGTCAGACGAGGAACCTGCCAATCAAACTTGGCTCGGCCGAAACCCCTCTTTGAAACGAGAAATCACATTCGCGGATCAGGTCAGACCTTCTGAACACAGACGGCAAGCTTCGAATCTTGAGACCGTACCGGAAAGACCAAAGCCGGTGCGTTTGGAAACAGAGCATCATATCGCATTCTTGGAGAGGCAGCGGAATATCAAGGACCACCAGACTTTGCGCATTCCCAATCCTAGAGAGTTTGACCGTGGCGATCAACCTCACGAAGTCGACTCTGACGAAGAGAATGATGGACTTAACCGTCAGATAACCAGGAACACTCTCCCGACATCGCCTCGCCTTCGCGCTCGTTCGTCTTCTGATGCTCCGTCGGCCCAACTGAACGACGACGACCACCCAGTGAGACGTGGCATCATTATCGATGAGCCAGAACGCCCACGACGAGACCGCCAGCCGTCTACATCCTCGAGTACCGGACGATCGCATCGCTTCAATATACTCGCGCCTCTTCGTAATTTCCGAAGCAGACAGCGAGGCGAGAGCACTACGTTCGGTCGCTCTTTGAGTGGCATCACCAACAGAACATTTAGCTTCACCAAGAGTCAGGACCGCGACATGCAAGACCCTATGCCATACCTAAGTTGGCAACCGACGATTGGCCGTAACTCACAGTTTGTGGACCTTAGCGAGGCCCAGCGAGAGGAGTTGGGTGGCATTGAATACCGGGCACTAAAGACTTTGGCCATGGTGCTTGTATGTTATTTCATCGGCTTCCATCTTCTCGGCGTCATTGTCTTCGTTCCTTGGGTTCTCGAAAGCNAAAAATATGGCGCCGTTGTTACCTCAATTGGACAAAACAGGACGTGGTGGTAAGTTATCGATGAAGAACCTCTCATCCGGAACAGTGCTAATCAAAGTCTTAGGGGTATCTTCACATCTGCCTCCATGTTTAACGATCTTGGCTTCACGCTCACTCCGGACAGCATGGTTTCTTTCCAGACATCCGTCATGCCCTTGTTATTTGGTTCGTTCCTGATCATCATCGGCAACACTGGCTTCCCATGCATGCTCCGATTCGTCATCTGGCTTGTTTCAAAGCTCGTTCCTCACGGCAGTGGCATTTGGGAGGAGCTTCGCTTTCTGCTCGATCACCCTCGTCGCTGTTTCACTCTCCTGTTCCCGTCAAAGGCCAACTGGTGGCTTTTCGCAGTCCTTGTCGGACTCAACGCCGTCGACTTGATCTTCTTTATTATCTTGGATCTCAACGACACAACGGTCACTTCTCTCTCGCCAGGTTACAGAGTACTAAGTGGCTGGTTTCAGGCTGCTTCTACACGTACAGCTGGGTTTGCTTGCGTCAACCTCGCAGATCTGCACCCAGCAATCCAGGTGTCTTATCTGGTCATGATGTATATCTCCGTTTTCCCTGTGGCTATTTCAGTTCGCAGAACCAATGTGTATGAAGAAAAGTCCCTGGGGATTTTTGCAGGCGAGGAAGAAGAGGATGAGGAGAATCGCAGTTACGTCGCTCAGCATTTGCGTCGACAGTTGAGTTTCGATTTGTGGTACATCTTCTTGGGCTTCTTCATCATCACTATTGTTGAGGGCCATCGCCTGGAGGACACCAACGCCTATGCCTTCACCATGTTCGCTGTTCTCTTCGAGATCGTGTCTGCATATGGTACTGTTGGTCTCTCTCTTGGATACCCAACCATCAACGCCTCTTTCAGCGCCGAATTCGCAACGTTGAGCAAACTCATCATCATCGCCATGATGATTCGTGGGCGCCATCGTGGCCTACCATACGCCCTGGATCGTGCCATCTTGCTGCCCTCAGAGAACCTCCATAAGAACGAGGCAGAGACTGCGACAACTGGTCGCAATAGTTCTGATGAAGCTCGTCCGTACTCGCGCTCCTCGACCAACAGAGACAGCAACGTGCCTCCTGAAGCCAGTGGCGCCTCTCTTGATTTCAGTCCTACCGGCTTGAGACAGATGCGTCGTGGCAGTCAGGTCAGCACAAGATCCGCTGGAACAAGAAGTCAACCTCCCACAAGACGCATGTCCAAGATCTTGATGAGCGGATTGAGTGCCGGGCCAACGATGGGTAGAAAGTACGATTGATCCGGTGGAATTTTGTATGTTTTTGTTTATATAAATCGATTTAGCCAGGAGTTGGATTGGGTTGGGTTTCTCTCGGGTTGCTTCAAAGGATAGACTGTTAGCCTACACAATGCAACATATCTTGTTTCTATTGCTTGTAAAGTCTTGCATGATGCCATACTTCCATGTAAAAAAAAGACTGTCACAACCTCTCGCCATGCATCACTGTCCCCAATGTCACATGGTATCCTTGTATGCCATAGAGATGCTTAGTTGTGGACTTCGCTCTGTTTTGGATGTTATCGAGTATTCCTGACTAAACTGTGACTGTCCATCGCACACGGGGAGGCTCTATACCGCCAAGTCACTCGCCGATCGATGGGTTCAGCTGAAAGTGTCAAAGCTTCTTGAACGGCTCCACATAAATCTAGTCCTGCGGCTACGACACATTACGCACATGGCTAAACCGATGGCGGCGGTCGTTACTTCCAGTTGAGCGTTCGTTTTCAACACGAGACAGCGACGAAAATGTTGCTCTGAACGGCGAAAGCTCATTGTCTTGATACTTGCGCATATCTTTCGCCCATCGGTAACCAAGCCTGCTTGGTACGCTTGAGACGCTCACCGGACACTTCAGAGAAGCTTCGGCTTCGAGTCAGAATGTGCCCTACAACACCCTCCACAAATGGCGCTGTCACACACAAACACGAGGCGGCTCAGAGGATCACTAAACTACTGCCTGGTGGCCAAGAGCCTGACTCGACACCAAAGCGATCACTTCTATGGAAAGGCTCTGTAGAAGAGCTTCTGGGCTTCCGCCTCCAAGACATCCCGACAGAAGAAAGTTGGTGGTTGGCAAGAATCCATCCAGAAGACTTGTTTGATGTCGTCAACAGCCTTTCCAAGATCCTGGCTCCATCGCCAGAAAAGCCATATGCTTCCGAGGCTAGGATTTGGACACACGATTATCGCTTCAAACACGCAAATGGACGATTCCTTCTAATCTCAGAGAGGTCGATCGTGGATAGAGATGAAAGTGGCAATGTGCTTTGCATGGCGAGCACAATTTTTGATGCCGAAAAGCGAAAAATCGAACGAAAAGCACACAGGGAATTCCTGGACTCGAGGGACCAATTCGCGCTCATTGCGAACAACACGCCATCCGGTATCTGGATGATGGACCCACAGGGTAAGATGATATACAGAAAACATAAATGAGTAATGCTGACATGAATTGGCTAGNGCTACACGACATATATGAATAATGCTGCAGAGTCAATCACAGGATTCAAATTCGAAGAGATTGCAGGCTGGACTTTCCATGCAGTAGTACACAGCTGCAGGCCAGATGGCAGTCCCTATCCAAAAGAAGAGTGTCCCATCTTTCAACATCAACAGAGCGGAACCGAGGCCATGAATGAGTCTGAGGTTTTTGTGCACAAGAACGGAGGCTTTTACGACATTGTTTACAGCGTTTCACCAATAGGTTCAGCACCACTACCAATGAGGTACATGATACCGACGTGCTAACTCAATTTGTAGNGTGATTATGCCAGTGGCGGTGCGGTCATTGAATTCCGAGATGTGACTGCACAGAAAAAGTTGGAGCGGGAACGGTTATCAGCAATCGTCCAGAATGAGCAACAATCGGTGCTTATCAAGGCATCCGAACATCACAAGGAGAATATGGCTTCGTTCGTTTCTTTCGTGTGCCACGAGCTACGGAACCCACTTCAAGGAATCTCAAGTGCAACAGTAAGGCTGATGGACATCGAGAAAAGCGCCGTTGTCTGACTGACGGACGCAGNNGAATTTCTATCTGAGACGTTAGAAAAATTAGACGTCTTGACAAACAGCATCGATGTCGACAGCTCGAAAGTCAGGGGCACGTCAGATGGATTCACGGATGGCTATCAGAGCAAGACTAATAGAAACCCAGATGGCGATTTGACTTCCACGAAAGAAGCTATTCGTGGTCTGGTTACATATGCCCAGGAACTTGTTGTAAGCATTCTATTCTTCACGGGCTTTAGCAGCGAGCTTACCGTGTCCAACAGTNCCAACATTGCAGTCTGTGCTTCGCATCAGGCTCTCATTACGAATAACGTTCTGGATCTAAGCAGGCTCGATGCTGGCAAGGTAGAGCCGTCGTTTGACGTTGTGGACTTACGCGCACTCGCCAACAAGGCTGTTGGAATGATGGTCTCGAGAGCACGCGTGAAGTCTATCAACCTGCGACTGGCGAACGACGATGCTCCTCCTTTGTATCTGAAGGCAGACTCGACCCTCATGTCCCAAGTCTTGTTAAATTTGATAGGCAATGCCGTANAAGGTTTGAGATTGATCTGCCCTCACCTGGGGCCAACAGCCAGCTGACAGTCTGAGCAGTTCACGCCTGAAAACGGCAATATTGTAGTCGAGATATACTCAGGACCTCCAGATGAAGATGGACGAGTAATCTTCCACGGCTCGGTCATCGATGATGGTGTGGGAATGACGGAAGCCGAGCAACAGAGACTATTCAAGCGCTTCTCGCAAGCCAACAAGCGAGTCGCGCAGACCTACAAGGGCTCAGGATTGGGTCTGAGCATCAGCAAGGAGATTGTCAAAGTCTTGGGCGGTGACATGGCTGTCAAAAGCACTGCAGGCATTGGCAGCACGTTCAGCTTTTCTACCATGCATGATCATCCAACCGAGAGCGAGTTGGCTTCGTTCCTTGAATCAGGAAGCGATGGGGTTACTGCTGTTGCCACAGACCTCGAAAAGTTCGAGATGAGCAACTCTGCTTCGATAGCACCGACGCCCAAGTTCAAAAAGATTTGCGTGGCGGAGGACAACCCGTTAGTGCAATATATTGCCAACGATAATGGTATTTCGAGCTGACCAATTTTGCAGGNNATCAATCTTCGTCACCTGTCAAAGAATTTGGAAGCCTTGGGATACGACCATGTCCTATGCAACAATGGCAAAGAAGCATTAGACATCTTCACACAACCCGAGTCCGACATTGACGCTGTCATCATTGTAAATAAAGCCGAGTCTTTCGCGAATGGAGATGGTCAACTGACCACACCACAGGACATGAGCATGCCAATCATGGACGGCCTCGAAGCAACACGCCTAATGCGCGACCACGAAGTCTCCCACCCAAACAGCAACCCCNGCCGCATACGCATACCCATCATCGCTCTATCGGGCAATGCCATGAAAGAGCAAGTCGAAGAAGCCATGCTGGCAGGCACGAGCGACTACATGATCAAACCTTGCAAGAGAGCGCAACTAAAACTCATGCTCGAACATTGGGAGCGTACTCTGCATGATGGGTCTGCTCACACGCCGCTGGTCGTTAAGTGATACGTTGCTTTCGTTGGCTTACCGCCAATTGACCTGCGCCGCCATGCTACTTACCAAACTCATTACCCGGTGCTATTGGCTCGACACTGCTGGGACTCCTATAAAGGCAATCTGTGTGAACGCCATCCGCAGAGCACGTCAAGTCACATATCCATGAATGAACCTGGAACTTTATGCCTATAACGGCTCACGATTTGTGATCGCTCCAGGATTGGACTCATTCGATCTACAAAAAGTAGTGTCGGCAATATCATGATTAGAAACGATCCCTTTAGACAGGAAGGGAAAGAGCGATTCTCATTAAACTCTACAGAGGAAGAAGGACTGAAGACGAGACAAGTACAGTGGAAAATACTACTGTGGAAAAAGAACCTACCTGGGGCATCGAAACCTCTGAATAATATGATATCTTGAGGGTTGCAATGATCTGCGCACCCGCGCTACGCAGTGAGCTTAAGAAGCAAATGTGCACCCTCTCAGCTCAGTTGTGAGCGAAGGGTAAAAGTAGAAAGGATGATGTGGACCAAGTTGAATACTGAAAGAGCTTGTTTGTATGAGGTCAACAGCCCATCAGCCGATTGATCTTTCGAAAATTGTGGTTCCAGAGCTCCTCTCACCACCCTATGTAAATGCTAAACTTATCCTCCTGCGCCTAACCTATAATGCTATGACACTGAACGCCATTGTGACACCCCAACAAACAAACAAACAACTGATGCAAAGAAAACAAAAAGCAGAATGATAGCCCCGAATATTTGAACACCATAACCGCATGGCAGAATGGGGTATCGTTGTCATCTTTTATATCGTGGAATGGGGGTTTCGAAGCCTAGAGTCCAATGCTCAGGCGGAAGTCATGGGTTCCAAGAAGATGCTGTTACCCAAGGCAAGCAAGTCACGCTTGCTCGTAGTGTTGGAGAACTGCAAGTTACCAACATCACACCAATTGTTGACATCCTGCGTATATTGTTAGCCTTCCCGACCAAGAAGGTGGATAGTTTTACGACTCACGATACAACTCAAGTACTTGCACCAAGTGCAGCCAGTGCGCCAGACGTAGAAGTTTTTGAGTAGAACAATGAAGCCGATCAGAACGCCTAGTAAGGCAAGAGCACGCACGATCCACCATAGCCACCACATAGCGCGACGGCCTTTGAAGAAGCCCGCAGGTTGCTTGATGAAGACACGCAAACCCTGGCTGGCGGCATCTTGGGTAGCGGCGGGAGCACCGACACTACTGTAGGGCGGTTCGTCCTCGCCAGTGCGTCGACGCAGAGCATTGGGCGAGCGTAGAAGGCAGATTCCGAGGACAAGACCCATGAGGAAGCCGCCAATGTGAGAGAAGTTGTCCAGACCAGGCAAAAGACCGAGGACGAATGAGATGATGACATCGACGAGGATGAACAAGAGGTCCTTGATAGGACTCTGACGCTCGCGCCAGGTATACAGCAGCTCGAGCAGGGTTAAAGCCATAATGCCAAAGAGACTGCCAGAGCAGCCGGTGGATGCAATGCCAGTAGCGGCGAAGTTGCCACCAAGAACGAAGCCAAAGATGCCGGCGCTGAAGTAGACCAGGGTGAAGCGGATGCTGCCAATTGAACGCTCCATGTCACGGCCCAGAGTCATTTGAAGCAGCATGTTGAAGCCGATATGAATGATTCCAGCATGAAGGAAGATGGGGATGATGAAGCGATACCATTGGTTTGGGTAGGGAGAGTCGGTGATGGAGCCTCCGGCATGTGGCTCAGGGACACCACCGAAACCGCACAACTGAGAAAGAGTACATTTTGCATCGTCACCAGTGTTGGAAGTGGCCCAGGGACAAGGCCATGTGATATCGCCCGAAGCACGGTCCTGGACACCGTGCATGTTGTGCATGCAGGGCTGGTAACGGGCACCCATGTTGATCAGAACGTATGGCGAGGGACCAATCATGGGGTTGAATTGTGGATGGATCTCGATGGGCGACTTGGTCAGGATGGAGTTTTTGACAATCTCGGCGATGAAGACGATGATCTGAACGGTGGTCAAGAAGTAGCAGACCCAGGTGACACGGCCTGTGAAGTAGCGACGCCAGCCCTTGACAGGAGGGGCACGGGCTGGCCTTGAACGGGAGCGCGGCTTTGCATCTCTTACAAAGGGGTCGTTGTATTCGGGGGTGATGACGGGAGCGGTGCTGGACTGCGACGAGTGCTTTGCGTGGTATGTGTGCATGGGCACGGCATTGTCGTCCTGAAAGGGGTCGCGGCCATCGCTGGGGGTGGGCTGGTTGCTGAGATTGTTGTAGGAAGACGAGTAGGAGGGGTATTGCGAGTCGTCAAAGGGAGATGCGTGGGTGGTATAGCTGTTATAGCCGGGATGGTTGTTGTTGGTGGTACTCGTGTTGTAGTAGTCGCGGGAAGCCATTTGGGCGGCGCTTGTGAGGGCAGGAACGACTGGCAGTTGGCTGTTGACACTTGACAGTCGACAATCGGCAGTCCGGACAGAAGACAGAGGTCACCTCCAGGGCGAGCGTCTGAGGTCTGGGTTTTATTCAAAGGGCGCAAAGGGCGCAACCGATTCAAGGACGGGCTGGCGTCAGCGTAGTCAGAGCGCGGTGAGGCGCAGTTGGATGTGGTCAGAGGTATACCCGCACTCGCTCTCGGTCGACGCGCAACTACGGAGTAGAGGCTGACAATCTTCCCGCCCTGCCAAGCCTCGCATGCTGCTCCGTACTGTGCATCGATACAAGCAGTTGATTACCAGAGTCGCTCGTCTTGCTGCCCTCTTGCACACGGACAAGTGATAGCCGCCGCGCTCGTACCGGCTCGCTGGGAGGGTTTGCTGCGTGGGCTATGGACCCGCCGCCGCCGTCGCGAACTTGATCGGAAGCGGCTGCTCTGTTCGAGTGCAGCCCTCCTGCCTGCATATAGACTTCCGCTCTGCTGGGTCCAACCTCGCCCTATATACTGTTGCTCGTCTCCTCTTCATCTCTGCGACGCTCCTTCCTCTGCGCTCCTCCCCTTCCTGTTCTCGCTCCTGCTCACTCACCTGTCCACCCCCTCCCGTCTCCCTCGCTCCGTCCACCCGGAGGACCATGACCTGCGCCGCCAACCGACTCTACTTTTGCTGATCGACTGCCCGCCGCCATGTCTCACTCACCCATTCCCATGCCAGCCTCGTACCCAGCACATCAGTCGGCGCACTCGCGTCCTGATCCTCCGCCAATGGACCGTCGCGCCCTCTCGAATGACTCGCGCCGCAACGATCATCCCCCACCTCCCACTCCGCACTACGACCAGCCCACCGCTGCACAGCAGAGTGAAGCTTTCCAACAGGCCTTGAACACCATCGAGGTCCAAGGCTCTTCCGATGACGACACCTACTCTGACTCCGNNGGCTACGAGGAGAGCATCAATTCCGCCTTTTCCACCTCGACTTCCATGACCTCTTCTGTGCGCCATTGGGATTTCGAAAACGGCCGTCGCTACCACGCATATCGCCAAGGCCATTATCTCTTACCCAACGACGACGCCGAACAAGAGCGCGAAGACATCAAACATGCTACTGTCTTGACTGTCTGCGGCGGCAAGCTTCACTTTGCCCCCATCCCCAAAAATGCCTCAGACACACGCATTCTCGACATAGGCACCGGCACCGGCATTTGGTGCGTCGAGATGGGCGATCAATACCCCTCTGCGCAAATCACCGGCGTAGACCTGAGTCCCATACAGCCAGACTGGGTGCCCCCGAACGTGGGCTTTGTCGTCGACGACATTGCAAGCGAATGGCTGTATCCCGAGAACCACTTCGACATGGTCCATGCCAGACACATGGGTGTTGCCATCAAAGATTGGGAGCACGTCCTCAACTCAGCATACACACATCTCAAGCCAGGCGCATGGCTCGAATTTTGTGAATTTGACTACTGGCCGAGCTGCGACGATGGCACCATGACAGAAGATAACCTCCACTACAGATGGCATACCCTTGTCACCGAGGGCATGAAGAAAAACAACATCGACTTGCACGCCGCCTTGCTCTTGAAGGCTAGGATAGAACGTGCCGGCTTCCAGAATGTGACCGAGAAGATTATGAAGGTTCCCTTAGGCCACTGGCCCAAANACCCTCTCCTCAAGAAGGTCGGCAGTTATATGCACGCTGTCCTGTACGACGGTCTACAAGGTATACAATCATCCTCCCGTGTTATCATTGCTACAGCATCTAACAAAATGTTCGATANNGGCATTTGCATGGGCCCACTAACAAGAGGTCTGGGCTGGTCGAGGGATCAGGTCGAGCTCTATCTGCCTGGTGTACGAAAGGATCTAAACAACATGAGTGTGCACACTTATTACAGTCTGCACGTAATCACGGCTCAAAAGCCATACCATTGATGGAAGCGGCTGCTAGATGCACCGCCGCGCATTCCACTTACGTTCTCGCCTTTCTTTGCTTTGATACAGCGGCTCGACGCAATGTTGCTGAATTACACTTCCATGAGATAGCATTATACCCCAATTCAATTTTCTGTTTTGTCTTACGTATCGGTGTGCCGTCCGTTGTTCATCACATGCATGCGGGGTGCTCGTTCATGCCCTGCACAAATGATTGGGTAGATGCAACGACCGATCCTGCCAATTTATCTCGTCCACAGCCGGCTGCATCAAGCACGCGACGGTCCCTTCGGGAGCCGGGGCCACAGCGGATGTCGTATTCCTGTCTGCACGCAAAAAGTGTTTCGGCAGTCACTTCTGCTTCCTACAGTGCCGTACATCAACTTGCCCGTACATCTTAAGTCTCAGATATCAGCTCTTTCATGATCTTGTTTTGACCTGCAAAGTCTTGGGATTGAAAGCGCTTGGATCTGCCTCTCAAAGTGTTGGGCAACAAGCAGGCCGAGCGTCCATTGTGGCCTGAGCAAACAAGAAGGGAAGCAATCGACAGTTGGCCCTTGACCCTGCTGAACGAGTTTTCCCTTTCCAATTGGGCATTTCTAAACCATTCGAACCATTCCACCGGTAACATGTCCCTGTCAGAGGTCCAGAGTGGCCCCGCTCGCTTCCGTGCTCCTTCCGCCAAAACCCGAAGGTGTTCTCGAGGATGAGAGCGGGAAGTGGATTCTGAAGGACAAACACTACGATACTCTTGACCTGAAGGAACACGCATGGTATGGCAAGCAAGGGAGAAAAACACCAGAGCTCGCGACCTGAGCTTTACTGCGAAGTCGGCCACACGGCAAGCAACGGTAGGATCCATTTTGCGCTATCCAGCTTCTCTGGCGAGCTAGTCTTGTCCCCCATGGCTAGTCCCGCTCAGGTCACCACTATGCTGGTAATCAACCCTGTGTTGTTGTTCGTTTAGAGGTCTTTTGGCCGAGAGGCATTGAGTAGGGCAGGGTTGCCGAATGCTTTATGACCATCGATTGGATGCTCGTCTCTCATGTCTACTATCAAGTCACGTCCTACTCAGAGCTCAGAGGCTATCAGGAGGAAAGCGTCTGCTGAAAGTTCTCTCGTATTGACTAGATTCTGGATGGTAAATTCAGAGGAGGACGAAGATGCAAAGCGGTGGATAACTGACCTCTTCCAGAGTCTGTAACTTCCTATCTTACCATCTCCTCGCTCAGAGCCTTCGTTACCAGCTGAAAAAACGGCCCCTCTCGTCCCAGTACCAGAGACTTAGTCTTTCACCTACTGCACAATTCTCTCGATTGTGTTCACCATACAGCAGCAGCGGCATCATCACAACTCATCTGAGCAGAGCGACCCGAAGATATCCTCCTCGTACGACCTTTCGAAACGGCCATTCGAGTGTGGTACGCGGCCAGTGTCTGCTGCTTCGATTGGCTCGGCTCGTGAGATGAGCACATGCAAACGTGCATACATATCCCGAACGACAGGATCGAGCCGCAAGATTTTCACCGAACATCATGTATGTTTGACAGGTATCTTTACATGAGAGAAGTTAGCCGGCAGTGGCCTGATTTGACCTGCGGGCCGGCATGGTTGGTTTGCTTGTTGAGCACCTTGACTTCAACGTCACTCAACCAACAGTGGTCGACCCAAAGCTCTCGAGGACATCATACATGTTAACGACTTTGTTGCATGTCAAACCATACTGGATCATTTTCCATTCGACTGGCTACGTACGTTGACCGATTGTCCCAATAGGAGTATTGGTGTCTAGATCCTGTCGACTAAAATACACTGTAGGTCAAGATTTTACCTAGGCCTCTTTCGGGCTCTCTTTGAGGAAATCATTCTCCTTATTCTGTTAGCGTAATACCCCCAGCTCCCCTTAATATCTCCAGATACGGACACGGGTAGGCGAGTTGGCTCTGTAATCGTAGTCCTTGACGCCATTTTCTGCAGATCCCCACTGGTTGTCTTTAACCTCAGATCTTTGTGCGCCGCGAGTATGACCACTGCCAGGCTGCAGCTTGTAGCCAGAAACGGGCTCTTCCAACGTTTTGCAGGCCTGGATGAGTCCTCCGGTCAGCTCGAAGAGCACTGCGCTATATCCCGAGCGACGAGCGACATCACACTTTGCTCCTTGAGAGCTCGCTTCGAAGTGGGCGACAAGTGAACTAAGCTTCTGGAAATCCTTCAGACACACTGGGCACAGGTTACGCTGTGCAGCGTGTGACTCGCGCATGTGGTTGCCAATCTCTTGAGGATTGAAGAACCGTCTCTTGCAGCTCTCAAAAGGACATTGGTAGGATGGAGCCTTGTCGTTGGTAACGTCTGGGCAGTGGAAGAAGTCAGGTTTGAAGTCGGTGTGGGTAGGGTCCCAGAAGTGTGAAACAAAGATGTTGTTATCCTCGTCCTCTTCCTTGTTGCGTTGATGAGCAGCGTTAATGGCATCCCAATTGGCGATGACCTTTGCCTTGGAGTGCCCAAAGAGCTTTTGGGTGACGTTGGGNGTGGACCATGCTCTGACTGGCATAGCGGGGGCTGTGTCGTCTTCTTCATCATCACTGCATGTGGTTGGGGCGTTGCTAGAAACACTGACAGTGTCTTTACTGTCGCCCTCGATACATCCAAACGATGACTCGCTCTTATTGGTTGAGTTGGGTGAGACATTTGTGATCGACTTGGTTAGGTGACTGATATCAGAGCTGAGCAACTCCGGCCATTCGACTTCGGAGTGGCTGGCAGTGGAGGACAACTGCGGGCTCAGAGGTGGCTGGCCACTGATTTGGCTGTGGTCGGTCTGGCTGAGCAGGTCGATACCAACGCCACCGCTCATATCGTCGACCTCCCTGGGAGTTGGCTGAATTGTGGCGTCGGATATACCCCTCATGTTTCTCTTGAAGCCTTCGGGGTCATCCAAGATCAGCTTGACCATACGCTTGTGCTCGCGATCTTGTCTGAGTGCCATAGGCTTGATGTATGCACAGAACCCTCCCTCGATGTGGCTGATGAGCTGACTGGCGCGGCCGAAGATGGAACCGCATCCTTCGCGATGGTCATTACCTTCCTCGTCGCGAACGACGAGATAGCCTTTGCAGATTACGTGCTGATCGGCTTGATGCATCTGTCACAATCGGTCAGTCAGCATTCTAATCTTTGCGGTATGTCTTCACCGACGTACCCTCTTGCGATGAACTTCCCTGCCAGCGAGACTTCCAAAGCTTTCACCACAGAACTCACAGACGATGTGGTTCAGCTTCTTCGGTTTCTCAGACATGCGCTCACCGACGATCCACGGTAGCATGGTCTCAACTTTGTGTGCAATAAGCTCGTCCAAGGTCTTGCCATGGAAGTCACACTTCACAAAGCCTCTTTGGATTCTTTCGTAGCCAGGATCCTTGCCACAATAGTAGGGATGAATTTTCTTGTCCTTGAGGTGAGCTTTCAGCTCGCCATCCGTGTCGAAAGAGTGAAAGCAATCATCGTAGCTGCACTTGAAGGCCTTGAGTGGGGTCAGTGGTACTGCCATAATTTTGGAGGGTGGTGTGGGAAGTCGGCTATGTCGTTGATATCCAGATGGTAAAGTAAATATTCGTGATGACCGGAGATAAACAAGGCCGAGTGTTGACGTAGAGAGGTCGAGTATTGAAGGAAGAAAGAGAAAATAAAGAGGTAGGAAGTAGAGGAGTTGAAGTAGAGGGTCGGGAGTTGGATGTGAAAGACGACAGTAAGGTCGAAGGCAGGTGAAAGGTATCAGAAGTGAGGATGGCCGGAGTATCAATGGAAGCAGGCTAGCTCGAAGGGAAAGAGCTTTCGAAGAGGCTGCGGCAGTCTAAAAGCTATTTGCGACTACATGAGGAAGTGACGGGTATTGCCAGGCAGCAAGATCTCCGAACAATTTGCGGAAATGCTGACCATCGAATCAGGCAAGTACAAGTGGCACAGCGGTGAAAATGACGTGGGGATATCTTGTCTCTGATTGTCAACTTGTTTGCTAGAATACCGAGTGATGGTTGCCGAGGGGTACTCCTCCGAATGATGATGATCTCGGCGTCAGACTGGTAGTTGATGGATAGTCGACGGATAAGTAGTATGGAGGAGAAGGCCAGTATGATCTCTGAGCAAAACAGAAATGATAACATGTGCATTCTCGCCTGGGCAACTTTGAGCAACTGACAAGTCTTTGTGCTAATCAAGGAGTTGACAAGATCAAACAGGGTTCTGCTTCAGACACCTAAACAGCCAAGGCATCCTTTACGCCTCTTGTTCTTTCCGGTTGATGCACTTCTCACAGATACCTTTGCCGAGTCTTTCTTGCGTCCGTTACCATGAGCCATCTCCTGCTCCTTTCTCTTCTGCATCATCTGCTGGCGGATTCTTTCTTGTCTTTCGCGAACGCTCAATGGACGATCGTCCCTGAGGTTGTAGGTGCTACTAGTAAGCATGTTACCGCTGGGGCTCCTGACCTGCTGATGGTCGAGTTGAGTCGGATCGAGGAGCTCCGAGTAGCGGCGGATGAGAGGTCTTGCTGGTATTGGATGTGTGATGCCAGATTCGATTCCATCACCAGCAAAAGACTCGAGCGTGATGTTGTTTGCGCCGTGGAAGTTGTGTTGAGGATGGAGAGCGGAGAGATCGTGAAGGCCAGGGCTACGAGGGAAGCCCATCTGCGTGGGAGTTTGGATGTCCATGTCGAAAGATGAGCCAGAGTTGCTAGAACTGCAGCCTGTAGTCTTTGAAGTAGAATTGCCCATGCTGACTGTCATAGGTCAGTATTTCCATACTCCAGATGTCTACTCTCTACTGTACCTCGTATTTGTTGATGTGTGCTGCAGAAAGTGGGAGTTGTTCTCAGTAGAAAATGGATGCAAGTCAATAGGGGGGTGAGAAACGAGGAAAAGAGCGGTGGTAAACTCGTTCAGTGAGTGAGAGTATGTCGTTACAATATCGACACCAACACATGCTCCGTGAGCTTCTCACGTCTTCTGCATCTTGACGACCCGCATGGTCGGGAACTTTGGCGGTCAATGCTTTTTGCTCACATGGTCGAATATAGGACCGCCAAGGGCAGAATAGATGATATCGTTCAATTCGTATCTAGGAGAGTAACATCTGTTTAGAACCTTGAGTAAGGTAGCCTGGATTGTGTAGGTTAGCAAAGGTCGTTACCAGAAAAGCACATTTCGAACTCACCACTTTCCCCTGAGTGTAATAACAGCCCATTCACCCTTCTCATCAGTTTCCTTCTCTACCTTGGTACTGAAGCTGATGGCACTCATGATACCATCACCGAATTTCTCGTTCAGAATTGCCTTGTATGCATAGCCGTAGTTCTGGACGATTTCGTAAAGTCTGTAAACCAAAGGCTCCCTTGGTGGCATCTCCATCTGGCGGCCGCGATCCGGGTAACCAGAAAGCTGTGACTCGAGCAACAACTCGTCAAGCTCGAGGACCTTGGCTAGCTTCTTGATATCCTCTGGAGAGGCTTTGGCTTGTCCATAGAAGAGAGCTGCAACAGCGACTTCCTCACGTCCAAGGGCCTTGGCGATGGTTTCGAAGGAGAGGTTCTTGTTCTTTTTGGCCTCAAACAGGGTAGGTGACGAGGATGGGAGGCGAGGTACAATCGAGGTCNNTAAGCATATCATGTCAACGGAGGTCTACACAAGGATTCGCAAAGCTAAGCATACATCGAGAGTAGCGATAGGGTGACCTGAAGAAGTTCCAGAGGCCGACATCTTGGTCTTGGTGGAAGCTGTAGCTTTGGTACGGAGAGACTGCTGAGCTAGGATTACGGATGGACGGAAGAATGCTGAAGCGCGAGGGGTTGCACGGGGTGCAAGTCTGGCTGATAGCGGGAGCATGATGACTTAAGTACTTCGCTTGCGGTAGACAGACGTTGGACTTCCGAGGTCTCGAATGGGAACCTCACGAGCAGCTTTTGAAGCTTGACGGACATGTCTCGGGTCTGCATCTCGCTGCGTCACTGTGACCTTCACCTTGATTCGAACAAACACTCAATCGTTGTTGTCATCGATGCGGGGCAGATTGATAAGTAATGAAGCCCATACATGTGCATCTCCGGCAGACACGCAATTATGCTTTTGCAGGCCAGATGTTGGATGATAAGGACATCATTATATGGGATAGCACGAGTTTCTCGATGGTCCATTCGGCCTCTAGATGAAGTTTTGAAAAGTCAGTCTACCTCGAGTCTTCCATCGACAACTGTTCTATCGTGTGCTTCGCCAAGCTAGGGCATGGCTACCAGCTCTTATCTGATCTAGTGCTCTTAAGTCCGAAAACACCGGGCATGGAGCTGTGACAAGGTTCAGTTGACAGGACTCAATTCTGATGTCAACCCTGAGGACTTCGAGATCCATGTGTTTATGCGTGGAAGCTATTACGATACCGCTGCCTCCAGTCTTCCCGCACAATCAGTCGCTATAGGTGTGACAAAAGCACTTGTGAAAAGGAGCTTTACCCATGAAAAGGGGTGTGCTCACTATGATGAATTGCTTGGTGTCTATGGAATACAGTATCTCGTGCTTGACCAAGACTTATTCGCTACATAAAGGTTAGAACGGTGAGTGCTATCGACTTCAGAAGCAAGCAAGTGTAGATTTCGAATTGTGAACAGCTATCGAGGCTCGACTTCAGGAGCACAACAAATGCAGATGGCCATAAAGGCGGTCTGAGTGACGACGTACATAAATCTTGGCGGGCTCGCCTCGTTTCAGGAGCTGTAACATCACAACTTGACTCCCACAACTCGACCAAGCCTAATCAACGATTGACAATGGCTTTTCTATTCGACAAAGTGCACAAAGCTGTGCATGAAATTGGCAACGACCTCAAAGACAAGTTCTCCGACCATGGACAGACTCAAAGTGCAGGCGCAAACGAGCAATACAGTCAGGAGGGGTCCGACGAGGTTCATGACACGCATCGCTTCCAGAGCTTTGCACCACACAGAATCGGAAACGAAGTCAAGTGGTATGTCGACGGTGCTGGATACATGCATGCTGTAAGCATGGCACTTGAAAGAGCTCGCGAATCAATCTGGATCATGGACTGGTGGTTATCACCAGAGTTGTATCTCAGACGTCCTCCCGCCCAGAACGAGCAATATCGTGTTGACCGTATGCTGCAAGCTGCAGCTGAGAGGGGTGTCCAAGTAAGTACCGCCGTCTCGCTCCCTTCGCTGGCATATTATTATTCCTGATACAACGAGTGCTGATATAGACAGGTCAATGTACTCATCTACAAGGAAGTCACTCAAGCTTTGACACGTAAGTGCCTGAACCCCATTGTACCAGATTTCTTACATTCACTCCTTCCACGCTCCGTCGACCGCGTGTCTTCGGCTCTGGTTCGGTTTGGAATGGACGTAACTTTCAAATCATTGGAAATCCTCGAAGAGACTAACCCACTAATCAATCCCCCTATTACAGTCTCTTCAGCACATACCAAACATGCTCTTGAAAAACTACACCCCAATATTCGCGTGTTCCGCCATCCCGATCATCTTCCGGACACACAGGTCCTGACTTCGTCTTTCCTATCATCTATACAAGGGATGAAAATGACCGCCGCCAATCTCACCAAGTTACCTGGTGATGCTCTCAAATCTATCTATGGTATGAACGAAGGCACTGTGCTCTAGTGAGTTGTCTAAGCGGCAAAGTAGGATTTCATTAACAGAGAGTNNAGCTGGGCGCATCACGAGAAGCTGTGCCTCATCGACAGCCACATAGCGTTCATGGGAGGCTTGGATTTGTGCTATGGTCGTTGGGATACCAATCAACACTCGATCGCCGACGCTCACCCTGGTGACTTGAACCAGATCGTCTTTCCAGGACAGGACTACAACAACGCACGCATCCTGGACTTCAGTGACGTCGCACATTGGGACCAGAACAAACTCGATCGCCGCTACAACTCGCGTATGGGTTGGTCTGATTTGTCCATCTCTCTTATGGGACCTGTTGTGGAAGACCTCCGTAGACACTTCGCCGAGCGTTGGAACTTCATCTACCAGGAGAAATACAGCTCTAAGAACAACGACGACAGATATGGACCTCTCCATGTTCCAGAATCAAGAACAGGAGTTGTCCATCACGAGTATCCCTCAGGTCCTGCTGCTCCATTGCCCGAGCACATGCGCGAACGTATGATGGAACGCTGGGAAGAGAGTCGTGAACGGATGGAAGGTTTCAGGGAGCAAGTCAGACACCACTTCCCCACCAGCGATCACCCGCCACCACCTCCTCCAGGGATGCCTTGTCAGATCATGAGATCCTGTTCGAAGTGGTCTCACGGTACCAGGACTGAACACTCGATTCAAAATGCCTATATCGAGGTAATCCGAAACAGTCGCCACTTCATCTACATTGAGAACCAGTTCTTTATCACCGCGACCGGTGACTCTCAACGTCCGATCAAGAACCAGATTGGTGCTGCTATAGTCGAACGCATTGTCCGCGCAGCACGCGAGGGAGAACCTTATCAGGTCATTGTCATCATGCCCGCCATTCCTGCCTTTGCTGGTGACTTGAAGAGCGACGAAGCACTGGGTACGAGAGAGATTCTAGAGCTCCAGTACGACAGCATCAACAGAGGCGGTCACAGCATCATGGAGAGCATTGCGAGAGAAGGCATTGACCCCCTGCAATATATTCGTTTCTACAATCTCAGGAACTACGATCGCATCAACTCGAGTGGAGCCATGCGTGAGGCAGAACAGCAAAGTGGTGTGAGCTACGACGATGCAAGACAAGAGTACGACCAGCGTTATGGTGGTCAGAGCGATCAGTATGCTCAGGAGGGTGCCTACGGCAAACAGTATCAGCAAAACGATGGAGGGGCTTACGAAGAGCAAAGCGGACAGTACAACCGCTTCCAGCGTTACCAGCAAGCTACTCAGAACATGGGCAACCATTCAGGTCTTGGTAGCGGACGCTGGGACTCGGTTGCATCGTGTTACATGCTCAACGGCGAGGACATCCGTAACGTGCCTTGGGAAGATGGCACGACCGACGAGATGGACGCATTCGTGTCCGAGCTGCTCTACGTACATAGTAAGCTCTTGATCGCTGACGACCGCGTCGTCATCTGCGGTTCAGCCAACCTCAACGACCGTAGCCAACTTGGTGACCACGACAGCGAGATTGCAATCTGCATCGAAGACCCTCGCGAAGTCGACTCTTACATGGCTGGTCGTCCTTGGAGAGCAACAGAGTTCGCTGCCAGTCTTCGCCGCCAAATCTTCCGCAAACACCTTGGACTGTTGCCGCCACAAGATGTCAGCAGGCCCGATCGAAACTTCGAGCCTATCGGCGTGCCCAATGCATACGACTGGGGAAGCCGTGAGGACGAGGCTGTCATCGATCCCTTGAGTTCCGACTTCTTGTCTTNNTTGTGGAACGGCACTGCCCGCACAAACACCGATGCATTTGAGCGTGTCTTCCATCCCGTGCCCTCGGACAAGGTGCGTAACTGGAAAGAGTATGATGACTACTTCTCGAGATTCTTCCCTACCGGTAAGGACGCCAAGGAGGAGAAGGGCAAGGATGCATCAAAGCCTAGCCAGTGGAAGCTCGGTCATGTTGTGGCAGAGGAGTTCCCTGGTGGCGTGACAGAGGTCAAGGATGTGTTGAGCCAGATTCGTGGTACGCTGGTCGAGATGCCACTGCTCTTCCTAAAGGAGGAAGACATTGCCAAGGAAGGTCTTACACTCAACGCCATGACAGAGGAGATTTACACTTGAGGAAAAAGCAAGGTGTAGCATTGGAGATCAGAAGCATGACGACGCGACGATTATGATTTGCAGTATCGTAGATAACAGAAGAGTGGTGAAATTTGTGGAGAGGCACACACTGCATAGCGTTCCTTATCGAACTTCATGTTGGCTCGAGAGTATGTGTGCATCGTGAATTACGAATAGCTTTATCTATTTCTTCGATACCTGCTGAATCAGCCTCTCGACATCTGTAGCTGCCTGACCCGTAGCCTTCTCACGAAGCGACTCGAGCAACCTGAGATTGCGAGCCTTGGCCGCCTCCTCGGCAGCGCGTACTATCAGTCCACACTTCGTCCACAACTCCACACGTTCCTCTACTGTCAGACTCGTGCATTTAGGTATGAACAGAGACGCCAGCTTCGAGTTACCAGCAGATAAAATTTCATTGATGAACGGNCTGAGACATGATTAGTGCTTGCATTAACCAGAGAGAACACGGAAACTTACCTCCCAGCCGATAGGACTCTTGCGAGTTTTTGACAAGTCCTCAAGCTCGCGCCAGTCACGACGCGAGATGAGTGCGCGCAGGCGTATCCACCAATACACCTTATCTGAGACCTTGAATTCGGACTGGATTTTTGANCTTCTCTTCACGTTGCCCAGTCGGATAAGTTTGTATATCGTCTCATTGATACTAAGGCCGCTGAAGTTTTCGTCGAGATCTCGTTTGAACGTATCCTGTAGTTTGAGTAGCTTCTGCTCTTCGTCAATACCTCGTACTTGTATTGATTGGTCTTTTGACTCCTGAAGGATCTTTGAGGCCATTTTGAGCTTGTCGCTAAGAGCATTCGCATCTGCGGCATTGAGTGAATCTGACAGCAATAGATTCGAACTGTCAAGTCTTCGGTCGTCTTGGTAGAACAAGTCTTTGAGCAGTTCCTGGTCTTGATCCCACGCCGACGCTTCAACAAGTGCAGTCGCGACCGGTCGACCGTTGATCGTGCGGAAGAACGTGGCGAGTGGCAGCTTCTTNTTCAGATGTAGCAGCACATGGTACACCAAATCGGTGTCTCCACTCTCGATGGCCTTGTCCAAGGCAAGTGAATCCTCCTCCACGTTGAGCAGAAGCGGTACTTGCTTGCCGGCTCGTGGTTCGTGTTCGAGCAGTTCTGTTGCAAGCTTGCCACGGCCTTCTTCATACGCCGTCTGTGCAATCTCCTCGAATGAGATACCTCGCTTGCCTTGCAATCTCTCTACGATTTCGGCACAAATGTCTTCCTCGTCACTCGTGGAGCTACGCACCTTCTGGCGTGCCCAGTGTACATAAATCTTGTCGAGTGGCAAGTCGAGGTGCTCAGAAATCTTGATAGCAAGCAAATACTCCTTACGATTGATCAATCTCTGAACTAGATTTGCAGGCGTCAAGCGAGTATATTGATCGAAACTGAGAGGCAGGCCGATCTCGAAGAAGCGGACAGCATTCAGGACGCGTAACGTCTCGCACATGTCGACGAATTCGTCGCTGTTGTATAGGTCAAGCACTGATTTACCGAACGAGGCAGCCTTCAAAAGCTGTTTCTGCCAATGAACGCTGAACTCATGGCCAGCTGCGCTGATACAGGTGTCGACAGCTTCGTCCAAATTTGGTCGAATGAGTTGGATGTTCTCGTCGGCTTTGGGAGACTTTTTGTCGAGTTGCTCGGCTGCGTCAAGCAAGACTGATGCAGGTGATGTGGAGCCCAGTCTAAAAGTGTCCTCGGAAACCTCTGGCACTTTCTGGATGAATTCGCAGACATCACTTGTGAAGATGCGGATGCCGTCGATTTCGGGTGAGAGATGGACCCAAGAGTCGTAGTAGTGTTTAGAAGCAGCGCCATTCGGGCCAACCAAATGCACCTCGTCCTCCCAAGCCAGAACGACGGCATTGTTGCCACACCATTGCAGATCCTTTGGTGGAGTCTTGACGCGCGAGTCGTACTCGGTCAAGCGGTTCTCGAAGTCGCTGCTGACGACCCAGACCTTGCCATCTTGAGTGTAAAGAGCGATGAACTTGGCATTGGGGGCCACAGAGACGAGTTTAAAAGGACCGTTCTGTAGCTTGCGATCCTGGGCCTCAGAAGCGTCGACGATGACAATGGTATCGTCAATGGCCAGGATGGCTTCGACAGAGCGAGACAAAGTAAAGGCCGGAGGAATGACAGCCCACGACAAGATTTCGCCCTCTGGAGGAGTGGCCAGGAGGGTCGGACGTGGTTCGTCGTAGCGTGAGACACAGACCAATTGGTTGTTTCCGAGGAGAGCAACGAAGCCTGAGGACCAGAAGCGGCACGAGACGACGCCATGCTCTTCGGCGCCGTGGCCTAGGCTGAAGGGAATGAAGTCGCCGCTGAGGTCGTGGTATATTCTGACGGTGCCATCGTTTGTGACAATAATCAATCTCTCATCTTCAGACCAGCCGCAGCCCTGGATTGCACCCTTGTCCCAGTTGATGCGGTGGATGAGCTTGCCCGAGCATGTGTAGAGGTCGATGGAAGGACGGGCAGCATGAGTGGTACGGTAGGCATATAGTTTGGAGTCGTCGCGGTAGATTGCTATCTATGCGGCACTGTCAGCGCAGTCCATGTCGTCGTCGCTGTCGTGTCTACGTACGGCGCCGGCCAGTGGAGCGCCGACTAGCACATGGTTCTCGAGTTCCAGCTCCGGGTCAAAGACGGATGTGTACAGCTGCGTCTTACGATAGAAGCGATCGCCGACTCTTTCCCAGTCCGCCGTGGCCTTCGACATTTCAGCAGCAGTTCATGCCTGCCCTTTGGGGTCGTTGTTGCTTGCGCATCGAGCCCATTGCGTAGTGCTGGTCTGTGCACCACTCGCTAATTGCTTCCCTGGAAGGCCTCACTCGACCATACACAACCAACATCGTTCCTTCCTATGTCTGTGACTTGTAATCTACTGAATATACCAATCAGGCTAGATTCTGTCTGATCTTGGAGAGTTTTGCTCTTCAACATGGACTCGACCGCAGCCAAGATCCAGGCTCTGGGCGATCTCGAGTTGGCCGTCTTGCTCTGTTTAGTAGCCCAGCAACACTGTATAATATCTACTCAGAACCTACTACTCGACACCCTCGCCCAGGAACTTCAGCTAGTCCGTTGACTCTGTATCGATATTGTTGTCTCAAGACTGACCAGATCAAGANTTGCTACCAACGTCTTCGGTCTCTCGTGTGCCTTGGTCAACTGTTCAGCCACAACTACTCTTGATGACTTCAAAGAGTCCATTCTGGTCGATGCTCCAGATGCATCCCATGATCATCTTGCGTCTTCTACCCATCTTTCGCTGCCCTCCTTCAAGCCTACCACCTCGAGGCACACCTTTTTCCGCAACCAGTCTGGCACGAGCAACGAACTCGATGAGCGGAAAATCGCCGACATCATCATTGCAAAGGACCTAAATATGGCGAGCAGCAACGTTCAGACTCAAGCTCTAGAGGTACTAAATTCATCTCGTCATTAGGTACTGTCTTGTCTTAACATTTTTCCAGNNCTCATGCGTACCAAGAGACTGTTCAGTCATACCGCTATGCATAGTACGTCCAAGCACTTTCTCTTCGTCGCCCTACAAGCATCAGAGTCCAAGTCCAAGCTCGGTTATCATCNNTTGTAAGTATGACGTGATGCTGTTACAAAATCCTGCTCGCTGACCAAGCATATGCAGAACGATATGTTTGCCATCTCACATCACCACACCGAGGATGATGGCTTTCCGAATCTTGAAGAACAAGAATTCAAGGAGCCACCACAATCTGACGATGCTGTCTCCATCTCGTCGGTCGTCAAGCATACTCTTTCCAATGGGGAGGCTGTTTCTGAATCGCCTTCAATCACGCCCAACGAGATCCAGGACTTGCGTACTGCCGTCATTAGTGTTCGAGTGAGCGCCGAAGTGGCTGCATACCTCCACAACGTTGTCATATTTATGCGTCTGAACCGCTTCGTTGCAGGAGGCATCTCTGCCTATGCTACTCGACACTTCCGAGCCATCGTCTATGCTCTTGCACCCCTGCATGGCCTCGAATACGTTCCTCCTTCATTGGTCGCGTTGGCGGCAAGAAAAGTCTATGCCCATCGTTTGATCTTGGCAACTCCAAGCACCGAAAGGAGCATGCAATGGGGCAGCGACTTTCGTGCAGTTGAGCAAGTCTTGCAGGGTGTCACGGTTGAGGATGCCATTGAGTCAGTCCTCTCGAGTGTGGAAGCGCCACTCTGAATAAATTCGTCTTCATGCTTCTATGTCCTAATGCTGCCCGAGCATTTCGACACTCAGCTCGGACAATCTGTTACACACAGCGGTGTTGTCAAAGAGAACGATCCTGACATCTACTGTCGGCCAAACATTGGCGCATTCTCTTGCCACTCTCTCAACAGCACTGCGACTTCTATCCTCAGATCTTCGACAATGTCGTCCATCTTGATGTCTGCCCTGTCCCACCCGAACGGCTCTTCCAACTGGTATGCAATGGCTTCTATACCATATAGAGTGAAGGTGATGAGAGAAACTATCACGATAGTCCACCACTGTAGACTCTCGACGAAAGCAAACGGCAGCACGCCTCCATAAAGTGCCAACACCTGCCTGGTATGGATAAGATAGGCAACTGGAATAGGCGTCAAGCGTATCGTCTCCATGATTCCGAACGCTGCCACCAATGAATTGAGCTGCACCGAGAGCTGAGATGCCTGCGGACTGTGGAACCACCCTCGATCGTGGGAGCGCTTGATATATGCCTCGATGGACATGGTGAGTTGGATAGGAAGACCAAGGCCCTCGAATTCATAGGTTTGAGACATCCTAGGCCCAAGAAGCTCTCTCAGCTCTGGCTTCAAGGATCCAGATCCGCTATCTTCGAGGTCCGGTGCTCCAACACTGTGTTCCCACTCCCATTGGAGCGTGTTCTTAACCGCGTAGATGATCGCCAATAGGGTGTGAACGGCAGTCTCGGTCTCCGCTCGCTCGGCTGCCGTAGGCTCGGGACCTTTNGCAGAGTATGAGGAAGTCAAGAATGACCGAGTCAGATTGCGAATGTTTGTGCAGATGGTCGTGAGTTCTTGCTGTCCACTCCAGAATCGAGCGTATGAGCTCTGGTTGCGGAACACCAGTAGCAAGCCGACAACAATAGATAGGGAAGCTGTGATACTGCCAGGAAGGTGTGGCGTGTAGGGCGTAAAGTCGTCAACATATACAATCAATGCTGCAAACAATGCATGAATGATTACTGGCACCAAGATGTCGCTGTGAATTGAGCCTTTGATGAATCTCAAGACAAGTGGCAATCGACGGGGCTTCTTCCTCGCCCTGTTCATGAGGGGCTTGGTTGGTCGAGGGCAAGGACGATGTCGCATTTTTGGACTGGTGAATCTGCTGATCGGATGCTAAGAAGATTGAAGATGTGCTCTGCTCTCTTGTCTTTGTTTTGAGCTGGAAAAGGGGAAAGCTGAAACGCTTTTCAGAATGCGGTGAGTTCGTCCTGTCAGGGTGATCCCCACGACGATAGCCCAGAAACTCAAAACCTAAACTATCGTCGACTAGCATGCAAGAATGCTAATTTTGTCACCTGGGAACCATTTCCATAGGCTACTAGATCCGTTGACGATAAGTTCGGGAGGCAAAAAGGTGCACATCAAGCTACATCGTCATGACAAACTTGGACCTTGACATTTGTCCACCAGCTCAGAAAGCTTCCATCACACACCAAACGACCCCTTTGATGATTCTGATGCATCGTTTCAAGATATGAACGAAGACACTTTGCTTCACAAGATCCATGATAGAGGCTCATTTCAACCGAGAACATTTTCGTATTCATACTACTATATACGTTTCATGATCAACCATGTAATTACCATGATTGGGAGTTTCCGCTGTCTGATGAGGCCTGAGCGAGCTCAATGATCTTTAGCACATCCGCAGCATCATCTCCGCTGACGGGAACCTCACCCTCACCCTTCAATGCCTTAGCAAGGATACGGTAGTACTCGACGTAAGTAGGNGGTGGCTCGATGGAAGGCACAGTCTCGCGGTTGAACTTTCCGTCGGCAGCAGCCACTGTGAGCGTACCATGAGAGGACGAGGGCTCAACTCCAAACTCAGAATTGCTCAACTTGACACCAGCGAGAAGCTGAGGTTCTTGCACGTCCAGGTTATACTTCTTGAACGAGCCCTTGGTTCCACGGACCCAAAATCTCAGCTGGTCTTGCTCTGGGCTGATGGCAGAGCTCTTGACAGTGACGAGCATCTCATCCTCGGGAGACCCGTACTTAAGCAATACCGTGCATGCGTCCGGCGCGCAGTCACCAGTCTTGAGTCCCTTTTTNTGCACTTGAACGAAGCCAGTGACAGATTTCGGGGCTCCAAAGAGGTGGTAGACTTGATCGATCAGATGACTTCCAAGATCGTAGAGCGCGCCACTGGCTGGAGTAGCCAGAGTCTTCCATGTAGTGCGAGTGGGGGANTCGGGACGGAAGCGGTCAAAGTGCGTTTCAAACTCGGCAATCTCGCCCAGCTTTCCTGAAGCCAGTATCTGCTTCAGAGTAACAAAATCCTGATCCCATCGTCTGTTTTGGTAGACTGCTAGCAGGCGGTTGTTCTCCTTGGCCAGCTTGGTCAGTTCTCTGGCCTCCTTGGATGTCGGAACGAATGGCTTCTCGACAACGACGTGCTTGCCGCTCTCGATTGCCTTCTTCGTAAACTCGTAGTGTGTTTTCGGGATACTGGTGACAATGATCAGATCCACAGCCTTGTCAGCGAACAAGTCGTCGGCACTGCGGAACAGCTTGATCTCGGGATGATCGGCCGAGGCGTCATCGCCTGACTTTGGGCTACGTTGTACAATAGCATACAAGTTGTAGTCTGGAAGAGCCTGGATGAACGGGATGTGGAAGACCTTTGCACTCAGACCATAACCGATGATTCCCACGTTGATCTTCTTGTCTGCGGACATGATGAATGGCGAGCGATTTTGTGACTGATAGAGCGAACTGTAAGGGAAGTGATTGATGTTTTAGTGGATAGCGTGGTTTTATAGTAGTTGCAAGAAACGACTGTTCTCAATCACACGAAGTACCGGGCCGCAGTCGCCCTATGAAATATCGCGGCAGATAGGTGAGTCACAGAAGCAGATTTGAGAGGAAAGTGGTTGCGTGCTCTCGGAGAAGACGCGTCTGCTGCAAGTAGCCCTAGGCACGGATCGGTATACCTTCCGTTCCGAGCGATGACGACCTTGCTCTTTACACTCGGCTTGCATGTGAAGGTCTTCAGTTTTAACAAACAGTCAACGACGAACCTTCTATCCTATCTTCCTTTGCCGTCGACGTGGGCGCGTGCAACATGTCGTCGGCCCCGACCGCGTACAAAAAGCGCAATGGCACGCTGTCGGTCAGCGCAGACCGGACGTCGTTATTCTGGACCCCCTCCGAACCACCGTCCTCTGCACCCTCACTGACCATCGCTATCAAGGACATTACAAGTCAGTCTATTTCTGTCTTCCTATACGTATTCATATGACTGATCATGCATGCTANNGATCTCCAACAAACTCCTGCAAGCACCGCAAAGGTCGCCTTGAAAGTCGTCGTTTCGCCAGCAGAAGTCTCCAAGCCAGAGAACCATGTCTTTTCTTTTACCTCCGCCGCAGCACGACCCGAGCAAGAAGCAATCACCGACATTCTACGAAATACCATCGCCGCCATAAAGTCCGCCGAGCCAACAAAGCCTGCGCCAACACCCGCACCAGCGCAAGATGCATCGGCTCCTTCAGAAGCCATGGCTATGGCCCAAGCTGTGTCATCTACTGTCAAAACAAGTGAAAGCTGGTATGACGATGCACACCTCATTACCGATATTGAGCTGCAGAGATCATTACTGGAGGCGAATCCTGCCTTGAGACAACGCTTCAATGAGAGTCTAAGAGACAGACCAAAAACCATAACCATTACCCAATTCTCGACACAGTTCTGGTCAACACGTCTACACCTTCTACGCGCTCATGCCATTGAGAAGGCTCAAAATCAAGGCGATTACAATGTGTTACCCGAGATCAAATTCACGCGAGTCGCCGCCGAGAAGGAAGGCGAAGCTGACTCTTTGACGCTTAGTCTGGCAGGGGCCCAGATCAAACTGATTTTCAAGCAATATCCCATTGTCAGACAAGCCTACAACGAAAACGTTCCTCCAACCGATAGCAATACATTCTGGTCTCGATTCTTTATGAGCAGATTACTAAAGAAGCTAAAAGGCGAGAAAATCACAGACGCAGATCCACCAGATCCCATGTTCGACAAGTACTTGGGTTACCAAGAAAAGGGACCATCCAACATTGGCTATGTTCCACACTTTATTGATCTCGAGGGCAATGAGCAGAATCACAGTCAACGTCAAGGAAACAGACCCGACGAAACCATGCGGCCTGAGAAAGTGCCGATATTGAGGATTCTCAACAATTTGTCTGAAAAGATGATGGCTCAAGTGGCGCCAACAGACGGAGGAGCTCATGCACCCATTGGTATGAGCGAGGATGCATTCAACGAATTACGACTCCGAGACCTCCAGACTGAGGCTGGAGACAATCGTGTCGTCTTGAACATCAAAGATCAGCAACGTTTGCTGGGTGGTAAGCAACAAAACGGACTGTCAGCGGAAGCACGACTATATGCCAAGCAATCGCCTGAAAAGGTGCTTGAGCTGTTGCATACAGAGATGGCTTCCGCAGCTAGCATCAGCCTCAGCAAGGTGATTGGTATCCAGTCTGACAGCGAGGAATCGGACGACGAGAGCCGACCAAGCAAAAGAGCAAGGATCGGAAGCAAATCTGCACTTACACAGTCCACTCAAGAAATGCTGGCTTCAATCAGCAGACGCAGAATGGCAGCATCAGCCGATGTATCATCAAGAAGAGGTCTATCGCAGGCCACGTTTGATACGCTGAGTCTCACACACAACACGACAGTAGAGTTTCTGCACTACTTCTGGACCCTCTTCTTGTCTGGTGATGGGTCAAAGAGCAACGAGGTCGCAAAGCTGGTAGAGACTCTGGATCGATCAGTCGACCGCATCAAAATGGTGTCAGATCAGGCGGAGAAGGAGAAGTTGCAAGAAGCAGAGAGTCTTCAGAAGCAGATATCAACACTGAACCCCAGATCGACGAAGCGACGACGGATCGAGATAGAGTTGGAAAGGCTAGGCGGGNGGAAGCAGGCGGTGGAGGAAATGGTTCAGCCCACGATCAAAGCACTGGGCGAAGCGGCGGCACAATATCGCAAAGCATTCGAGGAACAGAGTGCACAAGCGGCGGGCTGAGCGGGCAGAGGCAGAGTGAAACTTGAGCTATAGCGGTTAGATGATAGCCAGGTTCAATGCAAGACAATCAATATTGATCAAAATCAACGTTCCTGCATGAGGTTAGAAGGGCGATAGAGTATGGCGTCGAAGGACGGAAGGCGGCATGCAGATAGCAGATGAAAGTGTGGGGACGAGCCGGGACGAGGCTGATAAGAGCGGGTTGCCTGGCAACGCCAGAAACATCAACAAGGCAAGTCGCTCACGGCGGCGGGGAAATGTTGTGCCAACAATGCAATTCTCAGCTCTCTTGATTTAAGCTCTAACAATCTCCTTCAAGCAAGCAGTACATGGATGAGAGAGTCAATGGGCAAGCTGGCGTCGACCACCACCCCTACCAAGCAGCACCCTCGTCGACCATCAAGATGCTGAAGTCAATCCTGCCCAAAGAACACAGACGATCAAAGTCAAAGGACCTCGGTCGAGTCGCCTCCAACACCGCCACCACTACACAGATGGTTCCTCTTCTGCCTCCCGACCATCCTCACTCGATCAGCCAATCCGCCGAGGATGGCCGTTCTGGCAGACAGGCCAAGAAGGAGAATGCTCCACCACACAAGCGCTCCAAGAGCACCGTGTCATTACGCTCTCTGGGCAGAGACAAGGAAAAGGACAAAGAGAAGAAGAGTCGAAAGGAAAGAGAAAAGGAGAAGCAGAGTCAGCGTGCCACAAATGACCAGGACAACCGCGACACGCGCAAGAGCATGAAGAAGACCAAGTCCTCCACCAGCCTCCGCGGCTTGTTTGGAAAAATGAACCGCTCGTCCAAGGACCTCAGCGACACAGTCCACGACAAGGAGAACCAAAGCCCGCCGCCCTCAGCCCTAGAGTCCACTACAAGCTCTGTCTGGCCCCAGAACCCACCCGCCCTTCAACAGCTTGACGCAGAGATCGATCGCTACACTCCCAAGGACTACACTCCGTCCAAACAACGCGACTTTTCCGCCTATGGCCAGCCCGCTCTTACGAGACCCTCCTCGTCTGGACGTCCCAAGAGTTTGGTAATGCCTGGCTCGACATCCTTTCTCGATATCCTCAATCGCCCTATCAGTCGTGACCGAGACCGTGCCCAGATGGACTCACGTGGAAGTACCTACTCGCGTGGCAGTCGCGGAAGCTTCGGAGAGGGCAAACACTCGTTCGATCGCAAAGTGAGCTCCAGCAGCAATGAACGACCTGCGCCGAAGCCTTTGGCAAACATACCCAAGCGCGGTCCAAGGGTCATGGCTGCTGTTGCCGCTTTTGACGAAAAGGCCAGAGAAAGTGTGACTACAAGGGAGGAACCGAAGCTGGATCCTAAGACTGTGGATGCCGCTTTCGAGGCCGTATTGGTGAATCAATCTCTCATTCCATACGTGTGTTCCATTTTGCTAACACGTATCTTCACAGNNGACTCACGCAACATCCCTGAAAATATGCGACAANAGATGCGTACTTTGACACTTCGTGTCAAGGCCGACTTCGTTAGACAAGACAAGGGTGCTCTCAGCCCTACTAAACCAGAATCTCGGCTTCCATTCTTTCATGACGAGCCTGCTCAGCAACCGGCTGTCGAATCCGGCGAAGAAGAGGTGAAGGAGGATCTCACAAAACGGTCAAGATCAAGAAGTAAGACTTTCACACTGACCAGAAGTGATGGCACTGCGAAGAAACAAAAGCCAGACAGCCGACCCAACTCGATTCATATCCCAAGATCATCAGGAACTCTGCCCAGACATTCTGTCCCTACATCACCTGGCAGAGGCTCACAAGCTGCCTGTCCCGATGAGTTTGTGGCTTACTTGGAAAATGTTCGCGATCCCGTCCAGATGGAAGTCGGCCGTCTACACAAGTTGCGTCTCTTGCTTCGAAATGAGACTGTTGCTTGGGTTGACAACTTCATATCACTTGGTGGCATGGCTCAAGTTGTGGATCTGCTCCACCGCATCATGCAGATTGAATGGCGCGAGGAGCATGAAGATCAACTACTCCATGAAGCACTGCTCTGCTTGAAGGGGCTTTGCACTACCGAAGTTGCTCTCAAGGTCCTTTCTACTTTGGCTGATGCTCTATTCCCTAAACTCTTGGCTATGCTTTTTGACGAAGAGAAGAAGGGGCCGAGTGAGTTCACCACCAGAGGCATAATCGTCAACATTCTTTGTAAGTCAAAACCAGCCTTCTCTGATGTCCAAGACTAATGTCAATCCCTAGTTGCATATTTGGGTGCAGCGCGTAACAATGGACCATACGACCTTGCTCAAAGGGCTCGTGTGATTCTGGCCTATCTTGCAGATCCAAAGAAACCCGAGGAAGCACAACCAGTATCCTTTGTGCTCAGCATGCGACAATCTCGACCGTACAAGGTGTGGTGCACAGAAGTCAGCAACGTGACGAAGGAAGTATTCTGGATTTTCCTACACCACCTCAATGTCATACCACTTCCGAAGAAAGAGACTCTGGATGGAAATGGCTCGGCGCCGACACGACCAGATGGAACCACAACACCTGGTCAAAGCTATGCTCAGCGTTTCTTCCCAGGAGACCGACCACCCGTTCCGGCTGCTCCCTATGTCGGTGGCGTCGAGTGGGATGCAACTACATACATGACAGCTCATCTTGATCTTGTCAATGGCCTCATTGCATCACTTTTGACCAGAGAAGATCGCAACCAGCTGCGTTCCGAGCTCAAGACCAGTGGTTGGGAAAAGATGATGGGTGGCACCATGCGTACTTGCAAGGAGAAGTTCTACTGTGGTGTTCATTCTGGTTTGCAAAACTGGATAGCCGCCGCCCAAGCCGATGGATGGGACATCGACTACGTGCGATATGGTCCAAGCAAGGAAGAGATGGCTGCGTCGAGTCCAAAGAAGAGTCCGAAGAAGACGGAGCCGCCTCCACAACTTGGTCTTCCCATCATACAGATGCCCAAGCTAACACTGGGATTGGATCGATCCAACTCGACGCCTGCCTTTAACGCCAGTAACGATAATGATGGATGGTTGCTTTGAGAAAAATAGCGACTTTGGGAGGGTTTTACGATTGCTTTTTTGATCTTGTCTTCTTTCTTTCCATTCTTGTAAGGCATTTTAATGGTGTTTCTCGGACAGGGCTTCATGGTGGCGTTATGAGTGTACATGTCGGGAGGAAAGGAGAGTCTCAGGAGTATGCACGTATCGAGTGCAAAGTCTGGTAGTATGTTAGGCTTTCTATATATCTAAGCTCCTCCTCTATTGCATGTTCCTCCCTACCAGCTAGTCAGTTGAGTCGAGCGGTCAAAGCCTCCTCGAAGCTGCTGTCCAGGCTTGACCACCTTGCCTTGCAGAATAGTGTAGCGAACGAGGTTCTCGCAGTCCTGAGGCTTGATCCTGGCCAACCATATGCACTGGGCGGCCTCATTCAAGGGCTTTCCATCGGGCGACAGGCGTCTTCTGTAGATCAGAACGTTCGCAGAGTATTTGTGGCCACCGACGTGGTTGATGAAGTAGATTCCAGCGCCTCCTGGACGTTCGTCGTCAAAGTCGCGGGCGAGTCCCAAAGGCCGCAAGTGTCTTTCGAACTCTTTCTTGAGCAGTGGAGCGGATTGGCCACATCTAGCATCTCTTGTTGCGTGGGAACACAGCAAGATCAAGTAGTTGTGAGGGCAGTCTCTCAATTCCAGACCTGCTGGCAAGGGCGTCACTGTCAGAGAGTTATCAGAGGCAGGATCGGCGAAGGGTGTCGTATTTGTTGGAGCAGTGTTGACGCAATGTTGGATGAGGTCTGGCACAGCGGCGGGAGTGACATGATCGATGAACTTGAAGGCAGGGAGAAGTAGAACAGTCGTGCGAACCTGGCCATCGGGGTCTGAGTGCGAAGTGTGCGGTACAGGCATGTTGGAGGCCGAAAGCATCATCTTNCTATAGAGGCATTAGCGGTGTCTTGATGTCATGAGTGGTAGGCATCGACTTACGCCATTTGTGGGCTCTTCTGTCTTTGCTACGGCCTCCATGACGCTGCCCTCCTCGTCGGCGACGTCGCGTACCCAGTCCGTCTTTCCAGTAGCGACAATCAGGTGAGTGTTCCAGCCATTGATGTTTCCGTAGAGCTTGTCGTCTTCATCAATCTCGAACTTGCGGGGGTATTTGATCGAACATGATTCGCAATCGTGTAGACAGTCGTCGCCGTCGACAGCGGGGTCCGTCTTTGTGAAGAGAGAGTCGACGTTCTTTGCCTTTCGGAAGTCCGACGACGGTGTAGGCGTGAAGCGATACGACAGGTTTCGGAGGAGTGAAGCCATTTTGTTTCTCGTCATGTTGATTCGGAGGGGGACTATGGACCTTTATCAGATCTCGCTTCCGATTGCCGACGCGACTCCCGCCCGTCATGTCATCGTTCCCGATCAACATGATAAACTCACGCACCTTTGAACTTGTTGTTCTGCTTGCACTTGTGAGTGGCATCAAACAATGTGAAGTCTGGCCTCGAAAACTGGTCGAGAAGCGACAGCACGAGATGACTGCCTACCTGCTGCCTCTTTATCGCACCTCAACTCGGACATCGGCGCGGATACCGAACTCGGGCTCGGACTGAGATTCCTTGCAACACGCCCAATCAATTTTCGAATACAGCCCCAATCAATCAGAGTACCTTATGCGCTTAGATGGCTCCTTCAAAGGTCAAGTTTCTCACTGGTGCTCCTGTCACCTCTGCACTGAACTGGAGTGATGAGGGCTTGCTCAATACATTTTCCTCAGCACTGCAAAGACATCTGGATGCCCATTCGGGTCCTCCACCTACACCTGCGCCTACTCGACCAGTAGCCAGATGGAGATCAATCTTCCTGGCCCCAAACAAGACCTTCCACCAAAGTCCCGTCTTGCCTCGAAGATTACCACAGGCCAACATAAGGACACTGCCTCGTCAGATCCACAACCTGATAGAGGACCATGATGATGACTTTCTTGACCACTCTTTCGCTCTGGAGGCAGATCTACAGTCCTCTCAGATTGCTCCTCACCACCAAAGTCCAGGGGCTGATGCTGAAGAAGCGACTTTCATGACAGACGACTCGGTCTATTCGACATTCATGGACGGGCTTGACACCACTATCATGTCCACCCAACCTTCCCTCAGAGAAGACTCTGGACCCCGATCAGGCGCAGCATTCAGGCCTGTCGGACCCATCATGAGCATCAAGGCCATCCCAACTGCCGATTATCTTCAACGTATACAGCCTCAAACCATGACTGTGAACTTACTAGTCGGGATCATCAGCATAGCCCCTGCCAGGACAGTGACAACGCGCAAAGGTGGTCATGACATGGACATCGTCGAACTCACAGTCGGAGACGAGACCAAAGCAGGCTTCACCATTAGTTCATGGCATCTAGCCCAAGACTCTCAGCAGAGCCACAAGGTCGAGGACAAGTCACGCAACGTCCTCTCATCACTACGTTCACAAGACATTGTACTTATCGAACGAGTGGCACTAAGCTCCTTCCGCAATGCAGTCTTTGGCCAATCTCTTAATCGCAGAGCGACCAAGAACACTACCGCAATCACAGTCCTGCACAAAGCACACGACTTCCGCGCAGACAGCGCACAGCAGTCTACTTTTCCTCTGGCCGTGGAGAACAAACTCGAGCGAGTCCGCGACTGGGTCTCAGTCTTTGTCGGTGCTACCAAACGCAAGGCGCAATCAGAGCCTTTGCTACGAGCTGGTCCCAAGAAAAGGGAANAGGGTACCCATATCGAAGAGTTTCTGCCAGCCGACTCTCAGCCTTGAGGAAGAGTAACGGTGTATATCGTGTCTGCAGTCTTGAGACCCGCCAGGGCCGAGCGACCTACTCACAAGGTCTCTGTTCACTAGCCACACACTGCTCTACTCCAACCGCTACAGCGCTCATCCTCATCGAAGCAACAGAATCTGGTTTTGCTCTCCGATTGTTCACATTGCCAACGACAGGAAGGCAAGAACGTCGGGCAATTGAAGAACGTCACGTGTATCAATCATATTTACTAGCCGAATCGAGCGATCCATCGCGGGAGCTCTTGCACTCAGGGACCAGTGAAAGGACGACATCGCAAAGCACCTGAAAAATCACGTGAGTCGCATCTCTCTCGTCTCTCAATGGTGTTAGCATGCAAAGATGTTGGCATGGCCTAGCTACTGCATAGATGGCAGACAACAGCGAGAACAATGGACAATTTCGAGACATTGCGTGAGCAAGGTCGGTCGTGTCAATGTCAACTTCCCGGTATCGGTCACTATCAGTATTCATTCGTCCCTCTGCTTGACGTGATCATTGCTGTAAAACATTGAATCTAGAATGCGGCTTGTGCTTGTGTGTACTTCTACATGTTGTACGTGGTAAGGTATTGAAGTGGAGGGATATAGTACATGAAAGCGAAAGAAGGAATATCGTGAAAAAGACGAAACTTTTCTACTGGCGACCCAAACCATATTTCTGAATCGTCTCCTGAATAGAATTCCACTTCAGATCTTGGATGGTGACCCCNTCCTCTTCTCCCTGCTGAATGACGACGGTAGGGGCACCACTGCCACCGCCAGGGTTCTTTACCATACCGCCAAAGACTTGACGAGCGACGTGACGGAGCTCAGGGATCGAGACCTTGTCGATGCGAGCGATCATGTCCTTGACGGGTACCTTGCGGCCGTGGACCTGGACTTGACGACCCAGGTCCTCGAGCTCGACCATACGGCTCTCGAGATTCATAAGCAGACTGCTCTTGAGCTGGTTCTTTGCACGCTTGACTTCACCCTCGGTAAGACGACCAATGCCGGTCTCCTTGCCCAGGTTGGCGAGTTGTAAGCACATGACTTGAAGCATGTGGTTGACGTAAGGGGTAGCGCATGCCGCACTGATACCGAAGATGCCGCTGTCGGTGTAGGCGTGGTTGAAGGCGACGCAGTTTTCGACCCATCCGTGCTGGTTCAAGACGTTGGTGTACAGACGACTGTACATGCCCTTACCAGGACCACCAGCAGAGAAGGAGCCACCACCTCCAAGAAGAGTTTGCAAGGTAGCAAGAGCGTAGATGGAGTCTGAGTTGATGGGGAGAGACTCAAAGGCAAGGTGGATATACGATAGACGAGGGAGCGCAGGGTTTGGAGGGATGGGAAGGTTTGGTAATGTGAGGAAGCCACCGGTGTAGTGAGCAGGTGCGGAAGTGTCGACGGGAACATCGAGAGGGTGGGGAATGATCTGGGAAGGGTCGAGAGGTGAAACAGTGGCCGACTGGGAGGCAGAGGTGGAAAGGTTCTTGAAGAAGGGGATTTTAGAACTGAGGGTCGACTTCTGCTGTGGTTGCGGCGACTTTTGGGAAGTAGGTTCTGTCGTTGCGAGCTTCTCGGCCTTCATGTCGCCAAAGTGTTGTTCGGCCAGCTCGACGGCTTGATCGTGCTCGACTCCGGCAAATGCGACAACCAGTCTCTCGGGACGGAAGAAGGCGCGGCGGTAGGCGTCGACAGTACGCTTGTTGATGCTTCCTAGACGATCGGCGGGACATAGCAGAGGGTTTCCAAGAGTGTTGTCCTTGTATGCAGCCATGTGAACCAACTCGGGCAGGATGAGGTCGGGCTTGCTCCAGATCTCTCCAATCTCGTACTCCGCTGTCTCCAGCTGGCGCGAGACCTCTTCATCGGTAATCAAAGGGTCGCGAATGGTCTCGGCGAGGAGGGCGGTGGCCGTGGGTACTGCACTGTTGAAAGTGGCGGCCTGGTACATGAGGGATTCGCGAGACGAAGCGCATTGGATGTTGCCACCTAGGGATTCGATCTCCTCGAGCATGCTATCAGCGCTTCGTCGTGATGAAGACTTGAAGGCCAGTCGGTCGATAATGTGCGAGACACCGCGAAGGGCATCGTTTTCGTATCGCGAACCGGCATCGACGTAGACACCAATGCCAGAGAAAGCACCAGGTACGGCTTCGCTGGCAACTCGGACGCCATTGGAGAGGGTTGTGACTTGGTCGAGGTCGGCTGGGTCCTGAAGAAGATGGGCGTTACTAAAAGCNGACGGTTGGAATGCGATGCGCTCTCTCGAAGCCTATGAGATGTGCCTACCTTGGTGACTCCGTCTACCGAGGCAAAAGTGCGACGCGACACATGGCGAGACAAGACGCGGCTAGTGGAGCGCGGTATGGCTCTACTTAGTCGCAGCATGATTGGATATTATGACTTTTTGGTAGAAGAGGCTTTCTAGAAGCATGCATGGGCTATTCTGTCATTGCTGCTGAAAGTGTTTGGCGAATGTGCAAACCCCTCGGCCCCCAGACTTCCGTCTTCGGCGTCTATCTGGCGGCTGACGCCTCTTCCGAATCTCTACAGGTCTGGATCCATGCAACATGTGATGCATCACGCGTGCAATTCTCTGTCTGTTGGCTGCTGGGATGCCATCTGATTCTTGTGTTGTCGGAGTTGTGGTTTCACGACTGCCGAGAAGGATGTCGAGTCAGTGTTGGAGCTAGAAGACGGGTTGCAGGATTAATCGAATAGTGACAAGGCTAGAAGCCCATAACGCACCGTCGAGAGCGTTGCTGCATTGACTGCACCAACTATGTGAGCATGTCACTCTATCGCCTTGGGCCTGCGGGTGCGGCACACACGCGACTCTCTCCTGTCTCTCCTCGCCCTCCTTCCCTACTTCTTTGTCGCCGTCTTTGTCTTGTACCTTTCCCTCCAGGACTCGATTGCCGTGACTCGGGCTTCCTACACTCTGCAAGCGTGATCGTCGACGGCAGTGACATAATAGAGACGCCTCTTTTTGCGCTGACAGTGCCAGCGCCCGCTCGACTTCGTTTCACGTCTCTTTGTCTTGCCAATATCACACAATGTTTGGCAATTATTCACCGGCCGCCGCGTCGCTGTCGACCGTTAGTTCAGCCACCAACTCGCCCGCTACGCCCGCTTCTCCCACTCGTCCTTCCCGGCTCCGCGGTCTTTCATATCTAAGAAGCTATACCCACAACCATCTGCACTCGAATTCCAACAACACTCCAACAAACCAATCCAACAATCTCTCGACCACCCCGTCTCCTGCTCGTCCTTCTACTCTCAGCCGAAGCACCAGTTCCCCGCCCGTAGCGCACGCGAGACGCCGCCGAGTCCCCCACTTCGTAGCGATACCACCGCAAACGGCTGGGTCCCTACTGTCGCCGGCCAAAGTGCCTTGTCCAGGCTCGCAACCCAACCTCAATCCACCAACTCCGAGTCGCCCACGCCCAACATGACCCGTACACGAGCTGCCACCGTCAGTCAGGATGCCCCTGCTGCCGACAACAACCCCGCTCCGGCTATCACTTCGTCCACCGATAGCCCCGCTACCGAGTCTGTTACTGCGCCGTCCACACAAGCCACAACCACCGAGAAGAAGGAAGCCCCGACTATTCGTTTCATTCCCCACCATGAGCCCCGCGCTTCGAGACCATCCCTCACCTTTCCCATCGTTACTCGCACAATCGCCGCTGCTGGTCAGCGGGTCAAGGTTGGCAGATACTCTGAGAGAGACCAGGCAGCCGATTCTCAAGCAAGCGCAAAAACTGCAGCCCCTGTCGGTTTCAAGAGCAAGGTTGTCAGTCGCAGGCATTGCGAGCTCTGGTGCGACAATGGCCAGTGGTTCATCAAAGACGTTAAGAGTAGTTCCGGTACTTTTCTGAACCATGTGCGCCTGAGCAGTCCAGGCATGGAGAGTCGTGCGTACCCTCTCAACGACGGTGATATCGTCCAGCTGGGTATCGACTTCAAGGGTGGAGAAGAGGTCATCTTCCGTTGCGTCAAAATTCGTATCGAGTGCAACAGAGGCTGGCAGAAGAGTCTGAATCAGTTCAAGTAAGTCTATCCCTTTGCCGGAGAATACATGGCCCAGGATTGCTAACCATCACNNAGCACTGCAACACACAAAAATATTCTAAAACAGGCAAAGGTCAATAACGCCAAAGACAGCGACGCTCAATCAACACATAGCTCCGAGTGTTCGATCTGCTTGAATCCCGTCGCTCCATGTCAGGCACTCTTCGTTGCTCCCTGCTCACACGTCTGGCACTACAAGTGTGTTCGCACTCTCATCTATCCTAGCTGGCCGAGCTTCCAGTGCCCCAATTGTCGTGCGTACGCTGATCTGGAGGCCGATGTGGAACCCCCAGAAGAAGAAGACTATGAAAGCGAAGGTGTCGAGGACGCCATCCAAGCTTCAACGAGCGCCCAACCAGAACCCGAACCAGAATCACTTCCTGCGATAGAGACTGGTGATCTCGAAGACGAAGACTTGACCGCCATGATGAACAGTGTCTCCATGGGCTCAACCTCAGCATCACACAATCCTTCGGGCACAGACTCGAGCTCGGAAGGTGAAGCTGGACCTTCGCGGGGCTCAATCTCTCAGCCTGTACCCATCATCGCTTCCACCAATGCACCGGTAAATAGAAATTTGCCCGACTCCATCATGGCACGGTCAGCCACGCCCACCTCTTCGGCACCATTTGCTCTGGCCGCGGCTACCTTGGCACCCATGGGCGACGGACAGAACACGCCCATGAACGACGCTGGTCCGTTTGTCTTTGACAACAATTCGAGACGTGCCACTGCACAACGAAATATTACAGACATATCTCGGGAACCTGTCCACGAGCAACCAGAGGAGCATTCTGCGCCATAAGAATCACCCTCCATCACTTCCCATCATACCGACACGGAACTCCAGCTGGAAGTTTGAACATTATTAGTCTATGATTGTCGATAAAGCACGTCGGGTATCTATGTTTGCTTTTTATTTTTCTTACATGGCTGCTCTATATCTTCAAATCTCGTTCTAGCGAGCTGGGCGAAGGGACTGGGGAAAGGAGGCATACCCAAAAACAAAAGCTGATCTTGAAGAAGGAGACTGTCCTGGAATGCACTCCTCCTTTCTTCGCTACTTTTTCTAATCTTTGACATGAACTTCTAATCAATCTTTGCTTATACTCTGCTCCCTCTGCAAGTCCAACCATGGTGTCCGTGTCTTGCTGAAATCCAAAGTTGAAGGGAGTCGAGCAGCGCGATCTTCATGTAACTAGTTGATCATGTGACAAGTGGACATAGCATTTCTCCATACACTTAGCGAACTCATGTCTCCTGGACGGTCGATGATATCAGAGAAGGATACGGCTAGCAGATGTATGCTCTCATATCTATTCTAGGAATTTCTGCCTATCAAAATCGCAGCTAACATGCAACCAGAGCGTTCCAGGTATGCCAATCTGATAGTAGCCTCCAGTCTAGAGTTTGCTCTTGCCGATTCCCCATAGCTGTGCCTCGGGGTTGTTCTCTTTGGTCCCNACGGTGCCGTGCTCGCTCTTCGGGTTGGCCGAAGGATCTTGGATGGGCTTTCCTTCCATATCACTTTCGGGGAGCTCGTCAACATATAACGACTTTGCCTTGTTGATGGTGTCCAAGGCTTCGCGCTCGATACGTGTGATGAGGTCTGCACATGTCGGGATATCGTGAATCAATCCGATGACCTGGCCAGCGGTCCAAACCNNTAAATATCTCGGCGTCAATACAAACACCTTTGAAGAGTCGTTGGGGTCACTTACACCATGCTCTGGGTCTCCGTTCAAGAAGACCTCTCTGCCTCGTTTGCCACTGACATACGGAGCGACCTCTTCGAACTTGCCTGTCGGACTTTCTCTTTCGATCTTGATGGCATCTCTAGCAACCTTGTTCGAGAACATCCTGCTGGTGTTCTTCCATCGTCTCAGGACAAGCTCGGTATCCGTCTCTTGGGCTTTGACGATCGACTCTTTGATGTTTTGGTGGATCGGAGCTTCGATCGTGCACATGAATCTCGTGCCCATGTTGATACCTTCGGCTCCGAGCGAAAGCGCAGCAGCGAGACCCTGGCCATCGGCAAATCCGCCCGAGGCAATGAAAGGAACGTTGAGTTCTTGACGAGCTCTCGAGAGTAGAATGAAGTTTGTAATGTCCGTCTCTCCAACGTGTCCAGCACATTCCATTCCGTCAATGCTGAGGAAGTCGACTCCGAGCTTTATGGCGGACAAGGCGTGACGTACGGTGGTACATTTGTGTAGGATGATGGTGGGAGGGTTGGCGGCTTTTAGTTGTTTGATGACGGGTGCAGGGTTGTTGCCTGCTGTCTCGACGATCCGGATGCCTTCTTCGATTATGACACGGGCGTAGGCAGGGTAATCCGGAGGTTGGAGGGCAGGGAGCAGAGTCAAGTTTACACCAAACGGCTTCGAGGTCATCTTTCGACATCTTCGAATTTCCCTGCGAGTTGTTAGCCAGTGCAATCATCTGACCAGTTGTCTGTATAGAGAGTCTCCTACTTTNCTCAAATCTTCAGGTGTAGGCTGGGTGAGGGCAGTCAAGATACCCAAACCTCCTGCATTCGAGACGGCACTGGCGAGCTCTGCATAGCCCACCCACATCATACCTNNGATCATTGTCAGTAAGTAGCCATACTTCTTTTATAGGAATTCAGAATGCCGCATACCTCCTTGGACGACGGGGACTTTGATCCCGAGTTTACGAGTAAGAGCAGTATTGAAGGGCATTTTGAGTTTACTTCCTAGTATCTGGCTCCGGAAAGAGATGTACAGTCTCGAAAGATTACATCTTGTATGTTTGTGTGATGGTAGTGCCAAAGGACACCCCTCAGGAAGGCGCGCATCATGCCTCGGCTCGTTTCGGCCCGAGCCCTTGCATGTGACAGACGCTCAGACAAACACCTCCGTACTTTGGCATTATCTGTGTGACAATCGGCTTGATAGTTGGCATGACTCGACTTGGAGACGATGAGGAAGTGAAATTACAGTTGAATTTGCCAAAGAGAAGTCATATGACAGTGTTGTAGGGAAGAAGAGAAGAGTAACAACCCGCTCGCTTCTCGAACCGATACTCCTCCAAGCAGTAGAGAACAGAAGACAATTTGACCAATCAAATTGTCGAGTGATAACCTACAAAGAAAAGGACGTCACCAGGACTCTCACACATCACCAACAGTTGCGTCTATGCTGCCCGACACCGTGCCCAAGTCCATGGCACTGCTAGCTTGCCCCTTTTGAGCAATTACATGAGCTCCAACAGGCCCTGACCATCTTTTTAGCACCTCGACATCTTTTCCATGAAGTTTGACACTTCCTGACATTGTCACAGCCTCAATCTTTCCCTCCCATTGCTGAGGATATTGTATGCGCAGGCTTCCAGACTTGGTCTTGTGAACACCTCTCAGATGCCCCATAACGTTTTGCGGGTCCTCATAAGGCGGCATCACATTGACACGAATCCCTCCTCCAGCAGATTCCGTTCGAAGCCAACTTCCAGTGCTGTTTGCGGAATAGGGCAGAATATCGACGCCAATTGAGCCGCTGGCTGTGCTAATATCTGTGTTGAGGCCATGGATATAGCTTCCATGAATGGACCCACTTTTAGTCTCAACCTTGGTGTGATACAATCGAGGTGGAATATCCGCAACCGCGTTAGACATTGGGAAGCTGGCCTTGATACTTCCAGACTCGCTGGTTGCCACAAAGGAAGCAGGTCGAGGGGCGGTTGGGCTTTCTGGTTTCGGTTCGACATCTATGTTGATGCTTCCTGACGCTGTTTTGATTGACAGGAGATCCTTGAGAGCAAAGCGGCCACTGACACCGCCCGAAACAACATCTATACGAGTTTCTCGGCCACTCTCCCAGTATGCAGCCGAAAGAGATCCCGAGACCGCGATGAAATCGGTATGGTTACTAATGTAGTATAGACCATTCTGACCAGGCGATGAAGGTTCGAGAGATTGTGAGAAGAGACCGGGGTCAATCTTGATGTCGAGATGCTCAGTCGCGATTTCCAGATGTTCGAACTGAGCACCTGGTCTGATCCAGAGACTCATGTCAATCTCCATGCAAGCCCTCTGATAGCTTGGCAAGGAAGAAGGCGCATTCAGGCGTAGGCTCTCGCCTGTATAATCGACATTAAAATGTAATTCTTGGGCGGCTGTTGATTTTGCGACTCGCATCTCCATCAGGAGTGGGTTTTTCTGGTCCTCTGCTCCGAGCAAGATGCGGATCTGGCCGTTGATGTCGCTCGAGGGGTTGTGTGCTCCTTCTGTAATCTCTACAAAGCTGAAGCTGCGCGGCGATTGGAAAGACCAAGTCTGGCGATCGCTGATGGATTCGTAATTGCACCTCCAATAGTGAGGGAAGCCGTCGGCGGGAGAAGGGCTGTTGCCATCACTGTTNCTGTGCCGTGCGTCAATGGTAGACAATGTGAAGAGGTTCAAACCACTACTTACTGAATCACCACTTTTATCATGCTTGAACGTCGTTACTGTCGTAAGTGCAACAAGAGAAAATGCGAGAACAAATACCAGACATGCAAGTGCCTTTCGGTTGGTCAAGAATCTGCGCTTCTTAGTCACTTTTTTCCCTTGCTCGGCATCTCGTCCTGGGTCGCCTATGCTCTGCGGCTCTTCAATTCTCGTATGGGCTGGTGTGGTCGCATCCTCATGGCGTAACTGATCTGGTTGGGCACTATTTAATTCATTCCGAGCGATGTACGGAGGGGTGCCGTACAGTCTTGTCACATCGGCATAGGCTGGAGGTGGTGGTGAGGTGCTCAAGAGTGGTGTTCTTTCGCTCAATCGTTCTCGGTTCTTTGGCCCAGCATGGCGTCGTGAGGCTGGTGCGGCTGAGGGTGCTTCTTCGTCGAGGTCAGAATAGTCCGTGTCGTCGTCGTGAACTGGCGACACCATTTTGTCGCACGTGCAGCTTTTTGAAGCGGCATCTCGAAGAATGAGTCGCGCGCCGTGATAGTATTATTAAACATGTCAGACAGCCACCTCGTGACAGCCATTTTGATTGCACCATCCCCCGCTCTCACTTGTCCAATGGCATGGCCCGATAAGGAAGGCGTTCTGCATCCTTTTGATCCTTCCGGCGATAACGAGCCGCTCTAGCATATCACCGCCGGCACTCTTAAACCCTCACAGCACTTTTACATTTTCGACTTCGCGAAAAACAAATGCTGAGCAGCTTGAATCTGTACTCTCATTCAATGTTACATAAGGAAGGGGTATCATATAGAAAGAAAAAGTGGCTAATCATAATAGTCCTTTCATCAAAAGCCCAACTCATCATCGCTGATATCTACAAACTGATCGCTGGCTCGTTTGGTTGGAAGTGAGATCTTACTGAGGGATTTTGGTGGCACTGCTTTCCTGGCAACTGGTACCTTCTGCCTTGGCTTGGAGCAACTCATGGCCAGCTCATCAATCTCACTCTCGGACGAATCGGATCGTTCCTCTTGGGTATAGTCTTTTTCTGGAGATCGAGATGCTTGCTGGGCTGCTCTCAAACCCGTGGATGCGACTTTTGGCTTTATCACTATCGTGGCCTGGCCTTTTCTCCTCTTCGCTGGCCTTTCCACTATCTCCAATGTCTTTTCAGACACAGTAATCTGACCACCAGTCTTCAGAGGTTTGGCAACAGTTTGGACTGCATCTGAAGCTCTGCTCTGAGGAGCGAGAGGCTGTGGAGATTGCCTGGCTGGAGATGCACCTTGTGACTTGATTGTAGCTCTGTGTGCCTCGAGATCAATTTTGGGGTAGTAGGGCGTCTCAGAATCAAAACCTAGCACATCCGGTGACGCTAGCATGGCCGATATGCTGATGACCTTGCGTTGGGGTGTCGGTGTTTCCTTGACTTCGCTGAGGTAGCCGCTGTCGTCCAGGTCACTGTCTTGATCAGAAGAAGAAGAATTTGAGTGGCTCCTGGTTGCCATAGCAGTAATTCTCTGGGCCTTCCTCGTGCGTAACGGTGATGCGACAATCCACTCACACAGACCTTCTTCCCATCGTAGTCCTTGTTCTGCAACGTGAGCATCCATGGAGTGCGAGGCAATGGCTGTGGTCTGGTCACTCAGAGGCTTTTGTTGTGCCATGGCAGCCTCAACGTCGCTCAAGAAGTGTCGGCTCCTTTGTGTGGCAGAGGTCTTGGCAGAGAGCAATGAACTCTCCATTGCCCATTGTTTTAAGAACGTCTTGGTCGTATGGGAGCCATCTTGAGGGTCTTCCATAAGTGATCGGACAAGGCTTTCCAGATAGGATTGACTGTCCATGTGCAAGCTCTGTTCGCAGCATCGAGACAGATTGACAAGAAACGAAGCAGCACGCTCAACCATCGACTGAGTGCGGTCTGAGCCATTGTTTCCATGTACTGTAACCATTCCTTGTAAGATGTCCTCTTGCTTGAGTGAGATTTGGTTTGTGCTGTTCCTGTCACGTTTGACACTCAGAATGAGGCTGCTTGCAAGAAGAGTGAAGCACACTGTCCGCTGTTGAACTGGACTCTTCGCATTAAATTCGTGTTCAGGGGCTCCTAGCCTCCCGAGTACGATGATCGAGAGGCGTGCGAGGAGAGATTCAGCAGCGGTGCATCTTTCCGAGCTGTCATTAGGATCGTGTGTGTTGCGCTCTATCAAGACGATCGCCGTGAGCACAGTAACGATGCTGACTGTGGTATTGCTGAGTGACATCTCCAGTTTCATCCAAACATCCAGGTTACCCTCTGGCTCCTGTCTTTTCACGTCTTTCTGTACCAATTCTGCTCCTGAGACCTGAGAGATGCGGCCCTGGAGGAAATGCAGAATATGACCAAAATCTCCAGATTGTGAAGCTAGCGCTCTAATCATGCCACTCGACAGGCTGACCACATCCCGGGTCGCAAACCATGAAATCTTCAAGCGACCAGAAGAAAATAGCGTATCAAGAAGGCGAATAAACGTCTCATTCTGGGCGTCGGCTGGTTGTATCATCGTCAGGCTTGAAAGACACCCATTGAATAGACGAGAGTCCACACCAAGAGGGCGTTTGAGCGGCAAAGATTGGGCGTAAGCAAGGAGCAGGTCTTCCGACGTTTTGTGCAGACCATATTTGGCAGGTATCCTTGCAAGTTCTGCCCTGGTCTCTGTTGCTACAAGCTTTTCTCTAATAATCTCATGGACAAGACTGACACCATGTGCAATTACTGCTTCGCGCAAGCCTGGCCATCCATGTCCTTGAATCGAGCCGAGATCCTCTAGTTCCTCGTAGACCTCAGCAGAGACGTCTGTGTCGTCATCTTCGTCGATGCTTTTGCGCCAGTTTTCTTCTGCTCGGATATAGTCCGGAACTCTCCGTAAGCACATGCTGAGGAGCGATGAAGCTCCCCCTTCGTGGTGTGGCNNTTCCTCAGAGTCTACGGAGCTCGTCCTCTGCAACAACAATGAGAACCCGTCTGTGACTCCTTGGTGTAGCTCAAACGTTCTTTCGTAGTTCTGTCTACCTTGTAGTTCGATACTCTGCTTTGCAGTCGGCGCCCGGGTAAACGGATCCTTTCGTTGACGTTTACTTGTCAAGGGTATAGCTCTCGAAGCACATGGACTATTCGAGGTTTCGAGACTAAAGATGCCGTGTTTGATGGGAGTCCCTCTCCTTAGCGCGCGTGCCTTGAAAGGAGTCGGTAACGAGACCAAACATGCTTGAGGGCTATTAATCTGGCCAGATGGTGATTTGGAGTGGCGATGGCCCGTCGAGTACTTCTTGAGCTGACATTTGTTGCTTTGGCCTGGGGGTAACCATGTAGGATCCAAAGATGTAGTATTGGTGTTTGTGCGGACAGCTTCCTGTCCAGGAAGATCTTGTTTCTTGACTGCAGGTAATAATTCTTCTTCCACGGTTTTTCGAGATGGTTCGGAGTTCAAAGTGTACTGGTGTCTTTTCAATGGCGCGATCCTAGAAGCAATTGGTCTTAGAAGTCGTTGACATTTTGCGGTCGTCCAGAATTCACTGCCACTTTGTCGCTTCCTTTTACGGTCCATCTGGCGAGGTAAATATGCTCTATGATATTCCTGGAAGCATACTCTGGTATCGCTGCTTCTTAATTCATGTTGTGAATGTCGGTTTGTAATTGATTGTCGAGACGAAACTTCTTTGCACCCAGGACAGCGCTGGCTGACATCAATAAACAAACAACCGGACTTCAACCCCACCAGTGCATGTCTTGGCGAGCGCATTCAATCATCTTTGCCGTCCTTGTCTTCTTCCTTTTCCTCAACCTCGAAATTAATCAGTTTCTCGATAGCACCTTTCGCATTACGTGTAGTGACACGATATTTCCCTCCGTCNCTGGCGAAATTGTGTTAGTGGTGTGCCAGGAACGAGAAGCAATATTGACTTACCCATAGATCCTTAATGGTAAGCTCGCGAGTACGTCCCAAACTTTCAATAGCAGAAATACGGTCTAGGGTTGCCTCCAAGTATTCGTCGAAGCCCNNCTGTGAATTCGTTAGCAAATCATGTGGTATTTTTGAGAACATTCAAACTCACTCTTCGGCACAAATCTCCCGGAAGGCGTTCATCATGGGTACTGAATCAGCTCTCACCATAGCCCTGCTGTCAATGGTGAAAATGTTGATGGCATCATAGCTTTGAATGAAGTCGGCTCGCGTCATGATCTGCCTCGCTTTGTGCAAAGGTATTTGAGGGAGCATATGACCCTTTTCAAGGTCGTACTCGAGTTTGTCCTCCTTCTCCTTGTCTACCAGAGCTTTTGCTAGAACCATCGCAGCTGANCTTGTGCACTATTAGCAAAGTTAGAGCAGGGCGGATGTGACACTCACAGCATATTTTTGTTGGTCCATTACATCGTCGTCCATCTCTTCACCAAGAATCCAAGTCTGCGACAGAAGCCAAGTCTTTTCTGCACGACAAATGTCTTCACAGGTCTGAAGCATGTCGTGGGATTTTGCGACGCGATTGAGAAAGGCAAGCCTACCTCCGACTTTCTGATAGACCTGTTCTAGGATTTCGGAATCTAGAGGTTGGTTACTATGGTATCTTGCCCGGTAGTTGGATAATGCCATCATGGCTTTATCCCGAGGCAGGTCGGGGACTGGCATCACCACCATACGTGTTGCCAACTGCTTCAGTCTCTCGTAGACCCAGTAGTCGTCACTGTTGAAGATTATAGTGGCCAGGTTGCTGGCAGCCCATTGTTCTNNAGAGTCGAAGTCAACAATTGGTACATCCCAAAGTTGGTGTGGTGACAAACCAGCTCTTTGCTGGAGCAACTCGAGAAGATCACGCCCATCCTCATCATCTCGCAATAAGTGCATGTTGTTGATGATCATGATAAGTGGTCGTCCAACAGTTGCTCTCCTGCGCAATGCCACCTTTTCGAGTTTGTTGAATGCTCTCTCTATGTCGAGCAAGGCGGAAGCATCACGCGGGCCACGGATTGAGAAGAGAGATCCAATGTTGTCTTCGTGATACTCGAAATCGAGGGCTTTTCCCAAGCGTACGCGGAAGATCTCGAGGTCGGAATGCGCATCAAACATTGCAACACCTTCACCCTCAATCTTTGCCATGGCGTCGATAAGCATGGAGCTTTTTCCAGTTCCTTTCTCGCCTACTATAAGATAGTATTGCCCTTTGAGTTCACCACGAATAATAGCATCGAGCTTAGTCTGCTCCTCGCGAAGAATCCAATGCTCTCGATGTCCGTCTTCGCTCTTCGACATAGCGGCAAGCTCTAAAACTGGGTCGCCTNNAAGGGTACATTAGCTCTGCGAGGCATTGTGTAGCTGTGCATGTATCAAACCAGGCGCAAAGGCGTGTTCCATCTTTCTCAATATCAGAGCCTTGTAGTAACGATTATACGAGTAGCCGATTAGTCTGCAATTGATGCGTCAGGCGGAATCACAAGATTGGCACAATTTTCTGACCATACCCAAGNNGACGGTTACTGATGCCAGTGTAGTGAATGTGGACTCGAGAGACTTCCAGAAGATTGGTTTCCATCTGCTCTCTTCATCTTCGGGCTTCTTGCCCTTGCCGCCATCGTCTTCTTCTTCAGGTGTTGGTACACCCGGTATGGAAGTAAAGGCTCGAGCACGAGATTGTAGATGTGTCTGGGGAAAGCTCCGAGGATGAAGGCGCAAACGTAGAGGAGTCGTTTTCGTCGTGAGTCTTTGCAAGACTAGCGGCCGTAGCGACGACATGGTCGCTCGATTCCAGACGACCAATTTGAGAGAGCAACAGTGGTTCAAGGATGTGTTTTGAGTTGAAAGACAGACGAAACGCCTGGAGTAAAGCACAACGGCTTCCAAGGTTCCTTCTGCTTGGCAAACCCTTGGATTTGTCTACCTTGGTTTTATGCTGCTACTGGAGTCTTGAGACAGACATTTACTTGATGCCAGATATCTTGTCTGGATATCTGAAAGCTCCAGAACGAAGATTGTGACTGCTTCGCTCAGATTCTCTTGATGAGAAGAAGCCAAGGTCAGCAAGACGTTGGTGGTGCACGCGAGTGCGTGTCATCTATGTAACTCATGGGCCGTGCTCGCTCAGGACTGACCGAAGGTCCGACTTCAGCCGAGGAAGTTGCCGACGAAATGTGCGGCCTCGCCTTTGGTGGACAAAGATTTGGGCAATTGGACTTTTGAATCACAAGCTCGTGCTGCGTAGCATATCCCTGACTTCTTGTATTATACTCGTTTCTCTCTTGTACTATATCCTGGGACATTGTGTGCCCAAGTCTGCTCATTGTTCCCTTTTTCCGTTTCCCTTTACAAAAGTTTGGCTGAAGCATGGCTGCAGACAGCGAGACGAAAAGCTCAAGGTAGGCGATATGGCTACATCTGATTGGCAAACAGACTGATGGTAGCTATACAGATGTGCAGAGCAACGGCACAGAGGCTCAGAGCAATGGAGTAGAACAGCACGAGGTGCAGGATGGGCAGCAGGCCGAGCAAGAGCAAGAACAAGCAGTCGAGAATGTGTTCCAGCTCACCATCCACCTACCTCATGCTCCTGGACAATGCCAGATCATGGTCAGCCACCTCGAGCAAGTCCAGGACATCCGCCAATCCATCATCGACCTCCCCTTCACCTTCCAGTACACGTGCTTCCACCTCGAGCACAAGGGCAAGCGCATCAATGACTTTGTCGAGCTCTCCGAAGTCCCCGACATTCAGCAAGACCCGGAGCTCCATCTCGTCGAGGATCCCTACACCGAGACACAGGCTCGCATGCACTTCGTGCGCATTCGCGAACTGATTGGTGCATCTGGTGACCGCACCGATCTCCTGCACGGCATTGACGCCGGTCTGTCGCTACACGACCACATCATCAAGCCTACCCCTGCCGACCAGCCCGAGGCTCCTGCTAGCGAGCACGCCATGGTCGACTACGACATCGATGCCCGCGGTTCTGTCAAGACTCTTCTTTCGCCCTCGCCCGCCAATGCGCCCAAGACGGTCAAGTCTCTGTCCTTGTCCGCATGGAACCCCGCCCCTTACCACCTCCGCCAANAGGGCCACCTTATGTACCTGCTCGTCACTACCCTCGAGGGCGAGCAGTTCCACATTACCTCTCACGTCTCTGGTTTCTTTGTCAACAAGTCGACAAACAACAAGTTTGAGCCATTCCCTCGCACCGCTCCTAAGCCTCACTCCGCACACTCGCTCCTCACCCTGTTCGGCCAAATCTCGCCCTCCTTCAACGATGCCTTCCGCAGTCTGCAGNAGTACAACGGCCAACGTGATCCCCTGGCCGCTTTCCAGCTCGCCAATGCTGTTCCCGCTAGCCCATGGCTTGTTTCGCCCAGCTCGGCTTCTTTGACAAGTCACGTCGCTGATGCTGCTCGTACTCAGGAGAGCTACCTCCTTGCTGGTCCCGAGAATGCAGAGACTCTTCGCGACTGGAACGAAGAGTTCCAATCGACCCGCGAGCTTCCTAAGGAGAATGTTCAAGATCGTGTCTTCAGAGAGAGACTTACCGCAAAGCTCTTCGCCGAGTACAACGAGGCTGCTGTTAGAGGTGCCGTTCTTGTTGCTCGTGGTGAGGTTGCTCCTCTCAACCCTACCGAGCCTCGCGACGCTCAAATCTTCGTCTACAATAACGTCTTTTACTCTTTCGGTGCTGACGGTGTTGGCACTTTCGCTGCTGATGGTGGCGATGAGGCTGCCCGCGTCGCTACTGGCAAGGATATCATGGGTGTCAAGGCTACTAACCAGCTCGATATTTCTGGCATCTTCACTCCTGGAACCGTTGTTGTCGACTACCTGGGCAAGCGTCTTGTCGGTCAAAGTATTGTGCCTGGTATCTTCAAGCAAAGAGAGCCTGGTGAGCATCAAATCGACTATGGCGGTGTTGAAGGAAGGGATGTCATCGCCGAGAATGACGAATTCAAGCAACCATTCGCCGAACTCAGCAAGGCTTTGCGCGTAAAGAGCCATCCTGTCTGGGACAAGGAGAACAAGAGACACGATCTTGAGGCCAGTGTTGAGACCAAGGGTCTGCTTGGAACCGACGGCAGAAAGTACATTCTCGACTTGTACCGTATCACTCCCCTTGACGTTGCTTGGCTCGAACAGTACCGCAAGGAGAACTCTAGCGATGACAACAACTACCCCCATAGAATGGCTGTCCTCCGTCCAGAGTTGGTTGAGTCGTACTGGAGACTCAAGCTTCGCGAGTATGTTCAAGCCGAGGTTCAAAAGCGTCGCGAGGCCAAGAAGGAGGCTGCTCCTGAGAGCGAGACTGAAGGTGCCGAGAAGAAGGAGCCCGAACAGGAGCGTGTCGATGTTTCTGGATTCCAATTCAGCCTCAACCCCGACGTCTTCTGCGGCCAGCGTCCTCAGACTGAGGAAGAGAAGGAGGAATGGTCCAAGGATGAAGCCGAGGTTCGCGCAGCTTGCAAGTACCTTTCGGAAGACATCATCCCCAAGATGATTTCGGACTTGCAGGACGGTGATGTTGGCTTCCCCATGGATGGTCAATCACTTACCAACTTGCTTCACAAGCGTGGTATCAACATGAGATATCTTGGAGAGGTTGCCCGCCTTGCCGACAAGCCCGAACAACCTCGTCTGCAAGCACTCAAGCAGCTCGCAATTCAAGAAATGATTGCCAGAGCATTCAAGCACACTTCCAGCAAGTACCTCAGATACCAGTCGCCACCTTTCGTCCAGGCTTGCATTGCTCACCTGCTCAACTGCTTGCTGGGCGCTGAGCTTAACGCTAAGCCTACAGCAGAGACTGATGCATCCCTCAAGTCTCTGTACCCAGAGGAGGACTTCTCGTTCGAGGCCGCTACTCCCGAGTCCATCCAGACTGATATTGTCAGCGAGATCAAGAAGCGCTATCAGTTCGACCTTGGCGATACTTGGGTTCAGCCTGGTAAGCAAGTACAATTGCTCCGTGAGGTTTGTCTCAAGCAGGGTCTCCAGCTCCAGGCCAAGCAATACAGTTTCACTAAGGATGATGCACCTGCCCCGGTCCCTATCCAGGCTCCTGCACCTACCACCAACGGAACCTCTGGCGGAAAGAAGAAGAAGAACAAGAACAATGCTGAGCGCTCGCCGGCACCTGTTGCTGCTCCTTCTGCTCCTACCCAAACCTTCCACCCCGATGACGTTCTCAATGTTGTCCCCATCATTAAGGATGCAGCACCACGCAGTGTTTTGGCCGAGGAGGCTCTCGAGGCCGGCCGTATCTCGCTCTCGCAGGACCAAAAGGAGCTTGGCCAGGAGCTTCTCCTCGAGTCCCTCTCCCTGCACGAGCAAATTTACGGCATCTTGCACCCCGAGGTAGCACGTGTTTACTACGCCCTGTCCACAATTTACTATGGTCTCGACGAGAAGACTGCCGCTGTTGAGCTTGCTCGCAAGGCCGCCATCATCTCCGAACGTACTCTTGGTGTTGATCACTCCGAAACTGTTCTCAGTTACCTCAACTTGAGTTTGTTCGAGCACGCCAGTGGCAACACCAAGAATGCCCTCGCCTACATTCGTCATGCTCTTGACCTGTGGAAGGTCGTCTATGGTACCAAGCATCCCGACTCCATCACCACGATCAATAACGCTGCCGTGATGTTGCAGAGCATGAAGCAGTATCACGAGTCTCGTCTCTGGTTCGAGTCCTCTCTCGCAATGTCTGAGGAGGTCTCTGGAAAGACATCCGTCAGCACCGCCACCTTGCTCTTCCAGCTCGCCCAGGCGTTTGCCCTTGACCGCGATTATAAGAGTGCTGTCAACCGCATGCGTGAGGCCTTCAACATCTTTAAGAATGAGCTTGGGCCCGATGATCGCAATACCAAGGAGGCAGAGACATGGCTTGAGCAGCTCACTCAGAGTGCTGTTTCGCTTGCAAAGCATGCCAAGGTCCTCCAGGACAAGAAGATCATGTTGGCTCCTAAGGTCGGTCGGGGCGCTAGACCTCAGCCTTCTATCGGCCAGAGCATCGAGGAGACTGTTGCTCCTAGAGCTGCCGACGTCACAAATGACAACAGAAGTGTCGATGAGCTGTTGAAGTACATCAACGGCGACGGTAGCAAGACTACGCCAAAGAAGAAGCAGACCAACCCTAAGAGAAGACAGGGAAGATCGTAAAGCCTGTACACGTAGAGCGGGAAAGCGTCGCTGTTTGGTGGACGCCTCTGTAAACATCTGGCCATGAGCCATCTGTATTTTTGTTTCTCTTTTTCTCAGCATGGATGTCATGTCATACATACCCCTCACCGGCGTTGGGTTTGTACAAAAGAAAAGCTTTTGTTTTTTGGGGATTTTACATCGCCGCTCATGCCTCTGTATTTCTCTGTCCAAATATGTATTACTATCTTGCATGTTTTCTTCTTTCTTACTCGTGCTGGTATGCCTCAAGATCATGAGCCATGGTTTAACACTAGGAAACTGACGAGTCTGATTAAACGCATCTCAATCTGTAGAGCCCGTATGTTGAACTTCGTCAAATGTCCAGGCAAGTTTGATTTGTGTGTGGTTCAATTCCTGTTCCCAGGTTCTACTTTGTAGAAACGACTCACACCTAATATACAAGACTCTAGGTCATCCTCGAACAGTGTAGCAGAGTCTAAGCACTAGAAAGTATCCCCAAGAACCTTTTCGTATTTGATTTGATTTGATTTTCTCAAGCTATTTACCCCGCAAGGGGTATGAGCTGTTGCTATTTACACATCATTCTGACCAATAGCACTCGTCAGATTCAGTAACAACCTTTTCGTATGTATAGATGGTTGCAGAGGTAAGCAGTAATGTTGAGCCAGGGTCACACGCGCAACAACGGGATCGTACTACAGATCTCGCAAAGCTGATATCTCGCATCCGACTTCAAGCAAACAACGTGGGTAGTGACTAGTCTCTCGTGATGTTACGGGCACCTTACTCACAACATGGTCAATCATATCTTGAGGTCGAGTATCAAAGTGAAGGTGTTCGGAGGATGGACCCCTCGGAGTCGGGATATCAACAAACCCCGAGAGGGAACTCGGACCCTGAGATGTCGTCATTTTATGGTCCGGAGCTTCCAGCTCGATTCCACCATTGCACTCAATCCAACAGGCATCGAGGGCAGAAGGATTCTTGACTTGGAACTCCTCTACCTATATATGAGTTGTAACATCCCATATCCGTGGTAGACCTCTGCTTTTTGACCCATCTAGACGTATACAGGCTACTTTAGCCATCGCCAACTCACAATGACTATGTTGAACACCCTTCTGGCTCTCACGAACTTCCGATCTCCCTTTCTTCGTACACTGGTTCCCAGTATTGGACTTGCCTATGCTATTCAAGCTGGTGTTGCAGCTCCTAGTATCTTCTTCCAATCCGAGCGATTCTACGATCTGAGTGGATCATTGACATATCTGTCATGCACGGCACTTTCTCTCTACTTGCCTACGCTTAGAGCTAGAGCCGCGGCAGCGACTGTCTCTGCTGGTACTGCAGCTCTGCCTGGATTCCCTAGCTTGTTGGCCAGTCTAGCCAGCAAGGGAGGCGTTCAAGCCTGGAACTGGAGACAGGTAATTCTCAGTGCTGCTGTAGCTATCTGGGCCACAAGACGTGCGTATCACATCTAACTGAAACCTGGCCTCCAACTAACATGCTCAAAGTTGNGATCTTTCCTCTTCTCCCGTATCAGCTCAGAAGACGGCCGCGACTCTCGCTTCGACGAGATCAGAACCTCTCCTCCCAAGTTCCTCGGTGCCTTCTTCGCTCAAGCAACCTGGGTATCCTTGTGTCTTCTCCCGTCCTCGCTCTCAACTCCGTACCCGCAACAACTCTTTCTGCCCTCCCCTNTCCTGACCCTCACCGACGTCATCGGTGTACTCCTCTACGTCGGCGGTCTCGGATTCGAAGCCACAGCCGACAAGCAAAAGAGTTTGTGGATGGAAGAGAAGAAGAATAAGAAGCACAACGAGGACTTTTTGACCAGAGGTCTCTGGTCTAAGAGCAGACACCCCAACTACTTCGGCGAGAGCACCTTGTGGACTGGTATCGCTACCGTTGCTGCCGGTGTCTTGGTCAGCAATGTCGGTCAGTCTGGTATGGGATTCAGCGGCAGTCTTGGTGCCAGACTTGGTGCGTTGGCTATGGCTGGTGTTAGCCCTGCCTTTGTTACATTCCTGTTGTTCAAGGTAAGTTTCGAAGATGATGATAGCCCTAAACTCCCGTGTACTTACAGCTCAATCAGGNTTTCCGGTATTCCTCTTAGCGAGAACAAGTATGACAAACGCTACGGTGATCGTAAGGATTACCAGGAGTGGAAGAAGGTAAGCGTCATGTTCAACGACAGCAAAATCCGCTGCTAATTTCAGACAGAACACACCCATGTTCTTCCCCAAGCTTTGATTGCTCATGCAATAATAAGCGGAGCGGAAGCCATCGACCATGGCATGCTTGTCGAAATGTCTTGGACAGGATTGAGGATGACCTGCCGTCTCGGAGAACCCTACATAAAACGATATCTTATGAGCCGTAATGCAGCGAAACACGCCAACGTCATGATGCGCCTCATGAATCTTGCACACGACGAGAAGCAACAAAAGCTTTCATGACTACGAGAGGGAAGGAATGAATAGCGATACGATTTAACTTCATTGAGTAAGCTGGTTTTCAGTGCCTTGCAAACTAGAAATATTGTTTCTTGATGAAATGAGAGATCTGGCAACGGCAATGGCAAGGGCGAGCAAGACGGAGTTGACAAAGAGTGTAGTATGAATTAATGCTTAATGAGTTTGTCGTGGTCGCGTGTCACTTCGTGTCAGTGGTTTTATGTGCATCTCAAACGAGCCCTTCATAATCCCCCTGTTAAGCCTAGGCAGTGACTGATCAGCATTACAACAGCTGTTCAATCAATCAATCAATCTTGGCTCCAGCCAGGCCTCTAGCTCTAGGCTTTGTACCGGGTGCTTCCAGAACATTAGACATTCTAATATAGCGCATTCTCCCGTCACCGGCTTGAGAGACTGGGAGTCCATCCTTGTGTAGACGTTGCTTGGAGTGTTTCCTAAGTCTGGCAAGAGAATCAGTTTGGTTGTCCTGGGAATGTGTTTTCGCGTGTTGGTCGACGAACCGTTTTCTGGCAACCATGACTGGCACGCTGGACTTGGTCACAAGGTAGTTACTAAAGGAACCGAGCAGGACACCTTTCAATTGGGAGCGGCCTCTTGATCCAAGGATGGTAAGAGTGGGGGACAGGAAGTCGATCTATACAAGACGTCAGCATAGTATTAGGATACTGACGAGTTAGTTTATACTCACCACCTCGGTGATCATATGTCTAGGACTCTTGCAGTGGAAGACCTCTACCACAACACGAACCTGAAGCCTAGTCTTGCGAAGTAATTTAACACAACGCTGACTGATATCCTCAGCGGCGCGGAAACGGTCTTGCTCGGCCTTGGACATGTCCTTTCTCTCGGTGAAGGCCATTCTCGCGGTGCTGCTATCTCGCGGCAGGGTTGCAGGAGTCATACTCTCTGCAGTCATGGAGCGCACGATAGTAGCTGTATCCTTGACGACGTCGGCACCGTGTCCAATCTCAACACCTTCGGAAACACCACCAGTGCCGGCTTCCTCGTCGACTGCATATACCGCCAATAGAGTATCGCCATCACGCAAAACAGTACCGATAGTCCACTCGAGAGCATACTCGGCTTCGGAAGATAGATCGGTAGCGACAAGGTAGACTCTTTGCCTCCTACGGCCTTCTTCAGCTTGACGCTGAAAGTAGAGGTAGTCGCCACGGATGATCTGACGAATGACACGATGTGCGGAGGGNGTGCTGTGGATGGGAGAAATATTGAGTGAGAGGCGTTGGGCGCGGCGCAGATCGGAGAGATGTTCTTCGTCGTCTGAGTGTACAGGAGTCGAGGTAGATGATGCAGCAAAGTCGAAGGCGGTGCTGGGGTGGACGTCGGGCTTTCGGGAGGAGTAGGATGAGGATGAGGATGAGGAGGGCTGGTCTGTCGAGGGCGGAGTAACGGTGATGGTGGGGTCAGCATTCAGAGGAGGTGATGGTTCATCATCATCGCTATCTTGACCGGCGCCAACAGCATTGCCAACTCTAGCGCGGCCTCTGCCTCGCGAGGATTCGTGGTCGGTGTCTTGTTCATCGCTGCTGTCTTCGTCGCTGCTGGCAGACTCATTGTCGTAGTCCTTTTGCAAGCGCACACCCCCGTTTCCGAGCTGGGGACGAATAGAGCCGGCGTCTGATAGTCTGCGCTGCGAGGGNGACTTGTCGTTAGGGTGTAGGTTGATGATGCTGCTGCGAGTGGGACTCAGACTGCGTGCTGCTGAGCGAGTGCCATCTGANATTGGGGGTCTGTTGCTACTGCGTCTGGGATCTCCTGGACCAAGGTCGCCTGGCAGTCTAGAGCTGCGACGTGGGTCACCGGGACCAAGATCACCAGGGAATGCCGGCTTGTGACGCGTGGCGGGTGTGGGAGCCATAGTCCTGTAAGGCAAGACGGGGCTCGTAGGAGTGACAGGTGTGGTCGGGGCTGGAGCAGGGAGCGGGGGCAAGGTCGACTTCTTGCGCGAGTTGTTCTGCTCGAAGTCCCTTCGCAGCTCCTTGGCCTCCTGGTCGATTGCTGCTGATAGCGACATGGTCACTGTGTTTGGGCGACTTTGATGATGACTCGGTAACCGCTTCCACCTAGCCTATCTCGGAAGATCAAGATGTGGGTCTCGGTCGTGTCTGCCCCGATGCAGCTCCAAGTCGATGTTTGTATCGTCGTGGCGATGGCAGGAGTTTGAAGATACAGGTCGTCGGGGTTGTTGCTGTCAGAACAGTGATGAACGGTCCCACGCACGACGACAACCTCTTGAGGCGCTGATGGACGCATGGAGCAGGTCCAAAGTGCTTGGTGGTATTGGCGCCCAGAGACGCTTCTACGCTTTCGTCACGCGGCGAGCTCGTGCCAAAACGGCCCGTCATCGTTGTTTACACTGCGGGGCCGAACGAAGCCTCCCAAACCTTCTCTCTATCGACATCAACTCTCACCATCTGTCCCTGCATCTTAATTCTCCGAACCATTGCATATCGAGCCATCGATAGCTCGCAGATGATTTCTCGCTCCAGCCTCTGCACTCTGGTCTCTGCTTACATGCAACTGCCGTGACACCATGCCTTGTATCCATCTCGCTATCTCGCCCACTCTACGGCTCTCCCCTCAATGCCCGACGGACTTTCTGATGCTGTAACACGTGTAGCTCACTGCTTTCAGTATATAACCTGTTCAATCCACTGCTGCTCTACTTCCATCTAGTCCCCGTGAATCGTCATATCTCACCCGAATCGTCATGTCGTTGACTACTCCCACAGAACACAAATGGATCCTTGGTGACAAGTTCGACCAGGTGTACCCCCATCTCGAAGGCATCCAAGCGTTGTGGGAGAAGAAGTGGGCTTTCCCTTGCTCAAAGTCGCTCTACCCATTCCACGATGGCAAATTCGAAGACTTTGAACCCGTCTTCAAGACTCTGATCTCGAAGAACATCAACTCCGGCTATACCGATGAATACACTCGCGAATTCGTACCCACTGCCGAACGCCTCGTCGAAGAGGCAGACAAACTGGTCTCCTCAGACAAGGATGCTGCTTCAGCCCTCTACCTCCGTGCCTGCACCGTCTACCGCATCGCTCGCTTCCCTTACATCAACTCGGACTACAAACGCGAAATCTACGAAGCACAAAAGAAGGCATATATCAAGGCTGCTGGCCTCTGGGAGTGTCCCATAGAGGACGTTACCATCCCTCACACAGCAGCAACTTCCGCCGACGCCGACTCTGTACCTCTCTACGTACGCCTGCCAAAGGACGCCTCCAAGTCGAAGCCTTGCCCTGCTGTCCTCCTTATGTGCGGATTAGATGGACACAGACCAGACAACACGACCCGTAGTGATGAGTTCCTGGCTAGAGGATGGGCTTCGGTCATTGTCGATATTCCTGGTACCGCCGACTGCCCTGCCGATAGAAAAGACCCCGAGGCTGCTGAGAGATTATGGACGAGCATCCTAGACTGGATGGCAGGAGAAGGTGACTTCGACATGAAGCGCGTTATCACTTGGGGTTTGAGTGCGGGAGGCTACAATGCAGTAAGTACACTCAAGCATACGTTTCGAGCCTCGACACTAACAACAAACAGGNTCCGCGCAGCACACACTCACTCCGACAGACTCGCCGGCGCCATCGGACAAGGCGCAGGAACTCACCACTTCTTCTCTCGTGAATGGCTCGAGAAGGCTCAATGCAAAGAATACCCCTGGAACGCTTTACCTGCCCTCACAGAAAAGTTTGGTTACAAGGACCACGATGACTTCATGGACAACGCCCAAGAGACTTGGTCACTCGTCAAGACTGGTGTTGTAAACATGAAGAGTTGTCGATTGTTGCTTATCAATGGCACGATTGATGGTTTGATGCCTATCGAAGACTCCATGCTCCTGAGCGAATTTGGTTCGCCCAAGGAAATGAGACTCATCAGCCACCGCTTGCATATGGGTAAGTCTACGATCTTGTCGAATAACATAAGAGGTCTACTAACATGTTCCCTCCACTTCCAGNGTTACCCGGAGGCTAACAGCTATGTTTACCCGTGGATGGAGCAGGTCATGGGTTCCGTTCATTAATCAGCTCAATCAACACCCCCAAAAAAAAGCACTATGATGCATCATGATTACAACATTTCGATTTCATTTGATAAGTGTGTTGTTGCAAGTTTTAGTTCCTGTATGCCATGCTTGACATCACCGTAGTACTTGATGCGACTGTAAAGCCACTTGTCTGCTTCCTTGAGGATAATGAAAAGAAGTTCAATACCATGCGATGCAGCCTTGAAAAAGGTCTCGTCAAGCTTCTTATCGATAGCCTTGCGACTTTGCTCATTGGGACGAGGAAGAGGGATGTCCTGAGTCTGCAGACGTGTACCCATGCGGACTCCATAAGTATTCAAGTGGCGCTCAAGGGACGTCAGGATACCGTTGGCGTCAGAGACCTCCATGTCTTGGATCTGGTGGCCTTGAGGTAATAACGCGTTGCCCCTTGGATCAGGATTACCCCTTGCATCGGTGTAATCCAGGACGGCGCAGGCCCATTTGCCGATCGAACCAGGCTTAGCAAACTTGACTTTTATCAGATTCCAGGATCCTTCTTTGGCTTGCATCTCCTTGCTTCCGTAGTAGACCTTAGGTGTCGGTAGTATTCTGCCGGGAACGGTGATCAACTCCTTGCTGACTTCAATGCCGAAGTTGTTCACGACCTGTGCGGGTCCATTGAAACCCATGGTTCTCAGTCCGTTGCCTGGCGTGCCTGCAATAGACTCTGCGTTGAGACGGGGTGCTCTAGCAGCGAAACGAAGCATGTTTTCAGTTTGACCTGTAGATTAGGGGCACAATTAGCATGTTTCTCATACGAATAATGGTGCACTGCAGCAACTGTCGCATTGCAGAGTGCTGTTCGAAAGCTGGGGGCTCCATTGAGAGCCTGCTGTCGCTCGCGAAAGGGCAGGCTCTCAATGGACGTCTAACTCGATCTTGAAAAGAACTCTGCAATGTAATAGGGGTTCAAACTCCTATACGTACCTCCTGAGAGTAGGCGTCTGACAGGCTGACCGGGCAAAACGGTACCCAGCTCGATGGGCAGATATGAAGGATCGCTTCTCGTGCCTACGTTGAGAACAGGCAACTCTGGGTGCTGAAGGGTGATGCCGTGCTGAGTCTTGAAGAACTCAAACACAGAGATGTTGCGAGCTGCAGCTTGAGGTTTCTTCGGATCGGACCAGGAGAAGGTGACTGTTCTGGCGTCGCCATCTCTGGGACGGGGAGCCAGGCCAACAACGCTCTTCAGACCAGGCACGGTCTGAGGGCGCCCTTGAGCGTCCATCTTAGTCTTGCCGTTCGCATCGAGAGCCTTGAGATAGTTCGTTTCAACGCGAAGCATGCGGATGAACCCTTCGGCCCTGACCAGGTCCTGCGGTCTTGGAGCTTGGCCAGAGTAGCCGCCAACGAACTCAGAGACAAGGTTCATAAGCGGTCCTGCCTTGTAAAAGGCCGCGCTTGCCACGTTTAGATTCACCAAGATCCTGTTTGATGAAGTGCGAACACTAGCAAAGTAGCCGCGGAGGGCTTGGAGGCCACCAGTGATGTCGACTTGCTCCATCAATGGCGACCCGACACCAGGATAGTATTTGTTCTGACCAAGCGAGTATACGTTGGCCGTATCGTTTGGAGTTTTAGAGATGACAATATTGAGTAATTGAATTACGTCTGCTTGTCCTTCGAACCATGCGCCCGCCTGTGTAGCTTGCAAAGCGCGAACCAGATCAGCTAGGCTGAATTCTCCAGTTTTGGACAGTTCGTAGCCTTTGGTACGACGGTTCCTGGCTTCCTGGGCCTGTGCATTGTCAAGGCCTTGGAAAGGGGGAAATGTGGGATCGATGACTTCGATCTTGCCTTGCTTGCGGTCGGCAGGGCCGAGGTCGAGCTTCTTGGTCGTCACGACAATGCTCGAATAGTCTGTTGCGACCTGGCAGCCGGCGAACATCGGATCTTTGATAAGGTTGATTACGAGAAGACGCATCTTGGGCTTGCTGAGCTTCTCGCCTCCAACTGTACCAACCGCATAGCAGTAGAGGGGAGCCTCCTGTTTGCCAGTCTCGAAAGCGGTCTTCAGGTGCAGGTAATTGGCACGCAGCACGATGGAGATACCCTTGGTACCATGGCCTGGGCGTCCCGGAAAACGTTCGATGATCTTGCCGGCGGTGTTCTTGACACGAGCATCTTCGAGAGCTTGGACCTCCTTGTCTGGCTGAGGGACATTGCCTTCGCTGTGGGATGAAGTCAGCAATTGAAAAAGTCAAACAAGAAGTCGACTTGAAGCTTGAGACTTACGGGAAAATGCTGTTGTTGGGAAAGCTTGGTGCAGAGTGAATTGGGAGTCGAAGACCTCCTCGTCCTCCACGTCCACCACCACCTCGACCTCTGTCGCTCTGGGAGCCACCACGGTCGCCTCGATAAGAGTCAGCACCACGGTCACCTCGAAAGGAACCGCCGCGATCGCCCCGGAAAGAGCCACCACCACGATCACCTCGGGATGAAGGGCCACCTCCATCGCTGTGGCCACCTCCTCTTGGAGCGCCGCCGCCACGGCTGCCGGAGAAGTCACCGCGATTGGAAGAGCCTCCACGGTTGCTGTCTCCTCGACCCCGGCCACCACGGCCACGTTGCGGGGCTGACATGTTCTGACTGGCTGAGTGAGAGAAGTGCGTCGAATTGGGAACGATAGAGAAGGCCGGCGATGATGTTGATATATGAGTCTCTGAGCTGGTGAATCTGATTGCTGCTGCAGCGAGTGCGGATAGTAAAAGAAGTGACCAGAAGGCTTCAAGAGGCCGGTAGCTGCATCAAGCCGTGCCAGCACTTGCAGAGAAGACATCTGAATCAAATGGATAGTACGGGTGTCTTGGGTTGATGAGTGTTGGTTTTGGTGCTGAATGAGGCCCATCGCTGTAATTCAAAGCAGGCAACAACCTGCACGACAAGCGTGACTGAGACGCGTGTGAGGGCACTTTGGGCGAATCAATCAAGGATGATCTTTGACGAGCAATCAATATGTTATACTTCAAGTTTTTGATGCAGCGGCTAGAGTGAAATAACCTGGAGCAAGACAGAAGGAGATTCTGAAGTCGAGTGATTCTTGCAGACCCAAATGAGGCTCAGTTGACGCGTCGTACAGCATATGCCTCTACCCAACCGACCATTGTTTGGAGCTGCTTCGACCAGGTACAGTACATGCGCTGCCATGCCATGTTTGTATCACCTGTCTCCAACTTGAAAGACCTGTATGTCGTTGTATCACAATGAAACAACAAGTGAATGTGACACGAGCAGGTGGCTGTACGATCAAATCTTGTGGATCTGTCACCAAATCGGACATTACAGCGTGTTTTACCTAGTCGCTGAAGCCTGACTCAACTTGGTCAGATGGACTAGATTTCTTTGTCGATGCCGTTCTGCCTATCAAGTATCGAGGACGACGTCAAAGGCGCTGAAGCTCAAACAGCGACCGTTCTTTTGCAAGCTGTCCAGCGATGATGCGTGCTTTGGTCGGGAAGACACTGCTTCAACTTTTGATCTTAGAAGATAAGAAGAGACACAAAACTCTTGATATTGAAGTCAAAGTCAGCAAGAGCGTACGAACTAGATGTTCTAGATCTCGGAGTGGAAGATGTCGCGATGCTTGTAGGAGTAGTCGCGTTGAAGAATGCAGGTTATTTTCGCGGTTCAAGAACGGTGGAATGCGCCCGCGCTTCCTCACAGCTTCGCAAGAGCCTTCGTTCACTTCAGCATCTGAACATCTTCATCCATGACTTGTCCCATCGCATCAAGAGCTGGTGTTTGCTGGAAAGGATGATCGGCATCTGGCTGTTCCGTGGCGTTCTTGTCCAACAACCTCTGAGACGACCGAGGGGCTCGAGGCTCAGGACCTCCCAGTGTCTATCGCGGTTGAAGCTCCTTGAATCGCTTCTCAAGGGATGCTTCGACATTCCGTAAGAGCGCCTCGAACGCTACCCTTACGCTCTGTGCATGTCCGAGCCATCTATCCAGATTCTTTGGTCCATGTAAGACCATGCGCTAGAGTGATCACAACTACCATCCAAGCTCATTCTGTGCTCTTGAACTCGTGTCGTAGAATGCTACGCCCTTTCGTCAGGAACGTTCTATCTAAGCCTTTTTGGGATGCAAGGCGAGTCACGTTTGCATGATCACTATACCCCCTTCACTCGAGTCTCTCGATGAATCTCAGTAAGTTGCAGAAAAGGAAAGATGCCTTTAATCACAGGATGTCCCTAGAATGCCACTCTTTGACGCCTATTGCGCCCTCTGACCCACCCCTTGAAACGGCCGTACGCCAAGCGGCTGCTCTCTTACATGCTAACACTGCGCGTTCGAACATTTATATGGCCTTGGTCTCCCTGGTATCATTGCTAGACGACCAGCCAACACGTTCATTATGAGTCGTTCTGTCTTTTGTCTGTTGTTGTTCTTCTTGAACGCATTTCTACCTCAGATTACCACAGCTGCGCCTCTTGCCAATGATGACTCGGAATACTACTATGACTGTGGACCCGGAACTGAGAGTCCTCAAACACCGTCGACAACTTCTTCAAGATCTACATTCCCTTCTACTAGCAGCTTTACACCTGTACTGTCTACAAGACAACCGGATACCTCTTCCTACTCGATCTCGGACACAAGTCGCTTGACATCCTTGAGCTCATCTGCAGTTCAGACTGCTTCTTCGACAGTCAAGCCTCAGACTTCAGGGGTATGTTAATGTTTGCCTGCGGCTGTTCGAGATAGAAACACTGTTGGAAGAGGAAGGAGCACTTTCAGGACTGTGGAAATGGCTTGGCGACGAAAGACTGATCGAGGAAGTCAGACCCTAGTCTAAGAGAACAGTCGCTCTTGCCTTTGAGGTTTATCTATCGTTCAATCTGTGTCCGCATCTGTTGAAGAAGAGAGAACTAGAGACCTGCAGCAACAATCTTGCTTGACATTCTATCTCCTCACTAAATAGACGCTAACGCCTATCGCAGAGTATCATATCTTCATTGGAGACCTCTGGCAAGAGTTCTGTCCAGCCATTTCCTACATCCGTAGCGTCTGCTTCTACTACACTTTCTGTTATCAACCCCGCCAGTACCTCGTTGCCACACCCGGTTGTCGCTCCTCTGGCTTCGACAATGTCTGTGGACAATGTCTTTGAGGCATTCGCAAGTGGCCCACCACCATCGCAAGTCTCCCAAAGGACCGACCATCCTGTCTCTCGGTCCATGATCGCATCACAANAAAAGAAACTGCAGACTAACAAGTTTTATGCCAATTTCTTCTTGGGATCTCAGTCTTCTTCTACGTTCACTCACCCTTACTCTGTAGCTTGGGCGAAGGGGTCTGGTGTGCTCAAGAGCTATGGTCTGGCAATAAGTCACATCGAAAGATCCCAGCTAGCATTTGGTCCTGGAAATCCGGCTAAATATTTTATCAACCCTATTGGCATACAGTCGATCACGCTTTCTGCTTCTGAGCTAAATACCACAACCCAGCTCACAATGTATTCTTTGGATGCCTTCTCTGCCAATGTCAATCTTCTGCCACGTCCGGGTGCCGCTCCAGCTATCACTTTCCCGTTAGTTCAGGGCATGGGATTTGTGACTGCTGTTTACAGTGGCAGCACACCATGTCTCGAGAGTGCGATTTCCTTCACCAGTGTCACCTACGTTGGGCGAATGCCTTCTGACTCAACTTACAAGTATCAAGCAAAACTGGCTGATGGCACATCATGGAACATCTATGTTACAACCTCTCAAGCTGGTTATCCCGTCAACTCGTTTACTCTGACCAACGTGCGAGTACTGCGGGGAGCACCTAGATTCCAAGGTTTCATCCAGGTCGCGAAAGTGCCGTCCGCTGGTGCAGACTCGACTTATGATCAAGCAGCAGGCGCATATTCGGTTTCTGCAACAGTAGCTGGGTCTATCGCAGGCACCTCTGGGACGTATAAGCTGACATGGACCAAACAAGGAGTTGCCAACCGAACTCTTCTTATGTTTGCTCTTCCTCATCATGTCCAGAGTATTACCTCTGGCGGCTTAACGGATGTTAAGCTTCAGACTACCACCAAGGGAACGGCAACAGGTATCATTGGCGATTCATGGACACTGCTCGAGCAATTCTTACCGATAGACATGGGATTCGCGCCCTGGACACCATTCGGCAGAGGCAACAGCAAGGTATCCACTGCAGCTGCAAAGCTGATCAACAAAGCTGGAATGAGTGAACTGAGCCAGGACATGAAGAAACAATCTAACCTCAACTCAATGTACTATTCTGGCAAGGCACTCGCCAAATTTGCTGCCATTGTCTACGCAGTACACGATATCGGCAACAATGCGACTCTTTCTATCAGTGGACTTCAGAAGCTGAAGACAGCTTTCGACACATTCGTTCGCAACAAGCAGATCCTTCCTCTTGTCTATGAATCGTCATGGGGTGGAGCTGTCTCCAGTGGCACTTATCAGACGGGTGACTCTGGCCTTGACTTTGGAAACACCTATTACAACGATCATCACTTCCATTACGGGTACTTTGTCTATGCAGCAGCTGTCATCGGATACTTGGATCCCAGCTGGCTGAGCCAGGGCACAAACAAAGCATGGGTCAACATGCTAGTCAGAGACTACTCCAACTCTGTCACCACTGATGCATACTTTCCTTTCTCTCGATCCTTTGATTGGTAAGTTAGGCCACCGTGACTATTTCTATCGCTTTTTCATGACCTCTATGGAAAGCTCAAGCACGTTGTGTTTTGAAGAAATACTATGCGCAATGACACCTCGCAGAGTTGAGCATACATGCCTAGCCAAGCCGTGGTCTTGTCCTTCAACTACGTGAAACCATGCTAATTGTGTTTCCAATATAGGTATCACGGACATAGTTGGGCGAAGGGGTTGTTCGAAAGCGGTGACGGCAAAGACGAAGAAAGTTCTTCCGAGGATAACTTGTCGGTCTATGCAATCAAGATGTGGGGACGCACAATCGGGGACAAAGCATTAGAGGGAAGAGGTAACCTCATGTTGGCCATTCAAGCAAGATCGATGCAGAACTACTTCCTGTATGCGTCGGACAACAAAGTGCAGCCTTCGAACTTTATTGGCAACAAAGTCAGCGGAGTTGTAAGCAAAGCTGCCTTCTACCGCATAATGTTCTGCTAAGATGTTACAGNNCTCTTCGAAAACAAGATAGATCACACGGTATGGTTCAATGCCTTGGCGACTAGCAAGCCTTGCTAATTGTTCACCTTAGNNACATACTTCGGCAGCAACCAAGAGTTCATCCACGGCATCCATATGATACCCGCTGGCTTCCCGTTCAGCGCATACGTACGCACGCAGAAGTTTGTCACTGAAGAATGGAACGCCTTCTTCTCTAACGGACGAGCCATCGTAGATGGTGGTTGGAGAGGTATTTTGTATGCCAATCTGGCGACCATCCAGCCGGCTGCCAGTTATGCATTTTTCTCAGACCCCAATTTCAATCCTGCCTACCTTGATGGTGGGGCTAGTTTGACTTGGTACTTGACTTACTCGGCAGCACTGGGCGGCTCGCCTGCTGGTGCGGCCAAGCGATCGGAGGATGAAGGAGTTGTTCTGGAAGAAGAGCCGATGGAGAAACAGGTCGAGAGCGAAAGAGCAACCAAGGCTGTCCATCAGCGTAGGGGTCATGGACATGGGCATGCGAAGCTCTGAGGTGAGAGACGAGTTTGAGGTCTATGACCGCTGGACGGTGATGGAATGCTGGCCATTCTTTTGGAGTATCGGGACGAATATATATACCCAGCATAGCACATAGCAACTGACATATCCAATCGTTAAACACACATATATGTGTAGGAGCCAGAGATGTATGTTCATGCGTCCGTGTCGCTAGAACGTAATATTCTTTCTTCAAGGATGAAAGTATCTTTTATACAACGAAGATGAAAGGGAAGGGGTGATGTACATGAAGTATGGGAAGATAGAAGAATGCAGTCCATGGGTATCATAAAGTAAAGCCTGGCAGATGTGACGAGAAAAAGTAAAACTTGTCGTTGGCAGACTTGTTTAGATGTCCCCGCCCTGGCTCTTCCATGCATCGAGGTACATTTTTCCAGTGACATTGCCGGCGAACTGGTGTGTCTTTGTGGGCGTGTCGATGTTTTCGGCAACGAAGGGCTTCAGCTATCAAGGTGTTAGACAATTACAAGTCTGACAGAGGAAGAAACGAAGACATACCTGGAAATCGGAGAGGTCAGGAACGACGTAGGTGCGGACCTTTGACCAGTCGATGCGGTAGGCACCATACTTGGTGTGACGACCCATGGCGCCCGAACCGGTACCCTTGTAGTAATCCTTGCCAGCCTGCTTGGTGGTGAGGGCGAGACGACGGAGAGCGCGTCCCAGAGAAGGCGTAGGAGTGAACATGATGGCGACANNACGATGTGATAGTGATCTATCTCTCTCTCTACCACTTTGCGACTCGGAGGTGTCTNNTGCGGACTCTATCCAATCTTTAGCGTCTTGGCAGAGCNNATTTTTGCCGCTACCCAAAGTCAGTCAATTATTTTCTGGAGACTTTGAACTTTTCGAGAGTTTGCATTCTTTTTGTTTGTAAATATTGAGCTCGTTAGTCATGCCTGCTCGTGTTGCTCGCTCGAGCGTGTCCATCGCCAAACCGACGAATGCTCGCAAAAAGTCGCAGAAGCGAACACTCGACGCCTACTCGATCGCCTCGCACTCCGCTCCCGACACATACAAAGTCCGCCAGCACCGTTTGGGCGATTCGGTTGGAGAGCCTCGCCAGAAGCGCAGAAGACTTGAAGATGACGACGAAGACGACAACGACGAGGAACATGCCAGCAACGCTCGACGACTGCAACAAAAGACCGTGACCAAGCGGACTGGCACTGGAAGAAGAGGAGGACTGGATGAAGAGACGGATGAGGGAAGCGACAGCGAAGGCAACGAGTGGCGCATGGGTGGTCACATCGGCGACGAGAGCGACAGCGACCTCGACAGTGACGAAGCCTTTGGAGAGAGCGACGAGGAGCGTTTCGAAGGCTTTACATTCAGAGGAAGCTCGACTAGCGGCCCGTCGAAAAAGAAGAAGAAGAGACCTCAGGCCACTTCGGAAATGGATCTCGACGAAGGCGGTGACAGCGACGAGGACGAATCAGCCAGCGACTTTGGCGACGAGGGCGTCGACCTAGCCACCATGCTCGACGAGGACAACGAGGACGACCTTATACAAACCGAGGAGAAGCACGGCGACGATTCATCCGACGAAGACTCTGACGATGAGGATGAGGAGGAAGAATCCGAGGATGACGAGTCTGAAGAAGATGATGAGGAAGATGATGCTACCAAGTTGTCTAAGCTGCAGGATCTGGTCGCTTCGCTGAACAAGGACAACCCGGAGAAGCGTATCGGTGGACGTACACAAGACGCTCACGAGTCGCAAGAACCCTCAGCATATGGATTGTCCGCCTCGCAGAAGCTCAAGATCTCTGATCTGCTACCTACTGTCACCGATCCCGCCCTTCGCAAGTCGCTCAAGCTCCTCACCGCCGAGAAGACCACTAAGCGCTCTGGCATCCCTGGAAAGCTCGACGCTCCGCTACCAAAGAGACAGCAGGACAAGCTGGACCGAGCCGCCGCTACTCAGGAGACAAAGAAGACTCTTGACCGATGGCGCGACACCGTTATTCAGAACCGCAGGGCAGAGTTCCTACAATTCCCTCTGGCTGACCCCAACGCCATTGAGGCTGTCGGTACTCAGAAGATGCTTCCCATCCAGCAAGACAAGCCCGCCAACGAACTTGAAAGCGCCATCCAAAACATCCTCGAGGAGAGTGGTCTCAGCAACAAGCAAAAACAAGGCAAGGAGGAGGACCAACTTCAGCAATTCGAGGAGTTGCAAATGAACAAAATTCCCATCGAAGAGGTCATGGCCAGACGTGCCGAACTTCGCAAAGCAAGAGAATTGCTCTTCAGAGAGGAAGTTAAGGCCAAGCGTGTCAAGAAGATCAAGTCGAAAGCCTACCGTCGCGTGCATCGCAAGGAGCGTGAGCGTGCCGAGGCCGCTGAGCGCGATTATCTTGTGGCCGAGGGCATTGAGGATGAGGACGAGAAGGAAAAGCAGGATAGAAGACGTGCCGAGGAGAGAATGGGCACCAAGCACAAGGACAGCAAGTGGTCAAAGGCCATGAAGAAGTCAAACCGTTCCGTCTGGGATGAGGACGCTAGGGAGGGTCTGATCGACATGGCCAGACGCAATGAGGAGCTCAGGAGGAGAATTGAGGGCAAGGACGTCTACGATCGTGAGAGCGACGACTCTGACATCAGCGTCAGCGATGACGAGGATGAGGAACTCGACGATGATGACCTCGAAAAGGCACGTCTGTCCAAGAAGATCGACAAACTTGGTGCCAAAGACGGAGAGAAGTCCAAGATTGGCAACATGGCTTTCATGCTCCGAGCTGAAGCGTCGCGAAAGACCCAAAACGACGAAGACATTGAGAGTTTGCGTAAGGAGTTGGCCGACGAGGACGGCGAGAGCGAAGAAGAGGCAGAAACCACTGTTGGTCGTGCCATTTTCGGACCTAAGCCTACGCAAGGCTCTGCCAATCCCTTCAAGACTGCTCCTCGTGGTGAGCTTGAAGAGAACAAGGCTTTGGACGAGGATGATACTCGTGAAGTGGAAGCTGAGGCTGAGATCAATGTAGGAGGCCAAGCAGACACTAAGCCTGCTTCTCAGTCAAGGAAGTCGCGATCGTTCCTCCAAAACGCACAGAAAGTCGTCGCCGACGTTGACGAGCCCAAGGAGACAGAAGAGAATGCCTGGTTGACCGGCTCATCCAAGAGCAAGAAGAAGAACAAGAAGGCCGCCGACGAAGAGATTCTCGACCTCTCCAAGGCCGCACCTGTATCTTCAGCAGCAAAACCCGCCGCTGCCGGAAAGAAGGTCCAGGCAAAGAAGCAAACAACCAAACCTGCAGCCAACGAAGCCACAGCACCCTCAACCGAAGGCTGGGAAACTGTCAAGTACGATAACGACCAAGAAGAAGCCGATGCCGAAGAGGACAACAGAGTAAACCCTATGCTCTCTTCCAAAGACAAGCAAGCCCTCTTCCACCAACGTGCCTTTGCTGGCGACGACGTAGCCGTCGAGTTCGAAGCCGAGAAGGAAGCCCAAGTTGAAGACGAAGGCGACAAGGTCGAATCTACCTTCCTCCCTGGCTGGGGCTCCTGGACCGGTACCGGTCTTTCCAAGGCAGCGAGAAAGCAAAACAAACGCATGGCTCACAATCCTCTGCACAAAAAGGTCACCGAGGGTGTCAAGGCGGCAAACCGCAAAGACGCCAAACTCAACAACGTGATTATCTCGGAAGCTCAGCAGAGGAAGGGCAAGAAGTACTTGGCCAGCACGCTGCCTCATCAGTTTGAGAAGAGGNAGCAGTACGAGAGGAGTCTGCGTGTTCCTGTTGGTCCCGAGTGGACGACCAAGGAGACCTTCCAGCGCAACACTAGGCCTAGAGTTGTCGTCAAACAGGGCATCATTGCGCCTTTGGAGAAGCCTCTGCTGTAGATGTTGTCTCTACTTCTTCTATATAATATCATGAATGATATGTCAGTATCATAAATCGAAAAGTATTTGCATGGCAATTTAGTTCTCAAGACACCATAGACATCCATATCGACCTCTATCTGATGATGTCAAAAGTTATCTCCTTCCCTTCGAGTTCATCAGCACTCATCAAGAGCATGTGATCCTCGATCTCAAGCACATAACAATCAAGTGCGTGCTTTCTTCGACAAACCAAAATCGAGTCATACATCGATTGATCTTGACACCATTATGGGAGGGCTTGATTCTCAGGCCGGCAGCCCTGAGCGAGGATACGAATAGCGTCATTGCCAGGGGATCAATACGTATTTGAAGCTGTCAGTGTATGTGTGCAAAACTCCAGATCGAAGCTCGTGTCCGGGCCATAATCTGTGTAAAGAGAAGTGGCGCTGTAGATGTAGGCGTGGTCAACAAAGCTCAAGGATTGTTCATCTTTTGTCCAGTCGCGAGTTCATTTGACTTTGGCTCCGTTCCCAGTTCAGCATCCAACTTTTGTTTACGTGCACGCAATTCTGCTATGGTTCTGACATCCTCGTAGCCTCTGGGCATTGCTTGCAGGTGATTGCCGTTTGTGAAACACGACGGACAATCCCAGAGCGTTGGATCGTACTTCCTGAACCACTGCCGTTCAAAGTCAGTATGTGATATAGAGCAATCTGGGATGAGAGCGACACAGGTGTGCGGCATCATGTAGACCGTGGTGTGCTCAGATGTAACCACGCAAGACGAGTATAATGCCTAATCTTCTTATGATTCAGGCGAATGGCGTAGACAATTTTGCAAAGAAAGCACACCGGAAGTCGTCAGTTTGGGCAACCCCTGTCTTTATGGTACTTACCCAAAGTCTGAAGCCTCCGACTTTCGTCAAACCACAACTGGTACAATGTTTTGTAGTCCTTTGCTTGAAGTAGACCGGGACATGCGTCTTCCAATCCAGTTCCTCACGTACCCAAGCAAATCTCGCGCACCAGTTGTTGATTTGACGTCTCAACAGATATTCGTCTTCGTTTAGTTCACGCAGACTTGCATGCATTTTTGAGCGTATTCCTGACGCTTCCATCGGTGTTGATCATCTCTGTAATAATAGAATCTCTCGCGTTCTGATTTTCGCTCCTTCTTCTTCTTGTACAATTCAGGATCCATGTACATCCTCAAGAGCTCTTCTTGATGGTAGATCCTCATTGCCTCTCGAGATAGGTCATGGACATGGCAGAGCGAAAAAAGCGGGTGGTGGGCGGAGTCTGGGAACAAATCACACGTATGGCGAGACCTGTCCGCATAACTGAAAGGAACATGCTTTAAAGGAGTTTTGTAGCAAATGAAGTGCAATAAACAAAGAGAAGATCCAGAGTGGAGAGGGAAGTTGAGGCATGTGTCCGTGCGCTTTCCATTGCGCTTTCCATGTGTCTGGCATCGAGGATTAGGTATATGTTCTTTTCTACGATGGATCCACATTTGAGCAAATGGGCTATTCGGCTGAATCTAGAAGTAGATCTCTGGCTCTCTGCACGTAACTACCACAGAACAGAATCACTGGCACAAAAGAAGCTCTTAGCAACGGCAAGAAACGAAACAATCAGGAAAGGGCCAATGCCTCTCGAATACGACTATTTACAGTACAAGGTGTAATTAAGAGTGTCATTAGAGCATAAAGTAGTCGTCTACTTGAAGCGCTTCTCGGCGGCCTTCCAGTTAATGACATCCCAGATGGCGTTGAAGTACTCGGCCTTCTTGTTCTGGTACTGGAGGTAGTAGGCGTGCTCCCAAGCGTCAACACCGAGGATGGGTCTGAACTGGCCGACGACGGGGTCCTGGTTTGCGTAGGTTCTGATCTGGATGGCACCAGTCTGGGTATCTTGGACCAGCCAAGCCCAGCCAGAGCCCTGGATACCAGCCAGAGCGGCGTTGAACTTTTGCTTCATGGCATCGAGACTACCGTAGTGAGAGTCGATGGCCTTGGAGAGGGCGCCTGATGGAGGATCACCACCACCCTGCGACTTGGGTGCGAGGTTCTCCCAGAAGAGAGTGTGGTTGACGTGACCGCCTNNGTGATGATGGTGTCAGTGATTTGTGGGTATGACTGATGCAGAGCAAAGCGTCTCACCGCCGTGGAAGTTGATCAGAGGCTGGGTAGCAATCTGGGTCTGGATGTCGTTCTTTGCGCGAGCCTCCTCCATCTTCTCAGAGGCCGTGTTGAACGAGGTCACGTAGGTGTTGTGGTGCTTGGAGTGGTGAAGCTCCATGATCTGGCCGCTGATGGCGGGCTCGAGAGCGCCATAGTCGTCTGCATGAAGCGGTCAGTCCGAGGCTGCGCATAGATGGTCCAGAAGAGGCAGAACTCACAANGGCAGGTCGGGAAGAGTGGCCTTGCCGCGGGTAAAGGTGGTGCTGGCAACAGCTGCACGCTTGGTGGCAGAGGGAGCGCTGGCTCTGAGAGCAGAGCGCACGGCAGAGTTGCGGAAGACGGCTGCAGAAGACATGTCGGATCAATGTGATTGTGTTCGTCGATGGTTTCAAACAAGAGTCAAATGTCGACAGAGCACAGCTTCGACTTCTGAAGCTCCAAACATAAGTGCTGCGTCATAGCCGTATCCCCGAGCCAATTATATTCACCACGACCATCGACTTTCGCGGCCTTTCATTCCCTGCCTCGTAGTTGCATACATGCTCGAGTAGACAAGATCAGACACTGTTGGAAGCAATTGGACATACAGACTCTATGCTACACGCTTTTGATCGCTTGTAAACGACTCGTCTAGAGATTTAGGGAACAGAAAGGAAAAATAGTACAATTCGTCGTGTAGAAAATGCTTTGTACAAGAGGGTAGTGTCATCGCTTCCACCAAAGGAGAGTCGACTTGCTTGACTGAGGCCTGTGGGCGCGCGTGTCGTTTATCGGAGCTGCTTGAACAGCTTGGGGGCGGCGCATGCGGTTGCGCAGTGGGCGAGGTGGAAGACTAGACATGGGCATCAATATTGACCTCGCAATTGACGCACGACAGACGACAATACTCACATNTCCTCAACACAGTTCTCGTCGGCCTTGCCGTTCTCCTCCTGCTGCTTGGTGACGCGCTCGACGCAGTGGTCGTAGTGGTGCTTGTAGGGGGCGCACTCGGATGATCTGGCGCACTCTAGCATCTTGTCAGACATGTTCCTTGTCGGCTCCGCATGGGCAATGGCTCTTTGACGTACCTTCCTCAATCTTGGGCTTTGGGGTCCTCGGGCTCATCCTCCTCGTCCTCATCCTCGTCCTCCTCTTCCTCGGCATCCTCATCGTCGTCCTGATTGCCAACGGGACCACCGTGGGGANCCAGCGTTGTTGGCGCCGACCTGGCCGGAAGCAGCACCGCCGTCACCGGCGACGTGACCCTTCTCGTTCGAGGGCTCGGGCTTCTTGGCGTCCTGCTTGTTGGCCTCGGCCTCGGAGGCGCTCTCCTCGTCGGTGCCCGAGGCAGGGGTGTCGAGACTGACACCGCCCCTGGTGGTGGCGCCACGGGTTTGCTCAGCCGTGCCCATGCCGTTCTGTTGGTCCTTGGACGAGTTGAAGTCGCCCGAGGCGTACTTGAGGTCGTCCTGAACTTCAGCCTCGCATGACTGGACGGACAGAGACGAGTAGAGGTCGGAGACGTAGTCGAAGATACCCATGGTAGCGGTGATGAGGCGACTCTGAATGTGTTGACTGTCGTTGCTTGGAAGAGGCGGCCCTGCGAACCTTTCGACGTTTCCCCGTGCACGGACCAGTCACTTGGACCAATGAGAGTCGCTCCGATGGTCCCATCCCTCAAGTTCGTCTTTCTCTTTTCTCCTTCACATTTACACCTGTAATCACACACATTGCTGGACACATTACTTGTACGATAGACCCGATTGATATGGACAATCATGATTCGTTTCGAGGCATTACTTCATTATTCTAATCGCGTTGCATCGACTGCAGCACAGTCATAGCCTCTTGCACCGAGTAGCCGATGAAGACTGGTCCTGTAAACACCATCTGTGCAGTCTCATTCTTCTGTTCGCCAGGCTTTGCTTTGATGAAAACTGGCTGCTCTCCGACTTTCTTCTCTGTGGATGCTTCGAATTGGCCTTGGCGGATGAATGTAGGTTTGGTGTCGACATGCTCTACGTTGTCTGCAGCTGGTTTCTCCTGGACTGGTTTGATGGCCGGTTCGTTGACGATTCCATCCTCCTGGTCTTGTCCCGGTGACTTCTGTTGATCAAATCCGAATGGGCACTTTCCCTTAGGTCTTTCTGGTTGTGCTTCAAGTGGTGGCTGAGGGGCTTGAACCTCTGCAGCAGCAGCTACGCTTGATGACACGCTATTGTGACGGTCTTGTGCATCGATCGGTACTTGAATGCCCCAAGGTCGGCTCGGGCTTTCACCTAGACGGACATCCCTCAGTGGTCGATCGAAACGAGGCAACCGCTCATCCTCAGTTCCTTCCTCGTCTTTNTTCTCCTCAGCCGGAGCATCTGGACCTGTGTATACGGTGCTGGCCCACTTGCGGATCTTTTCATGGCTGGCACGCTCATCCTGATCAAAATCTTGTTCCGCATCCTGGTGTTCATCACCCAAATTCTCGGGCAAGAGNGACACGTGCTTTTGACCGAGCCCTTGAATCATACTGACGATGTTACCGTATTTTGCATCGAGCTGTCGGATCTGTTCCTCATTGCTTTGATATCTCTTTACACATATTTCGTGGCTCCTTGGAAGTTCGTGTTTGTGCAGTTCAAAGTAGGCAGCGACTTCCTCTGGACTGTGTTGATCGAGGAAGCGAATCGGGCAGACTTTGTCGGTAGACGAACCTTGGACCGATGGTGCGGTGTCTGGGTTCTTCTTGTGTGATTCCATGGCACAAACCTCTTTGATGGGATCAACGACTGAATTCCGCGCGCTAGAAGAGTTGCGTCGTCCGTTGATACGCGAGCCCGAGGTGCGTGGCTGTCGAACAGATTCGGGCTTATAACGAGATACAACCGAAGCGGCGTGCGAACTCAATTTGCGCCTTTCCATGGAAGCAAAAGGGCAATCAAGTCTGCTCGGGGTGCCCGGGACAGTAAAGTCTTGTTCGAGTGGAGACTCTGATATGGAGGGCATGGCAGCAGATGAGGTGGGAGCGGAGGATTTGTCGGCCGAAGGCCCAGAATGGATGACTACGCCGGTCGAACGCAGCGAATTTGAGGTACGAGAAGCGGCAGTGATTTTGTCTCGACGGCTGGCGTCAACTATCTTAGAACTATTTATCAAGCTCTCGAAATCAACGGCTAAAGGGAATGCCGCAGAAGCTGAGAGATCGAGGGGCTTAGCCTTTTCAGGACTGAGGGCGGCAAGGCGCGAATACTGTTTGTTCAAGTCAGCGGGTGTGCCAGCAAGAAGTGGGTTGATAGTCGGGTGTGAGGTGGGCAAGAAGGATCAGTAACATGCTATGGTGTGTTATCTGTCAAAGCTGCGAACAGCTGCAGGTCTAGAGCTAAAGGTTGTTCATCACAAGAGGAGGGTGTGCTTGAGAAGAGGAGGGCGTGGTGGACTGACCTGTGACTTTGCCGTGACCAGCTGAGCCTCGAGAACGGCACATCGCGAGTAGACACGCTGATACTCCAGTCGCAAGGCGTCGAAGCCGTCCAGCAAGCTCTGCAGCTGCTTTTCGACGATAGACGCCATGATGAGCAGATATGCAGATCAAGTTACAAGACGTGTAGTGAGAACAAGGTGGAAAGGTTGTTGAATGCGGCAGCAACAAAGAGAATTCGGGAGCGGCGCACGGGGATGGAGCGCGGCTTGGCGGACGGAGATACGGGGCTTAGAGCTGAGGCAGGCGGTGCCGAGGAGCTGACGCAGGAGCGCATGCGTGGCATGGCAGGCTGGGCATGGTATAACAAATGGTTGACACGAGGTCCACGTTCTTTCTCCTCAAAGCAACGTCGAAATGTCCTCTGCCCATCTGACACGCCTCAGCAGATGGCTTCTGTCGTCTCCGCCCGCAGAATGGGGTGTCCAGCGGGTTAGGGAGCTGCTGATCGGAGCATTGCGACAAGGGCCCATTCCAGGGCACGTTGCCTTTGTCATGGATGGAAACCGACGATATGCGCGCACGCATCATATCGAGACGGTCGAAGGCCATCATCTAGGTTTCGAAGCCCTCGCTCGTGTATGTCCGCGCCTGAGCTATACCTAGATCTAGAATTGACCCAGGGACAGANTACTCGAAGTGTGCTACAAGTCAGGGGTCAAGGTTGTCACCATCTACGCTTTTAGCATTGAGAACTTCAAACGCTCCAAGTACGAAGTCGACGCTCTCATGGACATGGCCAAGCACAAGCTGAACCAGCTGGCCCAGCACGGCGAGCTCCTCCATCGCTACGGCGCTCGCATCCAGATCTTGGGACAGAGAGATCTCGTACGGCCTGACGTGCTAGAATCCATAGACGAAGCTGTTCGCCTGACCAGCAACAACACCAGAGCTGTCTTGAATGTTTGCTTTCCGTATACCTCACGCCACGAGATGACACACGCCATCCGCGAGACTGTCCGCGAGTACTCGACCCCTCTGCGCCATGTCAACAAGCGTCCCTTTTCCGAATCCCATATTGCACGCCATTTGCGTACTACTCAACTGAGCCAAGTCCAAGAAGAGGCTGAGGCCGACGAAGACAACACCGAAGAGACGGACGACTCGAACATCAGTGCCGCGTCCACCGATGATCACCCTCCTTCATCTCGCACATCAAACTCCGCGCACTCACCTGCCTTTAAACCTACAAGACCCCAGACTGTGTTTCCGGACCCCGAGACCATCACTGCGGATACCATCAATGCCCACACATTTACTCATGACGCGCCTCCTTGCGACCTTCTGGTTCGGACCTCGGGCGTCCAAAGATTAAGCGATTTCATGATGTGGCAGTGCCATGAGCATACGAGCATTGTGTTCTTAGAATGCCTCTGGCCCGAGTTTGATCTTTGGCAGTTCCTTCCTGTCTTGGTCGAGTGGCAATGGAAACAACGTAAACTCAATGACGCTCGAGCCTTTTCACGCTCCTCCCGATCCCTAAAAGCCTGTTAAGAGCTACAGACCTGCTTTCATTATCCATTTCATACATACCAAAAAGCGAGCGACACGATACCCTCTAGAAACAACATGGCATTCTGGTCTGGTTTTGATCATTTCCTTCTTCCAATTCCTCCTTCCCTTTTTGGCTAATTCTGGCGCTTACACCGAGATACACTCCTGAATACCTATTTCTTTGAACTTTCTCATTACTCGTAGTTCGTGTCTCCAGTCACGTCGGGTGTTGACCATGTTGCGATTGCATTGGCGTTATATGCGTCTTTCCACAACTTAAGCGCCGAATGCAAAGCCACACACGCGCTAATGCAGCCATTTGATCAATCACTTCGCCTGCCACCCCACTTGCTCGCCATTGCCAAATATACTTACAAGCACTTCCTGCTGCTGAACTTCTTTTCTCTCTCCTTCCCATGTCTGCTTTTGCTATTGCACTGAGTAGTCGGCCTCGACGACTCGACAATGGTTGACCGAATGGTCCGTCTGTTTCAACATATCCTCCTTCCAATATTCCTAGCATCACTCGTACAAGCGAGCATCTGGACGGTCGACATCGACAACGGGCCAGCTCCTTCCCCGGAAGACGGTCCTCCTCTGTCCGTTCATGCTTCCCGAGATTCTAGCTTGCTTGCCGGTCAAATCTGTGGAATCATAGGCGCTTATTTAGCGACTGTCTTCATTCTCGGAAGTCTTCTTCTCACGGTCGGAAGACGAATGCGACGAGCGGCCCTTTCGGCTTATCTTGCGACATCGGTAGAAATGGTCAAACCAACTATCAATCAATTCGACGATTCACCACTGAGTCCACATTCTCAAAGATCCTGGTATAGCCCTCGAAGGTTGAAAAAGAAACGCAGTATGCAAGGTAGTACCAGGACGGTCAGTAATCCTGGCAGTCCAGCGGTCCAGAGTATCGCATCCTTCGACCCTGGTGTGATTGAGTCAGACAGGGTGGCTAGACAACAAGAGCTGGAACATCTATACGCGGCGGCGCTGGCGCAGGAAGCAGCCAAATCTCGAAATACGGTCACAGAGGACGAAATGTCTCTACCCGAGCCCACGTCCTCCAGGTCGAGAAGACAACCTCCGAGGCTTCTGACATCGACTCCTGCTCTTGCACATTTACACTTGCAAGGTTCTCAGATCAGCCCTGTGTCTCCCAGGAGTCCGATTCGAGCCATATATCCTCCACGCTCTCCTCATTTCCACCCAACATCGCCCATATCGCCCATATCGCCCGTGCGGCCAGATTATGGACAAGTCGCATCTCCAAAGTTAAGAATGCCAACATCCCCAGGCGCAGCATCGACACGTACGCGGACATCGTCATTCGGATCTCAAGTCGAAGGCAAACGTCCTCGAAAAGGACTTCGTAACTTACGTATCCAGCATCGCCATTACCCAAGCGAAGTCTCTGACGAAGAGGTACGCACTCCTTTGACTCCACGATATTATATCGACCCAGGTATTCCGCCCAGCCCACTACCCAGAAGTGAGGCGCCTACTACGCCAGGCACACATGATGGCTACGGAACACCTGTAGATGCCGAAAACTTTGACGAAATCAGAGCCATGCCTCGACCGGAACCACAGAGAGCCGGAAGCTATCAATACGAGATCGCACGGGTGGCAGGTGCTGCATCCAGGCAGACGGAACTCAGATTAGATACTGCTGTTTCGGGCGGCTGCAGCATCAACAATCTATCTGTGTCTACCATGGGGACGCTGCCTTTTCGTGCCATGGTACAATCAGATGGTGTGCCATTGGCATCACCTGGTCTCGTCACAAAGACCACTTATCTTGAGAGGCGTCGCGACATGTTGAGTGCTCCTCGTACAGGCATGGCTACACCGTACAGTCCGTACATGCCATTCACGCCCGTGACACCTGTGACACCTCATTTGACAAGCAGAGCAGAGAGAAGACAGCGTGAGAGGGATCGAGGAAGACGTGCTCCAGCCGCGATAGACCAAGTTATCGATGAGGAGGATATGTGGGGAAGTGGTTATTGATGTTTTCTCTCTGTTTGCGCCAGGTGTTGCAGTAATTTGATGATGTGTATCATGATAGTTCACCTTAAAGACCGTTTGAAGATAATCTTTTCCAATACAGAGTCACACTCCCCTTGTTCGGCGGTCTCGGCATCGTGAGTTTCCTTGACTCCGCGTGGGGGTTGACGTGGGCGACCCTGCTCCACCAATCTGAGACATTCCGATTATATCAACTCTGATGTCACCGTCACCACATTGAGCGGAGTATAAAACCAGAATCGACGGCTCTCAGCATCGCAACTCTCTTCAGTTCCTAATCGCACTGCACTGAGATACAACTAACGAAACCAAAACAATGTGGTTCCCATCCCTCGTACAGATCCTCTACCTTATCTTCCTCAGCGGCCAATCCTACGCCATCTTCTTGCACTTCTTCAAACCCTCCACAGGCCTCGTCAACTCCAACCGTCTTCTCCAGGTCAAAGGCCTCTCTGTTCTCGCCATTTTGATATCTTTTCCCTCCATCTTTGCGACCAGTCTCCCTTCCGCTGTCTCCCACTCTACAAACACTGGATTACTGCACCTGTTATCCTGGGTCTTCCTAGCCGGAAGCTCGCTTTTGGGCATCTGGTGCGGTCAAGTCACCGGCCAGGGGAATCTTTCCGTCATCTTTGGCAAGGTGACCCCGAGGGAGGTTATCAATACTGGTCCTTATGCTTTGGTCAGGCATCCGGTTTATGTGTCTTATGCGCTTGGCTGGTTGGGATCTTTGATTGCCATGCAGCAGGAGTGGAGACACAACCATGCGTTCTTTGGGTTCATCAGAATGGTGGCAATGGCTGTTGTTGTCATAGGCCTGTTCGGCTTGTACAGGGAAGGTGCTGACTTGGAGGAGAGACAGTTCATGTTGAACGAGGATGTGGTCAAGGGAGAGACTGTGGAGTTGGGCGTCAGAAGAAAGTACGAAAGCTACAAGAGCGTGGTGGGCGCAAGATGGATTCCCGGTGTCATCTAGACAAGCGAGAGCGAGAGAGCCTTAGTGGTGGAAGCAATGAGATTGACTTGTTCCTGCCTCATTTGCGCCTGCTGTTACAAGACTGCGTCCAATGAACCAAGCCTGCCTAATGCAAGAAAAAGAAATGTCACAAACGCCGTCCGCCCTTTCCTCATTAATACATGGTTTGTCGGCAACCATGAAATTGTCGTGGGGTATCATCTCATCGTACACATGACTGCATCAGAGAGTTGGCCGCGTTCAAAGGATGCGACCACTGCTCAATCTCCTCTCCAACTCGTCTTCCACAGTCTCTCTCTGCACCTGCTCGTATCCTGGAGGTGGCTCGGCAGGTGGTGTAAAGACTTCTGGCGCGTGTGACTCGGGCGAGGCTGGAGCTTGCCTCGATGCAGGTGCCGGAGTAGCCTGTGCCTGAAGTTGAGGAATAGACACCGAAGCACCAGATTCCTCATAAGCAGGCAAGTCGTCCAGATGCACGTTTGCAACGTCAACGGCAGCAAGAGTATCTCCTCCTCTTCCCCGTCCAGCCTCACTGCCATCGCCTTGGAGATGTCCTGATTGCCTCGCGACATCAACTTGTTGCTGTAGTCTCTCTTTCACCCTCTCATATCCAGAGTGGAAATCGTATGCTCCTCCGTCCTTGAATGCGAACTTGAGTTCTAACGCGGGGATGTGGGCAGGAATGCCACCGCCTTGAACAGGTTGTACGAGGGCGGTCCACACATTNGGTCCTATCCAAGGTGCGACGACATGCGAATCGTGAGTGTTGAGAAGAGGTGCGGCGAATGACTGAAGTTGAGGTGTCGGTGTAGAGGGCAGGTAAACGAGGCGGCGGTTGGTGAGGTACAAGGTGCCGGCAGAGGCTGACCAGTAAACAGGCTCCTTTCCAGGGAACTTGTTGAGTGACTGCAGAGAGAAAGTGGTGCGGGCTGGCGACTTGTAGAGAGTTTGTTCGTGTGGGAGGGGGNNAGTAAAGGGTTGCGTTGATGAGGGCTCCAGCATAACCCAGCTTTGCTGTCGTCAGCCCCTTTCCATCCGACCTTCAGGGTTCGCGCGATACTCACTTGACCGACATGTTTGCGTCGTTGTGAAGTGTTTCAGCAAAAGTTTGTATGTAATGCGACGGGCTATTCTAGCTGCCTCTGAGAAGCATGTGAAAGATATATCCACCGCCAAGCCAACGTCATCTGTCGCCCTCCGTCCTCGTTGAAACTGCTTCCACCACCTTCCATCCATACCATGATCTCACCCCGAGCAATCACCTTCTTTCCCTCAAGCAATCTGTTCTACTTCGTAAGCTTCCAAGCAATATTCTCTCTGTCCATTAATCAACCATCTCGACACTGTCCCCAAGCTCTGCAACCAACCAAGCTCGCAGCTCCTCCTTCTCCCTCTTTTCTTTACTTTCTTCGCTTTCTTCGTGTCTCTGGTCGTCTTGTATCTCCTCCTCGTATGTTTCCAGTGTTGCTTCATCGTCCGTTCTGGCTTTCTTTGCAGAGAAGTAGGCCGACGGCACATTCTCGTCGCGTTTGCGTTTGACCATGCCTGGCGTTGTCGAGTGATCGTCATCAAGACTCTGATCGAATATTGCTACTACATCTTCAAACCCATCTGAGAAGCCATCAACGCGTTGAGCATGCGGCGTCACGAAGAGCTCTGGCTCTTCATTGACCTCTTGATAGTCCGGTTCATAGTTCGGCATATCAAGACTCTGAGCACCTTGTGTAGGTTCGACGATCTCGTCCGAACCCCGAAGGCTCCGTGAATCTTCCAGGCCGACCAAAGCCGCGTCCAGCATGTCCTCATCCTTGTCCAGGTAATCTTCATCATCTGACAGCATCTTGTCGTTGTCATGATCGCAGATTTCAAGAATAGAATCCACCAAGGGGCCATCATCACAGAACTCTTCCGCGATGTTCCCCAGAGGATTCAGACTTTGATAGAATTGTGGTCTGGTGATATTTCCAATAGAAGCTGATGATTTGGGCGTAACAGAACTCGCTCCCAGGATCGGAATTTCGCTGGATCTGGTTGTACTATTGTGAAGACTGGCAAGACGTGCAGCTGCTGCGGGCACCCTGACCTTTGGCGGATCAGAAGCCTGGGATAAGTCGAGGTGCTCAACAGGTCCACCGATTGCTTTTCTTCTGATTGGAAGCTCCAGCTTTGATTGTACCTTGGTCGATGACGAGGAAGATGTCTTGTTCTTGCTCGCAGTGGCAGTTGGTCTGCTGTCCTTGGACTTCCTTGGTTTCGGTTTCTTCTCCATTCCTTCCTTGCAACACTTATGCTTGCAGGCATTCCTGTCTTTGCAAGAATGGTTACAAGCAAATCTTCCGTTCTCCAACCTCTGCTCGTCCGGAGCCTCGAGAGTGTTGGCAATGGCAGTCTTGTTCTTTAGCTTTTCGGCCTTTGGTAGACTGAATATCGGCAGGTCGAGTGCGTCGACGTCCACATAGTCGTCCTCCTTAGATTCAGCACCAATAAAATCATCATCATTCAAACCTCCATCATCCCACTCGTCGGTATCAACACTTGCTTGCAGTGTGGTCGAGGTTCTTGTGGTAGCACTTGTTGACCGAGTAGCTTGTTTGTCTCTGCCAACGTCTGCTGTGGTATCCTTGATGAGTTGAAATGCTGAAAGTGGTATGTCGGGCTTGAGCACAGCTTCCTGCATAGTTCCAGCTGGAATATGTTAGTCAGACACTAACTCTTAACCATACGGCACAAACCCAGGTCATCAATCATTCCATAACACTCAAGCAACTGGGTAGGGCTCGTCAAGTACGCGGTTTCGGTTATTGGGTTGATGTTTTGTAGCTTGGCGGCACTGTTGAACTGGTAAGTTTTATTGCCACGGACGAGCGAACATTCTGCGTACCTGAGGCGGAAAAACTTGATCCTCTGTCCATCTGAAGTGCCAAGTAAAACAATCACAAAGACTGGCTTGTTTCGATAATGAACGGGAGTCTTTTCGTTCAAGAACCCAATGTCTATCTTCAGCTTTACAGCGACATGCTCTCGAGACTTNGATCATCTGATTGTAGCAATTAGCTCAGTCCCCAAAGTAACATGATATAGTATCCTTACAGGCTGTCCAACGAGTTGCAAACCAACCCTCAGCTTAGGGAACGTCTGGATTCGACGATGCATTGTCATGCCGAATGGCGAAGCTTTGTTGAGGACAAGTTCCAGTCTGCCCGGATCCGTATTTGAGAGCTCATCCAGAGTGGTGATTCTTGCATCTACCAGCTTCCTCACGGCTACTGGGCCAATCTGCTCGATTTGTCGGATTACCATTGGTGAATCATCCCAAACCCGCGCAGCCAGACTGCGTGATAAGATGAGAGAGTTGCGTATGCCGACTGCATCTTTGTTAATGTTCTGGCAATCAACGATGCATCGAATCAATCGGTGAACATGCTGAAAGATCAGAGATCGATCGATGCTATATTGGACCCGATGATTGGCTCGATCGGCAATATGACCAATTCCACCCAGTGCGGCTTGTATGATCAGGGATACTTTGTGTGCCACAGCGGAGAGATCAACTTTGATGGGAAAGCGAATGTCGTTCATGCCGTTCATTTCCTTGTATAGCGGTTTTTCGCCTGAACGGAATCGAAGTTCTCTGAACTCATGAGCTTGCGATATAATGGTCAGCNNTGTGATATATGTCAGTAGGCAATAACGATGCAAAGAGTATGTACAACCACATACAATCTCCGATATCTTTGGCTTTCTTGGGAGACTCAAGATCGACTCCATGGTCGCAATATTCATGTAGTAGCGTGCCATAGCATCTCCAAATTCAGTTGACTTGAATGTTGGGCCATGCCCGATCAGCTCGAGTCTTCTGAGTTCTGAGATAGTGTTCTCGCAAATCTGTTCCAGTCTGGCTCCGAGGTTTCGATCCGGAGTATCACCATTTATTTGGTAGTGTGCTGGGTTGTCTTGGAGTCGTACTTTGAGAAATGTGCCAGCGAGCCACTTCCTTGCTGCACAGAGATCCGGAACCATGCCCAACCCGATCTCTGCATTGAGGTGCTCGACAAGATTGAGATGCAAACTANNTATGCATGTCAGCGTTCGTGCTCTGAAACACCACATCCAAGGATAATACCAGCTCTCCAACCGTTCTTGGCCACTTAGTAGCTGCTCATAGTGCTTGAATTGCTGCATCTTTGTCATGATTATAGCCAGAGCCGACGAATCGAACTGTGGTCGACCAGCCCTTCCAATCATTTGCATGACTTCCAAGNNATCCGAGTATTCTTTGATGGCTCCAGCCTCGTAGCTGACAGTGTTTTTGATGATGACCATGTGACAAGGCAGATTCATACCCACTGCTAGTGTTGAAGTACAACAGATCACACTCAGATCTCCTGCGAGGTAAGCTTTTTCTATCGTAGTACGATCTTGTTGACTGAGGCCTGCGTGATGGACAGCAACTCCAGCAGTAACAGTGTCTGTAGGCGTCAGTATCTTGCGGCAACAAGTCGACGAGAAATACATACTTTGCAAATCTTTATTCTCAACTGTGATTTGGCCTAAAGAGGCATGCCAATACCTGTCTCTAGGTATGCTGACCTTCCACCACTCAGCAAGGAGTTTTGCTGTCTCTGTACATGCCTTTCTGGTAAAGCAAAACACCATAATTGGCTTTNNTTGAGAGTACTTGGTGATGACATCCGGTAGCCTGCTCATAGTTAGTAAGAGGTGACATGATACTACAATGATCTCAACTAACTTTTTGGTCAGGATGGCGTCAAACCCGAATGCATTGGCATTCGATTGATAACCACAAACGTGGCGTTTGAGTTCGACAGGACGGAACTCTTCACCAAATCTCTTATGAGTAGCTGGGACTTCGGGAGTATCTCCATTTCTTCCAAGCCATGTAGCGATGTCTTGTGAGTTGAGCACTGTAGCGCTGAGAGCGATGAACCTTGTGTCAAAGCCAATGGATTTCATCCTAGAAACAACAACTTCAAGTGCCGCACCACGATCCTTGTTGAGAATGTGAACTTCATCAATGAGGAGCAACTTTATAAGGCGGACCAACTTCTCATGATCTTTCCATTTTCTCGTCATCGAGTCCCATTTCTCTGGCGTGGTCACAATAATGTCGGCTCGCTGGACGTGATGGAGCGAGGTGATATCCGAATCGCCAGTCATCTCTTCGCACTTCAGATTCAACGGCTCAAATTTGGCCTTCCAATCATGAGTCCTTTCGGAGCACAAAGACTTCGTTGGAGCCATGTAGATGACTTTGAATGTGCCATACTGCCAGCCCCGAAGCATGCGACAGATGGCAATTTCAAAGAGCACAGTCTTGCCGCTGCCTGTAGGAGATGAGAAAACACAGTTGTCGTCAGACTTGTATATGCTTTCGAAGCAAGCGGATTGAACAGCGTTGAACATGGCGAATGGGAAGATGGTCTGAAATCGATCCGGGAGTGTATGTACGGGGACGAGCTGGATTCCTTGGATGATAGGAGGGCCCGTTGGTATGTCTGGCCTCTTTTGCTGTACTTTGGTATATGATCGACTCGGGATCGTGGGTTCGGGATGATGCTGCCTTTGGCTGGCTTGGTAGGCTGGACTGGACGGCAGGGCGTTCGGAGGTGATGAACTACTTCCTTGTTGCTGGAAGATCTGATGTGATGGTTGAGGAACTAAGGGGCCTGCGGATCTGAGATGGTGTCTCGTTCCTTCTGAGGGCTCTTCTGCATATTCTCTCGTGTACTCCTCAGGGATTGAGGGTACATAATCGTACGCTTGATAGTCATTGGCTTCAAAAGGAACTGGCGCAGAGGGTGGCAAAGACAGTCGAGCCCTACCAACAGCGGCCTGGCTCTGGCGTGTCGATGTAACTGCTCGGCGTGGGCATGACGGTCCTAGAAAGGTCAGCTTTTGNGGACAGCTTGACTGCAATCTTTGATCTTAAAAACCGTAGCTGCTTTGTCCGTTCTCGTAGCTTGCATTTCGGATGTATTCATCTACATCGTCGTCTGCATATTGCTCGTACGGCATGCAGAGGCCGTATGGATCGCCCGCATACATGGCACTTGAAGTGTATCGAGTTGATGAGTCGTTGGTTTTTGATAGTTGGGTCGAAAGGATGGAAGAAGACACGATGGCACTCGTGAAATCAGTTCGCAAGGAGGCTTTACCTCGTACATCTAGGCAGTCACGTCACGGTCGATTGCTTCGGATGGCAGGCACTAGGGCTCTCCGATAATTAGCCCCATTTTGCACGTGAATGTTTTACTGCAATTGAGGAAGGAGCTCTGGACGAGAACCCAAACAACACTCATCAGGAGACCACTCTAGGTGACACATTTTCACCGCATGTCAGCAGAGTCAAATCGAAAAATATTGATCATGTAGACATCTGAAAAGATTAGGTGACTTCAAGGCTGCTTTATTCTTCTCTTTTGAATCCACCTCCACGACGTTCAAAGTTGACTGGCGTGCTTGGTCTGCTAGTTGTCAGAGCTTCCTTAAAGCTTGATCTTGCGTTCGGAGTGCCCCTGTTGTCACTATACGGCTGTTCGTGGCCAATAGTTGTCTTCTCATATTCAGCAACCACGATTTTTAGCGGACGAGGTCCATGGTCGCTAGTCCACAGGTACGTGGCAAGAAGAACAGTCGCAGTGCCGACCAAATANCTGTGCCATGGTGGTCAGTCACTTCTCACATCAAGGATCTCAGAACTTACACTGGTGGTGATTTTGAAATGGAAAAACCACACACTTGCTAGGAAGCTGATGACGATGCTCATACTCGTGGCGAAATTCTTCGCAATGTTGTCGGAATAATTCACAACCAGAGCCACGAGTACACCACCAACGGCCTGCAAAAGACGNGCGCTCCACACCACCCAATTGTAGCCTGAGAAGAAGCCATGCTTTGCGATGTCCGCACCATCGTTGAAGATGACTCCTATGAAGAGGGAAGGAAACAGCGAGTAGAAGGAAAGTTGCACGTTCCGTACCCAAAGAGAAGTCTTGCTGTTTGAGTCCTTGAGAACCTTTTCAAAATACACACCAGCTAGGCCGGATAGTACGCAAGCGACCAAGACGGCGGCCAGACCGATTGAAGCATTGAGCTGAGGATGTTGCATGGCAAAATCTTTGTCGATGCCCTCATATGTAGCAGATCTCTTCACCAGCTGCCCGGCAGCACTGCTTCCCATATCTCGCATCTCTTGAATTGTGCGAGGAAAATGAAGGCCTGCATTGGCTTCCCTCAGATCCTTGAAAGTGGGCATGGCTGGACCGGAGCTAGCAGGAATCTGCACTATGGCCACGCCTGCCATGAGCAATAGTAGGGAAGACCACTTCTTCAAACCCAGAGTGTGTCCAAGCATGGTGACGCTGAAGATAGCGGTGGTCAAGATTTTCAGTTGATATGTGACTTGGAAAGTCGCAGCATCCAGGTTGCTTACGGCAACATATTGTAGAGAATTTTGCAGAGTGTAGAGCATAGCCGGTATGGCCAATCGCCAGCTGTCGTCGGTGAAGACACGACGCATGAGTTCGGTGAAAAGTGCGGTCGCAGAGGAAGAAGTAGCCATGTCTTGCGAGAGATCGTAGAGAGCCATAGTGAGCGAGATGGCGAGCTTGATGACTTCGTTGAGGAAGACGGCGGTCGAGGTATAGTACCGCTGGCCATCAACAGCAGGCATGATACGTGAGTAGTGCATAACCNNTATGCAGACTGTCAGTACATGCCTGGGAGAGTGTTGGGCCGGGCATACCAAGATCAAGGCAGAATTTTGGAATGTCAACNNTGTGTGGCATCGTTAGTTTCATGACCAGCGAGTCAACAAGTCTAAAGCGAGCCGTACAGTGAACAAAGTGAGGTGCTTCATTGATATCCCGAAAAGGGTGGCAGACCGGCGCGAATCAATCATGGCGAACACGGGGGTAAGAGAGTTGGCTCAAGGAGGAGAGGGGAGGGTCGGGTGGCCGACTTCTATAGACTGAAGGCGGACAGAGAGATGCAAGTACGAAAGATAACAGGTGATCATTTGTAAACTTTATAGATCAAAGTGGTGACTGCACGAGTAAGGTCCAAGTAGTATAGAGCACGCGCCGCGACCCCAAGGATGCCAAAACTTTCCCCATGCGGGGGATGACAGGAACTTGCTGATGACATTGCGGATATAACGCTGACGGGAATAACACATCTGTGGTGAACAAGCTGCTGATAGATCACTTTGCTGACTATGTATCATTCTATCTGGTGTCTGTTTGCAGCATGCTGGCTCCAGCTTGTTACTGAGCAGCAGTGATTTCTCCCGGTTACAACACAGGTGCTTTGCAGTGGGCGGTATTGCGTATGCACAAGAGACACTGCAAGGTACGAATCGCCGGCATACCCTTTGCTTCCGCTGCATCCGTCGATTGCCCAGTACTTCCAAGAATACCCCCTTGATATGCTTCCTTGACCAACGCCGCGCTAAAATCATAAAAACCAAAGAGAAAGGGATGCGACTACTTTTTCACTGCGTTGTAGTCCTTGAGAATGCCCACCATGTGCGTGTTGGTGCTTCGGCCAACCTTTCTCGAAGTGCGCTTCTTCTTGTCCTTTCCGCCAGAAACCTTTATTACTTCCTTGACCTGACTGGTAGGAGTAATGCCAGCTTTCTCAAGTTCAATTCTCAAGTCGCCAGGATTGGCAGGCAGAGTGATCTTTGTCCAATAATCCTTGAAGTCCTGGTCGATGCGTTGATCGAGCGAGGGGTCATTGGGCCAGACCATTTTGGGAATATTGTCCTTTTTCTGCCTCACGACCAGAAGTTCGCCTTTGGATTCGAGACGCTCAATCTCGGGAATGGCATCTGGCCAGCCTTCTTTGAGCTCCTTGACGCTGATGCCTTGAGCGGTGTGTTGGCGCTGCAAGTAGGCCTTGAGATCATCGGCAGAGCGAACATTGTGAACGGGACGAAAACGAAACGAGGGATGCTGTCCATCGAGGCCTTTTGGATCATAGTCGACTTTGGGGTGCTCCATAAGCGCGCGGCGCAGGACTTGACGATGCTGCTGCTGGTTGGCAGGAATGGAGAGGTAGTTCCATATGTCGGTGAAGCTGATGGGACGGTCCTTGGACTTGAGGTAGTCGATGGCGTAGACGACCTGGGTCATGACCTCTCTGCCCGAGCCCGTGTCGGCGGGTTGTGAATAAGCGGCATTTTGTGGGAGATCCTGACGTTTGCGCTTGAGATCTGTAGGCTGGGTGGCAGGAGTAGAGGGACGCTGTACGGGGACAGGAACGGTGGCAGCGGGGCGCTTCTGCTGGGTGTTGCGAGTGGTGGCGGCCGAGAACTCGCTGTTGAAACTATTGAAAGAAGCCTTGAGAGACATGCTGGCGGGAGTGTCGGCCGATCAAGGCGGCGAGGATGCTGGAGGGTGTTGCTGATGGAGGGTGACGACAGCAGGCAGACAGTCGAGGAAGGATATGGGATGAGGTGGTCGCACGTGTAGTCACGGCGTGGTCGATGTGTCGAGCGGGAGTCTTGACTCTTGAAAGTGACGGAGTTGCAGGCAGCCGCAAACGGCATCGGTCAGTGCGTCAACAGGCAGCTCGGCCTTGGTCGTTGCACGCTTCCATTCTTTGTACCAAGTCTTGCAACTGCTCGCAGCCGACTCACTGCACAAGACACGCCCCCAATTGCGTGTCGCTCCGTTGCTCTTGTCGTTTGCGATATTCACTTTTCTTGTCACGCGTCTCGTTCGACCCCGACACGTCCGCCTCGCCTTTCCGAAGCTTCATGACATTCAACTAGCCGTTAAACCATTGCGACAATGAGGACGCGCGCCCAGGCCGGCGCCGTCGACACGGCTCTCATTGCCCAAGCCTTTTCCATCGACGAGCCTCAGCTTGATTCTCTTCTGGATGCTCCCACCCAAGACTTGATCAAGGACTTTCTGTCGACCCTCACTGCCAGAGCAAAGGACTTTGACAACCTTAAGGCCGACAAGCTCAGATCCGATGTTGAGCTGGAGAACACCGTCCGCGCCGGAGAGTCAAAGGTCAAGGCTCTCAAGGCCACTCTGAACAAGAACGCTCAAGAAATCCAGGACCTGCGCAAGTCTCTCGATGATCAACGTGTGTATCTTGACTTCCACACATCACTTCTCAAGCCGCTAATCTCAATCGACAGAAAACGCTCGCGCCGAGCTTCAGACCGAGCTCGACTCTGTAAAGGCTTTATCGTCAGATTCAAACTCCGAACTCGACACTCTGCGTGCCCGCATCGCCTCTCTCGAAACGTCCAATCGCGAGACTCTTTCCGTCCTCGAATCAAAGTCCACTGCTCACGACGACCTTGCTCAGGAACTTGCCACCCAACACCAGAAGACAATCTCCCTGCGTCGTGACATATCCGCTTTGGAAGAGAAGAACCAGTCTTTGGAGAACGCCGCATCAAGTGCCAAGTTCAAGGAGCAAGCTCTTCAGCAGGAGGTTGATTTGCTCAAGCGAAACAACGAGTGGCATGAATCTGAACTCAAGACGCGCACCACTGAACACACAAAGTTCCGCAAGGAAAAGAATGCTCGCATTTCTGAACTGCAGCGCGCCAACGAGGATGCAAACGCCACAGTCGACGCTCTGAAGCGTACAGAGACAACCCTTCGCCAGCGCCTGGAAGAGCTGGGCCAAAAGGCAGATGATGCCTTTGCCAAGATCCAACAGATGCAAGAAGGTGCTTCCAAGGCCGAAGAATCTTTCCGTGTCGAACTAGACAGTGCCCGTAGACTCGCCGAACTCCAAAAGCAGAGTGCAGACACCGCCAAGGCACGCCTACTGGATCTCCAGAACAACATCGATCAGATGAAGGAGAACGCAGCAGAGGAAGTCGGCCAGCTTCAGGCCGAGATCGAGACTGAGAGAGCCGACCGTGAGGCTGTAGAAGCCAAGCTTGCCGAACTGGAACTCGAAGTCGAACGCCTCCAAGCTGCCGCTTCCGAGGCACAGAATAATGCTTCCGTCATGGCTACTCCTAAACGCAACTCTAATGGCTTAGCACCAGCAACCCCTGGACGTGATGGATCACCTGCCCTCTTCACCCCTGGATCTGCACGCATGAAGGGCAACATGAACTTCACTCAGCTCTACAGTGAGTACAGCACCATGAAGTCAGACCTGGAAGCAGAGAAGCGCAGGAACTACCTGTTGAGCAACGAGCTCGATGAGATGATCCGTGATCTTGAGAACAGGGGTCCTGAGCAGGAGGAATTGCGCGAGGAGAAGGAACGTGTCGAGGCTGAGATCCTGGAAATGTCTTCGATGCTCGATGTAGCCTCAATTGAACGTGACGAAGCACGCAAGGAAGCGCGTAACCTCAAGGGTCAGACCGAGGGACTTTCGAGAGAAGGCGATATTCTTCGTCAACAGCTCCGCGACCTTAGTGCACAGATCAAGATTCTTCTGGTTGAGATGCAAGCTCGTGATCAGGGTTTGGACGCTCTCGACACTGCAGGTCAGATGCAGCTGCAGATGATTGCCAACGGTGAGCTCGACGATCAATCCTCAGCAGCAGACGAGACCTCTGCAGGAGCCTTGATCAGCCAAAGACTGTTGCTCTTCAGAAATGTTCAAGAATTGCAGGAGCAAAACGTACAGCTTCTGAAACTCAACCGCGGCCTTGCCGATCGCATGGAGGGTGAAGCTGCAAAGGCCAAACAATCGGAGACTGAACAGGCATTGCAGGAGCTTGACGAGCTTCGTGATCGTGTTCAGAGACACCAAGATGAGATCAAGTCCATGACCACTCAGTGTGAGAGTATCATGCGTGAGCGTGATATGTTTAGGCGTATGCTCTCTCATCGTGGACAGTTGCCAGCTGGTACCGATCTTCAAGCTGCCTTCGGCCGATCCGTGGGCCCCGTCCCGTCAACTCCCCACCAGGCGGCATATTACGAGATGTAGAGGACACACCCCGTTCCAAGGAGTTGTCCGACTACTCCAAGCTTCTAAAGGAGATGCAGAATCACTTCGACGCCTACAGACAAGAGGCTGCAACAGATCACAGCACGCTCAAGCAACAGGTCGACAAACTTGCTCGCGAAAAGGGCGAGCTGCAAGGAGAGGTTGCTCGCTCAGGTGGTCAGGTTACGCTTGCTCATGAACGTTACGAGATGCTTCAAGCCAATTACGACATGCTCAAATCAGAAAACTCCGAGCTGCAAAAACGATCCCAATCTTTGGCTGAAGTAGCGGCCAAGCAGGATCTTCGTACACAACAGGTCGCCGAAGAGCTGGTAGAGGCTCGCACCCTTGCCGACAGCATGCGTAACGATACTGCCAACCTCAAAGCAGAGCGTGAGCTTTGGAAGAAGATCGAGGCTCGCATGACAGAGGACAACCATTCACTCATGAATGAACGTAGCCGCCTCAACAAGATGATCGCAGATCTTCAGACCTTGCAAAACGAGCGCGAACTGGCCGAGTCTGAAACTCGTCGTAGACTCCAAAACAGAGTAGAGACGCTCGAGACTGACATCGATGCTACAAAGAAGAAGTTAGAGATTGAAGTCGAGGAGAGCAAGAAGGCGGCTCTCCGAAGAGAGTATGACCAGGAACAGAGCAGGACAAGAATCGATGATCTGGTCAAGAGTCTGTCAAGCGTTCGTGAGGAACTTGTCGCAGCCAAGACTACCCGCGACCAACTCTCAACCAGGGTAGAAGAGCTCAAGATCGAACTCCGCACATCAGAAGAACGCGTGCAAGCACTCCAGCCCAGACCCACTCCTCAAGCGGAACAACCTTCGGAGAGCAATGCTGAGGACGCCCTATCTCGTGAGCAGGAGCTCGCTCTCGAAGTCGCCGATCTCAAGCATGACCTTGAACTGGCTCGCAGTGATCTTGAAAACGCCAAGGTCCAAGTCGAGCAGTACAAGAACATCAGCCAAGCATCAGAGGAGGAACTCCAGAGCCTCAACGAAACCAACGACCAATACCGCGAGGAGATGGATCGTATCATCGCAGAAAAGGATGAGAAGATCAAGGACTTGGAAAGCAGAGTCGAGGAACTGGGCACCGAGCTGTCTACCACCAACAGTGAGCTCTCAACCCTTCGTACCCAGCACGAGGAGAGTGCCATCCAATTGGATGACCAGAAGCGTCTGCTTGAGGCCGAGATTGCTCGTCTCCGCGACGAGTCTGAACGTTATGCCGAAACTGCCAAGCTTCACCAGGAGGACCTCAAGGCACAGGCAGAGATCGCACAACAGGCCCAACAAAGCTACGAGAATGAGCTGGTCAAACATGCAGACGCTGCCAAGAACCTTCAGTCAGTCCGTACCGAGTACAACCAACTCAGGACCGAGGTTGCTGCGATCAAGGCTGAGGCCGAAGCTGCCAAGGCCACATTGAGCCAGAGCGAAGAGAGCTGGTCGGAAGTGAGGGAAAGATATGAGCGCGAGTTGACCGAAGTCAGGCTTGGACGCGAAGACCTCAAGTCCCAGAACAAGCTTCTTCACGAGCAGCTCGAATCTGTTAGCAGTCAAATCTCTGACTTGCAGCAGAAGAAGACCTCATCTGAGGAGCAAGACGACTCTGAACAAATCCATGGCTCCGAGTTTGAGAATCTCCAAGAAGTCATCAAGTACTTGCGTCGGGAGAAGGAGATTGTTGACGTTCAATATGAGCTTTCCACTCAGGAAAGTAAGCGTCTCCAACAACAACTCGAATACACACAGACGCAGCTCGATGAAACACGCCAGAAACTCGGCGAGGAACGTCAACAGCATGCTGATCACGAAGCAAACACTGTCAGCCACAACAAGCTCGTGCAGACCATCAACGAGCTCAACGTCTTCCGTGAGAGCAGCACCACCTTGCGACAAGAGGCAAGACAAGCCCAGACGCAATTGGCAGAAAAGATCAAGGAGATTGAAAGCTTGACCGGCCAGATTCAGCCTCTACAGACTCGCATCCAAGAGGTCGAGAATGAATTGGAGACAAAGGAAGGTGAAATGAAGCTAATGCAAGAAGATCGTGATCGCTGGCGAGACCGTACACAAAACATCATTTCTAAATACGACAGAGTCGATCCTGCCGAGATGGAAGCGATGAAGACCCAGATTTCGGACCTTCAAGCCGAACGTGATCAATTGACCACTGAGAAGCAGGAATTGCAGACCAAGGTTGACGCCATTCCAGCAGAGTTACAGCAAACCAAGGACGATGCTGAGAAGCAATGGAAGGAACAAAAGGCCAAGTTCGTTGAGCAGGCAAAGGCAAGATCTCGCGAGCAAAGCGCAAAGATCAGAGAGCTGGAGAAAGAGCTCGAAAGCATCAAAGAAGAAAAGACTCAACTCACTCAGGAACTCACTCAGGTCAAGGAGGAGCTCGAGTTTACAAAGACTTCTAGAGATGAAGCTGTAGCCAACGCCGAGGCTGCATCTCAGCAATTGTCGGCTCAGTCCCAAGCCGAAGAGGGCCATGTCCAAGAAGATGGTCAACAAGAGTCATTGGCGCAATCACTAGAGCAGTCAGAGGCCAGAGCATCTGAAGAGGCTGCAAAGGCTGCCGGGCTGTCCACTCAGGTCAAATCTTTGCAGGCCAGGATCTCCGAGCTTGAGGCTCAAGTGGTAAGTTTTGACATCTCTTTGGAACGAAACAAACCGACTAAAACAACTCAGAATGATCTCCAGCAACAACTCCAAACTAGTGCAGCTAGTCTCTCAGAGGTTCAAAATCAAGAGCAACCAACTCAAGAGACAGCACCTCAATCTGGAGACAACACTGAGCATCTGGAGAAGTTAAGACAAGAGCTAGCTACTGCACAAGAAGAAGTGGAATCGCTCAAGGCTGCTGCAGCCACGAACGCCACTCAGGAAGCACCAGTCCAATCCTCAGATGTTGCTGCCACTACTTCGAGCGCTGAGGCAAAATCTATCGCCGAACAAGTGGAGGAACAAGTTGCCAAATTGCGCGCCCAACTTGAGGAGCAGCACAACCTCAGCAAGGAGCAGCTTGAAAGCCTGTACAACCAACGAACCAATCTCATGAAGTCGAAGCTAAACCAGAAGCTCCGAGAGGACAAGGAGAAGACCAAGGAGGAGGGTCGTCAGGAGGCTATTGTCAAGCACAGTGAGGAGCTACAAAAACTTCGCCAGGAGCATGAGGCCGCTATTGCACAACTCAGGGAAGAGCATCGTCTTGAAATTGAGCGCCTTACCAAGGAAGGTCAACTTGCGGTAGACCAAGCACAAATCAAGGAGCAACCCGCAGCTTCTTCAGAAGAAGCACCCAGTCAGCCTCCCGTCGACAATGCCGCTACAACGACTCCGGATCAAGCTACGGCGTCGGATATTGACCCAGCTCAGCTAGTCTTCACCGATGAACAAGCTCGTACACTGGTTGGTAAAAACACCGTTATTAGAAGTATCGTGGCCAGAAACATCCAGAACAAAATTGCTCAAGAAGCTGCCCGACTCAAGCAAGAGCACGAGAAGGTTTTGCAGGAGAAGGCAGAAGAGGCTCAGAAGGAGAAGGAGCAGGCTCTGCAAGAAAAGGCCGAAGAGGCCAAGAAGGAAAGGGAACAAGCCTTGACCAAGGCCGTCAACATGGAGACCATCAAGCAAAAGGCCAAGCTTGGCATGGCCGAAGGACAGACAAGAGCCGCCAAAGCCAAGTTGGATGTTGTCGAGAAGGCCGCCACCGAGACACCTCAACGACCAGTCGTCGAAGTATGGGAGGTTGCCAAATCCACCAAGCCCGCTCCTGCTGCTTCCCCACTGCCGCCTCAGGTCAACAAGCCAGCTCAGTCTCCCATGAGTTCTCCGTTCAAGGCTTCTGGTCCTGGTCTTCCGCAATCGCCAGGCATGCCTCCTCCTCAGGCTGCCCAGTCCAATCAACCCACGCCCAGCAGTCAAGCGCCGCAAGACAAGATGCAAGCAAGGATGCAAAAGTTCGGAGCTCAGACTCAGCAACTACAACCGGGCACTACCTTTGGTCAACCAAGTTTCGTCCCGAATCAGGCTCCATCTGATGCTGCTTCTCAAGCAGTCAGCATTGCCACCGCACAGTCGCAGGCTGCAGGTGGTACACCACCTCAGACGCCAGGCGCACCATTGAGACCAGTCCCTCCAGGTCAACAAGCCGCGGGACCTGGTCCCGTACGTGTTCCTTCTCTAAGTGGCATCCCATCAGGCATTCCTACCGGTATACCTACTGGCATTCCCAGGGGTGGCGGAAGCATGCTACCGCGTGGCGGTGGTGCATTCCGTAGCAGAGGTGGGCTGGCACAGCCTGGTGCTCAGAACGCGCAAGGTCAAGGGATCAACGTGCAAAGGCGCCGCTGGCCAGGCTCAACGTGGTGGACTACCTCGCGGTGGCATGGGTAGAGGAAGAGGCGGCGGCAGAGGAGGTATGAATCCTGGCGCACAACAGCTTGCACCGGGAACACCTGGAATTCAGGGCAACAAGCGTCCACACGAGGGCGGTGATGAGGGTGCTGGTAAGAGGATGAGAGGCGGAGCTGGAGGAGGTGCTTAGAAGGTGCCCCATCAGGAGCCGCCGTCTCAGAAATAGTGCATGGCTGCAAAGATGTTTGCTTTCATTTGTTCACAGGACAATTGCTCAGAATGATACAATATTGCTACACTAAAATTACATTATCGAGTCCGTCTCTTCAAGCGTTCTTTCGGATAGCAAAGAAGTAATTGCCCCAGCCCTCACTGCCCTGAATCTCCTTCCAACCAAAGCCAGGGATATAAACAACACCCATGGTCATGGGATTGCTCCAGCCTGGTTGCTTGGCTGCCCAAGCCTTCATCTCGTCGACGTTGATGTACTGGTGCCAGTCGTGCGTGCCTGGCGGGACAATGCGCATGATATCCTCGGCCACGAGCTTTGTGGTGAACCAACTTGCCCAAGTCCTGCTGATGGTGCTGAGGACCAACCAACCGCCAGGCTTGACGTGAGGCATGCAGTTAGCGAGGAAGGGAGCAGGGTGTGTGACATGCTCAATGACCTCAAACACCGACAAGACATCCACACCGTGCTCTGGCGTGGCCGGTGGTGGCAAGTTCTCGATAGCAGTGTTGATGTAGGTCAATCTTCCCGGTTCGCACAGCAGAGGATCGCTCTTTTGATGCTTCTTCGCCACGGCCAAAACCTCTTTTGTCGGATCGATGGCCGTCACCGACTCTGTATCAACTAGCCTCGCTGCTGACTCAGCGAAGATGCCGCCACCACAGCCGACATCGAGGTAGCGCCGCTTCTGAGGCGTTTTTGTCATGTCTCTTGGGTATAGCGATTGGCAGCGTTGAATAAAGACGTGACGAAGAGGGTTCATCTCGTGCAGAATGCGCGAGGGACCTTCAGGATCCCACCATGACGAGGCGAGGGCAGAAAAGTGCGACATTTCGGTTTCGGAAACGGATGACTTTGGCGGAGGCGGCGTGGACGGTTGTGATGAGACAGGGGTCGAGTAGGACATGATGCGAGGAGAGCTGAGGATTTTGCGGATGCCCGTCGGCAGAGCCGTAGGGCGTAACGTTCGAAAAGCTGCCATGTTGTGTATATGGTGTTTCGAGGTCGTAAGAGCAAGCATGATGGATTGGGAGTCTTCGGAGAAAGCTGCTGATTAGATCGACGCTAAGTTGCGGATCTATCCGAACTGTCGTTTCTCCAAACACGTGGGACTCGAGCTTTCGATCTCATCTTTCACTCTTTAACTGTGATCTCCTTGACTTTTTGACATGGGAAGACAGATGTGGTGGTGTCGCAGTAGATCTGTGGCTCCCTAAACCTGTGTCCAATGTTCCGGTTGCCTACGATAGGCTTCTTCTATTTTGCTTGGTAAGCTTCACGGGTGTTTATACCGGCAACACAGCTATTGTATCAATGTATCCATTAACACACACATGCACATATCGTAGAGTATGCATGCTTAGACCGCCTCTTTCTCTTGCTTCAAGTGCAGAGTCGCATCATTCAATTTGACGGTGCTGAGTTGATCACTAAATTCACATGCCGATGACGATATGGATGCGATTGCGGCGTAGACGGAGTTAAACCGCGGGGTCAATGTGGATATCCGCTGCCGTCTCTTCTAGGAAGGTGATGTGGCCCTACAAAACCGAGCCTCCTCCACCGAACTCTTCTCAATCGATACCCCTCGTGCATCTCCATAACACTCTCGTATCGCATCAACCAATCCGTCACAATGGCTGTCGAATCCAAGTTTGATCCCAAGGACATGGTGTTCCGTCACCTCGGCCCCACTGGCTTGAAGGTCTCCGTCTTCTCTCTCGGGTATGTGCGATGCGTCGTCCATTGACTGGAGTCTTGTGGCTAACATGATTGACTCAGAGGTTGGTTGACCTACGGTGGTACTCAAAAAGGCGATGTCGTCAAGGAGTGCATCCAGAAGGCCTTTGACCATGGTATGATCTTTCGAGCTTTCCATGAGAGTTCAGCAGGCTAATTGCAACATANNGGTTGCAACTTCTTCGATACCGCCGAGGTCTACGCCAATGGCCAATCTGAGATTGAGATGGNNGGTAAGTTGACATTGTCTTCTTGCTGATTCTGTCTCGAGTCGCAACCTCAAGACTCAAGGCTATATCAATGCAGAAACTAAATCATGTTCAACAGACGTGCCCTCAACGAGCTCGCCTACCCTAGAGACGAATACGTCATCTCGACCAAGATCTTCTTCGGTACTGGACGCAAGGAGCCCAACACCCGTGGTCTCTCCAAGAAGCACGTCATTGAGGGCTTGAAAAGCTCCCTCAAGAGACTGAACCACGACTACGTCGATATCGTCCTGGCCCATCGTCCTGACAACGCAACTCCTATGAAGGAGATTGTCGAGGGTTTCACCCAGGCCATTCGCAACCTCAACCTGGCCTACTACTGTTCGTCGCAGTTGACCCTGCTTTGAGTAATTAGCGCTGACTGTGTCGTTTTTTAGNGGGGTACGTCTGAGTGGTCTGCCACCCAAATTATGGAAGCAACTCAGATCGCCGAGAAGTACAACCTTATTGCACCCATTGCCGAGCAGCCTCAGTACAATGCCTTCCACAGACAGCGTTTCGAGGTCGAGTATGCCCCTCTGTACGATCAGTTCAAGTACGGCACTACCATCTGGTCTCCTCTTGCCTCCGGTCTTCTGACCGGCAAGTACAACGATGGCATTCCTGAGGATTCTCGCTTTGCCACCAACAAGGACTTCTTCGAGAACACCGTCAAGCAGCTCCAGAGTCCCGAGGGCCAAGCCAAGATCGAGAAGGTATCACCCGTTCTTCTGTATCTCTTGTCTGACCGACTACTTACACATATCGAACAGGTCAGAAAGCTCACTACCATCGCTGAGAAGCTCGGTGGTACCGTTACCCAGCTGAGTTTGGCATGGGCTGCAAAGAACCCCAATGTCTCTACTGTCATTCTTGGTGCTACCAAGGTCGAGCAGTTGGAGGACAACTTCGGAGCCCTGAAGCTGCTCGAGAAGTTGACTCCAGAGCTCATGGAGGAGATTGAGAAGATCCTTGACAACAAGCCTGCTGGACCCGCTACTTTCGGTCGCGACAGATAAACGAAAGAGGTCTCTTATGACATGTTTACGGCCGCAAGACTAGCCTAGAAGGCTTAACAGTATCCAATCGGTAGATGTAGTATGCTGTACGCATTCAGTAACGATGCCAGTCAAGCCACGAAATGGACGCCTTCAATCTCTTTGAAAACGCTTTTGAGAAGATCAAGAACGTGGTCAGACTTTCTGCGAACGACACGTACATGGCTTGACAAACCCAGTCGTTTGTACCTAGTGAAATATCATTCGGAAGACAATTCAACCTTTGCCGGAAACGTCGTGTCTCTTCGCAGTCGTGTGCTAGCTTCAAGCGAAGCTCGACTTATTAGTGCACTGCTCCACTTTGACCTCGGTTCCTTTGACAGCCTCATGTTTCAGATCATAGCGGTATTCGGTACTCGCGCCATTAGTCTTCGCTGCTATGCCCAGTTCACCTATAGTCAGAGCCACAAATTTGTCGCGTGGGCTTGAAGGATTTCTCGATTGGAGGTATGCAATGTAGATCTCCAGGGCTTATTTCGTTGTCGGCAAGCCAGCCGAGCAACAGGGCCGGTCGGAGGCACATGGAAGCTTCCAACGACTCTCTTCTTCGATTTTTCCTTCCAACCATGTGCTCTCTTTCGACGTTAGTATCTTCCGGTGACGTACACTTCCTATTGCTCGGGTCATGATTCGTGGAACCTATCGTATAGAGAGCACGGAGCACGATTTTGCCCATCCCCCATGTGTTTTTATCCCTGGTTCTGGACCCTGGGTCCACCTTCGTTCGAACCAAAACGATAAATTCCCTAGCTCAACATCTCAGGAGCGCTCTTGTTACCAAAGGAGCTAGGTGTGCCCCTGCGGCCGCAAGAGCAAAAACTCCATGTGGGAAGCAAGTTTGGCGGACCGTCAAACCGTCCCGCATATTGTTTCTCAAGACTTGCTAAGGTTCTCGGTTGGTTGTAGCTTGCTGGCCAGTGGCTGAATTAGGGGCGATGGTGACCCTTGTGAACATCTTCTGCCGTTTCCCCGGTTGCTGCTCATTTATATTGTACGTATCTACTGTCAAACTATCCTTCTTGCCCTCGGACTTGCCCTGAGTCTCTGTATCGATCTGGTATAGGACTTGCAGAACAGACGAGGCAAAACGTTCTTCACGATGCCAGAAGTAAGTACTGCTTTACCTCTACTCTTGTTCATGACTGATTTCGTGATAGACTCGTGCGCCCTACATTTTGCTGGGAAACATTCTCCCGTTTCTGTTGGCGACCGTCTTCTACTTTGGAAGAGTCTATAGTCGAGCGGCGATCTTACGCACCTTCGGCTGGGACGACTGGCTTCTCACGACAGGCTATGTATGTTGCTTCTACCCTAGACGTGAAGGTCTCGACTCTGACAAGACTGCAGNNGTCGCTGCTCTCGCCAACTGTATCATGGCTTGCCTGTTGACAAAGTTTGGCGGTGGCTTGCACGAAGCTGACGCCCGACCCAGCACCGTTGTGCCTTCTCTCAAGCTGCTTTACGGCACCCTTATCACTTACCAATTCTCACTCTGCTTCACGAAGCTATCTCTATGCGCATTATATCTCAAGGTGTTTACAACAAGTCGCTCCAGCCGGGTCTTCCTGTACAGTGTCTTCGCTCTTGTGGCAGTAGCCACCATCGTCCTTGAATGCATTTGCATCTTTCAATGCAACCCCATCGAAGCTGTCTGGAACATCACCATACAAAAGAAATCGTGTATCGATACCATACCAGCATTCTATGCTTCGACAGTGGAAAGCGTCCTCGTGGACGTGCTTCTCATAGCCTTTGCGGCACCAAAAATCATGAGACTCAATCTACATGCACGCCAAAAGAACGCACTTCTCTTCACAATTTGTCTGGGTGGCGTCCCTGTTATCGCCAGTATTGTCAGAGCAGTAAGAGTCAGCAGTATCCTGCACGCAGAGGACAAGACATGGGTCTCTTTCGATTCCTCAATCTGGAGCGCTGTAGACGCCAACGTCTCCATCATTTGTGCATCCGTGCCGTCTCTCAAGCCTCTGCTTAGACAGATTGCTCCCACATTCATGGGTTCTACCTTCGGCACGTCTGCACCAGGAACCAGCGGTCAATATGCGAACACCAGAAGATCATGGCTGGACAAGTCATTCGGAAACAAAGGATACGAATTGCATAGTGCATCTCAATCGGGTGTACACAATGGTAGTCAGCTAGAGCTGGCCAACAATGCTGGAACAAATGATTGGGCAATCAACAAGGGTGCGAACGACGAAGATGCGATCAGCGAAGACAGCATTCACGGAGCTCCGATCATCACGAAGAGTGTGACTGTTGCGGTAACCAGAGTTGAACCAACGTTGCCCTGAGGTGAATTACTTGACGACGATACGAATCTCAAATCCTGCCCCTTCATGTGCTTGCTACTGTCACACTGTAGCTATAAAACACGTAGTAATTCTAGAAGTCACAGAGAGAACAATATTTGAACATCTCTATGGCTACACTTCAGCTTCTGAAGCAATTGTGCATTTCGATGATTAATAATATCACGACATATTATTGTGCGAAAGGGGTCCATCGTGCAATGTCTAGCATACAGAAATAGAGGGATACACCAACTCAGTTTTCCTTTGCTCAACTATCTTGTGCTGCAACACATGACGATGTTTTGACCAACGCTTCGCTATCTAGCCTGTATTCCTTCCTCTTTTTGAGGAAGAGATATGACAACTCGGAGCAGGGTGCCGAACGATTTTCGCAAAAAAGACAGAAGAGACAAGCAAAACTCATAGCAAGGGTCGATATTGATGCCTTAGGATAAAAAGATCCTGATGTTAACCCCAATACACTCAATTCAATCTGTGACGTTTCCCAGGTATGTCCAGGGTTTTGGCAGCATGAGATTCGAGAGCAGTATCGACATTGATGAATTACTTCACGATAAAAAGGTCGACATCTTTAACCCTAGCTTGGGTCATCTTCGGGGTCACTCTATGTTCCACTTGTAATTGCGTTCAGACCTGCTGGGGAGATTGATCTCGAATCGGCGAGCATCGATTTTCACTCTACATGTTCGTTGCCTCCTGAAGCGTTGTCGCGGTGGAAAGGGGTGAAATCTCACTGTGACCGTCGACATAGTCAACTCTTCTCTCGAGACCTTCAGGGAATGCCATATCTTACACTTGTTGATATCTCTCTGATCTGTTGATGGGATTGATCGCTAATCGCTAGCCGGCGAGCAGTAACTTCAATCGCAGTTCCATTGCCTCGAAAGAATGTCGTTACGGTCAAGGGGGCAAGATGTACGGGGCAGCAGGCACGGTACGCAAGTCTCGATCGATCTTGCTCCGAGAAACTGTCAAAAGCTTTCGCGAGAAAAGAGTGATTCTATCAACTATCAGGGTTGTGATAGTTGTGGCGTCAGGAGTCCTCGGAGTAAATCGCCTCATCAACTCGGTCTTCATGTGTTCTAGTCATCAGGCAGAAACACTGTGCTCCAACTTGTGTTACAGAATGGAGTGTGCATGATGCTCACGATTCACTGAGATTTGTACAGTCAGATATCTCGTCTTAGGCCTGGAGTGTTGCCGAAAGTGTATCACCCACTTCCTCGATGCCCGGGTACCAACGTCTGTCGCACTTCTCATAGCCAAACTTGGTACTATTCTTGCAGGAACACAGTAATATCAACCCAAGTCAGTTAGTCCAACAGCCAGACAGAACTTGTACCACTCTACTCTGGGTCTCGCTGCCAGATCTTAGATGGTCGTTCTCTGAGCAGCAGCAGAGTACTTTCGAGTTCGAGTGAAGGCTGTCAAGCCAACAGCTCTTGCACGGTCGTTAGGCCTAGGGGCCGTGGTCACGTCGGCCTGGAGACAAAGTCTGGTGTGAATGTGAAAGCGACCAACACGAAACCCCATATATGTTTCTTCAACTTGAACGTCACCGTCGCGTCGGCCCAGAGGCGCAGGTTCGGTATCACTCTCGCGGGTTCTTCTTCCACCAGGTTCTAAATTTGTTGGCTTTGTCGGCAATCATATCAACACTGAAAGTGAAGCTCATTTTCTGGGAAACCTCAAACGTTGGCCTTCAAAGAGAAATCCAAAAATGACGGCACCAACGAAACTCATTTTCAACTTCTCAAGCGAGCCAGTACCCAACAACTATATCCGTAAAACGGCAGCGACGCCTCGCCGCAAGCGAGCAGAAGTCCCGGAGACGCCGGCGATTGTGATTCACGACGACAACTCACCTCTCTTTGAGCCCCTTCCTGGTAATACTCCTGATCAAATTCAAGTAAGCCAGCATCCCCGTCTTCCGTCATCCTATCTTTTATACTCATCACATTGCAACGACTAATCTCTCAGCCCACCGATGCCAGTGAAGAAGGTCNGCATGTCAATCAATACAAGAGTGAGTGCATGTCTGTCTAACTATAACCCAACTCGAGTCGCTGACTGGTCACAGATGAATCGTCAAAGAGCAGACCGACCAAAAACTCCCGGTCGTACATCTACGAGCGGTCACANNACCTCACAATTCAAGGCCAACACTTACCATGCGATTCCTCAAACACCTACCAGACCTGGCACTCTCGCCTATCGCGACGGCGTGGAGATCAAACGTGACGTATGGCAGCCTGGCGATGGCAATGGTGTGAGAGACAGCGAGTTTCCCAACAATAGATTGTTCAAGGAGAGATATCGCTTCTTCCAAAGTGATATTGGTTCCATTGAGCGCGGGATCAACTCACCTCCGCATTTTGTCGCCCTTGACGACAAAGCTGTGTGGGACATCGTCATATCCAAGAAATATACAGCAAAAGAGAGGGCTACGTTCTGGTCTCTCGACTTTATGGCAAATGGTGTTCTCAGAGGCAGCAGACGCCACAAAGGAAGACCAGCTGTGGTTGCCAGCGAAGCTGACGGGCATGTCGAGGGAGGGAAATCCCAGAATGTTGGGTCTGTGCCGTGGATCATGGCGGGCAGCAAACCAAACATGAAGAACTACTACCTCTGTGGAGAGAAGGGTGGTTACAAAGAAGCTGTTTTCGACACATCCACAGTCAGGACCGGTGCTGTGAACCGTACGGCACCGCCCGAAGGAAGCCGTAACGGCGGCAACAGGACAGAGTATGCAAGAGCAGTTGCCACTACGAATCTTAACAATGGAAGCAAGACAGAGTATGCTGCCAAGCGAAAGGCTGACCAGCCTCTAAATCCTCGACACGATCGTCCTAAAGTCGGTAAGTATCTGCACTCAACACCATCTCCAGAATGGCCTGGCGGCGTGAGGCGTCTGAACAAACCTCCAGTAGCAAGATCTGTCGGTAGAAACGAAGTCGACCCTCCTAGTGGCTCAGAATGGTCCCCTGCGACAAGAGTCGGCGGAAAGACTGTCTATGCACGCTACGATTACGGCGAAGAAGGACCTCAACGCATCAACGGTCGTCTTGTAGCATCTAGTGCGCGAACTCCGTATGCTCGAACACCACATGCGGATGGTGCGAAAAACCCATTCCCAAATCACTCGATGAGCGCACGAACTCCGTACCATGGATCATCATTCGAAGCAAAGACTCCAGGTCCACAANCCCCATTGAGTGCACCAATCCCCTATTACGGCGTAAGTGAAGCACAGCCGAATCAACAACCGCTTTGGCAGGATGTGAAGAGAATGGGAGAGGAGCTCGAACAGGCGAAGGGCATCTTGCGTATGCGAGATGAGGAGATCTCAAATCTCAAGGCACAGATCAATGTCGTGGACACAGACAAACGTCGCACACAACAGGCAGTCGACACAACGGCAACCAAGGACGACGAGATCCAAAGGTTGAAGGGGGGAGATAATGGGGTTGAAGCGGTCTTTGCGCTGAGAGTGAAGTTGAAGCGGGACACCACTGAGTCAATTCACATATCTGCACACTGGCCGTTCAAGCGTCGGGAGATTGATAAATTGCAGTCTTTGGACAAGTTACCAGGCAGCATTTGAAGAGCAAATCAAGGAGATGGCATGTTACAGTACCCAAAATTTAGTGTCTCTCATGACTGAGTTCGTGCAATGCGACAGGACAATCATCAGCTGTCTCTCATCTGGAAGGAGACACAACATAGCGACTTCCTCAAATATCAATTTTCTTTGCAATGGACTGTGTCTTCCTTTTCAACTTGAAGCTGTGCAACTTGCTTTGTTGTTGGCATGCTGACGCGTTGTTGCTTACTCATCAACATCCGACCTCACCCCATCATGAGGCGACTCTTGCGTCCTCAATCGAACACCAGCCAACGCTTGGCGTCTCATTACGGTATCCTTGGCCCTGCAAGATCAATCTACATCACCATGAGAGCTAGTTTCTCTGCTTCTGATGTTCCACTGAACGTCCCCCATGGAGCCAGAGAGAGGCGCTTCTCCACCAACAAGGAGCCTACCGACAGCGGTAAGAACTCCATTTTCGTTTGTTTGCTACTCAATTTAGTATTTTGAGACCGTATATTAAACGACAGATTTCAAAAGAAGAAATGTTTCGCTGCCACAAATGGTTGCTGATTATCTCCAGAGCTGACCTCATCGGTTCACCGTCAATTCCGCAACGCCCATGAAGGACACAAACCACATGCTGGATTGGATCCCTCACGTGCATCCACTGGAGTTGTCTGGACTACCGAGAGAGCCTACGAGCATGGTTTTGCTGAACACCCAGAGAAATGGGCAAATTTGGGTCAAGGCGCCCCCGAGGTTGATGATGAGATCGAGGGCTGCTTCGAGAGACCCCATACCATCGATGTGTCCATGACTGGACGTGAATATGTATGTTGCTCTCCATCCTCGGAAGGCTCAGTTGGTTGACTTAATACTCTAGNNGGTCCGACTGCCGGCATCAAACCTCTGAGGGAAGCTGTTGCCAATCTCTACAACGAGCACCACCGCAAAGGCAAGGAGAGTCAATACACCTGGGAGAACGTCTGCATCGTCCCTGGTGGTAGGGCTGGTCTCATCAGAATCGCCGCTGTGATAGGTACACTACCCTTTTCGACATAACACTTTTGAGATGTTGGTGGTCAACGAAATCTAATCATTCTCANNGGCAACTCATACCTTGGTTTCTTTATTCCTGATTACACCGCGTACAACGAGATGCTGTCTCTGTTCCGTAACTTCAGTGCCATCCCGATTCCATTGTCTAAGCAAGATGGATACCATATGCACCCTGACAAGATTGCGGAGGAGATTGCTCGCGGTACCAGTGTTATCCTAACATCCAACCCTCGCAATCCTACAGGCCAGGTCCTCACGAACCCTGAGCTTGCCCAGATCCAAGACATCTGTAAGGCTCCAAGAGAATTACCATGCCTGCAAAAACTAATATGACCCCACAGGTNNAGAGACCGTGCGACATTGATCATGGATGAGTTCTATGGCGGCTACAACTACACTAGTGATTGCGATGGTACCGTTGTCTCCGCTGCTGACAACATCGAAGACGTCGACGAAGATGGTATGTCTCAAAATGTGTAACAGCCATCCACTCTCTGACACAAAGTAGATGTTCTCATCATTGACGGTCTGACAAAGCGCTTCCGTCTTCCTGGTTGGAGAGTTGCCTGGATCGTTGGACCCAAAGAGTTCATCAAGGCTATCGGCTCTTGTGGATCTTACCTCGACGGAGGCACCAATGTTCCCTTCCAAGAGGCTGCCATCCCCATGCTTGAGCCCACTAAGGTCAAGCACGAGATGCGTGCCTTGCAACACCATTTCCGCGAAAAGAGAGACTATGTCATTGGCAGACTGAAGGATATGGGCTTCCAAATTGCGATAGTGCCCAACTCGACCTTCTACTTGTGGCTGGACTTGTCTTCTCTCCCCGAGGGCATCAACGATGGTCTCAATTTCTTCAATGCCTGTCTCCACGAGAAGGTCATTGTCGTTCCTGGAATCTTCTTCGATCTCAACCCCAGCAAGAGAAGAGATCTTTTCGACTCTCCTTGCCACAAGAACGTCAGACTGAGTTACGGTCCAAGAATGGACGTCCTGAAGATGGGTCTGGATGGTATCGAGAGAGTTGTCAAGAAGTAAGTTTTTGTCCCTGTACATTCTACTGTCCAAATCTGACACGAGCACAGGCACCGCAACGATCGCACTCCTGCTAAGCAGGAAGGTCCTTCAGAGCACGTTGACAGTGGTCACGGAGAGCATGTTTGAGCTTTGTGCGGTGACCTTAAATTACGACAGTTACTAAGGCCTCTCTGGTTTATGAGATCCTCGGACCCAGTACTAGGTAGAGGCACACTCCTGTGAATCGAGTTTCATTACTTCAATTTCTCGTTCATTCTATCTAGCACGAGTAGAATATTACGTCTTTTCGTTCTGTTGTGCTTGTATATTCGTCAGCTGTGATGACTTATTGGTCCTTTCAGCCAAGATGTATGATTCGATACTTCAGGTTGTATGTCGACACTGATAGGTCATGGCTGGGATCTCGGTTCGCAGATTCACGAGTAGTTAAGTTCTTCTCCGTTTCTTCGTGTTCGTCCCCGCGGTAGTGCCAACCCATAGAGGCGCAATCGTGATCAGGATCATTGGTATGTGTAGTTTTAGGGTAGACACATGTTATTGTTTGCATTTTTGCCCAGATATACATCCGATGGCGGGTCATGAACCTGTAACTTCACCAAACTGGTTGGAGCCTGGCCTCGACTTATCAGGTAACACAACTTTGCATGTAGACACACCAGCGACGTCTTTCGATTTCTTAAGACATATTTCACCGTAGACGAAATATTTGAGAAAGAACAAAGCAGTCAAAACGAGCTGACAGGCAATCACCGGGGAAAAATGTAGATGTCGCATGCAGATCCCAGATGTTCAACACCAACTCTGACCACCAAGCCAGGCTTCACCACTAAAAATCTGCAGATTCTCCACCACATTCCCTGTTGCTTTTTTCAGAGCAACGACATAGTACAAAACAAGGCAAAAAGAACGTCACTGTTTAGGAATAGCCGAAGGCGGGGCTCGAACCCGCGACCTTGAGGTTTGGAATATCTGAGAAGATAAGAGCCACACGCTCTACCGATTGAGCTACCCCGGCAGGTCTGATGATCTAGTTCACTGTGTGAACTGGCTGCNGANCGATGGAAGCACGAAGAATGGGTAGGTATATGTATCCTGTACATGAAGCTGCGCAAAGAGATGCCAGGTGTTCGTATGCTCGGACCTCTGTTGAGCGACCGGCATGCCGCTTCGTGTCGGATAGTGCAGGGTGGCAATGTATATCAATGCAACTTGGAGAGTACCTCGAAGGCTGTTTGCAGGAGTATCAAATGATGCCGGTTGATTTGGAGAAACAAGAGAGTATTGATGTGTTGTGAGATAGAAAGAAGGTGAAGCCTCCTCCGGCCACCTCGCCCGTGATCGGCTCGACTCGATCCATCGAGCTCCGTCTATCTTTCGGCTAAAGTAGCTCGCAACGCCATCTCTCTCCTTGGCTGACATACGGCAGCAATCATCTAAAGGGCGTGTGTCCTCATATATAAAACAAATCTAGTACACGTCAACTTGCCTACCTTGCCTACAGTGCACTCCTCGACCAAATCGTTCGTACAAAGCTCACACAACAGCACCGAAAAGTGTATAATTTCGAGGAATCATGACTGGACTCACCGACTTTAAGCTTCTCTCCTTTGATGTCTACGGCACACTCGTTGACTGGGAGACTGGTGTGATAACCGCCCTTCAACCTCTTCTCTCCAAGAACAACAAGACCGATACCTACACACGCAAGGAACTTCTGGAGATTTACCACCACCACGAAGCGTCCCAGCAGCAAAAGACACCAAATCTATCTTATTGTGACCTCCTCGCCACAATCCACCCTCATATCGCTGCAGACCTGGAATTTGAATCTCCAACAGAGGCAGAGAACAAAGCATTCGGAGATTCGGTGGGCAAATGGCCTGCCTTTCCTGATACAGTGGACGCTCTTCAACGTTTGGCAAAGCACTATAAACTCGTCGTGCTCTCAAATGTTGATCGCAACTCTTTCTCCACCACAAATTCTGGACCGTTGCAAAAGTTCCCATTCGATGCTATCATCACAGCCCAAGATATCGGTAGCTACAAGCCCTCGCTCAAGAATTTCGAATTCATGTTGGAAAAGGTCAACGAGAAGTTCTCGATTGAGAAGGCACAAGTGCTGCAGACAGCGCAGAGCCAGTTCCACGATCATCACCCGGCTAAGAAGATGGGAATTAAGAGTTGTTGGATTGTGAGACCAGGAGCGGAGATGGGAAACAGGGAGGAGGAAATCTTTGACTGGAAGTTCGATACGCTTGGGGAAATGGCTGATGCTGTTGAGAAGGAAGCTCAGAAGTAAAGGAAGTTGGCACTCTCGGGGGTGTGCGACGACAAGACGAGCCCTTGTTCAGATTCACAAAATGTTTTGTACGAGAGATGGTACCCAGTGAGAGTCGAAGCTCGTAAAGCGGAGTATCATGAGGTTCTTGAGTCTCTCGACCAAAGAGGCTGGCACAAAATGAGATGCTGTATTGCGACGATGTTGATGCTTCCTCATCCGAAAGCAAGGAGAGCAGACGTCCCCTTTTTCAGGGGCTGCAAAAAGAATAGGTACATGCCAGACATAAAAGTGTCTACCTATGCCTTTCCGCTCCCCTGCGTTGCTTAAACCTCGTCATGTGATGTTGAAGTGATACAGAAGGTCTTACTAGTGGTGAGTAGGCGACTCGGAGCGACCAAGAGGGGTTCAGTAGCCTCGATCGCTGGCTTGGTCTACCAGACACGCGGTACGGTGTACCACAGGTGCTGTCACTCGGCAGGAATTGCCTCCACTCAGTTCTCGGAGACCTGAGAGAGCAGGCGAAGGGCAAGGGCATCTCGGCCCTTTCTGGCAGCCTTCACGTCCAGTAGTGCGGCCTTGATAAATTCTGTGACCACCACCATTGGAGATAAGGTCTGCTTTCTTGAGCATCTTGTCGTCAATGGCCCAGTTGTATCTTGGGTTTGCCGCGAGCATTGGAAGGTCGTCTCTGACCAAGATCCTTGCTCTGGCCTCGAGCAGCTTTGTCGGGGCCGAGCCGAAGCCCAGAAGAATCTCTACAATCCTGGAGTGGCGCTGTCTTCTCCATGCTCCTTGCGGTACTTTCCAATCGCCTTGTTGGTTTTCTTGCCGTGGGCTCTGAACCCGTCGTCGGTGTACTTTGCAGCAACATCCAGACGGCGGATGGCCTTATCGTCGCCGCTGGCTCGGATATTATCCTCCCTGGCGTTCGCTCTGGCGGTCTGAGAGGCTCTGCCTCTTGCAGCGGCTTCAAGATACGAGAGAGGGTCGACGCCCACGATTTTGCACCTCTCGTGCCAGATCTGATACTCTCTACCATCGTCTCGTTCGTGGCTAAGGAGAGCCTACAAGGTGTTGGCTCCCGGTGGACGCTGCGCCTCTTCTCCAAAGAATTGTGAGATGTTATAGCTACAAGCGTGACTGTATTAGCGCTGTGAGAGAGCTGTCACTGAAACTGCAATGTGGACCTCGGTTGTAGTCTCCCTGACAGCAGGCATCACTCTCCTATCTCGACTATCAACTGAATCACACCTACGATCTCTCTGGCTGCCTTCAGTGTTACGATCTTGGGTTAAGGTCGGTAATGGCAGAGAAAGCGCATCAATAGTAAGATCTGGGTGGATGGTCGATAATGCCGAGGCTCGATAATCTTGGAGACAGATCTAGGAACCAAAATCGGTCAACAAAACAAAGAGACGTCGAGGTCTTATCTATACGGTAGATTTCTACATACATGACTAAAACAAGGAATGCGATGCAGTAAACAATACACAAAGCTGATTTCAAGCAGCAAGAAGCTACTTCAGATCAGCCATTTCCTCTTCGAGCATAGTCTCAAAGCTGAAGGGCTCGAATGGAACACCATCACCAAGGAAATGCTTGCTCATAGCTTCGACCCAGTGCAATCTCAAACTGTGCAGCATGGCGGAAGTACCCTCCATGACGACCAAAACGGCAACAGTGAGGAAGAACCAAACGACGAAGAAGAAGAAGATGACAAAGGAGCCGGCAACACCAGTGAAGGCAAAGGCGTTGGCCAAGGTCATGGACCACAGCACAATCGACAGCTGCTGATGGGCAAGCGACAAGGCCCAGAGGCGGAGGTAAGAGGCGGTATGAGAAACACAGTTGAGACAGAACTCGATGGTGTGGATGACCTGGTGAATCATGACCTCGGAGAACTCAAACTCCTCATGCTCCTCGCTGTGGATGTCCTGGGTGATGATGGCAGCGCCGCCGTCTTCACTGGCGAAGCTCTGTCTGCCGTCGTTCATGCCGTGGTGCTCGTCATCGTCATCGTCAAGGGCGCTAACTCTCTGGCTTTCACCGACAGCGCTGTAACCCATAGCTCTAGCACGGTTGTGCTCCCAGCGCAGGTAGAAAGGCTTCAAGAAGAGCATGACGGGTACACAGCATACTGCAGCAAGAAGCAGAATGACCTGGACGACAGCTTGACCAGAGTACAGCTCTTCCTCGACAGTACCAGGTTGCAAGAACATGTAGATGAGCATGTTGAGCAGACCAGGAGGGTTGGCGCCGATAGCATACCAGTCGATAGACCACTTGTAGATGATGCAGAAGACGAGGTAACCGAAGATGGACTGGAAGAAGATCATACCAGGAATGAAGTTACCCCAGATGTCGATGGGAGTCTTGAAGTGCTTGGCGTTGACATAGGAAAGACAGAGGGAATAGGTCATGTGAGCCCAACCGAGAAGAATACTGAGCTTCATCTTGTAACTGTTGGAGAAGAGAAGATCGTTGTCGGTATCGTGCCAGCGCCAGTCCATACCGAAGGGATAGGTGTAACCCTCTTTGCGAACCATGTTGACAGTCTGGCCCTCCTTGAAGTCGGGAATCTCCCACATGGAAGGGAAGATGGCGAGTTCCTTGGAGAAGGCGTCACAGTATATGAGACCAGTGTACATGGAGAAGATACCCATCATGAGCATGATGTAGCGACCGAAGAAGGCCATGGAGAAGAGCTCGTCCTGCTTGGAGCGCAAGAGAGGCTTCTCCCAGTAAATCATGGCGCAGGCGGCAGCAGTCATGATGAAACCGTGACCGAAATCACCAAACATGACGGCGAAAAGGAAGGGGAAGGTGACGATGGTGGGCAGACCGGGGTTGACCTCAGTGTACTTGGCTGTACCGTAGGCGTCGATGATGGTTTGGAAACCGAGGGTGAATCTGTTGGTCTTGTTGTAGGTTGGGGGAGTCTTGGACGTCTTGATGGTGTTGACAATGGTAGGAACGGAGAGACCGGCGCGATCGTTGACATCCTGCAGAGTCGATTTGACAAGACCGAGCGAATTTGTAGGGCACCAGGCCTCTGCAATCAACGTCTTGCGCTGCTGGTCGTATGAGAAACGGTTGAGGGTCTGGTAGACGGCCTTTTCCTTGGAAACGATGATCATCCAGGCAGCCAGACTGCGACCGATCATGGTCAGCTCGGCGTCCAGGGTGCGCTTGGTATTGGAGAGGACGTTTGCCAGATCCTGCAGGCGAGTGTTGACCTCGTGCATCTGATCACGGCGCAGTTCGCTGTTCTCGTCGACGTTGTAAATGTCGGCACCGAGAGACTCGGAGATCTTGCGGATCTTGTTGATGATCTCCTTGCCGTGGGCGAAGATTACGAAGACGCTCTTGTGCATCTCTTCGTTGTTCTCGGGGTTGATGATGGGCTCCTCGATCTCGCTCTGGTTCATGTACAAGTTACCGCGAAGGGTACGCCAGAGGATGCGCTCGAATGCGGCCATGCGTTCGCGAGGGATGACACCGGCGACGAATCCAATGTTCATAACAGAGAAAGAGCGCTCGCCCGAGGCATCGCCGTTGTGAGCCTGCTCCATGTCGGCCAGCAGCGGTGCGTCGTCATCGTGGTTCTCGTCGATGGATTGGCGGATCTCGTCAGTCTGTCCACGAGCCTGTGGTGTGTGTTAAAATTATGTGTGCAGCGGCTGATAGTATTCTTCACTCACGCGGTCGAAGAAGCCACCGGCCTCGCGAAGGACCCAGCGCCACTCGGTCAGCTCCATCTCACGCTTCTTGAGCGTCTCGTAGCTGTCGTTCAGCGACTGGATTCTCTGCTCCAATGTCTGACTGCGGTCGACCAGCTCGTCGATCTCGGATGCCGAAGGGGCGGCCAGGCGGTCGCCGAACTCGTACATGGATCGCATTGGGATTTCGGCCTTGTCCATCTGCGCCTTGAAGTANGCCTGTCCATGATTGTCTCAGTCTCTTGCTCTATATCCTCAACGAGGGGCGGTTGGCTTACGCAGCTGGCGTTCGACATTGTCGAGTCTTCGAATCTCCTGAGTGAAGGTACGCTGGAAGGCGGTGGTATCCGAGTTGAGCNNTGTGAATGAACGTCAGTCCAAGTCGGTAAGAGTCGGTGTCGGGCGACACACGTCTCTAAAGTCCATGATGCCCAATTCGCCCAGGGCGCTCACGACTTCGCGTCCGATCTCGTTGGCCATGTACAGCTGGGTCAGCGACATGTCCGACGAGCGGAACAGCGAATCCTTTTGTGCCGCCATCTTGACTGTCGTTGCAACAATTAAGACCGGCCGTTGGGGGTGTTGTGAATATCACAGAGGCAACAAGCTCGACGCCGTGTCGTTGACTGGCCGAAACCTGGAATATGACGATTACCAACCACGTGACGAGGTTATGACAGGGTGATACCCTCAACATCCTATCCACTGGGTGGTCAATCGTTGCCTCAAAAATCGAGTCGACTGCAATTGAAAGGTGGATAACGGCTCATAGTATATTCTTTGCTTGTTCTTGTCAGTATTGGACTATTAAACTGAAGCGTTGTCGAGAGGTGTGGCTTTCTTCCGTTCTTGATATTGAGCTTCGAGGAGTGACCATCGATCAAGCTGGAACCATTTATTTATCTCAAGTATGTAAGAACATTGGACACGAATATAATGCTATGCCTCGAAGAACCGACTGGAATCCCACATGTCTCTTGCGGTTGTACGCAGTAGATTGTAATCAGAACCATATGTATCAGACTGACACGAGCCTTCCAAACCTCCAACTCCTATTTCGCAGCTTTAACCAGAGATACAAATACTCAAGGTTTGAATCATTGATTAAACGTACTACACGAGAGTCACTCCCAGTGATCGTAGCTTCTCAAGACCTTGATGAGAATGTGACTATCTGCCGTTAGATCCTGCTCCTGAGGGGTGTAAGATCGAAGGTCTTCCAGAATTCGCGGCTGTCATAACACCTGCCTAGTGTCTCCATATCTCTAGGCAATGCTTTGACGTCCTCTTCCTGCATCAACTCATAGACCCATCGACTTTGCTTGCTGGGCTGTTCGTCGACGTGCTTTCCTTCCTTGGCCCATCCTGCCATGAGCGACCACCAACAATAGACTTGGCCATCGGTCAACATCCAACGTGAGCCTGATGCTTTGGCATGCTCCCACTTCTCAAAGATTGCAAGGATTGCTCGTGCCACATCCTCGCCGTGAATCAGATGCAAGCTTTTCTTGCTCTTGACCTGATCCTTGGTGGTTGCGACCCTGCCAACCCAGTTCTTTGGCTGTCGCTCTCCACCCCACAATCCTGCAAGGTTGAGTACGCACCCGCCCATAGACATCAGCTCGTCCTCACTGATTGCTCGGGCGTTCTCCTTGTTGTAAGGCGAGTGTCGGTCGACCCATGTCGCCTTTTGATCAATTTGCCAGATGCCGGTGGATCCAAGCTGCAGGAATCGAACGTTGGCTGCTGGGTGCTGATGTGTAAAGTTGTACGACCACACCAGCCTGTGAGCCTGGCCTTTTTCATTGAGTGGGAAAGTGATCAGGATGTTGCGAGCAGCAGGCAGAGTCTTAAAGTAGCTAGGATCCGGATCAGAAGGGTCGAACTTGAACTTGATAGTGCCGTCTCTTCCATCCGTGGTGGTGGCGGCGAACGTTATATGGCGTGCCTTCAGCAGCGGTATCAAGAATGTCGACGTCCAGCCGGCTCCGAGGATGAGAACGTCCATTTCTTGCATGTTTGTCCTGNNTTGTGTGTCTTCAATGTTGGATGTTTCTGGAAGAATGTGTCTTGGTGCTGGAGCCTGGAAGATAGCTTCATCCTCACGGCACGCGGGGTTACTCCCCAACAGCAAGATATGTTGCTGCCTGTCTGACACCCGACGCTCTAAAGAAACACTCTTGTTCTAGCACAAGGAGACATGTAACACCACCTGACTCTCCTTCATAAGGATTCGGAGCCAACACACTATAAACAAGAAAACACAGTTGTCTCTGGATTCGGGAATATAGCCATTGAGAGTCCACACAGAGGGCGCCTCACTGGATACCGCCTTGTCATCGAACACAATTATGCGTTTGAATAGCTACCGACATGATGAATGAACCTCGAAGGACACATAAACTCTGAGGCACAATGCCTTTGCCTAGACTGTGTCATCGTATATATACGCCCGCCTGGCTGCAATTAGATCCGCCACTGCCCCTAAGATTACTGCCAACCCCAACATCTCAGCAGCCAGGGCCAATGCAATTGAATTGGTATACAGATTGTCAGACAACCAAGAAGTCAGTCTGGCTCCAGTGTGGCAAGCCAGGCAACATTCAAACCGGAGTCCTGCAAAGTTTCAAATCCATGAGGAACTCTACCACCATCTGACACAGGAGAGCTACGGCACCGAGCAGAACTTGAAGATTGAGCTGCGCGCCTCGCTCGATTAGTTACTCAGAGTGTCATCGCAATTTACTTAGTTCCTGTATTATGATGAGAACAGCCTGTACTCCAGGTCACGAGTTGCGCTAGCTGCTCTGGGCTAGCTCTGAGCAGAACTCTCGTCAGGGATATAGAAAGTAGAATCAATTGGTGTGATTAATCACATACATATACAATCTAGAGATTTCGCAGACTAGATAATCTCACCTTTACTCTGCTTCCACTTGTTAACCGCATCCTCGAAGAGCTTCTTGGCTGGCACATTTGCTCCAAGTCTGGCGCAGAGCAAGAACGCACCGCTCAGTTTTCTGTGTAGCGAATATGTCTCCTCTGGCGGGGGTGCTAATCTCTCTCTAACCATCAAGCCAATCTTCTCTCTCACTCGATCGGTGATAGTTTGGTCCTTGAAGTCATAGTAGTCCCCNGTTCTGCCGGAATCGAAAGGCTCGGCGAGTGTGAGAATGGAATCAACGTGAGCAGTAAGCATGGCCTGGCTTTCTGCGCCGGTGAGATAGCCTAGCTCGATGGAGAGGTCACGGCAGGCATTGCGGTCGTGGGTGGAAGCCGCGATAAGCAGCTGAACATACGGCGTGACGAAACTCTCTGGGAACTCTCTCGAAGCTCCAAAGTCGAGCAACTCCAGCCTACGCTCCGATGGAGCCTTCCCTCTGTTGTAGAGGAAGTTGGTCCAATTGGGATCGGTCTGCATGAATCTCCACTCCATGAGTTCGCGTAGACAGAGACGCAGCACTTGTGTGCCTATCCAATCTCTCTCGTCCTGCGAAAGGTCGGGGATCTTGGTAACTCCTTTGCCGTGCATCAGCTCAGCAGTCAGTACTTCAGGACCGCATGCCTCGGGGAAGACTTGCGGGACTCGGAAGGTAGCAGATTCGTCCTCGAGGAGGGCTGCAAAACGAGTACCGCACCTGGCTTCACGCTCGTAGTCGCATTCCCATCCTAGTTCTGTGCGAGCATTTGCGATTGTCTTATCGAGGAAGAGGCCGGGAGGTAGAAGTCGTGATGCTGTGAGGAGGAGGGAGAGGTTGTTGAGATCAGAATCAATGCTACCACGGACACCAGGGTACTGGATCTTGACAGCAACCTCCCGACCATTAGAAGCCAGTGTAGCACGATGGACCTGACCAATTGATGCAGCAGCCATGGGCACGTCCTCGAAACTCGAGAACAGGTCTTTCCAGTCAGCGCCTAGGTTGGCAGCAAGTTGCTTGTTGCGCTGCCATGGAGGCATGTAGTCAGCACTGTCTTGTACACGCTGAAGCACAGCATTGATGGCAGGAGGCAGCATCTTAGAGTCCTGGAAACTCATCATCTGACCGAGCTTCAGCGCTGCACCACGCATGCGAGAGAGTTTAGCAACTAGCCGCTCCATGTTCGCCGGGCTGAGCAGTAAAGAACCACTCGCAGCAGCAGCGGCACCTCCAGTCACTCGTCGTAGACTTTCACCAACAGCACCAAAAGCCATGCTTGTGGCCAAACCTCCATACTGCCAAAGTCTACCGAAGCGAGAAGAAGGTACAGCAGATTCACGCAATTGGTAAGGGGTATTTGGCTTATCTGACTCGACAGCCGAAGACATGGTAGCAGTGGCATCTGCAGCCATAGCATCAGCCAGCTCCTGAGTCTCCTTGTCGCTAATCTGTGTCTCCATCTCAACAGCAGGAGGAGAAGTCGACTCAGTAGCGGGAGTAAGTGAAGAAGTGGCTTCTGACACACCTGGCCTTGTGCTGAATGTGTCGGCGTTTTCGTCTTCGGCCTTGATGCTCCCCTGGATTGGCTGGGCCGAGCCCTTCCTGGCAGCCTTCATCTTGAGCTCGTAGGCCTTCCTTCTATCCTCTCTGACCCCACCACTCAGCAATGAAGCAACTCTGGGGCTGTGGAAGATATCAGTGTTAATTCCTTCAGGGGTTTCATCCTGTGCGGGAATAGCTTCTTGTTGTGGGATAGGTGGTTGAGAAGGGTGACCTTTAGATGAGTAGTAGACGTCCTGGTTGATTTGACCATCCCTGACATGATCATCACCACCCTGTGTATCTTCGACAGACTTGGGAATCTTAGTGTGAGGTAGTGATGACAATTCGACCGACGACTCTGTAGGTCTGACATTGAAAGTGTCTTGTCCTGGTGTGGGCATTGACTGAGAGTGACCAGACACGGATGGAATCTGGAACTCAGCCTTACGCTGCATCTTGACCGTGTCATCGGCACGGCTATCCTGGGCAGCTGGGACGGGAATTGTGGACGCGCCGGACTCTGTCGGATGCAAGTCCTTGACGACGGACTGCTGTTCTGCAAGAGGGTCCTTGGGAGCGTCTGTCACTGGCCTTTGACTAAAGGTATCTGTGCCCTGGCGACTCGGTGACGGGTCGAGGTTTGCGCCTTCGGGAGGAATGGTGCCGTCCGGTAGAGGGTGACGGCGTGCCTTCTCTTGGGTAACATGCAAGTCGTCTGTCGGAGGTGCCTCTGCAGCAGCGTTCTGCTCCGACCTGTCCCAATGGTGATCCTGACTCAAGCCCTCCTCGTGTGTATTCGTCCTGTCTGCGCCCTGAACTGTCTCTTGACTTGGTATGTGATCCTCGTGTCGATTCGTCTGTGTGTAGGCAGGTCCAGTTTCATTGACTCTCCGTGAAAGGGCATATGCAGCTTGTGCTGTGAGAGTGACGCGATCCGTCTGGTTCTTGACAGCCTTTGCCAGACTCGATGTCTGTGTAAAGAGTTCCCATTGCTGTGAGCGGATGTTGAAATGGTGTTTCGCGATGGATCCGGACGCGCTGAAAAGCCTGGCCGCATCTAGCAGCCGTCTACCCGCCATAGTGTCGTCTCAATTGTCTGTTCAATAGTCTCACGTGCGCATTCTCGGATTCTACTTGTCTCTCGCCCGCGTGTGTTCTTGTAGAGAATCAAATCGCTGACGTTGATATCACCAAAATGCGGGCAGCTGTCAAAGCTTCGGCCATGCCTGCTACTGTTTCTCGACCTTGAACGACATGTGAAAATTGCCAATAAGACACTCTTAATTCAAGAGTAGGTTTTATAGAGAATTGCTGAAGCGATTAGCAATAGACAAGATATCCAAGTGCCTCTGTTGTTGATGGTGCTGTCTTCGTTGGTCAAAACACATCATCTTGATTTCCGTCTTTCGCTCTTGTCCTCTTCACCCTCGCATCACCCGTCCACTATACATACACCCTCTCCCATCTTCTAATCACGTAGATCATCATCACACTCAATTATGAAAATCGGTTGCCTCCAGCTCGCGCCCAAGTTGGGCGAGGTGCAGGAGAACATCCGCAAAGCAGACTCTCTGTTGATGGACATTTCACCCTCTGAACTCGATCTTCTGGTCTTACCAGAAATGGCATTTTCAGGTAGGTGGTATACCAGTTCATTTTTGCGCCAAGTACAAGTCTCAAATTCGTCCTTACACATAGGTTACAATTTCCCCGACCTGGAAGCCATCACACCTTTTCTAGAACCGACAAGCAATGGACCATCAGCAGAATGGGCAAGACGCACAGCCGCACGATTGAACTGCGTAGTCGCTGTTGGATACCCAGAGATCACGCCTGATGGGAAACGTTACAACACAGTAGTCAGCATGTTGCCAGATGGATCAGTGGCAGCAAGCTACAGGAAAACCTTCCTCTACTACACAGACGAAACATGGGCATCCGAAGGCGACACTGGTTTCTACCATGGCACACTCGGTTCAATTGGTCAAGCCTGTATGGGCATCTGCATGGATATCAATCCTCGTCGCTTCGAAGCACCTTGGTCGGCATATGAATTTGCGAATCACTGTGTGGATTCGGATACGCCTTTGGTCGTGTTATCCATGGCTTGGTTGACTAGACTCCTTCCTCAGCAACTGCTGGAGACTGGTTCGCAGCCAGATCTTGAGACCTTGAGTTACTGGTTGGAGAGATTCGTGCCAGTGGTGCAGAGTGAAAGAGAAGGAGGTATTGTGGTGGTCATGGCTAACAGATGTGGCACTGAACCTGGCATGGTGGCAGGAGTCAGTCAGGGTGTTGACGACGAGGGTCAAGAGGTTGTGGGGTATGCCGGAACGAGCTGTGTGTTGATGGTTGAACAGGGAGAAGTCAGGATCTTTGATATCTTGGGCAAGGCCGAGGAAAGGTTGCTGAAGATTGATACTACAGAGGTGAGTTGATCAGTGGCTGGAGACACACAACATGCCAACTTTGCTAACTTGAAGTAGCCTCCTCGATTTGCGTTGCGCGCCAAAGTGTCGTGAGGAATCATGTTCGTAGCGGTAGTCCGGATCTAGGCGGATGCAGACAGTGTTGGCTCTGGGAGCACTCGAATGTCGAAAGCACAAGAAAATGCTCGTAGAGTACCTCACAGCATCACAAACACGCAGAGAGCAGACGCAAAAAGGTGTCAAGGCATTTCATCATGTAATTTCCATCAACCAGAAGTTTTTGTTTTGTGATACGCATCCCCTAGCAAACAACTAGCGCCATATTTTGATTCTTGATTGTCATTCCCTGCGTGATTCACAAGCCCCACGATGATGGAAAAAGGGAACCCCTTTCCTCCTTCCGTTGAGAGAGGGAACACGGGCCCAATAGCGAAACAGTCGGCTTCTTTCAGAAGCAGGTCGGCAGTGACGAAGTCGACATCGAGGGAAAATGTTGGCTGCTTGATATCGTGGGCGAGTCGCTTAGATACCGATGCGGGTCTTGCGCCAGTGACGTCTCTTGGCGTTGTATCTGAAGAACAGGCCGTTAGTCTTGGGGTTCTGCATGTTCGTGTGCGCTTAGGTGGCTGGTCCTCGGTGTGTTCAGACGGATAGAAAGGGTTCGGTAATTCTCAAGGCGTTCGTTCGCGGATTCCCATCGCGTGTGTCGATCTTCCAAGCTCTTTGCGTATCGTTCTCTCGGGGGCAGGACCTGGATCAATCGTACCTGATGGTGTTGTTGGTGCGCAGACGGATCCACTGGGGGATGGGACGGTTCTGCTTCTGGGCCTTGGCCAGCTTCTGCTTGGTGCGGAAAGACTTGTGGGACTGTGTGGTTACATGGTGTCAGCGAGACTGTCGTCGTGTGTCTGCAGCGCTGGCGGGACTACTTACAGGCATCTTGACTGTCTTTGTCGTTCGCTGTCGTAGGAAAACGAAGAGACGCTTCAATATTCGTAGAATTCGATGTGGCAGGTACGTGCGTCACCTTGGCGCTTGCCGAACTTGGCGGCAAATCCCGTGACAGCAGTTGCGACCGACGCCCGCCACTGCCCTAACTGCGAACATCAGTTTCCCATCACTCGTTGTCGCCTTTTGCATAACTCGATCGCATCCCTTCTGACATCGTTCACTCTTCCGGAATAGCCGTCGCATACATCACTACCATCATACCACGCACTCATCATGCCCAAGGCAGAAGTCGGCAGCACAAAATGGCTCTCCAACAACATGAAGTCCAAGGGCCTGCAGAGGTTGCGCTGGTACTGTCAGGTCTGCCAGCGTCAAATGCGCGATGAGAACGGTTTCAAGCAACACACTCTGTCCGAAGGACACGTGCGCGCAATGCTGCTGGTTGGCGAAGATCCCAAGAAATACATTGCTCAATACTCGGAAACTTTCAAGAAGGACTTCTTGACCTTACTCAGGACGTCACATGGAGAGAAAAAAGTCTATGCCAACCACTTCTACCAGGAATACATCCACGACAAGGAGCACATCCACATGAACTCTACCAAATGGCCTAGCTTGACCGAATTTGTCAAGTATCTTGGACGAGAGGGCATTTGCAGAGTCGAAGAGGGAGACAGAGGTTTGGAAATCGCTTGGGTCGACGACAGCCCCGAAGCACTAAGACGCAGGGAGATGGTTCGCAAGAAGGAAGCTATGGAGAAGGGCGACGAAGAGCGTGAGACACGCATGCTCGAAGCTCAGATCAAGCGTGCACAAGAAAAGAAGCGACAACAAGAGGAAGAAGATCGTCTGAATCACAGCAACCAGGATGAAGAGGCCAAACCCAAGAAGGCTCAAGAGGGCCCCTTGTCGTTCAGCTTGGGATTGGGATCTAAATCGATGACTACAGACTCCACAGAACCAGCCGTCGAGAAGGTGCCATCTCCGACCGAGAAACCTTCTGAAGCCAAAGCAGAGCCCATTCTGGAGTTCAAGACTGGAGACGAGAAGCCGGCCGAAGCTCCCGCTGCACCCTTAGCTGCACCCAAACTTTCTCTCGACCTTGGTTCCAAGCCCAAGAGAGTCAACGTCTTTGCAGCTGCATCCAAATCCAAGTCTAACCCTCTCAAGGAGAAGAAGCCCACGCAGGTGGTCGAGGAGCCCAAGAAAATGAGTGCCGCAGAGCGCATCATGAGGGAAGAGATGGATAGGAAGCGCATGCGGGATGAACGCCAATCTGGCGGAGGTAAGCGACCTCGTCTTGGTTGAAGCAGCATTTTGCGCCATGCGTTTTACGTTCTGCGATTTTAGCGAGGTGCAATGGGAAAAGGGATTTGGCATGACTCACGACTGCATAATTGGTAGGCAAGGTAGGAATGGACAGATGAGTTCAGCATGGATCAAGTCTCAGAAATCAGAGTCTTCCTCGTGAATGGTTTGAGACAGCAGACCATATCTGCCTGCACCTGGAGTGTCGAGCACACTGGACATTGACAAGGTAGGAGAAAGCATAGCTTCCATATCTTTGCGTCTTCGTGAAGCGCGGTACTGTTTTGCTGAAGGACCTCTCACAGGAGGCTCAGAAGCGAGGTGTAGATTCGAGTGCAAGATTGAATAGACGAAGTGCAGCAGCAAGCCACAAGAGATGCCCGTGATAGAAGCGACACCCAGATAAATGTAGATTGTCTTGGCAATGGTTAGCATATCAAAATAGCAAAGGATGCGGGGTACCTAGCGAGCAAGGCATGGGATGGGGTAGATGACCTCGAATTTCTGCAAGAATCGCAAGGGAACAAGAGCGCAGTAGGCAAGCAGCTGGGTGAAGAGGACCAGTGGTTGTAGCAAGAACAGCAGGAGGCTCGTGATTGGCGACAGCAGAGTCTTGAGGGTCAGGGCAATAAAAGCGAGTAGAAAGTAGATAGGATATATGAGGTAATAGAGTGCAGTGAGTGACCACGAGACGTATGGATTCATGCTCGAGGCCGACGTCTCGGGTGGTGTCTGTGACTGGCACAATGCAAGACGTCAATGTCAGCTTGGACAAAGCTACTTGAAGCACGTCAATGCAAGAAATGTGCTAGACGATGGATTGGCGAAAGGGCTGGCGGACGTGTTGAGGGGCGCTGTTGACGACTTTGGAGCTTGCGTGCTTGGGACTTGTCTTTGTGGAGAAAGCACGAGCGGGAGCGTCCCGATGCCTGCCATTTCCACACGCTCGACCAAACGATCATCCTCGACAGCCACAGCACTTTTCCATGGGCAACACTCCGTCGTCCAACAAAGCGGAAAAGGGCAGCCAGCCCGCCTCGCCCGCCCACGCCCTCCACCACCACCACCATGAGCCCCCTCGACGCGAACCGCGACGCCGCGAATCCATCCCGGCCCTGACGTCCAAGACGGCCGCTGCATCGCCCTCGCTCGACACGACGTCGGCCAGTGGACAGGCCATCTTTCCCTCGGCCTACTCGCCCTCGCAGCCGCGCTCCACCNCCGCCTCTGCCCACCAGCGCAATCGCTCCAACACGACAAACAATCCCAAGCAGGACTCGCCCTCGGCACCCCGCCGCTACAAGAGCCTCAAGTCGCCCAGTCCGCCAGAAGAGCCCCGTCGGTCGCCTGCATCACAGCCTGTCAACGTTCCTCAGTCACAACGGCCTCCTCGCTCTGCCTCTCCTGCCACCGAAGCTGCCTACCACCTCCCACCAGCCAGCTTCTCGCGACCCCCACGTCTGCCCCTCCCAATTGAGCAGNAGGACCACACTCCTGGCTCTCCCATCACCTCGGCCGTCTTGCCCGAAGATGATCCCGAACAAGTCGACCTTCCCCGACGATCGAGCGTCGTGAGCAGTACTATCGACGATGACGACGAAGAGCCCGATGGCTTCGAAGGCTATGAGACGGATGCTGGTGGCCCAAAAGTGCCCACACTGATAGAATGGCGCAACGCTCAACCCGGTGACCGTGTCTACGTGACAGGCACTTTCACAAACTGGGAACGCAAGTTCCGTCTGCACAAGGAGTAAGTGTTATGAGTGGTGGCGTGACCGATCCCAACTGCATGCGAGTCTCAAGAGAATCTTCGAACTGACTCGATACCACAGTNNGGTCCTAGCAAACATAAAAACGCCTTGTCGGCCACGCTTCAACTACCACCCGGTACTCATCACATCAAGTTCATTGCCAATGGCGACATGATGACCTCGAACGATCTGCCTACTACCGTCGACTACACCAACATTCTAGTCAACTACATCGAAGTATCACTGGATCAGCTACCTCTAGTTCAGCCTGGTAAACCTGTGCTTCCTGGACCACCTCCGATCAAGCCACAAGAGCCTTCACGACCAATGGACATCAGACCCAAGCCAGCAGCCCAGGCAGACAACGATGCTTTGCTCTCCAAACAACCACAAAACACTCCTCCCAAGTCAAGCCATGAGCCACCTGCACCCAAGTCAACTACGGGAACACCCGCCCAGCCTCCTGCAGACGAGCCCAAACCACGCCAGCAACCGCCACTGGTCCGACAACAGAGCAGAGAATGGACACAAACGATACCGGCCTACCTTACAGATCTCGATTCCTGGTACCCACCACCCTCGGCAAGAGACGATGCTCAATCGCCCTCTGGCTCTGCTGCGAGATACAGATTTGAGCGCGCAAATGCAGCTGCCGAGTCTCAGCCAGCGCCCCCGTCTCTTCCAATGTTCCTCAGCAAGAGCATTCTGAACGGTACTACACCAACAAAAGATGACAGCAGTGTGTTGATCATGCCAAATCACACCGTACTGAACCACTTGGCAACGACCAACATCAAGCAAGGCGTGCTGGCCACGAGCGCGACAACCAGGTATAAGAGAAAGGTATGTTTCATCTTTCTACTGCCATGCGCAAACTCATCAAGACTAACTCTGGTGCTACAGTTCCTGACGACCATCATGTACAAACCGCGCAGCGACGGTGAAGAATAAACAAGATGAATGAGGAAAGAACTCTTAGATTCAAATGCATTGTACATAATTTAATCTTCTCGCTTCTCTTTTTCTTCATAGAGTTTGTGGGCTAAGGACACTTTTTCATCTTCTCGAGATGGCATGCAAAGAGAGCACAGGATCAAGGTACAATATTCAATTATCACTTTCTCCCTCCTTGAAGCGGCACTGTACCATGGCCATCAAAAGCCACCATTGTTTCTCCATAGGGAGCGCGTCCACTGAGAGAGCGCAATGCCGTTGCTCTTAGTGAACTACTATGCATTTGGGCTGACAATCGCAAGACGATGTCTTCACGGATTTCTGTAGGATGTCCAGGTCATGGGATCGGAACTCCAAGAATGGTAGTACTTGGCGAATCTTTCTTTAGGCACACGATCAATAGCAGTGGTGCCCTTGAGATAGGTCAGGTCAACACTTTGTTGGAAGTCGTCACCGGCACAGGCTACATAGTTAGCATCTTTCACCTCGATCGGTATCAAGGCAGAGAACTTACCTTTCCACGCTTCGGGCGATTCGTGTTCATGGTAGCTGCAAGCTTGGCCTCTCTTGACGATGTTTGCCCGATGACCGCAATTGGTGCCCTCGCATCCAAGAGTGTAGAGGACATTACAGCAGGGATCGGCAGCCACACTGCAGCCTGTGTTACGACAGGTATACTCATAGGTGTTGTTGCATGCACTCCTTATGTGGTTGTCGAACTCTGAGTAGAGATCGAAGGTCCCAGAATGATGCGCGAACCGGTCTACCATCCAACGTACGAGGCCAGAGCTTTTTGAAAGCACGGCGAAAGCCTCTGCCGCATCCCCATAGGGTGGCATACCTTTCTTGTGACTGCGCTTGTGGATGTGGGTCATGATGTCCGCTCGAAGAGCTGGTACGTCCGTTTTGTCTGCGAAGATGTAGAGCTGGAAGAGAGTCGGGTAGTCAAGGTCTTCGGCGAAGCGTCCAGAGTACAGCCAGGTGATGAATGACTTTGCTTGAGGTGCAGTCAACTCAAAAGTGACACTGTCCTGTCCAGCTTCGGCAAAGTTTCCTCTCAGAAGAGCAGCGTAGTAGCGTGAGAAGTAGCAGAGAAGACCTTCAGGAACGACAACGTTGAAGATGTCGCTGTTGGCTTTGCACTTGAGCATCTTGGAACTTGTGGTCAGGATATCGCCGATGGCTCCAGCGGTCCAGGTGTGACTTTTGGGATCCGGTCTGGTTCCCATATTGGAGATCGAACTTGGGCTATTCCGGATATGATGAGAGACGATGGACTAAGGCGAGGTTATATCTGGACTCAGATTAGTTAGTGAAAGTATTGCAATAACAGAACAAGACATTGCAATGACTCTGGAAGATTCGTAGCAAACATTTCACGGCCTATATAAAGGTCATTATGGGTTGCAAGGAGAAAGGAACGCTGACGATATAATGGCTCGCATGTTTCATAGTGATTTGAGAGTGCATCTTCACAAGGAAAGAAGGGCCGGCCTTGTTTGACAATCTGTGGTTGACGTTTCTGTCGCTACTCCTCTTTTGTCTTGCTTTGCATCTAGATGAAACTTTTGTATACTTGCCTTGATCTTAGACACCCATTCCCATGTCCCAAAACCCACATTCCATCTGCATAATTGAGTCAGCGGAAGAAAATATAAGATTGACCGAATTATCTNNTGCCTTGGTTGCGTGGATGAAGATATTGACCAGTTCTTCAATTCTAGAGGGGGATTGCTTGGAGATATGTCCCTCGACCAGTTCNTACCCGCAAATCAGTACTCTTGTCCTTATCAGCTCGATCCGAAAGAATGGCTTACCCATGCCTTTGCCAACGGCTTGAGTGTAATCGTCAGCGATGTAGTTATCAATCCACTGGCGGTAGCGGTTTGCATTCTTGGGCGCAGAAGGGTCTTGGAGAGAGGAAAGACGCTTCGCAATATGGTGGTAGCCGAGGAGGCAAGGGAACATGGCTATTTGAAGGGCGAGCCAGTCTTCTGATGCGCCGATATCGAGGATATAGCGGCTGTATGCTGTGCAGGCTACAGAATTTATGTTAGATCGGTCTTATGAAACGACGGAACTGACAGAAGACAGACCTTGGTGCTCTTCCGAGTTGCGTAGTTCGTCCATTGTGACGCCCAGCTCTAGACACTCGGAGACGTGGAGCTTGGTTTCGGTATGAATATGCGTGACGATACCAGCAGACTATGGTTTGTTTAGTCTAGTCGGCTGAGGTAGTCATTCTGGATAACTCACTGCTGCAACCCCCTCTAGAGTCTTAGCCTTGTAACCAGCAAGTGCATTGGCTCGAGCAAATTGTGTCTATCTCATTAGTAAACATTGGATCTTTGACTTGTTGATCCTGGAGCTTACCAGGTAAAGATAGTCTTGCACCATATAGAACTTGAAGCTCTCGACAGGCAGAGTACCGTCGCCCATCTGCTCGACGAATTCGTGCTGGGTGAATTCCTTCCAGACTTTTCGAACATCTTCTCGTTCTAGCAACCAGTCCACGAAGCCGCCACTGTATTAGACATCAGTATGATTACAAGAGACTACGACCAGTCCGACTTACGGTGGAAAGGGCATGATATTGAGAGAATGGAAGTGGTTGATCGGACCAGAGCCTTTGCCAAGATCGACACTCGTCTTGATGCCAGCCTCGACGTAGCGACCAGCTGCACGTACTGCTCTCTCCATACTTAGACCGTTGGCGACGTTGCAAGCGATTGCANNGCTGCATACATATTAGCCTACCCTCGAGTTTACCCGAAGACGTAACATACACGCAAGCGAGCATCCAGTGCCGTGAGTATTTCTTGCAACCTGATACTTGGACTCGAAAACACAAAAGTCCCCATCCGTGTAGAGTACGTTGACCAGGACTTCCTTCTCGTCATCAGTGGAAGCAACTTCATAGTTCTTCTTCAGCGGGATGTGTCCGCCTTTGATCAGCACGCTTTTGGGACCGAGATCAGCCACTGCTCTAGCTAGGCGCTTCATGCCGTCCAGATCCTTGATGTCGTCGACTTTGTGGCCAGATTCTTCGAGTAGGAGGAGTGCTTCCGGAATATTGGGCGTGATCAACCCCGTGACAGGTAAGAGCTCTGTGCAGAGTGTCTTGATGGCTTCCTCTTTCAGAAGCCTTGCTCCACTGGTCGCTACCATGACCTTGTATCCGTCAGTCAAGTGGCATGATGTCTAAACAAGTGAGCCTACCGGATCAACAATGCTGCATGCGGGCTTGTACTTTCTCAATGCGTCTGCAACGACCTGTATAGTGCCAGCAGAGGCCAGCATACCTNNTAATATAATCAGCCAAAGTTGAGAGATAGTGGATAATTTGGTTCTTTGAGAGTAGGTCGATTCTATAAGTAAGAACAAAGAGATCAATTTACCAGTCTTGACTACATCAACACCAACATCCTCAGCACAGGCGTCGATACATTTCTTCACAAATTCTGATGGTGTTTCATGAATACCAGTGACGCCCTGTGTGTTCTGCGCGGTCAAAGCAGTAGTTGCAGTCATAGCATAACAGCCGTGGGCAGCAATGACTTTCTGGTCAGCCTCGAGGCCTNNCTGTCAGATAAACAAAGATTAGTCTTCAGCAAAACATTTTCAAAGGGTATGTCCTTACGCGCCACCAGAACTGTCAGACCCTGCGACGACAAGAATACGTCTTGTATGTGCCATCTTTGTGGGTTGTCTGATAATAATTGTGGAAAGAACGCGTTGGTTGAATGTCGAGCTCGCGGCTGCCGTCATCGGGGTGAATCCACCGAGCCGCTTCCGAGGCGCTCTGTCATTTAGCCCTATCCAATACAACCTTCTGAAAATCATGGAATAGATGGTTTTTTATATGCTATACAAGCCTCTCAGTCTGAATCCGACTCGTCAAACTCTGGAATATCAGGATCTNNGCTCAGATATTAGTTTGGGGTTGAACTTTATGAGGACGAAGCTGGCTTACCTCTGACAAGCTGATACTCGAAACGACCTTGCACCTTGCTGGCTAGAGTATCACGAATCAAGTCCTGCTCCTCGCTACTCAAAGCTACATCTAGTGAAGCCATATCGATCGAGATGGCCAGACCGCTGTTACCTGGTCCAAGCTTATCAATGAACTCTAGAAGACCATCCGCCGTGAAGACTGATAAACCAGTGAAGGATACACTCTTCAAGTTTCCCAGGTTGGACAGTGTGGTTAGCGTTCGATCACTCAACAGCCAACCGCTAACAAGGAGTTCCTCCAGGTTCAGCAGGTTTTCTCCGAGAAGCTGCAGCTGATCATCTTGGAAGTAATCTGATGATCGAGTAAGTTGGAGGTATCGCAAATCTCTCAACTCACACAGAGATTCGCAAAGCTGATTGCGAGCAACAGGCTCTAGAGGGTCAGGATCGGCCTTCAGCAGCAGACTCTGGAGTCTCGTCTGCAATCCGATGGCTGCATGAAATTCTTGATGCTCCCGTAGTGCGTACATGCAGTCATCTACTGCACCAATCTGCAAGTCTTCCAGGTCAATACCCTCCTCGCTTAACACTGGTGCTAGAATGTCTGGAGCAGAAACGAAATCAATCAAAGTGACTTCACGCAGTTTTGTGCACTGCTTCAGCCACTCTACCATGGCATCCAGAGTATCTTTCTGCATTTCCTTGAGATCGTGCGGTGCTTGTGTGTCGGTCAGTTTGAGCGTCTCAATCACTGTACAGTCTTTCATCATTCCTAATCCTTCGATTCCTTTGTCCGGGATTGCAAGTGCTAAGAACTTCAAAGACGCTCCATGCGTGTTTAGTGCCTGGCAAGTTTCGGTACCGATGCCGCATTCTCCAATATTCTCAAAATATTGTAGTGTATTCTTTGGCATACGGTTTAGGAACCGTGCGAGTTGTCTGTCAGAATCGTCTCCAACCCTGTTGCACGGTGTTAGCATAGTTTTGAAATGTAGCCAGGCTTACTCANNCCATTGATAGATGTTGATTCTGTTGAGATGTGGACAGTGCTTATGCAAGAGCTCCTGAACGGTTTCGTCGCCCAGTGTTTTACCGTCCCATAGTTCAAGCGATCGTAGCCTACTCAAATCAGGCGCCCACCGTGGCAATGCATTAGAGAGGACNTTACAGTCATGTCAGTATCCTTTCATCAGTGTGTGCGAGTTGGACCTACTGTTATATTCGCCATGAACGATAGGCTCGGTGATTTCCTCGAGCATGGGTGCAGCCTTCACAATTGCNTGAGTTTTTCTTTGGTCAGTCAGGCATTCATTTAGAGAGTTGTGTATATGCGACACACCATCTCCAATCGCAGCAACTGCCGCACGCATATTACTCGATTTCAAGGCACGATTCTTGCCTCTAGTCTGGCTAGTAATGTTGAATCTCGCAAGAGAACCGGAGTAGAAGTTCCTACATCAGTGTAAGTATGAGTTTCTTCCAGAGCGGCATGTTCAGACTTACTGTTGGATCCTACCTCTGAACTTATCGTCGTCCAATAAATCGTAGAGATCCCGTAGATCAAGTACCCTCAAGTAATGGCAATATGGGAAAAGCGTCTCCTCAGTGCATGAAAGCAATATGGTCCGCCACAAAATTGACCATCTTTGAACAGCTTGCTCCTGTTCTTGTAATGGCAATGATTCATTGCCTCCACTCTTAACTGGCGCATTGTGACTTGCANNCTGAGCTCTGTTAGCAATTCTGATCATGATTTATAATAGGCGATACTAGTACCGGTAGAGATTCGCCAGGGCTCCGGAGCCAGCCAGATGTTTGCTAGCCACAGCACAATTGTACAAGCTCGAGAAGTCATTGCGTACAGCAAGCTCGTCGAAGAGAAGCTGCCACACATCAGGTGGCAATCTCACATTCGTTGTGACGATTTTATCGTCGACAGACATATTTGACTGGTACTTTTGTAACGATAGAACTCTAGGTCAAGATAGGAAAAAATAGATAGGTAGTTTGGTCGCGGCCGAAACAGGAAGGCACGTCATCACAAACGCGTCTGGATCGCGTCTTCCTCCAAAGGCATCAGCTCTTGGCAGTCCATACCCAAACTATTTTCTTTCGCCTTTCAGACCACGGTTTTACCTTGAACAATATAACATCCGAAATGACTGCTCTCAACTTTGCATTTTCACCAGAAGCTACGGCCAAGGTGCACGATGCTTTGGTCTGTTTGGCGAAATTTGGTGAAACGGTTTGTATGGAAGCTCGTGGCGATATGGTAAGTTCATGATATTATGCGGTGCATCTTTCTCTGGTATGCTGACGTTTTTCTTACAGCNTCACTCTGACCACACTGAATTCATCAAGAACCTCATATGCTTCTTTCGCCTTGGATACCAAGTCATTCTTTTTGTCTTATGACTTCGGTTTGGGACAAGGAGCTAGATTCACATGTCAACTCTACAACAAGGTCGGTGTCAAGAGGATATAGTGCTGGAATGGTGACTTACAACCCTCANAGGCTCTTCTTGCTGTGTTCAAAAGCCGCATAACAGATCCTCGTGGTGGTGATACATCAATAGACCGATGTGAAGTCAGTGTGGAAGATAAGCCGAACAAGGTACAGTGCCGTCTGATCGTCAAGATGGTTTGCAAGCATGGTAAGATCTATTGTTGACCACACGAAGTCCAAGAGTGAGCTGACTGAAATCCAANNGGTGTCACCAAAACCTACCGACTGACTTACGAATCTGTGGAAGTATCGCACGCCCTCTTTGACAAATACAACGCACCGAATGGATGGAAGATCTCTTCTCGTATACTCCGCGAATACATCGAGTTCTTCGGAACGAAAACAGAACAGCTTGATTTGCTAGTCAAAGAGGAAAAAGCCATCTTCACCAGCTTTACAGAGAAGATTATGGACGGGAAAGGTATGGAAGTCCTGCCGTGCCGGAAGGTATATCACTGATGCATGTTACAGNAAATCCTCAAGCAACCGCTAGAAACAGCTATATCTCTACACATTCAGGACTTTGATGACTTTCACGCTGAAGAAGACGTTCACATAGTCATCAATGTCAAAGACTTCAAGGCCATCGTAACACACGCCGAGACTTCGAAGACATCAATGTCTGCTCAGTTCTCTCGTCCTGGAAGGCCATTGCTGTTCAGATATACAGACAAGGGACTGACTTGTGAATTCGTACTGATGACAACTGGTGTCGCCCAAGCTGTTCCGCCTGCAACAGCACCAAAAGTGGCATCCACCCGCCCAGGTGGTCAAGCTTCGAGGCAACCTTCAGCTGCACCACTGCGACCGTCAAGACAATCGACGGTAGATTCGGACGCGTCGACGAGACAGCCATCTGTGGCATCAGGCATGCCTTCAAGGCAGTCTTCGCACGCGGTGATACAGACTGTCGAAGGCAGAAACACTGAAATGGCACCTCCACCAAGACCTGCTTCTGTTGTCGGTCCGCAGCGACGGGTTCTGGGTAGTTTCGGACGTCAAACTTTTCAAGCTACAACGACTTCAAACGTGGACCCCGACCCTGAAAGTCTGTTCATGCCGCATGGCGACCAAGATGACAGGAGGTTCGATCCAGCGGATTTTGACCCAGAGCCAGAAGAGGAGATGCTGGGCTGGGACGCCAATGCAGATGTCGTGAGTAAAGGCACGCTTTTGGCTGAATCATGCTGACTTTCTCAAGNNGCTGGCGGTTTTCATCCAACCTTCCGCGATGCCATTACTCATGAGCCACCACCACTCAGCCAGAGTCTCAACAGAAGCACACAAGGTCTACCACCTACGCAGAGGCTTTCTCAGGTAATTCTGATGTTGCTCTACGCAATCTTGTGGCTAACTCATATCGCAGATGAATGGGCTGTTCGACTGATGTTTTGCAACGAATATCAAACTCGAGGTTGCTGTCTGGCCTCAGAATTGCTTCATATGGTAATAATCCAGCTCGTTGCACAGCCAGCACCGATACGCTGGACATTTTTACCTACGTCAAGCTCGTTCCATCGACCTTTGACGTCGCGTTGCTCATCGGTAGGCAAGCCGCAATTACCGTGCTCACCCCAGCCCCAGGCGAGCACCTTGCCAGAAGTTGTCAGAACAAGCATGTGCTCACTACCAGCTGCCATAGCAGTTACTAATAGATCTGCAGGCGGGAGTTGCCCATGGTCATTCCTACCCCAAGCAACAAGCATGTTGTTAGATAGCAGAGCGTAAACACCACCCCACGTGGCTTGCACATCAACCCAGTTTCGAAGAGTCTGAGGAGTGTTTGTCTTGATGTTGAATCTGTCGCGCTTTGCCAGACCGAGCAATTGTAGCTGTCCATCAGCAGGATCGCCAAAAACACATGTAAAGTCTTTGCCACAGACGGCGCGAGTGACTGAAAATGGTATGTCATCAAGCCTACGAGGTTGCCAGACAATGCCAAGAGGGTTGCCCAACTCGCCGTGCAGTCCGTTGCCCCAGCCATAGACCTGCCCGTTGGACAAGACTACTACAACATAGCCCATGCAGGCGGCCATGTCGATGATTTGAGTGCCTTTAGGCGGAAAATACGCGATCTGCTGTGGAAAGTCTGTTTTCACTACGCTCTGTCCGAGGCCTAATTCACCTTTGGCGCCACTGCCACAGACGTAGATAGATTGAGCAGATGCAAAGATGGACGCCTCCCAAGTAGCCGCGATGAATTCCATCCTAGGTAGACTGGATGGGATGAAGGATGAAATAGAGGCTACTTCTGTAGGGTGCGCACATCTTCCATCAGTATTCTCACCAGTAGCATAGACGGTGCCCGACTTGGTAAGAATCAAGGTGTGGTTCCCGCCAGCTTTGATGGATTCAATCGAGGCGTCGAGTTTGTCCACGCCGACGAGTGACGGCGCAGAGAGATCCTCGTCATGACCGACTCCAAGTTGACGAGAGCCATTCGAGCCCAGGGCATAGATAGACATTGTCATTGATTGATTGGATAGTTAGTGAAAGAGTAATGGTTGATGATGCCAAGACACGAAAGTGCACGGCTAAACCCCGGCGAGTCTCAAGCCGAGCCACTCGCACCTGCCCGAATTTTGCACGCTCACACGCCCGCCTTCTGAAGACGATTGAGACCTTTTCGCGCCGACACGACTTTCGACAACTTCCACACAACCACCGCCAACATGTCGTCCTCCCAGAGCGTCCAGTGCTTCGGCAAGAAGAAGACCGCCACCGCTGTCGCCCACTGCAAGCAGGGCCAGGGCCTCATCAAGGTCAACGGCCAGCCCATCTCGCTCGTCCAGCCCGAGATCCTCAGATTCAAGGTCTACGAGCCTGTCCTCATCCTCGGCCTCGACAAGTTCGGTATGCGATTACCTATTTTCCCGGAAAGACAGAAAGAGCAATGGATGTAAAGAGCTTGGGACACAAGGATGGAAGAATGGATTTGGAGACATTGCACGCAGCTTGGAATCTTTGTTAGGACGAATCGCTGACAGCTTTTTCTCTTTACAGCCGGTGTTGACATCAGAGTCCGCGTTACCGGTGGTGGTCACACTTCCCAGGTCTACGCCATCCGCCAGGCCATTGCCAAGTCCATCGTACGTTTTATCTCAGCCAACACCCATCACGATCCGATCGCAGAACAGAAAGAGGAGGGACTCGAGGAACGCATCACATATACGAGAGCCCCTGCGACATGATTTCGCGCGACACGCACAACTCAAATACACGATATCAGGACCTAGACTAACGCGCATTTAAGANTCGCCTACTACCAGAAGTTCGTCGATGAGCACTCCAAGAACCAGCTGAAGCAGGCTCTTGTCGCCTACGACCGCACACTCCTCGTCGCCGACAACAGAAGATGCGAGCCCAAGAAGTTCGGTGGTAAGGGTGCCCGCTCGCGCTTCCAGAAGTCCTACCGTTAAACAATTCTCCTCTTGCCGGGAGGAAGGTGTTGTTTACGGTGTGTGGCATTCGCATTGGTGGCCTCCGACTCGTGGGTTGCTGGGGTTTGTGATGATTCCCCTCTTTTCCATTGGCGCGCGTGTGTGACTGGGGGAAAAGGGAAAATGTTAAAAGGGATCCAAGACTTTTTCATGATGGCATAGGCAAGAATATTCCAAAAGCGATACTTTTGCTGTTGTCCAGCTTCAACAACACCCCCATCATCCCTGCGCACGATGCAGCTGTTCACGTCGTTAGCGAGCCAGACAAGAAGAAACGAAAATCGCTGTTGTGTTGTCGAAAAAGCAAGCAAACCAAAAACGAGACAAAGACCTTTTCACTTTCATGCGAGAATGCGCCTTGTGGAAATGTTCATTCATCTGATGCTACAGCTATTTGACGTGACTTTTGAACTATCGCAAAGAGGTGGCCAGCACTTGCTCTCTCCACAGTTGGTCTGGCGCCGTTGTTTGACACGGCCATCAATGTATCTTTATGACTGCTCCGCCTTCCGGCCCTTGTTTTGATCGTTGATATCATCTACTTCCGTCATGTCTCCTGTCTTGACCCAAGTATATGGCTGTCATTCAGACGCCATCGTAGAGTGATGGCGGGCAGCGTAACTGTCGTAGAACCTCGACTGTGGGTTTCTTTGTCGTCCCGATGCCGTAGATGAGGTTGGGCATGCTTCCCAAGACAAGGGCGACAAGCTTCTGCAAGACCAAAGGTGTGTTGTAGTCTCTGATGTGAAATGGCAATCCGAACAGCCCTCCTGTTCAGCCTTCATCGCCTGTCGAGTCGTTTGGTGAATCGTCTGCACCATCGGTCTGCGCCGTAGTCGAGCGTCTCGAGGCACCAGTGCCATTTGTACTCCTCCTATTCTGGATTGCCCCTTTCTCGCCTACTGGCGGGGCATCCTCCCAATCCGTTTTGCAGACTGGGCAGCGCTCGTTGTTGTTTTGTGCTCTGAAGGCCACACGTTTACAATGGTGATGTAGTCTACCAGAGCAGTCGAGATCGGGACATCTCTCTCCCNNTACATCGTGTCGTTAGCAATCTTGCAGAGTCGAGACAGGAAGGGTAAAAGATACCATTGTGATTATGGCTTTGCAAGCGGAGCAGTTCTTGATCCTCTCATCCTCGTCGTCGTTGTACGTTTCGACTAGCCAGCCGCGTAACTCCATCAGAGCACGCGGAGTTAGGGTGTAAAAGTCTTTCTTGCTGACCTCGAACCAGCCCTCGTCAACCATGGCCTGCAGCATCCTTTGAGCTTGCATCATGGTCAGACTTTGGGACGTGGCACCTTGGGTGCCTTCAGCGTCCTGAGTCTGGGCGGCCGGGGCTTTTGCCAGTCTCAAGGCCTCGGTAGACCTAACGGCAAGCACCTCGCTGCGATATGTGTTGTTGGTCTCAAACATGGCATCGAGACAGCGTTTCACGAAAGCAATCTCGTCGGGAGTATGGGTGGTTGCAAGCTGAGTAATGGAGTCGGAGGAGACGTTTACGAGAGCGTATATGCGGGTTCGGTCGTGCTGGGAGAGGGTGTCTCTGATTTCCAGGTCGAAGGGAGAGATGGCGGCATTGGTCACGTTGATGTAGGTTGAGACATCTTGTTCGGTGATGTCGGCGGATTGGATGTCGCGGCCATCTTGTGCTTGTACGTGTGAGTTGGTTGCAGCGAGTCTTCTTTAGGAGGGATGTCTACCTTGAGCTTTCTCAATGGCAGCAACAATCGGGCGGGCTTGTTCGAAAGTAAGGGTTGCACGAGAAAGGAAGGACTGTAAGAATGCGCGATGGCTGTTGTTGTAGACCTGGTCGTTCTTGTCGCCGTTGTCGGACATGTTTGGCTACCTGGTATGTACTATGTGGATGGGTTTGGCAGAAAAGAGCGGCGGCTTCTAGGAAGACGCGTTTCAATCTTGGCCGCGTCGGCTCTGTCATCACACTTCCCTCTTGGGCCTTCAGCTGCGGAGTGCCGCTTCCTCGAACCACCTCTCGGTCTTGCCATCTTCCAATTTTCCAATCTCTTTGGCCAGAGTAAGTGTTTGACAGCACTTTTCCGTATTGTCTTTGTCCAAGACACAAATATTGCCCGTGTCTCGTTGTCTTCTCACAATCATCCGACTACATCTCAACATGCAGTCATTCACACACCCTTTATTCTTCAACACGTTCAAACTTGACAAGAGAAAGCGGCCCAAACTCTTCAGTGGAATTGATACTGCTCGCGACATCCACTCGCACCTGAATCCCAAACACAGATCAAGACGGCCCAAGCCTTTTGCTGTCGCTTCCTTCACTCTTCCTTATCGCAACACCACCATGAATCACTCCAATGACAAATCCACCAATACTAAATCGACGAAGAGATCCAAGAAGAAGGGCGATCAAAATAAGCAACCTCCCCAAATAAAAAGCCAAGCTCAACCTCTCCACCTGTCAGCCACCCTTCCAACGCGACCAACGCGAACCATGGCCGAACCACAGAGGAACGAGCCAAACATCTCCGAAAGAAGAGGCATTAGATGGGTGTGTATCTCGATCGATTCATGACGCGCAGACGCTCACATGTCTCCTCAGATACCTGATGATCACCAACTCGAAGAGCCAACTTCCACACTGGTCCTGACTAGCTCGCGAGGGCAGTTTGTCGACGTTCGCATCTTCTGCAAACCAGGAGAGGCATTGCCTAATGAAGGTGAGTCGAAACGATTTTACAATCTAGGTCGAGTTTTCTACTTTGAGTAGAGAGAGCCTCTGTCTTACATTTACGATCACAGCCATGTTCTCAAAGCTGACTGACAACCTTATANNGGCGGCCCATCGAGTCTCCTCGATTGGGGGATCGCTGGTACATCAACGAGCAGCGTCATCGAAGGACCATCACTAGATCATCCCTCTAACCCACCTCCACCAGCAGACGGCTCATCAAGATCTGTCTGCCACTCTACATTCTCCCACTGGATTGACAGTCGTACCGACACTCCTGGACCTGACCAGGGTGACATGTACCCCCAACCTAGCAACACAACTCTTGAACTCGGCGCAATGTACAACCCTTTGACAAATTCAGAGCAACCCTATGAAGAAGTGTGGGTCGACTACTCTGCCTCTGCCGTAGAAGGAACACGCTGGTGTGTCGTGATCGATCTCGACGACCCTGAGCACAAAGCCAAAGGCCGTGTTGTTCGCGTGGGTGAACATTGTCAAGCCATCCTGAAGGTCGGTGAGCAAATGACTGTCGAGCGCTGGAAGTTCGAAGCGCCAGAAAAGGACACCAAAGGTGGTTGGGAACGCCTTGCTAGATTGGGTGATCTGTATTTACCCGTCTCGTTGGCATTTACCCCCGAGAGAGTGATCGAGGGCAACACTCTGACCTATGGAGATTACAAATGGATGGTCAAGGAGGTGTACTCTTGGTAAACGACATGCGAATATGCGGAATTCGACGAGTCTTTTTGCTAAAACGAAAGAACACCTGCTCCAAACAATTCTGATTTGCCTGTGTTACAAGGCTCCGTCGAAACACTCAGAGCTGCGTCATGATGTTCCAGACAGACGGTCTTAGCAGCAACGCAAACTGAAAGTCATCCGAAGACCGTTCCATTGCTTCCAATACAGAACTGTTGCGTCAAGAAATTCCATGAATTAATGATAATAGTCGAGCTCAGTTTGATACGAACCAAAAATCCATGTTCTGACCCTGACCCTGTCCGATTAAGCATTTTTTTCTTCCGATAATTCACAATGACTTAACAACTTATCGCCATATTCGTCGTTCTAGTGCAATGCTTGTCATGCTGTTTTCCTATGATGGACTCGACGATGTGTGTCGGAACCACTCTTTTACTGATTCCTCTTCTTCATGCATACTCCCACCGTATCCTTTCGAATCTGCTTTTTCTTCTCAGTCTAAGTGACCGTCTTTCCAACAGCCTCAGCCTCTTGTCTCAGTTTTGCAGGAATAGGCAACCCCTTTCTCTTCCTCTCTTGAATCTCGGCCGTAATCTCCTCGACCATTTCATCCCAAGCACGGCCAGGGTCATCCGGCAACCCCAAAGTCGGATTCCTGCTCTCCTTCTCCAGATCCTCCTTGACCTGTTCCTCACTAGGCTTGGAGTGTTGCTTGACCTTTTGCTGCAAAAACTGCTTGCCGGGAGACAAAAGGAATAGAGAAGAGGCGGTGACGCCGATTATGGTGTAAAAGTAGACGCGCTGCCAGATCAAGAGAGAATCACCGAAGCCGAGGAAAATGAAGGGGGCGACGGTGAAGGAGAAGGCGAGTTGGGTGCATAGCCAGGTGAAGATGTCGTAGTAGCGTTTCGAAGGCAGGGGCTTTGTGCCGTCTGCGCTCATGAAGAAGGGACGGATCAAGCGGCGTGAATCTGTTGTTGGTCACGAGTCAGTCATCACGATTCCTTCTCGATGATTAAAAACTCAAGCAGGACTTACTCTTTGCAGAGTTCTGGATGAAGCTCGCGAGCACAAAGGCAAGGTAGTAGCCAGGGTAGAACCCNNGTGCCAGAACGCACTGGTAACAAAGGTAGCCATACTAGCTCTGAAACCGGGTTTCTTGCCCTTGGGCGTGACTCGCAGATACATGTAGTTCCTCAACCACAAGTTTGTGTTGATGTTCCAGTTGCCGAGGTAGGCATGGCTATTCTGAGCCAGTTCGATGGCAAGAGGCTTCACGTTCTGCAGTCTGTTCCAGTCGGCTTTTCCGGTCTGGGGGTCAATACCCTTGTAACCGATGCCAGAGAGGATGCAAGCGCCTTCGGTAAGAGACCAGACACCGTAGTACTTCATGCGAGTGGTGACGCCTAGCATATGCAAGATCCAGACGCGACGAAGAATACCATACTCCTTGTAAACGTCGGAAAGCAAGAAATCAGTGTAGTAATAGCCAGAGAACTGGAGGAATGCAAAGATCCAGAGAAGACCAAAGGCTGCTTTCCATGCTGCAGGTGTACCGCTACGAGGAATCTTGCGTTGCTTACGAGTTGGCGGCGCCTTGGAAGGGTCAACGCCATCAGGAAGCTCAAACATGGTGGTCTCGATCCATCGCCTGTAGTCAACATAATCGAAAGCAGGACCCGCGAACAGCGACGGGAAGAAGAACACGAAACCAGCATAATCAAGCAGACCGGGCAACTTTCTCAACGCGCGATCTTTTTGGTGGTCGGTCAGGGAGGCTTCAGGTAGTGTGCCGTCGTAGACGTTCCAGCAGAAGGCCGTCAGTTTCATAACCAAGACCATCTGGGCACCGGTGATGTCGACAGTGCTAGGGTCATTGAGGATCTGGCGATAGATGTGGTTGACAGACATGTGTCCCATGAGAAAGACGAAGCCAACCCATGGCATATAAGGTCCCTGTATATATCCCGCAATCGAATATGCACCCACAGAGCTGATCAAGATGGTACGCAGACCGGCCCACAAGTCGAAGAGGCCGACAAGGTAGAACATAGAAACNACTGTCAAAGTTAGTAGAGGAGATTGAAAAGGGCTGCAGCGTAATGCATACGCAATGATGAAAGCATTCTTCTGCGCAGGTCTCGAGTCGGGGATACGTTTAAGCACTCCGGCCAGGGGATATGACAACAGAAAGGAGAAGATGAGTTTCACTNNATACAATGTCAGTCGGCCTGCCCCAAGCTCAATTCACCAGTACATACACTCATCAGGTGCTGCGCCCAGTTTGCCAGCCACGTAGACAAACGCTATAAGCTCAAGTCAGTAAAGCTATTCTTTTGCCCATTCGGAGCGAGGGTTCACGTAGCACTCACGGGCGTTGATGTAGGGCAACATCGTGAAGCTTGCTCGGTGAGATCAGTACAAATAGACCTCAACAATACGAGACCGAGCTATCAAGAGGTACGTAGGTATGAAAGAGTGCTTCGAGGAACTCCAGAAAGTTTGGCTTCTTGCACACGTGGATGGGTTGTTTGCTGCTTCACAAAATGACGTAGCACAAGTTATGACCAACTTGTGCATGTGATGTGCACTCTGACCCATACATAGAACATTGGGAGCAGAGTCACATGGAGCAATCAAGTCACTGGACGTGGAAGAGTAGCGAAGGGTAAAAGACAACATGCTCATATGCGACTATACATGCTGGCGACGCGGCCATTGCAATGCATGAAGCAGTGCTTTCATAAGTATTTCTATGGGAAGCCTCGATCAACATGGGCTATTTCTGGCAGCACTCGTCATCATTCTCCAACGTCTTCTGTATGCGCTTCTTGCTTTGTAGAAGAAAACTGCTCCATGTGTCAAGCAAACACTGCTGCTCTTTTGTCGGATGAAGCAGAGATTAAGGGATTCGGAAGGGTGAGACGTTTAGCGGCCCTTGGCGACTCTGGAGACGATGCTCTCGTACTCAATGTCATCGGGGTCGTTGGCCTGAATGTCGGCGGCGAGGCCGTTGAGGGAGCGCTTGATGGCTTCCTTGGAGGACGAGTACATCATGCGGGGNCTAGAGTTGGAGCGGTCAGTATGTGTGGGTGTAGATGGTCGGAGGAGACATGGGCTCACGTATTGCGATGCATCATCAGGGACCCAGGCGATGAAGGTAATCTTGCTTCTNGCAGTGGGTGTCAGTATGCGGCGGCAAGGCAAGTTGAGGATTGCGCACCTCTTGCCCTCGCCAGCAGTGTCGTACTCGACATCGTAGACGGCGTATCTGCCACCAATGCCCTCGTTGCCTCTTCGGTCCTTGCTCTTTGCGTTGAGAAGCTTCTCGCGGAAGACGGAGTAGTTGGCTTCGGTGGACGAGTCCTCGACGACAATCTCCTTCCAGTCGTCCGAGATCTTGTAGATGATCCACTTGGTCGACTTGCCGAGCTTGAGGTCGTTGAATGCGGTGATGCACTCGGGTGCAACAGAAACACTGTCGGTGGGTTATCAGCGCCATGGTTCGTGCTTGGGCCGCAGTCAGGGCGGGAGTTGAGGGCCAAGGTGAACATACCCTGATTGGGCCTAGAGATGGCCATATTAGCATGCTGGTCGACCGAGTAGGTGCGCAGGGACATACCATTTTGATTATCTGTCTAGCAGGTCTAAGACACGATGATGGCTGTCGGAGCGGTGTCAGCCGTCGGTGTTAAGTAGGGCCAGGTGGAGGCAACAGCATTGTAGCAAGGGCACATTGGCAAGACAGGCTGCCATTGTACGCGTGTACGATAGAAGGCGGTAACGTACCGGATAGGAGCGTAGGTTGGAAAAGGTGCAGGTGTTGTGGTAGACAACAACTTGTGGTGCTGGCGTGTGAGCTTGCTGCCCCTCCCGTGCGCCGTGGCCCCCGTTCTCTCCGCGACTTCCTCTCCTGGTCCACGCACGTGACACTCGATCATGACGACGCCGAATCAGCCTCATTTCACTCGACCTGCCCTTCACATGCTTTCAATGGACTTTTCATGTCTTCGATATCCTACCTTGCACTTCACCACAGCTGGTCGAGCAAAGATTGAAGGAAGGACATCTATTCGTACAAATATATATCGCTGACCCACCCTCTGCTATGCAATCTAAGAGAGGAGAAATGTTTGTACATTAACGACAAGGCAGAAATGCCACAGGGCTTTTAGCTACAATACATAAAAACGTGAGTGCCCGTCAGAGGCTAAAGGAAATCTGGGGTATCATCGACTCTTTCAAGGTGCCGTTGGCTTAGAACATGCCGCCGCCCATACCGCCCATGCCGCCGCCCATGCCACCCATAGGAGGCATGCCAGCACCCTTCTCCTCGGGTGCCTCGACAATGGCAACCTCAGTGGTACCGAGGAGCGAGGCAACACCGGAAGCGTCTCTGAGACCGGTGCGGACGACCTTGAAGGGGTCGAGAATACCAGCAGCGATCATGTCGACGTACTCGCCCTTGGCGCTGTCGAAGCCCTTGTTGAAGTCCTGACCGAATTCATCCATGATCTTGCCAACGATCACGCTACCCTCGGCACCGGCGTTCTCGACAATGGCGCGAGCGGGNCGGGTGATGGCGTTCTTGACAATGCTGATACCGAGCTGCTGGTCGAAGTTGGCGGGCTTGAGGTCGTTCAGGGCGTTGGCGGCGGCCTTGATCATGGCAGTACCACCACCGGGAAGGATACCCTCCTCGACGGCAGCGCGAGTGGCGTTGAGTGCGTCAACGAGACGGTCCTTCTTCTCACCAACCTCAACCTCGGAGGAGCCACCGACCTTGATGACGGCAACACCACCGGAAAGCTTGGCGAGACGCTCCTGGAGCTTCTCCTTCTCGTAGTCGGAAGTGGTGGGGTCGGCAATGACACCGCGGATCTGCTCGCAACGCTGAGCAACCTGGTCCTTGCTGCCCTCACCGTTAAGAATGACGGTGTCCTCCTTCGTGATGGTGATGGAACCAGTAGAACCGAGCATCTCGGGGGTGGCCTTGTCGAGCTTGATGTCAAGCTCGTCGGTGAAGACGGTACCGTTAGTCAGAACAGCAAGATCGCCGAGGATGGACTTGCGGTTGTCACCGAAGCCGGGAGCCTTGACGGCGGCGACCTGGAGCTGGCCACGGAGCTTATTGAGAATGCAGACAGCAAGAGCCTCGCCGTCAATGTCCTCGGCGATGATGACGAGAGGACGACGGAGCTGCTGGGAAGCCTCGAGAGCGGGGACAATGTCCTGGACAGCAGAGATCTTCTTCTCGGAGAGGAGAATGAGAGGCTTCTCGAACTCGACCTTCTGCGACTTGGTGTCGGTGATGAAGTAAGGCGAGATGAAACCGCGGTCGAACTTCATACCCTCGGTGATCTCAAGCTCGTCCTCGATGGTCTTGCCCTCCTTGACGGTGATAACACCCTCCTTGCCGACCTTCTCCATGGCGCTGGAGAGGAGAGCACCAATGTGGGTGTCGCCGTTGGCGGAAATGGTGGCGACCTGAGCAATCTCAGTGCTGGTGGTGACATCGCGCTTGTGGGCCTGGAGGTATTGGATAACGGCCTCGGTAGCGGCCTGAATACCACGTCTCAGGTCCATGGGGTTACATCCAGCGGCGACGTTCTTGACGGTCTCGGAGAAGATGGCGCGAGCGAGGACAGTAGCGGTGGTGGTACCGTCACCAGCAACCTCGTTGGTCTTGCTGGCAACATCCTGGAGGAGGCGAGCACCGAGGTTCTCGAACTTGTCCTTGAGGACAACGGCCTTGGCGACAGTGACACCGTCTGAGATAGGTGTTAGCCATCAAATTGTCGCACGAAGCTTCTTTGGGGTGGACAGGCGCATACCCTTGGTGATCTTGGGCGAGCCGTAGCTGGACTCGATGAGGACGTTGCGACCCTTGGGACCCAGGGTAGTGGCGACGGCTCTGGCGAGGGTGTCGATACCGTTGAGCAGAGCTTGTCTGCCCTCAACACCGAACTTGAGCTCCNNTAGAGGCGGTGGTCAGCGCGTGGCATAGAGTAGGTTGCGGGCATGTGGTACCTTGTGTGCGAAACGCTGCTGTTGCAGNGAAACAGAACGCAGCTTGGAGGCCGAAAGCGCAGAGGCCCTGGCACGAGAGGTGAAAGCGCGCTGCATGTTGGAGGCAAATGAACAAAAATACAAAGATCAGATATGAACCCGTTTGCTCCTGTTACTCCACAAAGCAAATGGCAGACGAGATGATAGTGAGAAGACGGCGACGTCGTGTGGAAAAATATACGACAGGGCCTAAGAGCTCGTCCGAGGTTACCAGACATATTCTGGATGCTTCGGTTGGTCCGAGCGCCCGCATGTTGCGTTTCTTGCCCGATGCCGCCAGCAACTCCAACGTCCATCGACTCTTGATGAGATTCATTTCTATCTGGGATGAGTTCTCAGGTATCTGTCTTGCAAGCATGTACACAGTTGTGATGCGACGCCAGTCCTGTCCAACTATCATGCGTCTGATGTAACAGACAGAGACATAGCCATTGTGCTGGTGTCAGATGTCACACAAGGCATGGTACCGATTGAATGCTTCAGGTGATGCATTCCTCGTACTCCCATAAGGCCGCTTCAAGGTCTTGCGCGGAAACCCGCGTCTGATGACCGTGTATGTAGGTAGTTTCTCAGATTGATCCTCCTGGAGAGAGCTGTCGTTTGCGTCTCTCTGGCTGTCGCTCAATTTCGTTCTTTGTCCGTCCAATTCACATTTCCGGCCACAGTCGTCACTTCTCTTCTTTCATTACTTCGCGCGGCCTCATCACTCACTATGCCCAATTTTCTCGCACAACATTGAATCCCAAACACTGCTCTAAAGAAACGACCACTATTGAGACGTCTTGATCCCCAATCCGGCACAATGCAACTAAAAGGTCTTCATTCTCGGCAAAGCTGTCCCGGAGGCGCTTACTACATCTGCCAGAATGGCTTTAGAGGCTGTTGTTCCATCGATCCCTGCAACCCTGGCGCCACATGTCCAGACTCCAGCAACACTCTGTCTACCTCTTCAGCCACTACACGCAAACCAAGCCCAACTTCCACATCAACAACCACCTCGGCTCCAACACCGATGTCTTCTCCAGCAACGATGTCCTCTTCTTCAGCTAGTACCACCTCAACTAGCGCGACACCCACGGCAACGAGCTTGACATGTCCGGCCGCAAACATGACAACGTACATTGACCCCAACAAAGTCCAATACTCTATTCGTTGCAATGCCGACAATTCCTACGATTCTTTCAACTCCACAACTGTCAGTACAGGAGGATTCGGCAAATGCTTTTCAGCATGCGATAACTTTGCAGCCTGCGCAGGGTTCACGTTTGTAGGAACTGATTCGGGGATTTGCTATTTGAAATCCAATCTCCCAGCAGATGGCTATTCGAGTACTGCGGGAAGCAACTATGTGACAGTCGCCTTGCTGGATCGCAATGCTCAAGTTGTTCCACCAGCAGATGCCCTACCAACAAACTTGTCTGACCCGTCGCGTGGCTTTAAGGGCATACATATCGGCGCTATTGTTGGAGGTGTGGTTGGTGGCTTGGCTCTTCTTATCCTTCTTGCTCTGCTCGTATTCTTCTGCCTGCGCAGCCGGCGTAGAAAGAGGGAAGAGAGAAGAGATGCCACCCAGAGCCTTCCACGAGGTCCAATGGAGCCTCATCCGAAGGGCGACTCACTATTTGCAGCACTCGGAGGTAAGTTGGGTCGAACCCTTTTCATGACCATTGCTAAACTAGATACAGGTTTCTATCAAGGACATACGACAGCGCCGAAGCAGGTACCACTCGACGAGTCTCAGCTCACCAGAGAAGATTCTGTAAACGGATTTTTAGCACCCAAGTACGATAAGGTTGCACCGACACCAGCTACCTACAATCCAACTGGCCCAGCAGAAGTGGAAGGCACGCCCATATACCCTTCGGCAAATGTCGATCCTGCTCCAGTCGAACTAGATGCAAGTCCTATAATGGCACCAAAAACACCAATGTCGCCACAAGTTGACGAATCACCCGTCCTGGGAAGATATACCTCGAACGCACACGATAATCATGGGCAGAGCAGTCTTGCAGACGAAGTGCGCAAAAGACAGCACAGTCGACACATCATGAGCTGGAACAACTATGATGATAGAAGTGTGATCTCACCACCTTCATCCATGACCATGTCTCCCAGGATTGGCTCTCCTGATGTAAGTCCCATGATGAATAGCTCAAGAGATTCGACTGCGAGCAAATTGCCACCTGAGAGATACCAAGGACATTTCATCTAAGATTGAGCGTGCCTTCTCTTTTACCCAGCTTTTCTCGCGCTCGAAACGGCTAAACAGATAAGGAAGGGTACCGCAATTGTTAGACCTCAATGTACATATATTCAAAAAGTTATATCCGTGTTCCCACAATACGAGTCGTCATTGAGCCTACAAAAACTGATCGTCCCTCGCTTATCTAGTCTGCTTGAAGCACCGACATCGATCTGCATTTACGACGAGCTTGTTTGATTTCAGTCTGGACTCTGATGGGGCGATTTCTTATCGTTCCACTGACTACCGAGACAATTGCTAGACCAAGCCTTCTGCAGAAGCTTAACGAAAGCGTTATCATACAGAGAAGCATCGGGGTCAAGTGTCAAGCCCACTGGCTCCCGCACTTTTATCTACAATATGCAGTTGATAGCGTTGTCAATAGTCGCAACCCCACCGTCGGGGGCCCCACAATACCATGCATGCATAGCAAACGTACAACATCCTTGAGGTGCAATCAAACTTATGAGCGTCTCACTACTCTACATATCAAGATGACCACGATCAGGACCTCCGGCTGTTCTCCTTGAAAGATGAACATGAATAGATAAACTTCTGTCGACGATCAGAGACGTGTCTAGCAAGGGCAATCACTGTACGAGCCAGCTGTGGGTGAGTCTACCAGCTGGCTCCTCGAAGCGGGGTGAGGCCCTCCGACCGCGGCACAATCGGCGACGTCTGCTCGCGTGCTTTCGCCATGAGCGCCCACCTGCCTTGGTTCCCACCCATGCTATCGACCTTCTCAATTCGTGCATCTCAAGTGACCGCTTGACCGCCCACACAAGCATAGAGAAAGCTTCCAACACGGGAGCTCGTCTAGGTACCTTTATTATGCCGCCGGCTAGTCGTTCGATGGCGTCTATGATCATTCTATCCTCCTTCCCAACAGAGCACTAGCTGGCATGACCCTATATCCGCCTTCCAAGGGCTGTACAGCTTCCATGTCACCCGAACACATCATGCTTCCAGGGCAATATGGCGGGAAGCTCAGCCATAACTTATCGTGTGGTCCCTGGCGACGACCCTGAACTTTACTATCTCTAAGAGGAAGGAGGAGTAGTTGAGTATGGTTTATAAGTACTGAACACAACCACCGCATAGTCAAGGTTTATCCCATCCTCCATCCTCTTTCGTCTTTGATCCTTTGGAAGGCACATCCTGCCTTCTCGTTCTTCCGTTATCATGCATCTCTCTTTGCTCAGCCTGAGTGTGTTGGTATCCTACGTCCTCGCCTCACCTACGGGAAACTATGTCATCCATGAGAAGCGTGATGCTGCTCCCATGGGTTGGAGTAAGGGCGAGCGTCTCGATCGTCGTGTTTTGATCCCCATGAAGATTGCATTGACGCAACGCAACCTCGATCAGGGCGCAGAATACCTGCATGAAGTCAGCCATCCCGAGTCTTCCAAGTATGGCCAGCACTGGACTGCACAACAAGTGGCAGATCACTTCGCACCTAGTGACGAGACTGTCTCTTCTGTCATGGACTGGCTTGTCGCTTCTGGAATCTCTTCCGATAGTGTCAAGTTGAGTCAGGGTAAAGGCTGGATCAACCTCGAAGCCTCGATCGACCAAGCAGAGTCCTTATTTAACACCAAGTACCATGTTTACGAGCACGATACTACTGGTCATCCTCATATCGGTTGTGACGAGTACAGTCTTCCCAAGCATCTCAAGGACCACATCGACTTTGTCACTCCTTCCCTGCACTTCGATACCAGAGTCACAGAGCGATCTAACAAGGTTGAGAAGCGTGATGTAACCNCCAATACTGGCAAGGAGATTGGTCAACCTGGCAGTTGGAGCACGCCCCATCTGGGCAAGTACATCAACAAGTCGCAGTTCATCAAGGAGCTCGAACAGTGTGATGAGCAGATTACCNCCAACTGTCTCAAGGCTCTTTACAGTATTGGCAAGAGCACCGGCAAAAGCGTCAAGAACAGTTATGGAATCGTCGAATACACTCCACAGGCCTACGTTCCATCTGATCTTGATCTCTTCTTTGCCAACTTTTCGGAGAAGCAAGTCGGAGACAGACCCATCACCGATTTGATCGATGGTGCCGTTGTTCAACAGACTAACATGAGCTTCAACTTCAATGGCGAGAGTAACCTTGATTTGGAGTACGCCATGACTCTGGTCTACCCGGAGAAGGTCACTCTATACCAAGTTGGTGATCTGGTATGAAATTCACATGCATACCATTCCTTGAAAAAGCTCTAACCTTTGGCTCTAGNNGTTGAGGGTGCATCATTCAACAACTTCCTTGACGCCATCGATGCCTCTTATTGCACATATGAAGGTGGTGATGATCCCACGCAAGATGCCATCTACCCCGATACAGCTGCAGGCGGTTACAAAGGCAAAGAGAACTGCGGAACGTTCGCACCTGCTAAGGTCATCAGCACGTCTTATGGCTACAACGAGGCTGATCTCACTCCGTTCTACGAGAAGCGTCAATGCGATGAGTACATGAAGCTTGGTCTCATGGGTACCTCGGTCCTCTACAGTTCGGGTGATTACGGTGTTGCTGGCAATGGCGGCCAGTGCTTGAACGCTAACGGCACCTACAACTCTGGCAAGAACGGTCGTTTCAACCCCTCGTTCCCTGCTACCTGCCCTTACGTGACAGCTGTCGGTGCCACTCAGGTTATTCCGGGTACCAACATCATCACCGCTCTCGCCAGCGGCACCCNNCAACCCGAGGAAGCCTGCGAGACTGTCATCTACTCTGGTGGTGGTTTCAGCAATGTCTTCGACCTCCCCAGCTACCAGTCTTCGGCCGTCAAGTCGTGGTTCAAGAACTTCCCTCCACCATACGGTGCTGACCGCTTCAACAACACTCAAAAGACTCGCGGCTTCCCCGATGTCAGTGCAAACGGCGCCAACTATGTCGTTGCTATCGATGGCACTTTTGCTCTGGTCTACGGAACCTCTGCATCTTCACCCACCTTTGGCTCTGTCCTCACAATCATCAATGAGAGACGTCTCCAGGCTGGCAAGAGCAGTATTGGTTTCATCAACCCCGCTCTCTATGCTCATCCCGAAGTGTTGAACGATGTCACGCAGGGAGGCAACCAGGGCTGTGGTACTGCTGGTTTCACCGCTAGCAAGGGCTGGGATCCAGTCACTGGTCTCGGCACACCATCGTTCCCCAAGATGCTGGCTCTGTTCTTGAGCTTGCCTTGATAGCAGAGAGTGCGAGAAGTGGTATGGGCGTCGAGGCATGGAGTAATCTAGGACTACGATTCGATTCTGTCTGGAATGGTGTCAGTAGTAAATGAATAATGACGAGAATCTATTCCTCACTACAACCACTCGTAAGGATGACATGCTAGGCGTGATAGGTTGTTGAGCGACTCTCGATGGACGAGGCTGTCATTATCATAGCATCGTGCATTTTTACAGCGGTGACAATCGGACAGTGTTGTGTTAAGATTGCATATTGGAATCAACAGCATAGGTGAATAAAGGCACATGCACAGTCAAATCACAGGTCACTACACATTCACACATCAGGTCAAGGGAAACCAGTTGCTCCAACAATATCCTTCATTCTCAAGTCAACGCTATGATGATGCGCAAGTACTGTAACTGCCAAGTACTTCTAACTGCAAACTTAAGAAAAGACAGGTTCGTGAACCCGGAAAAAAAACCCCCTACGCACGTGTTCTCATGCCTCGTTAAAAACCCACTGGGAAAAAGATGCCATCCAGCGGGGAAAAAGGGTTACAAGAAACCCGTCGCGAGACACAAGCATCTTTAAAGATGACAAGGTCAGTATCCTTCAACTCTGATGTATGCTCTTCTGCCATGGGGGTGGCGGGTAGTGTTGTGCATGAAAGCGTTCTCGATACGGCGGATTGTATAGTCATCGGCGCGTCTGAGAGCTTCTTCTCTGCTCATGCACCCTGCTGGTGGAGTGGTGGGTGCCGGCGAGTAGAGAGAGGTTGTTGTGGAGGTGGAGTTCATGCTCATCTCATCCCAGGCGTCGCTTGTCCATCCGAAGATTTCATTGTGGACGCGACGTCGTTGTTTGGCTTTGCTGCTGTCGTGAGAGCAGGATTTTTGTGGTTGTTGGTGGTGGTGGTGGTGGTGGTGGTGGTGGTGGTGGTGGTGGTGNAGAGTTGTGATGCTGGCCCTGTTGATGGCGGTACGCAGCTTGGTTTGTGTGTTCAGGAGCCACTTTGTGAAGCGGCAGACTTTCTTGGCCTTGAGGCCTTCACCTGCGACGGCAGCGCGTGCTTTGAGGAGGAGAGGGTTGATAGTTGACATTTTGTTTGTGGGAGAGGAGAAGTAGATGGTAGAGCATGGTAAAGGGGAGGTTGGTGAATTTAGCTTCGATATGCCTGAGCTTTGAGTTGATGGTTTTAGGTGCGTTTTCTCGACTTGTAGCAGTTACGAAGAATCGCTGTTGGATGAGAGAAGGAGAGAGGGAGGGTCGAGATGAGCGCTTTTTCTATCTGCATTCAGTCACAGAATTCAAAATGATCACACGCCTGTTGTGCGAGAGAAATTCTGTTCATTCGGGATATTGGCCTTTGATTTGACCAGTGCAAAGCCTGGAAACCCACAGCTGAGCGGCATGCGAGTGGGATCGAGGTATATAAAGTTTCTGCACCCAGGCAGCAACTCGTGACCAATGAAACACGACCAACCTAACAATGAAGCCACGATGGTAACGAATCATGACAGGAGGTCTGGTACAGACAACAGGGTTGACTTACCTCTTGCTCATGGACGATGCCTCAAATATTCGATGGCATTCGGTGGTCTACTTCGTGAACTCATACATGTATCGATTTGGACGAAATATCGCGAATCACCTCAAGTGTATGTAGGTGCCTGGTTGATGAGTCTCCTATTCGCTGTGTCGAGATCCAAAGACTGGTGGTCACAGAACACAATGTCTCAGATATTTTCTCAAGAATAAAACACTGTGACTGCCTTCAGAACTCGGCGTGAAGACTATCGCAAGACTCGGAAATTCATATTGCCTCTTCCACATTATCACGCCAGTCAGAGATATTCATAATGTCGAGGTCGGAGCGCATCTCAGGTCAAGGTATGGCAACCTCGAGCCCGACTCTCACGAACCCAAGTATGGAATCTGTACAGGAGACTGTGGCTGAAGCGTCGCAAGCGGTGGTAAGCCCTTTCCAGTCGGCGTTCGACACACCGCAATCAAGTGTGGTGCATCTCGTCTTGAGACAGGCACCACGACAGACTCGAGCGGCCAGATTCGTGGAATGCGCTTGTGTGAGCGGCGGACCGTGTGTTGGATCAGGAGGCCAAACGACGTGCGACTGCGATTCAACTCCATTGAGAGTGGAAGTACCGAGGAGAAAAGGCGAGAAAAAGAGGTGCATCAAGAGTGTCACCAAGGTCCTAAGGAGGGCATGGAACAGATTGTGGTGATGGTCGACTCGTCTCCTATGGCCGTTCGTCAAGGAAGTCGTCGCCCTCAGACACTTATGAAGATGATGGCACCATGGATGCTGATGTTTTCATGCCGGACTGACAGATGATCTTGATGATGACAACAAGCCAAGATGGAGATATGGATGGAGCGGAAGATGGTCGGTGTTTTCGGCAGCCATCAAAGCCTCGACGTCACTGTTGATCTGCAGCTCCAGCGAGCAGAAAGCTCTCGGCATTTCTCTCGCACTACAAGACAGCACACATCATGTCGTTCCGCTTGAGCACACGCAGCACAAGTCTACGGGTATCCCTCGCCCGTCCCACGACGACATCCATCACACGCCGTCACCTCAGCGCCTACGGCTACGAGCAAGCCAAAGCACTAGCCTTCACCAACTATGGCGAGCCCAAAGACGTCCTCCGCCTGCATGGCCACAGCATCTCTCCCGCCCACAAAGACCTCGTAACCCTCCGCTTCCTCGCCTCGCCCATCAACCCAGCAGACGTCAACCAAATCCAAGGCGTCTACCCCACCAAACCCACCTTCAGCACCACTCTCGGAGCCCCCGATCCCACCGCCGTAGGAGGCAATGAGGGCGTCGCTGAAATCATTTCGGCCGGAGGAAGCGTCAAGGGCTTCCAAAGAGGCGACTGGGTCATCATGCGCAGCCCCGGTTTCGGCACCTGGCGCACCCATGCCCAAACCACCACCGAGAACCTCCTCAAGATTGAAGACAAGTCAGGCCTCACACCCCTCCAGGCCGGCACCGTCAGCGTCAACCCCTGTACCGCCTACCGTATGCTCAAAGACTTTGTACCGCTCAAAGAAGGCGACTGGTTCATCCAGAACGGCGCCAATTCAGGCGTAGGCAGAGCGGCAATCCAACTCGCAAAACTCTGGGGCTACCGCAGTATCAACATCATCCGCGACCGCTCTGACGCCGAGGCGACTGAAGCAATGAAGCAAGAGTTGAAAGACCTGGGCGCAGACATTGTCCTCACTGACACAGAAGCAATGGACAAGTCCTTCCGCAATGTCATAAAGGAAGCCACAAATGGTGGTCGCGAACAGATCTCCCTGGCGTTGAACTGTGTAGGCGGTAAACTCGTCAACAGCATGGCCAAGATCCTAGCCGACAACTCACACATCGTCACTTATGGCGCCATGTCGCGCGAACCTGTCACCGTGCCCGCTGGCCTTCAAATCTTCAAGAACATCTCATACGACGGCTTTTGGGTCAGCAGGTGGTCAGACGCGAACCCAGAAGACAAGAAAAAGACAGTCGAACATGTGTTGGATCTTGTTCGAGAAGGTAGATTCAAGGATACACCTTTTGACGAGGTGAAATGGGAATGGGAGACCAAAGGTGATGAGTTGATCAAGGCTGTTCAAGGCACATTGCAAGGTTTTAGATCTGGCAAGGGTGTCTTTGTCTTTGGCAAGACCTAGAAGAGTGAAGCTTATGAATGAAAAGAATATCATTGTTGATAATGGAAAGACGCTTTTGCTGTACATACCACCCCTCTCCAGTCGGATATTTCAGACGAAACCATGCAAGGGACTCTTGTCTCACTCGTCCAAGTATATAATGGATGCGTCACGAAGAACACACTTTTCCTCGACATCTGTCAAATCCAAATCCGTCAGGAGTTGGAGTCCTATTCAGGCAAGAAGTATGAATTGATCTTTGTGTCCGTTTCTGTCCAACGATATCGAGTACAGCAAAGAAAGAGACGACGTCCATGACCCTTGATTTAATACTTGCCATCTCTTCGACATGGTTTATAAGTTGATGGCATAATTTGTGTAGACACGATATTGTTTTTGAGACATTCTGATGCTTGAGACTACCTATAGTGCTCTGACCCGACTTCTGTTTTTGGCCTCTAATGGATGATTTATCTTTGGATCTCCAACTTGTAGCTAAACGCACCTGATTTCCCTTCTCATGAATGGCTTCAACCATCTCGAATCAGTTGGTCGTATGTCAGAAATACTACTTAACTATACCTTTGTGATCGTAACCTCGTGGACGATGGATGAGTCGGCGACTTCGGGTGTCGATGCTATGACATAGAGTAAATCACCAGCGGCACACAGCAGACAGATAATGTCCAGGTTGTTCTCGAGGCAATCCTATACGAAAGAGGATGTTGAAGGATAGAAAAATGACAACCTTCTGCAGAATCAGAAAGGTTTTTATACTACTAGAGTACATGTCTTCCTTGCTTGCGCCCCTTGCTTTCTTAAATTATAATCTTTGTTAGACATGCACATGGCCTCTCTGATGTTTTTGTCTCTTCAAGATAAGAAGAATAAGTAAATTTTGAGGAATAGAAAAGCTCTGTAATGATGATGACCATGTCCCGGGCTTCCAGCCACTAGAGACATAAAATGAGGAACGACAAGAAAGAAATCATTGCAATCATGATTGAAAACGCCAAAGCGGAGAACAAGCCAAGAGCTCGTTTAAGCAGGCAGACCAGCAGCAATAGCATCCTCTTTCTTGGGACGAGGACGGCCCGAAAGCGTATCCACAATGCTCACCAAGTCCATCCAGAACTCGTTCTTGGGACGGCGGTCCTTCCAGTCAGTCTCCTCCTTCTCAACCTTCTCCATACCCGAGAACTGCACTTGGGCACCGGTGATTCCGATAACCGAGCACGACAGAGGGTCCTGCGCGATCTCGTCCTTGGACTTGCCGGCAAAGGACTCGATGTGCTGCATACTCTTGACACCGAAACGGACGGCACGGACACGGTCCATGGGTGAGGGAATACCACCCTGCTGCACGTGTCCGGGAACGGCGAAACGCGAGTCGAATTTGCCGCCGCTCTCTTCGCGGATGATGTTGGCGATAATCTCGGTGGTGTAGGTCTTGGAGGCTTTTTCGTTGCGGAGGATGATCTTTCCACTGCGGTTCTGGCCCTTGTCCTTGGCGAATTGCTCTTTCAAGTGCTCAATGTCTGAAGCGATCATCTTGAGGTGGATGCCCTCTTCGGGTGTGTAGACGGCAACGGCACCGATGGAGAGACCGGCGATGGTGGCAATGTAACCAGAAGCACCACCCTGTGTCTCAACGACGAAGACACGACGACGAGAGGCAGCGGCGGATTGCTTGATGGCATCGCAGTAGTCGATCAGGGCATTCAAACAGGTGTCGCTACCAATGGAGTACTCGGTACCAGGGACGTTGTTGGAGACGGTTGCGGGAAGAACGACGATGGGGATCTTGAAGGCATCGTAGTCGCGTCTGGCCTTGCGAAGCTCGGACACGGCAGTGAAGGCCTCGAAACCACCAACAACGAAGAGGGCGTCGATCTTGTGGTGCTTCAGGGCATCTGAGACACCGTCGTAGTCCTCAGAAGGAGTAGCACGGTTTGTTCCGATTTCGGAACCACCCTTGCTGGCCCAGTTCTCGGCATCGAGCCACTTGATCTCGCGAACAGAGCTTTCCTCGTCCTTGTAATGGCGAGCGAGACCGGGGAAACCGTTATGGAGGGCGATGGGAGTGTGGCCGCGGGTGAGACAGTAAGCGGTGGCGGCGCGGGTGGCAGCGTTCATACCACCAGCGGGGGCTCCGACGTGGATGATACCAACACGCATGCGCNNTATGTTTGTGTTAGCTAAGCTCTCTGTAAGTAACACGAAGTAGCTTCTTACCTTCTCCTGGGGAAGAAGCAACTCCTGCTTGTCGGTCGAGACGGTGGTCGTGTATGCGGTCCAGTACTCGTCAAACTCAGCACCTCTGAGCTTCATGGCCGACTTGAAGTCCTTGCGCTCGATGGCCTCGGCGACCGACTGGGTCAACTTGACAGCCTCCATCAATGACTTGCGCACAATCTTATTTTCGACAATGCAAATGACGGGACTGGGTGTCTCAGGGGTTGAGTCGAGGACGGCCTTGACAGCCTCGACACCCTGCAGGGTGGACAACATGCGGTCGTAGGCAACGGCAGTACCACCGCGCTGGACGTGGCCGAGAGTGGTGACTCTGGTGTCGAGGCCAAGCTTGCCAGCAAGCAGGTCCTTCACCTTGTTTGGCGAGATTGCGTTGAGCTGACGGTCGTGGGCTCCTTCAGCAACGATGACGATGGTCTTTCTCTTTCCGAGCTTGCGGTGACGCTGCACGACGTCGCACATCTCAGTCTCCCAGTTCTCTGATGGAGGGTTTTCGGGAAGGAAGACAAAGTCGGCACCTGTCGAGACACCAGCCATCAGGGCGAGCCAACCGCAGTGTCTGCCCATGACCTCGACGACGAAGGCACGCTGGTGAGAGAAAGCGGTAGCATCAATGTAGTCGACAGCCTGGCAGATACGCTGCAGCGATGAGTAGCATCCAATGGTGGCATCAGTGCCAGCCAAGTCGTTGTCGATGGAGCCGACCAGACCGACAATGTTGAGGTGTCTGAAAGGCTCGACTGCCTCCTTCTTGAAGGTGCCGTTGGACACCAGCTCCTCGACCAGACTGGGCCACTCGCCTCTGAATCTGTCTGCACCGGTCAAACTGCCGTCACCACCACAGACAACCAAGGCATCAATGCCCTTGTCGATCATGTTCTTGGCCGCTTGCAATCTGCCGGGGCGTTCCTTGAAGGACATGCATCTTGCTGTTCCGATGAGGGTACCACCCTCTGAGAGCCATCCACGGACGTCCTCCCAGCGCATCTGCTTGATCATGTCTCCGCCCTGGACGAGACCTTCGTAGCCTTCGTAGACGGCGAATGCATCGCAGCCCGAGGCGATGGTTTGACGGACGACGGCACGCACAGCACCAGACATTCCCTGGGAGTCACCTCCGGAAGTCATGACGGCAATGCGCTTCTTGCCCGCGGGCATTGCGGCGGGAGCGAGGTTGACCTGGGCCATGATAGAGGCCGGTTGTGTTGTGTTTTTGATGCGGATGTGAGGAGGCTTGTATTGATTCGAGGGCGTGAGAAGCTGTACCAGACAGAGAGCTTGGTCAGCTGTATTTGTAGAGTCGTCGAGACACGTGGTGGAGAGGTGGTAGTGAATGCAAGAAAAAGAGGCCTCAGCCAGACCGCGAGGTGAAATCTTGAGAGCCCCAAGAATCCGCTCGCTCATACCGCGGGCAGCGTGATACGTCACTCTCAACACATTGGCCAGTGCCAGTCAACATCACGGTCCGACTGCGGTCTTACAGCCCAGGAATCTCATCACTTGTTTGTGACACCGCCCAGAAGACACTCCATGTCAGCTCACAGGAAACTTTTCGTTCTTTCACTGCCATGCTGCTCTATTCATCTGGCTATCTATCACCTGCCCCTCCATGCAGGCGCAAAAGAAAAAAGAAGTCGCTGGACCCTGAAAGTCGCGGCAGCTAAATTTATTCTCGGAATCATGCTCCGTCCCAGACGTGCTGTTTGACCATTTCCCAGAAGCCGTTTTGTTTCATCTCATCCTCGCCCTTCCACTCAAATCTCTCTCTGGGCGTGCGTAACACAAGACTGTCCTGTGCTGCGTTTTCATCTCCGTAGACTTCAATGCTGATCTTATCGTTGCTGTTGGTTCTGGTGAGAATACCACACCTGTCGTTGAGACTCCAATTGGCCAGCTTGTCCGCGATTCCATAACCCAAAGCGTTTGCGATCGCTGTGTTTAAGTAATCTTTAAGCTCTGCCATCTCCGGTATCTCGACTCGCGATAGTCCTATTGGTGAAGTCACCAACATGGCACTGCCGAAAGCGGGCGGCGAGATGGATGTACGCATCTCGATACCAAACTCGAGGGCCTCTGACAGATGCGCTATCTTCAGTGACATCTTCATCCGCGAGTGCAGAGGCGTCAAACCTCTCTGCATAAGACTATCTATCGTTTCTGCAGATCTCAAAAGTGCTGGATCAAACGCAGCTGTCTCGATTGTCGTGTCGACAGATGCAGCATCGAGAAGCTTTTTGATGCGCTCAAGATAGGCGCCAATATCATCAAGCATGGAACGGTGTTGCAGCAAGGTTAGTACAGGCTTCATAATGCTTGCCACTGGTGTGTCCTTTCTGGCACTTGACATTGGTGAAGGCAATTCAGATCGGCGTGTCAGTCTCTCGCGATGGGTGTATGAAAGGAACAGGCGAAGAGCCAGTGCGATAGTCTGCGCCCATTTGTCTTCTGGCTGCTTTTCCTGAGGTTTTGTCTCGATCTCAGTCAATGGTATCAAATCAATCAAGACCTCTTGCGCATCTGATGTGGATGACGCTGCAGTCGAGGACAGTCTTGTCGGAAGACGAACGGTCGACTCGCGCATATCAACGCCGTATGATGCCAGACTTCGCGACTCTCGAATGATCTCAAGGAACAATTCCTCCTCATACAGCGAGTCTCTAGCATGACGAATGCGAGCTTCAAGAGTAGCCTCTGACTCGGCTGAAACGTCTGGCATCTGTGAGACGCCAACGATATTGTCGCCCTTTTGAATGCGCACCCTCAGGACTTTGCTGTTGTTTCCGAAACCCTTGTCGAGAAGAACATTGCCATCATCGTCTGACCTCAGTGCAGCGAGTCCACGGTCTCTAAACTCTCCGAGAGCTTCCAAAAAGCCGAATCGGACGCCCAGATTGTGTTTCTCACGAGGCAGGCGAGAGATTGACCAGCCTTTGTCACTGACAGATAAGACTTGTTCCCAATAATGTGTCTCTCTCCTGACGTCGTTCTCCAAGCGGGTCGCAGCACCCAACAAAGAATCGGCGGATGCCTGAAGGGATTGCATTCTCCAGCCACGAGCGATTGTGTCGTCCACCTTTTCTTGCTCTTTGTCAAGAGGCACATTCTGCCATACATCCATAGCGAGGGTTCCAGGCTTGATGAATTGCTTAAGATGGGGTGACATGGTAAGGTCAGCCTGTTTGGGGGCATCTTTGGAGATTAAAAGGGATACAAAGTCCAGAGCGATGAGTGCTTCGTTGCGCGCGGAGNNCTGGAAGGGTCAGTAAGTTGACGTGCTAGCAATCGATGCTCTCAAAACAACGTACTCGACATGCTGCCTCATCTCGGCTCTTGCTGCCCATAGTTGCTCTCGACGATCTTTTTCCTCGACTCCGTCTACCTCTGCGCCATCTTCCTCGTCGTCTGTCTCGGAGCTTTCTTCGTCGTTCTCGTTGGCAGCTATCTCGGCCTGCAAGCCTTGCTCGGTGATGTGTCGGAAGTGGCCACGCTCATCGTGAATGTGTCCAAGGATAGATAGGAGTGAATCTGCTTCGTTGTCGTCGCGCGGTTGCAGCAAGGACGAGGGCAGAGTGATGTCGGCCATGATGGATTGGAATCAGGAAAGCTTCGGCGTCGGCACAAGCGTCAGCGGTTCCTGAGCAAGAGATCGGCGCCACCGCTTCTACCCGCTGTCTAGCGCTGTGGGGTGCAGCATCACATGCCTATCACCAATCAACAACCTGCTGGCAGTCTTGTCGGCCAGCTCCGACTCTCTGTGACTCTGTCATACCTCGCTGCCACCTCCTTCACTTCCTTCTAACTTGCCCTCCGTGACTCCCTGATCCTTGCCAACAACAAACCTGCCATAGAACGCCAACATGACCACCAGATACCGTGTCGAGTGTATGTTTACCATTGCCTGTCACATGCTGAGACTTGACACTGACTATATCTAGATGCCCTCAAGGTTCGTATGCCGTTATATCAACATCATGAAGCTTACTGACACTTTCTTCAAGACTCATCGCCGTGATCAATTGGTGAGTTTATGGTCCGATCGACTCAGCTTACTTGGCCTTACTAACCCTGTGTCAGNNATCGAATGGATCAAGGGGCTCCTTGCTGTCCCGTTCGTACTCCTGTCTCAGCCTACCGCATTGTTTGGGCAAGATGGAATACACGGCACAGACGAGATGGCTCGCAATGCTCACGAACGGTATGCTCAAATCATGAGTGATGTTGAAGGGCTCATCAACGATCACATCTCCCGCCAAAAAGAAGGCACACATACGCACTCCAAGCTCAAATTGCTAGTTCCGACTGTTGGTGTCTTCTTCACTCCTCTCATGCTTAGGGATGCATTTGAATGGCAAGACCAAAGACGATACATAAGTTCAAGGAGATTTGTGGCTCCCAGTTTCAACGATATCCGTCTGATTCTAAATACTGCCCAGGTCATGTCTTTGGTCAAACACAGCCGTCTGGACCTTGTCACATTCGATGGTGATGTTACACTCTACGATGATGGCCAGTCCCTGACAGATGACAACCCAGCCATTCCTCGCATTTTAGAGCTGATGAGAAATGGCACTCGCATCGGCATCGTGACTGCAGCTGGCTACACCGAAGCATCCAAGTACTATGGTAGACTACACGGTCTACTCGATGCCATAGCTACGTCCGATCTCTCAGACGATGTTAAGAAGAATCTCATCGTTCTTGGAGGAGAGGCGAGCTACCTGTTCCAATTCGCTAGTGAAAGCCCGGATAGACTCGTTGCAATCCCTCGCAAGCAGTGGTCGCTCCAGGAGATGCAATCTTGGACTCAAGAGGATGTTACAGAGCTGCTGGATATCGCTGAAAAGTCCCTCCGCAGTTGTGTCGACGCCATGAGGCTCAAGGCTGACATCCTTCGAAAAGAAAGAGCAGTCGGCATAATTCCAGTCGAAGGATTTAAGCTCTCGCGGGAACAGCTGGAGGAGACTGTCCTTGTCTGCCAGAAGACACTGGTACGTGGTACATTGACACGCTCCGCTCGACGTTTGCTTACATAGACTAGGNAAATGACTCCTGTCGGCAAGCGGTTGCCATTCTGCGCCTTTAACGGTAAGAATTGATATACGCGCTTGATGGTACAGTTACTGACACACTCAAAGNGCGGAAGCGACGTCTTCATTGACATTGGCGACAAGTCCTGGGGTGTTCTGAGTTGTCAGAGATACTTTGGTGGAATAGAAGGAAACAAGTCTCTCCACGTCGGCGACCAATTCTTATCAATCGGAGCGAATGATTTCAAGGCTAGGTTTGTGAATCGTCAGCACTATTTTGCGGTACATGCTGACAAACAGTNNAGGCTTGCGTGTACGACGGCATGGATTGCTAGCCCCGCAGAGACGGTTGCACTCTTGGACGAAATTTCTCAGCTCTCGACAGCTCCCGAGTCGCTCCCAAAGGACGCCAACTTCGAGGACCAAGGGAAGATGGTGTAAACGATCGACCTGTCTTGACCTTTGATACTAGCTTGGCGTATGAGTGGTAGGCGAATGTTCCTGCCAAACGATCGCATAATGTATATTTACATTCGACATGATATCACGACAAATATCAGATCCCTGCTATGAGTTCCGAGCAGCCTGTACAGATGCACGTATGTTTCCGAATGAGAGACCACCCCAGTGAGATTCGATAGTTCATGGCTCTCGGTGAGCACCGGACTGTTTTTGTGTAGTGTCGTGTATAGTTGCAGCCTACGTTTCACTCTAGCATATGGCTTTCGGAAGGGAGTGGGAGATTGGAAGTTTGGCACAGAATGGACGAGGCGACGGTCGCCAGCCAGACGCGCGAACTGATGGTCTGTGCATCAAAAGTTCGACGAGAAGAGATAGCATGGCACCTTGAACATTTCGCCTTGTGTTCCAGGACTGAGCAACCGCGCGTACTTCGATGTCAGAGTGCAGAAACAGCTTGCTGAGATGCATTCGTGCCATCGCTGCCGAGGCCAGCACGGGACCACGACCGTATCTTCAGAATCGCATAGCGCCACATGCGCGATCGTCTCAAGTCGTCCGCCAGTATACCACAGAGTCTAAGGGAGACGCCAAACCGCGGAACGACAGCACACTGGCGGGAGAGTTGAACGAGACTACATCTGATGGCCAGAAGAGCAAACGCACAAGTCTGGTCAATGGAGTGCCGCAAAAGACGTATGACTCGAAAAAGAGCTGGATCACCAACAATGCACATCGCAAAGTGCGCACGCCCAACGAAGACCAGGAAGATGCCAAAGTGCCCAACATGAACTTGGCTCTAGAGAAAAAGATCCGAAAAGAACTACAGTACCTACCAGACCCGCTCAAGCTCGCCGACCATGTCCGTGGCGTTCTCCAGAAGGGCGATGTCGAGAAGGCTCTTGGTCTCACTCGTATCGCCAGCAAGGACATGGAGTGCATTGTCAGCTGGAACCACATCATTGGCCATTTGTTGTCCGAGAAGCAGGTCAATGCTGCCTTGAAGATTTATAACGAGGTAGGACTTGTTTTGGACTAGAAACATGGTCATGACCTGACGACCGCATAGATGAAGAAGCGCGCACAGTTTCCCGACTCGCATACCTATGTGATCCTCCTTCGTGGCCTATCTGAGCCCCCAGTCGCCGCAGACACCCTCGGCAGGGCTCTTGCCATCTATCATTCCCTCGGCGCTGAGAATTCAAGAGTAAAGCCAACAACCATACACACCAATGCTGCACTGCGAGTATGTGCACGCGCAAACGACATGGACTCTCTTTGGGGCATAGCCTCAAAGATACCGGAGAAAGGCGCTGGCGCCGCCGACCCTTACACCTACACTACAATCTTGAATGCCATCAGAGAGCACGCACTGCTGGAAGGCGGCAACAGAACAGACGACAGTGAGATTGCTGTGCTGAGGGCAACAGCCATCCAGCAGGGCCGAAGGATCTGGGGAGACATTGTTGGGAGATGGCGGTCGGGAGACATTGCCGTCAATGAAGAGATGGTTGGCGCCATGGGTCGCCTCTTGCTCATTGGTCTGCAGCCAAGAGACTGTGATGATGTCCTCTCCCTGATTGAACAAACCATGGGAATCCCTCGACTGGTTCCCAAATTGGGCAGCAAGATGAGAAAGGCTGAGCATCTGCCTAATCGTATGCATCACGAGGCGAAGAAGGATAGGATGAACGATACGGAAGGCGAGGAGCCCGAGAGTGAATTTGACCAAGCACTCTTACTCGACAACCGAGGCAAGCAATCCGTCACACTGGTCAAAGCAGGCAACAACTCTCTATCCCTCATCCTTGAAGCTTGCAGAGCGACATTCGCTTACAGAGAGTCATACGCATACTGGGACTTGCTGACCAACAAGTCCACCTATGCTCTCAAGCCCGACATGGATAACATTCACACTTTCATGCGTATTCTTCGACAATCGCGTGCGTCTGGTCGTGCTCTCGGCTTAGTGAATGACACAATACCAACCTACGGCTGGACACCCCATCGCAAGACCTTCCGCATTGCTATGAGTACTTGCAGTCGCGACAAGAAGAACNCCCAAGCAATGGCGCATGCCAACAAGCTCGTAGAATTGAGCGAGCACTATCAGATTGAACCCGATCCGAAGATGTTGAATCAATACCTAGAGTTGGCCATTTCCAAACAAGACGGAGAAGTCATCGCCCAGACCATCGACCGTCTGTCAGACTCTATCGCGAAGTTCAAGTCAATGCTTTCTTTTGGAAAGTTCAGCTCTGGCAGTTCGGGCAGGATGAAGGCTATGGATAATCATGATGTTGTGGCCTTGATGAGGACGGTCATTGGTGCCATAGATCAATTGATGAACAAGCAATTGGTTCCCCAGGATCAGATGCAGGGATGGTCTCAGAAGCGATCAAAACTGAACGCTTTTGTCACGAGGCTAATGGACAGAATGGAGGGGAAGAACATCATTCCCAAGGAGAAGCTTGTCGAGTTGAGGAGAGATAGCAGGCAACTTAGGCATCTTCGCCAGAACGTGGTGAAGAGGCAAAAGAAGGAAAACGGCACATGGGTGAAGGACAAGAAGGAGCTTGAGCAAAGACCTTTGCAAGACTTGCCGTTCGAGGGATGAAGAAGGCAGTCAAATGTTTGCCATGTAACATGACTTATTCACTGTACAATATTATTCACCTCTTGCAAGAAAAAGACCTCCCTTTTGCCATGATGTTGAGAAGTTTGAAAGAGGACAGGGTCCAACGTCCGGGTCAGCGTCCCATCGAAAAGACGAGAAAGTCGAGGCTTGGCAATCAAAGTTCTTCTAGCGTTTGCTAGCGCGGCAGAAAGTCGCCGCCCTGTCGCAAAAACGCAGCAGCCAACCACTTTTATCAAGCCTGCGCGCGCCTTCCTCACTTTTCTCTCCTTCATCCTCCACACTCTCTCTTTCCATCAACCCCCTTCTTCTATCTACATCTCTTTTCCATTTGGACTTGTCGCATCACACGAGCGTAAAGTTCACTTCACAACACTTCGACAACCCCCTCACACCCACACACATCATGTCTTACGGCGGTGGTGGTTACGGCGGCTCGCGTGGCGGCGGCAGCGGCGGCGGCGGCTACGGCGGTGGTAGCAATGGCTACTCTGGCGGGTACGACAACTCGAGATCCTATGGACAAAGCTCTTATGGCGACTTTTCAACCAGTCGCTCTTACGACGGGTACGATTCTTAATAAGTCTCTGCTCAGCTTTTATGCTCCTATCCTTTATCTCTATCCACCCATTACTTCTCCATCAAATGCTAACGTACAACAGTGGCAGATCCGGCGGTTACGGCGGTGGCAGCCAAGGTGGTTACTCTGGTAGTGGTCAGGGTGGCTACGGCGGTGGCAGCCAGGGCGGCTACGGTGGTGGCAGCTACGGCGGCGGCCAAGGCGGCGACAGAATGGGCCAGCTTGGTGCCGGCCTCAAGAGCCAGCAGTGGGGTATGTCTTCTCGTTCATCCTATCGCCGACATCAAACATACTAACCATATCACAGACATGAGCACCCTTCCCAAGTTCGAGAAATCCTTCTACAAGGAGGCACCTACCGTCGCCGAGCGCTCTCAGGCCGACGTCGACGAGTTCCGCAAGACTCACCAGATCGCCGTCCAGGGAAAGAACGTTCCCAAGCCCGTCGAGACCTTCGACGAGGCTGGTTTCCCCGGCTATGTTATCAACGAGGTCAAGGCCCAGGGCTTCGCCAACCCCACTCCCATTCAGTGCCAAGGTTGGCCCATGGCTCTCTCTGGTCGCGACGTGACCGGTATTGCCGAGACCGGTTCCGGAAAGACCCTCACCTACTGTCTTCCCTCGATCGTCCACATCAACGCCCAGCCTCTCCTTTCCCCCCGGTGACGGTCCCATCGTCCTCATTCTCGCTCCCACTCGTGAGCTCGCTGTCCAGATTCAGGCCGAAGTTAACAAGTTCGGCAAATCGTCGCGCATCCGCAACACCTGTGTCTACGGTGGTGTCCCCAAGGGTCAGCAAATCAGAGATCTCGCTCGCGGTGTCGAGGTGTGTATCGCCACTCCCGGTCGTCTGATCGACATGCTCGAGTCTGGAAAGACCAACCTTCGCCGCGTCACCTACCTCGTTCTCGATGAGGCTGATCGCATGCTCGATATGGGTTTCGAGCCCCAGATCCGCAAGATCATTGGCCAGATTCGCCCTGACCGTCAGACTTGCATGTGGTCTGCTACCTGGCCCAAGGAGGTTCGCGCTCTCGCCCAGGATTTCCAGCACGACTTCATCCAGGTCAACGTTGGTTCCATGGACCTTTCCGCCAACCACCGCATCACTCAGGTCGTCGAGGTCGTTTCCGAGTTCGAGAAGCGCGACAAGATGATCAAGCACCTCGAGAAGATCATGGAGGACAAGGACAACAAGTGCCTCATCTTCACCGGCACCAAGCGTGTCGCCGACGAGATCACCCGCTTCCTCAGACAGGACGGCTGGCCGGCCCTGTCTATCCACGGTGACAAGCAACAGCAGGAGCGTGACTGGGTTCTCAACGAATTCAAGCAGGGCAAGAGTCCCATCATGGTTGCCACTGATGTGGCTTCGCGTGGTATCGGTATGATTGAACACCCCCTCTCCATCACTCACAGCACCTTCCCTTCCCCTATCCTCCACTACACTGCCAATTCTCCCCTCCCCATTGCTCGCACTTGCGTGATCTGAAGGTGGTGCTCTACGCCGAGCACTCGTGCGCCTTTTGCATACGTAACCATGTTCCTTATAGGCCGTCCAGTTTACTGGTTCCTTACTCCGGATCCTTGGGAGAAACTTGCTCGATTCGAGGCCTTTGTCTTTTCATTTTGGCTTCGCATCGTACCTCTCGCCCTCTACTTTGCGCTTCGTGCGCCTTTTTGCCCAGTAGAGAGTGAGATGCAGGTATTTTCGCCGCGCAGCGCTGCATTGTAGTTTTGTTACGCGCTTCCAAGGCATCCGAGACGGTAGGACCTCGAAGATATCCTGCATGATATCTTCTACGGCCTGTGACATGTGATTGCTATGATTGCTTTCTGCTTTTTCTACAAAGCTTCGACTCCTATGGAGCGCACGGAGTGTTGTCAATATCATTATTGCACACCTCTTCATCAGATTACGCGACCGACAAAGGCTCGCTTTTGATACACACTGTTCTCCCAACAGACATGCTAACCCTTACTTTTAAAGATGTTCGCAACATTACCCACGTCCTCAACTACGACTACCCCAACAACTCTGAGGACTACATCCACAGAATCGGCCGTACCGGTCGTGCAGGTGCTATGGGTACCGCCATCACCTTCTTTACCACTGAGAGTATGTTTTTACCTATCCTTGACCGTATCACGAAGTTTGTACTGACATTGTTCTCCCAGACTCCAAGCAGGCTCGCGACCTTGTTAACGTCTTGGCCGAGGCTAAGCAGAACATCGACCCCGTCTCGCTGAGATGGTCCGCTACGGTGGTGGCGGCGGTGGCCACGGTCGCTGGGGCGGTGGTCGTGGACGTGGTGGCGGTGGCCGCGGCCGTGGTGGCGGCTTCACCAGCTCTAACAACGCTCCCCTTGGTCGTGACTCTCGCTGGTAGATGATGATACCCTTTTTCGTGCTTTTCGTCTTATGCCTCTTTCTGGTCTTCCCGGCGTTTCATGGTTTCCCTGGTATGGAGCCAACTCAAAAGAAAGAATTGTGTTTTATAGTCTTTGGTCTTTTTCACTCACTGCTGCATGCTAATCATGGCGGGCATGGAGTTTTTACGACGAGTTTAGGGGTTCTTGAGCATACGGTTTAGATTGCGTTGCTAGCCATTATGTCTTTCCATTGATCATACATTGATCAGAAGAATAGAAATTTCACTTGAAATATTCCTGTCATTCTGTGCAAATCTGAAGCTTTGTCTCGTCGACAAGTCTCGCTCGCATGTGGTCACGTACTCATCTCGATGCCTTCGATTGCAATCTGTTACTGCCAGCGTCCATATGGATATGGATGTTAATGAACAGTATACTGGATGCTGAGATCAAGTGTCGGGTCATAGATGCATGAGAGCACATCGACCAACATCAAACATGGCAAATCGGACTGCTGTCGCTTGGCTGGTTTGGCAAAGAGCGTGATAAGTCATCTGGAGTCGAGGTGATCTGCACGCTTTTCTGACTCCACATAGCTCTCGCAATGGCAGTATACGCCGCTCTGTTTGTATCTTTTCTTGAGGTTTCGGACCTGTCCAGTGCTCTTATTGTTTTGCTGGAGTCCAAGTTATTGTCTATCTCGTGTCTTTTCACGTTGGAAGAATATTGGAACGCGTTGTGTGGCATAACTCGATAACCATGCTTGAATACACTGCCAGATCCCTCCAAATCATACTTTTACTCGCGAAGAGACCTTGAATTATCTTTGTTAGAACAACAGAGTCGTCGTTGCTTCGATTGACGCACTTGATGGCGACGAAGAGTTATTGAGTATATCACCCTGACCTCGATATTACTTTCTTGAACGCCTTACGACTTGGGATACTTAAGGAGATTTGAGAATCACCACTGACACGGTTGACAGACACAATCATCTTGATACTATCCAGCAGGTATTGGTGGGATAGAGGACCTTCTTAGCCACGTCCGTTCAGAAACCACAAATACGTGGGTCCATGGAGCGACATTCCCTGCTGCACAGCCCTCTCTGTTGCAATCTATTCTTTAGGTGTAAGGAGAAGAAAGGCGATAGGACAGACAGCAGGGAAAGATAGACAGGTGGTGACTACTACTCCACACATGTCTTGGAGCAAAGCACAGTGTTTTGCTGTAATATAGGGCCGTCGGCCGGTACACAAGAAGACCCATGATGTCCCATCTCTATGCCATGTTCTGAAGATAGGTAGAGTAGCATACACCACGTGTAGGTCTTCCTCGCCTGTTCAACCAATGCCCATCTACACGTACCTATCTGACATGCCGCTTTCTCGTCATGACTGTTACTCTCCAAATATGATAGAGGCCGTCGGCCTGCACAAGAGACCCTCGATGTGGAGCATAATGTATCTCGAACCACTGTGCCCATCGTAAAAAACAATCAGCGATAAGTGACGACAAAAGGCGATAGGTCAGATACGACAGAAACGATACGTTTTGGACGCAACTCCAATGATGTGCCCATCATCAAAGGCCTAAGTGGATAAGCTGGGCGACAGATGTGGAGGATAGAGTTTCGAGCAAAGCATCAGCAACTGTGTGTGCATCCTTCATCGCCTGCAACTCACACACACCATGCACCTTTTTTCCTTTTTGTTGCATGAACAACGAAGGCAATTATCCAGAATGGCAACCATGGAACAAAACCAACCGTGGAACCAAGAACGCCGAGCCGCGAATCGATCCTATCGCAGTGCCATAAAACAAAACCTACAAAAGAGACTCACAAGAAAGGGAAAAAGCATCAGCGACGTAGCAAGAATTAGAGTTTGTGTGTATCTGCAAAGCAGGGTTTGGCAGAAGTCATGCAATTTAATTCTCCGATGTGGTTCCGTTCACGTTCTCTATCTCACGGAAACAGGCAACTTGTTTGCTGTTTCATTGTCGGCAAGTATTGCAGTCTTTCTTGCTTGTCCTCGATCATATGCATCTATGGTCTCGGCAAAGAGGATGGAGGCGAAAAAGCACCCAAGAAACGAATTTCGTTTAGGTGAGAAGGATACTTGCTACGTGCGTAGGATAGAAGGGCTAAAAGGGCAAGGAAAGAAGGATGGATGAATGGATGGGGAAAGCGGGAAGGAACGAAAGAATGGAGTTCTTTCCGGGTTTGTCCGGTCAGGTTCAAGCGGGATGTGTAGAGAGCGCATGTGATGACGATGTGCAGAGAGAAGAAGCATGCAACCACGCAACCCGATAACCATTGGATACTCGTCCATTTACGGCCGCAAGAGTGAGACATCATACCTGCGATGCTCGTATCCTTCAGACACCTCATCGGGGCATGAGTATACATTGGGAAGGTAGACAAGACCGGTGGCGCAAGTTTGGGATCATGTCTGCAAAGCAAAGCGGGGAAAGCAGATGCAATGCGAACACAATCAAGACAGAAAGAGGGTGGATGCATGCTTCTTACCGTAGAGAACACAAAGACTCGTGGGGTATTTCGAAGCGTATGAGGCAGTCGGAAACCTACTCCGCGCGACAATGGGGAGCCACTTCCTGCATCATAGATATGTGGTCGAAGGGACGTTGGAAGGATCAATGACCATGACTGGGAAAAAGCGCACTTTGCAAGGTGGAGAGAGGAACATGATTGGGGCTGAGGCATCTTTTCCATGCGCATTACATGCAAGGAAAGCACATTGCATGTGGAATTGTTGCGTGAGTGTGTGGTGTAGAGATGAATGTGTGATTGGAGAGGCACGTAAGACGAGCATCGAAAGCTTATTTGATTGCCCTGCTCGCATATGGCGGCTAGACGAACAACTCCCTTAAAACATCAAAGTGTTGGAGACCCGACAATTGGATCCCAAAACACGTCGCGCTCCCTTTGTCTCAGGTTTTGGCACATTGATGTTTGCTATTGTAATGCCAAGTAGATTCACGAATAGAAGTCATGAATTGGGCAAGTCCAACTGACGATTTCTCACCGCTGGACATGCAATGGATCAGATGAACCCAATAACATGACGGTAGCATCGGAAGATGTCCGGAAGCTTAATAGATGAGAATACATGATATGTATGTCTGGAATCAACCTGCCATCGAACGCGGCTCGAGGGGATTGGCAATGGTCTTTGACACCCGCAATGCACTGAATAGATGCATACAGCCAACCGACCGACAGTCATGTTACAGTAAAGTCGGCCCGACACATAGATCCACGGGAGACAGCGTCATTTGTGAGAAGGCTAGAACCCGCCACATTATACAGACAACGGAACGCGGCATGAAATATGTGTGTATAAGGAGATGCAAAATCTGGACACTGTGACTCGCGGTTATAGAAGGCTTCAGACGGCAAGTGATGATGTTTTGGAATGGTGACCCGACGGATGCATGTGGAGGACGTGAGCAAGCGGCATCAGGGTCGAAGATGGTAGACAATCTCACGGAATTCTTTTTCTTGGAGAAGCTTGACTTGGCCAGTAGATTGTACTTTTGCCTCATGCAGGTCAGATTGAGTGTTCCTGAGGGCTATTAAAACTCGCAGGTCTCCAACATTCAGAATCTGAATCGAGTGAATGCAGGTACCTACGTTAATTGTAAACATGGAGAAATGCATGCTTTCGTCGCTCATGAGTGGCTGCAGGTATACATGGTGCTGCCCCGCCGGGAAATGTACATGGCCTAGGTCTGATGTATCATGCCGTCTTTGCTGCCTGAGCAGTGTGAACCTAGACTGTATCTTTAGTATGAACGACATGAGACCGAGAGACCACGCGATTTGCGAGAGGAAACCGGACCACGTTGCATGAACATGAGGTAGTATGTTTGCAGCTTGTGAAACAACTGTTGAATCTGCCAGACATAGTCGTGCACCCGAGCACCTCATTAAAATCCCTCCTGAGACAGTCATATAAGTCTTCAGTGCAGAAAATCGTCATCCACGAGTTACGAATCACGAGGACCAGGCCTTTCACCCGTAAACATTGTCCCAGTGAATATCATGGCCGACAGTTGAAGGATTATTGTTGACCATCTTATATCAGCCTGCGGATGAGCGGCATTCAGCAAATAGTTGGCTATCGACGAGACGGCATCAACCGTCGACTGGAGGATGGTGGGATCGCAGGGCAGCGCCATCGACGAGGGAAGACATTAGGAATCGATATGCTGGCAAATGGGGAGAAGGGCCTGAATACCGTGTCCAGAACATATGTGTTAGTGTGTGGTCATATATGCTGCACCATCATGCATGCAGAGCCACCGCAAGGACATCCAGCATTGCCGCCAGAGACACTGTCTGGATGTCATTCGAGATCCACCGCATGAGGGTCTGAAAGTGCAGAAAGTCATGGACCGATATCCTTGTTGCCATCGTCTTGACGTTTAGCAAGCTAGGCCACGAGGAGAACATTGAAAACAAGGCAGTGTGAAGGACATTGAGATCTAGACACCGCCACACTGAGTCCTCACTCCGCTTGAAATATCAAGCTGTAGTGTCTGTTCTTGCACGGTACATAGACAACGAAATACCGGCAGAGATCAATGTGGTAATTCGAGTGGCTGGTGATGAGCGACTGCAGGGTCGTCGCTGACTTTGACCGGTCTTGCTGTGGTCAAAAAGACCTGCATGAAGAGAAGGTGGATCCAAATCCTGCTTGAACAATGCGCAGAGTGGAAACCGAGTGGTGATCTGGAGTCGGGACGGACCCTAATACGCAATTGTAGTACGCTTGATGGGCCCTGATACCTTTTTTCGCCGTGATAGAGTACTCGGATTAACAAAGAGGCGATCAAACATGGCTCTTCGAAATCTTGGGTCCTTGCATATGGATGCATACTGACAGGCGCGCCGTCGCTGCCATCTCCCGCATCGCCTATTCCAAAAGGCGCCTAGAGGCCGTGGTACTGTAGCATTTGTACTGTGCTACTCGATACGTCTCACGCTATCGTCGTTGAACAATATCCATAGGGCAGGTGTGCAGATTTCATGACGCTCTCTGCATCTCTGCATTGCTTGCATGTGCGCAATCAAATAAAGTTTCTTGGGTCTCCGAGCAGTGGGAGGATGTGTAGTCTTGTTTGTATTTCGTACTTGATGGCTTGGGGGTGGTTTCAATAATGCTCCGTACGAGCATTGATCGCAGCTTGCGAAAGTCGTACGGCTCCATTCTGCGCCCGTACACAGGGTCTATCCCGGTGATTCTCCTGTTTGTTGCTCGAGCGCTTGAGGCTCAGCGGAATGTCAGACCATAGAATTACCACATTCTGATCGAGCGCGGACAAGATTCTTCGAGCAGAGTGTCTGAATGCGCAGCCTGCATGGAGCCCCTCTTCGTCTGCAAGACTCGACTCTTTCAGGCGCGCCTGGATGACATGGTGAGATGGGCANTGAAAGAGGCTGAGACACTGNATACTGTATCTCGAGAGTACCGGCCAACGACTATTTCAGATCTCGCGTTAGCATGCCGATTCTCAGAACCAATAGGGTGGTCAGTGTATTTGCAGATGTTGAGGACGCGACGCGCTANNAAAAGCAAGCTTGGGTACTCTGAGCAGTGGGCAGTCGTCTCGGCGGACGGCTACACGGGTAGAGCCATCGACCAGAAGCCCTGACATCTCGAGTCCAGCCATCAGGTCCCGGAGGGGCAGATCGATAGCACCGGCCTTTTACGCCGGCCCTCTCAGAACCACGCTTCGAGTAGCATCCAAGATTTCTTCGATGCAGCTATANGGGACTAGCGTCAGTTGAAGCAATTAGGCCACACGTGCTAGATGCATGTAAAGATGACTGCCTTGCAGCTGGTCATGTGTAGCTTGTTTTACAAGTCAAAGAAGGGTTTGACAGCTCGTTACTCCATCTCACCCCTTTCCGTGTCCTCTCGTGCCGAGAGCAAGTCGGCGTTCTCAATGATCAATTCAACTTTCATTGTTGAAACATGTCAGCGTCAGCTCCCGATGATTTCCTCACCGCCACGAAATTCTGTGCCCGGGACCACGGCCTGGGCCACATATTGTGACCAGCCAATGGCGCAGCAATAAAGTAGTAGAATATCAACAATACCGAAGCGTTTTTGGCCAATGGCAATTAATGAACACGGTCAAATGCCGTGTTTCTTTGAGAGGGATGCCGTTGCAAGTAATAGCAGATCTGACACGTCCATATCTAAGCGAAATGCAGCAGTCGCGTTCACGATTTCATCTTATGAGAATTGGTGGACATTGATTCGTGGTATGCTCCCAATTGGGCAGGCGCAATCTCATGTCAATTGAGGATGAGCTTGGACAGCAACACAGCTTCTCTACTCTGGGCATCCTCAGGTGAGGTGGGGAAAGCGGAAAAGTGTGGTAACGATATCCCCGGTTTCAACTTGAATTTTCAGCAACAGTCAATTCACGAGGCAAGAAGGAATGGTATGATGTCTGCCAGGCCTGACTCGAGACGGACACCGGATTCTGTAGAGAAGTACTGTGCAATGACGTTCAACACGGAATTGAGATGGAAATGCTATAGCAGACACGTTGTCTGTTCAATTTGTATATTCTTTACGCTGTACGAGTCAGTACGACAGCACCATGGACTGAAGTTGAGATCAAGATTCCCCCGCAATGCGCTATTGAGAGTTTATTGTTGGTGGGTTCGCTTGCGCAGTGATCCACAGCTATTCTCAAACACATCGAGGTCGAAGTGGTATAACAGCGAATTTGGGCCGAGAGGGATGGCATTGGACAGTCGCACAAGCTTGTCGGGCGACCAGACAGAGCGCATGGCGAGGACTGGAATTGCCAAAGGTTGATGAAAATTGCATGATAGACGACGATGGGTTCTGTTTGCACGGAGTGACAGATAGGAAGGCCCAAACCAAACCTCAAGAGTCCCTCGAGTCCTTCTAGACCGGCACCGGAGAAAGAGGGATATGAAGTGGATTCGCGTAGAAGTAGGAGACGGTCAAAGCATCGGCAGCTCAAGCCTTTGACACGCACAGAACGACTCATGCCTCACTACCCATGTGGCTTAGCGCTCTCGGACCATGAATTGCATTTGAGTGCCATTAATATTCTCAGTGTAACAGTCTCACTGGGCAATGCATGAGTGACGTCGAGAATAGAGAGGACGACGGCAAGCGATATGCATTGTTGAGAATCGAGCGGCAGCGATAAATTGGCCAGAGGTGGAAGAGGTTGAAGGTGATAGAGTGGCAGTTGTCCGGACAGAATGCGTCTCGTCCGTAATTCGATATTGCGACAGAGCAAGAGCGCGGGCGTAAGATAGCGATTGTCCCTTCTAAATGTGGGCAGGTGCATCACCATGCAGGGCTGCGCGTGTGCATACTCGCACAATGGGTTTACAAACCAAGTCCGAAGACGAGTAGACGAAGAAGCTCCCCCGACGCTCTTCTCAGAGTCAGAGGCTCCTGCTTACGCACGGGAGCCGCCGGAGGGTCGAGTCGCTGCAGCGCACCGAGTAAGGACGAGCAGGTCGAGGGTCGAAGTGGTCGTCTTTTTGCAACCTGTCACATTCTGGATCCATCTGCGATCCTGAGGCTGTCTGTCTGTCGTTCGTCCCTTGGTCGTCGTCGGTCTCCCAGTGTTCCGGCACCACGCACCCCTCTCTTTCTTGCTGCTTTTCTTGGCCTCGTGCCGCGACACCTTGCACGTCTGATGCCGACACACGAGCCACCGTCCGTTTTTCGCAGAGATCATCATCAAATAGAGTTCGACGCCGTCTCACGCACGATTTGAGGCAGCTGGCCCACCCTTGTCGTTAGGCTCACTCTATCGTAACGTTAATCCATCGATGCGGACAGCCCTTGTTGCCCCCTTGTCTTGTCGCCGTCCGGGCTTGCCGTACTGATCTGTCAAAAACGCGCACCGTCTCCCGCCGTTTTTTATCGCCCAGCGTCAGGCCAGTCCGTCTTCGGGAACATTTTGTGCACTACACCGCTCTACTCGGGCGCCAGATCATCCTTTTGGTGGAGCTTGTCGGCTTATGCACATCACATTTCCTTGGGCAAAAACACAACCTTTCTTCGGCCGCTCGCTAACTACCTGCCTGTCCGCAACGCGCCGCCGCCAGCGTTTTCGTCTACCCTCCAAGTCCCCTCACTAGCAGTAGTGCTTAACCCTCGACCGCGACTCTGCTTTTGGCGTAGCATGTCCCCGACTTACACCACTTCACCAGCTCAGCCCGCTACCGACACGTCTCTGAGCGCGCTACTCGCGTCGCAACAGATGAACGGCCATCCGCAGTCAATGGACGCTCGCCAGCAGGAATACCAACACCAAGCTCCGCTCAAGCAAGAGTACTCGCAGCAGCCAGGTTTGAATTCGCCCTACGCTTCCTCGTCCTATACCGGCAACCTTTCTGAGACCCTGTCCTCCCCAGACCAGAACCAAGCTGCCCATTACCACCCAGACGTAAGACCATTCCTTTGCCTCTCTCCTGCCAATTCCGAGTACTCACGCGCTTTTCAGTCTGCGCGTTCTGCCTCATTCCCCGAGTATCAGCAGCAACCTCAAGGCCAGCCGCAACAAGCCCAGCGACCATACCCCGAGCAGGGCGCTCCTCGTTACCAGCAGCCAGGTGGCCACCCACACGCCGCAATGGCTCAATCAAGTCGGTCCATGCCTCTTGCCAGCGCGTTGCGCGACACGCGTTCTGACTCGGCCATTGCCATAGATCCCACGATAGCCGCACAGAACCCGCAATACCCTCAGCAACACGCATACTCTCCATACCCTCCCCAGCATGAGATGCACCAATACCCTGGGCAGCCCGGCCAGCCCATGTACGCGCCGCGCCCCGAATGGGGGCCTACCACGCTCAACCTATGCACTACCCCGTGTCAGCCGCCGGTGGACCGCCAGGAATGGCAGCCGCCGTCCCCAGACCTCCAGGTGTAAGTCATGGCTTTGTAAGACTCCATTGACGCGTCGGAACGCGTTTTCTAACCATGCGCAGGGCGGACACCCAATGTCTACTGTTTACTCGTTTGTCCCAATTCCCGGTGCGCAGCAGCACAAGCGTCCGCGTCGAAGATACGAAGAGATCGAGCGCATGTACAAGTGCGGATGGAATGGCTGTGAAAAGGCATATGGCACGCTTAACCATCTGAATGCGCACGTTACTATGCAGTCGCACGGCGCAAAGCGCACTCCCGAAGGTATGCAAGCACAGCAAAAAAACATTGTTCAAATGGCACGCATTTTTGCGTCGCAGTGTCGCATTATTTCCTTAGTGCTTACCCCGACCGCTGGGTTGGTTAAACCATCCTCCTTGTCGCGGAAGCTAGCACGCCAGCCATGCTTAAATCCCCTAGCGCATGCACCCCGTAACACAAGCTGCACGTGGATGAACCGCGCTAACTCGTCACGTCTAGAATTCAAAGAAATCCGCAAGGAGTGGAAGGCCAAAAGAAGGAGGAGGAAAATGCTCGCAAGCAGGAAGAGGAGCGTCAGCGTCAGGAGGCCGGCCGTGCTGCCCAGGAAGCCGGCACCCCGACCCAGCCCGCCCCGGCACAGTACCCCCAACAACACATGATGCCTCCTCAGCCCATGAGCAGTGCTCAACTACCGCCCATCGGCTACGCTCCCGCCGCTCCACCTACTCCTCAGCAATACACTCCGTCACAGCAGCAAGTAGACGGAGCACAGCCCTACCCGGCCGGCCAGATGTACACCAACGGAGGCTATCCTCAAAGCCCATATGCCCAGCAGGGCGGCCAGATCTACCAGCAACGTTAGACACTCACGCCCCAACATCACATCGCTGAGACTAACAGGACAACAGATCCTGAACAACCCCAGAACCAGGCATATCGACACAACCAGTAATTTTCTTCCCCTGTCTACGACATGTCGGTGCCCATGTAGCTCGACGCGGACCGGGCGCTGGCATGATAATTCTTTCTTTCCAAGTCCGCTCAAATTCTCAAATGAACGCAGCTGCTGCTATCGCCCTCGCGATCGAGCCTGCAAAGAGTCTTTGAAGAAGCGGTTTTTCTGCATCATCGCAATTGCAACATTCATCTCGTTCGGTGGTCGGAAGCACTGCTTTTTCATGATACCATCACATGAGCGATGTTTTCTAATCAACGTCTCTCCAATTCTTTGGTTTCGGCTGGTGTCATTTCAGGCGTATCGTGTTCGATCTCGGCTCTCGGTGTTCGATCACGCATCAACTCCGGAGAGGTCGGAGAAGCAGTCCTAAGTGTAGTTGTATTTTTGGCATGCCCGATGGGCCTTTTCATTGTTGCTTTTGCTTTTCCCGCGAAGCATGAGGTATCTGGGTGGACTTGTTTCGGTTTGTGTTTCCTGTGGTTGGTGGAGGATGAGATGCGGAAGTGTGACGAGCTCAGATTTCTTCACATTGCAAAATGAACAAAAACAATCAGAATCAGATCAAATTGTCTCGAGGTGCCAGCATGCTTCAAGTAGTCGTGGAACGGTAGGGTAGCCTAAGAAATGGTCAGAAGCACCAGAAGGAGCCGTCGTCCGTTTTGAAACCCGCCATGGTTAGCAAACTATCACGACCTTATTCACTAGACTCACACGTGTTTGTGGCACACTACCTTCGAATAATTAATCAGCCGTTTCATACAGGCCGACTAACTAAACACGCACGCCGATGCGTAAGCCAACAGCGGACCATTCAGTGTAGATCTAGTCGAAAGGAATCCAATGCGTCGACAGGCGACAGACCGAGGGGACCCTGGCGGCAGTCGAAACATACTGGCGGCACCGCTGGGATAGTTCTGCTGGCGCCGGTTGACCAGCAGTAGGTACTGTACCTAGTGAAACCAGGAATCGTCTTTCGCGCGATCAGAAGTCAAAAGATAGATGGGCTAAACAATTAAGCATGAATATAAGCAGCAGGCAATCGACAGTCGACGGATGTACCGTGCAGCGGCGGTCCGGCGCGCAAGTGTCTGGCAAGGAACGAGCTGAGGAGCACGACACTAGGCAAAGCAAACTCCAATCTACTTTCTTTTAGCACTCCCTCTAGTCTCCGCGACTACGGCACCGTCTTACCTGTTCTACTAAGGACTCTCTGAACCCTTGTCTGCGCCGCTGCTGTCAAACGCTTGCCTAGGATCTACCCGCGCAAACATCTGAACTACCCCGTTGGTGCCTTCTAGCTGACCAAGAAATCTCTTGTTTACAACAACCCCTCGGCGTCTCTGCGAATCGTGATCGATCTTGGTGACTGCTGCGCCACACACACACCAAACGGAGTCGCTCGCGCAAAACCTCGAATGGCCGTCACCAACAGCGAGTGAAGCTACAGCTGTGCCTCGACCTCGTGTTCGGAAAAGCGGCCGTCGTGGTCACCCCTGCCCACTCTTCCTCTAGTTGCTGCACCAGAAAATAACGATGTATACCTGCCTGCCATCTCCTGGCCTTCCAGCTGCATAGCAAAGGGCAAAATATGCAAAATACAGGCGTGATAGTCAAGCAAGCAATATTTACATCCAGGCACCCCATTCCACGGCATACTGCCGAGCCTTGCATCCAACATCCATCCCAGTAAAATTGCAGGTTCCACAGCAAAGGGTTACACCGAGCAATTATCTTGCCCTGGTTCTCCGGCGATTACAGAAGACACCACTCAGCATCAACGCCCATATGCTAGGGCTAGGTTCCAAGGTGCGCCATCCACGGCGTGTATCGATCCACCCGGAAATCTGGCTTGCCTTGCGGGACATGACTGCCGGGCTTCGATCGGGATGCCAAACGGAATGTGCTCCGATGATTCTCTGGATTCAATACTTGCTGCACTCGAGAGGGTTGATTGAAAGTTTTGCTTTGCAGTCATAGGTCCTTTCACTGGTTTCTTGGGATTTGCGGCCATGTGGTTCCAGCGATATTCTGCCAATCCTAAGTTTTCTCCTGACGAGCATCGCATCAGGTCTTCAGATACGTAGTCTGCTGACCAGCTACAAAGTCTTGGATTCTGACTGTTCAGTATAAGAGAGAGGGTTACAAGCTCTCATTCATGGTACAGTCCTGCCGCAGCTGAACGAGTCTTTTGTATCTACTGAATATCCCCATACCTATGCAAGAAAATCGGCACAAAGACAGAACATTCCACGTTCTCATACTCAAAACTTTAGGGGAAGGAAAGATGTATCAAGAAGAATGAGCAACAGCCCGAAAGAGGAAAGAGCAACCCAGGAGATCAAGAAGGAAGAAACAGTCGACAGAACGGCAAGACCAACAAAAACGAGTGTCCTGTGGAACACGCTCTTATGAGAAACATGCAGAAGAACGGATGTAGTCAACAGATATGTTCGAACTGCACGTAAAGCAGATCTTACACACAGCTAATGAATAGTTTCTTCGATGCGGCCAAGATAACACGAGCAAGGAGTCAATATGAGCACAAGAGGGCAGGAACAAACCATGAAGATATTTGTTGTTCAGACAATTATGAAAAGATGAACCATGGACGAAAAGGAAAGAGCGATTAATCAACTGCGCCTTAGAACAAGGGTACAAAAGGGGTGTCGCCTTGATAAAGGGAAGAGGATATACAACATAGAAAGACGCAAGCATTTAAACAAAATAGGAGAGATGATCAAGTTTGGAGGGGAAACGAGCGCTTAAGCATATTTGGATACGTTGATCGAACAGAGATGGATAGAACTACTCGTCTGTCGAAAGGAAAGAGCTTTCAAGCAAGATACTCCTACTCGGAAAGCGGTTGCCTTCCATAGAGATGACGTTCAGACTAGGACGAAGAGAGCGTTGTGAGAACTGGAACGGCTTTGTTTACTTTTGAAGCAATGCTGCTTGCTGGTTCAGACATATGGTGATTCCTTGCTTCCACAAGACCTAGGTTTATGCACCATCGTTCCACACCTTGACTGAACATATTATGTATGATATGAGTCAAGACGAGTTTGTTACACTATGATCATCTGTAACTCATATGGGCTGTACATTCCTCTGAAATCTTGGAGGCTGTCTGAAGAACTTCTCAGGCTCATCTCTAGCCCCGTCCTTCCAGTACTCGTACTCCATCCATGCGTTCTCAGGCATCTGCTCCTCGGTAGCTTCAAGAAATCTTCCCAACTCTGGTGCCAGAGGGATAACGCCAGTTTCAAGAACGTATTGATCCCACATCTTGATCATGCGAGCCAGACGCTCAGTGTCTTGCTCGGCAAGATCATGAACTTCGCCAGGATCCTTTGAGAGGTGGTACAATTGCCACTTTTCGGGACCTTTAGGCTTGGGAATGAAGACGATTTTCCAATCGCCACAACGGACGGCTGCGCGACCGCAAGTCTCCCAGCCTGTGATGTGATCTTCAGGGTGAGTCGAGTGGGTTCGGCCTTCAATGAAAGACACCATGCTCTGGCCACGCATTGGTACAATCTCGCGACCCTTGTAGGTCGGTGCTGGATGTGTGACACCTGCCATCTCGAGAATTGTGGGACAAAGGTCCATCACGGTGGCAAAGTCATGAGTGATGCTGCCTTTNTCGGCGCTGACGTGAGAACCAGAACTGGCAACCTCTACGGGGCCATCGATGAAACCATCGGAACGAGTCTCGACGTTTGCAGGAAAGCGTACGACGAAGGGTACACGAACACCACCTTCTGTAGTGAAGGCCTTGTAGAGGCGACTGGGTGCTGTCGCTGCCTGGGCCCATCGTGGTCCGTACCAGACAAAACTGTCACCACGACCGATGTTCTCGATACTGTTGTTGTAGTATGTTTTCAGGTGCTGCATCATTTCACCCTGTACGATAGGGTACGCCTCATAGGCTGCACCCTCGGCTCCATTGTCAGACATGAAACAGACCATCGTGTTGTCAAGCTCTCCAGTCTCTTCGAGATAATCGACGACCTTGCCGACATTAGCATCGATGCATTCGACCATAGCAGCAAAAACCTCCATGGCCTTGGCCGATTTGGCTTTCTCTTCAGGTGTCAGAGCGTCCCAAACTTTTACTTCGTCCGCGATTACTTCATGTGGTTCGACATCACGAGCAAGGAGACCAATCTCCTGCATTCTCCGCAAGCGCGTCTGTCTCAGAACTTCTGGTCCATCATCGTAGACACCTTTGTAGTGAGCGATGTACTCATCAGGAGCTTGGAGAGGCCAGTGGGGTGCCGTGAAAGGTAAATATCCGAAGAAAGGTCTCTCATCCCTCTTTTCGTGACGCTCTTTCAAATACGAGAGCATTTTGTCTCCGTAGCCGTCACTGCTGTACCACTCATCAGGAAGCTTCTTCACGTATTCACCATCCTCTGAGTGAAGAGCGATGAACGACATAGTCATGAATTCAGGAATCTTGTCAGGCGTCTGAAGTTGAGGCTCATAGGCGTAATGGTTTGAGCACGCTGGAAGATGTGCAAAGCTTCTTTCAAAGCCTCTTGCCTTTGGACTACGCTCAGGTGTCAGGCCGAGGTGCCATTTGCCAGACATCAGGGTCGAATAGCCGGCATCTTGCAGTATTTCTGGCAATGTAGCAACTCTTTCATTGAGATAGCCTTCATATCCTGGCATACCTCTCTGAGGTGCAGTATCAAATCGTTTTGCATTGCCTTCTGCTGGTGCGTTTTGGCCAGATATGTTGGTCCATTCGATGAGGTTTCCTAGACCTGCAATATGATGGTCTGTCCCGGTCATGATNCCTGCAGAGATAATCAGCACGCTGTTTTGTTGCCTTACAGAAATGTCTCCGTAGCAGTAGACACCAAGCGAACATATTCATGCATCGTTGTCGCATAATATTTGGCGCCTGCGTACAACCCTAGATCCATCTTCGAGCACAACATACATGGCACGTGAGGGCGAGCAGGCTGCCGCTGCGTGAAAGTCCGTAAATCGGATACCATTACTTGCTATCTTGTCGATGTTTGGAGTTCTGATCTCTCCACCAAAGCAAGAGAGGTCGCTGAAACCCAGATCATCTGCAACGATGACAAGGAAGTTGGGGCGCTTCTGAGCGCCATCGATTGCGTTTGAAGCCTGGGATGCGGCCATGCTTGCGAGGTGTTTCGTGGTAGGGGAGCATGTAACGTAGACTCCGTTGCTGTGTTGGAGGGAAGAAGAAATGGAAAAGCAGAACAACACAAAAAAGGCAGAGCAAGTGCGAACTCGGCAAGAGATGAACAAACCCCTCAGATATCATTGTAGGATCTGCAAGCGCGGGGACGATGGCTTGTTGAAGCTAAACTGAGTCCGTGGTAGTCGGGCAGTGAACATCTCGATGCGGTAAGGTCTCACGAGACCATTGTCTGTTGTTTTGCACTCTTGTGTCGAATGGCGTGCTTTCAATGGCAGATTGCTTCATGTCTGGTCCAATTAGACGTGTTATGGAGCGACAATTACTTTGACGCGAGGCCGAGACGTGGCAGCCATGTCAGAGTGAAGCAGACAGGCAAGTAAAGTCGGACAAGCTGAGCGGTCACATCCATCTGATGGATGCAATCACTGAAAAGCAAGAAACTGATGTAAAGATGGCAGGGAGGTTGTCATCCTTGGTGCCTGAGGCCGAGATGGGCGTCTCGAAGGACAAAGACCCTACAGAGGAAGGCGCGTCCCAGCCGCGATTCTACCGGAATGGCACCCCCAAAACCACACGACTTCGAGCCCTGGGAAGTCGCGACTCCTTGACAACATGTTCATGTTGGTGAAGTTGTCGTTTACTGGATGACGTTGAGCTTGAACCGCTCCTGCGAGGCTGCGACACGACCAGTTGCCTGAGCACATCCTCTCGGCTCCCCTACTTCAACTCCGTCTTGCTACAAATATGCTGTGACTGCAGATGCAGCGAGACGATGCTCACTCTTCTCTAGTCGGAATATGCTCCTCAACGATTATCCCTGTCTACCAATACCGTATAGTTGCACGGCTCACACTTTCTTCGGCTACGTTTCCGGACACGCGAGATCGGAAGTTTGATGTGATCGTGACTGCTCAGATCGGTCTTGTACTCTTCTCGCATACTTCCAGCATGCACTGGAACTTGGCCGAAGATAGTGAGAACGCCTCCATCTCGAAGCTGTTGATGTAGTCTGTCTGAATATCAATAGCAATGGCTTGATCTGGGTCTTAGAGCTTCCTGTGTTCCTCCAGCCAGGTCAAATACATGGGACATTAGCTTACCATGTCACTGCAAAGGTTATGGCTTACCATGCTTACCGAAATACTCAGAATAGAAGCTTACCTCCGCCGTCGTACAATATTCTCCACGAGAACTGCAGGTTACCTTGGCATCAACATCAAGAGGTCAAATTTCTGTCGAGTATACCACAAGAGATATGATCGTTCGAGGACTGGCAGGCAAATTTGTTGGATACCAGACAGGACTGATTGGAGCCATGAGATCCTCAACGTTTTGAGACCGACGAGAATCGCTGCATGTCCACGCTGCCGCTACGGACATCATTGCTTCGGAATATCTAGCTTACCGGACCGTCGAGCATGACGAGGCGCAACTGACAGTCAGCTCTAGTATCCTTCGCGTATAAAATCCTCATAACTCGAAGTTTCTGTTTGCTAATGTGTACCACTCTGACCTTCATGGCTGCGTTTCAGTATGAAAGCTTGTATGCCCAAGCCGAGTCTATGCTCTCGGACCATCGCATCAACCCCTTACGAAGTTGAATTATAGCACGGCAGACTCCCGAGTGGACGCGCGTCTGGGGTATGTATGGACACACTGCTGTACCGCAGTCCACGTCCAATAAACCTCAGAGTTCTGTTGGTATGACAAGATTCGATTGGCAGAGATTCCAGAGCATCCTTGGACCTGCGTTCTCTCCTGACCCGGATGTTGAGCAAATCTTGATGCATCTGTTTCGCGTCGTGTAGGACCACGCTCACAGATGCTGAGATCCATCTCGTAACCAGGAGTATGGACTAGTGGAAGAGTCGTGATTGGATCAGAGTGCGGATTCAACATCTTTGAGATCATACACAAGGCATCTCGTACGCCTCAGACGAGGAGCGAAGCAGCATCATGACGTCGAGAGCATGAGTTTTCGAGGACGCTCGACGAAAACGAGAACAGAACGAGCTTGCTGGCAAGAAGGAGGGGAAATGCGATTGTTAGGTAAGAAAGAACATAAATACTGACCACTTTTCTCTCTCTCCAATTCCATCTTCAACAACAGCAACAAACCGAAACATCAGGAGCTCAGACTACCTGATCATACTTGAATTGTCTACCTTTCGTCGAACGAGCAACACACGAACAACAAGCCAAAATGGTCTCTTCCAAACTACTTTTCATTGCTTTCGCCAGCATACTCAGCTCTGCTATTGCTGTCCCTGCTGAGAAGAGAGGTGGCTCGAATGGATACAGTGAGCGGTATCTTCACGCTCGTTTACAGATCTAGCTAACCACGTTTCACAGATGGTGATCTGGCAGACAATTTCAAATCCTTCTTCCAGAACTTTGGTGGATGGTCCTCGGATAACAACTACAAAGGTGATCTCGCCAAGGATCTCTCCAACTTCGCAAACGGATTTGGCGGAAAGCTTTCCGATAAGGATGCGCAGTATTGGGCCGATACCCTGAGCAACAAGAAGAACAGCGGTGATTTCAATGGGTGGTGGGGAGCGAATGGTGGTCAGGGTCAAGGAGACCAAGGAGGCTATGGATGCGGCTTCGGAGGCTCCAACTGGGCTTCCGGTAAAGGAGGCCACGGCAATGGATGGAACAACAACGGCAACGGATGGAGCAGCAATGGCAAATCCTCCAGAAGCCTTGTTGCCAGAGGTTTTGGTGATTCGACCAACGGTCAAGGTTGGGGAAGCGAACAAGGCTCTTCTAAGGGCTCCGGCCAAGGACAGGGATCGGGCTGGAGCTCTGAGCAAGGCTCCTCCACAGGCTCCGGTCAAAGCAGTGGCTGGGGTGACAGCAAGGGCGGCGAGTCTGGAAAGGGCGGCGAGTCCGTCAAAGATGGCTCTGGAAACTCTGGTAGTAGCTGGGGATCTGGAGACAACAGCAACAAGGGCTCTAGCGGTTCCAACAAGGGAAGCTCCGGCAGCTCCGGCGATAATTGGGGCTCTTCAGAGGGTGGCTGGGGAGGTGACAAGGGCAAGGATAATGGCAACGGAAACCAGGGATCCTATGGCGGCAGCTATGGAAGCTCTGGAAAAGGATCTGACAGCAACAAGGGCTCGTCCAGCGGCTGGAGCGGCGACAACCAGGGCAATGGCGGAGACCACAAGGGCTCTTCTGGTGAGAAAGGATCTGGCGACAACAAGGGCTTAGAGAACAAGGGTTCTTCTGGTGAGAAAGGATTTGGCGGCAACAAGGGTTCTTCGGGTGATAGCTGGAGCGAGAACGGAAAGTCCGGCGAGTCAAAGGGTGGTGACGGCGAGGGAAGTGGATGGTAATCCTGTCCTCAAGAAGCATCGGCCAGGAATGCCGACTCGATGATTGAACGAAACCTGCTTTTTGTGCTGGACTCACACACTCCTTTGAGATAGCAATAGCATAGTAGGATTAAGACTGGATAATGAAATGACTTTCTTGCCTCTTGTTTCAGCTTTCTGTACTCTTTTCTCGAATGCTCGAAGATTCATGGTTGTTCCGGGTCTTGCTTTGTTTGGTCTGGACCTTTATCTGTGAGCTGGTTGCAAGATATCGTTCTCCGGTGTACTCGAATAACACGGATCCGATAAGAAGCGATGAGAACACAATGAATAGACAAGTGATGCATAATATCGAGATGGATGTGGATTGTTATTGTCAAGGTTGGCAAGCGTTAGAGTGCAAGGCAACAGCGAGGCAGCTGCATCCTTGTTGCCTTCGCAATTCCAAACCATTCCGAACCCAAACGGGATGGATGTCCAAATCGATGTGACGATGTAGTAAATGGTAATAATCGTGTTAAGAGAGCGTCATCACTGTTGATCCATGCTCGACCACACATACACATATACAACAGAGTAGGTATAGGTAGTATACTCGCCTTGTCGTATTAGAGTCAGGGTCATCCGCTCAGCATCGTGACTTGGTAAGACAAACTTAAAAGTCAATCTCGATCATACAGCGATTCCTTGTCAGACAATTGTTGTTCATGGCTGTGAGAGCAAGACAACAAGACACCAATTCAGTGTGTGCTCGCTATTTCGTGAACATCGGGTTCGGTGCAGCGCTCTACCTCCCTTTGGCCCCCACGATACCTCGGCAAGCCGGTAAGGTTGTGCAACACTGCAAGGCGGGGTTGACCGGCGACGTAGCTATGGAAGCCGTCGAGCTATCAGATCATCGGCAAGAGTAAAACTTCATCTAGCTGTGCCTGTGGTCACTTTCTTGCACCTGTCCCTCTCTCTCTCTCATTTACTCAGTCAAGATATACACAATCATATTGGCGGACTTCGGGCAGTAATGTCTTCCCCACTGAGCCGTACCTTTCTCCGCACTTGCTCCAGAAACATTGTTGGCCAGCGCTCCCTCCTTCGCAACACTGCCAGGATCACCAGCAGAGCTTCAATCGCACGAACAACCCTCTCCATCCGCTCCGCAGCCGCTTTCTCTACCACCATGAAGCCTAACTCGGACGCCTTCGCCAGCCCGGCTCCCGCTGCCGAGTTCGACCGTGAGATTACCGACATGGCATCTTACATTCACAACTACAAGGTCAACTCGGAGCTCGCTGTATGTCTGCTTCTTCAAGCAAACCCCGGGACCACTAGCTGACCTCATATACAGATCGATACCGCCAGATATGTCTTCCTAGACACCTTGGGCTGCGGCCTCAAGGCCCTCGAATTCNCCCACTGCACCAAGCTCCTCGGTCCCGTCGTGCCGGGAACCACTGTTCCCAATGGTACAAGAGTCCCTGGTACACCTTACCAGCTCGATCCTGTACTCGGCGCATTCAACATTGGTGCCATGATCAGATGGCTCGACTTCAACGACTGCTGGCTTGCTGCCGAGTGGGGTCACCCCAGTGACAATTTGGGTGCAATTCTGTCCGTTGCAGACTGGATCAGCAGAACCAACCGCAATGGTGGAAACTTGGGCAATGGAAAGATCTTCACTGTGAGAGACGTCCTTGAGGCCATGGTCAAGGCACACGAAATTCAAGGTTGCATGGCTCTCGAAAACTCCTTCAACAAGGTCGGTCTTGACCACGTTGTTCTGGTCAAGGTTGCATCGACCGCCGTCGTCAGTCAAATGCTTGGCCTGACCGAGGCTCAAACTCGTGATGCAATTTCGCAGGCTTGGGTTGACGGTCAGAGTATGCGTACGTACAGACACAGCCCCAACACCATGAGCAGAAAGAGTTGGGCTGCCGGCGATGCTTGCGAGAAGGCCGTCAACCTCTGCTTAAAGGTCATGAAGGGCGAGGGTGGTATGGCAACCGTCCTTACCGCTCCTACTTGGGGCTTCTACGATGTCAACTTCCACGGTGCCAAATTCAACTTCCAGAGAGAGTATGGCAGCTATGTCATGGAGAATGTCCTCTTCAAGGTCTCATACNCCTGGTAGGTGACAATTTGCTAATGTGACCTTCTCATGCTGACTGCATCAATAGCTGAGTTCCACTCGCAAACCGCCGTCGAAGCGGCCAGCCGTATCAACAAGAAGCTCAAGGCCATGGGCAAGAGCGCCAAAGACATCAAGGATGTTACTAACCGAACACACGAGGCATGCATTCGTATCATCGACAAGCAGTTGAAGCCCATGGACAACTTTGCCGATCGTGATCACTGTGTTCAGTACATGGTTGCGACCATGTTCGTCTTCAACCGTCTTGAGGCGTCAGACTACACTGATGGATCCGAGGCGGCAGAGAGCCCTCTTGTCGAGTCCCTTCGCAAGAAAATCAAGTGTGTTGAGGATCCTCAGTACACCAAGGACTACCACGACCCCGAGAAGAGAACCATCTCCAACGCTCTTACCGTCACTTTGGAAGATGGCACAACCCTGGAAGAGGAGATTGTCGAGGCACCCCTCGGTCACAGATTGCGTCGTGAGGAGGCCAAGCCAGAAATCATGGCCAAGTACAAGAGGCATCTTGGACCTCACTTTGACGAGGCCCGGGTAAAGGAGTTGGTTGATCTTGGCAACTCGCCCGACAAGCTGTACGCCATGGAGATCGACCAGTACGTGGATCTCTATGTCAAGGACAGCATGTAAGCAACAAAAACATAGAAATATTAGACGGCTATTGTAAGAATGGAATCTCAAGTCTTTGTTGAAAAAACTCGACTCGTCAAACGCAGATGACGATCTAGCGCGAGTCAATAAGTAAGAAGGATGCAGACACGTGGGTACTGAACGTAGGTGAATGCGTATGCCAAGAGTCTGCTTCTTGTGAACTTGGGTCGTGAGGATGCTGGACATGATAGATCAGGGGCGGTATTTTCGTGTTTGTGAAAGAGTATACTCCACCGTCAGGCTGAGGAGATGACCGATTCACCAAAGATCATGGCTGAGTGTCTGTTGTTTGATTAGATGAGGGACATTATGGCGCAGAGACAGGGTGTGCTCAACAAGACGAGGATTGCGTTCGCTAGCAACTCCGCGTTGGCCCGCCGCCGCTGCCGCCCGGCAAAGTCGCTGACCGCAGACTAGAAAAAATTCCTATATCAGCCCAACCAAGTCTTCTCTCTACTCAACCATCCTGAAGGAGTGCTTGATTGCAAACACCTTCTCTCTCACTCTCCACTCTCCACTCTTGTTAGTTGTTTTTGTCTCGGTTTCCTGCTATCGAGATCCTTGTTCCGGTTGCTTTTTCTCCGGTTGCAAAAAGCGCAACCCCTGCGCCGCCTACGCCCTTAATTGCGCCTTTTCCCTAGAAAGAATTCTCTTGGATATGCCCCATTTCGAAGAGCCCAGCATGAACAACACCACCGTCACCTCAAAATCGGCGCCGCCCGCTGCCGAGGACGTTTCGGCCATCACAAAGAGCATTTACGAATCAAAGACATCGCAAGAGTCGCTCGACGCCGCTTACTCTCTCTGCGATGTTCTCCTCAACTCGGTCGGCTTCCGCGGTCTCAACGACTACAATGTCCTGCAAGAAGTCAAGAAGGCTGCCACAGACAAGAAGAACATCGGCCGTCGTGAAGGCGCCATGTTTGCGCTCGGTGCCATCTTTGAAAGATTCCCCAGCAAGCAGCGCCTGAGCGAGGTCGTATTCCTTCTTCAACACGATTACCTCTTGCCCATGGCCCTCGACGCCATCGCCGACAAGACTCCCAGCGTTCGCGACGGAGCCAAGTACGCCATCGACGCTCTCTACAAGGAGCTCAGCGCCGAGGCCAAGGTTTATGGTCTCTTGCCCGTTCTTATCAAATACCTCCGCAAGGGCACTGCCAAGTGGCAGAGCGCCGTTGTCGCATACGAGCTGGTCGGTCGCATGGCCGACGACGCAAAGATGGGCATGGAGAGCCTCGAGGCCGAACAAGCCAAGGACGTTCTTCGCGAAGCCATGGGTCGCAAGCTCGAGGACCTGATTCCCATCGTCGAGGGTGGTATGCACGACCTCAAGTCCGAAGTCGCAAAGGCAGCCATCAAGTCCATGAACTCCCTCACCACTCTCCTGCAAAACGACGATGTCCAGCCTCGTCTTCCTCTCTTGATCAAGTCGATGGAGGACCCCTCCACTCAAAGTCTGCAAAAGGCCATTCACGCCCTCTCGCAAACCACTTTCGTGGCCATCGTCACCTCTCCCGTCCTCGCCGTCCTCACTCCCCTCCTCGAGCGCTCTCTCAACAGCCCCAGCACTTCCCAAGAAGTCACCCGTCAAACAGTCGTTGTCGTCGAGAACTTGACCAAGCTTGTCCACGACCCTGTCGAGGCCAGATCTTTCCTTCCCAAGCTTTTGCCCGGTACCAAGGCTGTTCGCGACAGAGCCTCTCTTCCCGAGGTTCGTGAGATTGCTCAGAGAGCTCTCGACGTTATTGAAAAGGCCATGGGTCAACAGGCCAGCGGCGACCACTCCGAGTCCGACCGCACCGTCCCCGAAGAGGTTGTCAAGGTCTTGGAGAAGGAGACACAAGCAAACGGTGGTCTTCTCCAAATGTCTGGCGATGCCGAAATTTGGACCTTGGCCAAGCCTTACCTTTCGACCATGGTTGCCGAGGATGCCACCGACCGCAAGCTCAACCGCATCACTGGCAACATTGCTCCTTACATGGCTCCCCTCATGGATGCCGGCAAGGCTGATGCTGTCGCCGAGGCTGTCCACAAATTCTACATCTCCGAGGATGAGCGCAAGTTTGGTGCTCCCNCACCTCTCGAGGACGGTGAGGTTGAGATTGTCAACGCCACCTTCTCTCTTGGTTATGGTGGTATGCTTTTGCTCTCTCACACCAACCTCCGTCTGCTCAAGGGTCACCGTTACGGTCTCTGTGGTAGAAACGGTGCCGGAAAGTCCACCTTGATGCGTGCCATTGCCAATGGCAAGCTCGAGNGGTTTCCCCCTCAGGACGAGGTCCGCACCTGTTTCGTCGAGCACAACCAGGGTGAGGATGCTGATCTCACCATTCTCAACTACTGCTTGAAGGACCCCGAGCTCCAGGCCGAAGGCCAGGACAGAATCGTGGCCGTTCTCGAGGAGGTTGGTTTCGCTTCTGGACCCGAGGGACGCCAATCCGAAAAGGTTGGTTCCTTGTCTGGTGGTTGGAAGATGAAGCTCGCCTTGGCCAGAGCCATGTTGATGCGCGCCGATGTCTTCCTTCTCGACGAACCTACCAACCATCTCGATGTTGCCAATGTCAAGTGGCTCCAAGAGTACCTCAAGACCCACACCGACATTACTTCCCTGATTGTCTCTCACGACTCCGGTTTCCTCGACGAGGTTTGCACAGACATCATCCACTACGAGACAAAGAAGCTTGTCAACTACAAGGGTAATCTCGCTGCTTTCGTCAAGCAAAAGCCCGAAGCTGGTGCGTACTACACTCTTTCCGCTTCTCAGGTTCAGTTCAAGTTCCCTCCTCCTGGTATCTTGACTGGTGTCAAGTCCAACACCAGAAGCATTCTCCGCATGACTGACTGCAACTTCACCTACCCCGGAGGCTCCAAGCCTTCGCTCCAAGGTGTCAGCTGTCAATTGTCTCTCTCTTCCAGAGTTGCCATTATCGGTGCCAACGGTGCTGGTAAATCTACTCTCATCAAGTTGCTCACTGGTGAAACCATTCCCCAGACCGGTAAGGTCGAGAAGCACCCCAACTTGCGTATCGGTTACATCAAGCAGCATGCTCTTGAGCACGTTGAGATGCACTTGGAGAAGACCCCCAACCAGTACCTGCAATGGCGTTACGCTAACGGCGACGACCGTGAGGTTCTGATGAAGGGAACTCGTCAACTTACCGAAGAGGACAAGGCACAGATGGAGAAGTTCGTCGACCTTGGCCCTGGCATGGGTCAGCGCAAGATTGAGTCCATCATCGGTAGACAAAAGTGGAAGAAGTCGTTCCAGTACGAGATCAAGTGGGTTGGTATGCTGCCCAAGAACAACACCATGATTTCTCGCGAGACCCTCATGGAGCTTGGCTTCCAGAAGCTTGTCCAAGAGTTTGATGACCACGAGGCTAGCAGAGAAGGTCTTGGTTTCCGTTCGCTGGAGCCCAAGGTCATTTCCAAGCACTTCGAGGATGTTGGTCTTGACCCCGAAATTGCCAACCACAACGAGATCAGCGGTCTGTCCGGTGGTCAAAAGGTCAAGGTCGTCCTTGCCGGTGCCATGTGGAACAACCCCCATTTGCTCGTTCTCGACGAGCCCACCAACTTCTTGGACAGAGACTCCCTCGGTGGTCTCGCCGTCGCCATTCGTGACTACAAGGGTGGTGTCGTTATGATTTCTCACAACGAGGAGTTCGTCGGCGCTCTCTGCCCCGAGCAGTGGCACGTCGCTGATGGTCGCCTAACCCAGAAGGGCACTGTCGCTGTTTCGCTCGACCGTTTCGAGGACTCGTCCAAGCCTGGCTCGTCTGTTGCCAGCTCGGTCGTTAGCTCCGCCGTGCCCTCCACTGTCGGCACTCCTACCCAGAGTGATGCCGAAGGTGGTGGTGATATGGCTTTCAGAGCCAGAAAGAAGAAGAAGATGACCAAGAAGGAGCAGAAGGAGAGAGAGGTTCGCAGAAGACTGCGCCACATTGAGTGGCTCAACAGCCCCAAGGTTCGTTACTTCACTTTCATATCATCTTTCATGACATTTTGCTAACAATTCCTCAGGNGAACCCCTCACCCTCCTGACAGTGACGACGAGTAAAGAGGTGTCGACGTATTGTGATTGCTGGTAATGAATACCAATACCCCAATGTCTCCAGCTACGACTTGCAAAAAGTAGGGTGAATGGCGTTACAATTTTGATTTTCTTCCTTTTCTGCGACACAATAGATTGGGCGGGCGTCTTCTTTTTGATGTTGTTTTGGGTCACTATATCCACATTTTTTCTGTTAGAGCAGTAGAATGGCAATTTTCATCCCATCTTTCTTCGTTATCGCATGCAGGGTCGAACACGCTTCTTGACGACTATCAACCGAGTAGCTCCGAGAAAGTTCCTGTAGTTTGGTAGGCTTGTCCCGCGAAAAATGACCGATGCAAGGATTGAAAGGGTGCATGTTGCTTCAAGAAAAGACTGCCAGCACTATGATCGTTTCTTGCGCTAGCATGGCATCATGCAAATTCTCAGGGGATCAGAGGTGTTGTGGTGTTGTGGCGAATGATAACATCTGAGAAGGTGGAAGAGAGAGATCATCTCTTTGATACTCAAATACAGTATGGTGTGTAGCCTCATGGGCGATGCGGAGGTGGATCCATCGCGGATGGGTGTGCGTGAGGCTCTTGATTCACAAGGTCTGAAGGTCCGAGGGAGAAGCTCCCGGGAGAGCCTCCTTGTTTGACTGAAATTCAAACAATCGCATTCTTTTCGGCGTTGAAGAGCTCCACACCTGAGTCAGATCGCAGCGAATACTGGCATGTTGGGGATCCGTATTCGAATGCAGTTGCCCTTTTGAACCTGCTCCATCGTTCATCATGTAGTCACAGTGTATATTGTTATGGCAATTTGACGTGGCCAAGCGGTGTTGTGACAGAGATAGAGAATGCTGAAGCAATCGAAGATCTGACGTCGTGGTCGTCCCTGCTTTCGCAAAGATCCGCATGCTATATTCCCTCAAAAGGCAAGGGCATACGATGAGGCTCAACAAAGACCCGCTTTATCGTCACCTTGTTTTGAGAAGTTTCTCGGTCCCACTGTCGAATTCGCCATTCTGCCAATGAATTTTGTAGGGGCCTGCCCGGCGGCGAGCATCACACACTGGTCATTGCTTGATAGTAGGACCTCGCTCCCAAGGGTCATCAGCACGAAGATTCTGATATATTAAAGGCAAACACCTGCCGACACTTTCCCACTTCTGAATTCTTGCTTCAATTGTTTTTGTCCCTTCAGGATCTTCGAGTCCTTTTGACTCTTTTGGACCACATACGACACATATACTGGACTTTTACCAAAAATGAGTCGCAATCTTTCTTTTCAACAAAATCAATCTGGAGATGAGCAGCAGCCGGAGCGACCGAATATGCAAAATCAGCGTACTGCAAGTACGATGAGATCCAGGACTAACAAGCAGAAGCGACCGGATATGCGAAATCAACACACCATGAGCACATTAAGACCCAGGATGAGCCGCATGGCTACACAAATGAGCAAAATGGCTACCAACGCTACCGGAGGAACTGCAGAACAAGGTGGTTACTCACTGGCTGGTTCACAAACCGGAGGAAACCGTGGTGGACCCAACAGAGACACGTATGTCGCAGAAGGATATCGTAATCTCAATCCACAATACGAAAAGAAGCAGAATGAACCGACCTTCAGCTTGGGCTCCAACCTACCGCGTACAGTACGTGGTTGGCAAGGAAAGAAGAAGAACGAAGGACCAAACTCTTCTGGAACAGCGCCTGGTATAAAACCTGGCGAGAAGGGGGAGGGAGAAGCCGCTCCTCAGCTTCAAGACGCCGATGAACGCAAANAACATCGTGGTGGTGAGAAGCAGAATCCTGAACCTTCTGATGAGCAGAGGCACCAAAACCATGGGTCTACTCAGAGCAACCAGTCGGGAGGCATGATGATGCACGAAGCTAGTGCTCAGGCAGGTGACGGCGAAAACACAGGAGTCATTGGTGATGAAGCGGTCTACTCTCCTGGCAATGACAGTGACGACACGACACTTGCACCCGAGGATGAGGATGTAATTGGCGAGCCTGCGCCTTTCAACTCATGGGCAATTGTTCGCGCCAAGTTTCAAGATGCTCTTGGTGAATGGTTGGGAGTGAGTCTTGTCATCCTTGAAGCCTCTATATTTGTACTGACCCTAATCGCAGNNACTACCATTTTCGTCGCCATTGGCGTCAGCAGCAATCTTACCGTGGCAACTGGAGAATCACAACACCCAGGCATCTACCAAAACCTGTATTGGGGTTGGGGATTGGCTGTCATGTTGGGCATTTACATCTCGGGTGGAAGCTCAGGTGCACATCTCAACCCGGCTGTTTCCATCCCCCTTTGGATCTACGTAAGTGATGTTTCGCCCACATTCTAGCAACTCGTCTAACAGGAATAGCGCGGATTCCCTGCCCGTAAACTTCCAGTCTTTATCATCTTCCAAATTTTGGGCGCCTTTACTGGCGGCCTCATCGCCATAGCCATCTATCGAGACGCCATCCTCTACAACGATGGTGGACTCATCGCCTCATCGACTGGCACGCAGATATATACACAACCCAAAGAGTGGGTGCAACCTGCGACAGCCTTCTTCACCGAATTTCTTGGTACCGCAATACTCACTTGCTCCATCCTAGCACTCGGTGATGACTCAAACTCACCTCCCGGTGCCGGTATGCACGCCTTTATCATCGGTCTCCTCGTCATCGCTCTCATCATGTCCCTCGGCTCCAACACGGGCGGTTGCTTCAACCCCGTACGAGACTTTGGCCCTCGCCTCGCCGCAATGGCCATGGGTTACGGCACCGAAGTCTTTACCGCCTACCACAACTGGTGGATCTGGGGTGCCTGGGGCGCTACACTATCTGGCGGTATCGCTGGCGGTGTTCTCTACGATACCTGCATCTTCAAGGGTGGTGAAAGTCCCGTCAACTACACACCCAAGAAATGGCAGGGCAAAGCCAACGAAGGCAAACTAGACTTTTTGCAAATGTTCCGCCAGCACACTCAAGCTCGTGACCTTGAGACAGCCATGGAAAAGGGAGAAGTGGAAAATGGAGGTTCCTAGAACAGAGACTTTGGAATAACAGTCTCTGGAGTGGAAGAAGCTGAAGATTAAGATTGGGTTGAAATATACCTTGATCTTTCTTGTCGCTTCATACCTTCCACTTCTCACTTCGGAGGATGTGTTATGATGATGTCTTTTTCTTTTTTTCTTTTGGCTGAAACGAGAAACATGACCTGCTACCAGCATTTTGCGAGGAGTTATTTCTTCTTTTTCTATTCATATTTCTGTTCATGGAGTTTGTTTTGAGGCCCAGAGAAGACATAGACATAGGGTCATAGACTTTAGATCATAGACATTAGATTTCTTTTTCTTTCTCCCTGTTCTCCTTCCTATGTGTTATCGACATTCTCAGCTTTTCTGCAACTTCTGATTCCTTATCTTTGCAGTCACAAAACCATGCAATTCAAAGAGTCACACTTGGAGAGATGAACACCTTTCGCTGCTTTCTTATCAAGCACGTACATTTTTGGCACATGCCGTGACGACTCGGGATGTAGGTATTATCTTGATAGACCGATGTCACTTTGATGGCTAGAGGGTTCCTTGGAAAGAGAGGACAGAATGTACTTTTTGATTGTCATTTGCATAGATGGAGGGAGAGGGGAGAGGAAGGCAAAAAATCACCACTCTATGGTAGTGTGGCCAACTCGGCATCGATGACCTCCTTGATCTTCTCTGGTAGGGGTTCCTTGAGCTCAGACACTGTNTGCAATCACGTCAGTCGGACATTCGCAAAAGGGAAGGTGGAGAAACAGAATAGCAACTTACGAGTTTTGCGCAGACGGGCAGTCTGCTCCTCTACTGTCGCGTCATTGGCATCAATCTTGGAAGCAGCGACCAAGCACTTCAATGCAGGAAGGTACTTTTCCCTGCGAACAAAGACCTCGAAGCCGGCTTGTTGGGACTTGATGTTCAGGGGNCTTTGCTCGAGCAGAGGGGACAAGTACTTCATGGCCTCGGCGAGCGGATCCTTGGTCTTGAGCAATTCCTCGCCTTGCGGGTCTGTGTCTTCCTTCTTGACCACCTCTTCCGAAGTAGCGGTTGCTTTTGCGGCCGCGGCGGCCTTCTTGTCTGCTTCAGCCTTTTCCTTTTCCTTGCGTGCCTTCTTTTCTGCCTTTTTCTTGTCTGCGTCGCTGAGGTCGCCGTTTGCGGAGCCGTAGTTGGGGTCGTCGAAGAGCTTGACGTAGAGGTCGATGGCCGAGTATGCGGCTCTCGAGTAGAAGGGGTGTTGACGCAAATGATCCTCCCAGCGAATCATATCCACGTAAGCGCGAATCATGCCCTTGCGCAGAGAGAAACTGTGGAAGTCGAATTGATCCTCGTACCACACGTCAAAGATGTCGTGGATGGACTTGAAGCGCTTGAGCGCCAGACCCAGCTTGTTTTGGCGTTTAAAGGCCTCACCGTCTTCAAAGAGGTACCACATGCATTGCATGTCGAGCAAATCACCGAGCGGGCCGCCGTTGGCTTCCTTGCGGGTGAAGAGGCCCATGGTCTCAATGGCAGTCTCGTTTTGGTTGTTTCGTAATTGGTATTTTGCGCATTTTGTGTTGATGTAGCGGTCGGCGCGGTCCATCTCGCGGGCTTCGTTCATCTGCTTGGCTGCGGCTTCAAGATCGCCAGAGTGTTTTGTGATTCTGGCTTTTGTGAGGTGGAAGGTGTAGTCTTGGGGGTTGGTGTTGAGNGAGATGGTCTTTTCAATGTATTCGAAGGCCTTTTCGAGGTTGCGGCAGAGGTGGTAGTCATAGTGTTGTGCGAGGAAGTAGTTGACGGCGAGATTCCAGTTCTTGCCGTTCTCCTCGTTGTCTTGAGAAGCGTAGCCGAGGACGAGTTGTTCAATGGTCTGTTTCTTGGCCTCGTCGTTGTAGAGGGCCTTGACGTTGGCAAAGGTCGAAGGGACACCCTTGCGGAAGACTCTTGTGAGATAGACGTCGGCGGCCTCACGGAAAGCGTCTCCTTGAAGGAAGTCGAGCGGCACACGTCTAGGCGCATCGATTCTCTCGCTCTTCTCGGCAAATGATTTGTAAAGGTCCAGCAATTGGGTGTGTGCGGTCGGGTCGTTTCTGTCCAGGCCGAGACACTTCTCCAAGCCGTCGTAGTAGGCGCGTCTCTCAGCATTCCTCTCGAGCAGGTTGCGGTATGCCTTCTCAGCCTCCTCTTTACGATCCAGCTTCAACAAGTACTCGGCTCTGAGTTCCATAACGGCGGTTCTATCGGGGTTGGACTTGTAGATGGCCTTGAGGCCTTGGAGAGCGCGTTCGTAGTCGCCCGACTCGGCGATGATGGTGTTCTTGTACAGGACGGCTTCGTGGTGCTCAAGATCGGTTGCAGGTGGGGGCACCTTGAGGGTTTCTTCGTACATGGTCAAGACCTTTTCGGCGGCCTGGTAATCACCGGCCATGTGGTGGGCAATGGCCATTGCAGTCCAGTTGGCGCGAACACCCGAAGAGGCCGTCAGCATGGTCCTGCGACTGTCGACAAGACCCTTCCAGTCGCGAGTCTGGGCCTGAAGAAGNGAAAGGTCGCGCTGGATCTGGCGCGAGTCGGGATCGAGACGCAGGGCGAACTTGTAGGCCTTGATTGCCTCATCGTAGTTCTTGACGGAGCGGTACAACAATCCGTAGACGTGCCAGCAGACATTGGACTTCATGGCGTTCTTGAGAGCGAGCTTGGCCAGATCAAAGGCCTCGTCCGTCTTGCCTTGGGAGTTGAGGATCAAGGCCTTCATGGCCTGCGTGTCGCCATGGTTGGGCACCTTCTTCAAGACTTGGTCGGCAGTCTTAATTCCTNNGAGCACTGTGTTAGCCAGCGTCTGTCTCGTTGGAGAAAGATGCGCACCCCTCTTGTACTGCTTGGACTCGTAGAGCTGAACAACCTGCTTGAACAGGGACTGTTCCTTGGAAGACAGCGGTACGGACATGGTCTCTTGTCTGCTCGTGTGAGGTCGGAAGAGCTCGCTGTGTCGAGACAGCCCACTGACACTGTCCCACCAAGCGCACTTCGTCACTCGCAACAAGTTTACCCGATGGAGTTGCCGATAACGGCTGCGGACTGTGACTCCGACGAAACTGCCATCCCTTGTCCACTTCTGACTCAACGTCCTTGCTGACATTCAGGAACCTCTCGTCTTGAACTTGATATGTTGTCCTTCTCAGATTTCCATCGCGTATATGCTATCGTTGAAGTAGGATTGCTGTCTTCTGTAGGCTATCCTGACTAAGTAGAAGAACCATGTGCGAGCGTCGATGATATGTAGAGCGATCAGTGAATTTCAGCAGTAGGTGCAGAGAGTAAGTGCTACCCTCCACCACGAGCAAAAGAAACACCGGATCGCGGCGGAAGAAACTTGCATTTCGAAGGCAGTTTAATTTGGTTATTTTTCTGTCTTTCTTTTGGGACGGCTGCGCTTTTTTCTTCTTTTTCTTCTTTTTCTTCTTTTTCTTCTTTTTCTTCTTTTTCTTCTTTTTCTTCTTTTTCTTCTTTTTCTTCTTTTCCTTCTGTCTTTCTGATTCCCATGGTGGGAATTGAACCCGGGACCTTACGCTGCGCATGTGACTTTTGCCGGATTGGCACCAACCAAGTCGGCTGTCGCGTCCGATTCACCACTTGGTTGGCGAGAGGGCACTGAACAACATGGTCTATATATGCTGCATTTGTTGCTGTGATCATGCGGCGAAGTGATGATTCGGGAGCACGTATTCTTCTTTGAATAGCGTTCCATCAATATCACATATGTTTCAGCGCGCCATATGTTTCCTGCCTTTGTTTCCACTCCTTCCTTGAGCAGTGCCCGCGTATCTGTCTCGATGGCTAACAGTGATTAGGCAGACACCACGGCAAGACTGCGCGTAGGGGTACTGTATACACCACGACGTAGCGGTCATCAAGTGGGAGAAACTCGCTCATGACCCAGCAGTGGATATCGCACCAACACCTTTGACCTCACCACCACATCCTCCATTATTGCCCACTCCACGTCCTCACATGGCTTCCCGGATGCTCGCACCATCAACTGTTCGCACGATTCTCTGATGAGGTCGCTATTATATCTCCAAAAGTTCAGCTTCCACACATCCGAAACAACGTCATCCTTGGGGGCTAAACCCTTCATCAACCACCTAGCAGTATTTCCGGCCCCATCTCGACTTTCTTTGACCAACCCACCTTCGCAGTGTACTGTTCTACCCTTCTTCATCCACCGATGATCGATTCCCCGGCATACTTATACTGGATGACCCCCAGGGGTAACGCATTGCGCCGCAGCAACGACACCCTGAGCCATCCAAGTCTTGCCTTCTACATCGAGATCTGAACAGGAAGAACACTAATGCGCTGGAAGAGCTCATACCAGTAACCCCCGCCGCACTCGGCTCTCGTGCTCTTCTGCACCGTCGTTCATCGTTCTCGACTGCCGTCCTCCTTGACGCCCTGTCCAGTGTTGCGACCAGATTTTGCCAGCTTCTCTTCGTGTCATACCCTGCCCTACGATCACGCGCATCTTTTTCCCTCCGAAGCCGTAGAGCCGGCTCTGTGTCCACAGGAAACAGGGGCTCAACGATGGTCAAGAGAAACCGTCGAGGTGAGGATGTCAGACTCGGTATTTCCCAGACGGCTCGGGAGTCACCGGCATGGAGAGAGGATTGCCATGTACAAGAGTCATTTGTTGTCTTGGGCACACGCTACCTCGAAGAGAGCATATGCCTGCATGAGTCATCTCTCCTGTGGCTGGCTACATCGGAGCTTTGATCAACAATAAGCTCGATATTCTACGGTCATCAGATTGTCCAGAGCCATGGCTCACTACGAACGGTAAATAGAAAGAGAGGCATGAGGTGGTTGACTGTCCGTTGATCTATGTGTTTGTATGGACTACTTTCTGCCTATAGAAAAGCAGACAGATCATGGCTTGATATCGATACTGATAAACAACGATGCTATTCAGGTTCATCGTCAAGCTGAGCGAACACATCAATTTCTGGCCTCGAGTAATATGTTCCGATCTGTCCCCCTTTTCTACAACCATTGCTGGTATGTACTGTCCTCCTCTCACAGTACTTAGGCAGTCTTTTGTCGTGCGAGCGAACCTTGATAGATCTGCAGAATACTGTCCTGCAAGCACCGGCTCTTACGACTGTTTGCTCCAGCAGATTTCTTTATCGAGGCGTGTTAATGAGAACCTCGAAGAGCCTGGCCATGGTCGAGGTCCTGTTGAGCAATGTGGTTGTTGATAGTTTGTCGCGCGAGGTATGGCAGCCACGGACGTGAAGCGAAGTGTAACCATATGACAATGTATGTCGTGCCGAGTAAGAATCTAGCAGTGGAAGAGCGATCCTCCCTCCAAGCTCGTCCTTCTACACAGATCAACCAATGTCCTCCAGCGTCTTGTTCTTGGGATAGTCCCCTGACTGTCTTGTTCACTGAACGTATCTCTTCATTTTGTGTGGTTTTGTCGCTATGCGAATATTGGCAGGGTCCTGGATGTGCGACTCAAACACCTTCAACGAGGCGTGTTGAGTCCGATCGCGGAGTTTCTTGAGGTCGAGCCATTGACAGTTTCTTCGCCATTTCGTGCCAGACGACGCGCGAGGGAGGCGATGGAAGATCGTAGTGTGGTGTTCTGCCATTCGAGGTATACGTGACATCGCTGGCAGCTGGCGATGCGCCGGCTTCACTCGCCGAGTAGGGAAAGAGCGACTGTAACTGTTCCAATTTGTTCTGCAGAATGTCTCTCTGAACCAAGTCGAAGGTCGGCAGAGAAAACAAGAAGCTGATCAGGAAGGTGAAATCGTCGACTCGACCGGCTGTTTCCTGGACTGTAGTCGCGGGAACGGTGATGATAACATTAGCGATCGTGTCTGTCAGCTCGAACAGTTTCTGTTGAATGCCCGAGCCATGGATCTCGATAGCTTGACGGGAAAATCGCGTCATTAGTGCTCGCAACTGTATCGACAATCGCACTGGGAAAGACAATGACAAAGATTCTTTCGACGAAACCGAGCTTAGCAAGCATTTCGACATGGCCATCTGCCATACCAACATTCTCAGCCAGTGTTTGGTGACAATCAAATCCGCCTGTTGCATATCTGTGAGGGGTGTCACACCGACGTGAGCTTCGTTTGCGACTGGCTCTTCGTCAATCTCTTTGTGTTTGCTGTCAATCCATTCTCGTGTCACGGTTGTGGTGCCGAACCAGTTGGCAAGAAATCCTTCATCGATGAGACGGAAGAGTCGGATGATCTGCGAGAAGCCTTCGTGTACGCCAGGAGGTATCGATGGATCGAACTCAGGAAGATCGGGCAAAGGCGGCAAGACTACAGGTCGATAATTGGATATGGCCAGATATCTTTCATGAATGAAGACTTCCCAGTATAATCTCTGTCTGCGCGCTCGCTCACTCGAGTTGAGTTTCTCCATGACTTCCGGGTGGCCGATTTGTAGCATTTGAATCATGGTGATGGATTCGCGAACGTAGTAGAACGACATGTCCATGTTGGCGAGACACATTAGAGAAATGTGAGTAAATTGGCTGATCATGACCCTTCGAACAGACATTTTCTCGTCGAATGCAATAGCTGCTCTGGCCTTGATGAGTTCCTCGAGCCAATATCTCACTTGCGACTGAGAGTCAATCGAGGTGTCCGGGCTTCTATTGGTCAAGGCGATTGTGATGGCTGTGTAAGCATATACAAAGGTTTTCGCTTCTGCACTTTGGTCCATCTCNCTGATTGACGCCAGGACATCGTCGACGGTCATGATAGGGTTGACAGGATAGACGGAGACGTCATAATCGTCCAAGAAACTAGTAAAGAATGAGGTATCATGGTTGATCACAGAGGGTGATGGCTGAGCTGGACTCGAGTCTGGGTTTTCGGTGCGTCCATTGGTAGTTTCTTTGTACTGTGCGATGAGTTTTCCACGTTTGAGAGTCTTTGTTCTTGGTTTGGGCGCGGAATAGACGCAGCGAAGGTTGAGATGACTGCATTGTTGGCATTTTGCTTGACCGTTGCATTTGACCTTTCTGAGTTTACAAGCATCGCAGGCCTGATTCGTCCGACGAGTGGGTGGCAATGAAAAAGACGTATTATCCATTTCGGTATGCATAGCAATGTGGAGTGAGAGAGGAACGACAGGAAGGTCACCCCAGTTTTTGCGGAGACCGGAGGGACGCGCACCAGCCAGCTCGCGCATTGACCTCGGCCCGCTAGTTCAACGCTCTTTCAGAACGACTCTCACCGACCAGTCATCATCTTCAACGTCCAGGACTACATAATTGTCATGCTATAGGTGCTTGGCTGAACAGTTGGCTCTGCGTCCTTGGCCTCATAGACAGTTCCGAAGGCCTTGTCATGGATGCAAGCGCGCACTTAACATTGGTCTGCGTCCTACTGCATGTTGGCGCCTGGGGCAGCCAGGTACTTCTGCTATGCAAGTGTTCGGATTCTTGTAATCCAATCGTCTTCATACTTCAAATTCTTGTGTTCAAGTATGACTGACATGCAGGATCTGAAAAGGACTTCGGCCCTCACGTCTATGCTGTACAGACTTCGAGACTGGCTCGCTGGACATGAGGCTAGATGTATAACCCCTCAGCCCCTCCGGATCAGAAGGCCCAGGCAGGCACCGCAAGAGATGCCACCTGGTCAGTATATACGTCTTTTCGAACCAGGAACTTCGGCGTTTACGAGTCTTCAGACATTGTACCAATTGCATGGCATTCGGTGAACTATGAGTTGTGACCACCCCGGACATCCATTTCGCTTGCCAACCTTCAGCGTCAGCACCAACTTCTCAGCACTCTACGCTACCGAACCTCGGCGACCTTATCGATTTGCGAGTACCCTCTGATGTGTCAGATTTCCGGAAAGCTGCTTATCCCTTACCTGTATCATGACCTTTGCTTGCATGGGCTGACACTTGACACGGGCGTACAATACGGCAAGAACCCGTTAGTCGAGCTGGCAGTGCGTTTGTTGCTCACTTGATCCTCAACCACGATCGATGGTATCACAGAAACTTCTAGGATGGATAATGCAACCACTCATGCGACAACAACCAACCGCATCATAGCGAAAGTCTAGCGCCAGCTTGCAACAGCCGTGATACATTCAGTTATATGCTAATTTACAGTCTTTGGCAACTTTTATCTTGTCCAAATAAAGCAGTGTGATTAGGTAAGCTCATGCCGGTGTCTTCCTGTAAGACGGAAGCCTGCGAAAAAAGCGTCATGCCTCAGCTGGGGATGCACAACTGTAGAAGCATTGTATCCATGGTAGAATGTGCTGTAGCAAGCGTCTCATCCTGCAGGTCCCCGACGGATCGGCGAGCAGAAGAAACTAGTCCTTTCCGGGGCAGTGTTGTCGTTGTATTGTACTGTCGACCCGGTTCTTAAAAAGAGTTGTTGTTTGCTTCCCTTCCACCTCCCCTTCCACCTTTGTATCTTGTCATCTTCTTCATCCATGCCCAACAAAATGTCTGTCAATGTGTCTTCGGACACAGAAAGACAGTCTAGCCATGAGCTCTACATGTTCAATGATATTGTCCACTCTCTATCATGGTCGAACATCACACTGACCGTGGAGGACCGCTTGACTAAGGAACCCAAGGACTTGGTCAGCAATGTTGGTGGCCATGTCAAGGCTGGTAAGTCTTTGGCTACCTTTCTCCAGGAGATGGTTTCACTGACACTCTATCAAGGGGAGGTTTTGGCACTCATGGGCCCTTCCGGCAGTGGAAAGACGACTCTCCTGAACATCCTTGCTAGTCGTACCTCTGGAACTAACGGAACTGTGGCCGTCAATGACGCTCGCGTATCAGCTCCGGTCTACAAGAAGCTCACGTCTTTTGTTGAGCAAGAGGATGCACTTGTGGGTTCCCTGACTGTCCGAGAGACTATGAACTTTGCAGCTCGTCTTGCCCTCCNNCCAGGTATGCTTAGCATCTCTTTATCGTCAACACGTATCACTGACACAGCAAGATCTGTTTTGAAAAACGAAAAGGGTAGCAGAGTCCAGAGCTTGATCGACAGCTTTGGTCTCAAGAAGCAAGCTGATACTCTGATCGGCACACCCATCCGCAAGGGCATCTCAGGAGGCCAGAAGAGACGTGTCAGCGTCGCGAGCCAACTGATTACCGCACCCAAAATCCTGTTCTGCGACGAACCCACCAGCGGACTCGACTCTGTGGCCAGCTTCGAGGTCATCTCCCTGCTGAAGAAGTATGCTCAGCAGCACCAGCTCATCGTTGTAGCCAGTATCCACCAACCATCAGCCGCCACATTTAAGCTCTTCGACAAGCTGCTACTACTATCTCAGGGTCAGACCTGTTACTTCGGCCCTGTTCCAGGTGTTGCACCCTACTTTGCCAGCCTCGGCATGCCGGTTCCAGATCTCATGAATCCCTCGGAGCACATTCTCGACCTAACAAACACCGACTTCGACTCAGAAGATGACGAGGAAAACACTGCCACCCATCGTCTTCTCACTATCCAATCTGCATGGAAGGCGCATGGCAATAATCAGAACAGAGTTTCTTTTAGACTCGAGAAGAGCGAGACTTTGATAGGCTCTCGAGGACCTGGTCTGGCTCATGATCTAGGCATACCTATCACTCTGCTGCACCGTCTCTTCCTCAAATCCTATCGCGACATTGTCACCTACTGGATTCGTGTCGCCATGTACATGGGTCTTGCAATCATGATGGGCACTGTCTGGCTCCGGCTCAGTACCATCCAAAAAGACATTCAGTCTTTCGTCAATGCACTCTTCTTCGGTAGTGCCTTCCTGAGCTTTATGGCTGTCGCTTATGTGCCTGCCTTCCTCGAGGACAGAGCCATTTTCGTCAAAGAGCGTGCCAACGGCCTGTACGGACCTTTATCATTCGTCGTGTCCAACTTCCTCATCGGCCTGCCCTTCCTCTTCCTCATATCCATCCTCTTCGCTGCCGTCACCTACTGGCTCATCAACTTCCGTCCTGACGCCACTGCCTTCTTCGTCCACGTCATGTGGCTCTTCCTGGACTTGGTCGCGGCTGAGAGCCTGGTTGTCCTCGTCTCATCTCTCTTCCCCAACTTCATCATTGCTCTCGCCCTCGTGGCGTTCGCCAATGGCCTCTGGATGTCTGTTGGCGGGTTCCTCGTGCCTACTGGAAGCCTCAATGTCTTTTGGCGTTATGTTTTCCACTACATCGACTACCAGGCCTATGTCTTCCGCGGCATGATGGTCAATGAGTTTGACGGCCGCATTTATCTTTGTGCTGGCAACGTTGTTACTGGATGTTCTTGTGCCTACGAGAGTGAACTTTCGGGTCAGTGCAAGATCGATGGCCGGGCTGTGCTGCAATACTACGATTATCCCACTGGCCAGTTGGGCAAGACTGTCGGCATCATGGTTGGCATCATTGCTGTCTATCGTGTGCTTGGATACCTGGTCTTGCGCTTCAGAAAGTAGTATTGGCTTATGCAGTGTTGTGAGACAGCACGTTAATGTTTCGATCTTGATTGGCGAGTTGGCGAGCTCAAAGATAGGCTCACGTTTCGGAAGAGGGTTTTCTCGATAGGGATCCCATAGGCTGCAACAACAAAGCGACATCGTTTCCAAATGACTTCAAAAGTGTATGTACAGAGATGGGAGTGCTTTTGAGCACTGTAAGAAGCCATAGAATTCATATGGTCTTGTTCCAACCCAGGGGTCTGTAACTCAAGTGGCTAAGATATGCTCTGAAGGCAGCTCTGTTCGCTGGAGACCGAAGGCTTCGGCACAAACTTATGCCTTGATGGGATCCAGATACACTTCTGACTTCATGACCTTCGTCGGTCGGTAAGAGCAAGCTGCCTTGAGGATGGAGTGCTGTGCATTGATAGATTTGCAATTCGTGATTCGGATTGCGCTACGACAGTTGGTAGAATAAGGGGCAGGGCACGTTCTGGCCCCAATATTGGGCGTGCCATATACCTTTTCGTTCTCCCGTTCTTACTTTCTCGCTCGGTTTCTCAATTACGCTTTGGTCTTTAAACAGACGATGAATAGGGCTAGCTTGTAATCTAGTAGGCGTACAGTAATTGATCATTGTCTAACACATTTCATGGGTGCCTTTCCATCCTCCATGTTGTTAGGCTAAGCCTCGTAGCGACACTTCTTGGTTGTCTCTCGCTGTGCTTTTGCAGCTCAAGTCTCGCCTCTCAAACTCTCCTCAGCAATTGCGATGAGCAGCGCACTTCCGCGTCCATCCCTCAAAGCCTCATAGATTACACTGATCCTGCTGCCGATACTTTTGCGCGGCTCATTCACTTTGACACCGGGAGGAAGCGGCTGAGTAGGGTGCTCGATCAAGCCGCGATGCAGTTTTATGTCCAGATCGACACGAACCAAGTTGTACATACGCTTCGCTGAGCTTCCTAGATAATTCGGAGTGATTGGGAGATGAGTGTCGAACAGACGCTGCCTGTCATGTTCATATTGGGCTTGCATCTGGGTTTATAATTCGGACGTGAAACTCATCAGTTCGGCGGAAGTAATAAGTGCAGCAGGTGAGGCGTGNCCGAACGCGTTGTTGACATCCAGAATAACGGCATCGGCAGTGGTCTTGCATCTTTGGTCGAGGTCAGTGGTGTTGGTAGTAGACCACACGGTTCCTATACGTCTGTTGATTGCGGTTCTGAGTGTGTCTCGCAACCCTTCGGGCACGTAGAAATTGCTGCGATTCCAAACCATATTCTCAATGTTTGCCTCAATGGATGTGAGAAACTCGACCTGCAGAACACGTAGGTCCAGTGCCTGGCAGAGCACAAACAAATGAGCAGCCACCATCATGTAAAGCGTATCGAGTGCTTGCAATGTGTAGCTTGAAGATCTGAGAGCCAAACTATTGATGGCCTGGTTATGCATTTCGGCTGATTGGACGTGGTTTCCAACAGGATTGGCAAGGAAACCTAGCTCCGATTGATAAGAAGCCATATTGATATCAATTCCCTTGCACGTGAACGACAATGAGGGATCGTCTGCACACAAGTTTGCTGGCAATCCACCATTGAGCATGGGGTTGATGATCTCAGTCGCCTGAGAGAAGAGCATCTTGCCCAATCGCTCTAAGCAGAGACGCGTCTTGTCCATGGCAGAAGTCACTACAGCTGCTTGAAAATTGCCCCCATGTAGGACATGGTCTGACTCAACGTCCATCAAAAGGTTGTCTGTAGTGGAATTAAGCTCTTCGTGGATCTGAGAGATGGCGAGCCTAAGATCTTCGATCTGAGGTCCAATTCACTGGGATGCAGTCCTCAAGGGATAACGATCCTGGTAGAGGCCAGTCATTTTTGTGTCCTTGGGTAATTCAACACACTTTGCTAGTTTGGAACCTTGGAGAAAGGCGAGAATGTTTGCAGCTGATTCGATCTGACCACGATGAGGACGCATGTTGGTAATCTGAGGCCAGAAGGGTTCTGCGGAACCTTGCATTGCCTCCGCACTCATTGCAGTCAGAATCTGCGACAGGACTGCAACATCTCGGGATTGTTGTAAGGCAAGAGATGCTGTCGCGGCAGAGAATGCTGTTCCATTCAAAAGACCCAATCCTTCCTTAGGCTGAAAAACGACAGGCTCAATGCCAGCGTCTTTCAATGCCGCTGCCGCTGATGAAATATTGCCATTGGCGAGCCTGACAGAGATGTCGGGAGAGCCCTCGATGGCTCCAGCAATGTATGATAGAGGGCTCAGGTCTCCACTGGCCGAGATGCTGCCCCTGAGCGGTACCACCGGGACGATGTTCTTGTTAAGGAGGTGAAGAATGGCTTTCGCTACTGACATGCCCACACCAGAGTGTCCTCTGATGATCGAATTGCATCTGATGAGCATGCTCGCTCTCACCCAGCTTGGTGGCATAGAATTGGTGCTGAAGTCTATGTCAATGTCTCGGGATCTGAAAGGATCACTCGCTGCCGATACAACTTGGGGACGGCCAATATCGTGGCTCGTGAGTATACCAGAGTTCTGATGCTGAATCAGTGCTCTCTGAAGGTCTTCCAAGTTGTCGGTTCTTGTCGTTGCGCTTCCTCCGAATCCGGTAGAGACACCNTGTCAGCCATGGTTAGAATTTGCTGGGCAGGAATACAGGCGAATGTATGTCTCACCGTAAACAAGATGGCCCAAGTCAAGGTGGGTTCTCAGCACACGAACGCTGCCATCTATACGTTTGCGAGTGTCATCGTCGGTCAACAGTTGTGCATATATGCCATATNNCTGGAAGACATAGTCAGACGGATGTGGTCTAGAAAAAGAGTGATAAATTGAGACTGACTTGGCAACAGCAACGACAGTGGCTATATCCAGGGAGCTTCCATCAATGATGCAGTCCCCATCCTCAAGCAACTTCTGGATCGTGCGCCAGGCGTACAGACTTGAATTAATTAGGGGACGTGGTTCCATAGAGGCACTTGGTGCTGATTCTCCCGTAATCTGTGGGTAGGGCGACAACTTTGAGAACAAGAAGAAGTTATGTGGTTGCCTGCAAGAGAGTATGTTATGTGGATACTTGGCAGGCGCAAGTTGTTGTTTGCTGCACGTGTCGTTAGCCGCATTTCGATGTTTAAGAGCCTTCCTGTTCTATGCGTACGACCTGATCCTCACTGAACTCGATGGAGGGGATAATGGACAAGAGGACCACACATTCAATCTCTCGGACCTGCATGAACCAAATCTGGGAAGTTCGTTGATGCTCGAGAGCTTTTTGTTTGAGGAAGGAGCAACTGATCTGTTGCTATAGAGATGACGCTTGTAGGCAGCACGTGGCATTAGTCCTTAAGCCTTACAATCGACCTCAAGATCTGCTACAATTGACGTTGGAAACATGCAGAGTTGTTTGGTCGTGTGTTTGACATCGCATTGTCGGCCATAACTTCCAGCAAGACATTGTATCAGATATGGCACTCAAAGGTCAGGTATCCCTCCAAGATATCGAGACAGCTGAGTCAAACCTCAAATCTTACGGTCTTGGTCCTGAAAGCTGTTACATTGAAATTGATCGTATGTCACGCGACTGTGTATCTTGTGTTGGTATATGCAACCACCCGTGACTTAGTTGAGTTTGTGGTACAGAGCGGTCTAAGCTAAGGCATACGTATCCACTCATGATCTTCCTTGTTGTACCTTGTCACATGTATGAACCTGGGCAGTCAACATACAAGGAAAGAGACAGATTCGTACGTCTGCTCGAAGGAGGGTGCAACGCACGGACTCATCGCGGACTTGGGAGCGCAGCGAACGACCTCAAGAACACGACCACTCTTGACGAGACCAACGTCAATACTTGGATCTCGAGTGACACATTCTATCTGGCTTTGATCAAGAAGCACAGGATAACCAAGACAACAGGTGTAAGTAATTTTTCACATATCAAACTCCCTGCAACTTGCATACCACCATCAGCAGACTTTTTCTGGGGAAGAAAAAAAGCGAAAAATCAACAGAGAAATATCAGAGAAGGTAGATCCGATTTGGCACTAAGTACTGAAGTAGCTCATTGGGAGGTTGAATTTCCATGTTCAAATTCTTGATCTGCTTCAATCTCGTTTCCCGCTTCGAGATCGCGGCGAGAGCCAACCAGTTTTGTGCCATTTACCGTACTGACTTTCGATATTTACACAGGTCAAGAAGACATCGGACTTGAATTCAAAGAACCTGGAAGTAAAGCACAAGAGGCCTCCATCATGCCTCCGCAACCTGTACAGCGAAACTACTTCGTCACGCCCTGGCGCAGCCATGCCGACCTTCTAAATGTCCGCCATGGCCTCTACAGCCCTTCAACACCAGCAGAGCAAAGCCACGCCATCGCCACAGTAGCAGCATGGAAGCAAAGAGGCAACGTCNCCCATGCAGTCGAAAGTACAGCTCTTCTCATGGACGCCATGCTTCTCCACGCTCAATTCTCAACCTCCAGCGCACGTCAAGCCTCTACTGCCGCCGATCCTTCAGAATGGCCACTTCAAGGTGTTACTGATGGTACCGCTTCGTCTTTTGCCCTGAGAGCTGCCTACACCACCGCACTCTCCAGATTTGTGACTGGATTCGCGGATTTGGGACGCCATAGAAACGGACCTGGTCAGAGTATGTTTGATGTCGCCAGGTCTATTGGTTTGCCTCCGCATTTTGTCGAGCTCCGTCATGAAGTCGCACACGAAGACCTGCCTGGTCTCGCAAGACTTGTCCGCAGTGCTCGTGAAGCAGTCAACTGGCTTTGGGGTGTGTACTGGGCGAAACTGCCTCAAGACGCTTGGGAGGCCGAAGCTGGCGAAGAGGCTGCAGCTCAAGTCGATCTGGAGTCTTTGGCGGCAGTGAGGTTAGAGGCCACCGAATATCTCAAGAAGTTCAGGTCGCGCAGAGTCACAGCACTAAAGAGCAAAGCAAAAGCCAAGGATGCGGCCAGCTCGTTACTTGAAACACAACAGCATTGCCAGAACCTATGCTGCGGTGAAGATGAAGCAGCAAAGTGGACTCAAATAGCATCGGTCTTGATTGATGATGGCTTGATCGTGCCATCATTGAAACAGTATGTGTGGTCTAAGTGAAACTTTTGATTGTGCTTTGCTAATCTATCGTCACAGGNNACAAAAGGCCCTCTTGCTGACTCGGCGCTACAAGGCGCTTACTTGATCTGGGACGAATTCCTGATCATGCTTGCATCTGGATCTTCACTCTTCATCGAAGCCTTTTTCGAACGAGCCATCGCGCACAACGCAAAACTAATGACTACGGACGAGGACCAAGACAGAGCAGACCCAACCAAATGGGCCATCTACCGTTGGATCATGCACGTCCTAGACTCTGACGCCTGGCTCGAGATGCGTGGCGAAAGCCCTGTGCTTTTCGAGATCCTCGCACTGAGAGAGTGCATTTTACATCCCAACACACAATGGAGCCACGAACTAGCCGAGGAGATCCTCGAGGATGCCGAGATGGATGTTCGAACTACTTGGAAGAGTTTGGTGAAAGCTGGCGCCTTGCTGAGCGTCCACGACGCGGATTCCGAGGAGGATACAGGGAAGGAGACGAAGAGGACAGATGACGTGGAAATGGAAGATGTCCCTTCAGAGCAAGGCGGTTGGCGACGAGAGACGGGAGCGTGGGAGTGTGTGCCGATCGGTACCGTGGCAGAGTAAAATATGGCCAGAGAAGAGGAGTTCCGTCAGCAGATAAGCTGGCCGAAGAGATTCCTCAAGAAGGAGCCGCTTGTTCTGAAGACGAATTGTGTACAATCGTCCGTCCGAGGCCGTAGTTCTTGAGCCGCGCCATGGGCCAACATTGATAATCCATTTCAATACCTGTCAGGAAGCAAGACTTCCCTCAACAATCAGCCACCTCCAGCCTTGAGTGCTTCTTCCCTCTCTACTACTTCGGGCTTGAACTTGATGAGAAAAATAGTCTTGGAAGGCCAGAGCTCGTCGTTTTCTGCCCAATGTGCCGTCACTCCATCCGTCGAGAAACCAGCAGCATCGCATACACCCTCAATGATGCCACCGACAAAGGCGGCGCAGTTGAGCTGGCTCATCTCTTTGGGTATGCTGATGTATGTGTTGACAAGTGGGTCATTGTCCACAATCATGTAGTCGTTGTTGTTGCCAGTGCTGGCCTCGAGAGCATCGGCAGGGCGACCAAACAAGGAGCGCCATAGAGTTGTATGTATAAATTGCAGGAGGTCAAGCAAGCGGGTTGGGCGAGAGGCTGTACGGGGTGGCATGCGGAAGAGGAGGAGATCGAGCTGCTTGACACCAATGGGGTACGCCGATTGAGCCAACCTGGCCTCAAGGTCCGAGACCGAGGGTGCGCGAGCTTGGTGGTATGCGATCAAGGTGTTGAAGAGGTGGGCAAAGGATGCCAGGCTCAGCTCGGATGTGCGAGCACGGTTGAGATTGCGGTCGTAGATGGTCTTTCGATTACTGGCATAGCGCAGTGGTGTGTAGGCTGCTGGTGGAGGCAGCGCTGTGTAAGAGCTCGCTCTGGCAGCACCGGGCACTGCATTGATCTGCGTCTGCGCTTGCGTCTGGGTCTGCTGTGGCAGCGAATGTTGCTGTTGCGCGTGCTGCTGAGTAGCCATGTCGGCCAATATCGAGTACGAGGACGGTACAAGTATAAGCAACGATGTTATTAGCAGTCAGACGACCTCCGAGACGCACGTCGCTGGTCTCGACTTGTCCACGCCGTGCCTCGCGTGCCCTAAACAAAAGCAATCGATCCAATAAAATTGGAGATGTATTTATCGATAAATCGGGTGCTGCTCCAAATCAAACTATGAGCTGCTTGTAACGCTCTCTCACCAGCCAGCAGCGCTTCGTATTCCCAGATCGGTTAAATCCACAGGACTGCTTATACAGCGTGCTCTGGACATGCTAGCGAACATTTGTACTATATACCGACGCTGATGTGCGAAACTCAATCCAAACACTGGATATAAGCACATTTTCTGATACATGCGATTTAGCAGAGACCAGCAAGGAGTTGAGACATGTTTTTCCGTCAGAGATGGACAAGAATCGAGAGCACAAACGGTCTTTGACATTACGCACATGACTCTGATGATGCGTCTTGCGTTCGCTAGGGCCGACAGCCGCGTCTTGTAGCCCGCTTCCGGCGTCTTCACATGCCAAACTTGGCGTCCATCGTAGGCGTTTCCACGGCCAGAGTCAATCCATCGAAGATGCCGCATGCAGTTGTGATGCAGTCACTTGTCTCTCCTCCCATGTCCATCCCTTCGTGCTTCTCCGTTTTCCTTCGGCTCTCCATCCAACCGCCTCGCAGTATATCCAATTCTCCATCCCTCTCTTTCTGCGTACACCGGCCTGCACATGCTTCCGTCTTTCGGCAGTGGAGCTGGAACGTCATTCTGGCTAATATAGTACACTTTCACATGTCAGGCCTGCCAACGTCAGCCAACACGCCTAGTACTCGCTGAATCGCCCATCATTGTCTTATTTTCCTGTTTGTCGCTCCTCGTTCTTCCTTGTTCCCTTCTTTTATCTGGCTGCTGGACTCGTGTGTCCTTCGTTCCATCCACTCTGTGAATACGACCCAGTCACCATTCAAACGTCTTGCCAAGGATCCTTCCCGAACGAAAAGCAATCATGGGACGGCTGCAACCAACAGTCGTTGTCACTCCTCAGGCGAACAGACGTTCGGATAGAGCGAAAAGGGCAAAGGATACTGTCAACAAAGTAATTCCGGATATTCTCAAGTCGAGTCCGAGGGCCAGACATGGCATCCACAACGCTGTTTTGACGACCGATCCTAAACCGGAAAGCGGCACCGAAAAGTCATCGACATCAAACTTGACAATCAGACTCTGTAACACGGATTCTCTTACTGCAGCCCGTCGCCTAACTCACTCGTCTCGCCGGCAATCTGCAGCGGCTGCGTTGGCAGCCTCGAAGCAACCAACCAGGTCGACAAATGTATGCATTCTAAACATGGCCTCTCCTCTGCGCCCCGGTGGTGGATTTTTGGACGGTGCAACCAGTTCCGAAGAATTTCTTTGCATGCGTACCACCTTGTACGCTTCGCTCTGGGACGATTTCTATCGACTTCCCGAAATTGGTGGAATTGTGACTCCGGACGTTCTGGTGCACAGAGATAGTACTCCTGAAGCAGAAGACCTGCTAAAGCGGGAGCGTTTCTTTGTTGATATGATTAGCGCCGCCATGATTCGATTCCCCGAAACCAACAGCGCACGCATTGCTGAGAAGGAGGACGCTGAGGGCGGCTGTTCATGTGGTGTGAGCTACTGCGACCGTGACCGCGAACTTGTGACACACAAGATGCGTGGCGTGCTTCGCATGGCGCAAGCTCGTGGTGCTGAAAAGCTTATCCTAGGAGCGTGGGGTTGCGGTGCTTATGGAAACCCTGTTCGAGAAGTCGCAAAGATCTGGAAGCGCGTCATCCTTGGTACTACCAGAAAGGCGGAGTCCTGGCCAGGCATCAAAGAGATTGTTNTTGCCATCACTGACCGTGGTCAACTGAAGGAGTTTGAGAAGTGCTTTGGAGATGTCATGGCCAAAGAATCCATTTCACCACCAGCAGAGGTGACACCCGAACCACAGGCTACTGGCACTCAAAGCCCTACTTCGGAGCTCATATCGGAGCTGGTGTCCAAGATTCAGGAGACTGAGCTGCAGCTCGACCAAATTTCGAACCCTCGCAGCAAGGCTCGCCTCCGAGAAGTCTTGGCGAGTCTCAATAAACAACTCTCACAGGCAGGCTCCGGACCGGAAGAAGACGAGATGCCACTGGAGCCGATTGACGAGGAAATGGAAGACGCTTCTTACCCCGATGCTGCAGGCGGCTTCGAGGGTGAAGAGGGCGGCTACTACAACTTTGACAGTAGCGATATTGCTTCATCAGGTTCAGTATCTCCATCGACATCAGACATCTATGAGTTCCGAGTTCCAGGAACCAGTGTGCCGAACAAGAGTGCCGAGTCACATGTAACCGATGACTTCGAGCATGTTGGTTTCGACACCGAGAGTGGATGGTTTTCCGGATCCATCAATGGCCTCTCATCACTCCTGGCAAAACAAAGGCGAGGAGGTTCTGGCACCAGCCCTATGCTCAGAGGCGAAGGTGGCCTGGACGATGTTGAGCCGCTGAACTTTGGTAACGGACTGAGCGAGTACCTGCGACGCTATTCCGAGCAAGAGAGTTATTGATTTATGAATGGAGGAAGATGCGTTTCATCGGACGGCGTTAGTTGTGGCATTTCAGGGAGCGATGGGATTTGTTGTTGGCAGGACCAAGGATGGGAGTTTGCATACGAGATTTTGAGAGCAAGCATGGCCTCTTTCGTATTTGCGGCATTAGCGATATTCAAATGTTTTTCTTATTGAGTCAATTGGTGCCTCGCTTCGTGACATTTGAGCTTTGGATGTTGCAGACGGCAAGATTCGATAAGGAGCATAGGTGAGATCAAAATGGTTTATTGTTGACTTGTAGTCCTTTTTCTCGTGTCTCATGGGCTTTCGCGTCGAAGATGCTCTGAGCAATGTAAGATATGCAAAAACCGCACCGCCAACGCCTCGCTAAATGTACAGATGGATGTGAATGCCGGTATCAAGCCAATTCAGGGTCGGGCAGCCAAAGGACGACATCCTGACCAGCGCTGGCGAGGTTGTTGTATCTGGGGTTTACACCAACAACTGTGGAAGTTCTTGGCCCTGGCAAATCGGTCATGGGATTCATGGTACCGTCAGAGCGCTTGTCAGCAAGCAGGTCCCACACCAACATGCCACCCTTGGACGAGGCCGAGACGACATAGCGGCCATCAGAGGTAAAGCAGGCGTCTCCTTGGAGCGAGGATTGAGTATGGCGCAAGGGGCTGTCGCTTTGGCCGAGCTGAGATGGGAAAGGTGGAGGACCCTGGGCGCGATACAGATAGGCTTTCAGAACACCCTCGAAGGCGTCAAGGACATAATGACCTGGGCCGTTGGTTCCCACCAGGATGTATTGGCCATTGTTGCTGAACTCCAGAGTTGTCCAGCCTTGGGCTTGAGCTTGGCCATATTGGCTGAAGCGGCGCTCGATATCCTGCATGTCAAAGGTTGCAAAAGGAGGCTTGTCGTAATTGCGAACGTCGTAGAGGACAATGGTCTGGGTAGCGGGAGAGGCGATGGCAATGACGGTGGCCGAAGGATCATAAGCAGTCAAGACGGCGCCGTGCAGATTGAGACTGCCCTGGGGAGAGGAGGAGCGTAGGTCCCATATCTTGACTGTGTTGTCGAGAGAGGCAGAGAGGAAGGTGTCATCGCTCGGGCAGAGCTGGATGGAGGTAACCTTGTCGGTATGGCCCTTGAAGTAGCGGATGTAGGAGTTGTCATGAGCAGAAAGGTATCTGATGTCGTGATTGAGCTTGGTCGAAGCGTAGATGACGGATTGCGAGTGGTGGGTGAAGCGCGCAAGGGCACAGCCGTGCTTTTGCGACTTGAGCTCTTTGGCGTGCGCTCCAGCCTTTGTGTTGTAAATGTGGAGGGTATCGTCAGTGCGGGCGAGGAGGAGCAGTTCGCCGGTTGAGTCGAAGTCGAGCGAGGTGTAGTGCAGGTTGGGAGCTTTGAAGAGNCTGTTGGTTGCGTCAGTGTTGAGGTTGGGGAGAGGTGCATATGAGGGGGCTCTCACCCTCGTCGGTCGGTACGTCGCGATAACCTCGCTGACCTTGGCCAAGGGGCCTGGCTGTCCGTTCTCTGCTGCGCCCATATTGCCGATCGATGCAATCCTGGAGGGCAGAAGACAAAGTGAAATGGGTCCTGGCAAAGGTGGAAGCGCTCCAGGCAGCGTCAAGCTCAAAATGTTCGGCTTCCCCAGATCTACGGAAGGAAACCGCGACTCAGGGACAGCCGACGTCAGCGTTCCTTCCCTTTTAACACGCTGACCAGCCTTCTCCGATTTCGGCTCAATTGCTTCGAGTCCATCTTGCTTCTCAAACTGTCCGTATTTCTTTCTGATACTAGATACTAGATACTGTTATACTGCCTCCCGTTCTCACTCTCCGTCTTTCTCTTCCTAGCAATCTGACAGGCAGCCATGTCCACCGGCATTGGGTAATCGCTCCACACCTTCGCTCAAGAATCCACGACTAACCCGACTGGAACAGTTCCTTTGTCGCCGGCGGTATTGCAGCATGCGGTGCTGTCACAGTAACCCACAGCTTCGAGACAGTCAAGGTGCGCTTGCAGCTTCAGGGTGAGCTGCAGGCCAAGAAGGATGCCCCCAAAATGTACCGAGGTGTGCTTCACGGCATGTCCGTCATCTTCAAGAACGAAGGCATCAAGGGCCTGTTGCGTGGTCTGAACTGTGCCTACGTCTATCAGATGATGCTCAATGGCTGCCGCCTCGGTTTTTACGAACCCATCCGCACCCACACGAACTCGCTGCTCTTGAATCGCGACTTCTCGCACGCTCACGACCCGAAAGCCACCGCCATGCAAAACCTCCCCGTCAACATCTTCTCTGGCGCTTCATCTGGTATCATCGGTGCAGCTCTCGGCTCCCCTCTCTTCCTTGTCAAGACTCGTCTCCAGAGCTACAGTCCCGCGTTACCTGTTGGCGCACAACATCAGTACAAGAGCGCCGCCGATGGCTTCTCCCAAATCTACCGCACCGAGGGTATCAAGGGTCTCTATCGTGGTGTTGTACCGGCCATGGTCCGAACCGGTTTCGGGTCCAGTGTTCAACTTCCAACATACTTCTTCGCTAAGCGCAACCTCGTAAAACACCTTGGTATGCAAGAGAGTCCTGCTCTGCATCTCATGTCTTCTGCCTGCTCTGGCTTCGTCGTCTGCTGCGTCATGCACCCTCCGGATACCGTCATGGGTCGCATGTACAACCAGACTGGCAATCTTTACTCAAGCGCATTCGACTGCTTGTTCCGCACAATCAAGACCGAAGGCCCGCTCGCTGTTTACAAGGGCTTCTTTGCCCATTTGGCTAGAATCTTGCCGCATACCGTACGTATAGCGCCTGTTCATAATCTGGCCTTTACTGACATTCTTTCTAGANTCTTGACCTTGAGTTTGGCCGAACAGACCAATAAGCTCATGCGCAGATTCGAAGACCGCGTCCTTCCCAGTAGACAAAAGCATAGGCGCATAAGCCAGCACTACAAATCATGAGCTCCCGAGCTTACCTTCAGCTGTATATAATTCGCCTTTACACTTTGCAGAAGCGCCCGCATGAGCACACCCTGCTCCATAACCGGCCAGAAAGGCCATCAAAAGCACCATTTTCTGCAAGAAACGGACAAGAGGAGGTCGGTACACTACAAAGCTCTAGCCAACAGAGGACCTCAAGGAGGGCAGACCCAGCTTCGAGCTGTTGAGATCATGGCGTACTCGTGCAAGATCAGGGCCTCTGCGGAGATTAGAGGGTATCAAGATCGAATGCACAGGCAGGCAGAGCATCTTCATCGACCAGCTTCTGCATGATTGCAGGTAGATACCAAGTCCATGTAAGGAGAGGCTATAGTGGCAGATCTTTAGTTGATCTCGATAATGATTAAAAGCATTTATGAACCTTCTCACAAAGAGCCTAACATGATCATGATTATCTTACTATATACAGTTTATGGAAAAGATGGCGCATCAATCAGGCTTAGCCTTGTTGTCTGCCCAACTGGGTTCGATGTTTCTACACACCGACACGTACCCCTCCCAGCGCTGTTGATCGGCCACTAGATCCGGGTTCGTCCAGAACATGGTCCACTGGGTATCCTGCAGATGCCATGTCCCCCTGGACCGCTCAAAGTACCACTTGTTAACAGGATTGTTGGAGCGCGATCGCCAGCAAACGCCATCAGGGAAGCAACTGCGCACCATGGCTTGGAACACAATATCCGCCACACCAGAACTGCCTTGAGAGCGCTGGAGCACGGCGAACTTGTCGAGATAGGGTACCAAGCGGTTGGGATCCGCGTCGGCTCCTGACTGTTTGAAATCAAGTGTTCGTGGTTCTTCCCAGGTCAAGATGGCACCGCCTTCATATTCTCCGGCGATGATGACGCCGGCTACGCGATTCTTGATGCGGTTGAGGTAGTGTTGGGCATCGAGGGGTCTGCGGAAGGAGTCTTCGATCAAGGCGACGAGACGGGGAAANTTGATGTCTGGGTGGTTGTCTAGGGCGATGGTGGGTTCGCCTGATTTGGGTGGTGTCCAAGGTGTGTTTCGGAGATCGGGGACGATCATCAGGGGCATACCGCGCTTGACGAGTGTGGAGCGGGTGGGATTCTCAGAGGACATTGAAGGTATTATCCCGTTAGCTGAGAGGCGGGCGGCAGGTAGAGATGAAGAGATAAGAGGTTTGTTGGTGAGCAGATTGTGAATCAGAGGATTCTTTTGTCGTCGAGTCGTGATACCAATGGCTTGGTCCTTGCGAGAATGATGCGAAGAGATGGCTGCTTCTTCGGGGGATATGAGCAAGGCTGATGAAGCAGGGGGAAGCAGAGCCAAGCAGTCTCTGACCAGACTGAGAGTATCGAGGTGATGAGGGCTCATGCCGCAGGACTGGATCTCGTCACGAATCATGTCGTACTCCTGCTCAAGGTTGACAAAGACATGAGCCTGGTCCTGTCGAGTTTCTGTGGGGAGACCGCCTAGAGGATCGAGCATGATGATTCTGTCCACTGAGGTGTCCTCGAGTAGCTCGTCTTGTGTACCAGTAACAGTGGCCAAACCAGACAAGGCGCGTGTTAGGGCCAGCATAACACCGCTGACAGACACATTCTGGACCTTGCAAGTCGTGTCATAAGCCATTGCAGGCATGACGGGGATAGCGCTTCGCTTCAGTGGCTCTGTTATAAGTTTGGACACACCAAGCTCTACAGCACCCATGACTTTGGGACGTGAAGCTGGCATTGGCTCCTGGCTAGTAACATTGAGGGCAGACTCGACATAACGAGCACCCTCGTTGTTGTGACGCTCCAATGCAGCGACTACTCTGCTTCCCTGGCGTCGGTATGTCTCTCTGTATGACTCGTTCGTTTGCACAATCTCGTCTTCGCAATTGAGCACGAGCACGATCTGCATGTCGAGACGGACCAATTGAGCCATGGTCAGAGCGATGCCATCTAGTGTCTCATCATCAATCAGATGAGGAGCCCTCAGACAGACCAGTGCGACGTGTATCTCTCCGGCACCTCGTTGTACCTGCGTCTCTTGCTCTACGTACTGGGAGAAGGTCGGTGTGGCAGCAGCAGCTTGGGTAGGGAGGTACAGCTGGCCAAGGTTGACACCAGACCTCTGGAGTTGCCATTGTTGCTTTGTTTCCTTTGCATCGTGGACGACGAGTGGTTTCTTGGGTTTGTTGTCGAGGGTTGGTTTGAAGCGGGCCAGGTATTGTTTGGCGTCTCTACGGGTCGAACTTGCATTGAGAAGGTCAAAGAAGAAGTCCTGTTATGGTCAGAGAAGGCACGATTGGCATTGGAACCCAGATTGGCCTACCCTCTGGGCTAGCTTGTCCCTCTTCTCTCCGTTGGCTGTGTTGTTGGCGTGGTTGGTACGATTGGCGGCAAGTGACCTGAAGTCGCGGTGCAAGCACTTGAAAGCGTCAGGGCGCACTCTGCTTCGAAGTGTCGGGAGGCATGCTGCCATGGTTCATGGCCTGTCAACCAGTCTCCAGAGGCGGTCGACAAGTTGGAGAGTAGACGAGTCATCACAGTCCAAGGCCCAGCAGGAATAAAAAGACTCATCTCCATGTTCGAGCTCTTATCTTATCGTCACTTCTCCACACCGCCGACAGCGGCTTGCTTTCGTCCGCGACTTATCTCCGTCATACACGCCAAGACGTCATAGAAGCTTCATCCATCGAGTGCTTCTCGCCGGTTCGGTATTGTCAGCGGGACAGACCGGCAGTATGTCGTCTAGAGCTGGGGATGAACACCTCGATTTCTCTGCAAACCACTCAGACTTCCAACCCAGCACCTGAACATACACACAACTCACAATGGCTCCTCAAATCGCATGGATTGGCCTCGGCAACATGGGCCGTGTAAGTGACGAGGCTTGTAATAGCACTACTAAAACATTGTTAACGAGCTTTCCCAGGNGCATGGTGAAGAACATGGTCGAAAAGGGCAACCTTTCCAATCCCATCATCCTCTTCAACCGCACGCAATCTCGTGCCGATCAGCTCGCGTCGAGTCTCGGATCTGGCAAGGCCAAGGTTGTCTCGAGCATTGAAGAGGCTGTCCATGCTTCAGATATCATCTTTACTTGCGTGGGAGACGACAAGGCAATCGAAGACACCATCAACTCTGCTCTGAAGGGAAATGTAAAGGGCAAGTTGTTTGTGGACTGCTCTACTGTCCATCCCGACACCACAGACAAGCTCGCAAAGACCATCAATGACCAAGGTGCCGAGTTTGTGGCCTGCCCTGTGTTTGGTGCTCCTGCCATGGCGGATGCAGGTCAACTTGTTTGCGTGCTGGCTGGTCCTGCCGATGCCGTCGAAAAAGTCAAGCCTTACACGACTGGCGTCATGGGCCGTGCCATTATCGACTACTCTGGCGAACCTCATGGCTCTGCCACGAGACTCAAGATCATTGGCAACACATTCATCCTCAACATGGTCGAGACTCTTTCAGAAGGTCACGCTCTTGCCGAGAAGTCGGGCCTTGGTTCAGACAGACTCCATCAGTTTGTCGAGACCATGTTCCCTGGCCCATACACTGCATACAGCAACCGATTGCGCCAGGGCGATTACTACAAGCGTGAAGAGCCATTGTTTGCTGTAGACCTTGCAAGAAAGGATGCTGGACATGCCTTGGCTCTGGCCAAGACTCATGGTGTCAAGATGAGAGATGTCGAGGTTGCCGACCAGCATCTGGCCCAGGTCCAGAAGCACATGGGTAGCAAAGGAGACATTGCTGGCATCTACGGTGCCGTCAGGCAAGAGGCAGATCTCAAATTTGAGAACTAGACAACATGATGTATTCACAACGACACGCAGCAGCTAAATTCTGCTACAAGCGCTATTCACCTCAATCAGACCTGATGGCTCGATGTGTGATGTTTGTGACAATCACAAATGATTGTGAGGCTTTTTGGATGATCAAGCTGTTTCTCAGATATGTTCTATAGAATCGGTCGAGACATCTCTATGCTCTTTTTTCTTTGTCGTACTCGGGTCGTTTGTCGCTTAAGCTCTCTTGTTGTTGATGGCCTTAAGCTCAACATCGAAGATGAGGGTGGCGTTCTGGGGGATGGCACCAGGGAAACCACGAGCACCGTAACCGAAGTCGCTGNNTGTGTTGGTTAGCGAGAGCAGAGTCAATGGACAAGATTGGAGGGCGTACGGGGTGATGGTAAGAGTGGCCTTCTCGCCGAGGGACATGCCACCGTCCTGCTCGACGATACCGTGGTCCCAGCCCTTGATGACTCTGCCGGTACCAATGGGGACATCGAAGTCACCGCGGCCGACGGAGGAGTCGAACNNCTAGATGTGTCAGACTTGCGGAGCTGCAGCAGGACTCGTGGTATAGACTCACTGCTTGCCCTTGGAGCCGTTCTCCGAGAGCCAGCCAGTGTACTCCATGGAGACGTTGTCGCCGTTCTTGGGGAAGTTCTGGCCGTCGCCCTGCTTGATGATCTGCTTGGTAACACCCATGTTGATTGCTGTGGAATGGAAGGAGCTTCTGGGGAATTGAGGAGTCTGTCTGGGTCTAATGGAGGAGAGGAGAGAAGTGGGAAGACGAGGCATCGTAATGTGAGTGATGGATTCCGAGGGCAGACTCGAGCTTCGGCGGGGCCCATACGCAGCTGCCCTTGCTCTTGGCCAAACTGCCCCTTTCGGAAGCTGCTCCTGCCTATCTCGACCTCACCGCCTGTCAATCCTCGCTAAAGGATTCGTTGCACTTCCCTTGCGTGCTCGCTCTCCTCATCACCATAGGTCTGACTGCCTGGACAAGACAAACGTGCATCTCAACCAACATCTTGTAGTCTTGGTTTCTGTGTCACCTGCTATCTTCGCGTCAATAGCTGCCGAAGTCACCAACCCTCGACCACCAACCCATTCGTAAACACAAAGCCGCTACATTGATAAACTGCTTCTCATCAATTGATTCAAAGCGCTTGCTGTCTTTGAATACGCTCAAGACGCAGTGAGACATCCATGCGACAGACCACTAATAAAAGCAGTCTCTCGTCCACTTCCACCGCTTCATCCATCTCCTCAACACCACAATCATGGCAAACGCGACCACACCCACCATCTACTTCGGATATGGCAGTAACCTCTGGCAACACCAGATGCACATGAGATGTCTAACCTCAGAATACCTCGGCATCGCCCGTCTTGACAACTATCGCTGGATGATCAATGATCGCGGTTACGCAAACGTCGTCCAAGTCAAACCACCTTCCTCGTCCGAGCCAAACTACGCCAACGTCGTCTATGGTCTTGTCTACTCGCTACAGCCGGCCGACGAAGAAAACCTCGACATCAATGAGGGTGTCCCCGTTGCCTACACCAAGGAAGATCTACCCGTTTCATTCTGGCCCAAGGAGAAAGATGATGAGCCTATCGATATACACAAACCGGCAAAGAAGCAGGACATGCTCGTTTACATCAGTCGTAAACACGTAACAGACTCCGAGCCCAAGCACGAGTACATCTATCGCATGAACATGGGCATAAACGACGCTCTCAAGGAAGGTGTGCCCAAAGAATACGTGCAGGAGGTCATGCGCAAGTTCATTCCACCCGAGCATGATGATACACTCCATGATCAGGCCATGCAGCAGGCCTTGGCTTTTGAGGATGAGAGGTGATATGTTGCTACTCCCTGACCAAACGTCGATGCTATCTGTGTGGCTTGGAGATGAACATCGTTCAATGTGACACTGCAACCATGACAAGACGCGGACAGAATACAAGAAACACTTTCGTTCAGCTCATATCGCTTGCCGTGAGAGGCATAGTGGAATCCGACACTTAGCAAAGACACCATGTCATTTCCCATGTCATCAATTACTGTTCGATTGCATTCTCAAGAACAAGGGTCAGCCATGTCTTCCACATCGCCCTCACCGAAACTAGCCCATATACAGATGAGATTGGATCGCCATCATGGATGTCATGGCAGTTGCAGTGCTAGAATCGCCATACTTGCCGAGCCGGCACTGACTCGTAGACACCATCGTACACGCAAGCTCGCGATCGACTGCAACCAGGTGCACAATCACAGAGATCCGTGCAAGAACTCCGGGCCGTTGGCCCACCCACACAAGTCTAACCAACAACTCTAATACCACGAGTCAAGAGGAGCCTCACACTCACCTCAACTTCACAAAAATTCTCTCTGATGCCAATCTCGTTTAATCGTGAACTTCAGCTGTGCACGCCTGAAACCCAGACATGTGTCCTCAAGTGTACCAAACAAAACTGCTAGTCAGTGTGTTGAGTTGAGGGTCTGGAAGAGAAGAATCATAGCTTGCTTTCTGTTGCCGGCGGTCAAAGGCGTTGCTTTTGGTACAGCATAGGCACGGATATAAGAGTATCTTGAGACGTCGGTTGGGTTTACGAAAAAGGCAGTTCTTGCGTGAGTGTGGACATGCATGTGAAAAGTGGTTCTTTTGATCGAGGTTATGGGATTAACACTCGCATGAGGTTGAACGATATTGAGAGAATGTGCAAAGGCAGCTATTTGGTTGCTAGGCAGATTGCGGTGGGTGTACATTTCAAGTAGGGAGTTGTGATCTGGTGAGTGTGATGTTCACGTCAAAGCTTGATGTCGAGAGAACAGAAAAATCAAAACCACTTTGACGACGGCACCAGCGCTTTAAGGACCAAGAGACCTACGTAGAGGACGAAAGACATCGTGTAATGTATTTGACAACAACATAGATGTAGCATAGGGCAAGGAGAGAATGACCGGAGATGTTGGCTGGAGAGAACAGGGTTGCTACCATAACATGATTGACTTGATGACAATCGTTGATCTCGACTGTGGAGTATCTGTCAACTCTTGGAAAGAACGCGTTTGGAAAGTCGACAGCCCTGTTCGCCAACGATGCTACACAGGATTATGTAGCACTGTCATTTGCAAGGATATAGAATCAAGATACACAGTCACAGTGTTGGTTACAAAACACCCAATACTTTCCACAGTAGAGCGACATCACCGGAGTGAATGTCATGCTTAGGCATCTCCAAGATCATACATCTGTTTGAAAGCAGTTGCGCGGGTTTACAGCATATAGTGATACTGTACGTCATCCTTTTGCACACAGCAAGGCACCATGCTCTTGTAGAAGCTTCCGTTAGAAAGAAGGGCTTTCATGATTTGGATACCCCTATAGACGCCGTGCAACTGATGTCGATAGCGAAGGACGATTCACTCAAGATGAACTACAAGACTCAGGTCCTCTCGAAAATCATCGGGTACCCTTCAATATGTGAGCGACAGCCAACCCGAGCCATAAAAAGGAATCACACTTACACTCGGCATGGCCTTCTCAGTCACCAAGATCCTCCTCTCCAAATCTTCCAACTTCTTCAGCGTGACTTGTTGATGCAAGTGTAGTTGCTCTTTGTGTTCTTGCTTGAGAATCTTGAACTCCTTGTCCAGCTCTTCGTGCCAGGGATACAAAACCGCAGTCTGGAAGCCCAATGCTGAGACAGCGACGGTGAAATTCAAATAGGGAAGCCAAAGGCGGGCGGTGGGACCGAGGACCATATTGTGAATGAAGCAAAAGATAGATGTGGTATTGAAGAGCAAGTCAAAGAAAGTCGATTGATAGTAAAAGACGAAGGTGATGAACGAAAGGTGGATGGCTTCTTGTGAAAAGACTGAACGGAGAAGGTAACAGAAAGGAAGGCAACCGAAAGAAACAGACCGAGGTGAGTCAAGGAAGGAGTCGGAGAGAAATGTAGGGGTTGCGATCACGCGATACGATTAGAGGCTTGATTGATGTTTCTGCTCGGTCCAAGCCAGCGGTAACAGTCGATACCTATCGATCGCGAGGTGTTTGGGTTCGAGAACATCGCAAGACATACAGACCTACACTTGAATTCACGGGTAGATGTAAATTGACAAAGCCGAGCGCGAAATGTCAAAATGTGATTGTGCAAGAGGAAGGAAACACCTGGATAGGTTTGAGTTGGCCGAGGACCGGAAGGCGCCGTGCGTCACAAACGACGAGGGGCCGAGACCCTACCCAAACACGCCTGACCTGACCACATGGACTTGCGACCAGGCAGTAGAGGCGGCGTATTGCTATCCTCCTATTGACACTGCAATCGAAATGTGCTCAACCGATGAGTCACTTAAACAGCCAACATGATCTTGTCCATCTCAATGCCCAAGGGCGGCCGCTTCTTCAGGTCCCGCCAATCCGATGATTCCGCCTCGACAGACGTCAAGACACCTCTGGATTTGAACGAGGTGCTGGAAGATATTACGGAAGAGCAGGAGCCTGATCTCAGAGAACTGAATACTGCACTTGGTGCCCTGGTCGACATATTTCCCGATGTGCAGCCCGACGTCTTTCGTGAGATGCTTCTAAGTCTGTCCAAAGAGAGCAGGCTCGAGGTTGTGACCGAACATCTTCTGAGGAATGGAGCACAATACATTCAAGGACGCTACAGGAAAAAGCCATCCGACGACAAGACTAGCCAGCCACGCCACGTCGAGCCACTTCCCAAGGACGAGACGTTTAGGTCCGACAAATACAAGCGTGCTGTCAAGGATACTCTATATCTTGAATTCAGAAACCTGAGTCACTCCTCCATAAGAGCCGTTCTGGCCGAACATAATTATTCATACACACTCGCCCGTCCGACTCTGCAGCATCTGTCTTCGAGATCATGGAGAGCCACCATTTCAGGCTTCTTCACCAGGAAACGTCCTGCCACCTCTGATCCTGACTCTCATCCTTTCGTCGAATGGCTTACCAACTCCACCGAACCACTCAATTTGTTTCCCTACCTCAAGCGGACTGGTTGCACAGAGCTGGATCAAGAGCTGTATCGCATGTATATTGCTCCTGTCTTGGCTCGCCAGAACCAGGAACGACTGGATCAGGATCAAGCTTTAGCATACGAACTCAACGAGACGGAAGCCGAAGAGGCCGATGCTCTGTTTGACTGCGAGTGCTGCTTCACTGCCTATCCTTTCGAGTCCATATCTACATGCAACTCTGATGTCGGTCACTTCATCTGTTTCAGATGCATTAAGCTTGCTGTAAATGAAGCTCTGTATGGTCAAGGATGGGCAAGGAATATCGACTTGATAAAATCTTCCTTGCGATGTCTGGCTCCATCTGTTCCCGAATGTCAAGGATGCATCAATCCGGAACTCATCCAAAGGGCTCTGTGTACAGAANAGGATGGTGCCACGAACTGGCAAAAACTCCAGGAGCGTGTCATATCCGAAAACTTGGTCAAGAGCCGGCTGCCTCTTTTGAGATGTCTATCTTGTCCTTATGCTGAGCTTGACGAGCCGACTAGCCTGAGATTCAGAGATCCAATGGCTCTGACCGCCCACCTCGTCCACATGCCAATGGACCCGCTGAAATCCTTGATTGCATTGATGTTCATCTTTGTTTATCCACTGGTGTGGGTTGTGTTATATCCTCTTCTCATCCTCGTTGCTGTGGTCGACAAGTCAGCACATACTCGCATCCAAGCATCTCGAACACGCACAATCCGCCGGAGACGAGGACTGAAGTTCACTTGTCAATCTCCGACTTGCGGCAAGAGCTCATGCACCAATTGCGGTAGCCCATGGTCAGATCCTCATGCCTGCAACGAAGCCTCTTTGCAATCTCTCAGACAGGCGATCGAGGCTGCCACAACAAGCAGTATCAAGCGCACCTGTCCAAAGTGCAATCTCAGCTTCGTCAAATCGAGTGGCTGTAACAAGCTCGTATGTAATTGCGGATATTCCATGTGTTATGTCTGTCGTCAAGAGATTGGACGAGAAGGCTATGGTCATTTTTGCCAGCATTTCAGAGAGGCGGGAGGTCGTTGTTCAGAGTGCGACCGTTGCGACTTGTACGTTGTCGAAGATGAAGAAGGCACCATCCGCAGGGCTGCAATCCAGGCCGAAAAGGATTGGCTGCAGCGGGAAGGAAAGAGCAAAGACACTGACGACAAGCTTGGAGCTGTTGTCAACGACGTCCTTGCCAATGCTACTGGCGGGAAGCGGTGTGATTATGATGCATGGCTTGATTTTTTCATGATGATTCTTTTGGAGTAGGTTATGGACGGCGCCTGGGCAAGGAAGATACCCCTCTTTTCACAACATCATCATGGCCTTCGGAAATGGCGTTCGGCTTAGTATTCTTTTGTAATCAAGGTTATGCAGCGAAGAATTTGTGCTTCTTCAGCTGATCCAGAGAGATGGATTTGACAGATGATGTATCGAATGAGTTGTCGGTTTTGGAAGTGAAGTGGTAGACTTGGTCGATGCCAGTGCTTTCGAGGAAACATAGTACCTTTGAGAAGTTGAGGCCTACTTGACTGGTGGCATGGCTGTCGTCAGAAAGAGCAAAACGTCCTCCCTTTCTTATAAACTCCTGGTAGATGTCAGTAACGGTACAACAAGCAAGAGGTTGGGCAAGACGAACCTTGCAGATTTCAGCCTTGGGATATGGCTCAGACATGCCCTTGCGGATTGCACTCGAGTTGATTTCGAGGATGCCTCCGTAGCTGGCGACGAAGTCGAGGTTTCTGACAATCTTCTCCCAGACTGCTGGCATGGTAGTCCAGTCACGCTCGGGGTCGTCACTCTTCAGTCTAATAAGATCAAAGTGACCAACAAGAGGGGGNTTCAGAGCCTTGAGCATATCATATTGCTGGTCAAAGTATGCAGTAAAGATGTCTTCATCGGAACCGCCAGAGATGGTCCTGGCCTCATAATACATGTCGTGGTCATAGTCAATCGGTTTGGTGTGGACATGATGAATGCTGCCGACGAAGAAGTCGAACTTGTAGCGAGCGAGCAAGTCTTTGATAAAGGAATTGGTTTCAGGACGAATCCACTCGGACTCGAAGCCGATCAGAATGTTGATCTGTGAGGCATACTTCTCACGCAGACGCAGGGCCTCGGGATAGTAGGCATCAAAGAGGTCAAGGAGAGTTTGGGCGTCGGACTCCTCGGGATAAAGATCAGCGGCATGGCGGGGCATGTGTTCAGTCAAGGCAAAAGTGTCCATGTGGAGGGAGATGGCCTGTTGGACCATTTCTTCGAGGGTGCATGTTGCATGGGCGCAGAACTGGCCTGAATGAGAATGGTGAGAGTGCGGCATGTCGATGATGTTGGAGAGTGCAATGCACAAGGTTGGATGGTAGGCGGGTAGGTAAATTAGGAAGGAATGCTCGTCCTTCATGTGAGAGGCTTGGCAGTGGAAAGGGTCCAGGAGCTTCACATGCACGAAACGAGGGGACAGTTGAACAACAAGACAACTCCCTTGCACACACACAACAAAACCAACACGATCAACCGCCATCATGGACAAGTTTGCAGCTTTCGGAAAGAACCTTGGCAACATCGGGTAATGCGCAGACCAGACCACGCCCGTTGTTACTCAAGGACACGAAGCTTACTTGGACAGTTCATCCTTCACGCCCTTCGCAGCTCGCACCCAGCAATATGTCAAGGAGCAGTTCGGCCAGATCGAAGACAAGACTGAGCTGCCCCCAGACTATATCGAGCTGGAGAAGCGCGTCGATGCCCTGAAGCTTGTCCACCAGAAGCTGCTGTCCGTCACGTCCCAGTACACCAACGAAGCATACGACTACCCTCCCAACATCCGCGAGTCTTTCACCGACCTTTCCAAGAACGTCACCGAGAAGGTTCAGCTCCTGTCGCGCGCCACCAGCACCGCCGAGGCTCAGGCTGCCTTCACTGCTACTCCCCAAGCAAAGCCCCAGCCCAAGACCTTCAACCACGCCATCGCCCGTGCCTCGTTGGCCGGCAGCCAGCTGTTGCACCAGAGTGACGTTCGTGGTGCTGGTGCCGATGACTCGCTTGCTCAGGCTCTGGAGAAGTACGCTGTTGCCGAGGAGAGAGTTGGCGAGGCCCGTCTGACTCAAGACGAGCGCATCCAGCAGCGTTTCCTCGCCGGCTGGAGTGCTACCCTCAACACCAACCTTCAATTCGCCCAACGCGCCCGCAAGAACGTCGAGAACGCCCGTCTCAACCTCGATGCCACCAAGGCCCGTGTCAAGGGCATCAACAACCCCTTCAACAATAAGACCCAGTCTCATGGCGAGGAGAACTACACAGAAGCTCAGCGCGCCGAGATCGAGAAGGCAGAGGACGAGTTCGTCAACCAGACCGAGGAGGCCGTGGGCGTCATGAAAAATGTCCTCGACACACCCGAGCCTCTCAAGAACCTGGCCGAGTTGATTGCCGCCCAGCTAGAGTTCCACAAGAGGGCCTACGAGATTCTGTCAGAGCTGGCCCCTGAGGTCGACCAGCTGCAGCTCGATCAGGAGGTATCATCAAACCGCTCCGTTCCTCCCTCCATCCAAGTCACCCAATTCTGATTCCTTTCTTCAGGCCAGTTACCGTAGAGCCCGCGACTCTGCTTAGTAGATCCTGACAAGCTTCGTCCACCTTTTCTGATCCTCCTCAATCTCTATGATACTCGAGCCTCGCTCCCCACCGACTCTGTTTTTTCCGTTTTCTTCTCTCTGATTCTACGTCTGTTCTTCTCGCAAGCTTCGCTTCTGGATACCACTTCAATCAATTCAATACATGCATATGGCTCTGCTTTGTTTTCCGGACCGAATGTGCTTCATGATCCAACCTTTGAAGAAGTGTCACGCCGTCTCCACGGACCTTTCTCGATGCCAAGCTTTTCCCTCGGTCACGGTCCTAATCGCTTCCTCTATATTGCCTATCGTCAAACTGCGCCTCTCAAGACGAGGATCGAGTATAGTAGAAGAAGACGCTCCTCCACAGAAGAAAGAAGGTCCTTAATCTGTAACGAGCTCAGATACTTGAATATCCGGTCCTTCGGGATGCGAGCCGTAGAGAAGCCAGTGGAAGCAAGGGAGCGCAATGCAAGATGTAGATTGTGCAATGTGCATTGACTTGTATCATGCGGTCCGAGCCATTTAACCATGCCGATCTTTGTGCGTGTGTGCCTGAGTGCCGTCGCCGTCTTTTTTGCCTCGAGCATGGACGTGCTGGGGATCTGAGACTTGGGCTCAGCCTTGCAGACTTTCATGTGGCTATGTCATGCGCAGCCGGTGTGTTTATCAGGCTGGTTTGCGGTATTTGCTCCGGGTCCGTTTTTTCCACATCTTGTATCTACACATGATTGAGCCTTTGATTAAGTCGGCTGGTAGAGAACTGCTTGAGTGATCTCGGTCTGGCAGTTGTGGATCTCAACAATCACGACATACACACGGTCGTCTTCAAACACGGCTTTTAGATTATTAATAACTATACTTTCGAGTATGCCGACATGCAAGCCAACAATCCACCTTCTCTCAGGGCCAGCTCATCTCCGGACTGCTTTCCCACGGCATATGTTCAGCAGGTTCAAAGTCGAACGGATCCGATGAATCTGTGCCCCCTGCACTGCCCGCACTCTTCTTGGAGTCGGTATCGTCCAGCTGCAGTGCTTTGAAGAGACCCTTCATGTCGCGCAAATCCGACTGCACAGTGTCCTGCGGCACCCTTGCGCGGTAGTCGATGAACTCGCGAACGGCTTGGAGGATGGGGTAGTAGCCTTCGTCGTTGGGAAGCCACCAACGCATCACGTCGACGCCCCAGACGCCAGTCATACGTTGTCTCAGCGCGGCAGGATAGATGTAACTATGCTTGGTCAGATATTGTGCGACACCCACTTTTTGAGAACGAGTCTAGAACTTACCCNNACATTGCTCGATTTGAGCGTACTTGTTGCGGCACCACATGGTGTGCCGTTGATCNCTGGGCATGCATGCTGCAGCCATACCCAGACTTGCCTGTGCGCCAAGAATCATGGCTGTCGAGTCCTCGCCACAATACTGTAGCGCCTCGAACATCTTGCACACCTTGAAAGCCATGGCTACAACCTCTTCTCCGCCCACCGTGGGGTCGAATTGCGCAATCTGCGACTTGAAGAGCAGATGGATGGCCCAGAAGTCGATTAGGATGAAATTCCATGTGAACAGGTCTCCTGCCCATAGGAATTCGGGATCTGTCGAGCCGACCACGTCATCCCACTCTCCCTTTGGCGCATTGGGGAACTCCTTGACATATGTCCGTGTATCCTTGAAGGCGGATTCGAGCTCTTGAGCATAGCTTTCCAGTTGAGCGGTCAGTTTGCCCATATCCATGATGAGCTCTTGACTCGGCCCTTCTGTTTTGCCTCGCGCGAAAAGCAGAGAAATGTCGGTAGCCAGCAGTCTCGACCGAGCAAACTTCTCCTCAAACATAGATCCCAGGTCACGAGGCTTGTCTCTCGCCTGTCGAACATAAAACTCCATGCACGCCACATGCCAGTCACGGGACAGAACCATTCCGTAGCCATGCATGAAGCCCGCAAACAGGTCGAATCGAATGTACCACGAGATGATCTTGCGGTGTGTTTCGCTCTGCATGATGGTTTGTGGTGTGAAGAGCTCGGTGAGGATCTCGTAAGCAGCCCTTTGATGACCCATCAGGTTGACCCAATCGCCTAGGAACTCTTCAAAAGTGGCCAGCTGCAGAATGGTGAGTAGGGTGGCTACGGTGTGCCGCGGGCTCCTCTCCAGAGACTGGCGTAGTAACGAGACCGACTTGTTGTAATAACCTAGAAAGCTCGAGAGTTTACCGCTTGGCTTCATCAATGTGTGGTGATAGGCAGAGAATGCGGTGATTGCATAGAGAAGAGGCTCGTAACCCAATGCTATCTCCAAGAATGTTGTCTTCAAGAAATCTCCACTGTCGTACTTCATGGCGTAGTGTTGGTGCGTCAGTTTCTCTCGATGGTAAGTCATGTAGAATTTGACATCTTTTGGCAAATGCGTCCACTTGCTATTCGGTGGTTGCTTGGACTTGAGTGATTTTCTCGAACTCTGGCGGACAACTTGCGGGCGTGTAGCGGGTCGAGTTGATGTGATGGAGCTGTCCGTGGTTGCAGGGCTCTTGATCAGAGGACTTTGATCCCTCGAATTGGAAGATGCATCAGAAAGTTTGCGATCCTCCTTGGAACACAAACTTGACGCGCCCTCTTCAATCTCTTCATCGTCCGGGATAGAAGGCAGTCTGTCGGCTTCGTTGTTGTCGTAGTCTTCACCCGAGGAGTTTGAGGCTTCGCCAGCGGAGCCTTTGCTTTTGTTGCCTTTCGAAGACTTTGTTGATGAGCCTGTGGTAGGTTCGGGATAGTGGCATTCACGTTTGCCTTTGCGACATNNCCTGCAATATGATGAGTACATTTTCATGTAGTAGATTGCGAAATACTCACTCTCGCAGATGGGATGAGCTTCGTCACACTATTTCGAAAGATTAACGACTTGTCAATAATGTCATGACTCGTGCAATCTCACCTTGACTCTGCGCTGTCTGCACGTAAAGCAACCACTCCGCGTTCTACGGTGTTTGACGTGATCTGCTCCTGTGACAGATCGCCTTTTACCACCGCGCGACCCTCCTTGTTGCGACACTGATGTGCGGCTAGGATCTTCAATATCGGAGTAGCTGTTTAGGTTTTCTTGAGAGATGCTCGGTATTTGATAGAGTCTTGGGACGTAACCATCCGGCATCATAACTCCGTCTGGCAGCATGCCTTCCGAGGGGATCATGGGTTGTCCATTAGGGTAGTATCCGGAACCCATAGGATTCATGGTATAGTAGGGGTTGTCCATGGTTGGTAGTGATGTGGACTGGCGGGTGATGGATTAAGGCCTCTAGAATGTTCTTCTTTGGAGGATACCAAAAGATTGGGACGGGAGGCGTGTAAATAGTCCACTGCAAGGGAGACACGGGATGAACCAGAAGGACGGGATTTGATAGGAAGCGTATGCAGCAAGGACCCTCGGAGAGTCCTGTTTGATAATCTGATGGTTAGATTGTTGATTGGGTATCCTGAATGAGAGGATGGCACAGTGGATCCAGAGAGAGCTTCAGATCTGGGATAAGAGGTCCGGTCTGGTTTACCCCGTAGTGGCCAAGGCGGAAGTATACTATCAAAGCAAGGTAGGCCAGACTATACTTGTTGCAAAAGAACAAATCGACCAAGGAGAGAGCTGCTGACACTCCCGGCTGAACCGATATTAATTTGGTGCGGGGATGGGAAATCCAGCACCTTGGCCAAGGAACGGTCTCAGCGCGTATAAAGGAAGAGATCAGAGCTAACGAGTGGGTGGTAAAAGCTGAACGGTATCAAGAGCCGAGAAGTAGTGTGTTCATTTGAGTGATTGTGAGAAGGAGGAGTCTTCGAGAAAAGCCAGGGTCGGGACCGGTTGTGTTCGGAGCCAATCGTGGATGATTGGGCCCAGCTTTTTCTTTGAGTAGAAAAAATATTGGAGCTGATGTTATGTCAGGCCTTGACGCACTGCACGGCAGGGATGGATGCTTTGATGATCGTAGTCTGTACTTACCTAGTGACGGACACTGACCACGAAACCCGGGTGACGATCTGCAGGATAGATGATTAGAAGTGCTGGAGTCGGCGTCACACAGTGGTTGGGGCTGTCGCGCACGATGAGAAGGAAGAGAAAGGATGTTCGGCGTGCAAAGTGAGACCGGCAAGGGAACGCTTGATGCAAGCCTCCCTCCTCTTTCTTGTGCGAGGGGAAAAGAGGCACGATTTAGCGCACACTGTATGCAGGAAAGCCCCGTTTCAGATGTCAACTGTTTTCGAGCTCCTGGCCCACGAGAAAACGGCAAAGAATGTGCTTCCAGAGCATCATGGCCAAACGGCTTGATCGACTTGATGGCGCACCTCTTGGAGCTCGGACGTGGAGCCGGGGAGATTTCTATGAACGACTACCGCCTACCCCAAGGCAACTTCCGATGTCCATGGATGCTGGTGGAGAAGAACCTATCGTGCCGATTTAGCTTTCAGCGACAGGGCACGGCGGCCCCAGTCGGTGTGTTGCTGCAGCTGCTGTCTTTCAGTAGACGCGCGACGCTCCGCCCAAATCGTAGGCCATTTAGCTACCCCTTCAACTACGTGTGGATCTAGCGCGGCAGCAATTCGCATTGCTTGCAGCTACAGTACAAAATCCGCTCTCCTCTGAGCAATGGGCACTTTTGGGGGCCCAACAAACTGATCAGATTCTAGTACGAGTACCGCATCTCGATTCACCGTATTGTTCACCACCGTTCACCATCCGTGGCTGATTGAGGTTCGCCTGAATCGTGAAGACGGCCATCGCGATCGCAAACCAATCTCGCTGGAGAGAACGACAGCCAGCTGCCTTCACAGCTCTGGCCTCGGCCGGGCATGTGGACATGTGAAAGCAATCTAACACAACACCGACAGCCGAACGAAGCTACAACGTAGACATGTATCCCGTACTCGACAATTACGTGAATACGCATCGGTTCCTGGACACCAAAATGCTCCGTGCCAGACAACGGCTTTGGACGTAAGAGTTAAAGCTTGCACATGTCTCATATCTATCCACCGTCGCCGTCCGCCGATGCCATCATCATCAGTGGCATATGTATGCGAATCCGAACCCTGCTTTCTTACCTGGTTGTGGTAAGGTGGTCTCCGAAGTCCATTGTCGGCATTATTTCCACTGCTTTCCAATGTGAGGTGACGTGATGGTCAAGACCAGCATTTCAAGGATTGAGCCGTCAAAGTCCGGGAGCAACGCCGCTATTCTTCGATAACGCGCATCAGATCGAAGGATCAAACCCTCATGGATGGAGATCCTCAGCCACAGTGACTTGTTGCTTTCTCTTCATCCATGGTTTGTGGTAAATCAGCTTGTATAGCTTGATGATATGGCAATTCATTTCCCTGAAGTGGCAGGTGGCTTTGGTTAAAGTGCACACGCTCCCGCAAAGCTAGCGGGTTCCACGTGCAGTGAGCGACAAGGGATCAACCCTCGTTTTCCAAAACATTGCCGCACCAAAGATCTTGGAAGTCGCTTTGCTAATTCGAGAAAAGTGCCCTATTGTTCGGGATCTGCCATGTCATGTCACCTTTTACTCTCCGCAACTAGCCGTTCCCCTGCCTGGTGCAGTTATGGTGCTTGTTGTTCAGTTGTTGATGGAGTAGCTCGGCGACTGGCCAGCCCTTACACCGTCGTTGACGGAACGGCTGTTGCAGTGTTGGTTGTGAATAGTGTGCATGCGCATGCTGTCACAATACCCACAGCAAATAGCGCCGCATCTAGAGATCCTAGGGGGACGAGTTGTACGGAGGATTCCCTTTCCCTTGCAGGATTCGACATTTCTCAATAATCTGATTGGTCTGGGTGCATGAATTTTTCCGTTGGGAGGGAGAGACCACTCCTTCGAAGCGCCTGAAGTTCTGTCGCACCAGCCAAAGTAAAAAGGACGACTGTGGACAAACCAAGAGGCTTGGGCGATCATTCGCACGCCTTCAGTGACGGGAATATTCATGCGATTGCGCAAAGATGCCCAATGTGCTGAAGATCCTGCGTGAACCACCAGGCAGAGCCACGTTTCCAACTGGTCCATGTTCTGTTTAGCCGCTGCTGAAGAAAACGCCTCTTTACGAAGTGTCGATCGTGAAGGATCAACCAGCATGATGATATGGAAAGTGCCATGAGCCTTAGTCTTAGGGCCCTTAGCCTAAGATATGCACCAACGTCACATCATGATTTGCTTTCAACTACTCAGCCGCAGAGACCCTTCAAGAGAGATATGCCTTGCGCGTCGGCATGCGCGGTTTGAGGAAATGCATCCAAGATGTCCCGATCAACCATGTGCGCCGACGTCAAAAACATCCGTGACATAACCACCGCATCGTGTTGAACAAGCATACCCCTCCCAGTCCGCGTTTCATGGTTACGATGTAGTGGTACAGGATGTTAGTACACCCATGCCAAACAATGATGTACGCAACACTCGGAGATGAGGTGGTCTCTCGAAGGCTCAGCCACTGTTTACAAAAGCAGTAGGGTTCCAAAAGGTAGGATGGCGCATTGAAGGGCTAATTGTCTAGAGCTAGTTGAATGGTCTTCAGACTGCATATAATAAGCGCATGATTCATGCAGGAGCAACGAAGACAAGGTTGACCAAAGACAAAGCTGCAAAGTCTATTGGGCGGTGTGACCAGTTGAGCTCATGTCATGGCTGTAGTGATCTACGCAAACAACGCAGCAGATGATAGTCATGTTACTGACCGTGAACTCGACTGGCTAACGACCTTTGGTGACATGTTATAGACGACAGGCGGTACACCAGAAGGGTTTCGAATTTGTGGACAATTGCAATACGAGAGGCATCAAGTCTTCCAAGTCTGAATTGTGTGTTTGGACTAGCTAGTAATGGTTGCCCCCTCAATCCTCCTCATATTTGAGACTGATCCAGCGCTGGAAAGTTATGAAATCCGAAAAGAGACAGAATGAAGCGACATCGACTGCGTTGGCTGTGATAGAAAAGATGAGAGAAAACGCCCACTCAAAAATGCAACGCTCAGACGCCGATGAATATGCATGATGGACATTAGAGAAGAAAAGGAAATTCGTGATCGGTTCATAAGTGATGGCGAGAATGGCGGAAGAATGATATGTGACCGCCGGGAAACATGAACATGAAAGCGCTCTGGTCGTTACAGGCGGCGATTGCCAGAAAGGACGCATGAGTAACGACTCATCAGAAAACGACAGGAGCGTCTAGAGTGGAAGCCTCCGCAGTTGGAGGGCTTGATGATATGTCCTCAGTAGATGGCTTCTCTTTNTCATCAACACCTTGCCCTCTACACAGTGGACAAGAATTTCGACCTTTTGTAAGCCANCTATTACACACAAGTCAGTAAGAGGCGTGAACAGAAGACGAGAACCAACGTACCTGATCTATACACTCCTTGTGGAATAGATGATTGCATTTGACAAGGCGTCTTGCCTCTTCGTCGTGCTCAAAGTCACAGAGGCAGACGAGACAACGTTGCTCAGAGGTCAAAGAGATCCTATCCTCGCCTTCAAGGGCAACAGCGACAAGAGAGTCCCCGGTACTTTGAATCTTGAAAATCCCTGGAGCGTCAGCAACATCCTGCTCGCTGGCTACAGGGGGCTTGGCAGGGCCCAACAGGGCCGACAACAGCATCATGTCTTCGTAAGTGGGCGAGTCGGTATAGAGACTCGGAGTAGTAATGATGGGATGGTTCTCGGGATAACTGCCACCAAGGACATAGATGATCCAACTACGGGTGTTCTCGCCTGGTGCGTTGTCAGGTTCGACAAAGCCGTTACGCCGGGAAGAATAACCCCGATGGCCATAATCTGACTCGCTAAGTCGGCGTGGTCGGTGTGGACGAGGTCTCAGTGGGGCGTTCTCTGCCGTGGTTTCGAGAGTTGTGGTTGTTGTAGTGGTCCGGATAATGCTCTCACGACGCTCGGAGTAGTTTGAGTTGGAGCGGCTAGACGGAGGACGCTGGGGCGGTAAAGTAGAGTTAGCCGAACTAACTCGTGAAAGAGCAGGGCTCAGAGATGGTCGAGATGTGTTTATGGAGCGTGATCGTGCACGATCAGGGGTCGACGAGTGACGCTGAGAATCGTATGCAGCTGGAAAGTTGGCGTGGCCGCCCATAGAAGCCCGCCGGCGATGACTGAAACGATGTGTCGGTGTCGGATCTAGGATGTGGTCGATACTGTCACTCTCGCCGCTGAACGGTGATCTTGGTAGAGCCGACAAGGCATCCAGGAAAGGCGGCATTGCAGCATCTTGAGCACCATTTGCATTCGTCTGATTTACAGAGCGAATGCCCACGATGATGACTGGAACCATACGTCCGTCGGGTCCAGTGGACTGAGCAGATGACGAGTCGTTGGCATCCCTAGAAGCATCCCTCGCCGAGCCAAAGCGGAACATTCGAAAGAAGTTGAGCGGCGCATTGGCCGAAGTCTGACCCCCTTGTCTGAGAGCCGAGGCCAAACGGCCGCTTTCCAAGGACTGGAGAAAGTTGCTGAAAGTACCATCACCGCTCACGCTATGAGCTTCTGCAATTGCCTCCTGATCACCATTCAGCAGAGTGGCGGCCGTGGTTGCAGCCGCAACTGACAAAATCCGGGATATCAAGGCCGTATTGTCTTCTCTTATCTGTCCCTCTCCTTCGGTTCTTGACCTTGTAGGTGTAGCGCCCAACACAGAAGGCTCTTGGGTTGCAGCCCCAGCAGCAGACGTCCAGATCGAGGATGGCTCAGACCCCAAGATCGGTTGAGACTCGGGCAAGGTAGTCGGCGTGAGCCTTGGAGGGGTCAAAAGAGGGTTTCGTGTTGATCTATCAGAGCGAAGAGTAGATAGGCGTTCAGAGAGAGAGGTTGGAAGACGGAAACTGGAACGTGATGATGGGGTGCGTGATTCGGGATTCGAAGTAGCAAGGTCAAGATTGAGCTCAAAGTTGTCAAAGTTGAGTTCAACATGCGGATAGGCATAGCCAAAGTCGTCAGTCCGTGAGCGAGACATTTGCGCCGGACGTGCAAAGGGGGAATGGCGAGACCCAAAGTTGTGGAGCGAAGTGCGAGCGCGCTGTAAGCGCGAAGGTCGGTGGAGGCCAGAGTCTATGTCTTCTGCATGGTCGGAACGAGGGCTGGACGAGCGGAGCATCTGGGAGAGCCTATGAATGGAAGACGAGCGAGCGGCACGTGGACGTGGACGTGAGGCGGGCGACGGTCGGGGAGACGAAGAATGTGGGCGGATGTCATGGTCGTCGGCATGGTCGTTGTCGGGGGCGAGGACCGAGGAAGCGGGCAGCGAGCGGCGCCAGAAGGACTCGCGGCGAGATGACGGGCCATCGGTAGGCGGCGAAGGCGTCGCTGTGGACGCGGCCTGACCCATGGCGGGATGCGGACACGGAGAAGGATAGATCAGCGGCGGAGAGTGCTTAGCCGATGGTGCGAGGATGGTAGTGATGATACGGCGGCCAGGATCAATAAGAGCGAGGTTGAGAAGGGGGCCAAGGGAGAAGGAGTAGAAACAAAAGAGGCGTCAGGCAGGACGAAGGGGTCGAGCTGTCGACAGGCTGACGACTTGTACACTCCCGCTACCGCACCGCTGAGCGCACCTCCGCTGGAGCAGTCGACGATGGGAGAGCGCCAAGCCAAAGAGGATGACTCGCGCTGCTGAATCAATCTATTTGAAGACCGTTTCAATCCTGCTGCACCAGCACTATAACAACTTATCGATAATTACTTGATAATTCCCGTCCGACGCTCGTTCGCTCTGCTTCGATTGTAACGCACACATTGGCTCCTCGACCATCTGCAGACCAGCGTGCAGCACACGCACTCCCTACCAAATAAGAAGCAGCTTCCCGCGCACTTGCAGATCCAAAAACTGCCGCTAAGCTTCAGCCCTGCTTGATCTTGCCGCTTGCTGCCCTGATACACTCAAGCAAAAACACGACATACTGTATATACGCACTCGTCTCATCCTGAGACACGCTGCACTGTACAAACAGTGATACCCCTCCGCTGTCTGTCCACTTTCCTTTTGCACAACCCCCACACTCACAATGCCGCCAACTGCACACCACTTTACTCCGGTCTATCCTCTGCATGAGCCTCAGCAGTCATTTCGTAGCAAGCAATATGCTCCTCCTAGGAAGCGGAAAAGACAACAAGACCCCGACGACGACGATGAAACTGATGATTCTGATTCACACATCGAACTTCTTCAGCCCTCAGTTTCATCTCACGACATCAATGACCCTTACCGTGTTGCCGGATGGCCTGAAAGTATGCCATTGCCTGGATCATCATTTCCTCATGCCCCTGCTGTCAAACAGAAAAGCCGCCAACCATTGTCCAACACTCTCCAGAATGAGCTTGCAACTCTGAACCCTCCCTTGTACGTCCCGCCTCCAGGCGAACAAGATTCCACTTCATCGCTTCGCCGTCATCATCTAGGTGTGCTCACTACCATATTGCACACAAGTCTTTTGAAACATGACTTTGTGCGTGCAGGCAGAGCATGGGGTATGATCTTGCGTACCAGTGTCGTTGGTCGACCATTCGACGTGCGCACACATGGTCGATGGGGTATTGGTGCTGAAATTTTGATGCGAAAATTCTCGCCTCAGAACGACTCTCAGGAGGAGCTCGGCAATGCATCAACGATAAGTGATCAAGGGCTTGAGGCAGCAAGAGACTATTACGAACGCTTGATCCTGCAGTTCCCCTTTCAAAAAACAAACCCGAATGCGGTATCATCGCTAACTTTCTATCCTGCAATGTTCGGTCTCTGCATTTATGAGATTCAACAGAAATGCACTCGGGCTCTTAGAAGCGTTCGCAACTCTTCGCCAGAGGTGGATCGATCCGACTCTGAATTGGAGCCAACCCAGGATCAGGGTTCAGAAGGTATCGCTGCCATCAAACGATCCGAGCTAGACTCTGCAGCACGCCTTGCAGCTCGTATGGATGAGTTGATGTTGTCTCCTCCTTTTGACACATACCCTCTACTCTTGCAGTTAAGAGGGTCAGTAGCACTTTGGCTAGCGGATCTCTACACGACCACAGCCGAGTCGAATGATGGTGATGATGAGAACAAGGAGCGTGCTTCCATGGAGCGCTCCAAGGCCAAAAGATGTATAGATAGGATGAAAGCCGCAGGTGTGGCGGTACCTGAACTAATGATGAACGTGCTGGACTGAGATCCAGACCACATGAAATTTCCGGGTTGCTGTCATGGTATCCCTTCCAAGAGTCCTCGAGTACATATAGAAAGCCCAAGCAGATTTCGTCCGTGCTCCAGATTCATCAGCCAATTTTTGCAGTAGACCTGTATCCTACATAGGTATTCAATCGTTGCGTGTCACTCATTCTTGTTATTGTAATCTTGCGGAACCTCTCAATATTCACCTGTCGATTTTGAAAAATTCAACACAAGCCACGGAGCATGCAGGCGCGTCGCGCTCTCTGCAGGGTCGCCACTACCAGGGGACCGCGGTATACAGAACCAACTTCAGCGCTGCGACACTGCCGAGGACCACTGTTCTAAACCATTCGCCTCGCATACAGCTTGTCCGTCACAAGATTCCCGCAGGCTTTCGTGGTTTTGCATCCACGTCGGGCACCAATGACTTCCTCATTCAGCACAACATTGCCGTCAACGACCTCTCCACACGCGTTGCACAGTTCCACTCTAACAAACAAAAGTTTCGCATTTCTCATGGATCAACCAACAGCACTCGTCAGACATCAAAAGGCCCCCATGTACTCGACGTGAGTGCCTTGAACAAGGTGTTGAAAGTTGATGTCGACCGAAAGATCGCATATGTTGAGCCCAATGTGCCAATGGACAGACTCGTTGAAGCCACATTGCCATATGGTCTGGTCCCTCCAGTGGTTATGGAGTTTCCCGGTATCACAGCTGGAGGTGGTTATGCAGGCACTGCAGGCGAAAGCTCGAGTTTCAAACATGGCTTCTTCAACCACACCATTGAGTCGGTTGAGATGATTCTCGCAACGGGTGAAGTGGTCAAGTGCTCTCCAACTGAGAGATCTGATCTCTTCTATGGAGCGGCCGGTGCGGTGGGTAGCTTTGGCGTCACTACACTAATTGAGCTCCGTCTTGAACCTGCANAAAAGTTTGTCGAGACGACATATCACCCCGTCACCAACATGCAGGATGCAATCGCGACCCTCGAAAAAGCCACAGCAGACCACAGTCTTGACTATGTTGACGGCATCATGTTTTCCAAGACCCAGGGAGCTGTCGTAACTGGACGCATGACCGATACACCTCCGTCAGATCTTCCCGTACAGACCTTTAGCTCTGCATGGGACCCTTGGTTCTATCAGCATGTCCAAGGTCAAATCTCCAGACCAGGAAAGGAACCCGTCGTGGAAGCTGTGCCACTTCCCGAATACCTCTTCCGTTATGATCGCGGCGGCTTCTGGGTCGGCGACATGGCATTCAAATACTTCGACTTCCCTTACAACAAATTTACCCGCTGGTTTNTGGACGATTTCACACATACACGAATGATGTATACAGCTCTGCATGCATCTGGCGAGTCCAAGCGCTGTATCATCCAAGATCTTGCTCTTCCCTACTCGACAGCCGAGAAATTTGTCGATTATACATCATCTGAACTCGACATCTTCCCTCTTTGGTTGTGCCCATTGAAGAGAACGCAACAGCCCACTATGCACCCCTACACCAGAGAAGACAAGGAACTGATGCTAAACATCGGTGTCTGGGGCTTTGGACCCAATAACCGCGCTAAATTCGTCAAGGCGAATAGAAACCTGGAAACCAAGTTGCGCGAGTTGGGTGGCATGAAGTGGCTCTACGCACAGACTTACTACACTGAGTCTGAATTCTGGGAGCAGTTTGATCGTAAATGGTATGATGAGCTTAGGGAAAAGTACGGTGCTACCAACCTGCCAAGTGTTTATGACAAGGTTAAGGCACTGCCGCAGAAGGAAGCTGCCCCCGAGAAGTTCCTCGAGAAATGGCCTTGGGCTGGATTCTTTGGCATCTGGAAGGCTATCCAGTCCAAGACCTATATTCAAGCTAGAAGTGCAACTTGGAGACAGTGGGTCAAGTAATCAGTACTTGGAAAGATCATGTAAGAATACTACTTGTACATGTGTATACATAAATAAATGCTTAGACATTGAACATGATATGACAACCCCGTACGCCATGCAACCAACATCTATACTTCCTGCTTCTCTTCCATACCAGGCGGACTGCCATTGGATGAAGAGGCTCCTTGTTCACCAGAGCTTCTTTGGGTCTCGGCAAGATGCTGGTGCCAGTCACTTTGCTCATATGAGAAGGTGTTCTCTCCACCTTTGCCATACCAGAGAGGTTCCTTGTTAGCAACTTTGACCACACTGGTCCAAGGACTCGAGGTCTGAGATGCTTGATGAAACAAGACATCAACCTCTTCGAGACAACGGCATCCAGTCTCGGGCTAGTACATTGTTAGTCGTTGGTTACAACACAGAAGCTGGAAACAACTCACATAAAAGAAATATATGACTGGTACGAGAACAGCGTTGATCACTGCGAAGATGATGTACGTTCGGTAACCAATGTGATGGAAGGCGATGGGTGCGATGAGCACGACAACGAAGTTGCTAAGCCAGTTGCCAGCAGTCGACACGGCATTGGCAGGCCCTCTGATAGCCAGAGGTGTCAACTCGACGGCCCATAGCCATGACATGCCTTGCCATCCGATGGCAAAGAAGGTGTTGTAGACGAAGATGAAGACGACCATGACAATGTGGGCGGAGCTTGAGTCGAGGTAGCTCATGATTGTGAGAATGATGAGCGAGACTGACATGCCAACAGCACCGAACATAGACAGAGCACGTCTGCCCCAGAATCGGTCGATGCCAATGACGGTGACGAAAGAAGCCAGGAACAATTCGGTTGCACTACAACCTGCGAGCAGCCTCGCCACCCATGGCTTGTAATCTGTTTGTGTGTTGAAAATGAGAGCGAGATATTGAGTGAAGAGGTTGATGCCCGTCCACTGTTGCATGACCTGCAGCATGAATGCAAGTATGGTGCGATGCAAATACCTATACTCATTCATTGAGAAGGCAGACGAGAAGCCACCACGGGCCATCTCAAGGATTGCATCCTTGATTTGGAGGAACTCCTGGCGAACTTCATCATCATCTGGAGCTGCGTCCGAAAGTGCCGACAAAACGGTCAAGGCTCCCTCTTCTCTGCCAGTAAGGATGAGCCATCGAGGAGATTCAGGAAGAAAGATGATGAGCATGAATGCCAGCATTGCGGGTACAACCTGGAATGCAGTGGCTACTCTCCACGAGGCCGAGCTTGGAGCAAGCCATGCAAAGGCAAAGTCGACCCAATAGGCCACAGCAACACCAAAGGCAATACAAGCTCCAGATGAGACCATGAGCATGGTGCCGCGACGATGTGCACGAGTCGATTCTGCTTGCCAGGCTGGCACGGCAGCAGTGTTGAAGCCATTGCCGAAACCAGCAATGAACCTTCCAGCAACCAATTGGCCATATGAGTAGGATGAGGCTTGAATCACCTTGCCAATTGCCATGAGGATCAAGCCAAGCATGATCATTTGTCTACGCCCGAGGTAGTTACCGAGGAAGACGGCGATGATGGCGCTGGCGAAGCANCTAATACGAAGGTCAGCATCTGTCGGCCAAAGAAAGCATTTTATCGTTCATACTCCAATGTTCCATGTCGCATTTGTGATTCCTTGGATGACGGCAACATGGCTGCTAAAGGGCCGTCCAACGGTATCGATCTGTGGAAATCTCTCTCTAAAGGTCGAGACTGTCAGAAGCCCTCCGAAATCACTCTGACCGTAGCCGAAGGCGACAAAGCAAAGTCCAGCTGCCAATGCAATGGCAGTTCGAAGACGCGAGCCTCTCAGACCCAGATATGGAGCCATTGTCGATGTCCGAGATGATTGAGCAAGACTTCACCCATCTCTTCCAAGAAAAGCAAGAGCGACGGGCGGGACAAATACATTTGGGCAGTCTCTTGCCCCGGCAAGCCTTCACGTCATGAACTCACAAGACAGCAGTTCACCCAGCATTTTGGGGGTTCACAGAAATTGTACAGGGGTGCGATGATGAATCGTGCACGATTTGATCTCATCGGTGACCAGCGTGCGGCTGTCGATCAGCCAGATCCGAACTTTGAATCGGGGCGAACACCTTCAGTAACACCCAACGTTCCTAACCCTTTGCGGCTCAGAACTCGACTTCACTTTGTCGGCAGTCTTGCCAGAGTACTTCGGTTCTCGTCAAGAGCACCTCTGTTACTCCTTCTCGGCGAGCGTACCAGTGACTGACATTGTACGCCTTGCATTGCATTCTCCGGACTTGCGTGCACTAACGAATGGCGCATGCAAGATTACGTCGATCTCTCCTGCCGTCTCTCGACCCTAGACACATGCCATGTTAATAACCAGACCACTCCGACCTTCCTTGAATCATCAACGCGCAACTCACCAGGTATCACGACCTTGTACCTCGTCTATCTCGTACATTTCAACATCCCACGCTCCTGCATTCCCCTCNNACTGAAATTCCCGCTCTGCAAGGGCAGCTGTCGGCACGTCAACAAAGGCTGCAGCGAGTGTTCCATCNNGGTCGCCGCCGAGCGCTTGCTCACACATTCCACATGAATATTTATCGGTAGGTAGCTTGTCTGCAACCCAAAATGTNNCCACCACAGTGCGGCCGGGCCGTCTGGGCCGCGCTTCTAGGACAGCCATGTGTTACACAAGATCCTTCGGAGCTCGAGACTGGCTGCCTTCTTGTTGATTATGAGAGTAGCCACGTGCAAACGTCTCGAGCGATCGAGTTCTCGAGTAATCTCGNNTCCACACACACTCATGGTAGGCTTGTTTGGCTGCAGCCGCATTCTCCCATCCGGGTTCCTTCATTGTCTTACATTCTTGACCAAATCATCTCGACTCGAAGTACAAACCCAAATGCACATGACCGACGAATCGTGGTTGATCCTACTCGCACTTTCAGTACCANNAATGTCAATGCGATTCNNCCAGTCTGGATCAGCTTAGCCTGCTCAGCACCATCCCTTGCTTCAGTCTGTGAAGAAAGCTCATGCAGGCTTCAACGCACGAGGACTGTTTCAGCACATCATCTCACGCAGGATTCAACAAACGCTACGTGGGGTTTTGCATTTTTANTGTGTGGCCTTGTAGGGCTGTGGCCGTGATGGTCATGCACTTGCACAAGGGAGNATTTTGCTATAACCGGTGGGGTAGTCCTCGAGGGATATTGACCTGTCACGTTTTTTCTTCCAAGATGCTTTGTGGAATCCCTTGTCCCTTTAGGATGCAATGACTTCGTCCTTCGTGGACCCTACCACGGTGCGACCTAATTTCTGCCGTCGGTCTTCATCTGCAGCCAATCAACAAGCATCATTTGGCGACGAGTCTGTATGCTGTGGAAATCACCAACCCCACTATCAACAGCAGCAATACCATCAACAACAACAACACATTTTGCAACCATCGCTGGAAGATAGTAATGTTCATTTCCACTGGGTGTCTGACGATGCTCAACCCAAGCGTGAGTCGATGTTGCTCTGTAAGGGTAGGGACTATCAGTACTGACATGAACGCAGCGTGGTCCACTTGGCCAAACACATGGTATTCCCAAGCCTCACCAGGTGCGAATGGAAGCGAACACACGGTCTCGGATTGGAACAACAGCAGCATATCTCAGTCATACATGATCTTTCCCTTGGGCAACGGAAACTATGTTCAAACCAGCCAGCCGACCACCGACAACTGGCTTCTTCAGCGCTCGTACCATGGAGCCCAAGACGTGACTGACAATCAGATTCCATGGACCTACAATCCAGTACATCCTAACTACAACGATTCACACCGACACGAGTCTCAGCCCCACGCACACGATATACCTCATCACGAAAGTAGGGCGGATGCGCAATACTCCGATCCAGGAGATGCATGCTTTGAGACAGCGCCTGTGGATCTGAATCACTACACGTTCGTCTCTCCCGATGAAGCTTTGAGCCACGAGGGCTACTATCCAGAGAAGCATGACACTGGTCATTGGAACTGGTCACAGGCCGCACCCAACGTCTTGCCTCTTCACCCTCCGCTTCGCACAGATATTGCCATTCAAGACCTCGGCCATCTTGGTGGGACTTCATACTTCTCCAAGCCGAGCTCGTCAATGGTCACACCGCGCACCCAGATATCCCCAACTTCGTCTTGCTGGGACGTTGATGACAATGCTAGTCTCGCAACTACAAATACGACGACCCCGACAGACCTCGTACCCGATCCTCCTACCGAGATGGTGGATCCGCCGTCTGAGGACATGAACCCTAGCGATAAGACTATGGTGCCACAAAGACGCAACCTCAAGGATCCGAACCATCTCTATATGCCGCGATGGATTAGGNGAGATGGCAAACAGCGAGAGGGGTGGTGTGGTGCATGTCGCCCTGGTAAATGGTTGAGTCTGAAACGTAGCACCTACTGGNTGTAAGTGGAATCATTGTTCCTAGTAAACGAATCTGCGCTGACAAGAACACTAGACCACAAGAACTTTTGCCATGGTATCACTGTTATGGGCACGCCCTTCCCGCGCCCAACTCGCACTCGAGCTTTGGCTGACGACAAAGGCTGGGAAGCATATTGTGGATCATGCAGCAAATGGATCGTGCTGAATGGTGGGAAGAAGAGTCATACATCTTGGTTCAGACACGCTTACAAGGTATGCCTGTCTCTGTTCCTCGGTACACTCAACCACAAGCTAACAGGAATAGNNTGTGATCCTTCTGCCGTAGCCAGAAGCCCGCCATCCAGAGAACTCATATATTGATCTCTGCTCACGACCATGAGCTCAACAACGATTCTCACAATCATGAGCTCAATGTCGTCGGCATTCTTCACCTCATGTACGGCTCTACCCAGGCCTGGCTCCAAACATTTTCACCTCGACACTTGAGATACGACACTCCTCACCTCAACATTCAAGACACTCTTCTCTCTGGTGGCCTTTTGTATTTTCTCGCGCTGGTGGATTTCCAATGTTTTTACATCGCTCAACGCTTTCATTTCTCCCATTTTGATAGTTTTTATCTTTTTCTTTTTTTCCAATTGTCATTCACCGGTCACGATCTTCACATTTTGGCTTGCAAGGGGTTTTCGGATGGAAAGAGCATTGGCAGCAGATTTCTTGAGCGTTCCTGCCTGTTCGGTTGCTTCGACAGCGATGCATGCATGCGGTTATAGCTTTGCTGTTTTATTTTCCTTGGGTCTCTCTGGTTTTTTTATCTCGGCCTTTCCATCAATTTACTATCTTCTCTTCGTCAATGCAGTGGTGTGACTCAATGTGCCTTTCTCGTCTGTGTATGTATGCAATGTCGAAGCCGTATTCATCGCTTTATGGCCAAGATCTTGACAGCGCATAAGTACAGACGGTAGAACAACACACCTTTCTAGTTTCGAGAAACGATCTGGCCACACATCATACGAAGGAATGATTGTCCAGACTTCGCTTTCCAAGCTTCGTTCAACTAATAGGTGCTTCTAGGTGTCTTGGGTATAGGGTGTTGAGGCTGCATCAAAAGCTCTCATCATCGCCGATCCTCTGCACTCCTGTCCACCGGCGTGGCACCCAACATCCATCCAATTCCAGACGCCAGACCACCGGTCACGGTGTTGGCAATCATGTCTCGCCTGCGCACTCTGCCAGCATCGTCCATGCCTTCATGCACTGCCTCACCGGCCGAGTCTGGCTGTTGTGCATACACCTGGGATTGCTGTTGTTGCGATGCTGCTGCACCAGCACCACGCAAGGGNAATGCATTCCTACTGAACGCCTTTGCCGCGCCCCGAGCCACATCGAATAGACCCATGGGTGCTTCTTCGTCGGCGCCGCGTCTGGCCTCTGCATTCGAGCGGCCAACTTCACGGCGGGGCTGCCCAAATACCATGCCCTCGGTCGATACGTCTGCGAAGCCGCCAGGCACGCTGATACGCTTGTCCGCGCGGTCGTCAAACTCTTCTTCTGCTTCTGTTTCGGCGGCGAGCAGGGCGTTGGTTTCTTCTTCGCAGCGGCGCCATATGTTGAGGACTTCGGAGAGGGGGGGGCTGGAGGGGCGNAGAAGGAGGGCTAAACTCAGGAGTTCGGTGCGTTGATCTAGACGGCGGAGGGTGGGTTGGGCGTTCAATTGTGGTCTGTAGCGGCCGGCGAGGAAAGCTGCACGCCAGGATACATCGTCCTCTTGCACTCCTGAATGCTCCTCTGTCGTTGATGATGGGATGGTGTCTTGTGGAGCCAGTCTGTTGACGACATACGAGTATGCAGTCTCAAAGTCGCCGACCGTGAGTGACGCTTCGACGCACATGTAGATGACCCTCTTCTCGGCGACCGAAAGCTTGGTCTGCTTGTCGTCGTCCGTTTCGAGACTCCGATCGATGAGATCGCCATCGGCATTGCGAAGTGGTAGACCAGCTGCTATTAGGTTGCGACCAATTCCTATAAGGTCATCAAGTTTTGTATAGCTATTGGCATTCTGCTCGAGCAGCTTGGGAAGGAGCGACAGAGGATCCAAGCTAGCGCGGATGTTCACGGGCTGGAAAGGAACACCGTGTTGCAACGTTAGTGAGTAGAAGGACATGGAGTGTGTGGCAGCGATCAATGCCAGAGCTTTCTTGAACTCGGCACTTTGAGGGAATCGACTTTGGCAATGGATGATTNNCTAGCTTTGGTCAGCGATGTGAGAGAAGAAAGATTATGCTTTGTCAACATACAAGTCTTGGGCTTTCTTCATGCTGCCCCTCGTTCGATTTCCGTTGCTGGCATTGTCGTAGAGTTGCATTGCCTGATCGAGTATAACCATTTCCATATCATCTGACTCAATCTGGCGAGTGTCGGAGGGAGAAAAGTATAGACGATCGACGAGTGAGTAANNCCTATATCACAAGCATGTCAGAATTTTGATCTCTGTGCAAACGATAAAAGAGAAAAAGAATGAAAATATGATTGGTAGCTAGTGATCGGAGATGTGCAAGATCCTATCAATGTCTGAAGCAAGGCCTTCATCAGCAGACTTACATCCACTCGAGATGAGCACCTTGAGCAACTCGCGTTCAATGACTGTCTTTTCAATTCGGCCAAAGATGCCAGCACCTTTGCGACCTTGGTCTTCGGGTTCAATGTTCCAGTTCCACAGCCAAAGCAGTTTGTCATAGTCATGCTGCCATTGCTGCTCATCGCGTTTCCCTCGAGCAGCCAAACCGTGCACAATCTTGAGCAGGAGAGCTAGTTGTTCGTCCTGGTCGGAGAAGAAGCGCAATTTTGCAACGTTGAGTATTGAGATGCTGTGGCCTAGACCAGAGAGCTGATAGGCGGAGTAGACCATCATCTGTAAAAGCATGTAGGTCTCGAGCTTGGGAGTGGCCAGAGGATGCTCGGGGCGCAACAGGACATCCGGTTCGAGGTATATGGTTGAGTCGGTAGCATGTAATAGCTCGGCGTGCTTATCGACCTTGGGTAGCTGTTTGACACTAGTGGCGAGTTCTGGAGGAGGCTCGAAATCAAGCAGTTGAGCCAGGCGGACAAGAATTCCATGAGCGCCGTCTATAGTCTCCGGGCTATCGGCTACGGCGGCGTAGCAAGAAGCAAAGGCAGCCTGTGCATACTGACGTTCGAGCTTGGATTGGGTATCGTCATCGAGATAGTCCTGGGGATTGTGGAAGCCGCCTAGGTCGACATCTCCGGGGCCGTCCCATTCTTCAATGAGATTGGTGACGAGTGGAAAGTTTGTTACAGCATTGTGGACCATCCATTCGAAGACGTATTCCCAATCGTGGCCCGTCTTGTCGTCCTTTGATACGCCATCGGGTTTGATAAAAGCAGTGCGTGGAGGAGAGCGGACGACGTCTTGTTCGGCGGGTTTGGGATCTTGTTTGTTGTCAAGACGACGTCTCTTGCGTTCGGTATGGCCGTACATCCAGGGGCCAACCATAGCTCTTGTATCTCTAGCGACTAGACCTTCCGAGTCGGTGGCCGAGGTAATCTCGTGTTCGACGTTGGTTACATTGTCAAGCAAGAGGTCGATACCTTGCTGGCCGTCTAGTTTCTCAAAGGCGGACACAGTTGGTGGGTCTTTGATGTCGGGGTAGTAGTCGTAGCGGAGACGCAGCAGAGGCAGGACAACCGAGACGTACCAAGTACGCAGGAAGTCATTGGTGTCGAGGAAGGGCTCTGCCAGGCGTGGAACCAGAGCGAGGAGGCCCGTCTCGTTGTCGATGCGGTTTGCTCGGTGAACGATGAAACGAGTCAACAGGTCATTGGGCGCATGAGGAGGGAATGCTGGCGGACTGAGGTCTGCGATGGAGAGCTTGTTGACGCGCCTTTGGGCCTGGTCTGATGACAGAGAGGTCACGGGTGCGGTGTCGACCTCCAGGGGTTCCTGCTGCTCCAAGTAGATGCGTGTGGCGACCTCGCGAACATAGGTCGTGTACAGGGTAGGGTCGACCGTCTCTGGCATATAGCTCAGCACGATGCGCAAGACCAGCTCGGGCGACAGCACGTCGAGACGCAGCGGCGTGAAGGCATGCAGTGCGCGGATGTTGGCTTCGCTGGCATAGTGCACTGTCAGCAGTATGCACTGCGCCGACGACAGCGCCTTTGCTTCTGTGCCCACCATATCCAGGATTTTGTTGTGAAGCATTCAAGTCGAGCCATGCCGACCACTTGTCCGCGACCTGTCGCTTGCGTCACAATGCCCGGCCCAGGCACAGACGCCCGACTGACTCGGGCTGCACATGGCTTCAGGAATACACGAGTAGAATACAACAACTTGCTTCTGCCAATTTCGATACTACTACTTATCTACATAGTGTAGCTAATCCTGTCTTCCTTCTGTGCCAATCTCGTTCAAGCGCCTGGTGGGGGAGGAGGGGTGGGTTCTCAGAGGGGGGGAGGTGGGGGAGGAGCATCGCCGGCAGGGGGAGGAGGTGGAGGGCTTCCTGCCACGCCATAGCCCTGCTGTTGCCATGGTGCCATGCCGGGTGCTGCTGCCTGTCCGTAGCCTTGATCGTAGCCGGGCGCTCCGCCATAGCCATAACCACCGTAGCCACCTCCATATCCAGCTTGAGCTTGAGGTGCTGCGTGGCTCTGCTGTTGCTGCCATGGAGCTGCACCGCCAGAAGAGTGGCCACCACTGTAGCCTCCATAGTTGTCGTTTCCGCGGCCTCCGCCAGAACCACCAGCCGCCCATGGTGCAGGTCCACCCGAGCTGCCACCCTCGCGCTCGCGACCGCCGCCGCCGCCGCCGCCACCACCACCTTGCTGCCAGGGAGCAGGACCTCCTGTAGGTCCACGTTGCCAGGGCTTGGCAGCTCCGCGGTCATCACCATATCCACCAGCTTCGATGCGAGCAGGGGCTGCGCTTCCAGTAATGGCGCCGCCAGCACCAGCTCTTGCATAAGGTTGTTGAACTCGGTGTCTGCGGGTTCGAGTTGACCGGCAGGGCGGCCAGGGGCTCCAGGAGCCGGGCGGTCGCTGTTGCGCCAATCTTGTCCACGTTGTCTGTCGGGACAATCTCTGGCCATATGACCAGCGTTACCACAGACGCGGCAGATGATGTTTGCGGTAAAGTTGCGTTGTTCGGGGCAGTCGTACTTGCGGTGTCCGATTTGGCCACAGTTCTGGCATGCTTGGTTTTCGTCGTCGCGAAGAGTACCGTTGAGAGCTGCGAGCTCACGTAGTTGGTTGCGCTTGAGCTCGTTCTGACCTTCGGGAATGGATGCGGCCTGCGATGGTGTTAGCCCATGTTCCAGAATGTAGCGCAGCCGGATTAGGTGAATGATGATTACCGTCTCGATGACGTTGTGAATCAACTGCTTGGCCTTGTTGACCTTGTCTTCGGTGTCGGCCATGATAAGACAATGCAAGTCTTCTTCCTGGTTGCTGGTGTGGGCGGCGTCGGATCGGCCCTTTCCTTCCTTGACGGAACCCTTGCCTCTGATGGCAATTTTCGCACCAGATTCTGTTTCCATCTTTTTCAGGGTGTTGCCACGAGGACCAATGAGTAGACCAACTGTTAGTAGGAAAAAACCCTAAATGTTAGTATCTGTTATGGGACATGAGAGCAGTGAATGGTTAGGGGCAGAAGAGCAGTCACACTGTAGCGTGCCATCATCATGGGGAGAATAAGGGGGAAGAGGTTAGCAATCATACTGAAGTTAATTTCTGGATAGTCGTTGACAGGCACGTAGACCTTCTCCTGCGTCTTAGTAGGACGTCTGTAGTCAGAAGGAGGGTGGTAGCCTGGGATGGTCTTCATGGCTTTTTCGACCAGCTTGTGGCGCTCTTCTTCGAGGCGCTTCTTGTAGCGGTACTCGCGAGTGTTGACGCGACGACCGAAGTTGTCGTACTGCGGAGGCGGAGAGGGTGATCTGCACTGTATGTTGGTTGTGTATAGAGGACACGAAGAGGGATGGACTCACCTGTCACCGTCGGCTGGGACGACATCGTTGATCCTCAGCTTCTGGCTGATCTCCTCAATACGCAAGTGCAGTGTGTAAGCGTCGAGTTGTTCGCTAGTCATGTTTCCGAGGACGGCGGTGGGCAAGTTCATCAGACCGGCGGCCTTGTTGTCGGTCGCGTCACCCCATCGGTTGCGCTTCTTTCTCTTCTTGGTGCCATCGGGGTTCAGCTCTGCAGATGATGGTGAGCAGGTTGCAGAGAGATCGGATGTGACTTTCATACCTCTGACAGGGCTGCGGCCGCGCTTCAGGCTGTCGCCTTCGACGGGGCCGCTGCTGTAGCTCTCCTCGGCAGGAGGTGAGCCATCTTCGCCTCCGAACCTGCGACGGTTACCCAGAGGGATGTTGTTGCTACCGGTGATGCCTTGACTGCGCCACGACATGGTGATTGTTTTGCGGTTATGGAAATGTCAAGGACGGTCGCTCGAAGTCGCTGCGAGCGTCTGGAGAAGAGCAGCGCCATCCCGCCGCGCACAGACCACCCGCCGCAGCCTTCCACGCGCTTTCCAGTAAACATCCATCCTTTCCTTCACTCAATATCAATACAGTACCTAACTCGAAATGACCGTGGATGTCTTGACCGTGATTCAACTTGGGTCTATCTAAGCTTCCACATGTCACTATCTTGAGCAGCCCTTACTTCTTCCTGTTGACTTGCGGCAGTGTTCACTGTCTCACAAGATGCTGCACCACGGAAAGCGCAAAACCGAATGATCATGCAAGACATCCTCTATTATCTCCGATGACGCTTGTAAGAGCTATGTGTATCCTGCTCGACCAGGACAACCATCGGAACTATCGTGGGATACATGCATCCCAGCCTTGGCTGATATACAGAAGATCCATATGTTCGACAGTCGTGCATATCGCACCACATGGAGTCTGATTTCGAATCTAGGTCTGACCTCCGAGTAACATGGCTTGACACGCGTCTCTTCTTCTTGAACTGGTGAACAACTGACTGCTCCACCAAGACAGTGAGATATAATCTGACACGGCGCATTCGAGACTTATGCATAAAGGCCACTGTCCTGGGCTGGGCGGAAAGCAACCTCCGGCTCTACTGCGTTGCAGAACACAGATACGTCGACTAAACCACCACATGAGGAAACGACGGCTATCCGTCGGTCTGCATCAGAATCGCTGCTCGGCGGCAACTGTATGCCTAGCAGATCGATCGATTCTACTGCTGAACACACTCAGCGCCAAACCTGCGATCGGTTGTGGCTACACTTCATATCAAGCAATTTATTGCCAGGTAGCTGAAACTCTTCGCTAACAACTATGGCTGGGATATGTTGCTGAACTTGAACGAGCCAGAGCCTAAGCGAGTGTGCTGTACTTGCTGCTTCGGGTGTTGTGGAGAGAGAAGCGAATGCTCAAGGCAAGCGAGAGTTGGCAGCTGCAGTTGCACTCTGAAAACAGTGGGGAATGCAGAAGAAGACACGGCTCTTTGTGTGAGACCTGAAGAAGAAGATGTGTAATTTGCCAGGCTCATGTCTTCGAATTGGAGAACGAGCAGGCAGGCTAGATAATCTCATTGTCCAACCAACATTCTTGCTTAGGTATCAATACAGAAACAAAGAGATATGTAGTGACCGTAAACCATAGACTATGCTTATCCGAGTTAGAGGCTGTAACACTGGGGCGCTTGACGAGTGGGCTCCCGGCTGGTTATACCACTCTAGATTTCAGAAGAGGACAATAGTTTGTGTGTGTCGTGCTGCAGGATATGCTATGACCACGGTTTTTTGGGGCTGTGGACGAGATCGATCCAAGGATGTGTGCCTGGCAGGGTCGCAGGGGTGTGAAGCAAGATCGACGAAGCGCCAGCTTGGCTAGAGAGCAGTATCAGAGCCCGACGGTGCTGGAGAAAGCCCCTGGAACGTCTGTTTCGGTAGCCGCTCTGATCGCAAAGCCTCCTCAGGCCTGCTCCTTAGACTAGATGCTCCACCATTCGTGTTTCACGTTACGGGCCCGTTGCAGCAGGAAACGTGCAGCAGGTCACCACAAAGACGATGCGAGAACGCATTGGAGGCACATGCTGACAAGGGAGACGCGCATGGACAGGGTCAAAGACCAAGTGTTTGAAGCACGATAAATCTCTGACTGTCTTTCTGAATCAACACCTCGCCCCTTCGCTCGCGAACTCCGTCAGTTCTATTTACAGTGGTTGGGTTTACCTTGCATGCCACCACCCCCATCCTCTTCCCGACTTTGCATCCGCCAAGACAGCTGTGCTGGTCGTCCATTCGTTATCCGCTCCCTCGATATTCTCCAGGTCTAGCCTTTTCAGCTTCGCTCGTCCTTGAAGCTACGGTGCAGGCCACCTCCCTCCATTCTTTAACATTCCCGTCGGACATCAACTGCGTGCTCTGGAAGTCTAGATTCTGCAATCCTTCCATTGTTTACCACCCCTCCTGTTGATCAGTGAGAATTATCCAGCATGGCACCATACAGCACTTCGTTGCTCTTCGCCGTCTTTACGACCGCTGTGACGGCCTACCAGCCCAATCTGACACCCGAGCAAGAGGCCCTGCTTAACGACTCATACTATCAGAACCACCGTATCCAATGGTATCTTGGTTATGTCTGGGCGGCGACCGTGGCAGCCATCTTCACTTACCGCGTCACGGTCACTGCATTGCGATATGTACGAACGCTGGCATGTTTGGAAAACGAGAAGCAGCACTACTTTGTCAACCCTCACCCCGGCTGGGCTGGTTTAAGGCGCAACATCATCGATGCTCCCCTTTTCCGCAGAAGACACAATCGCGAGTTCAAGCTCTCGGCTGCAGCCAGCATGGGAACGTTGCCTGGCAGACTCCAAACCATGTATCTCATTGGTTCGTCATCATGTCTCGTTGAAATGTGTGAGTTGCTAATCTTCCTTGCAGGCTATCTAGCAATGAACATTGCTNTTTGCGTCGTGAGCATTCATTGGAGCGGCGGCGATATTGCTACCGAAATCAGAAATCGCACCGGCGTATTGTCAGTGATGAACATGCTGCCCCTGTTCCTGCTCGCCGGTCGCAACAACCCACTGATCAAATTGCTCGACATGTCATTCGACACTTACAACCTCATGCACCGCTGGATTGGCCGTATCGTGGTTCTCGAAGCAGTGGCTCATACTGCTGCATGGATGGCAAGCAAGATCATGACCGGTATGTTGTATCGTTGCTTGTCACTGTTACTCGACTAATTCTAGTAAANNGCTACCTCGTCTTCGGTCGGCTGGAACATCATTGGTAAGGCCATGGCTAGCAGTCAACTTATCCTGACTGGCACAATTGTAAGTTGTACCTGCTCTCGACATCTTTCCTTCTAGACTCACACGACCAAACAGGCTACTTGCGCCTTCATCGCCCTGTTGCTTCACTCGCCTTCAGTCGTTCGTCATGCGTTCTACGAGACCTTCCTGCACGTCCATATCGTCTTGGCAATCATTTCCATCGTCACTATCTGGATCCATCTCAAGACACTCCCTCAGCAAATATTGATCCTCGGTGTCGTTGTCATCTGGGTCTTTGAACGTACTGCGCGTGTCGCCATCTTGATTCGTCACAATGTCGGTCGGGGCGGTACTCGAGCTGAAATTGAGGCTCTAGCCGGAGAAGCCATCAGGGTCACTATTCGCATGGCACGTCCCTGGAAGTTCCGTGCTGGTCAACACCTTTATCTGTATCTGCCTGCGGTTGGCATGTGGACAAGTCATCCGTTCACCATCGCTTGGAATCAAGAGGAACAGGATCTTACCTCTGAGAAGCTGCCGACCGATGCGCTTGATGTGTTGGCTAGACGCAAGACAACCATGTCTTTGATTATCCGCCGCCGTACTGGTTTCACCGATTCGCTCTGGAAGAAAGCTGAGAATGCACCTGATGGCAGATTCTTCACCAACGCCTTTGTCGAGGGTCCATACGGGGCTGCCGATTCTTACGAGTCTTATGGTCATGTCATGCTGTTCGCCGCTGGTGTTGGTATCACTCATGCCGTACCGCACGCCCGTCAGCTTGTGGGTGGCTACGCCAACAATACTTGCGCCACCCGCAAGGTCGTTCTTGTATGGATCCTTCAAAGCCCAGAGCATCTTGAATGGATTCGTCCTTGGATGACTGAAATCTTGGCCATGGAGAAGAGACGTGATTGTCTTCGCATTCTTCTCTTCGTCACTCGTCCCAAGAGCACCAAGGAAATTCACTCCCCTAGCGCTTCGGTCCAGATGTTCCCTGGCAAGCCTGACGTGGGTGCTCTGATTTCTGCAGAGCAAGCCAAACAGGTTGGCGCCATGGCCGTCAGTGTCTGTGGTACTGGGNGTTTGGGTGACGACGTTAGACGTGCCGTCAGAGAACGCTGTGAGAAGACGACGATTGATTTCTACGAGGAAAGCTTCACCTGGTAGATGGTTATGTTTCTGAACGGATATATGCTGGTTCAAATGTGATGATGGCACGGATGCTAGACATTCGATGGACGATCAGGAATCGTTCCAAAGTTTTGGTTCTTCTCTTCTTTTTCCACCTCGCTGAGGCTTCTTCCTCTTCTTGTTCTTCTTACGCTCCTTATGATTGTCCTCGAGTGGACGTTCCTTCTTCGCAATTCTCTTCGCTAGTCGATCGAAATGTCAAACCAAGTTTTCTGCCTTGATCCGTCACTTGTTGTGAAACATAGCATTTATTGTTGCTCGAGAACACTCTTGGTATGCGACTTCTGAACCTGCCTAGAGTACCGTTTTACTTTCTGCCCTCAACCATGATAATGTGGTAGCCTTCGCTAGTCTTGGCTTCGGCCCATTTGGGGCTGTTGGTAGTGCTGGCCGGCAATTCAAAAGCAACATTCTCAAACTCGGGCATGAGGTTTCCTCTGGTCTTCCAGCCTAGCGAGCCACCTGTGACAATATCTCGTTAGAATTTGTCAACGAACGTGGCGCTGAGCGACTGACCTTGGCGAGCCTTGTCTTCGGAGAATTCTCTGGCGACTTCATCAAACTTGACGCCAGCATTCAACTTGGCAAGTGCCTCTTCCTTCTTTGCGTGCTTTTCACATAGAATGTGGCGAACATTGATACTCTGGGCTNNGCATGATATAGAGGTTAATGTATGCTGACAGCGCAGCCATGGCTTAAAGCACTAACCTCCTTTGACTTTTGCTCCGCCTGCCTTTTCTGGCTCTTTGGCTTTGCCTTTGTTGTTCTTTGGCGCCATCTTGATGAGAGTTGTGTTGTTGCGTGAGAGAAAGCTGCTGGACTTGCGGCTGATGCGCGTGATAGAAGGAAGTGAAGCCAACAGCTCTAGTCGTTGGCAACCATAACTTCGTTTGTTGACATCTAGTCTCTTTCCATCCATCATTCCAGACGTATCCGTCGCGTTGCCTTCCAGCGGCCGATCATCGGGCATAAATCACAATCGCGGACACTTCATTCTGTCATCTACCACTTCTTTCCAACAAGACTCGATTTACTTGGGACAGACATGGCAGCCGATAATGCTCTAGAGGGCTGTGAGATCCCAGGAATCCCTGGTAGCATGTACTACATACCGAACTTCATCGACCCGCAGGAAGAAGCAGAATTGTTGAACGCAATACCATCGAATCGCTGGATCCAATTACAGCACCGTCGTTTGCAAACTCAACCATCCTCACTTTCAAAAAGCAACACACTTCTCGAAGCACCGCTGCCTTCTTGGCTCGTCAACCCGGTCATCTCAAAATTCAAGTCACTTGGTCTGTTCAATGACAGTCCGCATCACGCGCCTAACCACGTCTTGATCAACGAGTACAACCCAAATGAAGGAATCATGCCACATGAGGATGGCGCAGCATACTATCCCATCGTAGCTACAGTAAGCCTGTCGAGTGCTTTGTGCCTTGATATATACGAAAAGGCTCAAGATGGAGATCAAGCTCGCCCCAGTTCAACACCCAAGTGGCGAGTATTGCAAGAGCCACGCTCTCTTCTTGTCACCTGTGGGTCCGCGTATACCGACACTCTACATGGCATATCAGAAATCGAGATCGATGAGGACTTGGGTCCCGATACCGTGGCTAATTGGACTCTTCTCGGCGACCACAAAGTCTTTATTGATAACGGAGGCCAAAATGTGCGCACGACTCGAATCAGTCTCACATACAGAGATGTTTTGAAGGTCTCAAAGGTCGGGGCAAGAATACTGGGCAGACCGAGAGGCTGAAATATCACAAACAACGACACAAGAGACGCCTTGCCATGGCTGAATCATTGCAGCTCAGACTGGTCTGAAGTACAGTTGCCTACTCAGTGGTTCGTGCTGTTCTCTCAACGACTCCTCCACCACGAACAACAAGTGCGACGTCCTCAATACAACCTCTTCAAGATCAACCGTATACGAGACTGCAACTTCCTCTTCTGAAGAAAACAAAACAGGGTTATCTCTCTTCCACTTTCTTTCTTTGACTCTAAACTTGACTCCACCAGCTTGATCGGCTGTATTAACCCAAAGAATAGATGAATCATCTGCTGGAGGGCTAGAAGAAGTCAAGTGGGCGTCCGCTTTGGTCTGTGTAGCCAGCCAGTCTCTCCAGACTCTGATAGTACCTTCGCAGACCTCGACAGCCGTAAGTATCGTGTCTGGGCGTGGTCCGGGCTTCACTAGCATAAGAGTTGCGATCAGTTGAGTGAACAGCTCGTCCGCGTCCAGAGATACTTGTTGAGACACTAAGTTACTTTCTGTATTGTGGACGTGAATACCTGGGTCAGCAGAAGTTGGATGAGTCCTTGAGCCTGGTATGTCCCCAGCAGGATGTTTGAGAGACGGTCTTCGCACCTCTTGGTGCTGAGGTCTGAATCTGGAATACACAGCTTTCCCCAGATGGCCGATTTTTGCCGAGTCGGAAAGGCTCTCGATGGACTTGTCGTCCAGACCTGAGGTACCGAGCGATGTGCAGAACAGCTTACCGGCCGTCAATCTGGCACTTGGTGGATATAACTCGAGCATCAAGATGTGGTCGAGCAGAGTCGCAGCAGCTGTCAGGCGATTCTGCAGGATTCTGACACAAATTGAATGGAATCTACGCGAGACTGGAGCAAAGGTCAAGACATTCTTTGTGGTGAAGGAGTGCAAAATGTCGTAGAGAAGCTATTGAATCCATTAGCCGAGCATCAGTAAGAATCAGATATGGTGCAGTGGTAGTACCTCGTTTGGCAAGGCATCAAAACCACGGTGCTTTGTAGAATCCATCTTATGTGAAACAAGAGGCAAGTCAGACCCTCTTCACTCGAGACAGGCAGGTGCGACTCGAAAAAGGAGTGGCCGGGAGGACAGGCTCTAAATAATGACGCCTGTGACGTTGGCCCGATCGGGAAAGCGCGGGGTTGACGATAAGGACCTTATCGCTTTGTTTATTCCATTTGAGCGACCAGAATTCTACCATCGACATCCTCACGTCGTGGATCATCATATCTGGGAGTATCCGTCGTCATGTCGAGTATGGGCAAGTTTGTTCAGAGTCGCGATCCAGACAATGTCGATAATCACTGGGATTCAACATATCTTGGTCGGCCGGCAACAGCCCAGAAGATACACAATGCCCATGAGCGCAACGGCCATCATGTGTACGACACAGACACTGAGAGTTTTGATGCAACTCGTACTTCTCTCGATGACCACGACTACGCTGCTTCCGATGACACTCAAGATGGAGCAGACTACAACCAGTACGGCGAGCAGCCGTTTCAAGGACATCAAGGACATGGTCTTCCTGCGTCTGGTGAAGACCTCGATGGCATCGATGGCTTAATGGTGCAGATGAGGAAAGACCTAGCTCGTCCTGGCTATGTTGAGCCTGAATCCTACCCTCCTACCACTTCTGGCGAACCAGACCCAGTCGAGGACTTTTCGGATGGAGTCGATGTTGAGCATCCACAAGCCCAATTCCGTGCTGAGCAGCTGCGTGATGTTTACAAGATCAAAGACCCACAGAGACATGTTGCTTCCCCTACTTTGGTCATCCAGTCCCGCAAGGAGGACTTCAAAGTCGCAACCAAAACAACCATAAGTCAGAAAGATGTACAGAACCNNAGAAGAAATCGCAGACCAAGACACAACAACCGGTCTCTCAGCCTGTGGCCAAACNATGATCCAGAGCAGTTTCAGGCTCCCGCTCAGAGAGCCGCAATCCACAAGTCCGCTGCACGAGTTCCCGACAAACAACCTAACCAGGCACATCGACAACCTTCTCATGTTCAGAACGCAAAAGCCAATCACCGTCAACAGCAAGTCAGCGAAGCTGACCATCATCATCAGCAGTATGTGAGAAGGGCCAATCATCAAGAACAGCACCTCAATGGTTTCGATCATCATCAACAACAGCAACAGCACAGGACCGAAGAGTCTCCGGAGGAGAACTACGAACAGAACACGCATTCAGAAAACCTCGATCATGGCCTAGAAGAGTTGTACGCCAAGGACTTTGATGAACTGCAGAAAGAACCTTTCGATGGACCGCTTCGTGAGNGGGTCCACGAAGCTCCGTCTGACCCTTCGAAACCACTCGGCGAGAGACTTGCATCTGCTCACAGACTCGATGTCCCCAGTCAGAAAGAGCTCTTTTCTTCGTTGAGCATTGAGGAGTGGGAAGAGGCCGGAGACTGGTTCCAAGAGCGCTTTTCTAAGGTCTTTGGAAAGCTCAAAGCTGCACGTAAAAAGAGGCGCAACCTGGCTTCGGAGTTCGAGAAACGCGTCGCCGAGAGGCAGCAAGCGCTCACCAAGAAGAGAANNAAGATTACCGACGATGCACTGTTAGAGATGAAGAAGTCGGGAAGCCAGGTTCTGNGGGGTACGCCAAAGAAGAAGCAAAAATTCACGGAGTGATGCGAGGAGAGTGGCTGAGTTACTGGGTGATGATAACGACTGCATGATATGGGTCTGTTTTTTCTTCTTGCTTTCACATTTGCGGCATGCTATAGCGCTTTATACCCTATTTGCTGGTTGTTGTTGGGTTTTCTTCTCAATCTTGCTAGAACTTCTGATCGAAATAGCTCCGTCCTTCAACAAGTCATGTCGTTGAAGTCAAGATATGCACGTTGCTCTATCACATTTCAGAGAGATCCAACGGTGAGTTGATCATTTGCAGAGCGGATGTTACATGGAATCGGTGGAATATCGGCTCCATTTCATTCCATTCCACCACTTCCAGCTAGTATTCCATTCTGTGCCAATTCTCTAGTGGAATGATGCCAATTCCAATTTTGCTGCTGTTGTTGTCGCCACCCTGTCCATGTGGAGGGTCACCCTGTCGTTTGATTAGTAATCATCAGGCTTGGCACGATTATGTAAGCGCGATAAGATATGAAGATCAACATACCCAATAGAAATAATATCAACTTTGCTAGAGAGTGGAATGGTGGAATATTCCACTAAAATTGACGATTCTATTCCATGCCAACGGAGTAGAATATTCCACTCACAATCAGTGGAATATTCCAACATTCTACTTGTTCCATGCCATTTAACATCCGCACTGATCATTTGGTTGTGTGGCTTTGCTGTGGGCGTGACCCTGGTCTTTCGTGGCGACATCGATGAGTGCTCCAACACGACTAGATAGATGATAAATCTTTCGCTTCTAGGAGCATGGTACACATCTAATGCCTAGTACGCCATTAAGCTGCCCTGAAGTGTTGTGTTGGCGTCAAAACTCATTAACTTTGTATGTAAGCTGACTACTCAGATCTCTGATTTCAGAGATCATGTGAGGCTACCGAAAGACATCCAGGAATGCAAGTACCGATGTTTCCAGGCCGTTGCTCTGGTGTGACTGGCAGTAACTAGCTGGGTGTTTACTAAGATACTTGAGCCGGTAGCTGGCATGGTACAGTAGGTGTCCCGCACGGAGTCCATCACCGACGTTGAACCTGACAGTGGCTCCACCGACCACAAGGCACTGGAACCAGGTAGTTGGGGACAGCAGAGTCCCCAGGATTAGAGCCTTGGGCCTCGCAGTAGAGTTCATGCAACAACAGACCTCGTGGTCAGGAGCCACGCAGGAAGTATGCAGACATGAGTGAGCGGAGGTACAGTAGAAGCTGAAGCAGAAGAATTTGTGCGGAGCTGTATCCAGTCTCGTGCAGTAGTCACCATTGAGCATGAGGCATGAAGGCGGCTGCAAGTTGAAAGGCACCAGGCTGACTCATGACATTGAATATTCCGCGAGCCAAGAGGACAACCAAACCATCACTGAACATTTGCGGTCAATGTCTGGCGAGCGATTTGACCCTCTCAAACACACAGTTACTTGCCGCTCGACACCGCCATCTCGAGTGATGCAATCGTATGCATCTCTAAGGAGACGGTCGTCTCGTCTGTTTCGAATAGCAGCGACAAAGAGGTCATCATGACTTTTTCGCATCAGGCCTCCCAACTTAGCAGCCCAGTACTGCCCACCAGGGCGAACTCTAATCCGGAAGCTCGGCCAGTCCAAACACAAACGATGGCGGTAGAGCGATATTGGAGAAACCTACTAATGCAGGTGAGGGAACAAACCCAGAATGTTGCGATATATTAAAGAGCCGATGGTCAATGCCATGGCTCACATGGCCTTCTGATTCCTTCTTTGGGATCTGGGTAATTAGTACGAGACTGCGACGTCTGTTTCAGACACTGGAGTGGTACACATTCGTGATCAGAAGACCTTGACTAGACAGGAGTGGTCAGAGGATCTGCTCATAATGTTGGTAAGGCAGGATCTACGGCTTCCGAGAATGGTTCGTCGCAACGACAATTGAGCTGGACACCAGATCGAGAGTCGGTGTGAGACGCCCTTGCGTATATTAAACTTGCATGTTTCCACTGGTAATGGAATATGAGCGGTGTATTCTCGAGCAATCGATATTTGAGATGTACTGGTCATTTCCCCTTGGAATTTGTCGATTGGAGACCAGTCAAATTCACTGACGACAACAGCCTATCGTGAACCGCGACGGAAAGCCATACAGAATGCCTGCTGTCCTGACCCGGAATCCGGTTGTATCGAAGGAATTGATTCCTGGTGGTAGATTGGCGCTTCATGCAAGCAGATGCAAGAGTCTCGTTGCGGAAGTCGGTTACGTGATCGGCTAGGACAGGACGTCGCGACTCGCCAAGTCGGCGGCAATCTGCAGCCTCCATCTGATGGCTTGTTGTCAATCATTCTGGCAAGATAGTCAGTGGGTAGAGTACGTGCGCGAGGCAGACTAGGTAATGTTCAGTCTCAAGGTATCTCGAGGAGCGATCGTGATACCTTGTTGATCCATCCATACTCTGAGCGAAGCCATACAAATTCCACTCGTGGCCTGTTTGCTTCAAAAATTCTGGGACCCAATATACTCGATATGGTATCTTTCTATGCGTTATAGATTAATGCTAGGAAATGAATCTGGATTGGCAGGCTCTTCTTTCGGCCGAATGAATCTTCATTTAATGATATGTCGTGTTGCTTCGAGTATTGAGATTGCCGTGTCGTACCATGAACACTCTCATAGGTCGATATTCATGGCCGGCCAGAGCGGTATATGCAAGCCCTACATGACGCCGGTGGAGCACCAGCTCTGAGTCCACCGTTGGTCTCTGCTCCCCCGAAACCTTATAAGGCTCAGCCTTGTGTCCTGTGTGCAGGATGCTATCCTCCGAGTGCATGCATTGTGGCATGAGCTCGCGGTTTCTCGTTGAGTGTTGCATGCACAGAAGATTTGGAAATGCTACGCCCCAGCTGATCGAGACAAGTTTCGTAGTTGCATGGCCTATGTGTTGCAGTAGATGGCCACCGACGGCGGCATCGCTAGACACGATTGCCGCAAGACAAGTCGTTTGACCGGCAATTCCAGCGGCCCATATGGGATTATATCTCCACATGGCTCCTTGCGATACTGTTTAACATGACTCTGTAAAGTCGATAGCGGATGATTTTCCCTGGCAAGGTCCACAAAAAAGAACAGACACTCACTACGACCCGCGGTTATGCACGTTGACAGAGCATGGCGGCGGGGAACACACGGACAAAAGAACTAGCCCATGGCGCGATCGTCCATATCGACAAGCAAATCCAGGTAGCTGGGTCCTCAAGAGGGACGAGTGCAAGAGACGCACCGACACCTGCCACTTTCTGGCCGCTGTCAACGCACGTCTTTCTTCCTTGCGCCATCGATTCACAGCAAATGGCGTCACCAACCTAGGTGTTTTTGTAGTACGAGCACTGCTGGCATTTGATCAAGGGACTGCCGCGTCGAACAGATCGTTGCACAATCATATCTAAATTCTGCACACGCAAAATAGAAGGTCCTCGATAATGATGTCTTATTCGGTGCCCTCGGCCAAGTTCTTTTCGGCGGCTAGATCGGGTGAGCAGATGGGATCCTTAGTGCTGTCGGCCTGACGCAACCGGGACATTTCTCTGATCGCAAGCTTCATTGGCTGTGATAAAAGGACACACACACAATAAATGAGAGGGATCTGATGGCCGAGCGTGCATGGTCGCAAGATACCACGAGTGCGGTTTCCTGCAAAGATGCGTCTTCGTGCATTCTCGCGAGTGTTTCAGAATGGTTCCTATGTCGTGAGTAGAGGTTCTTGGATAGCAACGGTGTGGACTATCCGAGTACACGAGTGTGGCCGTTTGTGGTGATGGCTGTTGCCCGCTTGCGCATAACGTACGGCATGTGTGTGTATCAGACCTCTGTGTGCTCCTGAGCAACTTGACTTTTGAACCCTCGAACGGTTTCGATGCGCTCTGATAATGGCAGTTGCTGAGAGATCTGTTCCCGGGACACACGCCAGACTCGAATGCGCACAGTGCTTGTCGACTTGGTTTGGTTTGTATCGTAGACCGGATCTGTCAGGGCAGGGCTGGTCCGACCCGCCGTCGCCAAAGCNTTGCCTAGCACAGATGATTTGCAAAAATGGGAAATCTTTCATGCAGGTGTGCTCACTTTGCAGCCACCAACTTACCAAGCCTCTGGGTTGGTGGCGGAACTGACTTGTCCCAAGTTGCGTACTCTTGCTGCAAGCATCACCCATCTGTCGACTTCTTGGAGGGCTGCGAGCGAGCTTCGACCACCACACGATCCTTTGGCTGGCCGAACAGCTGCTAGACTTGTTNNAGTGAACAAGTCAGCGCACTGATCTGTTGGTAGACGGCGTGAGTGATGTTGGAACATGATTCGACCTTCCAAGTCACGGCCCTCAGATCTGGGCCACATTGAGATTGACAATGCGCTCATCAGACCCGTATCCAAGTGAGATTGATGGAGCAGCGGGTGCGGAGCATACATGCTTATTTCGAACCCGCTTGGATACTGGTCAACAGGGGGACGCTCAGATCAAGATGCAGTAGTAGAATATGGCAAAGACCAGCGTGAAGCCTCTCTTTCATCATGTCAAGAGAATGCGGCCGTTCTTGGTTACATTTATCCCGTCCCATCGCCCATACTTGACCACGTCCTGTACACTTCGTTCTTCCATCATCGAACTTCACTCCAGACTTACTATCATCTGATCGCCAACTTGACGACTTGGCTTGACCATTGACTACCTATCTATTGTATCAACACGACCAATAAAGATACATATACGAACACTCATACCGTGACATCCGATCGTCCACGCAAAAGTCACAGCATATCCATACCCTTGCATCAGAACTGCTGGCAGTAACTCATCAGTGCATACTAGAAACGTAAGACACACCAAACGAACGGCATGAGGTTGGAACTGAAAAGAAGAGCAGACGTCGATTCCACGGACTTGTCGTGATTCGAGGACCGCGTCGGTCACACGGATAGATACGCGTACCCTGGAATCAGAACAAGGCCGACAGCCGTCACGACCACCAACAGGACTGGAAATCCCCAGAAAGGAGAACACGAAACTAAACTCCGTAGAGATCCAAACAAGCCCGCGAGATTACGAATCAAATCAAGACTGGACTGGAAACCGAGCAGGACTGAGTGGTTCATTTCCCTTAGAGAGGCTCGAAACAGCGCCCAGGAATTCGGTGCAGGACATCCGGGACTTGTCAAAGGGTGAAACAGACCAAGGGGCGTTTTCCCTCGGGACTTCTCTCGACCTTCTCGAAGGTGACGATAATAGAATCCGGGTGACGTCGCGCAGAGGACGCGTCCAGGTTGACAGAAATTCCTCCTGAAAAGGGGGAAACCAACTGCAGGCACAAAAGCAAAAGTGCCCACCGCAGAACATCTGACACGAGGCAATCTCCCCAAGAGGCAGCAAAGCAGCAGCGTAATTCGAGCAGAGAGAAAAAGTCGACGAAGCCAGTGTTTGAGAAGCAAGAAGCCAGCCAAATCGGGTAAAGCGTCGTCCACAGCCACATTTGAACTTCGCGGGTCGCTCCCTGCCAAAAATCACACCGGTCGCATCCTGGTCTTCGCTCCTTCCTTCCAAACCCTCCATTCTGCGCACTCTCATCGACCAGAAGATCAAGAAAGAGTCGTCGTCAAGTCGCGACTTCTTCTTTTGTTTCTTTTACCAACTGTGCGCGGTTTTCGTCTCTGTCCCCATCAAAGGTATGCTTGTCGTCCTCTCCACCTTCGCCTCCCTATCATCGCCCTCGTTGTTCGTTTTTTCCCATCAACACACGCGTTTTCCCGACACCCGTCCCTCTTGTGCTGCATCCATCCATCGCGCGCATCGACCGCATATCGACCGCAACGCCCTGACACTTTTGTCGGTCCCTCCCTCCGTTCACACATCCACTCATGTCGTCGTCGCCGCCTTTACCTTCGCTTGACCCATGACCGTTTCCAATGCCCAGCAACTAACATGATCCTAATCCAGTCCTGACCGCTCTTCTCACTCGCGCTCCTCGTCCGACCACAACAACGACGACCGAATTTCATCTTCGACGCGTCTGTCTCATTGCTCTCTGCTCTCTGCTCGTCTGCATCTCGTCGCGCATCTCACTATAACGCGTGCCTGGCGAAGAAAAAACCTGCCTATCAGTCAGTAGTCCCAACCACACACACGCCGTGTGCCGAAAGTCTTCTTGCACACACATAGACGTTTTGTCTTATACGCCCACATGTTGCTCCCTCGGATCGATTCGCTCTTGTGGCCCAGCACGAGGAGGGACAGTGGCATCGTCGGCAGAATGAAGTTGAATAGCATCCTGAATACTAACAAGTTTCCATCAGACACTCCCGACAGAGTCATGCAGTACGAAGTTCCTCACTACNCCCCTCCCGCCCACCACGACATGTCGTCGGCGGCACCCGCGCCCCAGTACACCCAGAACCTCTACGTGCCTACCGGTAGAATCAAGTCCGAGAATGGCTCCGAGCGTGGTGTCTCACCTCACCCTTCTGACCCCTCGTCACGTTATTCTTCTCAAGCCCCTCCTGCCATCCACCCTGCCGCCTACCCACCTCAAGGCCTGAACAGCCTTGGCCCCGCCATGCGCTACCCCTCGCCCTCTCAGCTACACCAGCAGATGCCCTTGATTCAACATAGCTACCACCCCGCCTCGAACGACCCAGCATATGCTCAACCACCCATGAGTGCAGCCCCTCCGCCAGTTCAGGATCAACAACCTCAGCAAGAAGGAACCCAGCGCAGCACCGGCAGCGGCCTGCCCAAGGCTTTTGCATGCTCGACCTGTGGCAAGGGATTCGCTCGCAGAAGTGATCTCGCCAGACATGGTATGTCGATTGTGAAAAGTTAGGAAGCCCCTCGCTGACACCGTGTTANNGAACGCATTCACAGTGGCGTGCGCCCTCACGTCTGCGACTATCCAGGATGCGGAAAGCAGTTCATCCAGCGCTCTGCTCTTACAGTGCACTCTCGCGTCCACANNCAGGAGAAAAGCCTCACATGTGTGAGCGTTGCGGCAAGGTTCGTAAAAGCGTTTTTGAATTTCGCTGTCGCGTCCGATTTGCTAACAGCGTTTGTACAGCCCTTCAGCGACTCATCGTCTCTTGCGCGTCACCGCAGAATCCACTCTGGCAAGAGACCTTACAAGTGCCCCTATGCCGACTGCCAGAAGACTTTCACGCGTCGCACAACTCTGACGCGTCACCAAAACCACCACACCGGCACCATTGAGGAGTCAGCCGCTGCCACCGCTGCAGCCTTGGCCTCGCGTGCCTCGATGCAGACGCGTGGATCGCGCTCTGATGGAGAAGAATACTCGGAGAACAAGTCGCCGATGCCTACTCCCTCGCCCCACGACCGCCCCGTCTCGGTTTCACCCGCTGGTGGTATGAACGGCGTTGCTGCACTTCAGCGTCAAACCTCGGACTACTACATGAACGCCATGAACGGTGGTATGACGATGCCCCCACACATGCGCAACGAGATGGCTACACACAGCCCGCGCTCCGCCTCTCCGGCCAACTCTCATTATTCCATGCCCAGCTCGGCCAGTCAAGCCCGCCAGCCATTGACCTCTCACCCTGGTGCATACCCTCTTCCATCAACGTTGGAGCCACCTACTACCAATCCCCCTAGCCAGAACGGCAGCGTTGGAGGTAGCCCCCACATGGGTGGCTCTGGCTGGCAGTCCCCTGCTCACCAATCGATTGGTGGAGCGCAGCAGGCCGACTACTCGTACCCTGATCCCAACACTCAGCAGTACGTGCAGAACGCTCAAAACTTGTATTACCAAAACCAAAACATGCGTCGCCCTCAAAGCACGGATCCCATGGACCCTTACCATGCACAACGCATTGGCCACGTTGGCCAGGAGCTCTGGGCCCAACACCCGCAATGAGGCATGTATAAGACAAGTCGGCGAATTAGACGGGGCTGGAGTTTAGCAGACAGGCGCACTGGGTGTCTCTATCGTAGGACGGAGTTTCGATGGTCTTGCCGCATTTTCATTTGCTTTTCACACACTTTTCGCTGCAGCACAGGCTGTGGGCTTATGCACGGGGCGGCGTTCTGACAATATTCATTCGTTTGTCTCTTTCTCGAGTGGCCCATACGACTCGAAGGTGTTCTGGTGGGACATGAGTGGCATTTGGTCTTGTTTGTCTTTCAGCGGCATATATGCAGGGCGTGGTTGCGTCGGGGGCAGATAATGACCTGACGTTTGTGTAACTATATTATAGAGACTGCTGAAGCAGCGGAAAATGCATACATTGTTGCACATCGCAAGACATTTGAGGTCAATGTTCGAGAAGATGGTTGACTGAATACTCGTAATCTGACTCTCCCAAAGTGGCAGGCAGGTGGCAGTGGCCGGCCAAGAAAGTGTGACCATGGACCGTGGGGATTTGGGGCTGCACGGACCGATGACGAAGACGTGCTGAGAGTGTTCGAACCTCCACACACGCATCTCGTCGTCGCATGCACGCCCAAACTCTCCACTTTCTGTCCTGTAGCAATCCACTCCAACCTCGCTGCCGCCGCCCGTCTCGTCACTGCCCTCATCCTGTCGCATTGACGCGTGCATCTCGATCGCTCACCCTTCTTTCTCCCACACCACACCGGGCCCGCCGCGAGCCCCAGTCCACCACACACCATGTCGCAAATGCTTAGGAGTGTCAAGAATGTCACCAAGGGATACTCGTCCGTCCAGGTCAAAGTTCGAAATGGTTCGTCTTCTTCAGTCGACGAGTCTGCCCGTACTGATACTATGCACANNGCGACCAGCAATGACCCTTGGGGCCCGACAGGCACCGACATGGCCGAAATCGCCAAGATCACCTACAACAGGTATGCACATCCCACTGCGCTTCTGCTGCAACCGGCACTGACACTATGCCTTCNNAGTTCGACGGATTTCTACGAAGTCATGGATATGCTCGACAAGCGCCTGAACGACAAGGGCAAGAACTGGCGTCACGTCCTCAAATCGCTCAAGGTTCTCGACTACTGCCTTCACGAGGGCTCCGAGCTGTGCGTCACATGGGCTCGCAAGAACATCTACATCATTCGCACCCTCCGCGAGTTCATCTACCTTGACGAGGAGGGCCGCGATGTTGGCCAGAACAGTACGTGTCCCCATAGCCTTGCCTAGACCATGCTGACTAGCCTTGCAGTTCGTGTCTCTGCCAAGGAGTTGACCTCTCTCATCATGGATGAAGAACGCCTGCGCTCCGAACGTCAAAACAGACACTCGTGGAAATCAAGAGTCACTGGTCTCGAAGACATGGCTGGCGGAGGCTACGAAAGCGAGACACATTCGACACCGAGAAAGCCCCGCGAGCGTGCCAACAGAACACGCACGTCAGACGAAGATCTCGAGTACAGACTTGCGCTCGAAGCAAGTAAGAACGAGGCCGAGGAAGATGCCAGACGACGTGCCATGAAGAACCGAGGCGGCGAGGAAGACGACGACCTGGCCAAGGCGCTCAGGTTGAGCAAGGAGGAAGAAGAAGCACGCAAGCGCGAATTCGACGATGCAAATGCAAGTTCGCTGTTTGACGACACGCCCGCTCAGACGCAGCAGCCCACTGGCTTCAACCAGGGTTACCAGCAGCAGACAGCCGTCGACTGGTTCGGCAACCCCATGGGCCAACAGCAACCTCAGTCCACTGGATACTTGAACAATGCCTACAACCAGCAGCCGCTCCAGGCTCAGCAGACGGCTTTCCCACAGCAAGACTATTCTGGCTACTACCAACAGCCTCAACCCACCGGCTTTGACCAATCTTTCCAGCAGCAGCAACAGCCGCAGCAGCAGTTCCTCCAGCCCCAGGCCACCGGCTACAATCCATGGGCTACTCAGATGCAGCCTCAGCAACAGCAACAGCCCCAGCAGACGGCCCAACCCGGCTCCAACAACCCATGGGCTCTTTCGTCTCCTGCTTCGCAAGAAGCTCTGCGCCCTCAGGCCACCGGCTCTAACAATCCCTTTGCCTCGTCTTTCAACCGCCCGCAGCAGACTCAGCAGAGAGCACCTACACTGTCTGCACTGCAAGAACAAAAGACGGCTACCCAGTTCAACCAAGCCGCATACAACCCCATCACCAGCTACCAGGCTCCTCCACCCGCAGCTGCTCCCTTCCAACAACCAGCTCAGACCGCCCAACCCATGGACCCTCACCGTGCTCAGCTCAACGCCCTTCTTTCTTCTGGCGAAGGCCAAGATACCTTTGGCAATGTCGGAAACATGCGTATCCCTGCGCAGCACACGGCTCCTGGTACCTTTGTCAACAGTGCTGGCCAGGGACTAACCAAGCTCGAAGCCTCGCGCACTGGCAACAACCCCTTCTTACAATCCCAGTTCACCGGCATGCCCCAGCAGCAGTTCCCTGCACAAACCGGGCCTGCAAACGGACATGCATCATCCAATCCTTTTGGCCAAAAACAGCAAGGCCCTCAACAGTCTGGCAGCCTTATCGACCTGTGATATCCTTCTTTATTATTGCCTTTTCTCTTGTTTCGTACTGTTTCCTCTGCCAAACTACCCCTTGTCTTTTTTATTTTATCCGTCCTATCTTCCTCTCAGCCGTCTCATCATCTGTGTCATAGACTTTCTGGAGCGGCGTGTTCTTAGGACCCTTTGCCCTGGTTTTGTAACTTGAGATACCGCTAATCGTCTGATCATATCTTGTACTTTTTCCTCATTCAAAAAGAGATTCTTTAATCGAACCATGACATTACGTGAACCCCCCCTATCTGTCGCTGCTCGTCAACCACTGCACCTCTCAATACACAACTAGCTATGCATCCTCGAATTTGCAACAAGGTGCTCAGACTCGAAGACCCACCTCGACTGATAGGTCGGTGGTCGCTCTATTTGAATCTGACCCTTGTCCTCAAAAAGCTGTGATGTAAGAGGTTTGACATTGTAAAGCCCCCGTACCCTTACCAACATACCACACCTCCTAACTCTAGCTCTGTGCCGTCCGATGTGCCTCCTTGACAGGATCTCAGTATCCATTGCTTGTGTGGCTGGTGCTCGTTCCCTCATCCGTCGACAACGACTTTGAGCGAGTTTGATTGGACTGTGCAGGCTTGTTTCTGCTGTCACGAAACCGAAATACATGCCCTAGGATGTAGAAAATCAGTCGAGCTTCATTTTCTCCGGGTGCAATCAAGATTACACAACATCCATCTCATAATCCAATTTTCTTCGTTAAAACTCTCGATATCATGTCCTTTCTCATATCCAGGCTTGGTCTCAGGACTCGCCTCGCGATAGATTCTCAGAATCTCGTTGTGCACTGCTGATTCACAGATTTGAACGTTTGAATAGGGTGGTTGTACCTGTATTCGTCAGCTGCGATCATACTACTGTCTACTCAGTTGCTGACACACACANTTAGGATCACCTCTCAATTGAGGCAACAGACTGTTTGGACTGCTGAGGATACGTTCCCGTCCTAGGATCGCCTCGTCCTATAGGAGTGATCAGCACAATTTCTCCAAGTCTACTACAGATCGTCTATCTCACTTTNNCATCAACTCATAGAGACGATTATCAGAACTCTTCTGAGACGACAGTCCAAGCCGCTGGAAGAAATTTCCTTTGGAATCACTGCGTGCTAGAGGTTGTAGTTGTGGGGCCATTGCATGCCAACAACTCTCTAGACAGCAAGATACTCTCCAAAATTCTTGCGGCAGGTGTTGAGTTTTCATGTCTTCAACTGTCATGTCCAGGCATAGTTTGTAGCGACATCGGGTCTTGTGAGAGTACCTCTTGCCAGGAGCTTTAAGAGATATCCGTTCGCCCCGTGCCGCTATTGCGATCTACCCTGCATTTGCATGTGAGATGGTTCAAACGTAGCGAGCGTTCTTCTGATCCTGGATGGGTGAAACAGCTCACGTTTATCGTATCATGACATCTACCCATGATACATTGGGTCGAAGTCCGGCTATCTGTATGATGGAGCGCTGTGCGAGATTGACAGGTATCAAAGATTGCCGCAGTGCGGCAATCGATGAGCTCTGCGAATAATCGAGATCTCGATACTAGATTGGGACTGTACGACACTTTTGGAAGACGGGATCACACCACCACACATTGAAGTCTTGGTCGATGCCAGTATGTCTGATTGTGTTGTGCCAGCAATGTTGTCAGGGATCTTGCATGCACCAACGAGATCAGTCACAAGTGTAGAACAGTCTAGCAACTGCCGACAGCAAGTCGAACACTGCGTTTATCAACTCCGGTAGACTTCTCCAAAATTCATGGGGACGACTAGCCTAGTAAAGTATATGCATCACCCCTGTTTGGCTTGTAAGCGTTGGGCAGCAACATGCCGACTGATATATAGAGTCAACGACCCATGCAAGTTACCTTGAAGAGTCGACTTGGCACGTGTAAAAGCACAGCGAGTGTTAGTCTGGATCTTGAAGCTCGCTGGTCAAGTGGACGCGCATTAGCATATGTGGTCAGGGCTGATTTGGCTCATGAACATTGGCTGGTCACTCTTTCCTTCCACAGTCGAACTTCATCTCTTGACGTATGAGCAGCCCTAATCACATGCTTCGTAAACACGACAAATAAAGCCATGTGAAATAGAAAAGGAAGGTGCTGTGGGATATCAGCAAAACACCAAAGCAGCATCCTTCTCCCACGACGAACCATACTTCACACAAAACATCCTACCGCAAGCAGCACATCGATCAACATGCTTCTTTTCCCCCATCATCTACCCAAGAACCACTTCGCGATAGCACCAATCGCAAATACCTTGATCATTCGAACGGAAGCTGGCGATCAACTTCCAGGAAATCTTGTTACCTCACAGACCTAGCAATCTCGGAAGTTGGCTCGTCCGATATATCGATATACAATGCATCAAGAGCGCCATCATGCGTATCAGACATTGCTTCGGATTCGAGTCACCATCGTTCCTCCAATCATTCCATTGCTGCCGATCACGAGGCCCAGCCTATTCACGCACGAGCAAAGAGCGAAGGAAGTGCTCAACATGACATGGTCCGGTTCGTCAATCGTCCGCACGGCACGCCTCTCTTCACCATCGCCGAGCAAAAGTCGCTAGCCACGCTCCGAACCCAGATCTCCTTCGCTTCTTTCAGGAGGAGAGGACCCACTTCTCTCGTTACGACATCCTCCGGAAAACCTAAGGCTGCCAGCGTCGATGATACGGTACTATACACGACCCGACGTGTACCCTCCCGTAATACTCAAGCTTCGTCAATACCCAGCTCTAGGGGTGATCCAGTGCATCCTTGGCAACCACCATTTGTGCCACCTCATCGTGTGAAGACGCCCGAAGGTGTACCACACTGGCCAGCAACCGCTCGTGTCTCTCTCGTACGAAGCATAGCAAGAACCCTGAGCTCCGCGACCTCATTGTCTCCAGGCGAAGGCACTCGTTTCGTCTTGAGGACTCTGCGTTCAGAGATTCGATTACGTCGTAGACCACAACCTCGTAATTGGCGTCCACCAGTCAGTGGACATTCGACATATCATTACGACCAACCTTCTGAACATCCGCTCAACAGTGCACGCCTCGCAGAGGTCATACAATCAGAAGATGATAGACAGGATGAGACGCAAGCTTCGCTACTCCCAGTGCCAACTCTCGCAGAGAGACAATCTTTGGATAGGCGGTGTCGTTCAAAGTCAGCCAACGCTTCCCTGGCTCAACGAGCGCTCGGGGCCATTGATGGTAACGCCATTCCGATCAACCCTGCTCAAGCAATCAGAGCTCGTTCCGTATCAGTCCCTCAAAGGTTGGGAATAACAGAAGCCTCGTCGACTTCGAGACCACCCATCCAGAATGCGGTACAGACGGGCCAAAGTACAGAAGTTTATCCTTCTGATACGATACGGACCATCGAAACGATCGAGAGCTTTCCGTCACCGCCATCCAGGACGTCGACGAAGACAAGGGAACGATTGCCATTCTTTGCGCCAGTACCTCAGAGAGCTCCGTTCGCTCATTTCTTGGATGAGGGAAACTCGACGACAGGTACCTCTGCAAGTCAAGACTAGGCGTCGAACAATGGCTTCTTGGTACCACAACAAGCAACTGACACTTCGATCTTGACGACAGGGGGTACACCACCAATCCGGGGTGAGCAGGACAGGTACACCTTCTCGGGTATGCCGATATACCGTGACGATGCGGCATCGTTACACAGTCACGATCGCTCGCAGTTTCGACGGATGTCCGATATGGACNTTCAAGATGGCGGCAATGTGCCGCCGGAGCAGACTGATGTTCGCGAAGGACCAGATAGTGAGATGCCAGGCGGTCAAACAGGTTCTCCTCATGTCACCAACCTAGTCTTGAGTACAAGAGACAACGGTCAGGATGGCACCATTTCAACTACGACCGAAGCGAAGCAGAAGAAAAGGGGCTGGAAAGCCATGTTAAGAACATTGCGCTCAAGGATGATGCAGAGAAAGAACGGACCTGGAAGCAAGAGCTGTTGGATTACTAAACCTGTTGCCCGGAGTATGCACTGGATTGGACAGGGTTGTCTGTGTCGAGACAAGATCGAGGATGGATCGAGTGATGGGACCAGTCGACAAGCTATCCGACTTGTCCATGTCTGAGGCTCTGCTGTTAAGGGGTATCACTGAACACTCGAGACACCTAAACACTACAATGACATTGTTACTCTTTGCAAGACGAAAAGACTGTTTTTGTATTCATGGGGTGCGACCTGTAATGAGCGGAACCCCCGTGATCGTGAATAAATTGGGCATGAGTCGTGAAGCGTTATATGGGCCAAAAACCAAGGCTAAAAGGAGGCGATTCACTCCTAGACGCTGCAATATGCAGATGGTTGAAATGTATGTACAAGATATGTGTGTTTGGTGCCGCGCTAAGAGAACTTGACACCAGCTCTTTTCCTCTTCGCCGGAGATGTCAAACCCGGCAACTCGCTACTGTCCTTTTGTCCCGTTGCCGACCTCACCGCGGACCTGCCCAGCGTGGTCTTGACTCGCTTCTTTGCGGGGCTAGACAAGCCGGGCAGAGAAGACGTGTGAGCAACTGTTGAACTTGCTACATCGTTCTTTGGCGGAGCAAACTCGAGTCTAGCAGACAGAGATAGAGGTTTGAGTGCGGTGAATGGAGTAGATGGCTTTTTCGGCGTTCCCAGGCTGGTGGTCAGAGGTTCAGAGGGCTGTGGTGCAGGTATTGTGGGTGCTAGTGGTGGGGCTGTGGATACTGGCTTTGGAACCCCGAGTTTGGAAGAACGTGCAGGAGTCGCGATTCGAGACTTTCGCTTGATAGACACTGGTTTGGCACGCGGTGTGGGTTCGCTTGGTAGCTGAAGTGCCTGTCGCAATTCTTGCTCTGTGGCTTCGACGTCCATCTCGGTAGATTCTGGGGCCACTTCTTCGACGGGCTCCTCGGCAGATGTGAGGGGGACAAAGGGCTCCAAGGCTCTGGCAGACACTCTTGAAGTGCGAGCCTTTGTTTTTGGCGGACTGTCGGGTGAATCCGACTCGAACTCACGTACGCGGGTTAGAGTTTCGTTCCACTGCACACCTCTGCGTGCTGTTGGTTTGTCGCTTTGCTCTTTCTCAGCCGCAAATGTCTCAGCTGGTTCTTCCGTCGAATCTTCGAGTGAAACGATGTCTTCTCCAATGTTCAAAAGTCTAGCCTGAGGCATGATACTCTTGCCCTTGTTCTTGCGTGTGTTGGATCGCGTGAGCAAAGCCAGTTCCTGTGCTTCCGTTCTCTTCAGCGCAATGTGATCGGCTGCACTTCTAATGGCGATCTTGGCTGGCTTTTTCGGAGCGGCAGCTGGTGTGCGGGTACGCGTCGTCCTTCTCGGTGCCTTGGATTTTGTCGGTGTCGACGCCGGCAACTCAACGGTAGGTTCCTCCTTTGTAGGCTCGGGTTCTTGCTTGGTGTCATCTGAAGGTTGCTTTGGAGGACTGTTCGGGTCAAGATCGGTCAAGACTTCGGACTTGTCGGCGGAAGCAAGGGCATGGCGCACGACATCCGAGTCTCTGCGGTTCTCGAGCGATTCGCGTTTGTGGGCGGCCATAGGTCGTTTGCTTGCAGCGGCGCGGCTGAGGAAGGCATGGAGGATAGCGGTATCGTCTGAAATTCTAGGTTTGGGAACAGGTTCGGGGGTGTTGGTGTCTTCCGGAGGAGCTGACGATGAGCGCAAGTCCTGGAGGATTACAGGCTCTGCATCCTCAGCGTCACTCGGATCAGAGAAGGAGTCTTGAGGGTGAAAGGGGTTCGGACCAGCATCGAGGTTAACACAGCGTTTCTTCTTCTGGGGACCAGGCGACTTTGGGGCAGTGAGTTGGGCAAAACGCAATTGTGACTGCAAGTGATGATATGGGGCTTTTGGGGCGCGTTGATAGAGACGAGTGATTGTGATGCGTGAAGGACCCAGGTGAGCGGCGTCGGTCGAGTTCCATGAAAATTGCTGTGGACGCGACAAGACGGGTGCGGCGGGGGCAGAGTGCGGACGAGCGGGCGGCGACAGTGTCAAGAAAGGAGCAGACGCGTCGACGTCCATGTTGGAGCGAAGCAGTCGTGCAAAGCGATAAAGATGAACGGGAAGCAGGAGCGACTTCGACTTGAACGTGGACAACGTGCGAGGCACATGCAAGATGATGTTTGATGACAAGCACAACAAAGCCAACCGTGCGTAGGGCAACGCGAAACCCGCACCTGTTCGGGGAAGGTGCGCCGACGCCAAGCACAAGATTTCTAGAGCAGCGACGAGGTGCTGAATTGAGTCTCTGTCATACAGCAGCATATCATTGTCGCCAGTAGCTCGCCATGGTCGTCAAGAACACCCAAGCTGTCGCAAAGGCCACTGCGCCCCGTCTGCCGCCCCTCCACAAGCTGCGCGTCCGCAAGCCCGACCAGGCTGGCGCAAACCCTTGCATCGGTGTCATGTCTTCTGTCCTCGGTATGCTTGGTCGCAACTGCTTTTGCCTTGCTGTTCTTGCTCTGACACGCTCTACAGGATGCTGGGCCTCGTCTGGATACACGGCTCAAGGATGTGCCGCCCTTGAACAACAACTTCGCGCATGCATGGACGCCCNNCCGTATGTTTTGGCCGCCTTGTCTCGAACCACGACCATCCTGACTCTAACTCTTGCGCAGAAAGCTGGCCAAACCAAGAAGAGTTCGATCAACTACCATCTCTCGAGATTATACCCCCAGATCATCGGTCCACACAAGCGAAACTAGTGCTTGGTCGAATCTTCTTATACTTCACGACTGCATCCTGGCATTACACGGCGTATCGGCGACAAGAATACTCCCTCTTGATCTTTGCTTCTTTTTCAGGCGGCGACCTGTCATTCTCTCTGTACTACAACCATATCTTCAACATGTACAATTCTGCTCAAAAGTTCCTGTCAGCCAGGACTATTTTCCCACAAGCTGTCGTCTACTCAGCCATGACCCTTGTCATCTAGGATTGTCCTGTGCTTTCCAAAAGAGGCCTCAGATGTGGGCTCTGCATCACACGCACAGAAATTGTACCTGAATGGGCCTATCAGACAAGTTCGCTTGACATGTAGAGAGCAAGCTTCCTTGCCGAGGCTGTTTCGTGATATGAAGTTTAAAGCGTGCACCTCCCATGTCACCCACCTGCTGCATTTTTCATGAACCCATTTGCAACTATTGAGTATGCATTTCTTGTCCTGGTCGTTGATGGCGGGCTCGATCCCCGCATGATTGGCCAAAGCTCTGGTGTGCTTCTAGACGTTTCGGTAATAATATTTCCTCGCTGTCCCGGCCTCCCTCCTGTCGCTTGACCATCATCTTCAATACCCTTTGTGTTCTTGTCTACTTATTTGCTGCTTGCCATCTTCTTTTCCTTCTCTTCCAATTGTTTAACTGTCCACGCACGGTAAGTTCCCCAACTCTGCCTGATCATCCCACGTCACCTTTATATGATGAGACACCAGCTGGCACCAGTCCTAGAAAGACTTGTACTCTTTTTGCTGCGGAATAGCTTGCGGGGACAATGTCCCTATCTCTGATATAAATACCCATTCTCATCTCTGCATGGCCGTCTTGACCCTTGGCGCATCCTTGACTGACCATCAATTCCAATAGACGCGCATAATCCACTTACTCGTCTCGCTTACCGCTTCACACCGCCAACATGGTTCTTCACAACCCAAACAACTGGCACTGGGTCAACAAGGATGTCTCGGGCTGGACCAAGGAATATCTGGAGAAGGACCTCGTCGGCATCAAGGCAGAGAAGGATGGTGCATCTGCTGAGATCTCAAAGTTGCTGAGCCAGGAGGGTGATGTCGAGGTCGCACAACGCAAGGGCAAGGTCATCACCATCTTCGACCTCAAGCTGCAACTCGAGTACACTGGCAAGACCAAGGACGACGAGGATGTCAGCGGTACAATTACCATCCCCGAGGTTGCACACGACACCGAGGAGGATGAGTACGTTGTGCGTAATTCCACGCCCTTCGCACACTGAACTTGTTGCTGACGTGTCGTCTAGTTCGAGATTGAGATGTACTCCGAGTCTTCATCCAAGACCCCTGTCAAGGACCTCGTCCGATCGCAAATCACTTCGCAGCTCCGCGCCAGATTCCAGCAGCTGGGCCACGCTCTGATGGACGCTCACGCCAAAGACATCCAGCACGCAGCTGGCCACAAGCCTGGCTTCACCCCCGCCAAGGTCTATTCTAGCTCGTCCGTCAACAAATCCGAGGACTCCAAGCCCTCGACCGCAACCTCCACCTCCAATGGCAAGGGCCCCACCGTCAACGTGACCAGCCTCAGCGACCAGCAAGAATTCCGCTGCGACGCTCCCATGCTCTTCCAGATCCTCACCGACCCCCAACGCATCGCTGCCTTCACCCGCGCACCTCCAAAGATCTTCGAGGGCGCCAGACCCGGCGGCAAGTTTGAGATTTTCGGCGGAAACGTCAGCGGAGAGTACGTCGAGCTCTCGGAACCTACAAAGATTGTCCAGAAGTGGCGCTTGGCTCAGTGGCCCCAGGGTCATTACAGTACTTTGAACATTGCATTCGAGCAGAACAATGTCGACTCTGTTACAATCATGCGTGTTGACTGGACTGGTGTGCCCGTTGGCGAGGAGGAGGCCACTAAGCGCAACTGGGAGAACTACTACGTCCGCTCGATGAAGCAGACATTCGGCATTGGCTCCATTCTGTGAGAGAGAGCAAAAGCCAGTCAGCTTCCTCGCAAGAAAAGCGTCAAAAGAATTTTACGGGTACATGAAAGCATTTCAATCGGACTTCATCGGTTCGTTGTCTCTCAAACAGAGAGACTCATAGATACGAATAATCATACAAATTATAGACGTCAAGTCACTCCACTTTTGGAATCTGCTTCTTTCCCACCGATTATTGGCTTGGTGCAAACTTGAAGTCCTCGTCGTGCACCCAGTTTCCGCGATCGTACTTGAACAGCGATAGACCGAGAACTGTGCCATGGCATCCCTGCCATTCATGCTGCACCTGCTCAAATGCCTTTTGCACTTCCTTTTCGTCATCGACCTTGTTCATGATGGTGTAATGAGCAGCGAATCCTCCGGCATCTTGGTGACTCAAGAAATCCGACCATGCAGCCTTCAATTGCTGGTGAACCTGTCTCGCATCATCACCACCCGACGACTTGGGCAAACCAATAGCAATACCCTTGTTCAATCGGAACGGCGTCGCGGCAAGGAGATGGAACTGGCTGGTCTTGCTCGAAATTTCTCTCAGAGTTGGCTTGATTGATTCCTCGAGTAGACTTCCGGGTAGTGCGTGGAAGAGAGTGATGTGGGCGTCGAGTCTGTTCAAACGAGGAGGGAAGTATTTCTTCCGTGTCTCGGTCAAGATGCGGTGGTGTTTGGCGTCTGTTAGAAGAGTCAAGACATAGACTGAGTCTTCGGCAGCTGATGTCNNTTTGGTGTGTATGAAGGTGAATGAGTAGGACTGTGTCCTGATCTACCGTGTCGGTGTCCCTGCTGCTCGCCAGAAGCATGCTGGCGGTGATTTGAAGAGGAGTGGTTGGCGACTGGATTGTTGNACAGGCTTTGGTTGCGGCTTTGGAATGTCTGCAGACCCTGCGGCCGCAGAGTATGAAAGTCGAGTATTTTGTGACATGATTGTTCGTGCTTGCTGGGTCAATCTTCTTCGGGAAGTGATTGAAAGTCTGTACATGGTNCGTAGGAATCGTCACGAGCTGGACAGAAAGACTTTATGATGTCCTTGACGAGAAACGGTGTCNCATGACGTAGCCAANCTTCTGACGCGTTGTGTCAAGAAGCACTGTTGCTATTCAACCCAACGAGTAAATAACTCTTTGGACAAACAAAATGATCTCAACATTCTGACTTCGTTCTTGGTAGCCGTGAGGTTTCGTTCAATCTGTCCGAGATGGTCGCTGTTTTGGTCAAGACAGCCACTTCATAGTGTTGCTGGGTACCAAGCGCTTCAACGTTTCGATATGCATCACTTGACCCTTTAGTTTAAGGTCTCTGACATCTGATCGAGTTTTTGTAGTGGTATCTATACGCCGAGCATTTTCGCCGTAGACGATGGTGAAATCAGGCAGGTGTTCTGATTGAATGCTGGAGGATGCAGTTATCTTGCAGAANCTATAATCCCAAAGTCAGTATACTACACACACAATCGACAATATAAACCTCACCTTGCCTACAACGACACCAGGTCCTAACGTTGAGTTGGCCTCTATCGTACTGCCAGCTCCAACCTTCTCAGCCTGCACGATTGATCCGCTCTCGACGCTGACACTTTCCTCGAGTTCGACCGTTGTTCCAGCAAAAGTTCCGGGGCTGTCGCTCAAGCCCACGGTAGCACGATCTCCAACAACGCAATTTTTTCCAATACGGACAGCTCCCGTGTTGGATGTGATTTTGGCAAAGGGGTGAAGCACCACATTTTCACCAATGGAAACGGGATGTGTGCCGACAATTACAGCCTTGTCGGAAATTATGGCAGACGGATGAATTGAGCAAGGCGGTTTGGGTCCGGCAACAGCTGAGGCCTGACGACGGACGCTGCCCGAACCAGAAGACATGATAAAGGTATTCGAGATAATAGCCAGCGGACACAAACAATTGAGAGTTGCATAAACAATGGTGACACGTGCAGGCGGGATGTGGATGTTGCCGAGAGATTTGAAGCTCCCTCCAACTTCACTCCTTCAGAACCAACCTGTCTTCCACATGCGCATTTGACCTGTAAGACTATAACTTGCAAACATGTACCATTTCCTCTTGGCCAGCTGTGTTGATCAGGCCATCAGCGCGACTATGTATCAGACCGCCTGCCTTGCGATACTGGACCAATCAAGTGCTTCTCAGTGTGAGACGCGTTTGTCTGGCACAGCAGCAATCAAGCATATGATAGGCTGGGTAGGCTATTTACTTGTGCATGTAGTGATCGAGCAGTTCCGTGTCTTTGTAGGTCAAGTCGAAGAGCAGACGCGTCTTGTAAGGGAAGGCGCCAATTCACTGGTGAGAGAGTGCAAATCCGGCATGGTAGGTAATGGCAGGTGCGACGCAAAGAAGATTTCACAACCCCATTTCCTAGATCTGTCTCCCTCATTTGGGCCCCAAGAAAGAAAAAGACGGTGCCGGAGGTATCCAGCAGAAGTTCCGCGATGATGGTGCTGTTTCCATGTCTCGTTTGTAGCTGGCGTTGTTTATCGCGGACCAACAGACAACCTTTTTATCGCACACAACTCGATTATTCACAACACTTTCCACAATTCCACACCACGTTCCGATTCTGAATGACACAACGCAACCATGGTCAAATCCAATAAATTCGACTATACAGGTGTAAGCTTGCCGGCGTCCGTGATAAGACGCGTTGCGCACTCGCTGACATGCACGCACGTAGNNCGCACATCATCGGGCCCGAAATTGGGCAAGTCAATCGCATCGGACCTCGAAAAGCGAGCAGACAAGAAGCAGCGCGAGGCCAACAAACCATCATCGTCAACTCCCAGGTTGTCGTTGAGACTGCCCGCCTCGGCCAAGCGCACTCCACACAAGGATCGACTCAAGCTCAAGGACAGAGATCGTGATGACTGCGATGGCGATGCAAAGGACAGCACGCTTCACAAGCTCGATCTCAAGGTGCCTAGCAAATCCTTGACCGACGAGGGCTTTACTCTTCTCGCCGACGGCCTGCAAAACGCCCTCACAACATGCCGAGACCTGGCTCTGGTTGATCTCAACCTCACCAACAACGACCTCACCACCCGATCTCTGGCCCGTCTGGCTCCTCTCATCCAGGCATCTTGCTACACCCTACAAACTCTTGACCTGTCTCACAACAAGTTCCAAGTCTTGACTGACGTGCAGGCTGAAGAGTGGCAGCTTTTCCTTCAGTCCTTCCGCGGCTGCATGACCCTGCGAAGACTTGACCTCGGAGACAACNCCTCACTCGGATCACGAGCCTTTGAGGTCCTTGCCCGCGTCTACTCACGCGAGCCCGCTGTGGATCCTGAGCCCGCCACTAGCAACCTGTCATTCATCACCTTGCCGGACAGCTGCTCCGTACTTAGCAACAGTAGCTTTGACGGCTCCCACATCAGGAACGGCAACGACCCCGACCTTCCGAGATGTGCCAACGGAAAGACCCTTGCCGACGCATGGATGCTCAAGGATCGCCGCGGTCTTCGATCGATTCCATACTTGACCTTGACCAATGTCGGCCTGGACGACACGGGTGCTCTCTTCCTGTCCTACGTTTTGGAACAGCACTACTATCCCATCCAACTGGTCACAGAAAATAATGCAGCCGATGCCACATCCTCTATTCGTACCTACCGTCAAGATGCCAACACAAAGGGCATTGATTGGGACAACAACTCCGAGTTCTTGTCCAAGGACGGCCTTCACTTGCTGCAATGTGCTGAGAAGCTGAGAATGAGGATACTATTGGGAGACTCGGACAGCATCACCAGCTCGTACATGTCGGCAGGTGTCCCAGACGCCCTCGAAGCATCTCCTAGAATGACATCCAGCACCCACTTGCGTCGTTCAAGCCTCTTCTCCGTTCAGTCGGCTGACTACAGTATGTTTGACAAATCAGACATTCAGAGTGCTCGCAAGAAGGTTCAGCGCAACACCATAGGACATGCTGGTTGTGAAAGCGTCGATCTCTGGCGCGCATCTCTAGCTGCAATTATTGCGTCGCGCAAGGTCTTTCTTCTGGCACCTGTGTTCAAGACGTTCAACGCCACCAAGTTGGTCTCAGAGACAGGCAAACAGGACGTCGAGCCCGCTTTGAGCAACAACGGCCATGCTATCGAGATTGACATCAATGAGGTGGTTGGCATGCCTGTTACCGATGAACACCTCGAACGTTCTCTGAACACGCTCTCAATCCACTCGGATTCGGTGAACTTCGAAGACGGTCAGGCGAAGCGCTCCTATGCCTCCACTCTCATGACAACCTCGCCTGTTGACTCCATGAACCCTGACTTGACTATGCCCGACGGCACTGCAGTCTTGAGCTCGCAGTCTAGCACCAAGATTCTTCGTACTAGCACCTCATCCCGTGGTCACTTCACAGGCTCAGAGAGAAACAGTTCAGACGGCACCCAGAAGGTCGGAGGATTCGTCAAGCCCAGTGTTAGCTCTGAGGAGTACATGCAATTCCAGCGAAACAGAATGGAGAAGCTAAAGGCATACCACAAAGGCGAGAGCGACGGCTACAGGGATGCCAGTCTGCGTTGCCACCTTCCTCTTCCGCTCTGCCTTGACATTCTCAGACTCGGCATGAGCGCTGTTGATCTCAGCCATCTCGGTAAGGACAAGCAAATCAAGGCGTTCACATGGGGTCAGAAGAGGGAGACTCTGAAGAGTGGCTACGATTGGAGAATGAAGGACGAGAGCTCTCAGCTTCTTATGCTGCTCTCTGGTGCTGAGTGTGTCGAGTATTGAGGATCGGTAGCAGACGGAGAGGCAGAGTCTCAGTGTGGCTTGTAAATCGGAGCCTAGAGGATCCAGAGGTTGGTGCTTACTTCAAGTAACCAACAACGAAAAGACATTCATTTACAGTGTTCCCTTCATTACATGCTTTTCCATGCCCTTGATCGATCGAAGTAATTCCGTGCAGAAGTTGAATGTCTGAAGAAAATAAGTACCTAACTCGAGTGCATTGTTTATCACATGCCGATCGGCAGCATGACGTAGGTGTATGGACTTTTGTCCCTTCCGGCGGCGAGTCCTCCAACCCACATCAAAACCATACACAATACGTTTCCAGGTCAGAACAACGAAAATCTCATTTGCTGCAATCATACTAGCAGCTATAGCCATGGTCCGAAAATCCTACAGGACCGTCGAGACAGGCGACGACAGCACGACCGTCACGGCGCCGGCCTTGGAGGTCGAGGCACCCTCGACCTTTAGCGATGGACTCCCACTACCACAAGTTATGGTCTTTGATCTGGACTATACCCTCTGGCCCTTCTGGGTAGACACCCATGTCACCGGCCCTTTGAAGCCTACTAAAGATGGCCTGGTGGTCAAGGATCGTTACAACGACTCGTACGGCTTTTATCCAGATGTTGCGGGCATCTTGGTCGCAGTATGTCTTTCTATACTCTCAGCTGCACAAGTATATCTACTAACTCTCTCATCTCACAGANTCAAAGAAAAGAACCTAACACTCTGCACGGCCTCACGAACCCAAGCCNCCGAACTCGCCCGCGAAATGCTTTCCTACCTCCTCGTTCCTTCGTCACCATCATCCTCATCTTCATCACCAAAAGCGCTCTCCACCTTCGACGAACTAGAGATCTATCCCGGAGACAAGAAAACGCATTTCTCGCGCATACACAAGAGGACGAATATTCCTTATGAAGAAATGTTGTTCTTTGATGATGAATCGAGGAATAAAAATGTGGAGACGTTGGGGGTGGTGATGAAGTTGGTGAGGGATGGTGTTTCGAGGAAGGAGATTGATGCTGGGGTCAAGTTGTGGAGGGAGAGGAATCATAGGTTGAAGAAGGAGGATTGATGTTGATGATGGTCTTTTGCGATTTTGCACTTGAATTATTCAGATGACGGCACGAGTGATGGCATTAGAGTACAGCGAAGGATGGATCGAAATACATAAGGAGCAGTTGGAGCCAGACGCAAGTATAAATGTATGTGCCGGGTTAATTTCTATCAACATTTCACATCTAGAACTTCTACTTTTTGCTAAACCACTCTCTCCAGAGATCTCGGAAGCCAAACTGTGGACGTTGCTCATCGTACACCTTACTAGCAGGGCCAGCCAAATTACCCAGGATCCTAGAAGGCTTGTTGCTGGAAGTAGCCTCAAATCTTGGCTTTGGCGCCACTGCACGCTCCCTGATGGCATCAGCCACTTGGGGNGCAACTTCTGCATAGCACGAGTTCAACTCGCGGTCCAGGAAGAAGTATGGCCGCTGAGCCAGTGCTGGACACATGAGATTGTATGAGCGTGTCAGTTGATTCAGGTTGTCGATGGCGGCTTGGTGATAAGCCCTTTCGGTGCGTAGCCAGTCTGCGTCCCTGAATGGTGCGACTTTTGGGGGTGGAGCCTTGGGTTCTACCACGACTTCCACAGGTGCATCGACAGAGATCTGTAGCTCGCCCTCTTTTGATATCGGCTTTGCTGCCTCGTCGATGGGAATTTCGGTGATGGTTATTTGTTGTGAATCTTTGGTAGCTGCAGTGCCAGATGGTGTAATCTCGCCATCGAGCGTTATCTGAGTAAGGTGACCAGCATTGTCGATGGTGTTGATCTTCTCCGTCCGTTTCTTCGCAGGCGGATTATCAATAGCTTCCGCACGCGCATACTCCTCAGCAAGTACCAGTTGGCTTTCCAGCAATCCTCCTCTACTAGCGATGGACCTTGCGACGTGTCTCCGCCAGTCGGCACGAAGACGAGCTCTGAAGCGGTTGGAAGTGCTAACAATGTCTTGTTGCTTTTCGATCCATGGAGGCACAATATCTTGTCGTTGAATCATGCGATTGAGCATATATTCAGTAGTGTTGATAAAAGGACTACTCGCATTGTAGTCTCTTTCAATAGCCTTGCCTCTAGGAAGGTTCTTAAACTTGCCTCGAGCAATTGCGTCTTCTATGCGCTCGTTTGCAAGAGACTCCAGCCCCTTCAGAGTCACAGGTGCGGAGCGGGCGGAAGGTGTAAAGCGTTCTTTCAATTCCTTCCGAAACTTCTCTCTTTCCTCGTCTGGTAACTCTTTCATTTCCGCATAGATGGACGTCTTGTCGCGTGCGTTCGCCAATCGGAGACCAGAGGATGGGGCGTTCCTTGGTCTGCCAGTATCGATCTTGCTCGGAGGTCCTCGAGAAGGTCCAGCGGAAGATCGTTGGACAGGCTTTAGAGGCTTGTAGGAATCGTTGAGCATGCGAAGAGACGCATCATGCACACTTTCAGTTCCAGACCATGGCGTCGCACCAGCTATATCTCCGCTATGACGACTTGCGCTATTGGGCATCTCTGCCTGAGATATAGCACCGGCATGCTCATTACGGAAAGAGGCAGTAGCGATCCGCTCGAGTAGTTCCTGCTTGAGGCCTTCGTCAAAACCTGCTTCCTCCACGGCTTTGCGGGCACTGCGGCCTCCAGATTCGAGTCCTTCTTCACTCAGTGCGGCCAGTCTGCGCGACATGGCGCCTTGCTCCTTCTCTTGCTCTTTCTCTCCATGGTTATCATTCGGTGGCGTGGAGAGACGGCGGACTTGTTGAATGGTACGGGAGGCCCGCTGGGCAAAACCCGGTCGCATGCATCGCGAGCAGATGGGGAGGGCTGAAGACGACAACGGTGGCATAGGCTTGTGGTTTGACGGTGGTTGGAAAGTGGCAACATTTCGAGTCTATCACTTTATATACCTATGCCCGATATCTCCGTTGGTGACGTCTACACGTCAGGGTCATGCTCCTTACCATCAACCACATTTTCCAATTCTGCATTTTCCGTGAGCTTACTCCCTGATGTGTTTGCGCTGTCTGTGAGGCATGTGACGAGAGGGTGCTTTCGTCATCAAGGTGTTCGACAACAGCAATCGTTGTATGAGTCGACGTGAATCTCCAAATTGTATATTATCTAATCTAGCGTTGGATTGTATAATCTAAGAATCTAATCTCTATGAAACTCATGTATATGCATATATTCCCGTGAAAACCCATCTACAGCCTAGCCTTGAAACGAGCATTCTCTTCCTGCAAAGGCTCGGCAATACCATCTCCAGCAGTCTTTGGCTTGCCAGGCTTCGAAGACTTCTTCGGGGCGCTGTGGTAACCGCCCTTGACATTGTCCGAATTCTTGATGTTGCCATTGGCATCTCTCTGAATACCCAGCTCGAGAAGCTTGCCAAAGGCTTTTGCAAAGTGATCAAAGAAAAGACCCTTGTCCTCGGCATACTTCTTTACCCAAGGGGCAAAAGACTCATCCTTGACGAGCGCGAGATCGGTTGGCAGCATGGCCAATTCTTCATCCAGGTCCTCGTCAATGTAGACAAACTGCTTGACGCCATTCTCAAGCGTCTTCTCCTTCCACTCAAAATCCGTCATGATCTTGTAGTAGGTGTTGTTGAAGCGAGTGCCATTGGGAACCCAGGGGCCGTGGAAACCACTGCGATCCATGTGCATTCTTCCGAGATTGTGTGCTCCACTGAGTGCAACAATCTCTTGATCTGTAAAGCCCATCCGGTAGAAGATGAAGCGGATGTGGTCAGCGCCTTGGGCACCATCTGGAAGACGACCGCGAGGAGGAAGTTTGCTGTCATCCACATAATCGGTTCGGCCAGGAAGCCATTTAATCTGAGGACCTCCCATCTCTTTTAGCGCGACAACGGCGGCAAGTGTCCATAGGTCTGCGTAGGATATCCACGAGTGCTTCTCCTTGATGGGTTCCAGGAAAACACGGGCATGCTGCAAGCCTGCATTTGCTTCGTCGCCTCCTTCTGCCTGCAACAAGTTAGTGAACCAGATACCACATTGTGTGTCGAGAATGGCACATACCTCATAACGCATGCCTGCTCCATTACTACCGCCAGTATCGGTTTCCGCACAATATGTACCAGCCGAATGCCATGCCAAACGCACTAACACCGGCCCAGCACTTCCATCATCATACTCAGGCTGATGTAGAATCTTTTTGATATCCGCCGCAACGGCTTCGAAATCTCCAGATTTGCTCATTGTGCCAAAGTGATCAAATTCGCAAGTCCAGGAAACACAGAATGGCTCAAGCACTTGAAGAACAAAGAAAGGGTGGCAATCACTACATTTCTCAAATTGAATATCATACCGTCGGCAATTGATAAGGACGGTTATCGAATAAAAATGATGCGCCGAGGCTTGCCTTTCGTCATTTTGAAAATACAGTAGTGAACGTCGCATGGTTACTTATCAGGCGTCTCTGCATAATTCTCAAGCAATGGATATTGTTGCTATGCAGTAGAGCAGTCGCAGGAGTACACAGCTCTCTCGATTGTCATGCATGAACCGATGTCGTTTCAATTCCTCTACATCCTTCACAGTTCTGTAGCTGTCTTCCCGCATATTCTTGCTACGAGCATCCCAAGCGAAAGTATACATTTGTGAGTTGTTCACGCTTGATAAGAAAACCCTGTGCGCTCCATATGCCGTCTGCCCTTACATGAGGTACCGAGGTACAAGGTTCGGAAAAGCGGCCGCATGTGAAGGGTCCGTCCACATCTGGAAGTTGACACAAGCTTGTCGGAAGGAGCTACCAGAGACCAGGTTTCGATACACCATATCTTGAAAGGAGCAGTTGATCTCGGTGATCAACTCGATATTAACTCTATTATTTACTTCTCGGCCTGCATCTCGAATCTATGTAACCTACTATCGCCAGAATCTCAAAGCGCACTGCTGACAACGTTCCAAGGCCTCAATGGTCTACCATCTTCAAGCTCGACCAAGAACCACAATGCCTCTCTTGCTCTATCCAACTGTCCACTCTCCTCGTGTGCTCGGGCAAGTAGACTCCAAGCTTCACTATCGTCCCAGCCTTCTCCGCTCTTCGTCAGGGCTGTAAGTAAGAAGTATGCTCTGTCCCTTGCTGCAAGTCTTGTTTGGACTGCGACACTGGGGGTTGGGTCTGTGGGTAGGACTTTGGGGTTCGTTGGTGCTGGTGTGGAAGGAACGATGATAGAGTTAGGCAGAGGAGCCTCGGCAGGGATGACTTGGGCGTAAATGTCCAGGAGGATTGTGCTGATGCCTACGATTGCTGCGGCGTGGTCGGGGTAGTGTGATAATGCCTTTTCGTAGGCAGCCAGTGCTTCGTGATGGTGGAACCTCGCTGCGGCTAGGGAAGCGCGCTGTTCAACGTCAGTATAGTGATTCCGTGATCAAAGATAGGAAGTTCATACCTCGGCCCAGACATCTGCCCACAGTCTGTTCACACTGCGCCCACCTCCCCAACCCTTCTCGTCAAACGCTTTGGCAGAGCAGTCTTCTCGTGCGACAACTTGCTGGAGATCTTCTGCTAGCTTGTGTGCTTCGTCAACTGCACCTTCTGCATCTTCGAAGAACTCGCCGCGGGTATATTGTCCTGCGATATGTAGCCAGACTTCGACAAGCAGCGACACAGTATGCCGTCTCTGTCTGGCAAAGGAATAACGCGGACGAGGTGCCGCGGATGCCGTTGTCGGATGCGGAGCTGGCAGACGAAGATCTTGCGACGGCGATTGATCCTTATGTCCGATAGGTGCGGGTTGTTTCGTGGATTCAAGGTTGTGAGGGAATTCGCGTAATGGTTGGTTCGGGTCAGAGCCATCTTTTGCTGGAACAGCTGGGCCATTGTCGAAGGCGAGAGCAGCCTTTTCGGGATCGGTCGCATGTCCGTGGTGATGGAGGTGTTTTAGTGGATGGTGAGGTAGATGGATTTTGTGGTGTTGCTTCTCATGCAACATGTTTTCGTCGGTAGTGGTGGATACTGGTGTCGAAGTGTTGTTGTTGACAGTTGGAAGCGGAGGCACGTCCTTTTCTTGTGCAGTACCTTCTGCGGTTTTCCGTGTCGACTTGGATCGTCTCATTATACTACCACTTACGCTCTTGAATGTACCTTCTGATTTCAAGGGAGGCGCGACGAAGGAAGCCGCTGATGGATCAACTGTGTCTCTTGGGGATGGTGCTACGCCGTTGGCTGATGTGCCGAATAGCTTATGGTAAAGCGCAAGCACCTGAGAGCCTGCGTCAACTGCCGTTTCGGAGTCATCAAGCATTTCGGTAAGAGCCAGCTGCGTCAGACGGAGTTGCAGTAATCCTTCTTTNTCGGAGTCTTCCATTTGGAGGATGAGAGCCTCGCCATCAGATTCTCCAAACATGATGTCGGCACCGCCATACTGTTCGAAGGCGACATCACAGAACTCAACTGCATGCTCATAATCGCCTCTGGCTGTGAGAAGCAGAGACATGAGGTGGTAGAGAGGGATCATTTGTCCCTTTTTCATAGCATGACCAGAATCGTCGTCTTGTGATGAAGCCAAAGCAAACTTGACAATCTGAGTAGCGGGCAACAACTGTCGGTTCTCGGCAAGAACAGTCCCGAGCAATAGAGCAGTCTCAGGGTCAAGATTGCCGTTTGGTGACATCTCGGCAGCCTTTCTTAAGGATTTGATAGCTATCTCTCTGTATTCTGATCTCTGCGCTGGATCATGGGTCAATCTAGCAAAGTTGGCCTGACTTTCACCAATAGCACGGTAAGCAGCAACAGAAGACTCGGCTGAGATGAGAATCCCAGTCGCGGTCTGGTCGTGCATAGCGGCTTTGTCCGGTTGACGACCATGTTCATCCTTTCTAGAGACGGTGATAGCGGAACTTGGACGCGGTTGTTTGAGCCAGTCAGAGAGACGCTTTGAAACTTCGAGAGCCTTCTCGCCTTCGGCTTGGGATCCATATCTGCATAGAATGCCTATAGCTTGAGCGGCGGTCAGAACTACAAGGTCATCACTATCCAACCCTGGCTCGTTGTGTCCAGTCTTCTCGGCCCTTGACTTTGCCCGGCTTGTGATCTCTGTATAAGAGTCGAAAGCTTTGATAGCGAGGTCGAACTCGGCCAGCGAGGCATGAACAGTAAAGAGGTGACGTAGAATTAGGGTCGAATGGAAAGTCTTTGTTGCGGCGCGATAAAGAATGTCCAAGGTACTGCGACTAACAGCAGCCTTACCACCTTCTCCGAGGTCGGGTTCACGCCATCTCGGGCCGCACAATATGGACCAGTTGGAGATTACGGAATTAACCCATTGCTCGACTTCCTCATTGGATTGGTTTGCCTGAGGAAACTTGGTCTTGTAGAGCAGCACGCTTTCATAGGCAGCCTCGACTTGCTTCAGCTCGGATCTTTGACGCAACCTCATCTTGGCTAGATCGCTGGTGGGGTAGTTGGGGTTATAGAAAGCCAAGGGTGACTCGGCAGAGGGCGTGTAAAGTAGATCTGTGGCGAGAAGGAAAGAGAGGAAACTGTAGTACATGCCCCAGACTTCCTTGTTGGAGACATCATAGGGACCAAGGGAGTAACTCGGGGCAGCAATCTTCGAGGTCGAGTCGCCAGTCCAGATGCGAGCCCATGCCCTATATGAGATCAAGGCGGTGTTCGCAGTAGAGAGAGTTGAAGTGTGACCTTGTTTCGACTGGAGAGTGCAGATGCGACCGAGCAGACGGGCAGCCCATGTACGATATTCGGAAAGAGCAGCCAGATTTACGGGAGCTTGGTCAATGGCTGACAGGGCTTGGCTGTATACCCGGAGAGCGCTGTCTAGGGATGACTTTTGCTCGGATGCAACACCCAGGAAGTAGCAGTGTTTGATCATGGCCAGACGGGTGTTGGGGTTCAGTTCTGCGGGCGACTCTGCAAAAGGAGCAACTTCCAACCAGACATTATCCTTGAGACCACCCAGTACGGTGGACCACTCGGCGCGCAGGAAGTAGATCTCATGGAGCGCAACTCTGGCTTGGAAGGCATCTTCAAGAAGGGTTTGCTCGCTCTCGATAGCCTGGACGAGCTTGGGAGTCTGGTCCAGGAGACTGGTGTGGGACGCGGCCGAGGTCTGGGTTCCAGGACGGCGGTTAGACGACGTCGCGGTCTGAGCCTCGGAAGTGGCAGCGAGGGTCAGGCATCTCCGGTGCGGCGCGTGTTTATCGACCTTGCGGACCAGCTCGGGCACGTCGGTCCAGGCGCCATTCAGACGGGCGGCATTGAGGCTGCCGATGTAGCGCTGAGCCTTGTCGCTTTCTGACACCTGCACGCCAGTACATCAGCAACAGCTTCTACTTCTCATGCACGACATTACATACACTCATGGCTATTGTCGTCTGTGTCGAGGCATGGAGAGCACCACAAACAAGTCCAAAGTCGCTGCTTCGTCATGCCCATCACCCCCGACCCGTCTCGCGTCCGTGCCCCCGTCCAACGGCTGCCGTCCCTGTTTCCCCAGACTTTCAGAAAATATTCAGGCAGCAAAAGGGTCTGGCATTGTTCTTTTTCTGCCAGGATATCAAATCTCTGGGTTTGTCTGGAGCTCTCATCTATTGGCTCAACAGGAATGGCTCCTCAGGCAACCTCCGTCTCTCTGCTGAGAGCAGCATCTTTCCGCATCTCGAATGCAACCAAAGCTGAGCTTCCTCAGGTCGCGGCTCTGACTGCCCAGTCTCTGCTCTCCTGCAAGGACATCTTCGCCCAACCTGATCTGGCCAACCAAAAGGACTCGGATGCCGCTCTCGCTCTTCATCGATTCAACACCCAGATCACCTCGTTGCTTGGAGACCGCCATGTCGAAGGTCGTTGGGCTGCTGTTGTTCTTATCAAAGCTGCCATCGAGGCTGGTGGATGGGAAACTCTCAAAAAGTCCATCGCTTGGGTGCGTGGTCTTTTGATTCTGCTCAAGAAGCCCGACCCTCCTCTCTTGAGAAGTCTGACTATCGTGACTCTGACCCGCATCTTTATGCTCACTTGGGAGTTCCCCACCCTGATTAGAGAAATCACCACTCCTTCCCTTCCAACATTTGTATCAACCTGTCTGAGCAACCTCGCTTCACGTCAGCCTACTCCTCAGGAAGTCAAGGCCACTCTGGAATGCTTTGCCCAACTTCTGCCTCGCCATCCCACAATTTTCCGCCAACACCAGGACGCCGTTGCAAAGCTCTTGACTGTTGTCTTTGAGAACAAGGCTTCGGGTGACCACATCATGGACCTCGCTTCTCGCATCTCTGTCCTGCTTCACCAATGTGAGCCCAAGAATGGTGCCAGTGACAAGTGGGAAGCTACTCTTGTCGCCACCCTACACAGTGCCCATGCTATGGCCGACAGAACTTTCATGAGCATTGACGAAGACTGGCAATCTGTGACTGGCACTAACTTCGTAAACAAAAATATCCTGTCCGAACTCTACTCCAAGGCTCAGGAAGCCAGGACCCCTGCAGAAGGCCCCGTTGGTCAGTTCGTCACTCCTGGCTACCAAGGACTGATGAACCATCTTCGCTTGCTTGTCGCCTACTTTGCATCTGCTACCTCTGCCTCTGTTGTCGGCTCTGTCGGCGCTGTGGCAGATCTGCTGACTAGATTGATGTCCAACACCATCTCTACCAGTTCGACCAGAAGCACTATCCGCTTCAAGCGCGATGCAGCCAGGGAGGAGCGTGATGCTTTGACTGAAGTCCTCCCTCAGATTCAAGTTGCATGTTTGGAAGTTTTGTCCATCATCTTGGACCGCTACGGAAACGCTCTCACTCCAGCTTTACAGCCTTTCCTCGACCAGATCATGTGGATTTTCCATGCCTCGTCTGCCAATGTCGAGGTCAGGACTGCCACCTATATTGTTGGCAAGAAGGTTTTGGATCTATCAGGCCAATCCCTCAACAAGGAAGCCATCGGCGCCCTGAAGAAGTACATCACTGCATGTTGTGAGGACGTACTACCCACTATCGAGGAAAAGGATCCTCAGAACAGCAATGGCAACAAGCAACAATCTACCATGAACGCCGACACTTTCCTCAAGCAAGCCTCCACCAAGCCCTCAGCGAAGACGGAACTCGTAGGTCTGAAGTCCGCAGCATGGGATCTGCTTCCCACTCTTCTTGGTCAGCTTCCTGCAGAACACTGTTCAATCGCTCTGCGCGCAACTATGGATCGCACAGCAGTCCTTGCCCGTCACAAGGATGCAGTCATGGCAAGCACGCTCAACCACACAAGCACAGCAAAGGCCGCGCGTAAAGGCAACAGTTTACTTCCCCTTCTTGCCCGCGAATACCCCACCGATGCTGAAGTAGAAGTCCTTCTCCGACCTAGGATGCCCATCCTACAGACTGGACGCAAAGCCACTGAAGCAGAGACCGAAGCCGATGCCATGGACGAAGATGAAGATTCGGCCTCCGACAACGAAGAAGAACAGACTCCAGCAGAAGCAATCCTCGAAGTTCCTGAAGATGCCGCTGGCTCATCAGCAGGTGCCTCAAGCAACAAGGATGTAGCATCCAAAGAGCAAGAACTCGTAAACTGGGCATTGAATGAATACGTCCAAGAAGGACTAGGCCAACAGCCCATCGATGAAACCTCAGGCGGTGCAACCAAGGACAGTGAAGGTGAGGCTATGGCAGACACACACGAAGCACAGAGAGCCAAGAGACAACGTGAGGATGACGAGCCCAAAGCGGTGGATAAGAGACAAAAGTCCATCGAACCTCAAGCTACTGCTGAAGACAGCGATGACGATGAATTTGTAGTCCCAGAGATTGTTATGGGTGATAGCGATGAGGAGGACGAATAGTGGCATAGAGTCCGCATAACAGAATTTCATAATCTATGCAGAGGCTCGGTGGAAGGAGCGAAGGACGAACGCCACTCAAGTTAGCGTCTGTTGACAACCGTAGACATCCTGATAACATCAACCTTCGAGACCACCATCGGACTCGGAAGGAGCGACAGCTCATATCCGTATCTACGAACTAGCTTTGTGAACCTCAATTAACATCAATAGCATCAACATCATTCAAGCATCGTCTTTTGAGTCTTTGAACAACAGCCTCATGAATCCTCCAGGATTCCGGCAAACCAACAGTGGGGGCCTCCGCATCGATGATATATCTTCGGCGCAATCCTTGTATACGCCCGCGTGGATGTGCGCACTATGCAGCAGGCGCTATATGCACGCTTACCGACCACGAGGCTGTATGCAATCGACGAAAGGAGAACATAAAAGCCGACAATTTAACCATAGTGCTACAACGCTAGTCGTTGTGAGTGCAGTTCAGAGACGCATATATGATAATGCTTTCTTTCCTCTACCTATGGCCTAATTTGCACCGCGATGGGTCTTTGTTCGTGACGGATTTCTCTAAAACTTCCTGAAGAGTACTTTCATCCTGATGCAGATCCCAGAGTTGTGGACGAATTGTAGCTTCGTCTGCAAGCCACAAGCTCCAGGACGGGATATCATGCATATTGAGTTACATTGAAAAGTCGACCGCTAGCAGGACGCCTTATCGCCTGCTTCCACCCATTAGGATCTGTTCTGGCCTGGGTGTCAGTATCGGTTTTTCCTGACCTTTGTTCTCTCTCTCACCAGCAGTTTTCCGCGAGACTCGACTTAGCTCAAGGAATAAGCCAGGAGTCTACCTGCGCAGTTCCAGCATTTGAGTAACTGTCCTTACGTGTGCACCGGTCGTCAGGCGTGTTTTGTCCAAGCGTCATGTCTCAACGACCACGGAGACGTGTTGTTGCGTGTGTTGATGGCACCTGGTATGACGCCGATGGCCAAGAAGGCAAGTAAGAGCGATTTACTCTCGGGACATAGACCGAAACTAATACAGTCATCANNGGCCAAGGACACGGGAACAACAGCAACGTCTTTAGGATTTTTGCAGCGATAGCTCGCGGCCCTGTCAGGAATGAGGACAGCGAGACGGTCGAACAGGTCAGCCTCTATCACGCCAATCTGCATAATGAAGTTCTTACGCTGACAAGCACCNAGATCGTTGAATATTTCCCGGGTATAGGAACGAATGAGAGGCCTTTGGAGAAGTTCAATTGTGGTGTCACTGGGGAAGGCTGCGCAGAACAGATAGCTCGTGTTTACAAGGTGTGCTATCCCTATTGTCGTGCTTCATGAAGTCTTGCTCACCGAAATACTAGTNACTGCTGTCGTCAATTCAAGGGACCCGAAGACGATCTGTGGTTTTACGGCTTCAGCCGTGGTGCATNNGTGGGTTGATTCGTTCTACTACTCGATTGATGGTAGCAGCTGACGGAGCCAGATGTTGTGACTGCGGTAGCGGGACTGCTAGAAAAGATAGGTGCTTTGGTGTATGATGAGGACTTCGACAAAACATATGAGACGGCTCTGAGCCTGCATAAGGCCATCCAGAAGGGTCATGTCAGAGAAAACTCGGGCAAGGCATGTTTAACATAGACCCTATGATTACGCTTACTGACCCAAAAACAGCTCTACTACCTCCAGTCAGTAAGAAATGATATCACGATTGTCGGTGACTAACAACAATAGTACCCAANNAAATCGAGGAAATGCCCGAGGATCAACTTCCTTGGCCTTCTAGATACCGTGAAGCGTGTCAACAGCGATCTCGATTCGACAGCACATTCGTTAGCTTTTCACGATTCTCTCCAACACGTCCGTCATGCTCTCGCGCTGAACGATACACGTTCGCACTTTAAGCCAGAAATGTACGGCTCAATCACCGACAGTGAGTCACTCCGAGGTCGATCTCTGATCGAAGCCTGGTTTGTGGGTGCACATGCAGATATAGGTGGCGGAGCAAGAGACGATGGGCTCTCGCTATATCCTCTCCAGTGGCTCTTGATTGAGAGTGAGAACCAAGGTCTCGTTCTGCAGCACAATTCTCAGACAGCGCTGATAGAGGATCCTCTGGCTTTGGTCATTCCGTCTCGGAAGTCTGGCTTGACAAGCGATGAAGCCGCTACACCCAGTCCGCCATGGGAATATCACTATGCAAACGGTATAAAGGTTCAGATGCATGATCTGAGGTTGTCTCATAACCACGGGAATATGCAGGCACTGACAAAGCCGACAAAGAAGAGGCCTGGCTTTGACATCTATAAGAGGTCCTACACGATCGCTACTCTGACGCCCAAGGAGTCGGCCACGGCCGTCAGCGCTTCCGATTCCGTAAGGCGACACAGTGAGAATGATACCCAACGCAAGAAGGGTGGCTTCATACGCGGACTTTTCGGGAGAAAGAAGTCAGTGGACGCATCGTCAGGTCCGACAACTCCTACAAGCCCCCGAGATCTCGACAGGATTGTCGAGTCAAGCTCTAGCGAGCCTTTACCGGTGCGACACACTGTTCGTCTGAATTCAGGGTTCCCGCACGTCACTTTTCAGTCGTCCCGAGACCCATTTCGCAATGGTAGGCTACAAAGCCACGTTGAAAGCAAGCATGGTNATGAATCTCGTCATGCTTGAAGACGGATCACGAATGACTGACATTGCTTATCGATAGGTGCTTTTGGAACCATCATCCACCCTTCAGTATACTTTGTCATGGATGTTTATGCCCGCTACGGGATAGAGACAGCAATGAAGCCCTTCCAGAAAGACATAAATCGCTTTCGCGATGAACAACATCCAAACATGAGAGACCTTTGGCTAAAGTTGGAGATGGAAGGCGTGCCACAGACCAGTGTAAAAGCATGCAGAATACTCGTGTGTGGCCGCACGGGAGTTGGCAAATCCACTCTCGGGAAGATACCAAATCTCAACATCGACTGGATTCGGTTCTTGCACGTGTCGANNAAGGTACATTTGGGCAGAGCGAAATTGGAATTGAGAGTTTTCTGACAATTTGCAACAGACGACGAAGAGTCGATTCGGTGCCTGGTGAACCAGACACTGGACTTGATTATCAATGACGAAGCGCGGCTCAGGTGTACGGCAGCACAGGTCGTTGACGTGGAACCCAAGGTGAACCAAGCGATAGACGAAAGCATGCGCCTTCTCCGCCACGGGGTATGGACATCGTCGGTAGGCGCAGGAGCAGTCTTTGTATCCACCGTCTCAACGCCAACAATCTCCAGGATGCTATGCGATAACATTTTGAGATGCTTTGGCTTCCCGAAGATCGACCCGGCAAGCGTCAACAACATCATGAACAAAATCATTGGGTGGAACCTCAAGCGCTTCCTCACACAGCAGGTCGGCCATTGGGGGCTTGCGAGCGGCAGCATGGCCGTGGTCATCGTTACTGCAGGCGCGGGTACCCCACTACTCGCGGGCTTGTCGCTGCTGGAGGCCTCTTCAGCCGCACGCATGATTGTCAAGTGTGCCTGCGATCTGATTCTCATCCTCGACCGAGCATTCAAACACGGCGGCAAGTTTGTCACAAGCTCCGACATCGAGCTGGCCTGTCGCGAATACGTGGCCACCCAAGCACAAGGAAGCTGGTCCAAACGAAAACACGTACATGCCCAGGTTGTAAAATTGATCCCGGTCGTCTCCAAGAAGTTCTGGAATGCCGTGCGCATCTCGAATATCAAGAATGGCATGGAGGAAATTATTCAAAACAATCGCTGGAGCCCGAGTGCAGTGATCAGTCGCACAGATTCGGTGCAGGGTTCTTTGGTGACCAAGTTGAGTGCAGAGTCATTAAGAGATGAGGAGGAGATGACGGACTTGTTCGAACTTGACAAGGTGCAATCGTCAGAGACCTTGTGATATACTAGAAATAATTCATCACTTTCGTATCAACCACACTTCTGTGGCTCTATACATTTTTCTCCATAAATGATTCCGGTCAAGGTTTTTAACTGGGAGACTCGGCACTCCGGCTTTGGAACCATGATGCCATCGAGTTTCTCAATGCGAGAATGGTTAATGATCTTCTGGCCACGCAGCTTCGTCACTTGTGACATCAAGACGAGATGTTCGACGTCGGCTTTGCTCGCCGCTAATGGGTGGGAGTTGAATTAGTCTTTCGAAACGGAGTAGGCCGGAACTGTTCTCGAAAATAGCGCTGTATGCATATGCTGCTGTCGCAATTTCTGGGGCTGGCGGCCATAAGTTCATGAGGTGCCTTTAGGCGACAGTCGTTCAAGTTGGACATTAGGCTCTGTTCAGGTTTTGCGTGCATGAGTCCAGACTGTGATTGTTATGATGAATACCCTGCGTCCATCGACTGAGCTTTGCATGAGGTCGCAATACGAGATGCATCGCGCCACAATATTCCCTCACGCAGTCATAGATCAGTCAGTACCAGTACATGAGGGGCGCAGGATGGTCACGTTGCTCCTGGTAATATGTTTTGCTTAGCGGTGCGGCACTGTCATCTCTCGTTTGTCTTGCCCACCTCCAAGCTTCCGTAAACTTTCCAAGAGTGTACCTCATCTCATGCAAGCTAGTCATGATGCTGCTTACGGACGTTTTAGTATCCGAGAGCTGTGGGGATGAAGAGGTCGCTTCGAGAGATTGAAACAGAAGGTGTGGCCGAGAAGCATCCGAGCAACCAATGACGTTTCTGCCTTTTGAACGACATCTGATGGGTAAAATCTCTATGGTTGTAATGCTGTTGCTACTAACACAATTGCATTGTCTATTCATCAGTATAGATTGTGAACGCTTATGGATTGATTATGCCGCACGCCTCCTGACTTCGAGTTTGCGCCGCGTCACAAACTCAAGCCTCAATCCACCACAGGCTTCGAATCACAAAGACACACCTCAATCTCGAGTCTTGCAAACGGGGTCGGGGCCTCGAACCGAGATCTGCGGATCTCGCATGTAATGACAAACGAGATGGCAAGACGGATCAACGCGTCGCAAACATCACCATCGCTGTCCGATTCCCCTAGTATGCACATCAAACTTACCCGTACTCGCGCGAGATTCCCCTCAGTACTGCTTCATCAATACGCCGTACGAGCTTGGCTTCTGGGTAATATAACTAATCTTTCTTCAGCATCGTGCACGTGGGGAAACTTGTTGCGTGACTCTATATGGCAACGAAGGAAGCCTCTATGCAGTCTAGAAAGTCTACCAATTAAGCTAGACGATCACTAACATACCTTGATGAGTAACGATGTGCTTTGGAGCTTTAGGCAAAATTACTCAATTCTAGGCAAAGAACGGATGATCGACGTAGAGAATGAATTCGACCGCTGCAATGAAACAACCTGAAACTTCGCTAAGCACTATAAGCCTATAAGCACGGTTTCCATACTCCCGTCCAAAGCTTGTTCGATCATCCTATTACGACTGCACGCAATAGTTCTCGAGCCCCCGCCTCTCAAAGGCCCACAAAGTCAGCTTGAACAATGCTTATGTGGCTGAGATTAATCAAGTGGCGGTCGTGGTGACGCTCGCTTGAAGGCTGTAGTAAGGTTCACATCCGTAAGGACGCATACCAGGCTCATCAATCCTAAACACGATTGCACTGCTTGTAATGCAGGCTGAGAAACAGGCATTAGGCTGAACAGCAGGCCTCCGATGCTTCGTCGTGTATAAGTACCACGTCTGCTCTCCAGTATTGATCGACTCATCCAAGCAAGCAAACAGACACTCCTTGAATTCAAACACCTCACTCTTTCAACGAACATCATGAAGTTCACCGCTATCGTCGCCGCTATTGCTGGCGTTGCCATGGCTGCCCCGGCCGCTGAACTCCCGGCTGCTGAGCTGGAGAAGCGTGCCACTCCCATCAACTATGTCCAGAACTACAACGGCAACCTCGCCAACTTCAAGTACAACCAGGGCGCTGGCACTTACACCGCCAACTGGAACCACCCCGGTGACTTCGTCGTCGGCCTTGGCTGGACCAAGGGTAGCGCCAGGTCAGCACTGCTCGATTACGGTACATATGTAGCTGTTGGCTAACGGTTTTTACNNAGGAGCATTACCTTCAGCGGTTCCTACTCTACCGACAGCAGCTCCTACTACGCCGTCTACGGCTGGTTGAACAACCCCTTGACCGGTCAGTCTACCGAGGTCACTAGTAACCAACGACGAACAGAATCCTGATGACGAACAGAGTACTACGTTGTTGAGAACTACAGCTATGACCCTTGCTCCACCGGCACCCAGGTCGGTACCGTCACCAGCGACGGCTCTTCGTACAAGATCTGCACCCACACCCAGGTCAACCAGCCCTCTATCTCCGGCACCAAGACCTTCGGCCAGTTCTTCTCTGTGCGCCAGAGCAAGCGTACCTCTGGTACTGTCACCATGTCCAACCACTTCAATGCATGGGCACAGCACGGCTTTAAGGCCGGTGACTACAACTACCAGGTCTTCGCCGTTGAAGCCTTCGGCGGCACTGGCAGCGCCAACGTCAAGGTCTCTGGTTAGTAAGTATCACTCCTCATGCGAGTCGAAAGCTGTACTGACATGTCTTTACAGAGGAGATAGCACCGGCACCGGCAGCGGAGCTGGATCTGGATCGACCACTACCAGTGCTCCCGCACAAGGTCCTACAACTGTCACCTCTGCACCTCCCAGCACCACTACCACTTCCTCCGGCGGATCGAGCGGTGGCTCTATTCAAGTCTGGGGACAGTGTGGCGGTCCCGGAGCAGCAGCCGGATCTTGTGTCTCGGGCACCAAGTGTGTCACCCTGAACCAGTACTACTCCCAGTGCCAACCTGCATCGACGTGAGCTGGCTCACGGCATGACTTGCGCGTGCAGATGTCAGGATCAGCTTTCCTCGTTTGTCGATCGTTCGCGGATCGTTCTTTCTGGTTCTGTTCATTGATTGTTCGTTTCTTAAAGTCTTTGTTTGATGGGTAGTTCCTCCTCCTATACGCTCTCTAGCCCTAAAATGAAGCATTTGCTCTATCCCCACGACCACGCGTGATTTTCAGAGAGTTTATGTGCAGCACAATGCTAGTGGTTCACAAGACAGCAACACTAAAGCATGATCATCAACCAAGACCAAGGACGACAGCTACTCCACTAAACAGAAGACTTATCATGAACGCCCGAGTTCTTTTTTTTTCTCTTTGTTTTCTTCTCTTGTTCGTATGGCAGACGTAAAATTCCTCTCTCCGCAACTTCCGTTTTTTCATATTTGAGTCGATCATGTCTGGAACACGAAAACCTGTCGGTCAATATACAAAGCATGCCCCGAACCCTTCTCGCTGAGATGAAACGCAACATTATAGCTCAGATTGTCATCAGAAGTCATAAACCGAGTCACAACACGAATTGAGCAATACAAAGGAAGCATATTTTTACCTCGCCGTAAATAAACATGGACTCAAAAATTCATACTGTATGGTCTCGGCTCATCTTGCACTTTGAATATCTGAAATTGAATTTCCTAGAGTACATTACACGTTAAACGTAGCTTCCCAGTACAGATTGGGAATGATGTTGTCCCAACGTAAAGCTCTTGTGGCTCTTATTCCCGTCCTAGCACATTATGGCGCTCTCGCAGGTGTGTCACAAGCTCAGGTCATGTATTGTCTTTCGATAAACTCTAGGCCGAGAACACCTTAACACAGTGCTCATCGTGTGTGGATTGAAAGATGACGATTTTCTTCCTCGACAGCATCCTTAAAGCAGGATCCAGCCAAGAGCCATTGCTGCGATGCCGACACACAGGCCTACTCCAATACTGTTTGCCGCATTGGCGCCCATCGGTGCGGAGGACGAATCTGAAGAGCCGCTTTGCGCAGTTGTCGATGCAGAGGATGGAGGTTTTGAATCTGCTGGTGAAGTAGTCGAAGATGTAAGACCGGAAGCCGATCCGCTGGGTATAGTCGATGAGGCATTCGGACCCCTTGAGATATCGATAGTATAAGTCCGGATCGTGCTGCTTTGCTGGGCCGTGCTGGTGCTCTGGACCGTGTTAACATGGATCGTGCTGGTCCTCTGAGCCGTGTTAACTTGGATTGTCCTGGTGATTGTAGTGCCATTAGATCCGATCCAGAACTCGGCGGATACAAAACCCTCAGTCGACTGCGCCTTTTGATCTGCATCTGCATCGACTGCACGAATGAGCCATGGGACGCTACATTTATCGTCGCAATCAACAGTCCATCCCCAGTGGCCCACTGTAACATTGGCTGCAGAGCTGTTAGCACGTGTATGTCGTGTTCTCCTCGTTGGCATGCTTACTTGTCAAGGCGACTGGATGAGCAAAGTCGAAATTTGCAACTGCAAAGAGATTCACTCGCGTGAATGTCGATGTCCAAGAGATGTTCATCACAGATCCGATTGCATAGAATTGAACTACTGATAGATCTGGCCAGAGGAACGTTCCATTACCGCTGACGGCTCCAAGCGCTGCTGTCGGTAAAGGCTGGTAAGGCTTCCATGTGGTGACGGTCGACTGAGAACGTGCTCGGTGGAGAAGTGTAAACCAAATCACACTCTGCCACAGAAAGTGCATCCTGCAGTTACTCTTCGTGATAACGGATGTTGTTCTAGGTACAGCAGTCGACGGCCTCAAGAATCGAAAGAGCGCAAAAACTAGTCCTGAAAACGCGATCTGGTTGTTTAGAGAAAATAAGCGCTTGGAAAGGTCAATATCTATCACATTTTCCTTAAGGCCTCCATCCTACGAAGGATTCACAGCTCAAGCCACGCTTGGAGCATTCTCATGCTTCTGAATCTTAATATATCCAGTCGAGTAGCGCGGCGCCAGACCTTAATTGATTGCATACAGTATGCACTGTGCCGCTTTGCATATTAAATTGGTAGAGGCGCCGTTGACATTGTGTCCTTGGCAGCAGTAGGCTGTAACATGTAGGAGAACTTGGTTGACTTGCTTGCGACCTACGGCGACAAGCATGAGCGTTTCTCCCCAGCCTAAACCTGATCAGGCAGATATTTCGATCTCGCGTCTATTGCTTCATTATATCAATGGTCCGACTCAAGATGCTGTGCGGGTCTGAAGGAGTTGCTCGAGTAATAGTGATTGTGGAATGACAAGAAACGCGGTTGATCGGCAGTCGCTCGGCAAGTTTGACGCGCTCTCTCCCAAGACTGCACCTTCTGCACCTTCTGCACCTTCTGCACAATTTCCTCCATCCCACAGTTTCCACTCGATGTTCAGGAGACAAAGCAAACGTGGAGCCATCATATGTGCAATGCCACAAACTATCACTGATCATGTCTTTTGCTCTGCATCGTATTCTGCTCTCTTAACAGCAGTAGTGACTGCTGAACATACTAGAAGGGCAATTTTTTCGCTAAGCGCTGATCGACCACCCCACGAGAATGCTGTATTGAGTGAGCGCTTTCTGTTGCAAAGTATCGCTTCATATGTCGCTCAAATAGCGATCAACAGATGCGTCTCAGAATATGCACGAATCCTTCTACTCTGCGCTGCACAATCCGCATGACATGCGTTCACTTTCATCTATAGGCCAAATATAATAGTTATGAACAAGTTATGCCTGGTACGTTCTCAACACCAAGCTCATGGTTAGTGCAATTAGAGTTGCGGGCCGTCACTAGCGCAATATCACATGGAAACTCTCTCCACTTCAGCAACAACACCTTCTATTCGTCCCATCTCAATCTACATCTGTCAATTCTCGACAAATACCATGGATACAGAGGTACCGCCGGTGATCTGGCGACGCATCTTCACCTTCGCTGCCAATGATGATGAAGCGCACTTCTGGTTCAGTGGACGCCGGGTCTGCCAGACATAGAAGCACCACATCGAGCAAACCTACCGCGACAACTACCTGAGAAAGCCCCTGCGATTTCACATCTACATCGACATCGGTGAGGCGTACATCCCTGATTTTGAGTTCGGCACTCGATGCATGATGGGCATGGATATGATTTTCGACCGCGTGGATGCAAGCAGAAAGAATTACTGCATATTCAAGGAGAATGAGGATACGACCGGTGGACGCGGCGGCTGGATCGATGAAGAAGGACATACTAAAATTTACGAGCGCAAGAAGTACGGCATGTGGAAAGAGAAGCTCGAGTTCTACCTCGGAGCCGAAGCTGCGGACGGCGGTCGCTTCGACGTCCCTCCATGGGTCATCCGCCTCACACCACCAATGACGCAAGAAGAAGACAACTTAGAAGCTGAAGACGAGAGAAATGGAACACTTGATGATCGGGATCGTGACGAGATCATCAATGACACCGAACTCCCAGGCTTCTCTTACGACATCGCTGCGCGCGAGATGAGCTTCGATTGAATCCTGATGTTCAGTAAATTCTTTGCCGAACACGCAGAGATTGGGAGACGAGATGAAAATTTCCAATATAAGGTGCGACAAGAAATGCGATACGGACATGGATCGGTTGATGCAGTAGGTCACGTCAATCCTGGAGAGGCCTCGCCTTATACAAGGATCAACACCATGACAGCAATGGCCAATGTCTTTCGCCCCAACCGTGATCTAGTCCGTCGGGAAAGGATCAAAAAGTTCTATAAAGACAAAGCCAATTGGGACTATCCGGATCACATGTTTGGAAGAGACGAGAAGGATGCGTTGGCAAAGCTTGTGCCATTTCCGGGGGCTGCGAGCTTTCTTGAGTCGCTCAGATCTGGTGGGCTAGAGGATGATGAGTACGATGAAGATGACGAGGAACACGAGGGTGGATTGGACAATCACTTGGCATCGATCCTGGGTCGACGTACTTGACCTAGTAAATCAGGCTCTCTTGGACATGGTAAGGACAACAAAGAGCAAGGGGACGAGGTGAGAGACGAAGATGAGGACGGAGACCAGCACACGATTGTACGAGCCAAGAAATATGACCAGTCCGGAAGTCAGAACAAATTAGTAATACTAAAGGGCGGAGAGTGAATCTCAACAAGATTGCGAACAGTGAGCAAGATAATCAGAAAGCAAGAGAAGTCCAAACTGAAACCCTCAGAAATGAACAGAAACCGAGAACAAAAATACAAACGCCTTGGTCCTTAGCAAATCCTCGTACCTTCTAACTCTAGCTAGATATCGGACTTGGGTGGTCGAGTACAACCTCTCCTGGTTCTTCTCCCTCCCTTCTGAAATTGTAGGTCTCCGCACCGACTGGTGGGAAGTCATCAGGATGCGCTCTTTCGAACGCCCTCTTTGCTTTTTCGTAGGCTTCCAGATCATCTATATCTTCTTTGTAGTACGTCGGAGCAGGATCCGGGGCCGCGAAGTAGTCACCGATGGTTTCTGGACGCTTAGGATGTAGTATCTTGAGACTGTCCTCAAGGACGAACTTGTCGTCAGATGGATCGGGGCTAACGTAGCGTTGTAGCTTTGGTCTGAGGCCTTCCTTGATTTGACGAGTGACCATGGCTTGACGGCGTTTGCGGGACGCGGCTCTTGCTCTTACTGCGCTGAAGGGTGAGGTATCCCTTTCGATGGGACTTCTGCAGCGCTTGGGGCGAGCTCTAGGGACGCAGAAGAGGTACTTGAACTTGTCGATAAGTTTCGCCGTGGCGCTTTCAACAGCAGCTCTGCCTCGAAGTGGTGTGCCTTCGGAACCAGAAACGCTGCTTCCATCTTCCGAGGCCGCAGCGCCGGCGTCGAGTTCCTCGAACCACTGGTTGGTGCCCCAACGTTCCATGCCTTGCGTGAACCGGGGCATGAGCTCTTCAATGGCTTCTAACACACGCTGCGGTGTTGGCCTGTCTTCCACCTTGAACTGTACCATAGCCTCGAGAACGTTCAGCAACTCAGGGCTGTACTCTCTGCGAAGAGAGTTTTCTGCTTCGCGTGCTTTCGTGCGCTTCGGGAGTGGTCTGTAGGAAGGTACGGGATCATAATCGCACGCTTCCCAGTTGATGTCAGCGCCGTGAACTGCTATACCCATCAAAACGGATTGCATAATGAAGCCGATTTGCCAGACGTTCTATGAACAAGGTCAGCATGGTCTCTATCAGTAGTATTGTAGTGTGTTGTCAATAACGGTGCCCTGCAAGTGCATCCTTGGCAAAGATAACAGTCAGGGGTCCATCGCGAACATAGATACTCCGAGTGATTTCGATATGAGAGTGCGTGTACGTACCGTGTGAGATCCAGCAGGCGCTTGCCAAGACCTGGCTTGTTATCAGAAGAATTCTTATCATGACTACGAGAACGAAAGGAACCAACCTGGGCATTCTNNGGAAAACTGTGTAATCTCGGGAGCAGACCATCCTTGGGTACAACCTCCAAGCATGACAAAGCTCCAGGGGTCGCCTAGCTTTATTAGCTTTTTATTCAGTGTTGAGCTATCGACCACCGTACCTTTGTAAGTGATATGTGCATTTCCGAAATCGCCAAGGTAACACGGAGGATAAGCCTGACAGTCTACCAGTTAGTTCTGAGCATACACAGAGGAGTGATGTATCCTTGAATTCACCGGAAAGCTATTGTTCTTGCCCAGAGATCCAGGAGCACCAAGAAATATGTTTTCGGGCTTCATGTCAACGTGAGCGACCTGATAGTTGGTTTGACTAGTGCGTAATGCTGTGTCCATGACCATGGCAGCAGAAACAAGTCGGTGCAGTATGTACCAAGCAAATGGCTCGGGGATTTGTCGATGTCCTGTCAACGTAGACCCCGTTTCGATGCCTTGCGTTTGGATAAGATCAAAGAGGTCTCCAAAGGCAAAGTAGGGCGAGTAGTATCTCCAGGAATCAAGCGACCAAGAACAATGCTCAGCACCCAACAAGGGTACAGTGAAAACTCGATCTAGGGGCGTGCCATTGGGCACTAGAGATCTCTGCATGAAGACTTCTCTGATGTGTCCATGGCCCAGACCTCCATTGGTTATCATTTGATCTGATCGTACTTCGGTGTATTTGAGCACAACGCGGTTGACAACTTTCTGATCTGCATTGGAGACGAGATTCCAGAGATATGCTCTACCGAAGCCACCGGCACCAAGCTTTTCACCGCACACCCACGAATGACCCTCGGGAGCGTGTAGGCGAGGAAGCGCGCGTAATTCAATGTCTATCCTGTCCTCGCGGTACGGATCATCGTAGTAGCCTCCCACGTCTGCCATGTCTGCAGAATAGCGAGATTCCCTTGAGAAGGTATGTTATATGTTGTTATGGGTCGTCTGAGGATATCCAGTTCGTCGTTAGTGTCGACATTGACTGAGAAGGGCACAAAAGGTAATGGTGCTGACTTTAACAAAGGACTTTCCGGATCCGGTCTCAATGATTTTGAGATGGACAATTTCCTTTAAATCGAAAAGTCGATTTCGGGTCTTCAAAAGCGCCCATTGTGTCCTAAAGATCCTTGAAGAAAACAGATTACATGCTGGTTTGATTAATAGAGAGGGTTGCATTGTTACACTGTACGATTGATTTGGCAATGGTCAAAGAGATTTGAACTGCCGGGCATAAGGCAGGATACAATAGGCCTGATGGAACTGGATTGTTCTTACGAACTTTTGTCTCTGACCTTGATCAATGAAACCTGCCGACTCGCATTCAAAGACCATATAAAGGTACCGGGGACGTCAAGGCGCGTCCATCGCGTCGAAGGTCTCGAGCTCGGCACGTGAAGTGATGCCTCATGCTAGGTAACTGCTAAGAGTATATCTGACATATAGTAATTGGACGACAAACTAGGGTTGTTACTCCGCTAAAATCAATTGTTCTTGTTTAGTCATGCGAGTCGAGTCGAAGTGTTGACTGGATAGGTCTGGAGCTGAGGTACATGTTGCCAACGCTGAGCAGTCGGAAAAATGTCGGCAGACTGTGTTCTCATCGTGGAGAATGTCTCTCCCACTTACTTTCCAATTACAACACAATACAAGACATTATTTCAAAGGTATTATTTCCATGTCATCTTGCAAGTTAACCAGATTTTTATGCCATTTATGGAATCGACCAAAACCAAATTCCGAGTAATCAGTGCATGCAACATGCAGCCTTCACGTCAATCCCGGACCTCCACATATACATGCGTATACATTGGACCTCAGCTGCTAAGCGTGAGATGATAACGACACTGAATAGTGTTGACAAGGGTATGTTAATACCATAACAGGTGTTCAGAGTGAGAAGCTGATGGATACATGCAACTTGACATCCTCTCAAAAGCTACTGTATCAGTACGTAGCCTATCCACGATGTTCTGGTTCGTCAATGTCATCAGCCTTCCTGACTACAGACTGGAAGGGGCGTTGATATATACATGTTGCACATCAAGCCACTTATCAGGCCAAGCGCACTTCCTGCCGTGTTTGGACATCGTCCTGTTATTCGTACATCTTGACACTGGTCAGCTTGTGAAGTGGCGTGTGGTCTCTGCCACACACTAGAGCCGTTCGCTGTTCGCCCCATCCATGAATATAAGGCAATTGCGGCTCGGGATCTGACATCTAAGAAAAAGAAAATATCGCTCGATTGTCGCAGACTTATCATGACTCCACCATCCAGCACAAACGCTGTTCTCCTCCCAGAATAGAAATCTATCTTCCAGGATAGCCCAATAACATCCAACATGAGCAGTTTCCAGCAGGACGAGCAAATCTATATTTGTTTGGGTAACACGGGCATTGGAAAGAGCACTTTCGTTCGATCCATGGGCGGTAATGTCGACCCCAGAGAACTTGTAGCCAGCGAGGCATCCCTAACGAGCGAAACGAAATTCTATCAAATTCGTCCCTCATTTCTACTGGTCGACACACCTGGTTTTGGAGACTCGCGAGCCGCCGATCACCCAACTGCATTTTCTGATTCCAGACACAGGGAGAGTTACTCGATGCTTTCCAAGATCGGAAAGCAAGACATTTCAACGGAGTCTTCTGGTTCGTCATCAACCCGAAAGTTACCGATGAGCTCGAGGATCAGGCTCGTTTCATAGACGGCCTTGTGAATCCTGATTTGAATGACGGAAAACCTCACCAACCAGTCGAGTGGTCACATGTGATTGTGATGCTACATGGTACCACGACCCACGGTCTTGCTGTGAGAAGCGTTGTCAAGAAGGTCACAGGCAGCCTAGAAGTTTCAGAGAGGCTGTGCATGAAGAACATTGGGCTTTCCGTGGACGGAAAGAACCCAGGCGACTGTAACTTGAGAATCGAAGGTGTGAATGTCGGAACCTCTAAAGGGCGCGATATATTCGAGCTCCAGGAATCCGTCAAATCCGAGGTACTCCGGACTTGGTTTCGTGCAACACATCCGATCAAGGCAAGTAGCAGCAACGCGGAAGAGTCGTTAGTATTTCCATTCGCTGACTCTATATAGTGGATGAGCATTAATGCTAAGTGCTTGCACTGTTTGCAAAAGGTGATCCTCGTGCGTTTGGACGATGCCACAAATCAATCTCTCGGATCCATCGGAAGCAATCCAAACATCCCGGAATCCAATTTTTTGTTCATGGGCCACGGGATGTGAAGGACAAGACAAAGTCCATACTCAAAAAAGTGGCAGTTGGTCTCGGTGCTGCAGGGCTAGCAACTGGAGCCGCCTTGACAGCAGCCATCACTATCATGGCTCCAAATCCTGGCACACTTGTATTGACCGGGACTCTCCTACACATGACCGTCTCGGCCGCAGCCATAAGTGCTAGCGCGACGATAACCACATCTGCAACTGCACTTTTTGGTAAAAGGGTTACCGATCCAAGAGCACCGGCCGCGATGGTAATCGCCGGCGATGTGAACATGACAGCCAAGGAGCTCAAAGAACTATCTGACAGCCTCAAAGGATTTGCTAAAGACGGAGTTTGCGGAACTTGTAAGGCCAAGGTAGACCAGGAGCCTTGCACATATGTCTGGACTTGTTGCTATCGAGCCTTTGGAAGGAAAAATCAGTTGACACCTGGGCACGACCCTACTGAAGAGTGCAAGACTGAGTGTACACATTGTAATGCAACTCTGGTCGACGAGGGCAAGAAAATCGAGGTACCAGGCTGTCTCAACATGTGTAACGGTTGTAATATTACAGAAGATGACAAGGAATTCAGCAACAAAGGCTGCGGGACTGTCACACATCGTTTCGAGTAGCCACCTCACGACGGTCGAGCCTGTTAGCTGTCTTGAATTACTCGGAAAGGATGTCGCTCCTGCTTTTACCATCTCTTTTTCTCCTTTGTAGGTCCACAGTTCCTTGCTCAATCGCAGGCTATCCCTTTCTCTCGAGTCTGATTTTGCTTTCTGTCACAGTGGTTTTTTGCCCCTCTAACAAGACTTCGCTCTTTCCCTTTCAAAATGTCAATTTATTGCTTCCATGTTCACTGCTTGGTCACTCTTTCCACCTTTCATCCGACTTCGCTATACAACTTTCGGCTTTCATAATCAAAGTTGCAATCACATATCTACCTCCTACGAAGTCTACAATACCATGTGACAAGTAATGAAGAAGATACCAGCCAGACCAATGCATATTAATTTTCCATCTAAGACTTGTTCTCGCCATCTTCCTTTTTCTTCTCTTCCGTGTAGGGCTTTTGCTTCGCCCGCGAGTTCCAATCTAACGAGCGCGAGATACTCTCGATCCAATCTTCGCTGCGTTTGTTCAATGGCAGTACGCTAGGGTATGGGAACCTCGAGGCGGAGATGGTAACATAGTCGCCGGGGCACAGCTCGGTTCTNGGTTTAGATTTGTCAGTAAAGTGAACGAGGGTAAGGAAGTGTTGAAGAGCTGTGACATACCTATACTTGCCGTCGAAACTGGTGTATGCAGAACTGCGCGCGTCGTATGGTACACCGATGCGCAGAACCATGGTATCGGGGAGAATGATGGGTCTAAAGTTTAGCGTGTGTGCAGCGATGGCGGTAAGGAGGATGACAGGATTGTCTGGGTGACAGAGACTTCCACCTGCTGCCAAATTGTACGCCGTACTGCCTGTTGGAGTAGCTACGATGAGACCATCTGCCGCAATGGTTGTAAAGCATTCCTCATCTCCGTAGACATCTAGCTGGACCATGGACCCAGATGGACCTCTGTCGAGCACGATTTCATTGAGGATGTGGTATGCCGCTTCCGGTTTGTGAGTGTGATGATCATCAGCTTCGGCACCTACGAGTTCCTCATCCAGTCTTCTTTGCTTGTGATCCTCATCACTATCGCCGTCGCGACGGATGCTTCGCATGATGGTGCCCTCGAAACGGAGTCGAAGAGAGACGGTGATGCCATCGCTGAAGGCTCTAGGCAGGATGGACGCGTATCTGGCAAAGTCGAACTTGGTGAGGAAACCTAAGGATCCCATGGCGAAACTGAGAACAGGGGGTACGATGCGTTGGAAAAGGAGTGAGGCGAAGAGAACAGTACCGTCACCACCAAGCTGTTGCGTAACGTTAGTGATCTGATATCACAACTTCGCCGGTACAGCACTCACGGCGAGAACAATATCGAACTTGTGTGGCATCTTCTTGCAGAGCTCCTCGTCCCAGTACTTTAGCCTGCTTGTCTTGGACCCATCGCCCTCGAGGATCCACGGGATGTCAAAAGACTTCAAATCCTTGAGTTTGTCCTGAACATAANNCTGCATCCTGTCAGTTGCCAACCAATATATCTTGATATCCATAACTTACACAGTGTACTGTGCCTCTTTCTGATCCAGCAACCACTTTGTCAGCTCTGCGGCCTTGGCACACAGGGTAGCATCGGTGAGCTTGGTAAGGACAAAGATGTTCTTGACCTTGAGCATCAACTTGACTCGACCCAAACGCTTGGATAGCTCACGAATACCGAATGCCATGTCGGACAATTGCTTCTTGGTGAGCAAGCGAGACTGCATGTGGTCGCCATGTTGTGGAGGCGTGCCTGAGAGCTTGTCTGCCGGCCTCTCTTGATGTTCCCCTTCTAGACTCTGCTCAACCTTTGTACCGCCTTCCTTCTCTTCCAGCATATTATGGATGAAGCATGATGTGTCGTTACGCTGCGTGCTGGGTCGCATATTGGTCTTGACAATTGATGATTTACGTCGTGGTGTTGATGATCCTTCGAAGATGACNCTGCCAGAGATGGATATCAGAGTCCGAGGGATACTAGGAACGGTATTGGGTGGAATTACTTCGAGGGCTTGGTGTCCTTCGTCACTGCTCATATCGTCGAAGCTCTGTNNTCAGACACACGGGTGTTAACAGGAAGGAACAAAGGCCGGAAGCAGCGTATTCACCTCCCTCCTTGCACTGACGCGTTCGGCAAGAGCGTCCAGGGCTCTGTCACTCATGACCTTTGTTTTTGTAGGGATGTGTTCGATTGTCCAACAAGGAATGTACCTACTCCCGGATCCGATCTTTTAATTGTGTACGAATTCCGTCGTCATGGGCTGGACTGATTGTGGGGTTAAGCTCTTATCATATCTCCACTAGTACGAATTGTTCCAATCATGCCGAGGCTCATGCTGTGTTGGCAACAATTAGAACCACTTCCCCCTCTAAGCCCCTCTCTCGCTACTTTAATCCTTCGTGTCCTTGGCCTGGGCTATATACAGTGCTAAGTAATATAAAGAAAACTCATTTAGATTCTCCAGGCTCCAACACACTTACGCGTAAGGTAGTATATCTTGTCTCTCATCCCTCTTATTCATCTTTTCCCTTGTCTCCCTGTCCTCGTCCCAATTCTTTCCACCTATTTCATTTCAACACTGTAGAGAGCATGGCAGAAATCACCATCAACGATGCAGACCTCCAAGCCCTCAGAGGCAAAGTCGTTCTCATGACCGGTATGCGACGGACCTCACCTTACCAGTAGAATCCTCTAACACATGGCAACAAAGGCGGCTCCTCAGGCATCGGCCTCGCAACCACAAACTTGCTCCTCAGTCTCGGAGCCAAAGTCGTCAATGGTGACATGATCGGCCCCATCTCGCGTCCCGAGCCCTTCTCACTTGAATCCTACCACTGGATCAAAACAAACGTGCTCGATTGGCCCGGCCTTGGGGAACTCTTCAAAGCAACCTTGAACCTCTACGGTCACATCGATCATGTCTTCGCGAATGCAGGCATGCGACCATCAACCTCCTACCTCACTTTGGAAGTGGATGAACGTGGTAACCCGATTGAACCCAACCATACGACGTTAGATGTCAATCTTAAGGGTGTGATCAACACTGCTTCATTGGCTTTGCATTATATGCAGAAGCATCCTGCTCCCGAGGGCGGAGTCCAGAGTATCGTACTCACCGCATCGCCATCCTCTTATCATCGTTTCCGCGCTGCAGACTATGGAGTCAGTAAACATGGTGTATTGGGACTGTTGCGTGGTCTCGCCCCCGTGACTGCACCTCAGCTACCCATTCGTGTGAATGCACTTTGTCCTGGCTGGACAGTCACAGGCTTGACTGAGGAAGCTCACTACGCTGGCGTGAATGTCAACTTGTCAACAGCGGATAACGTGGCCAAAGCAGCAGTGCTTTTAATGGCTGATGAAAGCAGACATGGACAGATGGTCTTGAGTGTGGGCAACAAATATAGAGAGGTCGAAGAGGCGGTATTACTCAAGGCCATGAGCTCTGAAGTCAGAGGGCAGGAGTTGACCGAAGATGAGATTTGCGAAGGTGTGATTGCGAACATGATGGCGCAGGCTCAACAATGAGAGACGCGGTCGCAGTCTGGTATATGATTAAATTTTAAAGTATACCCAAAATGTGCATGTATCAATGTCTTGATTGTTTCCCGTCTTGTGAGAATCTTTTGCACATAGATTTGTACAGATATAAATACAGAAGACATGACTTTCTTTCTCTCTCAGAGTGCCACCGCAAAACGCCGCCCAATGCAACATTCTTGATGGTTTCTCTAGTTTGAGCCACGCTTGTTGTTCTTCTTCTTGCGAGAGTTGGAGTCCCTGCTCTTGACCTCTGAGCTGCGCAACATGGCACGCTGTCTCTGGTACTGCCTGACAATGTTGTCGACACTGCCAATGTCGTGTCTGGGCTGGCGCATGTAATAGAGTCTTGCTCTTCTCGCTCTCTTCTCCTTCCTTTGCACGACCTCGACACCCTCGACATTGGGACTGTAGATCTTGTACCACATCTCGACACCCACGCGTGTCAGGTTGTTACGCAAGAGGATGGCAGTGTCGATGCCTTGGCGGCGGATGTTTAGACACACACCGGCGTATTGGTCACCGTTCTTGAGGCGAACCAGCAGGATGTCGCCGACGTTTGCGCGATCGATGTTCTCACGGCTAAAGAGGCGGGTACGGGCGCCGGTGGGGTCGAGGGTAGAGATTTGAGATTGAGTGACGGCGGCGATGGGGTCTTTGCAGTTCGTGCGGGCTGAAGGGACGGCGGGGAAGACGGGGATCTTCTTCATGGTGTGTTCGCTGTCTNNGGAAAGGTGTCAGAGTGGAGGACAAAGACTGAAGAGGTCGTGTGTCGTACTGCGGCCAGTCATGATGGCACCGGGGTGGAAGTTGACGGGCCTGCCGGTGGTCGAGGGAGCGGCGGTGGCATAGCAGCGCGAATGGTGCTTGTCTGCGCGCAGTTGGCGCAGGGCTGATTTGAGAGCAGCCAGTGGCCGTGCTGGAGTAGACATGGTCGTGTGTGTGGTCGACTGTACAGAGTCGTCGATGGATGTCGCTGTTGCTGCTTGTCGGGCTTCCGCTGCCCCCAAATTTTCGGTCGGCCAATCGCGAACGCCGCAAGCTTGCGACTCTCTACCACCAATTGCCAGACAATTGCTTCGACTCTAACACAATCAATCATGACGGATCTCTGTAGGACGTGTGCATTGCGCACTCAGCGCTCTGCTGTCTCTGCCCTTCGCCGCAACACCCAGACCCGCTCCTTCACGGCCTCGTCCTCCGCCCAAAGAAACACTGGTATGCACGCGATGCACTCGCGACCACTTCTTTGCTAACAACCTGCCCAGCCACTCTTCCCACATTTGCCGAAACCTCATCTCCCGAACTCGATGATGTCCTTCTCCAACTCCGTACCAAACACTTTATCCCTGCCTACCTGAACAAGCGCCAGCGCCACCTCATCTTTGGCGACAAATTCAAGCAAGAACTCGAGAACAACCCTGCCTACGCAACTCTCGGTGAAGAGGAGATTGCCCTTACCCACATCGACCGCAGAAAGGACATTCCTGCTCGCAAACCTCTGGTCCTACAAGCACTGCGTCTGATCGAGGAAAACAACGAATGGCGCCAATTGCCCTCCATCCTCGAGGGTTTGCACAAAGCTCGCCCACACCCGGATCTGGCTCTGCAAGAAAAGATTCTGAGGAAGTTGCAGTTGGCTGATCAATTCCCTGTTATTTTGCGCTCGCTGCGACGATCGCATGCCACTGGTCTCACTCTCAAGAACGACGCCGTGTTAAATCAAGTCCTCAATGCCCTGCGCGAGACCGCATCGCTGGAAAACTGGGAGCAAACTCGTTTGGAAAAGGCATTGAAGCAGGCGGATGAGTTGGCCGAATTGCTCGAGTCGGCAGACCATGGTTCCGGCAGAAAACTATCACCCAATGATCCCAGGACACGTCCTGCTGTCATCGGCTTGTTCCTTGAGTTGCACGCCGTATACGCACAACAATACCAAGGAGGCCAAGACGTGAGTGGAAAGGTCAAGGCTTACGCCACGAGATTCATGGCCACTTTCAACGAGTCCAACCAGGTACGTTCTCTCAACTCATCCTTACGGTCACAAGCTAACAACTCCAAGCCTGCCGAGACAGACCTCCCAGCAGTCGGTCCTCCGATTGAATTTTTGTCGAAAATGTCCATCTACCACGGTCTCAGCCTCGCATCCAAGATCCTGGGTTCCGACATGCCCGACGCCGCCCGTGCAAACCAGATCGTTCAGCAATATGAACAGAGGTTGAGCACACTGGCCGAGGCTCTGTCAGCGAGAAATCCTGAGCCCAACAGTTTCGCAGCATCGAGCTTGAAGGCCTGGGACGCCTGTGTAAGGTAAAATATTTTGTGATGTGAAGCAGCATCAATGTAACAGTACCTGCAAAACTTTGTACAAAACGAGTTTCCTGAACTACATCCCACACTCGCACCTCTGGCATCTTGTTCCGTATCTTTCTTTTATTCTTTTATCGCTCTGAGAACATCCGCCAAGATCCAGATACGACACCAATGTCCACTCTTCTACCATGCTAGCTTCCACGCATCAGACTAAGCGCAGCACTCGCGTCTCCTCCTGTCTCCAAAGCAAATGTCCATCGCCTCGTCCTCTGGACCAAACCCGCTTACTGTTTCTCCAAGTCTCTAACCCTTTATTCTTGTATGCTCTCCCACATCCCTTGTCTCCTGAGACATTTCTTTATCCTTGCAGTAATCTTTAGTTTGGGTATATGATTGTCTTCTGTTTTCGTTCTTATCTTTCGCGAGTTTCTGGTTTTGTCTTTCCGGTTTGTTGAGACTTTTCTTTGGTCGAGATTGGTTGGTACTTTCTTATTGACTCGCATTATCCTTTTCCATCAGTTGGTTTGGATCGCTCCTTCCTTGATTGTATTCCGCTCTTTCCTTGTTGGTCGTCCCTTCCCCATTACTCGATCATTCTTTCTTCATCGGGTTGGTCGTTCTTTCCTTGACAAGTCGATTGCTCATTCCTTACTACTCGACTGTTTCTTCCTTCTTTGTCATCTCAGTCAATCGCTCCTTCCTTACCAGGAGGTAGCTTGGTTGCTCTTTCCTGTTCAGTTCGGTCGCTCCTTCCTTGATCTAACAACTCGATGGCTGCTTCCTAACTACTCGACCGCGCTTTCGAATCTACTCGATCGCTCTTTCCTTGTCGAATTGGTCGCTCCTTCCTGCTTGATTTAATTGCCCTTTCCTCATCAACTTAATCATCCCTCCCCTATCGCTTTGATTGTTCTTTCTTCGTCAACGCAACTGCCCATTTCGTCATCAACTCGGTCGTGTCTTCTTTCCTGCTTGTTCGTTCGACAACATGTAAATCTCCTGCTTCTTTGTATGAGTTTGGGAGTATGTGTGATATTGTGATATTTTGAGATTTTGCTATGCCCCGTGGCGGGCGCATGGTTTTCCTCGTATAACACAGGCGAAATGTAAAGGTAAAGAACGACGTATTAAGCTAGGAAGGAGCGATGTAATTGTGACGGGATAAAGCAAACCAGATTTCCGGAATCAGGAAGGAGCAATGGAATAGAGACGCAAGCATAGAAGGAGCGATGCAGACAGGATAACACAGGAAGGAACGACATGATCAAGGCACGAGGTGAAGCCATATTACAGCTAATACACATACCGAAGCGACACTCAGGTAGAAAATGAAAATGGATTCTATACAACGTTGCGAAACCTCTTTTTCCGCTTACTTTTGAAGCATGCCTTTTACAACTTGACACCAATTTCCTGCACTTTTTCCTCAACCGCATCGACATCTCCCAAAGCCTTCTTGACCTCGGTCAGAGCTTCTCTGGCTCTGCTCCAGTCCTCGAGATCAGAAGTCCTCAAGACACCCCTCTCGTTTTCTCTAACCACCGTCCTTAACACGTCTTCCACTTCGGCCAATACCACGCGTCCATGTTCGCGGACCTCGGCTTCCCAAGTCTCCCGCTCGGCCTCCCATTTCTTTTGCAGGCGGCGTAGAGTCCAGACAAGACCTAGTGCTGCGATGGCGCCGGATTCGGCCAGCATGGTACCTGAAGTGGCAATATAGAGCCAAACACCCAAAGCAGAGGTTGCGCCGATGGTAGTAAGGGATTGTACGAGTAGGGTCTGAGCACGCGCTTGCAGGGACGGCACTAAAGCGTGCAAGAGCTTTTGACGTGTAAAGTGAATAGCCAATGGCCAAGGTCTCGAATGGAAGATATCGATTCCACCAGTTTGTGCAACCTTTGCCGTGAGGGCGTGTGTGTTGAGGAGGTCAGCAGCGCTAGGTTGAGCAACCTTGTCGGTGAAGAATTTGCTGAAGAACCCCTTTGAAGATTTCTTTAATGGCGCAGAAGAAGCTTGGGAAGGAGCCAGGAAAGCTCTTTCCTTCGATATGACTTCGCCAGTCTTTGTGTCGACTGCACGATCGGAAGCGTGCATGGCGTAGTCGGGATTGAAGTTTGCTACACCGCCTCTGCTGCGAAAGAAACCTGCTTGTTCGATTCTACCGGCAAGGAAAGCAAGGGTGGATTCAGCGTCAAGCAGCCAATGTGAGCGTAGCACTTCCTCAGCGGCCACGTTTACATCGTCTACACGCCACAGAAGTCGTGACCAGNNAGTCGTTCGTCGCCAAGATCGCGAGACTAGCGCGTTGGCGAGAGAGATCTGTAGATCGGTATGTGCGTGTTGTGCCCAAGCTGAGATTGCTTGAGAGATTTCCTGACGTTTTTGGTCGGAGATGCTGTTGGAAACCACAGCATTGTTGGCGACTTGTTCGGAAAGAGCAAGGGCGTCGGCTGCAGAGTCCAGAGTAGAGCGGATGTGTGATTGCAGAGTTGGCCTCAGGCCTACCGAATCGCCAGTGATAGGATCCATAGGGTCCGAGGCCAAGAATTTGATGATGGCCTGGATGTTGCTAGCTTGCCATTTTGTGTTAAAGATGGCGCTGTTGGCGACGTCCTGGCGGAAGAGATCGAGAGCAGCTCCAGCTTGGTCGATGTCGACGGGAGAAATCAAACCAGTGTCGTGGGTTTGGGTGCGAGGGCTGTCGCGTGGTACACTTAGAGCAACCTGGATGAGACCCTGTTGTGCGCCTGTAACTCCTAGAGTTGTGGCTTCCAAAGCGCTGGAGAGACGGCCAAAGTCCATGCATCCTTGAATTCCTTCTCCGACAACGATGGCCTTATGGACGGGGTAGCGCACAAAGCCGGTACGGCCAGAGGAAGCGACGGGGGTCTGTAACGGGGGCACTAAGATGGCTTCTGCTAGTCCTGATGGATCAGCGCTGATGTTAGGACCACTGGGTGTGTTGAGGGCTGTGATGAGAATCTCGAGGTTGTTCTTCTCCAAGACGCGTGAGGGGATGTTCAATTCGTTTACGAGCGGGTTCATGGGCGGCATGTCGTCTTCGGCTCCGTATCTGCTCAACATCAGCAATCGCACAACAAAGTCGATTTACTTTTCTCGTACCTCAAGNAGCAGAGGCTTGCCGTCTTGCGACGGCTGCTTCAGCATCTTCTCCCACTGACCCTCATCTCCCAGCGCATCGGCAAGCAAGACACGTGCGAGTTTCCTTGCAGCAACATCTCCATCTTGTCCCAGGCCAAGCAGACCGATTCTCACAGTGGGTCGCGAAGTCTCCAGTCCCCTCAAGGCGAGTTGTAGTCTACTCTGGTTGACATAGTCGCTGGCGATATCCTTCAGACGGTCCAGAGATGCGTATAGTTGTTGGTGTTCTGTGGGAACGTTTGAGGGAGGATTGATGGCTGTTCTTGAGGCCAAGTTGGTCGCATGCCTGATGTGGGCGCGTTCTGGTGTATAGAAGCTAGTGGCAGATGTGCGGACGAGTCTGCGGTCACGTACAAGGCGCGTGTTTGCGCCAGCGGATGGCTGCTTGCGAGCGATTGACGACCCGGACCGCCATGTTGTTGGTGGCGTATATATCGAAGGGATCAAGCGAGCGCACGTCTTTGGCGACAGCGGCCTTCGTGCCAATGGCACTCGAAGAAGCATAATGACCTTCTCAATCGTGTCTCTCCTCCGGCCTGCCCGCAACTCGACATGGCATGCGCTTCGCCAAGCCTCGTCAAAGCTCCCAAGCCCATCACCTATTCATCACTCAGATACAAGACAATAAATGGCGTTTCAATAATGTTTTCATTCATGCAGTCAATGCATCGCGTGCTGTCACTTGCAGCTGTAATGTACATGCCCGCTACAGGTCGTCATGTCAAATAAAATAAAAAGACTTTCTCAGAAAACTCCTCCACCATACCATAGGGGTATCTTAGTGTCTGCCGCTGCGACCCGAGCCCGAGGACCTGTGCATCTTGTTAGCGTCTGATCACAGCCTAGAGAACTTCCAGTACTCACATGCTTATCCTTCTGGCAACACCAGCCAGCTTCTGATCGTTCTCGGCTTCCTGCGCCGCACGCGTCAAAGCATCATGTCTAGCAGCATCGCTGTTTCTTCTGACCTCCTCACCCGAAGGAGGCAGTCTCTCGTTCTGCAAATCCACCTTGCGAGCATCCTCGAAGTTGGTGATGGCTTGCTTGATACCCTCGGCTCCCAGCATCAAAGTGCCAGCAGGAAGCTTTCCTCCACTGGCCGTCTTCAGCTCAGTAACACGCTCCGACTCCTCGCGCAGAACCTGGAACACTCTTGACAGACGACCGATCGCCAAAATCTTGTTCTTGATGGCGCGACGCTTGTACTCGGTGCTATCCGGGTCCATGTTTGCGACACTGTTTGTTGGGAGAGGGGGCGAGTGTGGTCCAGATGAGAGGGGTGTCTCTTCCTCGAGCTCCTCCTTGCTGCAGGTGTTGAGAATGGCAATGAGCATGTCAGTAATCTTCTCGCCAACGAAAGGAAGCGACCATGTGAAGACATCCATGAAGTTGGGCAGCCAGTAAGGGTGAGGTGTGCAGTCTNNGTGTTTTGTTAGCTCGAAGAAACTGTTGTTTGTAGTGCTGAACTCACTGAATTGACGAATGTTCATGACGTTGTTCTCATACTTGAGGACAGCGGCCTTGTTGTTGTACACATCCAAGTAGTTGGGTGCACTGAAGATGGTCATGACACTAGGGAATCCAGTAGTCCTGGTCTTGCGGTACATGCGGTATCCGGCATCTTGAGCCTCATGTGCGCGAATGATAGAAAGCAGGTTGTTCTTCTCCAAGAAGGCACATGCAGCAGGGTATGAGAAGAAGTATGAGCAACCTCTGACATGGTTGTGAACAAAGTATTCTTGCGTCTTTTCCTGACCAAAGTCCTCAAGCGGGTCGGCCCAGAGAATATCGCACATAAGACCGTGAGTAGGGGGCTCGCGGAAGCGATCGATCNNTACGTAGAGAATTAGTATGGGCCGCAGTCTGAGGAAGGCGACGGAACGTACACTCTTGAGATCCTCAAGTGTGTGCAACTCGGGACTGAGACCACCGTGAATACAAAGGAACTGCTTGTTCATAACGGCAGCAAGAGGGAGGGCGCAGAACGACTTCATGCAAGCCTCGTACACAGCCTCGGAGTATTTGTGCTTGCACTCAAGCTTGAAGGTGAAGTAATCGGTCAAGTGGCGACACTCGTGGTTACCACGCATGAGCCAGAGAGTGTTGGGGTACCAGATCTTGAGAGCCCAGAGGTATAGAACACACTGCATATCATGTCAGATTGGCGCGGCCCAAAGCGGCAGAGCGGAGCTAGAAGAGCATACCTCGATACTGAAGTATCCACGGTCGACGTAGTCACCCAAGAAGAGGTAGCGCGTGTCTGCAGGGTCACCGCCGACTTCGAACAACTTCATCAGATCGTAGTATTGACCGTGGACATCACCGCAGACGGTGATGGGGGCGTCCATCTCCAGAAGGTTGGGCTCTCTCTCGAGAACCTTTGTGCACTCGCTCAGAATCCATAGCGCCTGGTCCTCGGTAAGACGACCCTCCCGATAGAAGTGTTGCTTGAGGAATTGTAGATTGGGCTTGTTGGGGTCTGTGGGAGAGAAGAATTGCTCGTCGGTCGGCGGGTGGAAGGCGGGCGCTTGCACGTCTGTTGAAATGCGGGTCAGCTTGGTCTGTCGTCGAGTTGAACGAATTGCCCGAGCTCCCACGCGGTATGGAACAAGAGCCGAGATGGAGTACATACCCTTGCATACTCTCTCCAGAGTGCTAACCTGGGTGCCGTCTTCCATGGTGTGGAGAGTGAAATCAATCTCGGGGACGGGTCGCTTGTTGGTGACAGCGCGCACGGCGGTGTCGACATACTTGTCCTGCTCCATGGGTTGGCCGGACATGATTGCAGCGTGTCTGGTTGTTGCAAAAAGGTCAAAGTCGGAGTCGGTGGAGGTCGAGAGGGCAGCAATGGCCGGTCGCGTGGCTGAGGGCAAGAGAGCAGCGACCAGTGGCAGCAAAGACGGCTAGACCCTGCGACTGTGGCGGTGTTTCTTGACGCTGATTCAAGCTAATGATGCCTGACGTAGGAAGCTGACTGTTGTCTTTTCAAAGGAAATGGCCTTCAATCACTGCAGTCTCGTCTATAGAGGCGAATTCACACGCATTAATCACAGATATTCAGGAGAAGGCTCATAGATGGACAAAGGCTGGGCATTGGACCATCACGAGAGGAAGGCGGTCAGCTTGTGGAGGTGCGCTCGGGAGATGTGCCTCGCTCTTGCCAATTCCGCTCCGTCATCGCCAAAGCCCTGAAACACCACCCTGCCGCCATTCTGTTCTTGTTGCACCACATGGGAAACACCTTCCCGTTCTTATGGTCCAGCGTTTATGTGCAGCATACGACCTCGGAGCTATGTATACATGTTGGGCTGGGCTCAGACCCCATGTTTCACAGATCATTCGGATTCACTGAGAAGGATAAAACAGGTGAGAATTTAATCAGAAAAGAATTGATTCATGATGTGCAAAAACCATGCGTACTACTAAAGAAAATAACCCCGAGACTTGCGCCTCAACCCAAATATGAACATTTCCCAATCATTGCAAAGGATACCGGATCCTGAAAGGATTGTCGTAAAAGTTGTCGGCTTCGTTCAGAAGCTGTGCTTGTGGTGGATGTGGTTGGGGATGTGACGGTGGATTCTCGAGCTTCTTCTTCTCACGACATCGCGCTTGGAGACAACGTTGTTTAAGCAGGTGGTACCAAGAGAAACGGGGCGAGGAACAGCGCAGTTGTCAATGTCGCAAATGCCAAAGGTGTTCTCGTCGATGCACACGAGCGCACCTGGAGATGGGCATGAGACCTTGCCTCCGGTGCAAGCGCTAGAAGTGTCGTTGACAGATGCGGCGTAGCCAGTGCCAGATGGCATGGGAGCAGCGCTGACAGATGTGGCCAGACTGGGAACAGGAGCATACTGTGAAGGCGCTGCGGCGTAAGATGTAGGAGCAGTGGCAGGAGAACTGGCAACATATGGAACAGCTGATGTGTAGCTCTGGGTTGAGTTCGACCCGGAGCCAGGTGCAGTGTCAGCGCTGGTAGGACAGCCAAAGTTGCCAGGTGTGGCAGCTTCGCCGTAAGTAACAAATTTGCCAGGGTCAGGGAATCCGACAACGAGGCTTTGGTCGATGAATTTACATTCATTAGGGATGTTGGCAACGTAGAGCTCAGGGAGGCTGTTGAAGAAAGTGTCATCGTCGGAACCGCCGGTAATCGAGATAGGTGCACAGTTCATGTACATCTCGCGGTTTCCAACCTTGTTGAACCAAGTCCAGGCGAGAGTGGCATTGCCGTTCTTCATACCTTCAGGAATCTGGAACTTGAAGTCTTTCAGACACTCGCTTTGGTTATCGCCAGTGCATTGAGCTCCAGTTGGCCTTCCATCAACATCCTTTCCGACTTCAGCAATGTTTCCCTCGGCATGTACTGGGCAGCTACCAATATAACTGTGGATGACCTTCCACTTGGACTTGTCGGCAGGAGGAGGGTACTCGTAGGTCACACTGAGTTGACAAGAGCCGCCACCATGGACAGCACTACCAGTGAACTTGAGATCGTTGTCTTCGCCGACCTTCATGGGGTTGGAAACACCAGTAGCGTCGAAAGCATTGGCACGGCTTCCACTTTGGCAAGGAAAGTTGTAGCCTTGACCGTTGAGAGGCGAGGTCTGGAGGGTATTGAAGCCGTATGGTGTGGGGGTGTTCATGACAACGTGAGCGTTGGACTTTGCGATGAGGGCAAGGACCGAGCCCAGCAGAACAGTCGAGGTGTACATTTTGTGTTGTTTGGGGTTTTGATAGAGAGTGTGGTGCGAGAAGTTTGGCTTTGAAATGCTTTTATATCGCTAGACCGGCTACGCGACTTGAGATTCGAGAGTTGTAGAACTGGTGAGAAGATGTGTTAGGTGTCTTGTTTCAGGAATTTTCGAGTTTTATGCCTGTCTCAGGTAGTAGGAATGGAATCTTCGAGGAACATATGTATTGTGCCAACACATCATGATGTCTCAATTGAACAACACAATGGATCAATGAAAACTTGAAAGAGGACAATAAGCAGGAAACAATGAACAATGGGCATTGAGCATTGAATATTACTCTGACAATGAGAAGACAGTGGTAGCTGCAAGAATCAAAGAAAGGTGAACTTACCGAAATCTAAACCAGAAGGCCAAGTGAGTGAATTCAGGGGAATCAAGCAGAAAGAGTGACAAGCGTGTGGTGATTTTGCAGACTGTAAAGAATGTGTAGGAATTGCACCAGGCGATTCCAAAGCAAAACTGAGACGATGAGAGGGAGCAGGAGGTTTGGGTGCCACCAGGACCTACTGTTCTTATATCAAATCTTGTTTGCGTAGGGTGGATATCCCTATTTTCCGCCACATGTATGCGAACTGCAGGTCAAGCACACACCTGCTTCTGTGCGTAGCCTAGCCAAGTCGCATAGTGGGGATCTACGCATCGGACTCTGGGATGGAATTGGCCATAGTCCACAGACCCTAGGGCCGTGGATATCCAGTAAGATGCCAGATGTGCCTTCCCAGGAGGCATTTTGCTGAACTGGTGAGACTGAACTAGAGCCGTCAAATCGTCCCAAGCGCGGGGCGAAGCCACTGCGAAAGACGGATGAAGAAATCGTGCACATGTCCGTGCAAGTTTGCGCATGGCTGATCGCGCGTGTTAAAAGACGGAGCGGTCAAGGCCACCCCTGCAGCACGGTAAAGCTTGGTTCTGGTCACACAGTAGTCTCTAGATCTGGACGAGACACAACAGTTGACGCTGTCTTTGTGTGGTTGTTTTTAGACATCGATCTGTCTCCTGTTTCTGCTGTCAGGTTGTCATTTGCACAGCCTGCCAATCCGTATCAAGCGTTATTGGGCAATCCATTTCAGCAAGGCCTTACCCAGATCGAGTATTCTTCAGCTTGCGAGCAGTAACAGAGTCATGATAGCACATCCACAATCGATATCAATACCCGCTCGAAGTATATTTTCATGCATGCATGGAAGCAAACGATTTCTTGGGTGTGTCCAATCAAGGATCAGAAGTGTGGAAGCGGTCGAAAAGGAGATGCACACGCTTCGGGAGGCGGCGCGTCTGTGCGTCAGGAGGGATGTAACAAAGAAGCAATCTCTCGACATTCCCTTGCCTCCTTTGTTGCACGGAACAATGAAAGTTTCGATCAGCTATGTCGACAGCAACCAAAGATTGTCAGTGAGGTATCTGCCATATCTGGACAGAGTAAGTTAATCTCATTCCAGATTGTTGGCGAATGGACCATTGCTAAGGAAGGTATGTTGAAGCTCGGACCCCAAGATCTGCCGGCATCCGCTTTCGGGCCACAAGGCCGATGGAGCTCAGTCGCTAACATGAAACACTCGGTTCTGTTTGAGACCTGTAACACCTCGCTCTTGACTCGTACTTCGCGTGCAGCGTCGTACATTCTGAGCCGCCGACTTTCCAATCCGTTGCACATGCATGGCATGAGGAGTGGTATACAGACCCTTACTGGATGAGAGATATTCTGTCATTGTTTCTGAAGGCGCCTGTCTGGCTTGACGTATCTTTGGCGCTACAGTGATGTATGTTTCTGCATCAAACGTAGATCCTTCTTGGTGAGAATCTGCACAAGAGGTTCCCGTTCAATGCCGATATGCGCTCCTCCATCCGTTCCTATGAAGCGCCCAAACCCGTATCTTTGCCTTAGCCCTTGAGCTCTGTAACTCTGGTCTCTTCCAGATGTATCTGACGTGATCAGGAAGTCTTGTAATGCGTGACTGGCAGCAAAGAAAGGAACCTGGCTGATTATTGTTGTAGGCATTCTAGGTAGTACTCTCCAGGGTCGATGGATGTACAATATGATCGTGAACAAGATGTATGTGCTCAATATCCCGATGGAAAGAATGAACATAGGCGATGAGACAACAACGCGAACTTCTGGCGAGAGCACAGAACCTGCAACGACGATTGTCTTGTTCGAAGGTTGAAGTATGGTATTGATGCGCGTGCCGAGCACAATCGCGAATATCCTGGCATACAGAGCTTCCACAATTGGCGCGGTCGTGTTGAAAGATGGTGGTGGAAGATGAGGATCCAGAGTTGCCGAACTGTTCAATGTCTGTGCCAAGAGGTAATTGACAAAGTCGCTAGGATACGAATCGTTGTGATACGGCTTGGAAGAAACATATGGATATTTCGGAGCGATCGACAGTGTAAGCAACGTGTGAAAGGCATCGAGAATATCGCTAGACCCAGCCTGGAGATATCGATTTTCGTGGTCCATAGTGTCATTTATGGGTGTCGAGGACTGAACAAGGCCTTTGTGATCAACCATGACTTCGCGGAGCTCGACATGAAGCTGAGGCTGACAACCGATCCAGGATGCATCTAGAGGTTGTTCTATAGATCTCTTGGATGATCTACCCCATCCAGCTAAGACGGTGAGCTCGCAGCCCGAAGTATGATTGTTACTCGAATAAGAGTTATCAAAGCTCATGTATTCGATGGCTTCAGGTGATCGCGACTCCACGCTCTTGTAAGTTTGTAGTGATGAGAGGTTACAACTTGGGCTACCAGCTGGGATGTCCCACGTCAAGTTCTTTCCAAGTGATTTTTGATACATTGAATAACAATGCAACGAGGCGCTGACAGCAGGCGTTCTCACGCGGTAAAGGTTCGCAGAAGCGTTGCGACTATCTACGTCCTGGAATGGGACATAGAAGAACCTTTCATCGGTCCATGCTGGCAGAGGTGTACCGGCTGTGAGATTCGACATTGCAACGTAGAAGTGGTCGTAGGTCGAACTTGAGAATGAATGCGGGATCCCAGAGGCATTGATCGGTAGCTGATATTTCACTGTGAAGTTTCGGGGCGTTGGGAGCATAATGGTGTGTTCGTACAGCAGACTGCTGAACGCTACAGACACCACATTCGCCAGGAACGTCATGATGCAACACATAGAGGCTAAGGAGATGTGTCCTGTCTTCAGCACTCTGAACATCACAGCTTGTGGTGGTAAGGAATTGTAGACTGCACTAAGTGAGCGTGATGGCGCCGCATCACCTCTGCGAAGTTGCTCGTACGGTTGAAGCATACAAAGGGTCCTGGTAAGCCATGTAAAGATTGGCTCAAAAAAGGCACCCACTATCATCGGCAAATACTTGATCAAAATCTGATTAATAAATAAAGAGTTTGAGGGGCGAGGTAGGCCTTCTAAAGTCAGNCTAACAGTAGTTTTGAGTGTGGTGCGAGAATTACCGTCTTGAATTTGCGCACGAACGTAAGTATATATAAGTGCAGCCATGACCGAGGTCTGTAATATCAGGAAACCACATGCAAAGATCCAGGATAACTCNAGGGGTAGTATTGGTACTATCGGTTTTGTGATCGCGTCCTTGGAAGATGATGGTTGCATATCGGGGCCAAGATAGCAAAGGGTAGGTTCTTGAGAATGACGTCCCGGTTGCAAAATAAAATTGGCCTCCTGGTATAAGTCTTTGAGCTCCTGGGATGTTGCGCGGTCCTTTCCACTCGTAGTCTCTACGATACGTTGATCGTTACTCGTAAGAGTCATCAAAGAAGCTATGCTTGCAGGCTCAGATGCGAGATTAGTCTTTCTCCACGAAGGTATAAAAAGTATTATGAGAGCAATGAGTGTTGTGATTGCCAGTAGACCTTCAACAACGTAGACAAATGTTGGTACCATAACCACTGTTTGCGTCTGGTAACGTCTTGTCGCAAGCACTGTTTTGTTGCGGTCGAGATCGGTCGACAATACATCAGCCAGCTTTCGTGCAAGCAGTAGACGATAGGCAGCCTGGTAGGAGTTTTTGAGGGTTTCGGCGTCGAGATAGTCTGCCACAGGTCGTTCATACGCACCAAGTGCAAAACTTGCCAGGTTTGGCAAATAGTCTTGCCATACAAGCTCTGGGAAGTTAGTCCGCACCCTTTCTTTGGGATCTGGCCATGATGATGTAGGGAAGCTTCCTCGATTGTTATTCTTTTCATAACCTTGGCTCATACTCCATTCAAAGTCAGTGATGTTGATCAGATCGCTGGGAAGTGGCTCCTTGGGGCCGATAGGCACGATGTCCAGGACGTTCATCTCTGGTGGGACAACAGTGGCTTTCACCTCCTGTTGATCTGCAGCGAGTCTCAGGTTAGCTGGATCTTATATTGAATGAATTCGAGGAGTTTTTGGGGATAGCCATACANNGTAGGTCGGCCTGCACCAGAGCGTGGTGTTAACATTCTGAGGCTGGGACTTGTCGACGGGACCTTCAGTTACTCCAGATATCCAGCGGACAAGGAAGGTTTGGTTAGCTTCTTGCGGGCATAGACCATCCAAATAGGAATCCATACTCTCTTCGTACCAATAGCCCACGTAAATAGTGCTGTATTGGTCTTTTTCTAAGAGAGTGGAATCAAGATTCATATAGTTGTTGTCGTACTTGCATCCCCACGAGCTATTCATACCACGACCAGTTTCCTCACAGTTGATGTCAACTGAGTAAAAACGCGTGTTTGTGGTCCATGTCTCGGCTGTCTGTGTTATATGGTTGTCCGTCAGAGAGAAAGGCGCAAGCATTCCTTGCCGGTCCGTGAACGGAGGTAAGCTCTCGTTCAACCATGCAATGTTGTAAACGGATTGAGCGTACAGCCCGGTCAACGTGGTCGCCTGATCATGCAACGAGAGATACGATGTAGACAATATTCCAGGCACTTGCAAAGATTTATTGATCATCTTCGTTGCAAATATACTGGATTGCAAGGGAGTAAGCCCNCAGAAGATAAGTACCACGGCCAGGGAAGCCGAGAATACTGGCCAATGTCTTTGGACGTCAGCGATTTTCTATGTAACTGAATGAATGTTGTACCTTCTTCGGAGAGCAGCAAATGGCACAAGCGCCACAAAATCGAAGGGGTAATGCAGTAGTACTGAATTCTTTCCGAGGGCACCTTGTGAGCGGGAAAGCTGAACGAAAGGCTCAAGCCTTTTGATGTCGAGGTCGATCCAAGTCCAGACAAAACTCAGCACCAGCGATACGATCGTCGGCAAGTACAGATAACAGAACGTCTGATTTATTGGAAGATCATTGATCTTTGGAGCGAACAAGATGCCAGCGTGTCGATTGCTTTGTTCCAAGTAGGTTTGGAGGACAGCGATCAACGCTCCAGAAGCTAAGATGGTCGGCACAAGAAAGTATACTTTCTGTGTCAATGGCTCCCAATGCTGTCTGGCTGTCGACGGAATCAAAGCCTTCTTGTCATCCTCCGTCCAGATCGAGAGTTCAATTGACTGTTCAGAGATTTGCGGTCGTAGTTGGCTACCACCATAGGCTTTGCTGGAATTGTTTAGGTCTGGTATCGATAACATGGTTCGGTATGAGCTAATAGGTATCGGAAGTCTCGGGGAGAAGTAACATGGCGCTCCTTCGCCATCTTGAAGTACTTTCTTGCTCTAGCGTAGCCATTCGTTCTGGGCTCGGAGATCCAACTCAAGCTGCAGGTAGCCGCCGTGGTAGCCGCCGCCATTACAGCAACGCCAATATACGTAATAAACTGGGCGGCTAACAAATGAGGCGTTGCGCATCAATACATTGATGGTATCTCACATATATATGTTGATACCGTACATTGTAGGTTGGAGACTTGGTGAATAGGCGATGCGTGAGCGTTCGAAGCTTGGGTGAAGCTCGAAAGGAGAAAAAGATCAAATATTTGAATTTCCATTGCATATGGATGAAGATAAACATCTACTTTCCCAATTCTACCCAATCCGTTATCTTCCGGGCTTCCATCTAGCAGGCTTAGCCTTCACCCTTGGAACCTCTTCCCACTCCAATAAAGCCACAAAAGGCTCCCGCTCGACTCCCACATGCACCTTCCCATCTCTACCCATAAACCTTCCATACGCCCACCAGTACCCTTGCCACTGTAACCATTTCTTCCTCTCTTTCTCACCCATAGCACTCTTACCTTCAAACTTCTTGACCGCGTAGCTAGCAGCGAAAAATGCAATTGTCGATGCAATGGTTGTAGGCAAGCGTGGAAGAATTCGTCAGGGACGACACAAATAGAGAAATATTGTCTTGAGGGCATAGACACAAAGGATGATTTGTGCGATAACGAAAGCAGGAAAGGAGAGGAATATGCGGATCTGTGGTTCATGATGGACCGCTGGTAGTGCTGGGATCTCAACTCTAGGGGTGGTGAGGAGACGATTTGCGTTATTGCCGAGTAGGATGGCAAAAAGTTTGTTGTACATTGCGCTGTAAATCGTAACCACCTCGTCAAAGGTAGGTACTGGTAGATGTGGATCCAAAAAGCGGTCTCCAACAAAGGTCTCAGTCATCAGATAGTTGTTCTAGTCCATGGGAAAGCTATCGTTGTGCCATCCACTCTTGTAAGCATCAGTCTTGTCAATGGTGAACTGATGAGCTTGCAAGATCAGGTCACTGGACTTTGTTATAAAGTGCTCTGGTGCTAACCCATCTGAGTATCACACAACCTTTGAGCGTAAGATGTGACCACTGCTACTCACAGTGACTTCGGCAGACCTAGTGACAAGTTTTGGATGACAAAGCATCTTAGTGCTGGTCAGCTCAAATGTTTGGTTCGATGCATTGCCCCTCCACCAACCAGTGACAAGAGTCTGCTTACAGGAATCTGATGGCGCTGCGAGTGTAGAAATCTCAAGACTGTTGAATCCAGATATATATGCTGGCGAACTGGTGGAGAAACTTATCGAGCAGTTCGTGGATGAACCATCTGGCTGAGTAATATTGAACTCGAAGAGACTATGTCCAGATAGAATAGCTCCTGAGTTATCTTCCATTTTCTTGGCTTCCCACTGAGTAAGTTCCTCACAACTCAGGCTCGCTCCGAAGTATCCTGTCGTGACAGTGTAGTTGAGATCAGCCCGAGTGCTCTCTGGGAGCTGAACTGGGAAGTAAAATCTGTCAGGATCAGTCCAGGATGGGAGTTTGGAGGAAGCCACCGCGTTAGACATCGCAATATAAAATTCGTCCTTTGTGGTTCCGCCTTGCCAGTTCACTTCAAGATTGTTATTGAATGGAAGGTCCGTTCCGTTCAGACTTTGAAAGGGTAGAGCTAGCAACGGTTGAAGCGTAGTCTGAATCTCAATGTTGGCCGATTTTTCGAAGAATAGACTTGAGAAAGCGACCGAGAGCACGTTCGACAGAATTGTCATGGTTGCAAGCAGACTCAGCATATAGTGGCCCGTTCTGAGGGCTTTGAAAACGACTAGCTGGGGAGGGAGATTCGTATATGCCAGGGCAATTGACTTTCTACTGGTCGATTTTCCTCTTCGAAGCTCCTCAAATGGCTGCAGCACACATAACTGGCGGGTCAGAAGAATCCAGACAGGTTCCAGAGTTGTCGAGATTGCAGTTGGAATATAGTTCTGCAGTAATTGGCGCACAAAACGACTGTTGGATGGCAGAGGAAGCCTCATACGAATGTTAGCTTGGAGCACTTCTTAGCCCAGAATGTGACTTACCATTGTTGATTTTTGCTTGGTGGAACAAATATGCAAACACAGATATGCATGCGAGCTGAACCGCCAGGAACACAATACCGCTACACCAGCTGAGCTCGGGGATTGGAAACCTTTGGAGTGTGTCGTCTGTTGTGTATTCACATCCTGGCCGAAGTCCGTTGCAGGTACAGATTGTAGTTCGATCTTGACGTCCGAACTCATAGAGAATTTCGAACCCACCAACGCGCTACGTAGAGCGCCGGCAGAGTTGTTGTCCAGATTACCAAGAAGAGCAATAAGTTCCGAATGATCCGCCGCGGCGGACATATGCGAAGCAATTGTCGTTGGGTCGAATTGAAGTGTACAGGCCCTCGTCAGGCTGAAGTAGATGATAGACAGATTGAACAATACAGCAAACACCAACAGGGTCTCCACGGCATATGTAAATCCCGGTACAAGTACAAGCGCTTGCGTGTGATATGTACGTTGACCTTCGTGGTGAGTGGCATTAGCCCCAAAGTCTGGTCTGAGAACGCGGGCCATTTTTGCAACAAACAAGAGTCGATACGCCGCCTGATACGAATCCGCGAGAGTTTGGGGATCCAAACAATCTTCAAGATTAAGCCTTTTAAGTGCAGCGTAGGAGAACGGAAGCATCTTTGGAAGGTATGTCATATCGAGGTTCGTGTTGATAAGATGTGTTTTCTGATCGGGCCACGCATTCTCAGGAAAATCTGCTCTGCCGCTGGCATAGCTCATACCTGGCCCGCAGTAATCTAGACCTGAGCTCATAGCGGTCTCGAAGAAATTTATGTCAAACATCTGTAAAGGAAGATCATTCTTTCCTCCAATGGGATTCACCGAGATGACGCTGCCATTTGCGGCAACCACACTCGCATTGACTTCCTGTTCAAAGTATCGTGGCTCGCAGTAAAGAGATGTGGTCTTGAGTACTCCACTATCGGGCGTAGTCTTAGATTCAAGGCTCTGGTCCAGCATTCCTGCTTCCGAGACTTCCGAGAAAAGCGTCGTACGGACCAAGAATGTATGGTTGGCTTGTTTTGGACAGTAGCTCCCAAGGTACCAATCTGCCTCACCGTTGTCATTCGAGTATCCAACGTACATGGCTTCGAGGTTCTTGCTAGTGTCGTTATCTCTTCTTGCCATAGTCTTGACGGGCAGTCCATAACTACAGCCGCTGCTACTGTTGTACTTGGTTTGTGGATTACTGGACCCCCGGATTGCTGATGTAGTTTATGGTAGGTTCGCAAACGACATCGACGCTGTACATCTTCGTAGCTCCGTTCCAGACTTCATTCGCCTGTACAGCATGAGATGTGGAAGGCGCAAAAGCATCAAGCACAAAATCAACAGTACTGTATGATGGTAGTTTTTCGTCTAACCAAGCAATATTGTACGCGTGCTGTGCATATATCGCTGAAGGTTCGGTCTAATTGGAAGCAATTTGGTACGATGTCGAAGTGAGGAAAGGTACCTCAGTCGTAACTACCCGGTTCTCAGTTACGAATATACCAGCCTGCAGAGGTGTCAAGGTCCACAGGACGACAATACCGGCAAGTCCAGCCGTGAGGACAGACCAATGTTTTCGTCTCGCAGCTTTGAATGGTATGAGAGCAACGAAGTCGAACGGATATTGTAGTAGGAGACTATTTTCTGCCAAAGCGCCAGCAGGACTGCAAAGTTGATAATAAAGTTCCATGCGCTCAATATCGAGATCGATCCAGCTCCAGAGGAGTCCATAGATGACGGCTATTATGGTGGGAGCGTAGAGATAGCCAAAAGTCTTGCTCAGAGGCAGGTCGTTGATGTTGGAAGCAAAGAGAACTCCGCCCGTGGTCTGACTTATGTAAAGAAGCCATTGTAGCACCACAATCAGAGCAGAAGTAGTCAACAAGACAAAGGTAAGAAACGGAAGTCTGAGACTGATCGGCTTCCAGGTGCGTAGCTGCTGATTATCGACTTCTTCCTGAGCGATGAGACTATCATCCTCCTTCTCTGATCTTTGCTTTTTGTCAACCATAATGAAGAACGTTTGAGAAAGGACAGGTTCGTTGGACGCCAGGTCAACGAGACGGAATCTGTTCGATGAACGCGGAAGTGGATATCCTCAAGTATCATAGTATAACCAGCATATCGAAGGATCTCTTGAGACAGACGCCATGCGCGGCTAAAGGTAACGTATTCCTGACATACTGCACATCACGTAGGATGAATTGTTAAGGATCCAGTGACTGGGATTCGATTGATGCACCTAGGGAAGAGTAGATGCAAGGATACAACTCTGAAATTAGCACACAGGATGCGGCGCGGAGTTTCAAGGCGGCAAGGTGGAGACTCCAACTTGCAAGCGCCCATGACTGTGCCTCCAAAAGACACGCATACTGCTAGCGCGTGTTATGTTTGGGCTTATTGGGTCGGTGATAGAGATGGACATGTAAGGCGGGAAAAACGACTGTCAAGAGAAAATAGAGAGGTCATTCTTTCTGGGGACATCGTCCCTCTGGAAGGAAAGCGCAGCTGCCGCAGCGTGGGAGGCTGGAAGCTGTGTTCAACACAGCTCACTCGTTCTTTCCCAAACCCATTCATGAATCCCAACCTTGGCTGCCAAAACATTTGACTGTGTTCGATGGCCCTGAAGCATGTTCACTCCTAGCAACATAAAATGATACGTTTCGATGTTGCAAACGGAAGAGGTGAATGCTGTTCGGGTGATGATCAAAGCTATGACCATGTATGCGCCAAGATTTTGGCTGAGCTAAGCGAGGAATCGCACCCCCGACTTTTGCAAAGTCTTCAGTCTTTTCCTCTTCGAATCGACGACAGCGACGAACAATCCACGACCGCCAAAATGACCAGCAGACCCACGGTTTCCATCATCTCCGCCGACGGCAAGGCCGGCGAGGCTAGCCACCCTCTCCCCAATGTCTTCAAGGCTCCCATCCGTCCCGACATTGTCCAGTACGATTGAACCGCGCCCACACGACGACAACTGGGCAATTGGCTGATAATACGCGCGCAGGNNACCGTCCACACTGGTATGGCCAAGAACAAGAGACAGCCCTACGCCGTGAGCGAGAAGGCTGGCCACCAGACCTCTGCTGAGTCCTGGGGTACCGGTACGTTTTGACGACGACGAAAATCTCGAAACGCCAAGAATACCGCTCCTAACACAACCCTCTCCANNGGCCGTGCTGTTGCCCGTATCCCCCGTGTCTCCGGTGGTGGTACTCACCGTGCCGGTCAGGCCGCCTTCGGTAACATGTGCCGTTCCGGTCGCATGTTCGCCCCCACCAAGGTCTGGCGCAAGTGGCAGCAGAAGATCAACCTTGGCCAGAAGCGTTTCGCTACCGCCTCTGCCATTGCTGCCTCTTCCTCCGCCGCTCTCCTGATGGCCCGTGGTCACCAGGTCGCCACCGTTCCTGAGGTTCCCCTTGTCGTCAACTCGACTGCCTTCAGCAACGCCGCCATCACCAAGACCTCCGCTGCCGTCGCCCTTCTCAAGGCCGTCGGTGCCGGTGCCGACCTCGAGAAGGTCAAGGCTTCCAAGAAGCTCCGCGCCGGTAAGGGTAAGCTGAGAAACCGCCGCCACCGCCAGCGCCGTGGTCCCCTCGTTGTCTACAACCCCAGCGAGGATGGCAAGGAGCTCGTTACCGCTTTCCGCAACATCCCCGGTGTTGAGACCTGCCCCGTCTTCTCCATGAACCTCCTCCAGCTCGCCCCTGGTGGTCACCTCGGCCGTTTCATCGTCTGGACCTCTTCCGCCTTCCAGGCCCTTGACAAGATCTACGGCTCCACCACCGAGGCCTCTGCCCTCAAGAAGGACTTCCTCCTTCCCCAGAACTCTGTCGCCCAGCCCGACATTGTCAAGCTCATCAACTCTTCCGAGGTCCAGTCTGTCCTCCGCCCCGCCAAGGGTGGTGCCATCCAGAAGCGCACCAACGTCCAGAAGAAGAACCCTCTCCGCAACAAGCAGGTCCTTCTCCGCCTCAACCCCTACGCCACCGCCTTCTCCAAGGCTGGTCTTGGTCAGCAGAAGATCCAGGACGGCAAGCCCGTCGCTCCCGCTGCCGAGTTCAAGACCCTCCTCCACGAGAACTAAGTGTTGGTTCCTGGGGCTGTTGGTCGGAACGTGTTGAGACAAAATTTTGGCTTGGGAAGGGATTAAAAGTAGCTCTACCAGTCGTTTTTGAAAAAGAAAAGGAACTTTTCGCTCTCACTTGATCTTTCCCTTGTGCTTTGTGAATGCTCCTTGTGTCATGTCTGAAACAAAACTTTAACAGTCAAAAGCAGTTTCAATCTACTCAACGTACATCTTCTAAGAACAAGAATCACGATGAAGAGTCTTGCCTATACACATGGGTTCCTAGAGATTGCAGTAAGGTGCGGTGCAATTTCGGTGGCATGCGATCCTTTCGCGATCACCACTTCGAACTATTGTCGTTCTAGCTGTCATGTCTATTTCCTGCTCTCTCCATACCTCTGACTTCGTGGAGAAAGAACCCATTGCCCTGGCTACGTAACCGAAGCTCAGTCCAAGCAGGAAGACAATCTGAAAGTGTGTTTTGAGAGTGTATGCCAACATCAATGCAATACTGATTCACCACAGCCAACAATGGACGTGACCAAAGACCCCCTGGGCTTGATCCTCATCATCGCCCTCTTCACCACAACGCTCTACTTCTTCTCTCCCAGACTGTTCCGATTTCTCTTCATTGGTATGGGGCTTTCGCTCTGGCAGTCCAGGCCTCCAACCTATAAAGACATGGTCATGGCATGTACCAGACACAACAGAGGTGACATTGATTGGGAGTGTAAAGTCAATGTAGGATCCTTTGGTGTACAGGCTGTAGTGTATACTATTGCTATCATGTGTGCATTGGCACAGCTTGATGATATAACTGCGAGGCGGAGTGAAACTGTAAGAAGGGAGAAAAGTGTGGAAGCTGGGAATGGATCGAATGCATCGGGACGTCGAACGGAGCACAAATAGGAGATGATGATTTCTTGTCAGATCCTCGGTGCAATCGAGCACAGGAAAGATGGTCGAAGCTTTTCTTGTCCTTGGATGTATTTTCGTAGCAGATATATCTCAAATTGAGACGACATGGCTCGATGTTAGTCGATGGCCGAGTAGTATGCCAGAAGTCAGGGTGCTGCTATCCACGAAAACACGCGTCATTGGTTCGTGACGGAAGCTCTCCATCCATCTGCCATGCGCATTTGTGTATCGCAGACCGTAAAATTCTTGTTTGTAGATAGCTTGTCCAGTCAGAGAAGCTCACGGGCTTTCATCTACGACAAGAACAGACAAGAACGGTGGTATCTGATGTGAACGAGCACAACGAAGCTTCAAGACCCACATAGCACCTGCCCACTCACCACAACAGACCAACTCACCCACATGTCACACTCTCCCAGTCACAGCACAAGCTCCAGTTCCTCATCATCCAGCATGGTTCCTCAATCGCCCTCCGCAACAAACGGCAGACTCCACCACGTCGCCCCAGTGTCAGCCTTCGAAGTCGATCCCTCATCCGACTCTTGCTCCAACACACCAAACCTCCTGCTCTGGATCGGCGGCTTGACGGATACATACCACAGCGTTTCTTACGTCTACGCACTCGCCTCTTCTCTCCCACCCTCCTGGTCACTCGCCCAAGCAAACCTCAGCTCAGCAGGCAGTGGCTGGGGCACTTCTTCGCTATCTCAAGATGTCAACGAGATCTCCAGCCTCGTCTCCCACTTCCGCAGCCAAGGAAAGAAGAACATAGTCATCATGGGCCATTCCACCGGTTGCCAGGATTGCCTGCATTACTTTGCCAGCCAAGACAAAAGAGGGGACAGAGCAGCAGTAGACGGGGTAATATTGCAAGCCCCCGTCAGCGATCGCGAAGCCATAGCCATGGACATGGACACTGCAGACCTCGACAACGCAAACGCAATGGCAAATACTTGGTGTAAAGAAGGTAAAGGCGAACACATCTTACCTCTGAACATTACCTCGAGCAATTTCGGACGTAATCCTGTTACGGCGAGGAGGTGGGTTGCTCTGGCCTGCAAGGGAGGTGAGGATGATTACTTCTCGTCCGATTTGCCGGACCAGACACTGAAGGGTACGTTTGGCAAGCTTGATAAGCCGTTACTGATTCTCTATGGAGAGGAGGATGAGTATGTGCCTGCGACTGTCGATAGAAAGGCGTTGGTCAACAAGTGGATTCCGTTCGTGAAGGGCAAAGTAGATGAGCAGAGCAAGGAGTTGTTGGGTGGTGCTAGTCACAACTTGAATGGCGATGATCAAGAGGTCTTTGACGAGCTCATCAAGAGGGTTGGAAAGTTCTTGACCAGCATTTGATTTATAATAGGATAGTTGCCCAAGTCAGACGACAGCTTGTTTGACAGAGTTGCAAAGGAATAAACACACATACATGTCACTAACCATTCCCACCTGGTCGACGATCTTGAATTGCTTCTTCTCGAAATATACACATTTGAATGGGAAGCCACACAACAAGAAAATAACGAAACACCTGAGTGCCAGAAAAGAATGTTATTCGAAGTTCTTCTGTCAAAGCGATAAGGGGTATCTTTTGTTGTTCGACCACATCTCCGCCTCTTCGCATATCAGGATGCCTACCATCTGTACGCTAGACAGTACTTTGGACATCTCTAGTACCCACGCCTAGCGTTGTTGAACAAGCTCATCAGCACATCGGCCTGTGCCTGAGGTTGTGGCTGAGGATGAGCCTGAGGAACTTGCTGCTGTTGAAAGTGCTGCTGAGGAGGCGCAAATCCAGGAGGCGCAGGAGAATGCGCCCCATACTGCTGTTGATTTTGAGCCATTTGCCATTGCTGAGCATTCATCTGGTTCATTTGTTGTTGTTGCATGGCCTCGAGCTGCTGCTGTTGCTGCTGCCGTTGTTGTTCGAGACGCTGTTGCTCGAGCTGCTGCTGCTGTTGCTGTTGCTGTTGCATGTTGTAGTATTGCTGCTGGTCATAGGATTGGAAAGGTGAGGCGAGAGCAGGACGTTGTTGCTGTTGTTGGCCGTTCTTGAAGAAGTGGAGAAGGTTGACTTGTTGGTTTGGTAATTGCTGGTCGTAGTCATGTCTTTGCGGCTCTGGGGGTTGCTCATGCTGTATCGTGGGCGGTGGTTGGTGCTGTGGTTGTTGTTCTTGACGCGATGGTGGCAGTTCTTCCTCGACATACTCTTCTTCCACATCGGCCACGGCAGCTGCGTCTCTGCTGTCCTCAGCCCTCTTTGCGCATTCCTGGATAATCAAGGCATTGACCACTCTCGTCTGTACCGTGCTTCCTCCTTCTTCTGCAAAGATCCACAGACCGTAGATGTTTGTACTTCCGTCCTCTCCTTCGACCTGCAAGATAACATAGTCGTCCGTCACCTGGACCGACTCGGCAGAGAACAATTCACTAGAGAAGTTCTCGAGACCGCGACGGTTCAAGACGATGCAGCTGTATCGTTCAATCTGCGGACCTCCTACTAGTGGCAGAAGCGAGCAGACGAATAGTGTGCCCTCAGTTCCTTGTTTCTCCCAACTCGACGAGGCTGGATTGAAAGTGTAGACGACAGCGAATGGAGCGACAGAGAGGATTTGATGAACCGAGGAATCGTGGCGTTGCAGCACACTAAGATTCAGTTCCTCGTTTGTGCGCGCTGGAATGGGTGCTGGTTGAGGCAGGGAACTCATGGCGTCGGTTGCGTACGCTGTGTCGGTGTCGTAGTCTGAGGGAACGTGGTGGTGATGCGCCGTGGGTCGCGGGTGCGAGTTGCGATTGTTACGGTTTTTCGGAGGCATATTGACTATGTGATGTCTGAAACAATAGAGCTATGACTTGATGGCGCGCACGTTGTTTGTGCTGTCTCGGTGTCCAACGAGCTGTGCGACGTGATGTCTGAAAGCTGTTTGCGTCATGCTCACCCACGAATTTACAAACACTTTCAAGTGACCCTGGACTTTTGAGCTCTGCAACATTCTTTGACCATACTCCGACCCCAACATTATCGTACAATTTCCTCTTCTCTATAAACATCAGATCTACAAGACTATCATGCGTTTCATACCTCCTCAACAGGAGATGCCTTTTCTTTGTACAGCCATGTCAAGTAATCGTCAACACTCTCGATGCTCACATCGTCTGTGTTCGACGTCTCACTCTTNGACGGCTTGACGTACGGCATGCCAACCACTATCTTTGGTTTGTTTGCTGCCTTCTCGTCCAGTCCAGCCCTCATCTTCCTGCCCTTCTCACTGAGTTCCTTGAGCATATTGATATAGTGATCGTTGTAGCTTAACTCAACGCTGTCAGGATCCGACTTGTCGGGTTTGTTGTTGAGCTTCTGATATGTCTTCCTGCGCCGCGCTCTGGCTGCAAGGTATTCTCTCCATGCCTGTGCAGGCTTGAGTTCAGTGAAGCTATACTCGATTGACCAATCGTGGTGTTTCTTGAGCATCTCTGGTCGTTCGACGTATACACCATTGACCTTGGAACGAACTGCGAGGACCATTCCCAATAAGGGTTTGTCCGTGTCTGCTGCCGACTCCGGCTTTGCTTCTGGCTCTGACTCGGATGTCTCGGGGATGGCTTCGATCTCCTTGACAATTGTGTCTTTTTCGGTGGGTTCTGATTCTTGTGCAGCAGTCGTCTTTGACTGAGTTTCGGACGTTTCTGAAACGTCTTTTGCAGCCGCTTCTTGACCCAAGTCACTGCTTGAGTCGCTAAACTCGTCGACGGCGCCGTCGTCTTCCTTTGCAGGCTCACTGACTTGCTCCTTGGGAATCTTGGAAGCTGGATCACGCAGATTGCGCTCCCACTCGGCGATCTTCTCCTTTTGTGAGTCCTGGATCGTGTCAATGTCCTCTTCACTCATGGGTTCTGCAAAGATTTGCATAGTCGGAAGCGTTTCAGCAGCCTTGGTCTCAAAGGTGAATCGAATAGACNNTATGTCGTCGTCAGTATCAGATCAACGTCTGGAGTCAAGCATGCTTACCTGATCAGGGAATTTCTCAGTAGCCTTGTTAAACACTTCGTTCAACAAGCTGATACTGAGATTGAACTCACGGTTACCCAAAGTGGTATCGTGCGTACCGTGAAGAGCGCGGTCGAGCTCGTTAAGACTAATATACTGGAAGCCAAATATACGCTTGACGTTGTGATATGCAACGAAAATGCCGTCCATGTGACCCATACGAGCTTGCAAAGAGTATTTGAGTGCAGTACTACGCAACATATCGTAATATTCTCTCTCGTAGCTCTCATACTGACCTTGGGCTTGTGTGATCTCATATCCGGTCATCGGCTCGTGATCTTGGGATTGCATACGGATTGAAAGGACAGCACGCGTCTTGAGATCGAACATGCCTGTCCCAGGTAGGCGATCATCTTGAGCGTCCAGTTGCGATCGTAACAGGAAATCACCCAGCGAGGAGTAGTGGTAAGACTCGGGTTTGTTCCGCTCAACCTCAGAGATGCCACTAGATTTGTCCATTCTGTACCGCTCGAACTCGGGGGTCGGCATGGTCAAGAGTTTCTCCATGGATCTGCCGAGCAACATGAGGACATTGGCACTGTCGTGTTCCTTGTCGGCGTCAACGGCGTAAGTGTCGCCTTTGCGTCTCAGGAAGATGGAAGTAGGGATACGGTTGAGTACCGTGAAGCTTTGCAGGGTATCAGGNAAGTCCCTGGAAAACATGTCGGTGTTGATTTTGCGCCACGCAGAGAGGAGATAGTGGAAATGAGTCAATGTACTCGTCATGCTGGAGGTAGAACCGACGTATTTNTTGCCATGCTTTTTNGCGAATTCCGAGAGGAAGTTGTCCTTGGAAGAGGTCTGGTACGCAGTGAGGGCGTCGTAATCAAACTCAGTGACTGGCATGATCTTCTGCAAGTAGGGATCGAAGTTGAAGACTTTTGAACGTCTGTCTTGGAGTGGGTAAACGCCTTGGGTGAAAAGGACGCGGTCAAGACCGTGATGTAAACGAGGAACACGAGGTTGTTCAACATCTAAGCGCTGCATCTTGATGCCCGATGCATCCATAGTCTTCATGTCTGCAGCGAGTAACTTTTGTGCACGTTTTTCATCGGCTTCTCTCTTCTTCTCTGCTCTGGCGACACGTTCAGGAGTCTGAGGCGCAGGGCTGTTTACAAAGCGCTTGCGTCTTGCCCGTAACCTCCTTAATGTTTTTCTAGGGAAAGATATGGGATTGCTCTTGATAGACAGCATGGCGTCTCTCAACGATTGTATGGCGCCACCATCGTAGGGCGAAGGAGCACTCGACGGGTCTGACGATTTGAAGAAATCGACTGTGGGTTTGTGAGCCTCGTCATCTCCTTCGGCTGACTGCGAAGGCCTTTGCCTGACTGTAACTCGACGAGGGAAGAGTATTTTCCTGACGACATCTGAACCAGGACTTGAATCCCCTTCGGCGTTCTGCGTATGCTCCACCCCTTCGAATTTGTACCCAGGCTCATGTTTGTTGGCAGGTGTTTCCGAATGGCCGCTCTGTTTGGACGCGTTCAAATCTTCCTTGTTGAATGGCCATAGATGGTCCCGGGGACTGTCCTTGGACTCGGTCTGGCTCGCATCTTCAGGGTCGATAGGCTTGTAAGTGGCAGTCTTCGTATCGTCGTCCTTGTTGGCTTCGGCATTCAACAGGCGTGTCGAGTGGCGGAGCGGGCGTGACGTTGTAGTCGAGAAGAGGCGCAGACGACATGGCGGACAAACATAGCGGCTACTTGCAAGGAAGGGAAAGGGCCGGAAAGGGCGAATGCCTTGAGTGCGCCAGCTGGGCATCGAAGATATTGGTATGCGCCCGAGCAATGGCGACGACTGACAAAGTCAACCGTCAATTCGCGTTCCAATTATTCTCTAATCGATAGCGTTAGGGCCCGGCTTGTTTCGGACCAAGTTGCTTGCCGGTGGCCGGGAAGCCAGTGCGCTTTGGGACTTGCTACTGAACGTGTGCATGCTTCTATACGACGCCTGTCGACCATTTGCTCTACTGCCCTTCTTTCCATGTTCTGCTAAGGCACGTATAGCATGGCCTCGTGACGAGGATAAGATGTGATGATATTGCTCAGCCAAGTCATCGGGTGGTTTCTTGGTTTCTTCCATCTAACTCACACAAGGGCTGTTCTAACTAGATTTCGATCAGCTGCCCTGCTGTCGAGCCACGTACGCCTTGTAGCCAAGTAGCCATCGGCTGGTAGCAAGTCCGGTGCGTCAACGCCTCTGACGGAGGCGCAAATCGAGCGATTGTTGATCGTCTTCGGGCTGGTTTTAGAACATTCAGAGTTCAATTCGTCCGGCACGCAAGGAACCATCTTTTGCGCCGCTGCGCTTTCCTCTCTTCTTCACATCACTCTCTCTACCGGAAGCAAAGACGACTCTCCGTCGACATGTCGGCGTCTCTCTCATTCTGACGTGTATCGCAAATCCCTACATCTTGGTGTCGGATCATCTAATTTCCCTCTCCTTCTGATCTCCCGCCGCCATGAACTCCGGACTTAAGCCAGCTATGCCCCAGTAGTACTACGCCGACCTGACCTCTCCACGACATCTTCTTTGTAATCTTCTTCTCCCAGAGCGCCGTCCGTCATGCCCCGTTCCAGCAGTCGGGAGCACGCCGGCCGGAGGCGCAGCCTCTTCGGCATTCCCTCTTTCACCCAGATTCATCCTACTAGTACCACCACTCGCGACTCTCCGGACAGGCTGAGCAAGGACTCCTCCAAGACGCTCAAAAAGCGTCGCGGCCCTACTCTCGTCACCAATCTTGAATCCTCACCAGAGCTGGTCCACGATGAGGATTCCTCGCCCATTTCAACAAGCACCCTACCTTCGCCGAAACCAGTCACACGCCCTTCCTTGAGTGTCCGGAGCGGCGGACGTCCAGTCTCATCCGTATTTGGCTCACTGAGGTCCATGCGATCCATGCATGAAGACGACACTCCTTTGACCACCACCTCAAGCCGAACGCCATCCATTAATTGGGCTGATTTCGACACCAACCATTGCCGAAAAGGACTTGTTCTACACCATGGCGAAGTGCAGACCAGCAGTAGCATGTTTCGTAAGAAGAAAGAATACCTGGTCTTGACAGACACCCATATTCTGCGCTACAAGAACCAGTCAAAGGCTGCCGAAACCATTGGCAGTGTGCCTCCTCCATTTGGCAGGAGTCCGACCATCCGTCATAGCTCGACCCATTCCATTGGCTCCTCTCAGGACCTGCAATCGCTACACTCGGATTCATCAGGCGACAAGGAAGGCCGAGTCACTGTCCGTCATATTGTCGCTGTCCACAGGCTCGATGATGGTCGTCCTTATTTTGCCATTGAGGTTTGCTATCTCGACGAGGACGGCTCTCAAGCTTCAGCTATGGTCATGCAATTTGGGGACCCCGAGGATCGCGACTTGTGGCTGCGCTCAATCCGTCAGGCTGCGAACAAGGCTCGTCTACAGGACCTCAATCCCGTTTCTGTCGTCAACTCANAAAATGCTGCAAGAGCTGTGGAGCGCGAGAATGACTATGACCCCGCCAACTATGCTATTTACAAGGTCATACAGCGCCAATTCTCGAAATCACGATCTTCTACCGATGACTTGTCCAAGATTGCATCGACTGTTTGCTTTTTGGCCATTGGTATCCACAAAGTGCATGTCATTCCGTTGGTCAAGACTACTAGCCGTGTTTCATCGCCTTCGCTGTCAGCAAGTAACGTCCCGACATCATATGGCATCCTCAATATGACGGCTGTCCGAGTCAGCCAATCGGATGATCATTTCGAGCTCACCTTCCGGCAACCCCTGAAGCGACCGAAGACTCTATACTTGGCTTCTCTGGCTTCTCACGATATTGCCCTCCGTCTCCACCATGTCGAGAACGTTCTTCGTCCGGAGTGCGCATCTCGTATGTTCAAGTTTAGCGTCCCACAGGAAATCGACGATCAGCTTCCTCCCACAGTCAATCCGGATACGGAGGACCACTGCTGTTTCGAGCGTACATTGACGGCATATTGCATCGCATATGATGTTAACCCATCGAATATTTGCTATACTATCGATTATACATGCGAGGACGCGCCTCGCTTCCAGCTGCTTCCTTTAGCGGACTCGCGTCGACATAAGTATAGTGCAGCCGAGTTGTTAGCTGTCATGCGAGCTCTGCGATACAACGAATCGTTCAATTCGCTTTCTTTCGCTGACGTTCAACTCGATGTACTCAATGGACTTCACGACAGTTACGGTACCGAGCATGTCTGCACGAGAACGAAACGAGGAACCCCAATCCGTTTAACTGTTGAGGAACTTACTCAGTCCTGTCTATTGATCCAGGAAGTTCGTGCGCTGGCTGCGACGAATAAAAAGCTCCGAAGGATGGACTTCTCTAGGTGTATTGTCGCAAAACCCNCGGATTATACAGATGACTCAGAGGCCAAAGTCAAGGATATTGGATGTGGTGTAGTCGAAGCCCTTTCTCCACTTTGCAAGCATCAGATCACGAACGTTGACTGGATTGCCTTGAATGGTATTCACCTTAGCGAGACCGATCTTGATTATCTGGTTGGTGCGGCAAGTGACAAGGCTTGCCACTTCCGTGCTATTGAACTGAGCAGATGTTCGTTGACTGATCGTACGCTCAGTTTGATCCTGGACTCTCTTCGCGCCCAGGACAACACACTAGAAGCTTTGGACATCTCTGGAAATCTTGCAAGACTTGCGCCGGCCGTGTTTGATGGACAAATTAGTGTGTTTGGTTTCATTCGCAAGCTCAACTTGTCCTTTGCATCTCGAACTTCGGGAGCCGAACCCTTGTTCAATGCTGAGACTCTCCTTACCTGGCGTTTGGAAGAGCTCAGACTGACTGGCACATCTCTTAACGAGAACACGATCCAAGCGCTCGCAACATATCTCAAGCATCCTCAATCAGATACACTCCGCGAGTTGTACCTGGACTCTGCATACATGTCTGGTAGTGATATTGCGACCATTATGCGCGCTACTAAGCGTGGCTCAATCGAGCCTCGTGCTCTCCATCTTGACATAAGTCACAACAATATCACAAAAGACCACGATCAGTTATGCAAAGCCATCTCGGATGGTTCTACACCTACCCACATCACTCTCCGAGCCATCGAGTATCGCGAGGAGTCGGTATTCCGACACTTGATCAATGCATTGAGAAAGAACCAAAGCATCAGATATCTTGACATCTCGAGAACGACATTACCCAGTGACGCCAATGACGATACCAGTCGTGCATTGGAGTCACTTNTCGCGGAAAACTGCACGCTCGAAGAATTAGATATTTCAGGAGAGGATTCGCGTCTAGAAACTTCACGATTTGGTGTCGGTCTCAACCAAGCATTGAACGGTCTCCGTCAAAATACAGGTCTGCAAGTCCTGCGAGTTCAGTACCAGAGACTCGGCTTGCCCGGTGCTAGTATGCTCGCAGAAGTCCTGAAGGTGAACAGAACGCTGCGAGAACTGCACTGCGAGCACAACGATATACCCCTTTCCGCCTTCACCGACATGATCAATGCTCTAGGCAAGAACACAACACTAGTATACATGCCATACATGGACGAAAGTCGATTAGCAGCTCTTAAGCAGACGGAGACACAAGTCAAACAAATACGCGACGAGGTACCGGCTACTACCTCACCCTTGAAACCTTCGGTTCCGGCACCGCTTTCTAAGCAACCGCCTTCGTCTTCGTCCTCATCGGCATTGCGTAAAGGCCTTGCCAACATGAAGAGAAGTGTCAATCGGAACAGTTCGGCAGCGCCTCCTCTTTCCCCTCTTTAGCACCTACGCCGCGCCACGTCTCGTCTCCACTCGCGTCGTCGCGCCCATTTTCGCCCTCTAAAANCTAGGGCCAATAGCGTCGCTGGCTCGCCCATCACTGCACCATCTGCTTCGCTCACCGACCAGGACATTCAAGCCGCGTTACGCTTAGTGACAGAATCCTGGGATCGCCAACAATACCGATTACAACAATATCTTGAGAGAAATTGCTGCATTCTTCATGGCGTACCCACATCTATGGAGATCGAAGAAGAGGCGTTCGAGCGTGCGACTAGCGTTGGTACCTTGTCTCAGCTCATCGAGAAGGTCAAACTAGATTCCACACCTACCGCAGAAAAAGAGCTAGACTTTGGTGATGAGTACAGACTTCCTGAGCTCAGCCTGGTGGGAAGTCAAGATGGTATGCAGCCCCAGGAAGGATTGAAGCTCTCCTTGCCTCCACGATTGCAGTTGCGACACGATGTTGAAGAAGATGAACAATCGTCCTTCAGCTTTAAGCAATTTCTGCTAGGTCGTCAGGACATGAGCAGTCCTGAGGAAATGGTTGATGGCGTGAGCTCTTCCGGCGCTGCCACCGAAGGCGAAGACAGCGAGTTGCCTAGTCCTGTACTTGAGATGGGCGGACCTGGTCTCAAGGGACTGGCCGGTCTAGGCATCAACCAAAGAGATCTCAAAACACCCACTCAGAAGAGTTTCTTTGGTTGATTGTTGGGCTGCTCTTATCTTTCCTCTCCCTGTCATCTTTGAACACTTTTTTTCTTTATCTTTTTCTCTTGTGATTTTACTTGAGGAGTTCTTTTGTTTTTCTCCCAAATGAGAAGGTTCTATTACTATACCCCAATGAAACAGGACAATGGCTGGGATGGCAAACAGGAAATGGCATGGCACACAAGTGATGGATTGATTATTTGAAAGGTGGTGCATACTCAGGAGAGGCTGGTCAGTCATCATTATTTTCTTCTGTGTGTATAATGTCAAATGACAATCGAAAGAACCGAATATCTTATCGATCATGATGTCTTCTCATTTCACGAGCTTCGCATCGTAGTCAACATGGTGTTGTGTTTCTCGAGGTGTTTGAGTTGCAGTCCTTGTGGCTACGAGCGTCTAGATGTGCCAAAGGTAACCTTACAACTGGAATATTGTTGTGGTCTACTGCTGCTTCTTATTAAGATCATAACTAGGATGTTCAGCCCGTCAATGCTGAGAAAGGGGTCATGGTGTGTAGAAGCTCTAGGAGAGGCCGGTTTTGTCGCGAGATGGACAGCAGCCAGCACTATCTTCATGTGTATAATGTTACAAGACAATAATTCCAGATAAACCAATCGTTCATGGATGGCAAGATCTCTTGTTGTTCAAGCTAGAGTTTTAGTCGTGCTTGACCTGTCCACCCCATGTACTAGTCATTGTCTCAGATGGTGCGTTTTTAGTGCAGGTCTCTGAAATGGACCTTTTGTCGTCTAACAATACAAGATGGCATGCTTCTGGCCAAGCGTATCACTACCCTCAATCAACTAATCCTGGACTCCGTTTCTCAGTTTTACTAGCCTACCTGTCAAACCAGACTTCTCCATGTTCCTTCAGCTATTGTAACTGATACCATATATGTGTAAGCTTGATCATCTTTGTCTTGTGATCTTTCTAGATGAGCGTTGTGATTAGAAGTCGTGAGTGGTCAGTCTGTTTGAACTTTTCCTGTTTTACCACTTCCATCTACCACAATTCTTCGATTATCTCTATGCATTCATTGCCTTACGGTCACTATAATATACAACCAACCCGATCGCACATAGAATCAAATCTCTCTCCCTTCTCCGTCGCAAAAGCCCAAAAATCCCTAACCCAAAAATCCATGAAGCTTCACCAAAACCTCCACCACCACAATCCCCCTTCTTCCAACCACTTCTGGGACCAAAAACAAACCTTTACTTATATATCCAGCGAGCCAGGAGCAAAAGATATCGACGCCCGTGTGATTCGAACACACGCCCACGAATGGATTTGATATCGGTGAGGAATGCTAGGGAGCATCATTCGAGTCAAACGCCTTAACCACTCGGCCAGAGCGCCAGTATGGAGGTACTTGAATTTAAATCTCAATATAACTCCTTATCCCGGATGGAGAGACAGATCGGAGCAGAAAGCCAAGGCAGAGAGAGACTGGTTGAGTTGTGCTTACAAGAAGTGCGTAGATCTAAAATTCGTTGTGCGTAGAAATCTTGGCGTCGGAGGAGACCTTGGCGTTGCGATATAGCGACAAGGAGGTACCGTAAATGGAGGTTTGTATGGCTGATGGAATTGGGCGGGGTAAGAACCGGACGAACATCGAGCTTCGTGTATCTTCGGGCGAGCTGAGTATGTGATAGTCTGTGGGGTAGAACAGCGATCTTGGCCGACTGAGAACAAGAACATAGCTAGTATAAGAAGAAGTGGGTCATCGTCAAGAGACCCGATGTTGAACAAGTGATAAGCTGAGAGTTGGTCTTTTAGAAAGTACGACCAAGCAACCAGCGATAAGAGAGAAAGCGTCGGCAATGTATTGTACGATTTATGCAGAAAGTGCTGTACAAGCAGACGTCGAAAAGCAAAGAAACCTCCAGCCCAGAAGAGAGGAAAAGACCCAGGGTATCATTCATTTTGTTTTCCTTTCCTCCCACAAAACTCCTTCCCCAAGAGAGCAAATCTCGAAATCATTTGCGAGCATCTTCCCAGTCATCACCATCATCATTAATGTCAGTATCGTCAGACTCGACTTCAAACTTGGTGCCTAGAGCAGCTTGACCTTGTCGAATCAAGTCTTGAATTTGACGATCCAGTTTGCGCATGCTTTTGTCGGCATCTCGGTCTTTTCTTTCAATGCGGTGGAGGAAGCGTTGTGCATCGGGGCTTAGATTGTCTCCGTTTGCACTGGCAATGCTGGATCGACGGTCTGCACCAAAACTTGTGCGGATGGGTGTGGTGACGGGTGAACGGTGTGCGACGATTGCAGGGCGCAGGGGTGTAACAGACCGAGTGGAGGCTGTAGAGGCTGTGGTCGCAGTTGTGGCGGAACGATCCGCAAATGCCTGGCTAAAGACGTCGAGACGGGATTGTTGTGCTTGAGGAGAGCCAGTGTATGAAGTTTGGCGTGAGGGAGCGCGTCGTGTTACTGAGCTGAGAGCTCGACGACTACTTGCCCTTGTGGCGCCGAGATGGGTGAGGTTGTCCGTGGATGTGTTGCGGTTGGACGGACGAGGTGCTTCCGGATTCGAGTCTACCATGACCCAGCCAGATTCTGTTTGCTGTCGCTTGAGCGAACGTTGNGGAGTGTTGTCTTGCTCAAAGTCGCCGAAGAAGTCGTTTGCTGGATACTGTCCAGGCAGTGGAGTGGGAAGCTGAGTAGGTTGTGCAAAGTCATAACCTCGTCCGGAACCAGCATAGAAGCCACCAAAGGCACTCGCGCGACAAAAGTGCCACACTTTGCCTACGACACCGCCTACTAGCTTCATGGCAAAGCCGCCCCATCCTTTGGTCTCCGAAGCATCGCTAGTGCTCGCCATACTGGTATAGCTTACTGTCCTGCCTTTTCCGTTCCTCTCCCTCGCCAGCAGACCCGGCACATGTGCGGCGTCTTGTTCAGGCGAAGCGTCACCAGAGTCCCATTTCCAGCGAAAGTCTCTTTCTCCAGTCAAGTCGTCGTGTCGTGAAGCAGCTGCTAATGTTGGTGTATCGAACTTGTAATCCAGAGTGTAGTGTTCATTCGCTAGAGGAGCTGGACTCATGGCTTGAGTCGCATAACCATTTCTCAGGCCATAGGCCAGAGGNGCCGAAGTGTTTGCCTTGTTGGAGTTGGCGCGTGATCGTTTTCGTGTCAAGGCGGGCCTGTCTTGTGATGGTGTGGCTGCAAAAACCATAGTGTCGACATGCGACAGTCCAGGAGTGTTTGGTGGGCGGAAGATGTTGTTGTGCAATCGTGTCGACTGCTGGTCCGGGAATGGATAGCTCGAAGCTGTCGAGTAGACGGTCATGTTGCTGAGATCGAGTCCAGGTCAGGCGAATATCAGGGTTAGCCTTCAGGGAGAGCTGCGAAGCGGGGTTGGTTGCTTTTTCTTTCTCAATCCTGTCCGTCGTTAGACACAATCGTCGACGTGCATAAACACATGACTGTCGTCGAATCCAATGCCGTCGAGTCTTGATGCGCAGAGCATGATGATGCTTGTTGTTGTAATTCATCTCGCTAACCATCCTCCGTCATCGCCGCCGCTTCGAAACGCCTAGACTTCCTGTTGACCTGCCAACCGTGCCGTTTGTCTATATCGCTGTTTAGCTCTCGGTTGCTCCCGTCCCTCGATTTCCATGGGCCTGCCGAGAGAGATCAGTCCATACCGACAGTCTGCTACGCTCTTCTTGACTGGCCAATCTCGACGTCGTCTCTCCGAATAACCGCATGATCGTCAACCATCTCCACGACTGGTGATCATCATATCAAAATGTCTTTCGGATGGATTTCGATTGCCTCTCGATCATGTACCTTGGGACGGAACACTGTCACACGTACAATCTCTTGTCAAGGAGCCACTGTCCAAATCTCTGTCCATTCGAGGTTCTATGCTTCGGCTCCTAATCTTCTATCCCAGGAGGAAATTCGAAAAAAGCAGGAAGAAGCAAAAGTACGCAAAAATGAAAAAGTTCGACTCAGGTACCAAACGAATCCCGAGGTTCGTGAAAAGCATTTGCGAAACATGAGAGAAAAATGGGCTACAGATCCCGCATTTCGCGAAAAGCGTCTGCAAGCATTAAAGGAGAAGTGGGCTACAGATCACGAGTATCGTGAGAAGTTGTTGCAACAACATAGAGAAAAAATTTCTACAGACCTTCAATTCCGCGAACGACAGTCCCAAAGGGGCACCAAGTCATGGTTGGCATACAAGCTTAAGGAGACCCCTGAAGCTGGCCTTCTCAGGAGGGAGCAAATTAGCCATTTTAATTCGACAAGATATCAAAACAGCGCTGAATTCAAATGGCGCAAAATACTAGAAAGCGCGTTGCGCAAACTTCACAATTTCGCAACGAGGTCATATGGAGATCACACGAACCGGTGCTATACCCATGAAAAGTGGACCATACGTGCGCTACTTGTGGCCACAAGAAATATGGAGGATTGAAACTGTGGTACGTCTCGAATGCTCTATGTATCAAATCTCGAGGTCCAGTTTGGACAGGAGCTGATTGTGATTTTTCGCAAGGTGGCGCCGCAAAGACTTCAAAAACCCCCAAAACTCTTCTGAACCTGAAAAACACGATTGCTTCAAGTGTTTCGCAGCGGATCGAGAAGCATCTACGCCGATCTATTTCCCATCAGACATAAAACCACTACCTGACCGAGGTCCGGTAGAGCAACCCGAGACCACGATGAGAAGGAGAAGTTCGGAAATGGCACTGGGTCAACGACATGACACATATCATTCTACGACTTATCAGACAAAAGTTCCAGATCTCTGACCGACACACTGCACCTCTTGATCCACAACTGTACATGGAAAACCGACCTGCCCCGTAATCTTTACAGCCGCAGATAAAAGAAGCAACCGAGTACGAAGCATAAATTCCTCCAAGAACATCTTAGATAGAAACATGAGGCAGAGATTATAGAGCCGGGCAGCCATACGGACGACATCAATCATGAGACTCGGATCCTTTTATTCGCTGGTCACTTGCCAGGGAAGCATCTAGACAGCCCTCCTCTGTGGTAGAGGGTCAATGGAATTTGTAAAGGAGTAAACAACGACGACTGTGGACTCGGCAAGCAATATACAACCCTTACCCTTGACCGCTAGTCACTACGTCTGTAATGCTTCTTTTTCTGATAGTTATTCTTAGACTGTGATACTCTGGTCAATTACTCATCTTATTGATTTCTTCTGCTATTCAGCATGATGAAGAGTTGCAAGGTCGCCGAACGGGACGGTTTGTGAGACTAAATTGTCGAAAACAGGTCCTTTGTACCCTTGTTTTGGGCAACATATCATCTTTGAATGAATGCATGATTCTATACAAATAAAGCCTGTTTTATGCAGACTCTTGTTCTAGGTCGAAATCTATCCAATCTTCCTCTTCTTGTTGTACTTGCCTCTGGCCTCCACTTTACCATCCACGGGCAACACTCTCCTCGCGGTGAACAGATAGCCTTCAGCACCACCCCTCCACGTCATGAGCGGATGTGTACGCCCAGGCAACACCTGCCAAGGTCTGATCCTCGTCGTCTGCAATGTAGGCGCCAACACCAATCGCGGATCCAATGGGAAGTCCTCTTCAGGGGGGNNAGAAGTGTCATTGGCGATGTGGTCCAGGTAAGCAGCTTTGCGGTCCTTGGAGTACAGGTCCATGATCTCGGTCAGGGGCTCCACGGTAGGTGAGTAGATGGCAATGTGTGCAGAGCCGCGCAGCAAATGCACTGTTGACTTTAGGATCGTGGCGGGAGACATGTGAGAAGCGATGATCAGGCCGTCGAAGCCACCGGCGCGGGTCTCGTCGACGATGGCTTTGCAGCGGGCCCAGCGGCGGCGTTTGCGGTAGTAGGCGCCGCGTTTGCCGGATTTCATCACGTCGAGTTCGGCTTGGGGGATAGTTTCTGGCTCGTCATAGGTGGGGTCTGCGGAGGGGTCGATGAGTTGGAGCCAGGTGAGGGTTTTGAGGTGGGTGTGGAGGGGNTGGGTGGCGGTTGGATTGTTCGTGTCGTAGGAGAAGTATTTGAGGAGTGAGACATTTGGTTGGGCATTGGCGTGGAGGACTGTGATGGTGTTCGTAGAGGACAGGTTGGTGTTGTGCTTGTTCATGGGACGCTTTCTACCGTTCCCCCGTACTTCTTCTCCTTCTTTTGGTTCGTCGTCGGTTGGCTCGCCCTTGGAAGAGTCCTGCATTTCCACGTCTGCGTCTTCTTCAGCCGGTGCTGTCTGTTGCGCACTAGCTTTGGGAGCAGTCTCGTCGTCGTCGTCGTCGTCGTCAGACTCTTCATCTTCGTTGTCCGGGTGGTACAAGAGACCCATCTTCTCGGCCATGGAAGCCACGACCAGACCACCAGTATCGTCAACGACCAGCCATCTTCCACCACCAAGTTGTGTGCCCTCTTCGGTGAGACTCGGTTCAGCGTCCGGATGGTAGTGTACATTGGCCCAGCTGCCAACAAGACCCAGCGACTCTTCTCTAAGCTCCATGACTCTTGATGACTCCTTCTCAGCAATCATGTACTCGGTCAACATGGAAACGTTCATGGGTAAGACAGTAAATCTGCGCAAGTACTTCTTGTGTTTCCTCAGAGTGTACTTGGCCAGGGCGAAGGACGTCTTTTCGCTCAGGTGGGTATGCGACTTGAGAATCTTCTCGATAATGTCTCTTCCAGAACCAGTTCCTGCTTTCTTCAATTCCTCAATCTCGTCCATGCTGAGAGCTTGGCGAGAGGCATCGTCGACTGTCAGACGGTTGTTTTTCAGCAAGACAGAGCCGTCATCCGCGACAATATCGAAGGATTCATCGGCTTTCTCGGTGGGGTTTTCTGAGGGAAGGGCATCTTCGGCGAGGATCTCAGCGTTCAGCTCCGAGGCTGGTACAATTCGTAGGCGGGAGGTGTCGGTTTCGGACTGTTTGTCGGTGATCTCGTATGTGAGGTAGTAAGGTCGTCCAATGAGAAGGTTGCACGGGAAGGAGCCGAATTTGCCAATAGAAACAACACTGCAAAACGAAAGGTTAGTAAAAATGGTGTTGTTGGAGGCGGCAATTGAGGCGGGCTCGCACCTGTTCGGGACTATTTGCACCAGCTTCAGTGTATCTGAAGGCAGGCGTAGTAGCACATACTCGCCGGCATGGACGCGCGAGTGCATGGTGGAGCGTAATGGGTTGCGACAAGGTTGTACCACTACGGCGGACTTTTTCTCGGATGATCTGGATGCTCGCGCAGGACGTGGGGAAGTTTTTCGACCTTTCCTCTTTGAGCTGAAATTGTGACGTGCACCTTCCGCGCGCCTTGAACGCGTCTGCTCTACTTGCGAAAAGGCAGCTTCATCCAGCGAGCGGGCAAGCATTGCATCCAATCTCCATTCTGCCCCAATCCTTTGTCCATCACATCAGCAATCATGTCCGACTACGAAGATGAAATGGACGTGGATGGTCCCGTCGCTCAGTCCTCGATCCAATTCTCGTCCAACTCGAATGAGAAGGGTAAGAGAAGCGCCGCCAACCTGCCCGTCGAGCTGCAGGACACACTGCCTTGGTATGCTCCTTTCGAATTCACGCAAGACCAACGTCTGACATGCGATTAGGGTGGAAAATACCGACCAAACACTCTCGACGACGTCTCAGGCCACCAGGACATCTTGGCCACAATCAACAAGTTTGTCGACAGCAACAGACTCCCTCATCTCCTGCTCTACGGTCCTCCAGGAACCGGAAAGACATCGACTGTCCTTGCCCTCGCCCGTCGCATCTATGGCAACAAGAATATGCGACAAATGGTCCTCGAACTCAACGCCTCCGACGATCGCGGTATCGATGTCGTCCGCGAACAGATCAAGACTTTCTCGAGCACAAAACAGATCTTCACCTCCTTTGGTGACAAGACCGGTGGTGATGGCAGCCCGGCCAACTTCAAGCTCATCATTCTTGACGAGGCCGACGCCATGACCTCAACTGCTCAGATGGCCTTGCGAAGAATCATGGAGAAATACACCTCAAACACTCGTTTCTGCATCATCGCCAACTACACCCACAAACTCTCGCCCGCTCTACTGTCACGTTGCACTCGCTTCCGCTTCTCTCCGCTCAAGGAGGCCGACATTCGACGTCTGGTCGATATCGTCATCGAGAAGGAAGACGTCAACATAGCCCCTGATGCTACCGACTCTCTTGTCACCTTGTCAAAGGGTGACATGCGTCGTGCACTCAACGTTCTGCAGGCTTGCCATGCTTCGTCAACACCGCTCCATCTACCAGGTCAAGCACCTGCCCAAGGAGCAAAAATTGACCGCGACTTGATCACAAACGAAACGATCTTCGACTGCATCGCTGCACCACATCCTGCTGATATTGCAACCATCCGCGACACACTACTCTCCAACGCCGACGTGACTTCATGTCTGGCAACAATCAATACCCTCAAGGCAAACAAGGGTCTGGCCTTGGCTGACATCTTGACTGCTCTTGGTGAGGAGCTTGCGAATTTGGAAGTTCCTGCACATACAAAGGTCGCCTGGCTACAAGGTCTGGCTGAGATTGAGCATAGACTGAGCGGTGGTGGTAGCGAGAACCTTCAGACCGGTGGTTTGGTCGGCACTGTCAGAAATGGCTGTGAGATTATGGAGAACAAGAGCAAATGAGCAAAAGTCTGGTCAACCAAGGAAACAATGTCAAGCATGGAGTCACGGAGTTAGATGGGAATTATACCGGATGTGTATAGCTATGTCTCGGAACAGTGGAGGCCGGATGAACACTTGCTTTAGCATAGCTTTATATGACACCTTGTATGCTCTGCAATACTTGAGCCCTCGCTCATGGGCCTGCTGTGTGCCGCTCTTCCTCCTTGGTTAACAGTACAGTCGGTACTGTTACTATAGCTCTCCTTGGCTGGGTGACATGTGCCATATGAGTACACTACCATTGAGCATCTACTCGAGTCTGGCGATCGCACCTGCCGAACTTCTTTTGGCCTCATGCAGTCCCGGATGCGTTCCAAAAGAACCGATGTTTCCACTCGTGCGGCAGCTCAGACTTCCAGATCAATGTCTCAGTGGGATCCTGGTGCCAGGGTTGATGTGCACTGTCGAAGCTTATCGCCAGCTCTCGGCCGAGTGCTTCTCGCGCGTCTTAAGTCTCCAGAACTGCTCCATGTCCTCTGGTATATGTGCTCAAGAAGGAGGAAATACAGTGTTCTGCAGATAGTTTGTAAGCAAGGTCACGAGTCCGGTTCAGTCAAAGAGTAAGACGTACAATGAAGCTCTCAAGGGCTCCTTCAAAGAGTTCGTTTGCAACTCCAACACCACCAGTGTGCTCAACAGGGGAGATGGGACTCTTGACGACGTATTCGACGTAGAGATTGGCCCATATCTGGTATAACACAGTACGCATGCTCGCTATGCGCGTATCTGTAAGCATCACAAACTTGAGATTCGTCGCTGTCTCAAAGTAATGCAACTTGTACTCTCCAGTGCGATACGACAGGAAACTNTGAGCATTGTCAATACATCAATCCTACATGTGGTAGAACAATAAGGGGGCTTACCTGTCATCTTCACCGCCCAACTGGCGCACCATACGACGAAGGGAAAAGATGGAACCAAAGATCAGTTTTGCATCGTCTTCGTTGGACAGGGCTTTGGAGTTGACGCCTGGTACGTCGCCATTACTGATGGCACTGGCTCCTGATTGACGCTGGGCTGTCTTGACGGATTGAGATACAGGCCTCTGAGCCCAGCGTTTGCTGTATATGCATTCGNNGCTTGGATGGTGTCAGTCTCCGTGGTCGTGTCGAATTGATATAGACTCACTGTGCCTGTCGAAGATATAAAAAGAGTATACAGTCATGGTCAGGGATGAATTGATGGAACAATATCAAGGGATGGTTGGCGGTTCGTTCTAGCCCTCTGGTGGTCGTAGACGATGTGGGGACAATTGACAGGAAGCTTGGCAGGTGCAAGATTCGGCGACGGGCGTCGAATGGGTGCCCTTTCCTCGTCTGATAAGTTCGGATAGTCGGGCCTAGCGTTCACCTTGTCACTTCACTTGCGTGGCCTACGAATATTTGTTTAGAACAGACAAAGCAGCAATGTTATACAAGCATCTTTCATTTGACTTTACCTGCGCATGAGAATTTCTCCGCCTTCGACATGGCAGATTCACAGGCTGCCTCCGACGTGACTGACGCCCGCCCATCATCGTCAGAAGCGGGGCATGACCACCACGACAGTGCTGCACATGTTCTGCCTTCACGTGGTATCTCACTCAACATAGCCAGTACAAATACCAGCCATGGCCGACCCGCTGCTGTCAAACATATGTAGGGCTAAATCCTGGATTGAAGCTCTCCTTGCCCATCGTACTGAGCATTTGTCGCGTCGCGCAGGTCCCTGCCGGCATACCAGAGTCCCATAAGACACCACCAGCGAACCGCCTCGAGAACAACCACCGTCAAGGTCAGCTTGCTAGTTGCTGTTTCCCGGTCGCAACCCACTCTGACACCGATTGCACAGGAAACGCTTAATGCGCGAACACACTACGGCTCTAGCGACGACGACGGCGCAGCAGTCCACCGAATCAACCAATACACCATTAAGCAAGAGATTGGTCGCGGCTCCTTTGGCGCAGTACACCTAGCTGTAGACCAGTTTGGCAACGAATATGCCGTCAAGGAATTCTCCAAGTCACGTCTGCGCAAGCGCGCGCAATCCAATCTTCTGCGACGACCAAATCAGAGGAGACAGCCTTTCCACAGGATGTCGACTTCGGATAAACTCGCCCCGCAAGCAAACAATTCTCTGGACCTGATCAAAGAGGAGATTGCCATCATGAAGAAACTACACCACCCCAATCTTGTTGCGTTGATTGAGGTCTTGGATGATCCGGGAGAAGACTCATTATACATGGTTCTCGAGATGTGCAAGAAGGGCGTCGTTATGAAGGTTGGCATCGACGACAGAGCCGATCCCTACGACGAAGAAACATGCAGATGTTGGTTCCGTGATATGATTCTAGGCATCGAGTACCGTAAGAAAACCTGGTTGCGCATGCTTGTTGGCATATTTGACTAACTCGCCAATCAGNTACATGCTCAAGGCATCGTGCATCGAGATATCAAGCCCGACAATTGTCTCATCAACGAGGATGACATACTCAAAATCGTCGACTTTGGCGTATCAGAAATGTTCGAGAAGGAGTCCGACATGACCACAGCAAAATCGGCTGGTTCGCCTGCATTCATGCCTCCAGAACTTTGTGTCGCAAAACACGGCCATGTGTCTGGCAGAGCTGCCGACATCTGGTCGATGGGTGTCACGCTGTATTGTCTCAGATATGGCAAAATCCCCTTCGAGAAGACGGGCCTACTCGAGATGTACAAAGCGATTCGCACGGATGATTATCCATTAGAAGAGCATAATTCAGACTTTGAAGATCTTATGCGTAAGATCCTGGAGAAAGATCCTGAACGCAGGATCAAGATGGAGGAAGTCAGGGTATGTCATCACTCATGTCATGCTGCAATCTATAATCTGACAGGATCTAGACTCNATCCGTGGGTTACCAAGAACGGAGAGGATCCTCTACTTTCAATGGAGGAGAACTGCGCCGATATGGTTGACACGCCGACCCAAGAGGAGATGAACCACGCCATCACGGGCAATATGAAGCACCTTTTGGTTGTGGTATGTACAGATTTTATGACCGTCTGATCATGTGGCTGATCCATGCTTGCTAGANTGAAAGCTGTCAAACGTTTTAAGAAACTCCTGTTTCACAAGCGTCCAGAACTGATGGATGGTTTGTTCGGCCGGTCATCTCGCATAGTAGCGCCTCCTGGTAGTATCGAAACGAGGCACAGACGAACACGCAGTAGTGATGCTGACGACAGAAGGCCGATGGAGGGAGTCTTGACCGCGGAAGGTATACATCACGATGTCGTGGTATCCGACGACATGGTCTGCAGTCCTGGAGAGATGGACGACCCAGAAACCGATCCGATACATGATGGTGTTGAACACACTGAACGCTCAGACAAGAACGCGCAGCAGGACTCGGTAGATCGCGCTTTGAAAGAAGCTCCACACAAAGGCCACGCTCACGACCCCCTATCCGAAACGACATATCTCGGGATAGGAACCGGAAGCGACTCACCGTCAGCACACCCCTCAGAAGAGGTGGAAGACAGTGATCTACCAGAACACGTAGTCTGTGAATCACCCGGCGCGGTTGAAAACAACTTCTTCGAGCAGGCCTACCAGGAAGAAATGCAACGCATACACACTAGAAGAGGACGCAACCCCACCATCTACCTCACACGCCGTGTCGAGCACAATAAGGCCATCGCTGAGCATGAGAGTGTCATCCGTGACTCTTTAAATTCCGCATCCCAAGGCCCTAAGAGCAAGTGGGCTGGTCTGGCGAGTAAAGTTCGTGGCGCTGATGTCGTCGAAGCTGCAAAATCGGGAGCTGAAGACGAAGACAAGGAAGAGAAAGAGTGATTTCATTCTCGAGAGAGAGATTATTCGTTCTTTTCATCGTTTGCAAGAACTATCAAGTCGTCGCTGGACGATGGATTTGTATTCAAGGCATTCCAGTTCATACATGTATAACCTTTTCTTCTCCTATGGTCATTGGGGAAAGGTGGTAGGGAGGGCGCGAGGTCCAAGCAAAAACTCGAGACTTAGATATCCATAACAAGCACCGCACACGATAACCTATATGACAAGCACCGCGCACGATAATCTATATAACAAGAACCTGCAGCATACAACCCTCTTCCCATCCTTCCTATTGCGCGACCACTTTTGGACGATCTGGTTTTGTACTTTGCCAAGGAATTGGTCAGGGTCAGGGTCATACCATCGGCTATGCCTCCAATAACAATTGGCGGTATTATAGCAGCACCGTGCAGTATGTTTCTTCCCTGATTCACTTGAGATATACTCAAATAACCTCTCAAATATCGGACTGTGCTGTGAGTCGCTGGAGCCCAAGTCCATCGCATAATGATCGAGTCCAACTTTTCAGAAGTGTTTTAGTAGAAACCAGTGCACAACCACATACTCGGGTAATTGCTTTCCCGGACATATTAAATCCAATGCTGTTGCAGACCTTGTAATCTCAGAACCTCATACTTCCAAGATCCATACAAATTCAAATGTGTATACCATCTCTTGAAGATCATACAAAAGTATCGCTGTCTCGGGTAAAGGGCGTGGAGCTATCGGCGAGGTCGCGTGGGGAAGAGCCGTGCCTACCCCGGACGAACCCGAGTTTGGAGCAAACGTCAGCGATGCTTGCCGTAAATGACATCCGGCCTACGGCTTCCGATCCCAGATACCGAAAGGGACGACAGAGGGCCGATGATTAGGAGGCTAGCCATATAATATCTTTCGTGTATACAAGAACTCTCCCTTCTTCCCTTTCTCCCTTTGATACAACCCATTCCCCACTCCTTGAACATACACAATGGCGGCAACAAGACGTTCATGCATGCGCCTCTCGGCACTGCTTCCCTCGTCATCTAATGCTCTTATTCGCACACAGCTGCCGCGGGCGACAGCGCGAGTTGCTTTGAGCAAGAGAGCTGGCGTTGCTGCTACAGTGACCTTTTCTCGTGGCTTCATCAATGATGTCAAGGTTGGCGGAAGCGATGTTGACTCTGTTGAGATGCACGAGAGTCTGGCGCCGACGATTGATCGCTCGCGGTCAAAGGTGTATGCCAATGCTGACGAGGCTGTTGCTGATATCAAGAGCGGATCTACAATCCTGAGTGCTGGATTTGGTCTTTGTGGTACTGCTGGTATGTTCGATCTCTTCATCTTGCATTTGTGATTGCGGGAAGGGATAGGTTGAGCTGACTTGGCGTGTTAGNATACGATTATCAAGGCTATGGCAAAGAGAGGAATTGAAAACTTGCACTCGCTAAAGGCTGTTTCGAACAATGCTGGCGCTGGTCCCTATGGTCTTGCCGAATTGGTGCAATCTGGCCAACTCACTTCTGTCATTCTGTCTTTCCTGGGTACCAACAAGGCTATCGAGAAGAAGTACCTGACTGGCGAGCTGGACGTTGAATTGACTCCCCAAGGTACCATTGCCGAGCGCATTAGAGCTGGCGGTGCCGGTATCCCTGCCTTCTACACTCCCACCGGCGTCCACACATGGATTGAAACCGGAGAAATCCCCATCAGAATGGGTCCTCCCAAGGAAGGTTCAAAGATGCCCACAACCCTGCAATCCGGCAACCGTCGCGAGACACGCGAGTTCAAGGGCAAGAAGTACAACTTGGAGCACGCTATCCAAGGTGATGTTGCCATTCTTCGTGCCTACAAGGTCGATGAGGCAGGTAACTGCGTCTTCCGCTACACGACTGGAAACTTCGGCCCCATGATGGCCAAGGCAGCCAAATGCAGCATCGTGGAAGCCGAACATATCGTCCCTATTGGCGAAATCAAGCCCGATGAAGTCGATCTGCCCGGTATCTACATTGACCGCATCGTCCCCGCAACCGAGGAAAAGAAGCTCGAAGTCAAGAAGTTGAGAGAAGTGGAAGGAAGCGACCAGTCCAACAAGAGTGAAGGCGAGCAGCGTCGCGAGAGAATCGCTCGTCGTGCTGCAAAGGAGCTGAAGCAAGGTTACTATGTCAACTTGGGAGTCGGTATGCCTACGCTTGCGCCTTCGTTCTTGGATCCTGAGATCAAGGTCTGGATCCACTCGGAGAACGGATTGATGGGTATGGGCCCTTACCCCACCGAAGAAGAAGTCGATGTCGACATCATCAACGCCGGCAAGGAAACCGTTACCATTGTCCCTGGAGGCTCTACCTTCGACAGCGCCGAGTCCTTCGCTATGATCAGAGGTGGCCACATCGATGTGTCTATGCTCGGTGCTCTGCAGGTCAGCGCAAACGGAGACTTGGCAAATTACATGATTCCCGGAAAGGTGCTCAAGGGTATGGGTGGTGCCATGGACTTGGTCTCCAACCCCGACCAGACAAAGATTGTCGTCCTCACCGACCATGTCGACAAGAATGGTGTTAGCAAGATTCAGCAAGAGTGCAGTTTGCCTCTGACCGGTGCCCGTGTTGTGTCGACCATCATTACCGATCTGGTAAGTTTTCCCTTTGTGAATGTTGATGACCGTTTACAGATTGCTAACGAAATGTGATAGTGTGTTTTCCAGGTCGATCGTAAGAACGGAGGTCTCACTCTTACTGAAGTTGCTCCTGGCGTGACAGTCGAGCAGGTGCAAGAAAAGACAGCTGCCAAGTTCAAGGTGGCTGATGATCTCTCCGAGATGGAGTAGAGAGAAATAGAGGACGAGGACGAGGACACTTTTTGATACCAGAATTCGCGTCGTTGTAAACCGCTTCTATACCAATGTTTCAAGAAGCCATATATGTACAGTTCTTCAAATTTACGTTACAAACAGTCGTAATATGCCAACATGCTTCTCATCTACTAATCTCTCTATTTCGTGTTATTTCCTTCTTCGGAAATCTAGAGTTTTGCCTTGATTGACCCAGGGGCATAGCTTGATCCCTTACCNCCGCTCAATGCCTCCACAAGTCTGTCCACACTCTCGAGCAGCCAAACACTGCCCTCATCGCCAGCCAACCATTCACCACCCTGGACGTCTTTCTCCGCAGAGCCATCCTTGAACGCCTTCCTCAATCCAAACACATGACTCAACACCTGCGGCCCCACGCCCGTCTGCGTCCTCAAACAGCTGACTGCGACAATACTAGTCAACACTCTACCCACATTTCCCTTTTGGCTTCCTCTTTCCTCTGGATCGGCAAACAGAGCTCCGTACTCAGAGTGCAGGATATGGACGGGCAAGTCAGGATGCGACTCTGCGAGCTTGTTGTAGAGTTTCTTGTCGAAAGGATCGTAGATGCTTTTCCAGAGTTGCTCGCCGCGGGCACTCATGTCCGAGATGTTGTTGGGCGAGGGGATGCGGGTGGGTGTTGTGGAGAGAGATTCTACAGTGGAGGAGGGGAGGGAGGCGCGGAAGGCATTAAGCATGTTTATAGTACGAGGCACCTGTTTTGCCACATGTCAGTTGCTGAAAGCAGAGGAAAGAGAGAGGAAGAGCAAAGAGAAACTTACGCCGTTGAAGCCAATACACTTTAATCCAACTTCTCTCATCAACTCTGCCGTGGCTACTGCATCGCCTTCGGGAGAAGCTGCATGATACAGCTCAGTCAGGGAGTCGGGCGAGTTCATCGTCATGGTCGTCGCTGTCNNTACATCCTCAAATCGTCAGTCACTAGGACCTCTGTAGATATCATGTATCCAACATACAGCCATTGATAACCAAGCAGGCACACCGACACCTCTGTCCTTAGCATCTTTGGCCAAGTTCTGGTAATAGGCTTTGATGCCTTGGGGTGCGGGCAGAGCGCCTGGACGAGCAAACGGCGCGTTGATGAGTTGCTTGAGGGCGGGCGAGAGCTTGGACATTGTGTGTTGCTTTCTCTACCTCGAGGGTTGTATGCGATCAAAGGGAAAACGAGTGCAAGTAGAGAAAGAGTGTCTCCTCAGAGATTCTGGCTGCAGTCGCAATCATTCATCATCAATCATCAATTGCCGAGGGACGACCCGCAACTGTCCATTATCTCCGTGTAACTGCGTGTTTCGGTGACGTGTTGGTGTAATATGGGGAAGTCGGCGTCTTTGTGACTTCGCCGGATTGCCGTGGCTGCCCCGTCTCGTGGTCTCTCGACGTTACAGTAATATAGCATTCGACAGAAGATATATTTGGAGACCCAATGATGATGCAAACAAGGCCATGAACATCCAAACCCTGCGATAGAAGTTGATGACAGGAGTTTGAAATCTGTAATTTTTATGTATCGAGTTCTGTGATCAGATGGAAGCCATCTGATTCACAATCTCATCGAAGCTACTACACTCAACTCCCCAGTCCCTCTCCTTCGAAATGAAAACCATGCCTCAATTGTTTTGCTGTACCATGCATGCTTTGTGAACGAGAAAATAACAATCAGACGCTGTGCTTTGCATGCATATCAATCAATTCAATCCTGTACAACCGTAATCGTCGTAACTCCGGGTCCAGCCGCGGAAAGGCCCCTTTCATTGGTGCCGTTCGTGCCATTGACTCGCTCATTGTCCTTGTCGTGCTCGTTCGTGCCGTTGGTTGTCTTGATGTCTGTTGAGAAAGAGAATGGGTCGAGACAGCAGTCAAATCTCATCTGAATGTCCAGCCCGGCCAGGTGGGGACACTCGGCTGATGTTGCAATGTTGTAGAAGTCACTGAATCGCATCCATCGAAGGGAAGCCATGTTCAGGAATTTGGCTCGGTCTTCCTTTATGCGTTGCTGGACCCTCTCAGCTTCCGCAAGCTCGGCCAAAAGGTTTCCTGTTTCTGACATCTCGCTGTCCTCGTTCGAGGGGAGTCCATGTACCAAACTCGTTGACTGTAGACACGCCAGCATCAGCCGACGCTGCTCTTCAGTCACCTCAGACATTGACACTCCAGAGAGTAACGATGGCTTTGCCTTGGTATCAAGCGGAAGACCCAGAAGAGCATTCGCATCTTCGCCTGTGAGTATTGCCGCGGCCTGATAACTGAGCATCCAGAGGTCGTCAGCTTTGCCCTCATCCGGCAGATTTCCTAGCTCGGCTCGCTTGACCACCTGGACAGGAAGAAAGTGTCTCTGAATGTATGTCTGTCTCTCCTTGCCACGAACATCTGTTAGACTGATGATATGAGCCAAAGCACTTGGAAGGGCTTGTATCTTTCTCTGCCTATCCAGACGACGGTCTTCTGCCAACTTTCGCTCGTGTTGCTGACGTATCTCTTCGGCCTTGCGCTCGGCTTCCTTGCGTCGTGCAGCCTCCTCCTCTTTCCGGACCTGTTCGTCTTTGCACAACTTATCCGCCAATTTCTGAGCGTCGGCCTTAGCGTCAAGGTCGGCTTTGCGAGTGGCCTCCGCTTCTGCAGCCTCGCGATCGGGTTCCTCCATCTTGATATCGTCGTCGTCTTCATGCTGAGCATCATCTTCAGAGTCGTATGCATGATGGTCTTCCTCGGTGGGCTCGATCATTGAAGATGAGCGTTGTCGCTTCGGTTGTGGTTCGGAGAGATGGGAATTGCTGTGCTTCCTGGGGCGGCCTACTTTTCGTGGGCCAGGCGGTTTGAGAGAGTTCTGATCCGATAGTCGTTCGCCGTGTCTTCTAGGNGGTGCAACGTCGGAGAGCTCTGAAGATGATCGCTGCCTGCTTTCTGTACGCATGTCCTTCTTAGAGACCAGACGTCTTCTGCTTCGTGCTCTCTCAGGCGAATCCGCGTCTTCCATTTCCACATCAGAGTCATTATGGCGTTCCATGCTTCTTCTTCGTTTCTTGGTAGGCTCACGGCGAGCGACTGGACTAGAGCTGAGTTTCCTAGCATTTTCAGCCTTCTCGTACAGCTTTTGTAAGAGCGCCTTCTCCTCCCTCCACTTCGGACCCTGCTTGGATTCCGCGATCTCGTACCACGTCAAGTTGCTACTCTTTGAGCGCCATGTGGGCTCGAATTGATCGAGTTCGGTGAGGGCTTTGACCATGTCAAAGTGAGAGGTTCCGATAACGGAGAGCATGGGTCTATCAGCTCTTTGACGAGCCTTCTTAGGGGTCATCTCGGCGAGAAGCATGTTCACTAGGTAGAGATCGCCAGTCTTTGCCGCCGCAGCTACAACGTTATTGTCAACAGGCACACGGGCATCGAGGAATTCTTGGACCGCTGTCCTATCGTTCTCGCTAACAAGCTTGAGTAGGTTTTCGTATGTGCGTGCAAGAAATTGAAGCCCTTGTTTTGGTCCAGGTCTTGATGCGGGTTCTTCGACATTGTACGTTTGTTGGGATCTGCCGTTCTTGTTCCAGTCTTCAATAGCTTCGCGCAAAACAGCACGGATTTCAGTGGCGTTATCGGTCTCTTTGGTGATAACATCGAGCGCCTGTTGGCCTTTCAAGTTGCAATGTAGAGGGTTAATTCCAGCCTTCAGAAGAATTTGAACAACATCGAGATGGCCGTTTTCGACCGCGTCAATAAGAGGAGTGTCCTTGTCCGCGTTTGCGCAATGTGGATTGCAGCCCTGCTCGAGCAAATAACTCACAATCTCAGGATATCCATTAAGAGAAGCAACTTGGAGTGGAGTGTTTCCTGCAAACTCGCGCTGTTCGAGTTGCTCAGGATCTTTCTCGCGCCACTCTTTGACACCGTCAAGATCGCCGTTCTCGCATGCCTCGGCCAGGCGAGTAAAGCCATATTTGTTGACGTGTCGCTTTGCCAAACCCATTGGTCGACCTGGTGTTGAAACAGCCCTGCTGGTGTTTCGAGTAAGTCTGCTTTTGGGGTATTGATGTGATGTTTCAGAAGAGGTGTCCGAGTCCCAGACGTTTCTCGCGAGCATGGTCTCGCGGACCGGAAAANNATGAGTAGCGGCGCGTCGTTGCCGTGCCACGCCGGCTGTATGCAAATGTTGGCCGCTGTTACTCCGACTCTGGCTTGGCCGTACTGATTGCGCCGAGGCTGTCCGACGGTGTCTACGCAGTTGCGGAGAAGACGAGTGGTCTTGGCTGGACCTCCGTTTCCGACGCGGTTGATCGACATCTGTGTGCTTGCGTTTTCGTGGATTTGATGTTCGTTCTTCTCCGTCCTTGTCAGATGCCCAAGACCTCGCATCCTCGTCTTCATCGTCCTCATCGTCATTCTCGTTGTTGTTGATTTCGTTGTCGTTTCCGTTCTCGCCCCCGAACGATTGCACTGAGGACACCTCGCTCAAGTTGTCACTGTCGCTGTCCTGGTTATCTCCATTGGCATTGGTGTTTTGCTCGTCCAGCTTGATTCCCCTCTCGACCAATTGCTCCTCTTCTTTCTGTGGCTTGTCGCCGTTAGTCTGAGCCTTATCGATAGAAGCCTCACAAGCAATTTGTGCCTGAGTCTCTTCTGGTTTGAGGACAATCTTTTCGGGGATCTCATCAATGCTTTCTAGAGCTTGGGCGGAATTTGACTGCTTAAGCATGTCGCGTTTCTTGACAGGTGATACGATCAAGGTCTCAGCCTCGGAGTCATTCTCGGCGTCCAAGGCATTGTTGTTTCCGGACTCGGGAGCGTCCGTTTGTGGATTTTGAGGGGCTGAAGGTGGCGAGGAGACAGAATGGGCTTCTAGAGGCATGGGAGAGGTGCTCTTGGTTGCTGCAAGAGGCGGCGCATTCTGGACAAGCGCGTTGTTGCTGTCGGAGAGGGTGCTGTGGCTCATGCCGCGAATATGGCCATGAAATACAAGCGCAAAGCGAAGACCGGCTCCGCAAGATGGGATTCTGAGGCAGAGGGGCGTAAAAGGGGCGAGCAGAGGTTGGTGTGGATTGAGAAGAAGCAAGTAGTTACCGTTAGCAAGAGCTGCAAGTTGGAAGGCGGTCCGCTGTCTAACGCCCGCTCGGGCCTCCTGCAGTCACGTGCACCTGCCACCGCCGATCCATGTCTCTAGCAATCTCACCGACAGTCGAGGCCTGTTCTTGCCTGGTTTTCGAGTGGTTGCCGTCCGAGGATAGCCTCGTTTTCTTCGAAGGCTGTTAGCGAAGCCTGGTGCTTGGTTGTGCTGCGCTTGGCCGAAGCCTTTGCCTGCGCCTTTTAGGACGCCATCAGTCTGTAACAACCGCCTCGAAAACTTACCCTTCTAGCGCCATGCTTGACCTCGTCATATTCTTGAGGGCTTCCTTCTTGCTGGCTGCTGTGGCCGTAAGACAGAAACACAACCCCGACCATGTGATCGAGTTAGCTGACTCTTCGCAGGCCCTGCTTGCTCATTGTGTACCTTCTCTTCGTACTCGTTTCTTAGCATATGGCTCTCGTCAAGATGGTCGACAGCCAAAGAAACTCACCACCAACCCGCTAGACGCACTTGCCACTTTCCAAGTGCCTCATAGCTGGTTTACGTCTTTCTATGTCGTGTCCACACTGTGTTCTTGCATATGGTTCTCTCAGATCCTTCTTGATCAATCGCTCTGGCGCAGTCTGGCAGCCTTGGCCAACATCAACAAGTCCATGACCTTGGATCAAATCATCGTCACTTGGATACTGATGCTCCTGCAAGGTGTTCGTCGTTTGTATGAGTGTTTGGAATTTACTAAGCCCTCCAATGCTCGCATGTGGATCGGCCACTGGGCTTTGGGGGTATGGTTTTATGCTAGCATGAGCGTAGCCGTCTGGGTCGAAGGAGCTCGTAGGTTTTCGTCTTGTGAAAGTCCATGTCTTGCTGCTCTGACGTTTTCCTCCTTTCCCAGCANNATTCTTCGCAAGGAGTCTTTCGACTTCTCACACTTAACCATCGAGCCTCCATCCCTTCGTACTTTTGCGGGCTGCTTGATTTTCATCCTTGCTTCCGGCGTGCAGCATGATTGCCATGCATATCTGGCATCCCTGAAGAAGTACAGCGTGCCCGAGCATCCGGTATTCTATCGGTTGGTTTGCCCTCACTATTTCGTCGAGTGTTTGATCTACTTTGCGATTTCGGTTGTTGCAGCCCCTGCCGGTGCCATGCTGAACTGGACAATCGTTTGTGCCCTTGTGTTCGTGGCCGTGAACCTGGGTGTGACGGCCGATGGGACCAGAGATTGGTATGTACAGAAGTTTGGACCCGACAGCATGAGCGGGAAGTGGAGGATGATCCCCTTCATCTTTTGATGTGCTGGAGAAGGATGGCGGTTGAAGTGGTGGGCCGGATATAGACTAGATGCGAGAGCGTGCTCAGGCAGGAGCCTTACCTCCAGTACTCTCGACAACCATTGTGATGTCTTGTTTGCAATCAGGCAGAGCGCCGGCCATCTCTCTTGCTAGTATGTCTCTGAAGTCGGCGAAAGCTTGGCTCCTGCCTTTGAGTTGTTGGTTGAGTCTCTGTACCAGTTCGACGAATTCACGGGTATAGATGTCAGGGTTTCGCGATCGCTCTACGTATTCGATGACTTCTGGCGGGAGACTGGTCGGAAGGACGCGCGCAGTCTGGCACAAGGACAGCAAGTTCTGGATCAGGCGTTTGNNCTGGAATGGCATGTCAGCGTGTTGTTCTGAAACACAGGGTGCCAGGGCGGTCGGTTACATTTCAAAGGTCATGGCCTCTGTTGTTTGCGAGCCGCGGAACTCATGCGCCTGGCAGATGAGCATGTACAGGTTATCGATGACAGCTTTGAGCTGCTCTGTGGGGACGGTCAGTAATGGAAAACATATGAGGTAGGCTAGTGACTCGCCCTCGACCTGGTCAAGACCATCAGTAGACGCCATGGCGATGATTGAGCCGAAAGGTTGGTCAAAGATGAAGAAGTGACGATGCTGGTCATGTCCAGGTTGAGAATCTGGGGTCCAACAAGCCAAAACGCACCTGCCAGCAACCAGCCCCACCGAAATTACCGAGCACCTTTGTGGACATGACCACTCTCCGCCAATCCACCTTCACAATTGACCGTCAACATGTGCAAATATCTTCCAATGTCTACGTCGAATTAATGACCCCATCACGGAAATGTCTTTGACCCTGGAGCCTATAAATGGATCAAGAACCTGGCCGCGCTGTCCCGCGTGGTCATGCGAGGACTAAAAGCAACACGTCTGTTGGAAGCAACAACCCAAACAGACCGAGACAGACCAGATCCAAGAGCAGCAAGAAACTCGACTCGATATACTCTGATGATGCTACTATCGCCTTCATCAAACGCACCTTGTGCGCTCAGCAGCTCACAGGTCCAGAAGGTAGCCGAGCACGAAACATTTCGAAGCCTTTGTCTGAACTACTGCCACCTTTGACCACTTCCAATCAAGTCGACCTCCAACTTTATGCTCTCATCTCCATAATCATCAAGGACTTTGTACAGGCTTGGTACTCGAGAATCACCCCAGACCAGGAATTCACCGATCAGGTCGTCCACATCATCGCTCACTGCACACGCGCTCTTGAGCAACGAATAAGGGCCGTCGATCTGGAAGCCTTGGTACTCGATGAACTCCCCGAACTGATCGACGTCCATGTTACAGGTAACTGTCGCATCAACACGAGACACATCGTACTCGTTTAATTGACATCTTGTCAGCCTATCGGACTGCATACAGCGCTTCCTACACTTCCTTACTCGTAGCAAATCCGAGAGACATCTATCACGCCATCAACCCTCATCCTGCCCTCTCCCCAGTGCCCTTCGAGCCCGGATCTCTCGCATCATTAGATCAGGCTGAGAATGAAGCTGCATGGCGCCAGTTGCTTGTTCAAGGACTATTGTCTCATCTGCTCCCGCCGGAAGATCTAAATAATCCACCGCTAAAAGTGTTGGTGACTGAGATATTCTCGGAGTTGATCATCGGGCGTGGAGTCTGCGGCAACATCTGCGAAGGCTGGTTCATCTGGGATCTTGTCTCCAAGCTGCTTACCATCCTTCGTCCTCCTGAACCCGATGTACACCAGGAACCACCCATCAGTCCGAATCGCCTCGAGAAGTTTGGACTCCTCGCAGATGACAGTGATGACGCTGAAGAGCCACCCGCCGTTACGAGTAGAAGCCCAGTGGATACCTTGTCCGGCGTATGCTTGCAGGTCATGCAATACGCCTTCCTTGCCTTCATATCAATACGCGCGTTCTTCACAGCTCTGTCGAATGCCGCATCTCTGCCTCCAAGGACGAATAGTAGAGAAGACTCAACGCATGCCGAGTTAAACGACAGCGGCTCACTATGGCAGCAATCAACACACGACAGTACGAAGAGACCAATCCTAGGAATGTCTCTGTGGAGTTGCTGCTCGCATCTGCTTTCTTTGGACTTGCAGATGCCTTGGCTTACCACCCTGGGTGCATACATACAGTGGCTGTTGATCTGCAGCTCATGGAAGGTGGGTCACACAGACAGCAGATTGGACAGGTGAGTTTGCTTTTCCTTCTCATCTCTCTCCATACCTCCCCTTATGCGCTGCCATATTCGCCGATCGTCTTTCGATTGTCTTCCCTCCACCGAATTTCAGCCATGCCGGCTCAATATCTTTGTAGCCCCGCATGTACTTTCAGTCACTTGATCCCGGCTTGAGCCAATGCCCTTTCGCGACGGGCCGCCCGCCAGTCAGCCGCATCTTGGATGCAGAACGTGGCGCTTGCAGTAAAGAAACACCGACACAATGGCTCGCGCTGCGTCTTCTGGACACACACAGGAGTTTGCGAGAGGACGCCACGTCGCATTCCGAAGCGCTCATCGCAAGGAAGTCAATCCCGCTTCTGATTCTCACGACTTTATCCGGCCTTTACCTCAATACTTGGATTCATCTCTCCATTGCTACTGCAGGCGATGTTGTAGTGCGGCTCGGAGACGCCTTCCTCGATGCGGAAGCTGCATATTGTCTTGTCTCAAAGACCGAGAATAAGCGACATTCGCCGAGCACCGTCGTCTTGGTCTACCAATGGCTTGGGGCATCGAGTATCTGCTGCAACTTGTCTGCGGCCTAGCGAGCGGCCTCAAATCTGGATTCCCACTTCCCTTTTCCTTGCTGCTGTTCGTGAGCGCTTAGGCAAACCGCCTTTTCGTGTAACCGTGGCGGAGCGCCCAGCATGATCCGGACAAATTCCAGGCTCTTTTGTCAATTTACCGAGACACACACACACACACACACACACACGCACACACACCGCGCACATCTCCTCCTATCCCGACATTCAAATTTCTTGCAACCATCGAAAAACCGATTGAGTGGGAATTGTCGTTTTGCTGACTTTTACATCTATCCTACACTAGACTACTTTCCCACCACATACGTACAAAAATCTTCGATCCCACTCGCTTACCGAGCATCCTCTTGCTCATCCGCACGAACATGTTCCCCAATAATTCTCTCGGCCCCGGTCGCGTGCCCCCACCCCCGAAGAGGCTCTAGAACTGCGAGCCAAGTGTGCCGCTTCCATCATCGCCGCTCTGCCTCCCATTATCGTCAAGCAAGTGTTTGCTGCGAGGGACAGTGAAGATGTGCAAAAGCAGATGGAAGATATGCTAAATGTGTTTGGAGATGCGTATTTGAACAAGCATTTGATAGTCGGGATCGTGGACTTGGTCGTCGTGAGGTTGTTTCCTGAATTGGAGAGCAAGAGCGTTGGCGCTGCGTTGAGGAGGGCCGAGAGTAGAGAGGAAGTTCGTTCGTAGAGCTAGATGCTAGAAGATCCTGTTGTCTTATGCCGAGAAGTAACGATGTGATTCTGTGTAAATATGAACGATCTGTAAGCTAGTGATAAAACCGAAATGCTGAATGAAAAGATGAAGAAACCTAGATGTAGCCCTTTACACGAATGCATCTCGAACCTGCGTGAGCAGTCAATGGATATCTGTAGATGTGTGTTCCCCCTCTGTCGTTGCAAAGATTTCTGTGTCCGAAACAAGAAAAAGAGAACAAAAGAAGGAAAAAATGCAGAGAACGCAAGATGTGTAGATCAAAAAGCAGCGTACCGGAAACAGAAAGAGCAACCAGAGAATAGAAAAAACAAGATTAAAAGAAAAGACTCGAACAGCGGGTAAGCGTAGCAAGAACACATTTGCGCCCAACAAACAAGAAGGAACAGAGCAAGCAAGATCGCTCTTGCCTAACGCAGCAACTTCTCCTTTAGCCTGCCCAACAGCATCGCCTCTGACACCTCCAAACAACCTTTGGGCTGTCCCTCGAAGAACTCCACAACCACTCCTAGTGCACTTCTCGCTTCCTCTTCAGTTGGTCTCCTGTTGCTCTCAGTCTTGAAATTGATGGTCTTGGCATCTTGCTGCACCTCCTCGGCAAGCAGAGAAATGTCTTCCATGCATTCGTCTATACTGCCTAGTCTTTCCTTCTCTTCTGCCAATCCAGGCAGAGAAGACAGAAAAGGATGTGCATGAGAGGGTGAGAGTGCACTCTCAGATGGAGGAGAGTCAGCCATAAAGGTATCCATGGCACGAAAGTTTTGCTGTAGGAAGGGCGAATGCAGGGGTCCGGAAGAGATTTGACTCGCAGGCGAGAAGAAAGGTGACGTAGGAGACAGCATATGGGGAGTGAAGCATGCGGAAACAGAGCCCAAGTCTGTAAACGCTGTATCGATTGAAGGAGGAGATTTACGGCGTTTGTTGCCGAGGGCAGGTCTGACGTCTTCGCTTGTTGCGTTGTCCAGAGCTGGAAATATGGTTTCTAGGGAACTGGATGAGAGTGTTTCATCTGAGGGCGAATTAGGTGACGGATTGGTGTGAGCATTGTCAGAGTCCGCGACGGAGTCTTTGCGTATCTCTTCGTTCTTGACGCTCCTGCTGTTCATATGGTGCTTCTGCTTGAACTTTTCCAGCCAACCGGGGTTGTTGAATGGGTTCAGAGCTGGGTTCTCAGGTCCAGGGATTGATGCAAAGTAACAGGCTTGTTCTCGGATAGCGTCGTCTGTGATAGGCGAGCCTTTCTTTTGTTCTTTGATAACCCAGGCCGAGAGGGTCTTCTCGATATCTGGCAGTCGTGCTTTGGGTCTCTTGCTTGGAGGTGAGCGCGGAGTCTCCTTTGGTTGAGCACGGTTTAGATACTGCTCTTTCTTCCTAAGGACCTTTGACACGGTGCTTTTACAATAGTCAGTATTGATCTACATTCAGTCCCGTTGACAAAAATGTTGTAAATCATACCTTCGCTCTACTCCGAATAGATCTAAATGATAGTCAGTCTTATAAATCTCCGTGACTCGAACAAAGGCTTACATNCCTATCTCAGTCTGCTTGGCGGTTGGATTCTCCTCAGCGTATTTGCACATTCTTCTCCGATCATCATCTGACAGCGTCTTACGAACACATGGGCCTGATCTGGTAGACGAACCCACCGACACTGGCGTCACAGTTGGAGGCGATGTTGCGCCCACCTGAGTCTGCGGCAACAAGGGTGGATAAAATGTTTGTTGACTCCCTATCATGCTCGGCCATGGCATCATCAATGGTTGTAGTTGTTGGTGAGTCGGCCTCAACGGTGGTGATTGTGAGAAGGCAGCCGAATGCATTGGAAGTGGTGGCGACCCCCAGCCGAAACCTGTATACTCCTGCGCTGGCGTTCCATGATACGAGTGAGGGTATGGATGTTGTTCTGACCACCTCATTGGGATGCTGTCAAAGGTAGCCGGGTGTTGTTGCTCTGAGCCATCGTCCATCGTGGTGTGTCACACAGAAGAGGCTTGAAGCTGTTCGAGTGGTGTATTTCTAGTTGCAGATTTCTCAAGTGGTCAAAGACGGCAAAGTATCAGGAAAATTGAGCCTGGTGAGCATGCAAGTTGTTCCTGGAAGAAGTGAGGCACAATCCCCATGCGAGCCGAAGCATGCAGCTCGACGTCGAACCTTGACAATACAGGGAGGAAGCTTCTGCGAATTGTTAGGCATAAATGCAGCTACTAAGAAGTCCCAGAGACCAAAAGGTGCTTGCCTATGGAGAGGTGGTAATCGGAGACAATAGTGTCAAAGCTGGGCTTGCCTATGAGAAATTAAGTTAACCTCATCGGGACGGTACGAGGCTGGTTTCCGAGAGGATTACCGCAATATTTCTCCAAGGACCACCAGCGGCAGGGAACAATTGACATGCTGTACACAAGACGACCGATGTAGTGGGTGCAGGCGCGAGAAGAAAAGAGGGGGATGCCAACCACTAGATTCGAGATGTTGGAGCCCTGGTAAGCAAGTGCTGGGCCATGATGCATGTNGGTAGAGGACCGGGGCTCGTAAAGACTCTAGAGGGCCTGCTGCTGCGGCCGCTTTGTTGGCCGCCTGCATCATTGCATGCACAGCCATAAGGAAACTCCACACGGAAGGGTGAGCCGCCCGCAATCGTCTCAGGAAGCCGGGACCAGATGATCGGCTTCCTGCTTGCTGTGGGCTGAAGGNNGGCCTGATGGTGGTGCTGGTGGATGGGGGTCCAAACGCCGACAGCACGACACAACGCAAACACCAATCGTGCCCTCGGATGGCATGTATCGACCCTCATTGATCCGGCCGTAGACCAGTGGTATATTAGTTCTGGTATCCCGTCTGCAATCGTCCTCAAAGGGACATCTCTAAAACGTAAGCGCGACTCCAGATCTGTTGAGTGCTGAAGCTCCAGGCGAGCATTTGTTTGGACAGCGCCGTCGCAGACGACCGCAAACCCGCGTCATTAGGCGGCCTACACTGCAGCACCGCAGCGTCCGAGAGGTTAAGCCGAGCGAGACAGGATGTTTCTCCACAACAGAGAGCTGCCTTGCGTTATTGGGTCACCTCACCAAGCGGCATGGCTGGCTTCAAAACAAGCAGAATTGACGAATCGCAGGTCGAATTAAGATTCTTTTGATTAAATGTCGAATGCGGGCCGAGGCTATGTGCGGGGCGGTTATGCACCTGCTTCGCGAGTGGGAAAGAGATAACAAGACCTTGGCCAACCAAAAATGGCTTGCAGCGAACAAAGAGTGGGATGCAGAAAAGAATCGATGGAATGGACGACAGAATCATTGGATGAGAACCGTGAATTTTCCATAGGCAGAAGCCGGTCTATCTGAAAAGAAATTCCACAAAGAGGGAAAAAAAGAAGAGGTCTCTTACCGGACCGGTCGTTGTTGTTCATGATACGAGTGTGGTGGAGTGGACACTAGCGTATGTTGGATGGGTATGACAAAGGCTGCTGCAAGTAATATCGACCAACGGGATCGTTGATCTCGACTCGAGACAATTGTTCAAACCGGGGATATCAAAAGTAGGGGGGAAATGGTTGTAGGCGAGTGACGTGCATAGTCGTGTTTATCGCTTGATGATGGTCAAGACATCTTCATCGGCAAGCTCGTGAGAGAGGCCGACTCTTTGAGGCTGATGTCTGACTGATTTGCCGTAGACGATGGCGACCTTGAACTGCTCGACAATGGTCTTGTGAATGGCGTTACANCTTAACGAGATGTTAGCTGGAAATGTAGATGGGTAGAGGACTTGGGAACGTACAAAGTCCTCGACTGTGCGAGCATTTGCTCTCAAAACGACAGGGGCAGTGTAGTCAGGAGCCCTGCCCTTGGGCTTGGTGTATACTCGGCACAGGTTGAGCTTCTCCCACATCTGCTCCATGAGTTCATCGACGTTCCAGCCGTGCTCGGAACTGATGGGACAGGCGTTGGGGATACGGTATAGCAAGTCGAGTTCCTCGATTGAGATGGCATCGATCTTGTTGAGGGCGTAAATGACAGGAATGTAACTTCTGCTCTTTGCTTCCAGGACATCGATCAGGTCGTCAATAGTGGCGTCGCAACGGATGGCAATGTCGGCCGAAGAGATTTTGTATTCGGACATGACGGCCTTGATCTCGTCGTGGTCGATGTGAGTAAGGGGCACGGTGTTGGTGATGCTGATACCACCCTTGTCCTTCTTCTTGAAATGGATGTTTGGCGGTGACTTGTTGATTCTGATACCGAAGCCTTCGAGTTCGTTCTCGATAACGCGCTTGTCGGTAAGAGGCTTGTTGACGTCGAGGACGATGAAGATCAGATGGCAGGTCTTTGCGACGGCGATAACCTGACGACCACGACCCTTTCCGTCCTTGGCACCTTGAATGATACCGGGCAAATCGAGAATCTGGATCTTTGCGCCATTGTACATGACTTGACCGGGCACTGTGGTGAGGGTTGTGAATTCGTACGCGGCGGCTTCGGAGTGTTGGCCTGTCAATCGACTCATGAGGGTACTTTTTCCGACCGAGGGGAAACCGATGAAACCNACTGTCGGGGGTCAGCTCTCGTGGTGTAGTAGGTCAGATTGATGTACGCACACACTGGCAACACCGGTTCTAGCAACATCGAAGCCAGCGCCACCACCGCCTCCACTTGACGATGGAGTCAGGAGTTCTCTCTTCAGCTTTGCCAGCTTTGCCTTCAATTGACCTNNGTTGCCGTGGTTAGTCTTGTATGGTCTGGCTCTCTCTTCGACGTGTGTAATACCCAAATGGTAGGAGGTGGCCTTGTTCTTCTGGGTCTTGGCCATCTCATCTTCGATCTGCTTGATCTGTGGTGCCGGAAGGGTTAGCAACAATTTTTCTTGGGCTCTCGATGGCAGTGGTGGCGCACCTTGTCGACGGTGGTCGCCATGATGGGTGGTGCTTGTGCAAGATAGGGCGACTAGTGCGCAGTGAATGTGAGTATCTCGCGACGGGCGTAGCGAGGGTGAATGGATGGTTTTGCGGTATGGACACACGCGACTTGGGTGGATTGTGAGAAGTCAAAGTTGCAAATTTGGCACAATGACGACTGCGGGGTTGTTCTTTCTCGGATCGCCGCCCTCTGCAAGGTCCCGTAACTGCGTATTATCATCAGAACTACTTGGATCCCTACGATATTTCTCTCAAACCCTCAGTCATCGTCTATATGACAACCGACTGACTGCGTCAGTTTTGTAAAGAGATATGACCCTTCTGGAAGCCAAACTGGAGACAAGGTGTCCTTAGCGATTCCAAAGTCCGGCGACATTTTCAATCATGAGGCCGTGACATTGATGATTGCGTCAAATATCGCCGACTTCTCGCTGCTCCAACATGACTACAAATACCACATCCATCCATGGCCTGACCATTTGCTCCATTTTTGCTTCTGTCAAATCGACCTAGCTGTTCCCAATATTAGCCTGCTCCATTATGTCTGTCGCAACGCCACTCTCGAACATGGTCAACATGGCCAGCCAACCTCACCTTCACTGTTGTGCTACATGCAAATCTGCCGTGTCCGACGACCCATTCGGCCATCTTGTACGCGACATCCGCCAGTACTTGGGTCCATCTTCCGGTATCGATTCGGCTCACGTCGACCCTGACCACATCAAAGCACTCATGGCCAAATACACATCCAACCCAAAACATTGGGAGCGCTATGCTCGTGCAGACAAGAGCAGGGGATACACGAGGAACATTGTTGACAACGTTAATGGCAAAGCGAACCTGATCCTCATCGTCTGGAACCCTGGCAAAGGCAGCTTGATCCACGATCATGCCGATGCCCACTGTGTTATGAAGATTCTCAAGGGCAACCTCACCGAGACCATCTATCACAAGCCAGAAGACGGCGATACTACCGTCCACCCTCTGCAAGTCAAGAAAGAGACTGTATACCACCCCGACGAAGTCACCTACATCTCGGACCAAATTGGCCTTCACCGTGTCTTCAACCCCGACCCAATTCAGCCTGCCATGTCGCTACACCGTGAGTTGTTCCACTAAAGATGCCGTGTCTGTCAATCCATTACTTACTCTCGAGCAGTATACACTCCTCCCAATGCTGCCGAGTTTGGCTTCCACGTCTACGACGAGCGAACAAGCAAGAGCTCCTTCGTGCCCCCTCAGTACTGAAGCTCGTCTCGAGTATTCTGCCTTTTCTTATACATTCGTTCATGTTTATCATCCGGGGGCGCTACGGTCAGGAATATACCCCGCATGCAATGGTTAGGATAACCTGGTGTTGGTAATGAATCATTTTTTACCCTTGGCTTTTTTTCTCCATCAGACTACTGTCGCTTGTTGACCTTGGATCAGATGTGCTTAACGACCACGATATGTGTCTATGATTCTCCTCATGTTAACCGCGATATTGTTTGATACAAACAACCTCTAGGGACCGACAATCTTCCCCACTCCGAAGATTGGATAGTCGAGCATTTGCTCCTAAGCACACCAGGAACAGATGGTTTGAAATCCGCCCTATCTAATATTCGTGCCCTTATTGCGACTGATTGACGAGACAAACTGACAGGAAGAAGATCGCAATATTCTTGGCATCTCTTGGAATCGACTATCCGCTGAAGGAAAGCCGGCGGCCACTGAACTCAAGTCCAACCACAATCACGACTGCAACGCGCAGGTCTATGCCCTTGCCGTTCTCCAAGTCACTGCTGATCGAGAACTCGATTTCGCCATCAAAAATACAAAAGAATTTTGAGGATTGGTGCGCCGGCGCCGATGCCCGCCTCTACCGTTTGGGTTGAGCTGAACATGCACTCCCACACTACCTGCGCTACTTACATGAAGCGCAGATCGCCAAATGGGCTCTCTGGCGTCAGGACATGGACATGGCAGCAGACAAGGCGTGGCGGGAAGCTTACATTGCCAGTCAGGCAGTCATGGCGCTCGAAAACTATACTGTATCCCATCAAGGCAGTTTCGGATCTCTGTTTGGAGATGGAGAGGGCGTTGGTGAAACACCCGACAATGACATTGAAGATGACTGCAGTCTCATCAAGGAGAAGCATAGACGAAACAACCTCGTGCCTGAATTCACTCCTCCTCTCGACATGGCTGCTTCATCGAGGACATCGGCCTCTTTAGAGCCAGATCCAGAGCTAGAGCTCACAGTCAGGTCCCCGTACCACGAAGCCAGGGGTCAACGACCTCTAACCCCTGAACAGATTGGACAGCTATTCATCTCATGGGGAGATGAGGAGGCTGTGACGAATTACCAACATCACAAACTCTTACAAGATTTGGAGCGCGAGGACAGAGACCCTCCCTCGACAAGCTGGGCCGAAAAGCGGGCATCTATAGAGGATTGGTTAGACACGCTTCCCACCCGCTTACCACTGCCATCAACATGGCTATAGAAATACACAGTTGCTTTCCAAAAGCGAGGGTGACCGCGAAGAGACGTTGATTTTAGACGTCTCTGTGGCACTCTTTGGTTTGCAAAAGCAACTGTGCATCGCTATAGTCATACAGTGACGGTATTTGGCACACAGGGAGGAAGGAAAACGGAATAGAAGGTGCATGGATGGAAGAGATTATACACAAGCATTGTAACACTATCGCATAGCATCGTTGATTTTTGGTTTTTGGTTTTGGTTTTTGGTTTAGAAATAGAGCATTAGATCCATTGTACGAACATTGAAGCATACCCTCCAACAAAAAATATTCGAGCGAGAATCCATTATCGCAACTCACAGTGTTTTGATGTTAAAGTGATGGCTTGGTGAGAAGTTCTGCTCTAGCATAAATTCCAGGGGCAAAGGGTTGAAATTGTGTGCGGTCGGAAGGCTGCCTAGAGCAAGACCTCGCTTGTGGGAGAGACATGTTCCACTCCCAAAGCCATGACCTGGGATGGACAAGGTTGATGTTGACAAACCTTTATGCAATACGATAGCTTGAGAGAGTAGAAGTTTCCTGTGTGAGACAACGAAAGTGCTAGAGAACGAGATCAGATTCTCAGACTAACAATTCTCAATGTTTTAGTGCGAGAAGGAAGGAGCGATCTGTTCTTTCTAGCTGCATATGGCTACTACCCTTGGATGCGCTCCTACCTTTCTGATATCTCTCTCAGGTAGACAGATATTCGAGTTGTGATCTCGTTAGACTCTTCCTCGAGACTTTGAGGTAAACAGTAGATCAGAATGCGGGTCGAGAATGGAGGTGGACGAAGTGGGTGGAGGAAGATAAGATCAGAGATTATCTTGATTGGAGAAACAGTACACCAGCAGAAGAGTTGTATCGCGCGATCAGCTTGATATAGTAAAGAAGATTCAGAAGTTGGTGGGTGTCATATGCCGAAGACTCCATTTCGGGAGGTGCTAGATGATTGTTGGTTCACCACGTGAATGAGAGAGTTATCACACCATATGAATGTTAATACGACGTCAAGTTAAGCCAAGCATGTAACCCTCCGCCTGGGTAGCTGAACCGTAGCGGGTCCTTGTGGTCAGCCTGCTATGTTGACAGAAGCTCTGTGCCCAGACAAATTTGAAGCCCAGCAGCTTGAAGGTATGAAGATACAAAGTGTCAGATCATGCCTTACTGTCTATCAAGTCCCCAATATACTGCTCGACTTTCTTCGCAACCAGTTCATTGTGCNNTCTACGCCATGATTAGAAAGCTTCGCGACTGTGCTTAGGACATGACTTACTAATACAGAAACCATGAGGAGTGCCATAGGTATCAATTTCCATGATGGGCTTGTCCTCTTCTCCCACTTTGCCTGTTGCAGCCCTGGCAGCGATGAGCTCATCTCTAGTCTCGTTGGCAACCCAATGGTCATCGGTGCCAAAGTAAAAGTACAGCTTCGTCTTGTTACCGCTCGAGTTCTGTGCCTTTGAGAGACCCCAGAGTTCATCGTCCCAAGCGTCCGTTGTTATGGTTTTCATTTCGTGACCAGCAAGATATCTGGTCCGCATCAGAAGGAAATCCAATCCGAGAGAAGAGACTTGAACTTACAATGCTTGCCTGACACCGCCTCGACTCTTGATGAATGCAGTTGTGGGCTCTGCGGCAGGAGTAGGAAATCCAGTAACAAGACCGACAAGCCTTTGCAGCGCAGAGAAGGGAACCCAGGAGAACAACAAACGTACGACAACGCCTGCAATAATAGCGAAATACGGGATGGCAAAGAACAGNCTACAAAGGCACAAATCAATCGATGCGTGCAGCGGTAGGTGAAAATGAAGATGTAAAAGAAGGTGATTTTCGGCCAATGAGTAAGCATAGTAAGAGTAGAAAACACATACACTGAACTTCTTGCCGCTTGGGCTCTTTGCGATATGAGTGACCGTAGGAAACAGACAGATTCCACCAATGACTTTGGCATCATTGCTCAATTGCTGAGTTGTTGGATTGTGCTTCCGCCGTCTTAAGACCTCGAGCAGAATATACGAGCCCACCGAATGACCCATCAATATAACTTTCGTCGTATAACTGTGTCTTGCATGGCTCTCAATTGCCCTTTCGAGCATCTGGTCTATGTGCTCTATCTGCTTTTCCAAATCATATGGTCCTTCTGCATTGTCACTGACAGCATGTTGATGTTTATCGTCTTGCACCCCGAACCCACGAAGGCTCGTTCCTGCGACTCTGATGCGATGGTCCGAATAGTTGGTTCGAAGGCTATCGAAGCAAAGCGTGAGGAAAGTGCGATAGTATTCTATGAGGCCCGGATTTCCAGTAATGAAGAAGACCAGCAACGATTCGGTGGAAGTGCTCGTGGGACCGACATGTGTGAGGTCAATTGAGTCTTGTAGTGTCATCTTGAAGGGTTGTCGAGGCTCAATAAAAGTGCTCAAAAACCAAGTTGAGCTGGATGCAGTGCAGTAGGCGCGTTGACACGTGCATGGGGGAGGGATAGCCGATGGTGAGGAAGCCCCTATACTCGTCAATCGTCCGAAGCTAGTGATGAATCTAGTAATCGGTACAAATAGTGAAAGTTGATCTCATCACTACAGATATACCACAGAAGATCAGTAAATCACGCGACGATATAAACATTACAGGCAGTCCCAATCACGGGTTTTTCCTGCTACTGTTTAAAGGGCAAGTCTTTGAGGGCGACGGTACCTGTCACTCACAGATAGCGATCGTAGCCGCCGTATCGCATTTTACCTGCGTTTCACCCGCAGTTAGTGAATGTCAGCGCTCGAAGTGGAATTCGTGAAGTAGCACCTGCCTGTTTTGTTTCGGCGGAAGCGCCATCCGGTGTGAATAGGTAGCTTTGGACGGGTTACGACCAGGGGGCGGAAACATATGCCACAACGCCCGACGACGAATCTCTCGAAGCACTCACAACCCACGCCAGAGCGACACGCGCTGCACCACCACAAATCATCAACAAAGCACCACCACCGCCATCCACCGCCATCTCCAAAAATCACAATATCGACACGACCATCAAAATCGCACCTCTAGTTTAATACTGGAGCCCTCTTGATTAATTATTTGCGTTGCGTTGGCGGTTGCGCGAACTTTTCCTTTCCTCTCTCGCTGTTTCCCCCATCCCACTTTTGCGACACGCAAATTTTTCCGGCGAGGACAACTCTTCATTAATCCAACGCCAAGCCTTTTGACTGCATAATTTTCATCCACCACAACTTTGCATGAGAGTATGCAGAGCACTCGTGCCTCCGGTGCACGCTTCAGGCAGAGGAAACTCTCGACCAAGCATCCGCTACAGGTCGTCAAGGAGAATGAAATAGAGACCTTTGCCATCGATGAAGACCCTCAACGCCACATACCTCATGTCGAGACTGGTGTGGAAAAGGCAGAGGAGACCGAACACCATCTCCAGGCTGTCATCTCTGCCTCTGCCGCGGCGTCGCTAGGTGCCAAAGTCAACCAAGTCTTCATTCCTACCCCAGAGACAAAATCAAGTGGTATTCCCTATGATCAGTTGTACCCTCGACAGTTCGCCGAACCTGCTACCTACATTCGCTTCAGCTCGACGGTCGAGGACTGTATCGGACATCAGTACAATATTGACGAAGAAGATGATACTTTCTTGCTGAACTTCAACTCATCCAAGAAGGATGACGAGAAGATCTCCGAGGATTTCTTCGAAGAGCTGATGAGTTTTTTCGAGCTCAAGTCGGACAAGAATCATCCTTTCGCCAACATCTCCAACGCTCCGATTCTGACATTCGAAGAAGCCGAGAGCTACTATGACGACCCAGAAGATGAGACAACCCTTTCTGTAGAAGCTCGGAAATGGGCCAAGGAAGTGTATGAGCACTGGCATTCGAGAAGAGTGCAGAATGGCAATCGCTCGCTTTTATCAAATCTCAAATTCGAAACTGGTGCCGATACTGACGACAATGACGCCTACGTCTGTTTTAGACGTCGCGAAGTCCGACAAGCTCGCAAGACCAGAGGTAGAGACGCTCAGGTGACTGAGAAGCTCAAGAAACTGAGGAGAGAGCTCGAAGATGCCAGGCAACTCCTCATGTCTGTCAATCAGCGCGAGCGATTGATCAAACAGAGGATAGAAACAGAACGCAAGGTGTTCGAACAACGTAGTGAGTTGAAGAAGGTCAAGGTGCAGCAAGGGATCAAAGGTGAAAAGGGAGAAGATGAGGAACTCCTTGTCAACCAGAGAGTAAGTCGTAATCTTCTTACCGTTGTTGTGATCCGTAGGCTGATGTTGAATAGCNCCACTCCCAAGCCCAGACCAGCAAAGGCCGACGGACAAAGACCCACAACATTGCGTCTGCCTGGCACGAGGACAGAAGCAGTTCGCGCAGCTCCGGAGAACGACCTTGTGCAGTTGTCAGACATCCAGGAAGAGGCGGCCGCAGCGGTGCAGCGATCAGTCGAAGAAAAGATTGGCCAGCATCGCAAGTGGAACAAGGATTGGGTCGACAACACCTGGGGACCAATCACACCACCAGCCGAACCTTCTTCAGGGTCTGGGTATCTGCCACGCATTGAGGAGGTTCAATTGCCGACGCCTCCAGCTTCTTTGCGTTCAGAGACATCACAAGATCATGTCAAGGATGTCGAGATGAAAGACGCGGATCTACCTACACCAGTCAGCGCTGCACAAGAACAAGCACCGCGTACCATATTCCGTTTCAACTCGCCACCACCTGAGGCAGGATATGAAAGACCTGCGTACAGGCGACGATATGGTCGCAATGGACGGTTGTACATTGAACAGCGCAAGCCGCGCATGTTTGTCCAAGGCAAAGGTGTGATAGGCGACTCTGACGATGAGAGTGACGGCGAGACGGTCGTGTATCCCATGGATTGCTATGACACACTGGGCATCAGCTATCGCGCTAGCATCCTGGCGCCGCGAAGGGCAGTGGATCCGGCAACCGACCACATGGCGCAACTGAGGCGGACAGGATCCAGCGGCGACGTGGTGATGGCGGGTGGTGGATCGACAGCAGGTCATGGAACCAGTCATGGCCAGGGCGAGGGTGGAAGTTGATGAAGCATTTTTCTGGCGAAAACTTTTTGTGATACCACTTTTTTTCTTCCCTTGACGACTTTTGTATAGTAGATGAGAAACGTCAAGAATTGCTCGGTCTCAGAGACCTTTTTCCTCTCAAAATTGAATCGAGTCCAACGTCGAATGTAGTGATTTCTTCGCTTGTGATGATTCGCTTAGACGAGGCCGAATCCCAATGTTGAGGTAGTGGTGGGGCGTGGCGGTACAGTGTGTGGCATCTGAGGTAAGAAACGGCAAGGACGAAGGAGTGTAGCAAAGTGTCGAGGTTCTTCTTGTCTTCGGATGCTTGGGTCGTGGCGGGCAGTGTGCGATTCAGGCGGTAAGCAGGGCGGCGGTAGTACAAGAAGAGGGGACGAGTACAGGCGCTGGACTCAGGATGAATGCGGACGGGTACGGGAGGAGTGTGTCCTTGTCTACGGCAGCAGAAGGTGAAGAGAAGTGGCGACGAAGAAGACCATGACTGAAGCGGTGCTGCGTAGGTACTGATGAAAGCAGTAATCTGGTTTGGAGAGTGGAGCAGGATTGATGGCAGAAGAAGGAAGATGCAGAAAGGGGTTCAAGGGACGAGTAGAGGTTGGCAGAAGAGAGCAGGGCGACTTGAAGGAGGTAGTGGCAGGAAAAGTGCCTTTGTCTTTTTCTTGAGGTTGGCAGGATAGAGATAGTAATATGCAAGAGCACAAGGGCCAAGGCCAGGGCCTGAAGCGCTTCCACTTTTCCCAATTCGGCTGGCGTCAAAGTCCCTTCGTGCAAGTCCGTTTCTTAACACCGTCCGTCGTTCTTTCCACCTGTTGCAGTATAGTCAGTATGGCCATCGCAATCGGTCTCGAAGGCTCTGCCAACAAGCTCGGCGTCGGTGTCATCCTCCATCCCTCCTCCCAAGCCGACAGCCCTCAGACACAGCAAGCTCCTTCGAAGCACGACAGCCCTCCGGTCCAAATCTTGTCCAACCTGCGTCACACCTATGTCTCGCCTCCAGGCTCTGGTTTCCTGCCCAAGGACACGGCTGCTCACCACCGTCGCTGGGTCGTCCGTCTGGTCAAGCAGGCCATGAAGCAAGCACGCATCCAAGTCGACGACATTGACTGCATCTGCTTCACCAAGGGCCCCGGCATGGGTGCTCCTCTCGGCGCTGTCGCTGTTGCTGCTCGTATGCTCTCCCTCCTCTGGAACAAGCCCCTCGTCGGTGTCAACCACTGTGTCGGCCATATTGAAATGGGCCGTGCCATTACTGGTGCCCAGAACCCCGTCGTCCTTTACGTGTCCGGTGGAAACACTCAGATTATCGCATACAGTGCTCAACGGTACCGTATCTTTGGCGAAGCTCTCGACATTGCTGTCGGCAACTGCCTGGACAGATTTGCAAGAGTTTTGGCTATCAGCAACGATCCTGCTCCTGGTTACAACATTGAACAGATGGCCAAGAAGGGCAAGGTCCTGGTCGAGCTCCCTTACGCTGTCAAGGGCATGGACGTCAGTTTCTCCGGTATCCTCGCGCGTATTGAAGAGCTAGCAAAGAAGCTGGAAGCTGGTCAAAATGGCAAGACCGAAGTATGGAAAGATGACGAGACGGGGCAAGATATTACTCGCGAAGATCTGTGTTTCAGCTTGCAAGAGACTGTCTTTGCTATGCTGGTAGAAATTACTGAACGCGCCATGGCCCACGTTGGTGCAAGTCAGGTCTTGATTGTTGGCGGTGTTGGCTGCAACGTGAGGTTACAAGACATGATGGGTATGATGGCAAGCGAGCGTGGAGGAAGTGTCTTTGCAACTGATGAGCGTTTTTGCATCGACAACGGCATCATGATTGCCCACGCTGGTCTGCTCGCCTACCGCATGGGTCAGACGACAGACATCATGGACAGCAGTTGCACACAGAGGTTCAGGACTGACGAACCCTTGATCAATTGGAGAGACTAAATCTTGTTCTTGTGATACGGGAAGGAATGGCCAAAGCTGCTATCCACCTGTGTTTCCTTCTCATCACCTCTCATCTGGTAGCCCTGTCCGCAATCGATCCCGACCCTGTGGCAAGCTTGCGTAGACTCTTCAATCATCATCAGAGTCCTCGGTCTTGACAGTCTTCTTGGCAGCTGAAGACTTGTTTCTCTTGCTGATGAGGGTTCTGCCCTCATCATCAGAGTCGTCATCCGAGTCCTTCTTGGCGCGCTTCTTTGAAGGAGTAGCGGTGGTAGCGGCCTTCTTGCCTTTGGGTGCGGCCTTGGGCTTGACAGGAGTGTCTGTGTTGCTTGTGGTCAGATACGTGGCCAAAACGTGTCAAAAACACAAACTTACTGGGAGCGGTAGGGAGTGAGCCACCGTCAACATCACTAAAGAGCTTCTTCTTGATGACACCTNNGAAACGGGAGCAACGTCAGCATGATCCGCGCAAGCATGGACAGTGGGCGCTCTATGACTTACCCCAAGTGTTGGAAGCAGTCTTGAGGGTGTTGAAGTTTGCAGCCTTCTGCAACTTCTCCATATCGATCNNTGGACTTGTCAGATCAGTGTGCGCAAGATATGATGGGTGGGCTCTTACTTCGAGAGGACCGGATTTCAGGCAGCGCCAGGCAGCCTTCAGGACCATTTCTTCCTTGTCAGTGAAGATGATGGCCTTCTTCTCACCCTTCGTGGGNGATTCGCCCTCGTTGTCAGACATGATGAATGTGTTGGAAGAACGATAAGATCTTGGGTGGGTGGGCTGTGTGTGATGAAAGAGGAAGAAGAATCCGTCGAGGTCTTGTCGTGATTTATAGACCAATCCTCACGTTCGTTGTGCCCGACAACACGACCTGCTTAGTCGTCGCTTTCGTCTGTGTTGATTCTTTCACTTTCCGCCAGACTTGCTTCCTTCTCTGTGGTCTGTCTACCTGATCATTTATCATCGCCTCTCGTTCTTCTTCCTCGACTGGGTTCCACTCCAGGCGAGGCATTGTCCATCAACATGGTTTCGCTCTCGTTCAGTGATGGTGTTTGGTGAACACCCTTCAACTCGGCCAATACCACACATCTTCCCATCCGTGAGTCTTGTCCACCATTGGTCGTAAGTCTCTATGTACCTCGAGAAGTCAGGAACCTTTTGGATGAAAGTTGCTGGAAGCTGCGATTACAACTGAAGTGACTCTGACGCAGAGCTGACCTTGACGGCGATCTTCCCTAGTACAATAGCATCTATCGAGCAGTCACCGCTGTCCTAAGTGAGTCGATCATACCGAGTTGGCAAGCATACATACACTGCCTACTTCAACTCCACCTCTCCCTTTCTCAAGCACCACTCCTTAGAAGGTGACCTCCAACCAGGACTACCTTCTCTCTCACAACCCATCTCCGATCTACATCATCCACAAATCACATTGATCTCAGCACCTCACCTCAACAACTCTTCCTTACCTCGTATGTTCTCCGACATGTCATCAGTCAACCACGATCAATACTGACAGATCGTCTCACCAGAACTAACCNNATGCGTAAGACACGCCTCCAGACCAAGAAGCGCGCCGAGATTCGCAAACAAGTCACCCAAAACATCAAGGACAAGGGCAACAAATCTGACAACCCGACCATCAAGAGCGCTGAAAATCCAACTACCGCAATGGTGAACAAGACTGCTCAAGATCCCTCCAAAGAGTATGTCCCTACTGGAGTGTTCCCTCTGCTCAGCCTGCCCGTCGAGCTCCAGACCATGGTCTTTGAGTATGTCGTTGCCGCTCCAGATGAGCAAATCATCATGCTCGAAAACGCCAAAACTCCTGCACTCGCCCGTGTCAACAGATACCTGCGCAAGAGTGTCCTACCCATCTTCCTCGGCGTCAACACTTTCCGCGTCTTTACTGAAGAAGCTCCCATTGCTGAGAGCAGTCAGGCAAAGGAAGCCAAATTCCAGATCCAGAACTCGACTATGGAATGGTTGNAGCCCCTGGGCTACCAGACACCTCTCTTCAAGAGCCTGATTGTCCATTTCGGTGTGAAGAACGAGACCGAGCTTGTGCTGCAGTACTCGCGCAAGGCTGGCAGCAAGACCGGCGGCTTGACGGCCAAACACGAACGCGAATGCCGCTACTGCTACAACCTTGGTGAGGGCTTTCCCCACCTCCCTCGCGCCCTCCTAGAGAGCATGCCGATCAACCTGAACCTACGCCACTACATTGAAGAAGCCGAAGAGCGCAACACCATCGTCGGTGGGGAGCATGAAATCGCGCTTGCCGATCTCGAAGCCGACGTGTTCAGCAAGACGACTGGTCTCAAAAGGGATGCATTGGGCATCAGCATGGTCAACATCATGGGTATCGAGCGTGCGATCAACAGGGGCTTGATGACCTTTGCCATGGCTGTTCATTCCGTCAACATGAAGCGCCTTAAGGACACTCCTTGCGTCATCTTGTTCTCGGGCAACAACTACGTGCTGCGCAGAGACATAGGCATCTGAAGCATTCAAAACACCTAAGGAGCGAAAGATGGAGAGCCTGACATGGACCAAGATAACAAGGCTGGATTTGATTTCGTGGGTTCCAACAGAATCTCACTCGGGAAGGAACAGGCTTTGGGATAGGGATTGATGATGCAGACGCGGACACTCTTTTTGACTTGTTTCTTTTGAGCATCTACCATGCAATCTCATTCTCGGGAGGAACTCTTCTGATTCTATCTAGTATGCAGCAATGGAATCGGCACTGTCTTTAGCCAAGCACCAGATCTGGCCCTTGAATGAACCATAAGGCAGTGCATTGGCCGTGAGGATACACAGTAGATTGAGGAAACTTGTTAGGGCTCCAGTAAGGCTGACAAGACTCGGGGCTCTCATCGGAGCTTGGTGTGAATTAGTAGATGATTGTGCGATTTATCAAACATTCTACAGCGAGAGGTAAAGATGAGATCAAAACAAGGCAGGTAGAGCCGGAAGTGGGTGCCTGAGGAAGCAAAGGCCAAGCGACAACTACGTCAAGGCCGCAATCGACAAAACTTCCAGATCGCAACCATCCACCTTCTCTGCTCACAACCAAGTCGCGCAATATCATGGCCTCCCTCTCCTTCTCTCTAGGTGGCCCCTCTACAAAATCTACCCAGCGACGCTCTCCGCCACCCACCAAAAGAACGAACGGCACGAAACGCGACCATGCCGCGCTGCTCGACGATGCAAGCGACGACGAAGATGCCAGCCATGCGAAACGACAGACCATTACACACTTCGACACTACAGCCGGAGGCGCTGTAAACGCCAAGGCACCCAAGAAGGAAGAAAGAAAGCCACTGGTCATCTCAGCACTCGCAAACAGGGACTGGAGGGAAGCATCCAAACGACAACGAGCCCAGAAATACGGCATCACCACTGAACAACTGGACGCGCGGAAAGAGTCGGCCCAAAATGCTGAAGGAGCGGACAAAGTGGTGAAAGAGACGGACGCTGTCAAATATGGATTGAACGTCTTTGCGCCCACCGTTGCTGCATCTGCAGAGGATACCCAGCAAGAAGGGGAACCAGAATACCGAGGGGACGACAAGCCAGAGCTGCAAAAAACAGCAGATCAACTCGCCATCGATGCTCTCACGGGCGCTGCACCCACATCCACTCTCACCATCCCCACCTCGGCTGTAACAGAAGAAGACGCCTTCAACGACTCCTACCACACCGCACCCCCAGCACCCTCACTATCCGACTACGCCGCCGTTCCCGTAGAAGAGTATGGCGCAGCAATGTTACGCGGCATGGGCTGGAAAGGCCCCTCCTCCACTCCCTCCGCCCCAACTAAAAATGGCAAAAAGGTCTCCCACCAGCGAAAAGACCCGCCTTGCTAGGTATCGGCGCCGACCCCAATGCAGCAGCACAAGCAGAAGAACTAGGTGCTTGGGGCAAATCTTCTTCCAGAGGAAGGAAAGAACCTACCATGTTCGTGCCTGTTTCCATGAAGAACAAAAAAACAGGCGAAACCTTGACAGAAGAAGAACTCAAAGAGAAAATCCGCAGAGACAAGGAAGAAGCAGAGAACCAGCGATTCTTAGTCAGCGATCTGGAAATCAGGGACAAGAAAAGTGGGAGCAAAAGAGACGACGACAAAAGGAGAGAAGATGACTACTCAGACGATGAGGAAAGAAGGCGACGAAGAAGAGGAGATAGAGAAAGAGATTACGACCGTCACGACCACAAGTCCAGAGACTATGATCGCAAGGATAAAAGAGATAGATCACGCGACCGCGAGAGCAGAAGAGATCGTTCTCGCGACCATTACGACAAAAAGTCATCAAGTCGAAGAGACCGTTCTCGGTCTCGTGACCGCGAGTACGAGAGAAGAGATAGAGGAGACAGAGATTCTGGGAGAAGAGATCGCTATGAAGACAGTTCAAAGTCTTCGAGTCGGAGGGACAGAGATAGGGATTATCATCGCTCTTCTCGTCGATAGATGTAAATCGAAAGGAGTTCCAACACCATCGACATCAGCATGCAACACAATGCAAAACTTTCAGTACTCAGACACAAATCCAAGTCTCATATTGAAAGAGTGCACACACAAGGAGTAGTGATATGACTATATTCAAATTCCAACACTGCACACTCGAGTATAACAACGGCAAGTCAAATGCCAGCGAAGCCAGCAAGTTTAAGCACAAGTTCTGCAGCGCCATTCTTGCTCTTTCTGAGCCCTTCAGCTTGAACACCACTATCCGCAATTGGAAGGATTCTAGTGCCATACCGGAGCTCGCTTACAGAGCTCTGTTGGAGTAGACTGCTCTAGCACTCACCGAACACGGCCGTGACGCTGTGACTGGGTCGACGACGTGACTTGTTCAGCACTTGTCTTTCGTAGCGTCGAGCAGTGCTGACGATCTTACGAAGACAACGATCAAAGCATCAAAAAGCGGCTGCGGTCTTGTGAGAGTGCTTCATCTGGCATTTTTTCTCAGCCGGGTCGTTGGCATGAGCTTGCAAACATATGTCTCGCCATTTCGAGCAGTGCTGATGATTCTACGCAGATTGCAGTCAGTACACTATTAATCAGAGACACAGTGGGGAACTGGTGTTCGATAGATTGTCAACTGAGTAGTGTTGTTTCCCAGTGTGTCATACAAAGACGTCGAGCATCGTGAGAGACTTCCAGTAGTTGTCTTTAGCACCTTTTAGAAAGAAAGATGTCGTTACTGGTAAGTCTTTGTTCTGTCCGGCTTCATTGACTAAGTAGCTACACTTTTGCGTACACTACTTTATGCTTACTATCGTGCTTCTGTTCAAACTCCTTACTATCGTGCTTCTGTTCAAACTCCTTACACTCTACTAAATCTTGTTTCTGGAGTCTCGCACGACTTTCAAGGCATACGTCGATCGGAATATCGTCTCGACTTGAACGTGCGTACTTGATGTGAGGATCCGTCTACTGAGTTCAAAGTTGGATGTTTGCGAGAGCAGTGGTTCTTTTTGTTTTCGGTGTTTGGTAGACGTCGTTCAGCCCGCTTGAGACGAGTGTTCACGTAGAACTACAGGCTGATATTGGGTGAGCAGGCCGAAAAGATCGAGTGGCTTCGTAACTCATGATCAATACAGACTATCGAATCTCAACGCCAGGCTTCTTACCGACATCCCTACCCTCATCTCCCTCATACCTCAGATCTTCGCCGAAGCTCTTAGCCCTATCAGTCGTATGCGTGATGTCCTCCAAGCTTCTTCCTCTGGTCTCATCCAGCCAGAACCAAGCCCCTCCCGCGATTACAAGGTCAGCGATGCCCCAGAACAAAAACGTGCCCCACCCCATGTTTTTGATCATGTACGGTGTGCTAAATGAGTAAACAAAGTTCCAGAGCCATTGTGAGGAGACAGCAATGCCGATACCAGGCTCTCTGATGCGTGTGGGAAATATCTCGGACACGTAAGGCCACGGCAACGGTCCCCAGGAAAAATTGTATGCTATAACAAACAAATAGATGAGCGCCACAGTGGCTATGCCAGAAGATGTGACTGTGGCGTCACCAGGTGGTGGCTTAGATCTGACAACAGCGGCGGTGGAAATCTGGCAGGCGGCCATGACTAGTGCTCCGAGTGTAAGGACGATCTTGCGGTTTACTCTCTCGGCAACGAAGACGACGAAAGTGAGGCAAGCGGCGACCTTGATGGCGCCGAAAATAGCGGTGAGTAGGAGGTCATTATTACCTTTGCTTCCTACCAAGAGCTTAAAGTATTGCGGTCCATATGTTGCGAAGGCAGTCGCGCCTGTAGATTGTTGTGCAATGAATACAACAGCGGCAGTAACAGTACGCTTCAGATTATCAGGCTTGGTGTAGAGTTCGCTGAGCTGGAAGCCTTCTTTCTCGCGTAGCTCTGTTTCCACCCCGAGGCGGATCTCGTCCATTTCAAGTTGAGCGTCGGGTCCGCTGTCTGCTCTAATCCATTGCAAAGACTCCCAGGCTTCCTTGTGACGGCCTTTGAGAGTCAGCCAGCGGACGGACTCCTTTAGAGTGAACATCCCAAGACCGAGGAGAGCGGCGGGAAGTATCTGAATGCCGATGGGGATCTGCCATTGTTTTGATTCGCTTGTCGAGATGCCTTTGCCTACACCGTAGTCGATCCAGTACGAGGTGAAGATGCCTGTTGTCCCAGAGGGTCAGAGGTGGTTGCGCATCACCGAAGCCAAGCCATCTGCTTACCAAAGNGTATAGAAGAGTTGGTAGAAGCTACCAATCTGACCACGCAGCTGCTTCGGGGCCATCTCGCTCGAGAACATAGGCACGACAACACTGCTGCCGCCTAAACCAATGCCAGCGATAAATCGAGCGGCCAGGAAGGCACTGAAGGAATGTGTGTTTATGGTTTGAATGATGGCTCCGATGACAAAGATGGTCGAACACAGGACTAGCGCCCATCTGCGGCCATATCGATGCGTGATGGGCCAGATAGCAAAACATGCGAGGAAAGCGCCCAGTTGTTGGAGGCCGACAGACAAGGAGCTGTTCCGAGTTGCTTGCTTNTTGGTATAATTAAAGTCGTTCTCGAAGGATGCAAGAGTCAATACACCTCCAATAATTCCTGAGTCGTATCCGAAAAGAAACCCACCCGAGCACACGACACAGCCGAGCCAGTATGCTCTGAAGGTGCCTGCTCGCGTCATGTTGGACTCGCGACGAACAATCTGTTCGGTGATGTCTGAAGATGAGCGAGACAGCAAAGCGATCTCAGGACCCACGGAACCGGAATCGTCGTCCATTTAATAGAGCCTGGAATGCAAACAGTCCAGAAGGATCGCAAGTCACGCGGAGAATGAGCATGAGATGGATAAGCATGCAGCAGTCGGCAGGAGGACAATGGCCTGACGGCCTGCCGTGGTACACGGCCGCACCTCCCTTTCTCACAACCACGTTCAGAGGCTCTGCTCCAGTAACAAGGCATTGAGGTCGCTCGTCGGCGCTTGCGGTCGATTGATTGGATGCTGTTGATGCGCCTTGGCATGTGACGTTTTGTCGATCAGCATGTCGCGAACTCCTGGGTGGATGGTGTGCTTGAGGGGTTGCAGTCTGCCTTCCCAGACAACGATAACGTCTCTCACGCACGACCTAAGCCTCTCACAACACTGAAATATATGGTGAATGTCTGTTGTTCATCACGGACTAGAGTGTCTGAACGCGAGAAGTCATCAGATCTTGGAGCTGGTTGGAGCTCGCGCTGAACCTGCCCCATGATTGCAACTGCCATTTCGGGCATGGTCGTCTAGCTAATATTCCTACATGCTAAAGCGACGCATCGTTGCTACTTTCTTCAACACGCATCAGCGATAGATCTCGATAGTCCCGATGTTCTGCTATAGATTAAATTCGCTCCCGCCCGACCGCTTGGTATTCTTGCGAAGCGGATCGTGTCAGCGGCTATGCGTATTCTCAGCGGCTATTCTAATCAGGATGAGGCGCGATAAAGTATTGTCGAACAGGTGACTGAAAATGATCGATTGCGAAGTGCTGAAACAAACCGAGTTAGATGAGTAGATGCACTCTGTGCCGCTCAAGGTGTTGGACCACTTCTATGCAGAACCCGCCGCTTAAGTATTAACACTGTGTTAGTGGCGCCGAAATGTAAGGCGCGATCGTGTTGAACTTTAGCCTAGACCAGGCTCGACGCGACTCACAATATGATGATGCACTTTATATTGACTCGAGAACATACCTATGGCGAGACTTAGGAGACCTTTCTTAAGGGGTATTGCGCTCAAGTTAGCACTTGCCCTCTGTACAATCATAACTTTCACCATTCTGGGCCCGCTTCGGAATGTCCATCCGCGAGATTTTCGAATTGGTATGANNTCTCCAACCGTCAAAATACTACTCTTGGTCGGAGCGATGCGAACTGATTCAAACAAAACAAGATACAAGTCGTCCATCACTAGTCCAGACAGCCAGAAAAAAGCAGTGGCAGCAGCCTTCCAGCACGCTTGGGATGGATGTTCCAAACATCGTTCCGGCCACGACACATTACATCCCGTAACCAACACCTGCGAGGACGACTTTGGTGGTTATGGCGCCACAGCCATCGATTCTTTACCGACCGCAATCATCTTCGGAAACGCAAACGTGACCATTCAGATTCTGGATCTCATCGCTGGTCTAAATTTCATGGTAGTTAAGGGAGGTAGCCGCATCCAGGTTTTCGAAGTCACTATTCGACATCTCGCCGCTATGATTTCGGCCTAGGACTTACTCAACGGTCCATTTTCTCACATGGCCAAAGACTCAGGTCTACGGCACGCGCTTTACATTCAAATGACCACATTAGGCGATACACTCAGCTGTGCTTTCGACAGTCCGAGTGGCGTCCCTCGTGAATGGGTCGATGCGGCGTTATGTCAGTCAGACAAGAGGACTCAGAATACTATAGCTGGTGCTGGAACTATGATACTTGAGTTCGCAAGAATGTCAGATATCACCGGCAATCAGACCTACGCGAATCTGGCGCAAGTAGCCGAAGACCACANNGCTAGCATCGAACCGTATGCGGGGCTTCTCGGTTCTTTTACCAGTGTAGAGACTGGAGAAAATATAGGCTCCTAGGGTAGCTAGGGTGCACTTGCAGCTTTCTATGAATACCTGATTAAAGCATACCTATATAACAGCGATCTCTACGAGTTCTATCTAGAGCGATAGCTAGTCGCAGCAGACTCGACAATACGTTCAATCGGATCACACCCTTATGGGCATCCGAAGTGGACATTGTTGCCATCCTAAAACGGAGGAAATCTGCAGAATTCGGTGGAATCACTATCCTGGTTCGCCGGTAGAGACTTCGTTCTTAGAGGAATGGTTACAGACAACTAGACTCTCGTAGACTACGGCCTCTCGATCGCCAGTGCGGCAGGCGCTATATATAACTTAACCAAGACTGATTTGGGAGGAGAATTCGTGACTTAGGATACCACCTGCGAGGCCAGTGGGAGTAATCCTTGCGATTCGAACGACTCTATCCGAATCTCCGATGGGAGGTTTCGTCTACGACCTAAAGTTCTGGAGACGTGGTACTATGCTTGTCGAGCTAAAAAAGATGAGAAGTACAGAGACTGGTTATGGGCTGCCTTTGAAGCCATTAACCACTATTGTCGAACAGAGACCGGTTTTAGCTTAACCACTAACGTGGATGCTCTAGAAGGGGGCAGTAAGGGTGACGTCTAAGAGAGTTTTGTGTTTGCCGAGGTGATGAAATATGTATATCTCGCACATTCGGAGGTAAGATTTTCCAATGCTCAGTTATGTCTCAACTGCTGATTGGTTNTGCAGGATGCCCCGTACCATGTTCAGGACAGCCGGACTGGTATCAAGGATACATGGGTCTTCAATACAGAAGCACACCCGTTACGTGTTGCAGGTCCGCCACGATAGAGACAAGATGTTGTATGAACCCGACTAAACCGGTTTGAACGGTAGTAAAATCCTCGCTGCACCAAACCCGATGTCCATGTTGTGACAAGCACTTACCGAATTGGCGACTTGTTGTTCTGTTCTCATAATGATGGACGAGACCTGTTCGATGAGGCATCGAGGTGCATGTATTCAAGAAACCTTGATCCTCGTTTTACTGAATCAATGCTGGGCGGATAACCCTGACTTCAATTATGGTCCGTACTGACGATGTCATCATCTGTACGACTTGGTCCAGAATTGACCACAGCTGTTATGTCCTATCGTCCGTCAAGTGTACGAAGGCTTAAGAAGTGATGGTAGTATAGACGCGATGCGGTGAACAGAGTAGAGTCACTATCATCCCAACAGCAGGAACCGTGAGACCATTATCAAACACAGCTCCACCTCTGTTATTTCGTCAATAAAGCATGCACAATGATTGGAACTCACTGACGAGACATGCGCATTCATCAAAGCAAGATATGTGGATATCATCGAAAGGTAGACACTCGGTACGGACAAGACATGGAGTATTGGGTCCGCGATGGATGTGTTGTCGTCGATAACAATATATTGCGAAAAGCATTCGAATGGGTGGGTTGCTACTCTAAAATTAGGCCGGCCGCCTGGTTGAGAATTTAGAATAGCATGCGGCAAGCTTGCATGTCACACGGTGCATCGCATGAGATTTTCGCGAGTCGAAGCAGGCCACGGTCTTGCCGAACTTGGTGAACAAACACTTGACAGCTGAGCAGAAACCGCATGAAGTCTACTCGGCGGAGGCGCCGCTCGCCATCATGGTGCAAATTGCAATCCGATATTACCTAGCTGGCTGAAGATTTGCGAACGCAATGCGGAAATGACGTGCAAGCCTCGGGCGTCTATTTTCTGATCTCTTGTCACCATGTTCCTTTCCACCCTTGCAAATCTTGAAGGCTGCAACAAGCTCAAGTCTCGATGCAGGTCCGAGTCGACCGAGGTCCCAGAGCGGCAGCCGGCCAAAGCTTAGGAAAGAGACATGGTTTTGACGGCCGGTTCCTGGCGCGGATCGTATCACCTAGTCGCATCCTCACCCGAAAAAACATCACGCTATTGGATATCCCTAGCCCGATTTGATCTCTCAACCCAGCACTACACGGTCCTTGGTTATTGCCAGATATGCTCCGGATGTGGAGTTGGTAGCTGGCAGATCATGTTTACCACGCGAGCGGCGTGGACGGCTCACTCTTCGCCACACGGAAATGGCGCGAGTAGGCTGGTTTTCTGTGAGACCGACCGTAGGGGCTCGGCTACTGGTTCAGTTTGCGCCGTTGCACCTGGCCCGGGGTCTCAACGTTATGGTGTTTCTTCTTCAGCTTCCATTGTAGCGTAACGTCTCCGTGGAAGAACTAGACTGTATGCGCTTCTATATCGGTTGGTGCTTGGCTTACTTGAGCCCAAACGGTCCTGCTCGGTGATCCTTTGCTCAAAAACCCCAGGTCTGCCGTCAGTACGAACGTTCTCTCGTCCCTACTAATTTTCTTGCCTTGTCTGTTCTCAATCCTCCTTCCACTCTTTCATATCCGGTGGTAGCAGTATTAGGCACAAGCCAATCTACGTTATCCTATTCCATATTCTAGTCCTTCGCCATGGACGACCGCAACAATGGCACTGCCGCCTCGTCGGCCAATGCAACCNCCTACCTCAGACCTGGTACTCCCGAGAGTGAGGCCATCACTCCTGTTGCCAGAGCAAACCCCTTCGCAACCCNNCCCTATGGCTCGATGCCCGTCTCGGCAGCAGGCTCCTCCACAGCTCTGCAGCAGCCCCAGCAGAGATACTTCCACTCTAGACGTGTGAAGAAGGGCGAAGTCGAGAAGCCTTGGCTCGAGAAGAAGGACCCCAAGGAGAAGTGGGTGACCATCATTCCCTGCATCGGTATCGCCATTGGTATCGCTCTTACTGGTTTCCTCATCTACGACGGTCTGGCCAGTGTCACCAACTACAGCTACTGCCCCGTCTTCGCCGACGACTTCTCCAATGGTCTCAACAGCAAGATTTGGCAAAAGGAGGTTGAGTGCGGCGGCTTTGGCAACGGACAATTCGAAATCACCACCAACACCGACGAGAACGCCTTCGTCCAGGACGGCATGCTCCACATCAAGCCTACTCTGCAAGACGCCAAGCTCGTCGAGCAAAACAATGTCATCAACCTCCTCGCTGACGGCTCCTGCTCGTCTGACGTCTGGTCCAACTGCATCACTGGCACCAACGTCACCAACGGTACTATTGTCAACCCCGTCAAGTCTGCTCGTATCAGCACCAAGAACGGTGCTTCCATCAAGTTCGGTCGTATCGAGGTCGAGGCCAAGCTCCCTGCTGGTGACTGGCTGTGGCCCGCCATCTGGATGCTTCCCAAGGATGATGTTTACGGTGCATGGCCTCGCTCTGGTGAAATCGATATTATGGAGTCTCGCGGAAACAACCACACCTATTCTCAGGGCGGTAACAACGTCATGAGCAGCACTCTCCACTGGGGACCCAATACTGCCAACGATGGTTGGTGGCTCAACAACAACAAGCACGCCGCCCTTCACACCACCTACTCTGCCGGTTTCCACACTTTCGGCCTCGAATGGTCTGAGAAGTACATATTCACCTATGTCGACTCTCGTCTTCTCCAGGTCATGTACGTCAACTTTGACAAGCCTTTTTGGCAGAAGGGTAGATTCCCTGTCAGCGACAGCAACGGTACCGCTCTCGTGAACCCCTGGGCTGCCACCGGCAAGGACGACACTCCCTTCGACCAGGACTTCTACCTCATTCTCAATGTCGCTGTCGGCGGTACCAACGGCTGGTTCCAGGATGGTGCTTCTGGCAAGCCCTGGACTGACGGCAGTGGCCTCGCCAGAAAGGAGTTCTGGGATGCTCGTGACCAGTGGTACCCCACCTGGGAGAAGAACGGCGAGATGGTCGTCAAGAGTGTCAAGATGTGGCAGCAGAAGGGCTACAACGGTTGCAACTAGACTGTATAATCTTTTGGTCTTATAGCGATTTGTTTTCTTTTTGATATCTTGGGATTGCGATACCTCGGAGTTATGTCCGGGTTCACTACAAAGAGTGACGACACGATTTTCTTTTTCAGAACATAGACAAGAATCACATTGTAATTTCTACAGACTACATTCGCAACAGTTGTGATCTTGTCTACACTCTCCTCACAGTATACCAGCCATCTATCGTCTTCATGACCTCTACCCCGGTGAACTCGTTTGATAGAATCGTCTAGATAGGATCCGTCAACGTTTATTGCATATTGACTGCCGAGTTTGGTCGGCAAGACTGGGACATAAACGTCGAAGGTCCTCAACTGTCACAACGACACCAAACGGGCAGTGAATCTCGGAGTGTACGAGAGTTTGTGCCCTGATACCGCCAGCGATAAGCAACGTCTTCTTGCAAACTTCTTGCAAAAACGTGACAAGACGCGGCGAGGCTGGTGAACCATTCGGTGGAAGAGTCAGGATCTCAGACTCGGTCAAACGAGGGTCCGTCACAACCGTCCGGCAGTGAGGGGTCAGGGTTGGTGGTGAAACCCGTGACGTTGGGATGATGGGCATACTAGTCTCACAGCAATTGTCTCAACTTATTACAGTTCAGGTGTGGTTTCAATTCCTCTTACAAAAAGAGCTTCCTCTAGGCTCTGGCTTTGAGCCACTCGCGCAACAAGTTCTACACGGCCTCGGTGTCACCCACCGAATGACAAAGCTTCTTCGGCAAGCCACAACCTCTTCACACATGGTCAGGGTTCTGGTGAATGGCAGCTGAGAGCGTGCCCCTTTAAGGCACATCAGCTACAGCTGCCTGTTATCAACGCTAAGGTTAGAGTGCTGGGCTGTGCTGGCAGCCAGCGTTCAGCCTCGTGTAAAGATAACGGCGAGATAGTCGTTGTTGCGTGGGATGATCTGCACGTTCAGTTCAGGCCGAGAATCTGGAGACGTGTTGCGAAATCTGAAGATCATTACAAAGCCCTCGGGGGATCTGCTTGAGAGAAACTTGCACCATAGAAGCACTGACCTGACATGGTTCTTTGTACATTGTATTGGTATTGAAAGTGTATGCAAGGAGTGGTGGAGTCATGAGGTGAAGCACCTCAACCATGCTATTTCTGCCCATGCACGATTTCATTGAGAGAAGATATTTTTCCAGCGAGTGCAGAAAACAAGGATGGACTGCAGCGTAGGAGCGCTTGGCACATCAAGATATGTTAACCGAGCGGACCCGCCGCGGGTGCGAGCCGCCTGGCGAAAAACCTACAGCGACGGCAAGTGATATGGACTTGCAAGCTTTTCCACCATCTCGGATCGAAGTCAAGGAACGACAGCAGCGGAGTAGCCAAAGTGGTAGATCTGGAAGCCTGACGCACCAGAGTTCGATTGCAAATAAATGAAAGCTGAAGATCCAAGACGCAATCTCCTCCAGCGAGATTCGTCCTTGCTCAAGCCGTCACTGAGCGGCACGATGGTTTTCTGGACGGAGGGACTGAGCGGCTCACCAAGCTATATCAGCAGCTAAAGAGGAAGAGTTTGCAAAAATCAAGGTATGTTATTAGAGTTGTATGCACGTTGAAGGAGGCTAGAGTGGTGGCAGGATGTCTGCAGCAGCAGCAGCAGCGGACAGGTGAGTTGAGGTTGAGGTCACAGCCGAACCTTGCTCGGGACTTGGCGACCGGATTTAGCAACGGCTCGATGCAGTAGCGCTCGTGCTTCCGCTCGCCATCCGCGAGTCTCTTTCTAAGTTTCTTACGGCCGCCCGTTGAGTTTTCCAATAATCGTAAAAATCCAAAAAGTCATCAGAGACATTTCTGCGCTTCCAGAATACTTGCCACGCATCTTCGGTGCCAAGTGTAGAACGATATGTCTCGCGCCTCCACGCCCATAATCCGAAAGGTTCTGGACGCGGAAAATGGTTGATCAAAGACGCGCTGGAGGATATCAGACGGGCGAATCCTTCTGCTGCAAGGTACTCGTACCCAGGTTCCGGAGTACGTACTATTACGTAGCGAGCGTACCTTGCAGCATGACAGAACCTTGCCAAAAACAACATCCGATATCTAAAGAAAGGACATGTTGCATGCGACACCGGGTACCTGCAAAAGATATTGTACTGTAACAATGAGATATCGTCCGCGGTCAGCAACGACAACATGGATGACGATAGTATAGCAATACATTGTCGGTCATCGTGACCTTATACATAGGGTACTGCACACCATTTCCCACTACGGTAACGGATATTGGCGCGCCTGCCCATTTCGGCCGTCGAGTCGAGTTAGTGCTCGCTACGCTCAGACCTAGACATGGCTTCTCCAGCACGAGGTCGATCATCGCATTCACTTGTCTCAGTTGCCGTTTCTTGACTCGACGCCGTTCGATAAGCGCGCTGCCAACTCATATCCGGATCCAGCCCAAGGGCCCTCACCTTGGAGCTAACCGAAGCCACAGCGTGCCCGTTGAGTGTTCGATGCCAGGCCCGCATCTCAGATCAAACCGCGCCGTGTCTCCCACGGTCCCACGGCGTACCCGCCGCCAGTGTGTTCTGCGCCAGAATAGCATTTGGACCGAATACAGTAGTGCACTACCGTTTCCGTCAGCGTTCAACGTCTTTCAGCTTTATCATGTATCCAGTCTGCCGGTCGAGATCTGGTCGTGCCTTTCATATACACCAGCTTTTCCTCCTAGCTCTTTCCTTCTCTTCCTCATTCCCTCATTAATCCTCTACCACTACTCGCTATATATATCGAACAGTCTCTTAGGAGAAACAACGATCCCTCCTCCCCGGATCTACACTCTAGTATACCGCCTGACATTCGTTTTCACCAAGGTCTATCATAGGCCATAACCCATCATGGGTCTCAAGAACTACTTCAAGGCTGGCAAGGACGCCGAGAAGAAGTCCGAAGCTCCTGCCAACGAGATGAGCGAAATCTCAGAGAAGCCTCTCGCCCCTCCTACACCAGCATTCGCCAGCCAGACACCTTCAGGCCTGTCAACACCCAGAAATGGTCTCNTCTCCTCTGGTGCATCAATTGCACCCTCATCGAGGTCAGGTTTCATGGACGACATCAAGCACGAAGTCATGGTCAACTACCTCTTCCAACAACAATGTGCCAGACTATGGGTTGGCGACGGTAGCGGCGAGGTCGAGGGTGTTCTCTTGAGAAAGTTCAAGGGAAGCTACCTGGCCTGCCCACCTTCCCTCAGCACATCCACCTTCGCCATGGCATGTGCAGCACTCAATGTGCCGGTAAGCAATCCTCAATTCTCATCATCAGATCCAATCTAATCATCACCCAGTNGCGCCATGACTGTCAATTCCCGTATCATCAAGACTTTCCTTGCCTGGTCACCGGATGCCGTCGACGTGCCGCTCATGAACGGCCTCAGAGTCCAGATTCTTCCGACCATGGAGGACCTCCCCAGAGCACGCAAGCATCAGTTCGCCGCCTTCATTGCCTCCGAGGCACTTCTTGTCGTCTGGGATGATGACGCCAACAACCTCGTCAACCGCGCCAAGTTGATCGAGGGCGAGCTCATGGAGCTCGTCTGGAAGACTGGTGAGCCCGAGGAGGTCACCGACGAGCCCGTGGCCAAGAAGGGCCCTGGTGTTGTCGAGGAGGAGATTGATGAGGAGAGTGGTGAGGTTCTGCCCGAGAACCGCCCTACACATCTCATGAACACTGTCCTCGTCTCCATCACCCTCATCATCATCATCACTCTTCTCGGAGCCGGTTACCGACAACTGGCCATTGAAGTCAAGATCGATGGTAGCTACACTCGCATCGCCTTCGTCGCCCTTTCTCCCGTCCAAATCTTCTTCACCCTCTTCTTCGCCCAGGTCATTGTTGGTTGTATCGCCCAGATGATTGGTCCCGTTCGCCAAATGACCCAGAACTCTCGCTTCTACTCTGCTCTGCTCNCCCGTCGCATCCAGGGTCGCAACCTTCCTCACGTCACCATCCAGTGCCCCGTTTACAAGGAGGGTCTCGCATCCGTCATTGCTCCTACCGTCAAGTCCATCAAGCAGGCCATCTCGACCTACGAACTTCAGGGTGGTTCCGCCAACATCTTCATCAACGATGACGGTCTTCAGCTCCTCGATGAGGNNGAGGAGCGTGAGGCCAGAATCGAGTTCTACGCCGACAACAGCATCGGTTGGACTGCCCGTCCCAAGCACGGTTCTGAGGGTTTCGTTCGTCGCGGAAAGTTCAAGAAGGCTTCCAACATGAACTTCGGTCTCATGATTTCTTGCAACGTCGAGGAGAAGCTTCTCCAAATCAACCGCGGTAACGACTGGACCCAGGCCGATGAGGCTCAAGCCTACGAGCGCTGCCTCAGCGAAGTCCTCGAGGAGCATGGTCGCGCCTGGGCTGATGGTAACATCCGTATCGGTGACTACATCGTCCTCATCGACTCCGATACCCGTGTGCCTGCCGACTGTCTTCTCGACGCTGCTTCCGAGATGGAGCAGGGTCCCGAAGTTGGTATCATGCAATTCAGCTCCGGTGTCATGCAGGTCGTCCACACCTACTTCGAGAACGGTATCACCTTCTTCACCAACCTCATCTACACGGCCATCCGTTACACCGTCTCCAACGGTGATGTCGCTCCTTTCGTCGGTCACAACGCCATTCTCCGCTGGGCCGCCATTCAGCAGGTCTCTTACTTCGATGAGGACGGTTACGAGAAGTTCTGGTCCGAGTCTCACGTGTCCGAGGACTTTGATATGTCTCTTCGTCTCCAATGTAACGGCTACATCATCCGCATGGGTGCCTGGGCTGGTGAAGGCTTCAAGGAGGGTGTGTCGCTTACCGTCTACGACGAGCTGGCCCGTTGGGAGAAATACGCCTATGGTTGCAACGAGCTTCTCTTCAACCCCATCCGCATGTGGTTCTACAAGGGTCCCTTCACTCCTCTCTTCCGCCAATTCCTCTTCTCCAACATTCGTATGACCTCCAAGATCACTATCGTCTCGTACATTGGTACTTACTACGCCATCGGTGCCGCCTGGATTCTTACCACCGTCAACTACTTCGCCATGGGTTGGTTCAACGGTTACCTCGACAAGTACTACCTCGACTCATGGAAGGTCTGGTTCTCGCTCGTCATCGTCTTCAACGGTCTTGGTAACATCTCGCTCGCCATCATGCGTTACCGTATCGGCGACAAGTCCTTCTTTGGTGCCCTCCTCGAGAATTTCAAGTGGATTCTTATGCTCGCCATCTTCCTCGGTGGTCTGTCTCTTCACGTTTCCCAGGCTCTTCTTGCTCACATGTTCGAGATCGACATGACATGGGGTGCCACCGGAAAGGAAGCTGAGTTCTCCAACTTCTTCATTGAGGTGCCCAAGGTGCTCAAGAGCTTCAAGTACTCGCTCATCTTCTGTGTCGTTTCCATCATCGGCATGGTCATCCTCGCAACCGCCGACTTCGTCCCCTACGACTGGATGATTACCGACTTTGTCGCCATCTTGCCCATGGCTACAGTCGTGGCATCGCATTTCCTTTTGCCTATCGCTCTCAACCCCGCTCTCATGACCTTCTCATGGTAGAGCAGGTTTCTTTCTCTCGTTTCCATTTCCTTTCTGTCTATATAACGCGATGTCTGATTGTCATCTTGAGATATCATTGATGTTTATTGGTGTGGTACAAAAGACTTGACCACAGAGCGGGCGTCCCCTACATGACCTTTTACTATTTCCTTTCATAATTGCTCCTACCCAGGATTATAGATTACACTTTTCTCGATACCACAAAACCTTTTTGATTTCGAATCAACTTCTTCACACAACCTTACATCTCCCTCGTCCGTGTCTTGCCTTCTTTGCAGTGTCAGTTGATTCATCTATCCTTTTTCCCCCTCCTTTTTTTTTCTTCTTTTTTTCTTTTTTTCTTTTTTGGATCTGCATCCCCCAAACGCAACCCTGTCCCCCATACTTCTGTCGGAAATACCTGAAACTCTTCTCAACTCAGTCTCGCTATTCTCCCCCTTTGTGTCTCGAAACAAAAAGTCCGGAACATATCCCAAAAATACCTACATCGACTACGGACATATTCGTCTTCTCCAGAAAAAGTAACAGAGATCTATCGTTTCAGGGTGAAGCAAGGAGAGGTCCAGTCCTGACTCTTTCTCCTAACACAAAAGCTACCACCACCACTATCCAAATTTGGTCGATTCGACAGAGCCGCAGTCATAAGATTCGAGTTTATCAAACTTCACCAATGCTGGTATGCCACCGAGCGGTGGTCGCACGGGTGATGCATGTTGTCGTAGCACGATGCCGCCGCACAGACAAAAAGAGGGAAAGCCGCCGTCTCTGTGGAAATTATCGCCAGCTGCTGCTCACGACAACCTGGCTTGAACATAAAAGCCTTCTCTGCAAAAACTCAAATTCTACTTCCTAGCAATTAGCAACAATTAATTATACATCCGTGTCATGAGTAAGTTTGGCAAGTCCATGCAGGGCAGCAAGGGTGTGGCGCTGGTTCAGCCTTTCAGCACTTCTGCAAGGCACCACCTCGTGTCCGCTGCGACGCGTGCGCGAAGAACAAGTTTAAGCCCCACCCAGCTGAAAGGAACAAAAGAAGGGTGGAATCTACCCCTTTACACCTTGTCATCAACATCAAGACGTCGCCTTCCCCGAGCACTCAAGGACCTGATTCTCGACCTGGAACGAGGCTTGCTTTTGTTACGCTTGTGATGGTCCTTGCGAGCTGCATGCTGACGAGGTAGACTTGGATCCCGAATGGCAATGACTCGAGGCGCATCTGCGCTCNNTACATCTCGAATGTCAGCAAACATCTCGGGAGATAATTACAGGGAATTGCTTACGGCAGGCAGTTCTTCACTCAACATGGTGAAACTGCTCTTGGGTAGTCTGACATAGTTCTTGTCAAATGGATACCACAACTTCTGGAAGCGTCGAATGCCCCATGGAAAGAAGATGGTGAAGAGGAGACTGATGATCAATAGCGGGATCGAAATGTACAGACACAGGATCGCTGGTGCTTTCATAGTACTGATACCAAACACGCTCTATACTCTGTCAGCAATGTTGCAAAGCGTACAAGAATGACCCGTAGTACTCACAGTAAGGTATGAGATTGGAAGATATAGCGCCGCAACGATGGACAAGAAGCGCGAGTAATCGGACTGGTTAGCATTCTCGATGTTGAACTCCNNTGCAAACCATGTAAGCCTTTGTCTCTGAACCGTGGCGCGAAATCTACTAACGAGTTCAACCAGATTGAGGAAGCGCTCTTTGAGAGTATCCATATAGTAATAGTACTGATCCAAGTCTTCGACGGCGTCGTCCATTTCATCCCACACTGGGTCCTTGCCATCATCCGGAGACTTGTGCATAGTATCTCTGAGCTTGAGCAGCTTTTTGAACGATCTTGAGTGGAAGCGCATGTATTCACTCAGTTCGTACACTCTGTCAATTTGCTTATGCATCTGTCTTGTACGCAATTTGACAGGGTATTTGCGGCCACGACTGTTGAGCTCNCTGGACAGTAGTCGTCAGCAAGTCAGACTTGTCCGCATCAATCTGGTACATACGGCTTCCTCCAGCTCCCTCTCAATCTCTCGAATAATGTTCTGCCAGTCGGTCAGGAGCCAGTACAGTCTCAGAAAGGTCCAGCAAACGGTCTCCTCATCTCTACGTGGCATGTCGTACTCTTCGTCCTCGTAAAAGTATGGAAAGAAGAGTTCGTGCATGATGTTCTCTGCCGGTATCTTGGATTGAGTGAACACAAGAGTGACAGGGACTTCTCGGTCGAATCGGCAGGCACGGCGTCCACAGCACCAGGCAGCAATACGGAAGCGATATTCGTCGACTNNACTTGGAGACAACAACACCATGTCAGCTCACTATTGGTAATCAACCTCAAAGAAAGATTACTGACTCTCGTCAATGCCTTGTGATTTGCGGCCTTCTGGAGGATCCTTGCCGAAAGTCCACCAGTAAACATCTGGCACATTCATTTGGTCGACCAGGAAGGACCACGGTATCTGGGTGGACCGCTTGTTACTTCTCTCAGGGAACTTGACGGTGTCGTCGAACTGTAGCGCTCTGTTGAGATCGGTGAGATCATCGTAACGATCATCAATACAGGTCGCGATGACCTGCTCGAGCCAGGGCTGAAATCCATTGAATGTTCTGAAGCGAAACACAGTCAGTCTAGGATTTCCTTTGGATGGCGTCTCAACTTGCATCAGCAATGGATCTTGTGGATTCATTGATAAAGTCTCCCGAACCAGAGCGGCAAATCTATTGCCATCTGCGCTGGTGACTTGGATTGAACTGTGGTAGTTAGGCGAACGTCGGTTGCCAATGTGTACACTGATGGGCACGCCCTCTTGATACCACGACTTGTGTCTCGGTGAACGGCGTTTACGATGATGGCGACTGGCGCGAGGTGAGTCTCCCATATCTGTCCGATGACTTGGTGGAGTGTATTTTGGTTGTTGGGTCAGATTTACATCTGAGCGTCTAGGATATGGATTCATCGTGCCTTCCTTGACTTCGACATCTATGCAAAATTGATGTTTCCCTGGCTGAATGGAACGTAGCCATATTTCCCTCGTCGATTGCTAACTGTGATGGTTATCAAAAGCAAGAACAGTCATCTCAGGATGCCCAGGCCGAACTATGGGTTGCCTGGTCAGACCGCGTGATGAATCCATCAGTCCCACGTGAACAGCTGCATGAAGGATGACCTTCCAACATGTATCATCGACTTCTCAATTATTTGCCCATAGACAGTCTTCCGTACGTACAATGCGAAAATTTTCATAAACATTTTCATACAGTGTATCCAGAAGGACCACGGCATTGCTACATAAACGCACTGAACAAGAAGGGGAAAGAACGATCGGTAGAAGTGAAGCCAGACAAGACGGTTAACAATATGCGACTCAAACAACTGGTCGTGGGTATAGCGCTGAAGGGTAAAAAAGACATCAAGAAGAACAAAAAGGGGGACATGAATGTGCTCTGGAGGGTATGCTTGTTAGTCGTAATAGACAGGGACAACTTCGTTCTACGGGCTGTTAGGCCTCTCGTCTGTGCCCATGTCGGTCGAGTCACCTTCAATGGTTCGACGCCAGTGTTGTGGTAGGCAGACACAAACCAGTGGAAAGGCCTTCACCGGACCGTGTTCCTCGGGACTTGCTTCGCCACTGCTCATACCGCTGTCGCGTTGCAGCTTGCCCTTGCTTTTCCAATCCTCTGCACGCATGCTAACACGCACGCCTGTTGCCCAGCCGTCATCCCATATACCAACGACTTTGACCATATCGCCGCGTTCAAGGTCAAACTCATCGGCAGCACGGGGTTGGTAGGCCCACAAAGATGACACAAGATCACCTGGATGTATGTCATCTTGCGAATAGTAGTCTTTGAAAAAGCTGAGCTGTTCCGATTCGGATGTGCCTTCTGGCGATGAGATACCATCCCGAGCAGGACTGTCAGAGGTACCGAACGCAAGGAGCGAACCGCTGGATAGGGAACCGTTTCGCCTAGGAGGCGGACCAATGCCACCGGCACGCAAGTGTGGTGTTCTTTGAGCTTCTGGGGTAGAGTCGAAAGCAATCGTCGGCGAGCGCGTATTACGTTCCGAGCCGCTCGAAACGGCTTCCAAGGCAGCCATGCGGGCAACACGACCACCGGGAAGAGCTTCGATTCTGTCATTTTGGCTCCTGCTAGCGCCATCGTGTCGGTATGCCATGGCTGGNGGTGCTCCGCCCTGACGTGATCTCACGGGCTGGTTGAATACACTCGTTGCTGGACTAGCCTGTTTTCGACGGCGAAGGAAGACGCAGGCTAGGATCAAAAGCGCAAGGAGGATGAAGACGCCAAGTAAAGTCCCAATGACGATGCCAGCAATTGCACCACCCGACAGTCCCTTTCTTTTCCGAGCGGTTGCAGAAGGTGTCGAAGATGGAGACCTTGTGGCGGTGGAGGATGTGGCCGATGAAGTTGAAGTGAAAAGAGGTTGCATGGATGAAGTAGCAACTATAGGCAGAACGACATTATTGCAGCGCGTTGTGGTATCAGAGTAGACACAGCAAGAATCGGTGGCATTCGGCGAACTTGCAGCACAGTAAGAGCAGAGACTGACCAGATTAGAAGCGAAGCCGCAATTCTCGGGCTCATTAGTGACACCTGCAATGCATGAGCCAGACAAAGAGTTTGCAGGCAGTGCGCAATTGGTGAAGTCGGCTCGAACTTGACTGATAGCATTCGAATTTGTGTTGCCGCATATATTGCTTGCAGTAATGGATTGCTCACTCTCGGCATATTCGGCCTATGACAGAGGTTAGCAATCGGGAGTTGGACCTGAACATGAGAATAGTCTTACACAAGTGTTGGCACACAACGGTCGAGTTGCATCTCCGGTCAAGTCACAGGCCGAAATGGAATTCTGGACAATGGCATTGCAGAGTACGCTACCGGTATAACGAGCATAATAGCTGGACGAGTTTGACAAGTCGAAACTCGAGCAACCGATCAAGTCGGAATACCTCTGCTGGATGAAGCCGTTGGATATGTATTGTTGAAGTTGTGTGTCGAAAGAAGAGGTGTCGGTGACATTGACAAGGAATGGGAATAGTCCGGTCAGGGCACTACCAGTTGAGATAGAGGCCGTATTGAAAGCACGGCACTCAGACGAGTCTGTCAGAGGAATGCAGCTCTGAGCCAGGGCAGTTGGAAGCGTCGCGGCCGTTAGAGCGAGAGTGCAGAGCGCTCGAAAACGTCCCGCTATCCTCTTCTCTCTGGTCCGGGGACATCTTGTCGCTGCTCCTTGTTCCAAGCTCTTATCGCACCGCACGCGCTCAGCGCTCAGGTTGCCCCTGGACGTGCGCCGCGTGGGAGCATCGCTGGACATTGTCTACTCGTAGACGCTCGACTATTGCATAAAGAAGATGTTTTCGAAGATGCCGTTGGAGGAATTGGGTCGTGTGAATCGAAAAAGGATCGAGTCTGGACCGAGGATAGTATTATCGTTGTAGAGTAATCGCAGAGGTCGTGGTGATTAAGGTTAGGTCGAAGAAGAAAACCGATCAGGAGGCGGGCAATGAGCGACTGGATGGACGCAGAACAGAAAACAGGAAGACGAAATGATTGACGAGAGACAGGCGGCGAGGCAGGCACGCCTCTGCTACGTCGAGAACAGCAGTCGCACACTCAGCCAGCGCTGACCGAAGACAGCGGGCCCGGCCAAGTCGAAGATGTGCGACCACCGACGCTGAAGCCCGGCGCGGCATGCCACTTCCCGCGCCTGCAAACTTCTGCTCCATTCTACTTTCGGCCTTGGTCTCTGTATCTTTGCCTGCTCCGCTCGACACCTCCTTACGATTGTCCATATCACAACCGTCGTGGTCGTCGTGAACTGGTTTGCAAAGTTGCTGGTCCTTCTAAAGCAACTAGAGTCTTCAGCCTGTTATTCGAAGAGTGCTGTTCTGGTAGAACGTCGTCTACTCTACCCTATCATGACCACTCGACATTGGCATGGTTTACAAGAGGCTGAGTCCTGATTCAGATGGTCATCTCTCACCGCCGGATATGACTTGCATCATGATTTACATCTTGTCTGGTGAACTTACATCATACCATGAGAGCGCACGCGTGTGCAGATCGCTTGAATACTCAGATCTCCATTCGCTCACCTTGACAGACCATATCTATAAACAAGAAGTTTCTTAACACTCCTCATGTTAGGACATGTGTGATATCAGAAAGTGTACGAAGCCTTGTAGTACGTCGCACAGAGCCACGTTTTATCGAAGCCAACAAGTACAGCATACAAAGGAGCTCTCATTGATCAACAGACATACAAATAAGACTAATCGAGTGCTTCTAAACTAAACCCATGCTTGCTGCCTGTCTGTCTGTCTTAGGTGTGTGTACGCAGCATCATGTACTGTCTGATCTCATTGGACTCGAATCTTGGTGGTCGTTAAGGTAATCATGAGTGAGCAGGCTTGGGAGCGGTGGTAGGGTTGGCGTGGACGGCAGCCGGGTGCTGTTGCTGGGCACCAGTGCTGGAAGCCTGAGGACCAGCGGCAATCTCGGCAGCGATCTGGTCTTCGGTCTTCTTGTTGCCGTGCGAGATGAGGCGATTGAGGAAGGAGCCAGGTCTGCCCTGGGGGTACTTGGAGTCTTCGGCCTCAGCCTCTTCGAGCTGCTTGTGAAGGTGGCCAGTAGTCTCCTCATCGAGCTCCTCATGCTCGTCGAAGTTNGGCTGTCGCAAGTGGGGTTAGCGGGGCCGAAACAAGAGATGACAATCACGGAAATGCAACTCACTCTCCTTGTCGTGCATGCTGAGAGCTCTCTTGATCTTCTGTCTGACGGCCTGCATTTTGGCGATTGGTGGAACGGTAGATCTTTTGAGCTGATGATGAGAGGACTGTCAGTCGCTGGCGCAGGCGGAAGGGCACGGGAAGGCTCGTGCAGTACCTGTGGTATATGTGTGCGTACGAGATTCTCTCAACGCGGACGGGCTCGAGTTGGAACTTGTAGGATGGAGGATGGAGGAAGGAGGAAAGCGAGGTTGTTTGAACGTCAAAGCTGAACAAAGATAGACGTGGTCCAGGGCAGGCAAGTGCCCTCATCCAATGCCCAGCAGCCCGCCATCACCCGTCGTCATTACCCCACATGAGAGCCGATGGCGCTGCTGATGGACCGCGACGGGCCAAAGTTGGAAACGCTCATATTCCCGCACGAGGCCGATGGGTCTGGATCCGAACTTCTTCATGCATGACTTACGCGTCTCTGGCGTCCTGATGAGATGTGTTTTCAGCACCAATTGGCCGTGAGCAGTTCGTGTTGCCCGCCCTGGTTGCCCACCACAGATGGCCACTTCCCCAGATTGCTGTCCAAACCGAGGCTCTTGTGATCGCGCGGCGCGGCCCGTGCGAGCGAGCTGCTTCCTGTTTGCTGGGCGCGCGTCGCATGTTGGTTTTCCTTCTAGAAAAAGTAAATAAAATCCAACTGCATCCGAGCACCAGCATGCTTGCGACACTGCGTTGGCGATCATCCTGAAACCAGAGCTCATGTGTCGTCTTGAGCTGTTGGGTCTGCTGATTCTCTCGCTTCACGCTCGCAAGGCCAAGTCTGGTCGAGACGCTACAGACGGCAACCATCTGGCTTCTCGAGCTGTGCAGCTGCAATGCTCCACGAGGTCCTCCTCGCCCTCAGCGGGCATCCCTCGCCGCTGTTCCCTGCGACTGCACCGCCCGGCCGATCGTCTGACGCCTTTGTAGACAAAGATTTCCCACTCTTGTCATCATCAGAAGCGGCTTTATTGGCGACGGTTGGCAAGCTCGCCAGTCTGCATCGTCAAATTCGAGACCACGCAAATCGCATTGTTTCGCAACATCCTTCAACCATCTGTCGTGCCGTAGCTGCTTCATTGCTGCAAGTCCATCTTGCACGCTTCCGTGAAAAGATTCTTGATGTCGAGAGGCAGATCTTGACCAAGGATGCTGCCATAGTGGGTGCATACAACATTGTACCCCTCTCTGCAGTCGTCGGCGCGTTTGATGAGTGGAATCGTCGCATGGACTGGTATTGGAGTCTTGCATGCTTCATACAGCCTCTAGACACGATCAAATCTGATCAAGCAACCGGAGCTGGACTTATCGATCATCTGCGGTCAGAGCTGCAAACCGGTTTTCCCGACATTGGAACCGCAGCAACAGAGTTGAGTTGCGTCGCTGACAAGGCCTGGCTGAAACAGGTGTCTGTGTGGCTGCTGTACGGCTTGCTTCCAAGCCAAGGCGTTGAGGACTTCTTTGTCTCCGTGCAAGAGTCTGCCGAAGGACCACCGTCATATGCTCTAAGACGAGAACTGCTGCCCAAACTTGTTTCGCAGCAGACTGGCAGCTCTCTGCTGTTCATCGGAAAGTCGTTGCATCAAGTCAAACAGCATACACAAGGGTCATCAGCGTCGCAGATCCTTCATGGTAGTGAAGATGCAGCTCTTTTGAATGCACATATTCAACTGCTGTCGTCACTATCATTTCCCCTGATTTCTGCTGCATTCTCCACCACAATATCCTCAATACGTTCATCGCTATCGCAAAAGGTCCTCCAACGCCTACTTCCACCGGATGAGATCAAACTTGTGTTGAGTGTGTTCCGTCAGATCCTGCTTCTGGACCGGGGTGAGTTTGCTGTCTTCTTGATATCTGAGGCGGCAGAGAGACTAGATGCCAGAAGAGTCGAACATGGCCGATACTTGCAAGAACCCTCAAGTAGGGATCTTCGCGGCGTGATGATGAAAGAGGGCGAAGTCAATGAATCACTCTCACGCACTTGGAAAGCATTAACGTCTTTACAAACCGAGGACCTCGAAGACGACGTACTTGAGTTCGCCCGTGAGAACATGCGTCTGGAAATTGACACGCGACGAGCCGCCACAAGACCCTCAACCTCGGACGGAACAGCCTTGGATGCGGCAAACTTGTCGAGCACCACGTTCAACGACCTGTTGTTTCCTGTTACCACCATACTCACAATGCAAATTTGCTCTCCGCTCGACCTTTTCGTCTCCCGTGCCGACATGGACAGGTACTCAGCACTCAACGCATATCTGTTGAGTCTCCGACGAGCACATATGCGATTGTCCAACCTATGGCGAGAATCAGGTTCACGTCGTGCAGCTGCAAATCCAGCTCGCCTTAGTGCAGAAGCAAAACGGGTCGCCCACGCTCGTAGCATTTCTCAACGCAAGGTCTGGGCTACATGTAGTGCAGCTGTCTTTTTGCTGTCAGAAACCACGGCATACTTTGAGGGTGAGCTGATCACGAGCTCATGGGACACTTTCTACTCGTGGGCCACGGCTCAGCATCACGACCCTGAGACTTTGGGACGTGCCCATCGCTCATTCCTCGCTGCACTGTCCTATGTAATATTGCTCACCGACACAGTCTACACGCGATCCCTTCGTGACTTACTCACACACATCGACGCTCTGGTCGCCCTGTTTGGTCGCCTTCAACGGCTTCAACAAACATCCAGTCTTGGTTTAGGTGGCACAGACTTCCTCGACGATGAAGAAGGAGAGGTAGCACGTGAACTCGACCGTTCCCGCAAACGTGTCGACACTGCCCTCAAAGACGTGGTTGCCAGGTTGCGTCAATTGGACCATGAGCGGTTGGGTGCTGCCAGATACCTCCAACTGGACACTCAAGACACGGGTTTCGAGGTGTGGCGTGGCGGGGGTGTGGATAGACTGCTGATGAAACTAGACTTTGGCAGGATGACTGGTGGTGAAGAGTATATTGACTAGGCTGGTGGTGGATGCCTTCTGCAGTCGCAGATCACTATCCTATAATTCATGGTTCTAGCTTACAACCCTGAAGAAAAGAAATTAATAGCATGTGTGGATAACACTGTTACAAGTGCATATTGCATGTCGTCATCATCAACAACCGCTATTCACAGATGCCTCTTCTCTCCTATACAAAACACCGTTCTGGTCTCTCCTCTTTACCAGATGCCCAACCACTTCTTGATTGGCTTCCTCCTGCCCTCGAAATCAGTATACACCTCCTCAGCACCCTCCTTGTCAACCATGGCCCCCAAAACCTCCCTCTCCTTCTCCACCTCTTTGCTCACCGGCATCTCATTACCCACCGTCCCCAACACCTCCCCCTCCTTCTTCTCCGTCGCATCATCCCTAGCACTCCAACCACCAAACACACCCTCAGCCTCATTCAAACCATGCGCCTTTCTAAACTCTGCCCTCTTCCTCACATCATCGACCTTGTTTTTGCGGTACTCGGCAGTCTGGATGGAAATGTATTGCGAGTGCAGATTGTAGACTTCGGCATAACGGGACAGGAAAGCAATGGGGTGAGAGAAGAACATGTTGTTGGGNGGTAGTTGGTCGAGGTAGGGCGTGTTTGTCAAAAAGTTGTTTAGCCAGGTGAAGAAGGCGAGGGAGATGAGGATGGACTGTTGATGGCGTTAGTACTGCTTTCACATTCTCTTGTTGCATTGGGGAGAAAAGAGTCTGACCATGGTGATCCACACGTGGATGGTGCGGTTTGTCAGGAACCAGTGGAAAAAGGTGCCTTCGGGTGGCATCATGTGCGGGTATTGCTTCCTCTTTTGTTGTTCCTTTTCTTTGGCGCTCAGAGGGACTTGGAAGGCGGGTTGTCTGTTGCGGCGAGGTAGGCGAGCGGGATGGGATGGTGGGTTGAAGCGCGTAGGCTTCTCGAGTAGTCGACCTTTGGGTGCTGGTTTAGAGCTGCTGCTGGCGGGGCGAGATGCTAGGAGTGAGTGGGCGAGGAGAGAGGGTTGTGAGTGGCGCATATTGCGCAAGGGGAGGTGGCGCGATAGCTGCAGTGCCGACATTGTGGATGTGATGACTGTTGCGTCGAGGTATACAAGACGAGCTGTCGGACGATGGTGGTGGAAAATGATCATGACTGAGGCTCGGCAAAAACTGCCCTATGTGATGCGGCCAAACCATGCCACCTCCGAGCGCCGGCGGTGATCGTCGACACGTACCTTTAGACCCTTGAACTTTTATAGATACCAGCTTCAGGTCCTTGCGAAAGGCTTTCATATCTTTTCTATATCATATCTTTTTGTGTCGAGTTCGAGCAGCTCTCCTAAATCTGCTTCTTCTCGCTCTTGTCAATCTTCACAATCGAGGGGAGCGAGGTAAACATGCTCGGCCAGACCAGCTTGAACTCGTCTTGACGCCCGTTCAAGCAATGACGGAGCCACACTCCCCATACAATGTAGAAGTATGCTCCTGTTCCAGTCATGAGATGCCACCATCCATGTCCCTCGAGGAAGATACCCCAAGGCAGTCCAACCTCGTGACGCCACTTACGTAGCCTGGAGCAGTAGACATTGTCCAGAGTCCATATGCCAAATCCGCCCAAGAAGACGCTCAGTCCGCATGCAATCATGAGCCACATGGTCTTGAGGATCTTGCGATCTCTGTCATCCTGACGTTGTTGGTCCTTCTCACTGATGACATTCTGCTGGCCCATACTTTTGCGCGCAGCTTCTCTTGCCTTCGGATTGGGACGGATGTCGCGCTCCATGACGTACATGGATCTGAACAAGACGATGGCGGTCAAGAGAGCGTACATGTTCTGATGGAAGACGGGGTCTCCGAGGTAGTGGTAGTAGCCCGTGATAAAGACTGACAACGAGACCAGGAAGAGTGCAAGGAAGATGCGGAAGGTGCGCGTCTGTTTGTGCGAAAAGGTTGCGTAGAACATGAGGCAGGTCGTGTAGATCATGGAGAGCTCGTCGACTAGCTGCATGGGGTCTGTGTCAAGACAAGGTTAGCAAGCTTCTGGAGTGGGCAGCCTGAGGTACTGACATTTCAGAGTCGAGTGGAAGAGGAAGCTGCCAGTTCCAACAACCAGGTAGCCGATAAAGGTGACGAGGAAGATCTGATCGTGACCATTCTGGATGCAGTTGTTGATGCCACGGAAGGCCAGCCAGACAAACAAGAGGTTGGTCAAGGTGTTGACTATTTCAGCCGAGTAGATGGTGGCATAGTAGTCCNNTGGTCCTTGTCAGACTCGAGGGCCGAGTTTTCAAGGATGAATATGACGAACCTCCTCACACCAGTTGAGGGTCGAGGTTACAGGACTCCAGTAGCCCTCTCCTGAGGGAGGGTATGGTATTGAGGGTAACAGAGATGCCATCAAGAAAGATAAATGATCAAGGGAAGCTTCGGGAGTTGTTGTAGTGGATGTAGACGGAGTCGGTGGGTTCAGAGACACCAAAACGCAGAAAGCGAAAGAACGAGGCCTGGGGATTGCGAGAGAAGGAAGGAGAGAGATCGAGCAGGCACGAACAAGGAAGACGACTGACTTTGTTTAAACGAACTCGCTCATCGACCAGAGAGCGCCAAGACGCGTGTCATCGAGCCGCCAGCCGGACAATCACATGCTGAGCTTCCGAGTTCTGCTGGAACTTCTCTACCGATTGTTGACATATTGCAGCAAACACACACTCACCCATCATGTCCATGTCGCCAGCAGATATGCAGAAGGTTGACCCTATTGCACCTCACAAAACACCTGCCGTGCACGCGCTGACCCCCTACACAGNNCTCCTGCAAGAAATCGAGCAAAAGGCCCAATTCTGCCAGCAACAAATGGTCATTGTCAAGACCCAGATGAACACCAAGAACCGCGAGAACCGCATGCTCCAGCTGACTGCTGCCGAACTCGACGGTCTGCCATCCGACGCCAACGTCTACGAAGGTGTCGGCAAGATGTGAGTCCACTCGACTGCCAACCATGAGAAGACCGCCATCTGACATGCCATGCTAGGTNTTGTCGCAAGCCCAAAGACCGACGTCAAAGTGCGCCTGACAAAAGACCAAGAGACCATCAAGAAGGACATGGAGGGCCTGGACAAGAAGATGCACTACCTCGAGACAACTTTCAACAACAGCAAGTCCCACCTGGATGCCATCTTCAAGAATGGCGGTAGATGAAGTCTGTGACCCATATACTGGTCGCCAGAGATCACTCTTACTCCTGAGCACATCCGGCAGAACCCGTCTTCGTCAGACATGAGGGCCATCTTTCTGCGGACGCTCTGTGCGAAAGCTGCCAGGCACGATTTACGAACACAGGCCAGGATCGTCAAGTGCTCCAGACGAGCAATCGTCGCAGGTCCAGCATCTGCCGGGACGACTTCGAACAACTTCTGGTCTTCACCTCGAAGGCATCGAACCTCCATGGACGAGCACGAATGCCCAACTGCACAACATGGTTTATACAGATGCTGATGCTTTGTACGCAGCGCCAAGCGTAGAATTTGTGCACTCGTCGGAGAATACACCATTTGACCTTTCTCCTAAATTGTCTTATCGCATCCTTCGTATCTATATGCAATCTACTGCAGTCTATAGCTGCATATTGCCGCCCCATGATCCTCCAGCTTCAACTTTAAATTGCCATACTATTGCGACAAGACAGTTCGCTCGAACAGCCTGCTTGAGTCTACATTCTCTGCACGCAACTGTTTTGTAGTCCAGCGCTCAAGAGATAAAAACAGCTGTCATGCAGCTACCAAAAGGCAGCAAGAGCGACGCGCCTGTTTCAAGACATGAACGTAAACCACGCGCGCGGCTCATGCAGAAGCTCAGATCGCCAATCGCCGTCTGCAGCAGCTGCCAGCTGCCAGCTGCAGTAGTCAGCGGGGTGAACACCACCATCCTCGCACTTCTGCCAACAAAATACCCACAGCCTGATCGGTTGGTCACAAACGAGACAGGGCAGGAAACTACATGTCTATCATTCTCGTAAGCATTTGGACCAAAGTCTAGTCAACCAGTGCCCAACTTCCTGGGCTTGAAGGGGCGGTAAGGCGTTCCATCTGCCACAAGCCATGCTGCCCTTCGGCATGCAGCAGTCATGGTGGCTATTGGTGAGTCCGTGGCGGAGAATGCCTGTATACAGCACTATACGCGGGCGGTCACGCGTGATCCTTCGCTTGTAGCCTTTTCTTCCTTTGAGATTGTCAGCAGCCTTGACTCTTTCATCTCCTTCGCCCGAACATACGGTAGGCTGAGACTCTGTGTCATTACACTCAGTGTGTGTCTTGTGTCGTTACAGCAATTCTTTTTCCTCCTTCCTGTTCTTCATTCTTCAAACAAGATCAACACATTCTTATCATATTCCTCTTATCTTGCTAAGGTGTGGCTCGCAAACGCACCGTAGACCTCCCTTGCCGTCAGCTCAAGACCTCCGTTCCAACACCTCAACTCTGCAAGCAATGGCGTATTCCTCATACGACCAGTCGTGGTATGATCGTTGGGACCCTGACCCTCAACCACACGCACGCTACTACCGACACTCTCATCGACACAGTGGCAATCTCGCACCCGAGCCACAATACTCCAACTTGCACCGCTCGCACTCACAAGGCCACAATGTGCCCCATCCCACCAACATCCATATCCACAACAAGATACCGATCACCCAAGAGACGACTACTGTCCAACGGACAGAGGCAAGGCCTCCTCCCATGCCGGCACCCATGCCTCCTCCACCACAGTTCCAGCCAGTGCCCATGATGGTACCTCCTCCACCCATGTTCGTCCATCAGCACATGCCAATGATGCAGCCCGCACCTCCCCCAATGATGGATGCCCACGCCCTGCGAGCACAACGCCTAGGCGAACAGTTGCTCGCCGAAGAGTTTGCCGGAATGCACCTCCAGCGCCATCGCTCTCACTCTCGCGGTCGCTCACCCGACGACCGCCTCCGCTGGGACCTCGAACTCGAAGCCGAGCGTGAAGCCGCAAAACGCAAAAAGCAAGAGGCAGATGCTGCAGCAGAGCGGCAACGCGTAATCGACGAGCACGAACGCAAGATCGCCGCCGATGCAAAGGCAGCTGCAGACGCCGAGGCAGCATTTAAACTAAGACTAGAACTGCAAGCCCGTGAGGAACATGAACGCGAACACAAAGCCTACGAAGACTTCCTCCGCAGACAGCGAGAACAGGAAGAAGCAGACGAAAAAGCATACCGCGAAGCCCTCCGCAAGCAAAAGGAAAAGGAAGAAGCCAAAGAGAGAGAATACCAAGCCTTCCTCCGCCAGCAAAAGGAAAAGCAAGAAGCAGAGGAAAAGGCAAAGAAGGAGGAACAAGCACGCATCGACTCTGCCATGCGAGCACGCCTGGAGAAATTAGGTTGGTCCCAACACGACATCGAGATTGCTCTTGACCCAGAAAAGGCGGAAAAGGAAAAGAAGAAAAAGAAGAAACACAGGCATTCGGGAGATGTGTATCTCGATGAAGAGATTATCGTGGTAGGCGGTACACCCCCTAGTTTGCCGGATGCGCCTCCCCTTGCGGTTGGCTTCCCCCAACATCAACATCATGTTCCCGTTTACCCTCGCATCAATCGCAAATTCTTGGATATCGAGACGTTGGAGCATTACCATGTGCCTTGGGAATGGGACCGTGTAAGTCGACTTTCTTTTCCCTCTTCAAACCAGTTCAACCAGCAGAACACTGACCCAATACAGGCAAACTCGGAGTACATCATCCTGCTCCGCGAACTGGACAAGTACGAGACGGATGTGCTGTTTGAACACACGCGTCGCCGTCGTCAAGGGTCTTCTGCACCGTTGCTGATTGACAAGGTCAAGGATTCGGGCCCAAAGTTCGCTTGGGTCAGACACAAGAGCAAGGAGAGGAGCAAGAGTAGAGGAAGAGACATCAGGGTAACTGAGATTGTGAGAAGATAATAGATGACGTGTCGAGGATTATGAGCATGGGAGGTAGAAGATTAGAAATCGATCTTTGTTACTTGACAAGAACGCAATGTATCGAGCTTCAAGGGAGGTGATCCTAGCATCATTGCTGTCCGTTCTTCTCCCAGTGAATCTATCAAGTTTACAGCCATCTCCTCCTTGTTCCGCAGCGTCGATGTGCGTGCGACGATCGTACAGCCAGTGGTCCAACCCAGCCCTCTCCAACAAGCTCCCTGTGCTACGTGGCTGGCTCGTCTTGGGAAGCGTGGTGCTTTGATTTGTTCGGCATATGGGGCACCGTCAGATGCGACCTCTTGGTCTTGGTCATAATCATACTGTCCCATCTTAGACATGGTGTTCCGTATCATTCTAACTCGCAGGTAGACAGATGCAAAATGCTCATGTTTCGACCTTGTCCAAGGCTTCGAGAATCTCCTCGCCAACACCACCCTTCTCGACAACCATCTTGATCATGCGAGCGACGAGGCTACGGCTCACACCACCTCTGGGCGGTCTCCAGACTCCGCTGTCGGTTTCCCTGACAGCCAGAGCTTCTACCTTTGTCCGGGCAGCACCACCGGTGGCAGTGTTGAGAACATCGGGCGTACCAGCGCCTGTCAACCTTGACGGCGGATCGACCATTCTGACGGCCATGATGGCGAGTTGTTTCTCGGCTGCAGGAGCAACACTGACGGCCACGACGGCATCTGCGACTGCGAGCTCGTCGCCGCTGGGGTCGAAGAGAACATTCGGGCCTACTGAGGCCAGGAGGAGTGTGACTGGAGGTTTTTGACCCGAGGGGTAGAGGGGTACTGCGGCGTCCCAGTCGTCGTTGAATAGAGGGTCTTCGTCTTGTTCCGAGATGAGGGCTGGGAGATTTGTGTGTTGGAGAGCGAGGTGTGTTGTGAGGGAGAGAAGAGGGAGGGGGTATGATAACGGTGCGGAAAGCAGTAAGATCNNTGTTGTGTGTGTCAGCAATCGTCTTCTTCCAAGCAGCAGGGCAGGACCTTGTCTCACGTCAATGTACAGGCGCCAGTGGAAGCGGCGGTTGATGTACAAGCGATCCTTCAGCACTTCGGTAGCCAGCAGACTTTCGCGCAGCATGGCGCCCAGGAAGACGGGCAGCGCATCGTCGTCTCTGTATCCAGGCATCTCGATCTGTACTTCGACCCAAGCGTCTCTTCCTTTCCTTCCCTGGTCTTCCTGGCCCATGCCTCCCATATCAATCTCAGCACCTCCGGCTGTACCCAGACCGGCACCCTTCTCCGTCTCGCCAGCATAGTCGCGACCGTAACCAGCGCTCTTTTCGACTTCGGCCTTGATGCCAACCACTGCTTCTGTGCCGTCGGCGAAACAAATGCGCGCTGAGCCGTTTGCTGAGGGTAGAATCTCGGATTCAGCGATCAAGGGTCGGAATTGAGTAGGACTGCGGCCATCGGGGCGGATAGGCGGTGTTTGCGAAAGAGACTTGTGTAGGTAGCTCAGCTCGGCTGGCGAGAGGTTTGCGCTTGTCGGCGCCATTGCTCGAGTATTGGTGTTCTAACCTCTTTTTCAAGGTTACGATGCGGTGAGCAAGTTCCAATGGTATTCACTGATGTGATTGATGTTGATGTTGAGCGGCGAGTCGAGTTGCACCTTGTGGGTTATTTTTTCTTTGCGATGGTCTCTACGTAATCGAGAAGCTGCGATTAGCGATGGAAGCTTTTGGCGAAGTTCATGGTCAGAAGTCATGGCTACTATCAGCGCAAGAACTTCCACACTCGTTCCTGCTACTTGTGCATCAGACAAATCTATAAGATGAAACATCTGAGTATCTGCAGCATATGTCCGTTAGTTGATACATGCATGTTGCAGTTCATGTCGTAGTGGTGGTTCGTGACAAATGTGTTGGCCTCGCTTGAGACTACCTCTTTCCCCAGATCTCTAGATGGCATTCCTAACTTCACGTCCTCTTTCCATTCAGGACTCGAATTGCTGCAAACGTGCCCTCTGTCTTGCTGCATCTATATGTTTTCACGCAAGAGGGTGGTTCAACATTTGATGTTGGCATAACCCAGTAAGTGTTTCTCTTCATTTGCTTGTATCGAGATCAAGAAAGAGCATGGACCAATTCTACGAAGGGAAGACTAAGCCTGCACATGAACGAGAAAGCTTTGGACACTGTCAATTCTGGAAGGGTTTGCTGTTTGCTCCTTCTTGTAGCGTGTCTCCGGGGAAAGAAACCATGTCGTAGCGGCGTACGATTGGTGCAAAGCTGCACAAGAAGGGGCGTAACAGCATTGCACATACGCAGGCACACATGTCATGTTGCAGGCTGTCTCTGCGCGTCGTAGACATGGCTCTAGTTCTATACTTGAGGTGCACATACGTCTGTGTAGAGAAGCACCATCTATACACGGCTATCAAACATGATGCCATGAGAACATTGTTTGAGCATAGGCAAGCACCGGTTGTATAGTCCTTCCCTTTACTCTTGAAGTCCATTCAGGAGAGTCCCTAACTACATATGTCGACCTCGCTGTCGCTCTCCTCAACGACCGAATGTGTGGCTTGGCCGAGTGGTAATGTTCAAAAGGGAGAGTCTTGGCTGTGCCGGGTCAAGTCATCCAAACTGAGCATTACTGCATGGTTGGTGGCCTAAAGGTTGCGCGTTTGACTCCCGATAACGTCGTCTGTTTGGGAGAGTTGGGGTCCTTTCGGCTCAATCACAAGTGAGCCCTCTCGCTCATCCAGTTCTGATGTGAATCCTCATGGCCTAGGGGGGAAAGTGTTGTTGGCTCCGCAGCATTCACTGCAGAGGGGGTATGCCTACAGTCACTCGCAACAACGCTCAGCGAGCAAGTGACCTAGGAACTCACAATCACCTCGCCCAGCGGAAAGGTTATACGCTGCGGCTGTCTTTCGGGACAGTTCGTATGTAGTCACTGAATACGTCGCTATTTGTGGAGTTGGGAATCACAAAGTGAAAACCAGTTGAGCATCAGTAGAAATACAGAGCGCACGATGATGGAAACTCCGGTCTGGAATTTTTGCTCAAGGCGCATCAGTCATGCAGGCTTTCACGGCTGTTGATTGCTAACATTGAACAACCAATTCAACAACAACACGTGATCATTCATGAATGGCATGACACGATGAGAAAGCTTGGAACAAGTTTCAATTGCATTCGTTCTAGATCAATTCGCACCAACCTTTACTGGTTTGTCTGCCATCGCGGGCTTATCTGGTCCTTCTGGTCTCTTCCAAAACCCACAAACCTCTGCCATACAGTCAATGCCCAGAACCTCTCCCGCACCATCAAATTGAACTCTGTTTCCGCCAGAGTTCATGTCTTCTACTATCTCATTAACCAGCTGGACGAACGTCTGGTTCCCGTTCTCCTTGGATGCAGTCGGTCCACCTCCATGACTGTCAAAATAACTGGTCTGCATATCCTCGCAGAAGTAGTAGCCACCAGGCTTGACCGTTTTCCACAGGTGTTCGAGACTCTTGATTTGCTGATTCATCGTGTGGCCGCCGTCGTCAATAATGATATCGAAATTGCCACCGGTATCTATAATGAACTCCTCGAGGAACACTTCGTCCGCTTGATCTCCTGTGAAGATGGTTGCTCCACTTGTTTTGCGAGCCCATTTTCGTGCGCAGCGTTCGTCGTACTCGATGAAGTAAAGGTCCACGTAGGGGAAGTATTCGAGCCACAGGTTGTAGGACGCTCCCGGACCGTAACCCATGTCGCAGCCAAGGCCAATCTCGAGCATCTTGATGCGCTTCATCCGGAATGCGGGCAAGTACTTTTCGTACATGTGGTGATAGCTATGGGCCGTGACCTTGTCTGTCCCATACTTGGTAGCGACTTCGTAGAAGCTTGGTCGNGCTTGGAGTCACGTCATCAGCGGAGGCAACACATGCACATGGGGGTTTTGTTCTTACTGCCAGAGCTTCTTTGCATTGGGGACGCCACCGCGCTGATGGAACGCCGCGATTATGAAGAGTAACGAGGCGACAACACCAAGGACAATCGGCAGTCGATGGGGAGTGTGAACGGCCATGGCTACGAAAAGCTGTCTGGCTGAGGTAGGTGCACTTGACGTGAGCTAATATCCCATCCCAAGCATGCAGTAAGGATTTGGATTCGCCGAGATATGTATCGAACCACAGCCCTGGCGTCGTTTGAACTTCATCCCTTGCATTGCAGCCATGAGGTCGTGAAATGCGAGTCACTTATCTCTCCTATCAACACCGAGATCGCTTCTAGACTTGCGGACGCAACTTCCGTTAAAATTCCTCAATGTCGGCCCGTAGGACAAACATCGCGGACCGCGTCTCGAGAAATGTTGGCCGAACAAGGCCCAAAACATTCAGGTGCCCGGAACACCATGTGTAATGGAGGCGCTGCATTTTACGAGTCTCGACCGTCTTGGTCTCGCAATGGCCTTTTACGAGACCAACCTTGCGGTACTGGCTGCAGTCAGTGCTTACCTGCTCTATCGACAACATCAGTCCGACAAACAAAATTCGGCGACAGACTCCGAGAGTGGAGTGAAAAGTGCACTCGGACAAGATGCAATCAAAAGATTCAAGAGAGCCTTCTTTCCAGCATATGCGCTGGTCTGCGCAGCCGACTGGCTTCAGGTAAGAGCAGATTCCACTCCATGTCAAGTTCTCAGCTGACTCTTGGGAAGGNGACCCCATATCTACGCACTCTACAAATACTACAAGCACCTGCCTGAAACGACTGTTGCAGCCCTCTATGCTAGCGGGTTTATTGCCGGTGCTCTCAGTGCCTCTTTTGTTGGTCAGTTAGCTGACAGGTACGGACGTCGAAACGCATGCCTGCTATATTGTGTCATCTACTCGACCGCATGCTTTTCTATGCTCTCTGATGACTTGCTCATCTTGTTCGCTGGTAGAGCTTGTGGTGGTGTCAGCACGACGTTACTGTACAGTGTTTTTGAGACTTGGATGATTGCCGAATACCACGACCAAGCGCTAGATGCTTATGGATTGAGTCTGGGAAGCATGTTTGGCAAGATGACCACGCTCAGTGGCGTTGTTGCAATCATCTCTGGTGTGGTTGGTGATCTCTTGGTCAGATCACTCGACTCAAAGACGAGCCCTTTCATGGCTAGTGTTGTATGCCTAGTGCTGGCTTTCGTCTTTATATCAAAGCATTGGGTANAGTTGCTACAAGAAACAGATCCGATACTGTATTGACGTGCGTAGAATGAAAACTATGGAGACAATACCACTAGCAAACAAAATTATGGCGAGTCTGTCACTCTTAGTAGTATTCTTCTCGGTACGCCACATCATCGAAGGTTTGTCAAGATCGAAAAGGCTGACATGATANTAGATCCAAAAATCATCTCAGTCGGCCTCGACTCCTGCTTTTTCGAAGGCAGCATGTACATGTTCGTCTTCTTCTGGTCAGCTGCTTTGTCCACTGTACACTCTGCCATTGATGTTGCCGACTCGCTTCCTTTCGGCGTAGTCTTCAGCTCCTACATGTGCTCCATGATGGTGGGCTCTATCGTCTTCACCATTATACCACCGTCTCATGACAAAGCACACTACATCCTCAAGATTGTCTTGACCAGTGCAAGCATTTGTTTTCTCTCCAGCGTCTTGCTCAAAAGCGAGGCATTGGTGTTCTGGGCCTTCTGTCTGTTCGAGGTCTGTGTTGGTGCATACTTCCCGAGTATGGCGTCTCTAAAAGGCAAACTGATTCAGGATGGCAGTCGTGGTAGGATATATGGTATTCTCAGACTGCCATTGAACCTCTTTGTCCTCGCAACACATAGTCTTGCTGAAGAAGGTATGTATCGCACATATCATGGTTGTGGTGTTCTGACTGACATTACACAGNGAGACCGACACCGTAACAATGTATTCTTGACTTGTGGTGGACTTTTGATAGTCGCCTTTGTCGTTGCACAACGTTTCCTCACATTTCAGTCTTGACAGATCGGTATCCGTGGTGCGCTTTGAGATGGGCGGTATACAAGGAAAACATATGCCATGTATGAGTCCCTACTCAAAGGTAGTAAGCAACTCAAACAGAGTTGTGAAACTCCAGCTCATTCCAAACCACTATCTAATATGAAGCAAATTCCTTGGCCTATCAATGGTAGAAACAGAAATTACTGAGCATCACTTTTACCTCGAGTATGGGTTCATTGAGGATACTTCTATCAGTCTCATGCCGAAGCGAGTTTGGTGTCAGCTTGGACGAAGGCACAAGATTTTGAAGGTGCTTGGTGAGAGTTACAAAACCAGACTTCACATCGGAAGGCAGGAGCGGGTCACTCACTCGGTTTACTGTTGAGGCAGCAACGTCCTCGTCGTCCTTGCCGTCGCCCCCGCTATCGAGTCTTCGATTACTAACATCACTGTCGGTTTTCGTCCACTCCAGAGCTATATAATCTGCTTTCTTTCCTTTTCATCATCTTCCTTCTCCATCACCATCAACAGGATTCACCACGAGTCCTCTTCCATCAATCATCAACTCTCTTGCTCTACCTCTCATCAACAACTCACACACCACACCTACTCCACCACTCCAACAACATCCATATCCAGTCATGGCTCAACCCAACCAGCAGGTCGAGCGCGAGTGTGCAGGCTGTGGAAAGATGCGCGGCCTGTATCAGTTCTCGGCTAGTCAACGCCGCAAGGGTGACGACGCCGTCTGCATCAAGTGCATTCCCGAGATCCAGAACGTCAAGCCTGGTCATCTCAAGCACGATATTGACAACAGTGACGCCAAGTACATGGCTGTAAGTACACTCACACCGTCAGAACTACCAGAGATTCACTAACAGTATGTCTACAGCNACGTCAGCGAGAATGGTAACAGCACTCATGGCTCATTCGGTACCAAGAATGGTGGTGTTCGCCTTCCCGCTTCCCACACTTCAGCCAGAACCGCTACCTCTACCGTCGCTGGCACTGGCACTAGCACCGTCACCCACACCCACGGCTACAACACAACCTCTTCTGCTCCTTCCTCCCAGCTCTCTTCGAGCACCAACGGCAACGAGCGCCCCGCTCACTTCGAGCTTCGCAACACCGGCTGGATCTTCGTCAGANGGCGTAAGACACACATACCTTTTTCCTTCTCGAGACCTATAACTGACAACCTTCGTCAGGAATGGCGCCAGGAGCACGTGCCCCAGCTTGAAGACGACGATGTCGAGACCTTCAAGGATGGCAGTGACGACGAGGACTTTGACATGTAAAGCATATCAAAGACCATGAGGTTCTCGAACGACGACGATCGTGGGGAGGCCAAGATGGCTATCGGACGAGGACGGTTAATCAAGAGCAACGACCGATTGAACAGTCATCATGGGGCGTCAATCAAAACACATTCACTTTATTTGTTTCATGGAAGGGGCCACTCATTATGATCATAGCTCCTTCTTCAGCTTCTTACAGAGTTTCAAAAAACAATGCTGTCTTCTATTGCCCCCTTTTCCCATCTGTGAAGTTGATTTTTCCACCAACGTAATTGAGTATCAGTGTGATGGTATTAACTTCTCTCTGATCGAATTTGACCAATGTTTTTGATTAAATTTCACACGTTGAGTCTGATCAACATGGAGGTTGTAGTGTCAAGACAAAGAATCTCCAAGACCATGTTTCTCTGGCGCTAAACATTCACTCTTTCTTCGAGCTGGATTCTTGCATTTGCCTCTAATTAACTTCTGCGGTTAGTTTCATGACTTGGGGACATTTCTGGGACGTCAAGAATCAGGAAAGGACTCGTGACTCTGTCAACTCATCAAGAGTCTTTCGATTCAGTCTCCGAGATGGAAAGGTTGCTAGGCGGATTCTTTTGTACCGGGTCGGACAAGTGTTTGAATATGTCTTGTTGTATGGCAATCCTAGTTCTCCGCTGATGCTTAATTAGATTCTTTGATCAAACTATGGACGTCAGGGGTGTGCCAGTGAGATAGAGAACTAATATATGTTTTTCGTACCGGTCAAGTCGAACTGCTGAGAGGATGACCCTGTTCAATTCATCTAACACAGAACTGGAGATGGAGAATGGTTTGAGATAGTATCCAACGAGTCCATCGCAGTATCCGTAGTCTCTAGATGATTTGTATCGTTGGACACTTCTATTGACGCTTCGTAATCGCAAGGAAAGTAGAGTGATACAAAGACCATATCTACCCTTCAAGATCAATGCTGGACGTGGAGCAACCTACAAACCTAACGAGAAGGAGGCATACTTCAACCACACCGATCTTACATCTGTCACCTCAATACTGACACCTTAAATGTACTGTGATTCTCGGGACTGTGTTTGCGCCAAACAGGAGCAACTCATCAGATACCATCAAGAAAGAGCATAAGCAAACGATATGAGGTCAAAGACCGAGCATGGTTGATGATCAGTGCCAAATTTGGCAACCATAAAAGCAGTCTACCCTTGTTGTGAAGTTGGTTGAGGAAAAAGTATTCAAGATGGAATGCAGAATCATGATCGAACATTGATACTACCTACGCAGCATGATATTTATCATGATCAAGAAGCAGCATGATGAATGCTGGTCATGATGGAAGAGCATGATCATCACTATCTCGGGCCGTGACTCCGCAACCGAGAAGACCCTGATCCAAGATGACTTCATGCCGATCTGGTCAGCAAAGAATCAAATTTGCTGCTTCTAGATCATCGATTGCTCTCTTGGTTGACATCCGTTGAGCACAGTGGCTTTATTCATCACATAGGGCAGCACATGAAACAAGTTGTGGTAAGAGAACCAAAATAGCAACAGATATGTACAACAAATTTTGTCTTTCTACAGGCTGCTTAACAAAAGTACCTGGAAGTAACATTCATAAACCCATAAGTGATTAGATAGCATCCTGTTTTACGTGGTGATAAGGCGATTAACCTCCATCACGTTCCAATAAGCAGGCTGTGTCCGTTTTCGTGAATCATCATCAAAGTTTTGATAGAATGATTTAGAGCTGGTTGGCAGTGTTGAAGTCCTTGAGGGCGACAGCAACACGCTTGGTCATGGTCTTCTCGCCCTCTCTGACCCAGACGCGAGGGTCATAGTACTATGCGAGAGTTAGTATCGGCTTGAAGAAACGATGTGATGGAAAGAGTCAAAATGCATAATTGGGCTTGTGCCACGACAAGGGTATGTGATGGGAAGAGCAAGAGCTTACCTTCTTGTTGGGCTTGTCAGCACCGTCGGGGTTGCCGACCTGGCTGCTGAGGTAGTCCTTCTTGCCGACCATGTAGTCGCGGATACCCTCAGTGTAGGCGTACTGAAGGTCAGTGTCGAGGTTGACCTTGCAGACACCGTAGGAGATGGCCTCCTGGAACTCCTCGACGGAAGAGCCGGAGCCACCGTGGAAGACGAGGAAGACGGGCTTGTCATCCTTGGAGCCAGTCTTCTCCTGGACGTACTTCTGGTGCTTGGAAAGGAGACCAGGCTGGAGCTTGACGTTACCGGGCTTGTAGACACCGTGAACGTTACCGAAGCCAGCGGCGATGGAGAAGAAGGGCGAGACCTCGGAGAGGGTCTTGTAGATCTCGTAAATGTCCTCGGGCTGGGTGTAGAGGGAGTTGTTGTCAACATCCTCGTTGTTGACACCATCCTCCTCACCACCGGTGATACCAATCTCCATCTCGAGCCACTGCTTCATGGGGGCAGCGCGCTGGAGGTACTTCTTGGTGGTCTGGATGTTGTAGTCAACCTCCTCCTCAGACAGATCAATCATGTGGGAAGAGAANACTGGGCACATGTTAGACAATATCAGAAGGCGAGCAGAGTCACATCAGACTTACAGAGGAGTGCCGTTCTTCTTGAAGAAGGCCTCGTCGGCCTCCATCATGCCGTCGAGCCATGGAAGGAGCTTCTTGGCGCAGTGGTCGGTGTGGAGGACAACGGGGATACCGTAGGCGGGGGCAACGGCGCGGATGTAGTGAGCGGCAGCAATGGAACCAGCGATGGAAGCCTCCTGGTTCTTGTTGTCGACACCCTTACCGGCGAAGTAGGCAGCACCACCTTGGGAAACCTGTTGGTCATGTGAGTTGTTTGTCCATCTCTCTGTGTTAATTGCATTGGTTCCTACCTGGAGGATGATGGGAGCCTTGTTGTCGCGGGCAGCCTCGAGCGAGGCAACGACGGTGGAGGAAGAAGTGCAGTTCNNTGGACAATGTCAGTAAATAATCAATTCAAGTCAGAATTGACTCCCACATACGATGGCAGGGATGGCGAACTTCTTCTCCTGGGCGTACTTGAAGAGCNNTGCAGTCGAGTGGTTAGCGAAGATTCTTTCGAGCTTGTTGTGGCTTGCAAAGCGACTTACGGTCTTGACGTCCTCGCCGTAGATGACACCGGACTTCTTGAGAACTTCTTGGGCAGACATTTTGGATAGATGTGTATGGAGTGTTGTTTCTTGTGGGATTGAAGAAAGATGAAGATGAAGAAGTTCGAGCGAGGAGTGTTGAGCTGAAGATTAAGAGGACTCAATTAGCGGGGCACTGCATCATACTGTCCCGCACGGACCCGAGGGGTAAGAATTGGTTGCATCACACGTTTGACAACAGACGAGTAACACCGAGGTCCGCCGACGGAGGAAATCGGAGTCGACGTGCTCTTGACTGCTCGCGCTGTGCGGGTGCTGCTACAGAAAACGCACGAATGAGCATTCGCCACTTACCATACGCCCGGAGAAATCGGGGATTGACCATACAAATGTTGCCCTCTGTTGGAGCTTCCAGAGCTCTTTCCAGCTTCGAGAACGCCCAGAAGCGGTCAGCTCGCCCTTCCTCAGCAACCAGCCAAAGCTTGGACGTCGTAGCAAGTCAGGCTTGGAAACACCGGTCTCCGATCCCAACAGTTCACTTGCCATTTCATTCCATGAAACCTACGAGCCCTGTAAGTATCACCGAAGCCGGTGACAGTTCAATCCGAAGTGCATGACAACAGGTGATGGTTGTGCCACGATGGTTAGCAAGTGGGAGCTGGATTCTTCCTATGTGAACAATCAATAGTCCAAAAATGACATTCCAACATAATATTCGTACTTCTATAGGCAACCTCCTCAACAAGTGCTGCCGATACAAAATATTCCTCACATAGTTTATGCATCCATCACCGACCGCAATCACCATAATCACTGTTGTCCTTTTCCTGGCATGACCGAGCCGTGGGTGCATTTATCATTCGAAAGGGTGCGCGTAAGTGCGGTTCTTACAGTACAAACTCCATAAGAAGAGGCTTGATACAACATACATCAGGATCGTCGACGAATACATCTCCTCAGTAATGGTCAAGTCAGTTCGCAACAATCAAGACACACAAGGCTGTCAGGAGTAAGAGTGTTCAAAGAACTCGACCTATCATACTCTATCACTTCCGCCGCCTTTTCTTTTTCTCAGTCCTTATTCAGTTTTACTTCACTCGACCCTTTCTTACAACTTCACCTCATACGGTTATTATAACTTCGCATAGGACTCTCCTATCTCACTTTGACTGCTCTATCTATTTCCTCAGCACAATATCACCTTCTCTTCCATTACATCGAGGTCCCACTTCTTCTTTACCTCAACTCTACCTCGCCACGACCCCATCAATACTTAATTCCTTCTGTCAACGTCTACCACGACCACACATCTTCTTCGTCAACATGCCATCAGCAGACGATTTACCTCAATCAGACGCCGCAACAATGATTGATCCACACATCCCTCACCTCCCTAGTGAGATCTTATGTGAGATCGCTGGTTATGTCAACGACGAGGACGTTCTGAGTCTCCGATTGTCGGCCAAAATCTTTCAATCCATCACCGCTGATCGCTTCGCAACTACTTTCTTCGAAGACCGTACCTACGAACTATCGCCCAAGGGACTGAAAGCTCTAGTCAAAATTATTACAGAGCATCCAGTGTTTGCCCCTCACATCAGCATAACGTACACTCCCTCTTGCTAGCATCATGTGAAGTTGAAAACGAAGCCTTCATTTCGTCCTGATCCTTGTGAAGATCAAGAGTAGCACAACTTGAATCCGTGGAGACACAGAGTGTTTCCAAAAACCAGAAGCTCGTCCACCTAGCAGTGCCACCTAGAGATCTCACTGGAAGCATACAAATCTTGATACAGACTGTGCATTTATATAGCTACCTTTCAACATACATGGTCCGGCGGGAGTTGGGTGCCGTGGAGCAGGGCACAGGCTCGAGCGAGAACAGGGGCAGGAAGGATGTATGCTTCCTGCGTCTCACACTCGATAGAGACTGACCATCAAGATGCATAATGTTGCTGAGAATAAGAGTGCCCAGAGAGACACTCCTCGAGTTAGTGCTCTCCATGGAGACTCACGACTTTCAGACGATCTCGTGCATTCCGATAGGTAGCTCGAAGCAACTTGGTCATTCTGGAGATGCGCGGTTGTGGGTTGACCTGGACCTGAGTTATACAATCTCTCCTAAAGTGTACGAAAACCATGAGAAATCGATATAATCACTCCTTCGGAATTGTCATCCTCATGTACATTTTTCTAGAGCTGTATATTGACACAACCAATGTCGAGAAGCATGCACCGAAGCTTAAGCATTGTGTGACATCTTCTTTCTATGTTTATGTCAGAAGAGTGGATTGTGAGACGCAAGTGAGTATCTGGGCAAGTTTGGTAAGAAGATTGATGGTGACGGTGGTTGCACGGCTTGGCAAGCAAACCAAGCAAACTCGGATCGCGTTAGAAGAACGAATGGATGCTCTTCAGCCTTTGGACATCGCAATTGGCATCACATTTCGCCAAATCAATACAGAATGTTGTGTGCAAGTGAGTGACGGTAAGACACTGGAGCGAAGATGGTCGCTAACAAATACAACAGTTTCGGGAGAGGCTCCTCAGCAGCCTGTTGCGTCGCGCAAGAGCGGTACGATCTCACCCCGACTTGCGACAAGTTTGCGCCAATTCTAATATGATAACCAGNGCAATGTCTTCGAAAAGAGACTGATAGAATCATACATCTCCGAGAATGGCACGGATCCGGTGACTGGAGAGGACCTTACCGTCGAGGATCTGGTCGAGCTCAAGCAAGCTCGCGTCGTTCGCCCTAGACCCCCGACATTGACCTCGATTCCCGCTCTCCTCTCCACCTTCCAGAACGAATGGGATGCTCTTGTCCTCGAGACCTACCAACTCAAGCAGCAGCTCGCCGAGACGCGCCAGGAGCTCAGTACCGCTCTCTACTACAGTGATTCCGCCGAGAAGGTCATCGCACGTCTACAAAAAGAGAGAGACGAAGCCAGAGATGCTTTGGCCAAGATCTCCGTTACCTCGACTTCGAATAGCGCAAATGGAGATGCCATGCAGGTGGATGGACAAGGCTTGCCCGAGGCCATTGTCGCAAAGATCGAGCAGACACAAACGGAGTGCGTTCATCGAAAAGATCCGAGAAAGTCTTACCTGCTAACATGCTACTATCAGANNTTGTCGTCAACACGACGAAAGCGCCCAACACCCGAAGGCTGGGCAACCNCCGACTCCCTGCAGGCCATGCAATCTACTCAGAACTCGGAGCCCTTGTACCCTGGTGGCCGTTCGATCGCTGTCAACGAGACAGGCGACCTGGCACTTGTCGGAGGTAGCGACGGCGTAGTTGGCGTCTACTCAGTATCACAAGGAGAGGTTGTCCAAACATTGAAGTGCGGTGGTGGTTCTGTTACCGATGCTGTTTGGTACGGCAACAAGCCCGTGGTTGCCCTCTCGACTGGTGCAGTCAAGATCTTCGACAACGGAGCCGAGGTTGCTAGCTTCGACCGCCATGCAGGTGCAGTCGGTGCAGTTGCTCTGCATCCGTGCGGAGACATTCTGGCCTCGGTCGGTATGGACAAGAGCTACGTCCTCTACGACTTGCAGTCGCTTCAGCCTATTACACAGGTTTCTACTGATTCTGGTGTGTCTATTTGCAGAAAAGATCAAAGTCAGGCGCTAACTGTTTCCANNGAACTCACAACTGCCGCATTCCACCCAGACGGACACCTCTTCGCAGCCGGCAGCAACAAGGGAACGATCAAGCTTTTCGATGTCAAGACGTCAGAGAACGTGGCCAACTTCGACTCGACTTTCGGACAATCACCTCTTCAGACAGTGTCCTTCTCGGAGAACGGCACATGGCTTGTATCGGCAGTGCAAGGACAGACCAGCGTCAGCGTCTGGGACTTGCGCAAGATGGCAGAGATCAAGACAATCGACCTGGGCACAGCGGTTACTGGAGTCAGCTGGGATTACACTGGACAGTACCTCGCAGCATGCGGACAGGGCTTTGTGGCAGTCGAGCATTACGCCAAGAGCTCAAAGAGCTGGTCAGAGCCGTTCAGAAAGGCACTGAACGCAGTCGACGTGAAATGGGGACCCAAGGCTCAGAGTTTGGTTGCATTGGCGACGGACGGCAGCGTCAGCATCTTGTCTTCGTAAGGGATGGGAGACGAGGTGGATGTCGATATGTTTTAAAAGTATCAAGTAGAATCCAAACAAGGAAAAAAGGCTTCTCAGACAAATATTGGCACTATGGAATGAGGAGGAAGATACAGACAAGATTCAAGATGAAGGAACGTCCTAGAGAGGTCATTCCAGTATAATCGTCATTGTCGAAGGTTTTGAAACGGATGGAGTCTTCGCAAGTCTCGATGAACAAGACAAGCATGAAGGCACCATGAGCACGAACTTGTTCAGGTGGCCTTCACATGCGAGTGAGAGTAGGTATGTATTGGCGGAGGGCGGCATGCAGGTGCTCAGGAAGGCGGCACAAGCACCAAACAAAGGGTACGACCATCGTCACATTTCCCCACAGCTGACCATCAACGTCAATGCTGCACGGCATTTCTTTCACTCTGCTTTCCTGCTCAACCGACTACCAATACTGCCCACTGAACGTCTGGCAGTTTGGTGGTGCCAGCATCTTCCATCATTCATCAGCCGTCTTTTGTCCTCTCAGCTGCTGACCGCGCAGTATGGACGGCGGCCGAAGAAGACCCCCATTTGACTTTCAATTTGACCGCTCAGATAGCAACAAGGTGCCTTGCTCTTGCCCTCTACCCTACCATCATGTATACTGACCCTGTACCCAGCGCTCCTACTCCTCGTACTCCCAAATGGACTCACACACCCGCTCATCGCCCTCGCCGCTCTTTGTCCGCCAGAACAGCCGCTCTCCGCAGCGCCGTGCCACTCCGCCAAATCCTAATCCCCGTCTCACTCTACCCCTCCCCGTACCTCTGCCCGCGATACCGCCTCACTTTCCAAGAGATGGCTACGACTACCGCCGTCCAGTCTCGTCGGCTCGCTCGAGCACCTCGGCCAACAATGTCATCGACCTGACATCCGACGATGATTCTACCGCTCCTGGAAATGCTCCCGTACCGCAACCGCAACCGCAACCCACTGCTGCACCCGTACCCTTGCCTCGCTTTGGAAGAGAGATTATAGACTTGTCTGCAGACATCAGCCCGGTCCAACCCACCCATACCCGTCACGCGAGGACATCATCAAGTCCCGAGGTGCAATTTGTTTCCAGCAGACCTCGATCACGCACCGATCAACGTGCTCAACCTCTTCCTTCCTTGGACCAGCACCCCGAACATCGCCGTCATGCTCCAGAGCTGGTTCTTGACGATCCAGAGGACGACGTCATCATTGCAGGAGAACGTACTGGTGTCAATCTGCTAGGTCCCTTGGGTGCACATAGGAGGTATGGCGGGTTGGTCCAAAGATTATTCGACGGAGGAGCCCGCATTCCAGGTCCCGTCCGAGCCGCAGTTACCACTATTATGCGTGGGGGTCCGATGCCACACTTTTTCGGGGCCGCGAACGACGATGGCGACAATTCTCGTGCCGCCAATATTCTGGGCATGGCTGGCATGCCGGGCTTCATGAACTACGACACTGTTGGTTTTGATCTTCTCGGGAACGCCGACGACCATATACAACTACCCGTACCAAAGTTTGATCCGCCACCCNCTGCGCCAGAAGGTTTCACTAGGGATCCAACCGAGGAAGATACGATAGTTTGCCCGAACTGCGAAGACGAGTTGGCTGTTGGCGAGAGCGAGGAAAAGCGTCAAGTCTGGGTCGTCAAAGGATGCGGTCATGTAAGCTATGACATGCCGAAGCAACATCTAGAAAAACCACTAACAAATATTCTAGNNGTCTACTGCGGTGCATGCATGAATAATCGCAAAAGAAAGACCAACAGAGGAACCAAAGGAAAAGGAAGGGCAGACGAACCGGTGCTACCACCGCCGTTCTCGACGTGCCAGGCCGATGATTGCGGTATTCGCGTCTCTCATAAGAATGATGTGATGCAAATCTTCCTTTGAGCGAGGAATCGGGGTTCTTATTTATCCATAGCCAGTCCTTCGGTGCATGGAGCATTGCAAGGGTTATGGATTTAGGAGATGTATTTTTCTGGGTGTAAATCATGGAGCAAGACTATGTACTTTACAGGCGGATGGACATGTGGATGTCTCCAAGCATGCATAGCGATGGCGTTGTTTCTAGGGCAGGAACAGAGAGAGCAAAGGGCTCCCTGGGCGTTTCTACTGGCTTTCGGCACTCCATTTATCAGAGAAGACACACTCAAACAAATCCTTCGTTTAAGCTGTTTATACATGAGAGGTGGTGGCCCTTAGAGAACATGTGATATACTCTTGCCATTGTTTTACTCTCCCGCCAGAATTTACAGAAGACGGAGTGAACCACATGTTCTCTATGATTGATTTACCACATGTTCTCCAAAGATCCCGATAAGAGTGTGTGTGCAGTGCTGAAAAGGATGGAGTCTAGAAACAAAGACATTGTTCTTTCCCTCAGAGCAAGATGGCGGAGCATTCCGCAGTCAACAAAGATCGGCGCAACTGGCAAGCTCCTGCCTCGTCAGGGTCCAATCTTGAATTCCAAGCAACTCTGGCCAATTCAAACCGCCAATTGTCACCTTCCCACCTGGTTCTCGATAATCATGGCCGACCGACCTCAACAGCCCGCGCGTCCAGTTCGCGAACGTAAATCGTCGCCCGTCAAGACTGGTTACCTTGTCCTTTACAATGCTGTCTCGACCATCCTCTGGGCTACCATCCTGGGCCGCGTCTTGCTAGTTGCTTCTGTGCATGGCACGAAATATGTTTTCCCTGCTGTGGGAGAGTTTGCAAAGTGGACCCAGACTTTGGCTCTGCTGGAGGTTGTGCATGCTGCTGTCGGTGAGTTTGCATGTTCCTTGAATTGTGGTTGTGCAAGAGATGGATTTGAGCAAGTGGGAGGATGGAAGAGAGGAGGATGATGGCTAGGAAGAGCGAGGAGAATGAGGAGGTCAAGGGTATGGAGCATTGAAGGAGCGCAAGGGACGCAAGAGGCGGAAACCACAACGGCAACCTGCCAATACTGCAGTGCAAAGAACAGAGCTAACACCCTTCTCCCTCCAGGCATCGTCCGCGCACCCCTCTTCACCACCCTCATGCAAGTCGCCAGCCGCATCCTCCTGATCTGGGGCATCGTCCACCCCTTCCCCAATACCGTCGCCTTCTCTCCCGTCTACAGCTCCATGCTCATCGCCTGGTCCGTCACCGAAGTAATCCGTTACTCATACTTTGCCATCAACCTGTCTACTGGCGGTGTCCCTGCCATCTGGATGTGGCTGCGTTACAACACTTTCTTTATCCTCTATCCTCTGGGTATCAGCAGCGAGTGTTGGTTGGTCTGGTTGGCTGCTACCGGACCCGCAAAGCAATCTACTGGTGTTAGAGAGGCTCTGTTTGCTATTCTCTTGATCTATGTTCCTGGTAAGTGTTTTGCGTACCTCAGAAGATACAAGGGAATGCGAAACTGACATCGAAATTTCCAACTTTAGGCTCGTATATTCTGTTTACGCATATGATGGCCCAGCGCCGCAAGATCATGCGTGGAACCCATGCAAAGACAAACTAAAAGTATCAGCATGCATTCTCAAAACTGCGGACAAGAAACCTTGGTGATTAACCACTCCTGAAGGGGAGTTTCGCTTGCAAGAAGATACATAGCACGCCATCTGGACAAAGATCAAGGTCTTGTCCGGTCTGCGGAGCTTGCCTGAATCAGCTTCCCCTGGCGAAATGCACCACAAGTGGCCTGACTCCAGAGCCTCAAGTTTTTCACGACGTGGCAATCAACAGTGCTCATGCATGGATCTCTTATAGAAGAACCAAGTACACTAGAAGGAAAAGGAAAAAAGTCGATAAGTGTAATAATCTGTCTATACGAACTTCCTTTAGAACGATGATCCCTTCTCCATGCGCCAAGGACTGTCAAATCGTAGCTATGGAAATGCACAATGTCTCCAAGAGGAAGGTCACATCCACAGAGATGCTGTGTCTGTATCAATTTGCTCTGGCACTGTGTCTTCATATATGTCAAGCTTGGAAATGCCCACTGAGAGCTGAAGAATAAGTGACATGAGTCTTGACATCCCTAACACTGACTATCCGTAATTAGCTCTATGTACAGCTCAAACCATGCTCTGAGCATCCGAATGCCTCTTCTCATCTTCAGCAAAGGAAACGGTGTCTTTGTTTTCTTCCTCGACATCATTGGCCACGCCTTCCACCGCACCCTCGTCATGAACGGCAAAGTTCACAGCACCAATGCCACGAGCTGCCAATGCTCCTTCAATCGCAGAGATACGATTCAGCAATCTGTCATCAACAACAGCAGCAGCAGCGGCATGCGGCAGAACCTCAGTTTCCGTAACTCCAATCGTAGGAGCGATATACGAGTATCTGAGCTGAGACATGCGCTTGGAGCGACGCTTTGATTCAACATCGGAAGTTGTTGTGGGTATCTTCTCACTCGTGGTACTTTCTTCCTCTTCTGCCTCTTCGAGCACGGGTGTTACGCCTACCAATGAGCCTTTTGCTCTTGATGATCTAGGGCCTGTGGTTCGAACGGAGCCTTCGTTAATGCCTTTAGATCGGAAAGCATCTGAGGAACGGCGACCAGGGATAGGGGCGGCGTTAGGTGTGGATACCTCATCCATAGCAGTGGCAAACCCGACGCTTACACGGCGACCATCAACGGTGATGGAAGGTAAAGGAGCGTCGATGGGACGAGATGCATCTCCAGTCTTGACTATACTGATCGAAGCCTTGCGCTCAGGCTTCGCGATAAGCTCTTCTGCTTCTTCGTCTTCTTCTGTGATGTCAGGATTGCTGAAGCGTTGACCCATGGCAGTAATGGTCATTCTGCGGCCTCCGATTGCACCGCCAGGAACATCGACCTGCGAGCCCACGGCAGTAACACTCATGCGTCGGCCACCAACAGGCAAGACTGGGTCGTCATCGACGTCTTCTTCCTCAAGCTGCAGCACAACGTTCACAGCTTTGGCGTCTTCGATGATTTTGGGATGACGGTTGGCGAAATAGGTGGCGTACTTGTACATGGCGTAGTAGCAACTCGCAACGTTGACAAAAGTCAAGACGAGCTTGTACGGCATGTAGTAAAGCCAGACGCACTTCTGAGGTACTTTTTCGTTCTTGCGTCGAAGGTGGATCTCATTGAAGATGATTGCGTTGGCCATGTAGAGGACGAAAGTAAGCGCCATAAGCTCGAAGAAGAACTGAGGTCGTATAGCGAGAGAGATCGGGACGACGATAGGGGTAGCGAGGTAAAGCAGCGTCTCGTAAATTTCCTGGAAGACGAAGAGCTTGGTGCCAATTTCCCACCAACCCAGCTTCCATGAGAAGAGGATGTAATGCAGGTTGTAGTACATTCCATTGACGAAGAAGAAGTTCCATCGATAGAAACGCTGCTTGAAGACCGTCATCTCACCAAACCCACCTCTTTCGCCACCGGAGCTGAAGAAGACGGCATCAGGAGTCTCTGTCTCGATGAAGACCGATGTTGCCATCTGAGTACGACATCCGAGTTGACGAGCAACGTGTCCGAAGAACCAGTCCTCGGAAACACTGAATCCAGGATGTTTGCTGAAGGTCTTGATGAGAAACTCCCTGTCCCAGAGGGAGATGGCGCCATGCGGGAAGGTTGCACTGCCCATCTTGCCGGCAAGTGCACGCTGAATACCAGAAATTTTATATTCCAGATCTTGTGCTTGTTGGCAGAGCGTTCCTTTGGAAGATTTGGGTCCGACAGACTTGATGGTGTATCCCATGCACATGACGTTGCCCTTGAGTCGATCAGAGACGATGGGGAAGTTGGGTGGTAGAGCGCAGTCATCATCGATGAGCAAGACATTCTTGAAGTCTTTTGCAGCATAGCAACCGACAAACTGTGCGACAATCTTTGAACCGACGGGGCTCCAGATATGGTTAACGCCGAAAGGTCTGCAGATCTCCTCGGTGTTGTCAAGGGGAGTCGGACTATTGCCTNNGTGATATCGTTAGCAAGAAGGGCATGGGCTCTGTTCGAACGACATACCGTTGGCAACGACGAAGATGTGCGATGGTGGAAAGACTTTGGTCGCAGCTTCCAAAGTTGGTCCGATTAGGGTGGCGGCCTTGTAGCATGGGATCATCAAAGCAGTGTCGGCGATATTAGGAGTTTTGGTAGCGTCGATTGGTTCCTCAGGCATTGGTGGGTCTGGCTCGAACAAAACAAGGAGCGGGGAGTATGCATAGCTTGAAACAAGAAAGTTAGCTTGGNNATGTGGAAAGTGCTTCCCGTCATCATTTGCTTTTGTGCAAGGAAAGTGGGAGGGACAGTATCCAGCCCTGTCAAAGTAGAAGGAGCGAATGACGACTTACGCAACAGATACCGCAATGACGATAGACCATGAACCAGGGACATTGAGCTTGTACTTGAACGCCAGGTACAGCTCCAAGTAAGTCCCTTTCCAGAGGGGCTCTCCGATGATTAGGAAATACAAAAGGACAAGAAGCATGCCATAGAAAGAATATTCGAAGAGGATTTGGACCCAGCGCTTTCTTCGAAGTTCGAGTTGTCGTTTCTTAGCGTTTTCGTAAACGTCCCACATGCTACTTCGGCGGACCTTTTTGCGAACATTTTGAAGTGTGCCCTGGAAGACGGACCCTGCTCGCTGGAAGACGGAGGGTCTTCTTTCTGCAATGTGTGGATTATGGACATCCACTGCAGCACTTTTCCTCCACATACTTGGTCTTCGAGGGGCTGTGTTCGAGTTTTGAGTCTCGTTAGTTGCCACTTGGCCTAGAACTGCTCCAGCAGCCGCCATTGGATCAGCAGGATCTATAGCAGCACCGGGCGAGACACCANNCCTCCATCGGTGTACTTGAATCCGAAATTTCCCCATCCACTCAGACCTTCCGAGGGTTCGTTTGGGGTCACTGGCTCTTCATTCTCTTCGTCTTCTTGCTCGCTGTCGTTCGCTTTTTCGGCTTCGGAAACAGCAGCANAGAGACTTCACTCTGGATTTTCTGGCACTGGGTTGGCGTTCTCTCATTGTAGCAAAAGGGTCTGCTTGAGCTAAGGCTTCCATAGATGTGCTCATATGGCGAGGAGCTTGTGGTGTTGTGTTGATGATATTCTTGATTTCCTCCTGCTGTTTCTGCGCCATGGACTGGATGTTGAAGGATTTGCGAGAGTCTTCGCGTTTGTATGCTGATTTGCGTCTACCCACGACTTTGTCTTCTGTCCAATTGGTCTCGACATGGGTCATCAGATGAGCAGGGATAACGACATTGGTGACAGAGATAGAAGAGCGACGGGGCCCGGCCATAGAAGGGCGTCGGCTATCTAGAGCCGATGGTGGGCATGTGGTCGAGGTGTTCCTGCTGGCCAGAGTTGTAGAGGGTTGACGGCTGGAAGGAGGGGTCAAATCGGAGGCTGTAGCCGGAGCAGGTCGACTCTCTTTCTCCGAAAGAGGAGCTAGGCCACTGAACGCCACAGAACTAAGACGAGGCTTCTTTTGCTCGTGAGCCAAAGCGAACGACGTCCTTATAGGTGTTTGCATCGGCGTATCTGCCATAACGTCCCTAAGTGAACCTTCAGCCGTTGGTGTGTGCCCGCTGACTTGAATGCCATTCGCTGGCACCACGATGTTGGTCAATTTGTTCGAAAAGTTTCTTGACAATCGGTTGCCCAAACTCGTGCTTGTGTTTCCGATCGGGATCTGTTCTGTACAAGATGTTGCCTTTAGAATACCAGGTCTGTTGGCGGAAGGGTCTGTGGGTTTAAAGAAGGGATTCGCATTGTCAACTGCGCCGCCAGCAGCGTAATTGTTTGTTATTGGCTGCCGAATGTCGTCGTTTACAGGATTGACTGCACCGGGACTAACATTAGATGATTCCCAGTCTCCAGAACCTAAAGATCGCCGGATTACAGTGTGTTGATTTGGTATGGACTCATTGGGTCCAATGTTGGCAGGGATCTTATTAGATGTCCTCCCGGCAGGAACGGCTTGGACCGCTGGGTTCTCATCCGGTGCAATGTTCCAAGATCTTCTGTTTGTACTGGGTGCGCCATATGATAACATTGAGAAGGGGTTTGGTTTCGTACCAAGATCGTACGGTCCGAGGTTGGTTGATGTTCGATTTAGCAAGCTCGGGCGATCGTATGATGGTTTAGAAAAAGGCGAAGTGGGAGGTATATCTTGCAAGCTGGCATTGGAAGACTTCCTATCCGCTGGCGTGTATGCTTGATATGCTGGCCTGGGCTTGACAATATCGTTTGTGGACGAGGCCACTCGTTTTGATCCATGTTTTGTTGATCGATCATCTTCTGACATCCGTGAGGTACAAGGTGGTCCACTGCTTTTCGAGAATGGCAAACTAAAATGGTTAAAAGGAGCGTAGCTGGTATGCGAAGGAGCAATTCCTCCCGGAGCAAGCTCGTCAGGCCCGAGTTCGTCAGACATTAAACGATATGGCCTGAAGCCCTGCTTGCGTAGAACAAGGAAGAAGTGGGCATAGCTAGATAGGGCATGGGGCATGGGGAAGAGAAATACTTACCTTACTGCTATGTACTAACGTATGCTGGCCGGTTGTTGGTAGCGAGCATGTGGTTCATTGGCCCTATGTCAACGAAGAGCTAGATGAAACAGATACTATCCAGGCTCCTCATTCAGAAGTGGGGACCGTTATGGTCTCTATGTTGCTCTACCGCTTTGGGCCGCCCTGTCGAATATTGATATAACGGCCACAAAAGCGGAAGCCGGGCAAGCCTGGATCATGGTCACGGAAAGAACAACTCCTCCGGCTAGATTTCGAGGTGCAGATTGACGATGATTGACGACAGCCCAGATGTGCATTAAGTGGCTCTTGAAAAATCCACTTAATACGAACATCATAGAGGTCGTAGTAACGGCTTGATATTATATTAAGAGAGCAAAACTTGTGACGTCGAGGGGCCCGTTGTAGCTGCGGCCCATGCAGTTAGAGTGTGGTGGAAGTTGGCTGGAAAGATCTGGGCCTCCTCGCAGGCGGACTGGAAAGGTGTTGTGGTTGACCGGTCCCCGTTGAAGAAGGTTCGGGCATTGATATGAAGCGAAAACGTTCCGTACTTTTGCTGGAGTAGCAGGAAAAGCATACTGCCTGCGAGTTATACATCTCGACAGGCTATTACGATAGAATTGCTTTCCTAGTCGTCGTCTGAAACGCACAAAATCCTTATGACCGTGATAGATCCCAAGTACAGTGGTGAATATAAGAGGTGGAATGAAGTCGGGCAAGCGAGACAATAATTTGCACGTTGGAAGTTTAAACTTGCGCTCACCGCGTGGCAGCGCACGGATGTTTGAAGTGCCGATGTCCACCAATAGTTCTTCTTGGGCAGCCATAGTAATGACCAGAGCAAAACAAAGCTATCGCTATGGTTCTGCCTTCAACACTCGTGATTCGCCCTCAGCATACATATCTGATATCCTCGTTCAAAGCTCGTCCTTGATCTTGCGCAAAAAGCCTCTGATACCATGACCGTGCTTCTTGTTAACTCCTTCCGCCTGCGGATGCTCGTTGCCTACAAAAGCTGCCATGGACGTGGTTAAAGTGCCCACTCCATCACCCATCCAAGGACCTTCCGGTGTGAAGACGACTCGTTGCATCCTAGCCTTCCTGTTGTTCCAGCCCTCATCGGGTCGATCAGTGGCGTGGTANGCTAGAAGACAAGTATTAGTTGCTTGTGTGCATTACTTTTGATGGACAAATACTTACATTCCAACTGTGTCGTCGCCAATGTGCATGAAGGAACCGTGGCCAGGTCCCCAGGGGCCATGGCCGTGTGGGCCGTTCTGAATCAAGGGCTTCATGCTCTTCTGCCAGGAGTCAGGTCTAAGGGGGTCTCCGCCAGTCCAGCGGAGGCAGTTCATCTTGTACTCGTTGGTCCAACTACCCGAGCAACTGTAGACAATACCGACCCATGAGCCATCCGGAGAGGCAAGATACTGCGGTCCTTCGTTTATACCGTGGTCTCCTACGCGCTCAAAGGGTTCGTCCGGTCTACAAATCTCGACAGGGTCTGATGACGCGGTAACCGGGTCAGACAGCCGCAGGATGAAAAGATGCTGTTGAAGGTCTGATTCATTAGGGTTGTCGAATGGCCATCCAGAGTAGACGAAGTACAACTGCCCATGCAGCTCAATGACGGTGCCATCGATAGCCCATTGCTGCTGTCCCATGCCTCTGATGGGTCCTACGAACTCCCATGATCCAGTAGCGGGGTCTTGGTCTGCTGGTGGTCCAGCGAGCACGAACATTCTGTGACTCTTGTTTCCGTGTTTGGGATGGCAAGCAGCGTAGTAAACATACCACCTGCCTCTCAGGCAATGGATCTCAGGTGCCCAGAGATCGTTCGAATGCTCCGTGTTTGGTGGTGGTCTCCAAATGACATGCTTTTCTGGATTATCGTGGAAGTTTGGTAAGCTGTTTGCTCTCCAGATCTCTATCCGGTCACCCGCGGTGAACGTCNNTAGAACGGTCAGAAATACGTTGATGCGAGCGTTGTGTTTTGGGTCACCACTCACGAGATAGAATTGGCGGGTTGCTGCCGAGTAGGTGACATAAGGGTCTGGTGTGGTGACTGTCGTCAGCGATAGAACGGAGTTGTTGTATTGAGCCATGGCCGTAGGTCTGGAAATCGAAGACTCTAGGAAGATGACAAGAAAATGTTATCAATGTCAGAAGTGGTGGTTGCGACTGCTTGGCTTTGTACAATCGACGTCTTCCAGTTTCGGGCTGGCGAAGATCAACACGCAAGCAATGAAGTCATTGTTTATGAACCTTGTCAACCCCTCTCTTTAACCCGGCCTTGTTTTATTACCATGTTGGTCCGTTTGACACATGTTTATCTGGTTTTAGGCAGAAGTAATCAATATCAATTGACACAACAGTGCCAGTGTGGACTCGAGAGCTTTCAAAGAGAGCTTGGTCAAGCATAGTATGGGTGGGGTTATCATCAAGATGTAAGGTACAAGAAACTCTCATTGGATATTTCTTCTGCCAAAGAATTGATTCTATATCCCTACAGTCCGCTTCAGAGTCTTGGTGAACGAATCGCTCATCCTGAGCTTGGTGCAGTGTGCCAGACAAAATTTCAGCTACACTCGTAACTCACCCCATGCTGGTGCTGCTGCTAGAAACAGTCATGCTGTTGTCATCCTCGTTCGTTTCGGAAGTCAAGAGAGCAAAAAGACTAGAGTACATACTTACCCCAAAGGGAAGTGCAAAGGTAAACGAGAGAAAGATAAGAACACAACCCATCGCGCACCATTACCAATGCATGCAATTCGACACCTCCCTAAATTGGTTACCTTCGCCTATGAACGCCATCTGCCTTCCTGTGCCGAGCTTTTTGTGTAGTGTATCCTGAAGAAAGATTGTGCTTTTTCTTCCCGTGTCATCCAGAGGAGGCATCGAATTGCGAAGGATCCACACTAGAGTGCTTCTGTCCTGTTTCTGGTGCCTTACCGGGCGCTTGACTGGGGCGTGAGACATGGTTGCTTACCGACGTTATGCGCATATGGTGATGGGCTTACCGTCGATTTCTTGAGTGTGAGAGGAAACAAAACTTGCCAGAGCGTGCGTGCAGAAAATGTGCAACAAACCCAAAAAGCGCTCAGTACCTTCTTTGCTTGCGCGATTCGTCGTAGCCACCGTTTCCATCGTAGGGGCGCTTGCGGTCATTGTCGCGTTCCCGATCACGATCGCGGTAGCCACCACCACCACGCTCTCCACCTCCAATAGGTTCTCGGTTGCCGCCGCTACCGCCGTAGCTGTCGCGTGGCGGTCTGTCGCCATATCTTGAGCCTCCGCCAGAGTAGCTGTCGCGGCCACCATCACGGCCTCCTGAGTAGCCGCCATCACGACCGCCTCCGAAGCCACCGCCGCCGCCTCTTGGACCACGAGGGCCGGATGGGGCGCCTTCTGGGAATCCGTTGCCGTAGCCGACTCCAGATCTGCCTCCTCCACCACCGTAGCCACCTCTGTCACCTCCACCGAATCCGCCCCGGAAGCCACCGCCTCCGCCTCCGCCTCCTCCTCTTCCACCGCGGAAGCCTCCTCTGAAGCCGCCGCCGCCAAAGCCGCCACGACCGCCGCCGAAGCCTCCGGGACCAGAGGGGCACCATAACCAGAAGGACGAGGAGGGGCGGCCTTTGTGTAGTGACGGCCACCGAGGCCACCTCCATATCTGCGAGGACGCCATTCCTTGACTGTGCGGCCGCGTTCGACATCAACCAGGATACGTCTGTCTTTGATACGAATACCGTCGGCGTCTTTGTAGGCAGCTATTTGGGGTTAGATCTGGGTGTGTCAAATGGTCAAGAATAACGGATTACCCTTCATGTCAGAGTCTCTTTCGAAGACAATGAAAGCATAGCCTCGATGCTTCTTCTTAGGAGTAGGTGTGGTTGTGTCCTCGACCAGGCGGATCTGAAAGAGTCAGCGTTGATTTAGTGAGAGCGATGGTGGTGGCAGCGCACGCGCTCGATGGGACCGTAGCGACCGAATTCGCGCTCGAGGTCCTTGACTTCGGTGTTGTAGCTGAGGCGAGAAACGAACAGAGTCTTCAACGGGTCGCCGACGACGTTGGGGTCTTCGTGAGGCTTGACTGGTAGTATGTGTCAGTAAAGAAGGCAGAGTCAGACAATTGGTGTGGTAGGCGCACATTCGTTCTTGAAGCCCTCGGTGACGCGGTATTGAGCAGCTTCGTCTCTTTCCATCTTTTGACGGTCCTTCTTCTGCAGCCAGCTCTCAGAAGGGACGTAGCCGTCGTCGTATTCCTTTGCGGCCTGGACGTATTGAGCGACGCCAGAGATGGCAGGAGTGCGACGGTCCTCGGGAGCGTGGTCGCACGGCGGCAGATATCGCAGAGCAGGTCTGGGAGCGAACAGCTGCAGGAGCTGCGGGGGTAGTTTGTCCGTCATCTGTGTGCGATGATGTGGTGATGAATAGCTGTGCGGTAGACAGGGAGTCTCTTGGTCGATGGTGGAGCTGAGAGTCGAGACACGACGGCCCGCGGCTTCTTCCACACAGCGCGCCAAGACGCCCATCCAGACATTCTCGGTGGAACATGATCAAATGGTCAATTGATCAATCTGTCGAATCGCTGCTGCCAATATGCCCCTACAGGCTCTGCGTACTGTCTCCAAGGCCCAGGTATGTTGCTGTCTTACTGTCCGCGCTCTACACTCGACCCTTGACTAATTTGTGTCTCNNCAGAATGGCGTCGGCGCCTTCATCCTGCAATGCAAACGCCTCGACTTCCACTACTGCGACTGGGCTGGTAGCTCTAAGGGCATGAAGTACGCTCTACTCAGATCTCCTCGTCACTCCAGCTTCTAACACAATGCGCCANGTTCGTTCCTCAAGTACGACCTCCCGGCCTTTGCCCGCGCAAACCCCCAAGTCGAAATCACCGTCTCGCCTCGCCCTCGCAAACACCCCGTCATCAAGGGCACATATATCAACGGCCGTGAAAAGGCCATTTGCGTGCGCAGTCTGGAGAAAGAGCAGATCATGAAGAAGGCCGAGCTCTTGCGCGACGCCAGCGGCGACAAGCTGAGAAAGGTCACAAAGCCCGTCAGGAGTATGAACGAGAGTGTGAGAGGTATCTGGGATCCTTTCCACGGCTCAAAGTGGTCTGTTTGATCTTTATGCCACTCTTCCACGACTATCTTGTACAGCATTTCCAATGGCGTTTTGGGGGATACCAAGGGTTTTGGAAAAAACGGCCTTTCTTTAATTGTATACTATACTTTTTCTCCATCAGCATACTCTTTGTGTACAGCTTTACTGCACGCCGAAGACGAAAAACATTTGTATTCAACAACAGCTTACCTTCCGTGCACTTCCAAGAAGCCAGTATGGCACAAGTCCAATTGTGCATTTTGACTCTTTCCATCACATCGTCTCTTCAAGCCGATGCTAACTCTCGCGTGTCTTCTTAGTACCACGACCCTCGCGTGTGGTCACAAGGACGAGAGGACCATGTTCAAGCATCGTCGCTGTTGCACAAGGACTTCAACCCTGCCAACCAGGTTTAAATCATTCTATCACAATACACAACGTTTTCATGAACAGCTCAACATCCACTGGGATACATCATCTTGCGAGCTCTCCATGGACATGTTACTATCTTCAAAAACGGTCGTGCATTTTTATAGCTCAAAATAGGGTTGTGTTGCTGTAAGGGAGGCACTAGGTGTCATGCAATCTTGCCAACCCTTAGTAAATCAGAGGCAACATCTGGAGCCTGCTTCCTCATCAACCATTGCAGCTTAGCACATGTGGGATACTGAAAATATCATGCTTGGTTCGTCGAATGTTTTTATTCAACAGTCATCTCTCATAGGCAGCCATGCGTTTACCGCATGACACCCTTCTATATACAAGAACTTTACGAGGACTGGGCGTTGATGATGTCGACAAAGGCGGGCTTCAAGCTGGCACCGCCAACAAGGAAACCGTCAATGTCCTTCTCCTTGGCGAGCTCGTTGCAGTTCTTCTCGCTGACACTGCCACCGTAGATGATTCTGGTGTTGTCCGAGGCGGTCTGGCTGACCTCCTTGGTGAGATACTCGCGGATGGCGGCGTGCACCTCCTGAGCCTGCTCAGTGGTGGCGACCTTGCCAGTGCCGATAGCCCAGACGGGCTCGTAGGCAATGACGACCTTGCTCCAGTCCTGGACCTGCTTGGCGACGGCGCGGAGCTGGTTGGTGACGACCTCGATGGTCTTGTTGGCCTCTCTCTGCTCGAGGGTCTCGCCAATGCAGAGAATGACACCGAGACCGTTGTCGAGGGCGGTCTTGGTCTTGGAGGCGATGAAGTCGTCGGTCTCCTTGAGGATGACACGGCGCTCAGAGTGTCCAGTCAGGGTCCATGTGATGTTGGACTCCTTGAGCTGGGTGGCAGAGATCTCACCCGTGAAGGCACCGTTGGGCTTGTCGAAGACGTTCTGGGCAGCGACCTCGAGGCCAGGGCGGAGGTGCTCGCGGGTGAGGAGCAGGTAAAGGGCAGGAGGGGCAATGACGACCTCTNNGCAAGCTGTTAGCATTGGGCATGTCTGCAGATTGTGCAATGTTTACATACCGACGTTGGGGTCGACCTTGGCCTGGTTCAGGTTGTTCACGATGCTCTTGATCGTGTCGACCGAACCGTTCATCTTGAAGTTGCCTCCGACAAAGAATTGACGACCCATGTTTGCGGATGTGTGTGGTAATGTGGTGTTTGGGAAGAGTTTGTATAAGTTGCAGTGGTGGTTGCAAGAAAAGTGTCAAAGCAAAGGCTGATGTTGAGGGGAGAGGACGAGTTTATTTTGTTGGCAACTGCGCCGATGGAGGGGCAGCATCATAGCTTGACGTAGCTGCCAACCCGGGCAAAATCGGCGCTCGGGTCCACCGCAGGAGCTTTCGAAACAACGAGAAGGGCCGCGTCTTGAATCATTGGCACCCTCGAAACCATTGCTAGACCTCACTTCGTATTCCAGGCATACTCAAGAGATGAACAGTGGTGGCTACAAGAATGCTTCGGCAGATCGCTTCGTGTACTCACTCGCTGCAGGCACAAGTGAGAGCTACGTGAACCATAGCGAGGAGAAGCAGAGGGCTTAATGAACTGATTTCAGGTGCCTTTTCTCCCACAAGAACGCAGAGCGAAGTGTACGCTATAGAAAGACACAAATCGTTACCGAAGCAGGGGAGCAGCCAAAGAGAGCCGCTAAGATGTTGACTCTCAGCGGATACTACCTTGTTTCTTGATAGCACTGTGCATTTCCATAGCTATACGCGTTACATACTTTGGTACAGGGAGGAAGCGATACAGCTTGCCACGGGCTAGATGAAATCTGTCACTTTCACCCACATCCCACACGGGGTCAGAGCGATGAGTAGGCTATAGAAATACACAGTAATTTACAAAAGAGGATAGCATCCATCGAGAGCCATGGTCTTGTTGACTCTTCTTGGACGCATATCTGAACTGATCGCATCTGTGCATTTTGATAGCTCCATGTATCAAAGTCGTTCTCAGTGAGAGTCGTGGTTCCATCGTCTCTCCCTGCATTTGTCCCTTGTCTTGAAAAAACCGATTGTGTACTCCCACAGGACCGTATCACTCTGCGTCACCGTGAGAGATAATCTAGGGTGACAGACCTAGCACATGGGTCAGACACATGTGCTACTCTCGGATGATGTGGTGATCAATCACGCTCTCTGCAACTTGCCCGCGCGATCCGCAGCAATCTCACACATGGCCTGCATCTCGGTCAGCATGGCTCACTACATAACGTGCTCGTGTACTCATGCCTTGATTGCGGCTGCTCGCTCCGCGTCAATATCTCCAGCAGCGATTCTACGCTTCATGTCTTCCATAATGACCGGTCTGCTGCGACCACTGACAAAGACAACATATCTCAGTCCAGGATATGTCTTTTCGTACTCTTCGTTGAGGTCGCGTAGCTTGTGGGCTTCTTCTTCGCTGCCAGTGTTGAGTTGTGCTTGCTCTGCCTGGCTCTGTGCACTTTCGACCTTCTTTGCACCGAGTCTAGGATGAGATCCCAAGATACTCTCGAGCCATTTGGTATCACTGGCGGAAGATGACTCGGAAAGCTCGGTCAGCTGTACACCGACAGCTGCGATAAGGTCATTGTACGATGCGAATGTCTGATTACGCAGCAGCTCTACGGAAAGTGTGTGCAGAGGGACGCTGGGCTCGAAGAGAAGGTCAAGGACACTTGCTCTCTGCTCGGCGGATAGCGACGGCAGAGAGGATATGGAGGGAAGGTCGGACATGATGAAGCTTGGGATGTACGAAGACGTAACGTTAATGTCGAGTCAACATGGTTAGAGTTGTAGCATAGAGGTCCACACTTACCCCGGCGATTGGGCGATTCTCTACCAGCCACCCACGACGCGGATTAGGTTGGCTATAGGAAATGCACTACAATTCCAATACAAACAGTCTCCGCTACATTAATCTTCCGGCCTTCATGCCTGTCTGGTTTTTACTGATTGTGATATGGTCCAGCTATAAGAGTGCACAAATGTTCCTGGGAGCAGGGTAGGATAGGCTGAGAGAATCGATTTCGACGCCTCTCTGTGGATACACTATGAAGATACACAATGCCTTACAGAAAAGAGTAGCATCGACCGAAAGTCGTGGTCTCATCAGCTCTCCTTGGATCTTGACTGTTGTCTAGAAACAATTGTGCATTTCTATACTGCCCTGCGACAGTCTTCAGCACACTGGGAGGCAGTATGATTTGAAAAATCCGCTTGGCTTCTCCAGTCAACTAGAGCTCGGACTGCATGGCACACGCGCCGTGCATGCTCCAAAGAAAGGTAAAAACAGCTCAGATCTCGGTTTGTGCGGCCGAGATAAAGCAAACGGCTCGGAGGATATCACAAAGATGGGATTGATGTTCGGCACGCGGGAGACCGAAGAGTTAGAAGTTCAAAGGCTGAGAGCCATACCAAATTCGTGAGGGTTGAGGTACAAAAGCGGCAGCCGTTCTGCCGATCATAGCTCTCTCGGAGACTTTATTCAACGTAGAATTTCGAAGTGAAGGTAAGGCGCACAGCATGCCGCATGCATACAGTAACGAACACCATGGAGTAGGTTTGTGCCTGAGAAGTTTCCGTGGTTCAGCTACAATGGTGCGTGTGTGGTGATTGTCTGTCTAGACAAAATTGGCCTGGGCGCTGCCACACAAAGTCAGGGTCAGCCAATCAATGGTGCAATCTACCGAGAGGCTACGGAAATCCCTAGATGAAAGCATACGACGATCAATCCGATTCGTGCTGATGGCCAAGTTTGGTTGGGGGCGAAGAGGGGGAAGGTGGATATATGTATAATAGAGCAGTCCTGTGTTTCGAGTCTGCGAGCGACGAACAGCATCAGAGCACAATAATGCTGGTCGCCAGAAAGGGGCTCACTCAACTCGAAATTTGCGCGAGACACGGTCACACGCGCTTCTGGAATTAACGCCCCTGAATCTCTCTTGCAGCAAGGGCATAAGGTCTTGTAAAGTCAGAAGACGGTCCGGCGACGACTGGCAACAACCATGTCTCTAAACGGGCTGGATGTGCCAGAAGTGCAGCAGGCCTACCAAGCTACCTTGGCCGAGGCTGGAGGATGGTTTCTGGTGAGATACATCTCCCGCGACGAGGTCGCTCTGCTCGGCTGTGGGCAGGCCGGCTTGAGCGAAGCAAGAAACGCGATCCTGCAGTATGAGGAACTGTCACCTCTGTACGGGCTGGTGATATACCGGCGCAGGAAAGTGCTTGTCAAATATGTGCCCGAGGGAACATCGCGGTTATTGCAAGGTACGAATCGGCCATTGGCGACAGCGCAGATCAAGACTGACCGGGAGCGACGCANNGCGCGGACAGCGGTACACCTCCGGGAGGTCCAGGACATCTGGGCGCCGTACGAGACGATGCTCGAGATTGAGACGGCTGACGGGCTGAACGACACGGCTCTGGCAGCGGCCTTTCCTCTTCACACCGCCTCACCCGCACTGTCCAGCAGTAATCAATTCTCCCTGAATGAGATCACCGAGGACCATGAAGACGGCGACGCAGCCCCGAAGCCGCTGACCCACACTCCGTCCATATCGTCGGTCTCGAGCCGGAAGCCCACGCTTGAAAAGCGACCCNCGTCCCAGCGTTCTTACCGCGCCCCTGCTTTCTCGAGTGTCCAACTCGCCAGCGACCACTTGCCGGCTGTCAAGCACAAGTCATCGCTATCACAATTTCTGGTCCGGGAAGAGCTAGGGCACAAGTCAGTCACACAGTTGGATGGATACTCGGCGACCGAAGACAACGCCTCAATCAAAGACGACGCGGCCTCGATACTCAGTACTCGTACCGAGTCGGCCATCNCCTTGACTTCTCCTACACGGACACACACCAATGAGTCGGCCGATTACGATTTGGAAAGATATCTTGATTCGTTCTTTAAGCCGAAGATAAAGCTTGGCCCGCGCCCGGTCAACGTTGGCGAGAAAGGCAAGCTCACGACGGCAGGCGCGCCCGTGTCGAGCCTTCCTGCTGGCATTCAATTCAGACCAAAACAGCCCCTGGCACACCCACAACCACAATTTCCTGCGAATCGCAATCGTCTGCCCGAAGACACCTCTTCGGGTATCACGGCGCCGCCGAGGCTGCCCTCCCTTCATTTCTCGCCTCAGATTCCAGACATCCCAGAGTTCCTCCCGCCACGGCCCAACTCAAGAGGCAGCTCTCGCTCGTTACCAGCTACTCGTGCTTCCAAGGCCTATTTGACCCCTGAGAAGCAGCGGCTCATGAAGGCTCTCGAAATGAGGAAAAAGCAGATGAGGACTTCAGCCTCTGTAGAATCAATGCCACAACTGTCAGCTGCCCAAGTCGCTGGTCAAGCGGCCGCCGACTCGAGCCAGGCCCAGGCGCAAGAGGTGCAACGAAGGACAACTGCAAACAAAGCCGACTCCGGCATTGATATAGCACAACCTCCTGCCGCCAAGGAAATCCTACCTTCACTTTTGCAAGAAGACTTGAGTTCGGTGGCTGAAGTGCCCCTGGAATCTGACGCCCGACCCATTGCAGAAGAGAGACAAGCAGAGACCCTCTTGACGAATTCTACTGAACAACCCATCGAGGAGGTCGTTGCCAGTTCAATCTCGGGCAATACAGCTCTGACGCCAAACTTTGTTGAGCCAGAAAAGCTATCGAAGACTGACAAAGGCGAGCCCCTTATTCACAACCAGGAACACATATCTGTGCACGGACCAGCCGCAATGCTGGAAGAGCCTACAAATTCGCTTGCGGCTGACACTGTCACTGAAGCTCAGGACCATACTTCTGCCGACAACCTTGCAGCAACTCGAGCAACTGAGAACTTGGTGGATTCCACGATCTCTGACAACCAAACCCAGCCAGAGGCCTACGAGTCAATTCCCACTTTTTCATCCGAGGCTTCCCACGAGCGCGACAGCTTTGAGCCAGAGGTTGAGGCTAGTTCAGAAGATCCACAGAAGAGGCGCCGTAAGGGTTTGCTGGAACCTTTGCAAATCCAAGTACGCCTCGAACGTCACACTTCTGAGCACAAGTTCCTTGCAGACGACGACTTCATGGACGAGCTACAGACTGCTACTTTCGAGCAAGCCACCCCTATCGCTATGTCAAAGTCTCCTGCAAGCCCATTCTTCCCGCCGAGACGCCCGAGTTCACGCTCTGCCAAGTCATCCAACTCGACCACTACAGCAGTGTCTACAGAATCGATTCCGCTCGTGCCTTCCGTCGGTGACACTTTGGACAAGCGCCAGATTGCTCCTGAGTTGTTGCTGCCTTCATTTGAACCGCAATCCGTTCTTCCGACTAGAACGCCATCAGTCTCTTCGGTAAGAACAACGGATTCGGGATCCCTCATGCGCAAGACGAATGTGTCTTCTGGGATATCTGCAAGAATTGCCGCACTCGCCGAAAAGTCGACCCGAGATGGAAGTCCACCTGTTGTTCCTGGCTCCCGCAAGCTGTCTGCTAATTCGACCATCGCACAACGCAAGAGTTCGTATATTGACCAATCCGCCGAACCTCAAGCTATTGGTGGCGCCGAGAGAAGACACGTTGGCAAGTTATCTGTCTGGCCTGCCGCTACAGCATCCAGCCCGTCGAATCCAAAGACCAGAGGCGCACAATCGAGCAATCGTGATTCAGTCTCGGTCACCGCACGCATCGTCCGCGTTCCACGTGCAGGAGAGCTGGTCAATACACCCGAACTTCAGGCTTCACCGCTCCTGTTCAACCACCAGCGTTCGGCACAGGCTGACAACTCCACTCCTCTTGTCCCCATTGTCACTACCTCCAAACCGNTCTCAGGAGAACATGACAGTGTCATGTCGCCGCACAGCAGGGATGGTGTGACGTCGCGCAGCTCAGTTGAGACCAGCGCCACTGGTAGACGCAAATCGTTCGATCGCAAATCCTTCAAGAGCTTGAATGGTCCAGCCAGTCCAAAGAAGAACGCACTCAAGCAGAGTATGACAATGCCACCCCTCGATAACAGCCCGGATAAGACGAGTCGCACTAGTCGCTTCTTCAAGCGCATCTCTCATCTTGGTAAGGACAAGAAGAAGAGTCCTCCTCAGGTGCCCTCAATCACGACCACGCCGTCTGAGCCCATGTCTCCCACCTCAATTACTCGATCAGGCCCGACCAGCCCTGCAGCCGTCACCACAATTCCCGAAACTGTTCAGGAATCAAAGTCTGAGCTTGCACCCCCGGCCATCGTTCGCAATCCTGCAGTCGCTGCAGTCGCAGCATCCAAACCTCGACCGGATTCTATCGCTGACGTCCCTCCTCCAGTGTCAATTGGAGATTTCAATGTGCAGTTCCCAGACACAATGCTTTGGAAGCGACGCTGGATTGAGATCGACAGTACTGGCCACCTTATTTTTACCGCGGCTGCTCGCCACAGCAGTATCCAAAAGTCTTTCAACTCCAAGTTCCACCTCAAGGAACTCGGTCCTCCCTTCATTCCCGATTTGGATAGACAGGAGATGCCACACAGTGTGATCTGCGATCTTGTCCAGNGAGAAGGTTCTATACAATGTGCTAGTGAGGATGCCATGTCGCAACGCCAACTATTGTCCCGTAAGTCACGATCGTCTCGTTCATCTTCTCATCTTATACCCCCAGTTGCTAACATCTTCTTCATAGTGCTTACTACTTATCACCAAGCCTGGAAGGCTGCTTGATTCTCGTTCTTGGAAACAAAGAATCTCACACCTTTCACAAAATATCAGGGCAGCACAGGATAATGCTGCCCCTTGCCTTCGCTCCTAAGCTCCAGCAGTTTTCCCCACCAAAACGCATCCAGTCGCTCCTTTAAACCCTTTACTTGTCTTCTAGATACCCCTTTCTCATTTCTTTTTCCCTTATCCCGCACATTGCGATTTTCTATGTACGATAATTCAAACTTGGAGGCTTGCCTCATTTCTTCCTTCTTGCCTTCGTTCTTCGTCGTGCTTATTATGCAACCAAGACTGTGTCTATTGTGGGTCGATGGATGCCAACTCTCCTTGACTGTTGTTCTGTCCCTTGATAGTATCGTGTGTTCTTACAGTTGAAGTATTGCTCCTCTCCACAGTGAGAGAGACGTTAACCCACATGGAGGGCACACGGTTGATCCGTGAAGACGATCATTCAGCAAGGTTTAACCCAATACCAAGGTGATGAGGTATCTCCCAAGCACTGAATTGATGACAGGGGTCTATCAAAGTGCACAATCCGATGTCTGATCAGAGTACTTCCACCGAGAGCGCGCATTTTCACGCTCCCAACGGACACACGACTCGATGTAACAAGTTTTTGCATTTTGATGGCAGGCTGAAACCATTGCAGGTCATGTGAAGAGAGCGTGTATAGAAGATAGGGGCAGGGGTGGTACTTACTGTCGGTATCCACCACGGTGAAGCGACGGTTAGAAACCTGCGTCACCAGCCTCGAAACTCATGTGTTGCGTGCAGCAGATCATAAATGCATTCTTTCATTGGTACCCCTTACTTTTCGTCATCAGTATCTACATGACCCAACTTTGCATCGATAAACGCCTGCATCGAACCACCATGCTTTGCAAGCATCCAAACCAGAACACCACCACAGATGCACAGGATAACGCCTATTGTAGCAGCTAACCCGATCCCTATGGAATCGATCAAAGGCACGATCGCCGCGTTTCCCGATGCGCCGAAGATGTACTGGATAAAGTATTTGGATGCAATGACTGTTGTGCGCTGCTCTGGTATCGCTTCTGAACGGAGATTGTCAGTCGAAAATCCAGATGTGGTTCAGGAGATGCTGAACTTACCAGCACAATATGTGTTTAAAGAACTAAAGGCAGCCATGAGACCAAAGCCTGTGAAAAAGGCAGCCACGATGGCGAGTGCCAAGCCACCCACATCGTACTGCAAACACCATCCGTACACCAACTGCGAAGCTGGTATGATGAGGAAGAAAGCAATGAGACCGCTGTTGAGTCTGTCTTGAGGCACACGTTTTCCACCGCGTTCGATGATCTTTTTGGCCATCGTCATGTCGGAGAATCGTCCTCCTGCAATGGCACCTAGCAGGAAACCTGCTCCAGGCGAGATGTAGAAGAGGCCAGATACAAGAGGCGATGTCAGATTGAAGCGAGGGTTGATTAAATGGCGAGGTGCGGCCAACAGAGAGTATTGGGTCCAGGCGAGCAAACCGCAAGCAAGGTCCTGGGTCACATGTCAGCCATCGCCTAACTCAGTCACGCCTGACCAATTTTTTGTAAGCTATAGAAATGCACAGTCATTTTTGAAGACAGAGTTGTGTCCACGGAGAGCTATCAATATAAACACCTCTCCGTGGATGTTGCTCGATGTCCTGCATTCCCACAGTCACATGTGGACGACAGGCTTTGGGGCGGAAGGAGGCAGGAGACATACCGCGAAGAAGACGTTAGGATATATGAGCAACGTAAACATCTTAAGCATCTCGACCTGTGACTTGCCCCAAAGCCTCAGGCTAGGTTTATCGGTAGTCTGATGTGGTTGGGCGATGGAAGGAACGAAGAAAAAGGAGAGCATCAAACCCAGTCCCACCATACCAGTCTGCACCCAGAAGATGACTCTCCAAGAAGCAAACGTTACGATAATACCGCCCACCAAAGGACCTAATGCAGGTCCTAGGACAGAACCGACCATAAAGAAGCCCACAGCGGTGCCTCTTCTCCGTTGGTCAAAGATATCTGCTATTATGGTTTGACCTGTAGATATATTAGATCTCGAAGCCAGATCAAGGTGTAATATTTACTAACCTGCAACCATATTGAACGTGCCCTCAAAACCAGCAAGAACTCTCATAGCCGTAAACATGGCCATATTGATCGATAGCGCCGTGCCAATCGAGCACAAGAACAAGATGGCAATGGCACCATTGTAGGCCGTCCGCCTTCCTAACGTTCTAGCGATAGGTGCCCAGATTAAACTAGACGATCCCATGGCCAATAAGACTCCAGCATTGGTGACATTGATGTGCTCGGATGTAGTCCCAAACTCGGCCGCTATCTCTGGCGTTGCTGGGTATAGACATGTGCTCGAGAATGTGGTAGCCAAGCACATGAAACTGGCGGTGAAAAGAATGACAAACTTATGCCAGCTTGGTAGATCCATTCCTTTCTTAAACCTCTCCTTGGCTATTGGCGGTACTGTAGTCGAAACTTCCATGATGCATCAATTGTTGTGATATTGATTGAAGCCTTGCCCCCATAGAGTTGTAGTAAGACGAAGATTTCAATAGGTCGTTTGACAAAACATAGAGATCGTTTCACAGCAGATTCAAATGAATGTATACTTAAGAGTCAGAGACATGATTTATGTCAATACAGGACGAGTGTAGTGCCTTCTGCGGCAAAACGATTGGGATGCCGAAGAATCGATACCAAGATCAGCGGCTGCAGCGACTTCGCACTTCTTCGCCGAGAAGAGGTCCGGCTCCGCTCAGCCGTCCTCGGCGTGTAGCTTTTCTACCCAAACACAAGGTGTGTAACAACTCCGTTGTATCTCGATGGTCGCTCATCTTCAAAAATCAGTTGTAGTGATCGTGAACAACACTTTGAGGAAAGTGGTCGGCAGAAAGATGTTGCCCCGGGGTTCGGGAACAGAATTTGAGGAAGCAGCTCGGCGTCGGTGCATATCTTGCCGATGTGAGATTATCACAATAGAACTGACCTTCGGTAACCCTGCCCTTTCCGCCCTGCCGTTCTTCTCCTCGTGCCGCACGAGTTTATAGTGCAGTATATAGGTGGACAATGGTTATTGAACTGAGACAATATCCGAAGAGAAATACCATCCCGGAAACATCTCTATGGTCACTCATCTAGTTCGGTAAGTGATTGTGCATTTCGATAGCATACTAGCACTGGGTAGCCGGTGTAGGAGAGAGAGATCGTGACAGACTTGAGCACAGGGGGATGTACAAGTTAAACACATGTTCCACAATTCACCATGTCACAAGATACCAGAATGCAAGATTTTGTTAGCTGAAAAGAGCATTTATGATATGGGTCTATGTGACAGCCAGTCTATATGGAACACCTAACGCTTAGAAAGCAATTCATGAGGACAGGTTAAGAAATAAAAAAGATGGCGAGCTTTGTATCAACAGACTGAGAACAAACAATGATATGCAAAAGAAAATGACGTTAAAGAAATTCTGCGCTTGGAGGGTATATGCCAATCGAAACTCATCAGGGCGAAAAACATTAAACAGAGTGAAGAGAAAAGAGAGGCATGAAAGATTGTTTTAAGCCTCGGCCACAAGAGTGACCGGGCCATTGCGAAGAGGTGCACGGTGGCCTTCGAAGCCTTCGGCAGGCCATCCTTGGTATGTGACTCCATCGTCGACGACATCGCCAGCCATGACGAGAGTGTGTTCGAGCAGCATAGTGTCCTGGCCCATGTTGGCACCAGACAACAATCTCGAGCCGCTTCTGAGCACACTGCGATCACCAACAACCAAGGGGTTGAGGTTGAAGACACCACGAGAATTTATGTGCGAAACCAGAGATGCATCATCGACAGCAACGCGGTCACCAAGAGTAAGGAGATCAGGTTCAGTGAACATCAGCGATGGCAGACCGCCTGAGAAGAGGGAGCAGTCCTTGCCGATAGTTGCACCAAGAGCGCGGAAGTACATGACAGCGAAGTGGGTACCAGTGAGGAGACCAATGACACCAGCACCGCCATAGCACTGGCGACGCAGCTTCTCGATGGTGAGGAACAACTGCCAGCGTTGGCAGTAGCTGCTCTTGTCCCAGTCGTAGTTGCCAACCTGGCGTCTACCGAGAAGAATCCATTTGGCAGCGACAACGATGGAAAGAGCGAGAACAGCCTGGACAGTGTGGAGAACGGCGATAAAAGCGGCGAAGAGGGCGAAAATGAGAACGGGGCGGTAGGGAGTGTCAGGGTTGTGAACAGGGTCGGCAGTTTTGATGAGCTTGGCGACAAGTTGCAGGGCACCAATGGACGAGATGTTCCAGTAGAATGCGACAAAGATGGTTGTGAAGGTTGAGTACAGGAAGATCGTCCAGGGACCGAAAACGTGGTAGGGAGCTTGGCCTTCGTAGAAGGCGCGACCGAAAGGCGACGAGGATGCGGCTGCCTGTTCTTTCTCGACCATCGTCATCGACGAGCTGCTGCTCAGCACACCTTCTTGGATTGCTTTCTCATTGTCAATCTTTTCTTTCTCGCTCAGTGTCACACTGCTGGAGTTGGTAGTGCTGTTCATGCTGGGAATGCCATGTTGCATATCAGCAGTATCAGAGGCGGCAGAGCGCTTGTTGCCGCTAAGACAGACAGCCTCTCCGGCCTTGCTTCCAACCCATACTGTCTCCTGCTCGTAGTACTTGTTCCTGCGGGTCAAGGCACCGCTGCCAAGAACACTCTTCTTGCCGACAGTGACGCCAGGCAGGAGCACCACACGATCAGAGATCATGGCACCATCCTGGACCCGGACGTAATCACTGCCAGTGCCGTCGGACGTTACAAGGTGAGAGCGAGAGCCGAAGACAATGTCACTTCCAACGTCGAGGAGATCAAAGTCCTGGAACGAAGGTCCTGTTCCAGGCCAATAAACGCGTTGTCCAACCTTAGCACCCATGGCACGATACAGGACTGACGTTGCCTCGTAGTGACCACCGAACAGCTCAGTGACGCTGCGGAACGCTGCAGGTGGTGCAATGGCCTTGAGCACGGCCATACGGAAACGTTGGGCTTGCGATCTGGACTGGGCCGGTCCTGGGGTAAGTTTACCGATAGTCATATCCAAAATCTTCTTGATGATCCAAACGGCAAAGAACCACGTGAGCGGAGCTGCGCCAGCACCGAAAATCTTTGCGGCGAAATGCCAACCAATACGGTGGGGTACGGCAAACCACAAGATGATTGACTTGACCTTGTCTGAACTAGGTTCGGGCTGCGTCAGGACAAGACCGACCAGACCACCAATCCAGGGTCCGCTCTTGCAAAGAGTGACAAGCAAAGAGATGGGAGTGATGAACAAGAAAGACAGAATGGGATGAGCGCCAGGAATCTTGCTGGCAGATAAGTCACGGAACTCTTCGCTGGCATCATCGGCCTCCCAGCTTGACGAGTTAGGACCGATGCATGTGTTGTCAGGCACTGATGTTCCAGGAGCGACGATAGACGCAAGACCAACACTTGCTGCCTTGCCTACACGAACATGACCGAGGTACATGCTGGTGTTCTGCTCGGCACCAAAACCTCTGCAGATGCATTGGTCCAAGTTTGCTCCATCCTCGAGAGTGACAAGATCGAACTCGCGAATGGTGGCACGCTTAGCAATCTTGACGCCTTTGCCAATCTTTGCTCCCATCAAACGGTAGTACAGAGTGGCTCCGAATTCAGATGAGCCGAAGATACCCTTTCCAAGAATAGTGATAATTTTGTCGGTGGCCCACCAGCGCGTGTGATAGGGACCCCACATAGGGTATATACCTTCCTTGTATGTACCCATAATGATCCACTTGAGGCAAATGGCGAGGATCGGACAGACAATCAAGGTAATAGCCTTGGCGATACCAAGAGAGAGGGTCAGGTTGAAGAGACGTCCAATGAGTCTAGTCGCAGTGATCCAGTCGCGCGTAGCACTGAGCATGTACATGAAACATGTCCAAGTCAATGCACGCTTCATGGGATACAGCAGACCGATGGGGAAAAGCTGGATCAAGAGGACAATGGGGTTGGTGGAGCTGTACGTTTTCTCGCAGCCATAGTTGACAGGAGCCTGTTCGGTTTCAGCAGTGGCATGCTTCTCGTCGGTAGGACCGCGCATTTCGTCGATGTTGTGGGCCAAAGCGCTGATCCTGCTGTGCACGAAGAGCAAATCGATAGGCAGGCGAACCTTGAACTCTTTGCGAAGTTCAGACAGCAAGCGGCCAGCACGAAGACTGTCACCTCCCAAAGCAAAGAAGTCCGAGTCAGGAGTAAGCTCAGAGGCAGCACATGAAAGAATGCGAACGAAGACTTCAGCAATCTTGGCTTCGGTCTGGGTCATATCGCCATCAATCTCGTCAGGACCGGCTTCGATCAAAGTCTCCAGCTGAGCATTGTCAACGGAGCCTTCTCTGTCTCTAGGCAAGGGAACGTCGAGGCAGTGCAATTTGCTCGGGATGAGATATCCGTCGAGCTCAGCGCGCAGAAGTGAGTCAAAGCTAGGGTAGCTCGACATGACTGGCGTGATGGTTGAGTTCTTGCGAGGAGCAAGGAAAGCTTCGGGGTATCCGTCGTGAGATGCCTTTCTTACAGCAATGTCGATATCCATGCCGAAGACCGACGAAAGTTTGCGAGATACAAAGGCTGCGTCGAAGGAACAGATCGAACCACCGATACGGGTGCTGAGAGGAGTGTTTGGAGGAGGGCAAACTGCTTCGAAATGACGATCAGCCAGAGGTGTTTCGTCGGTGATCTCGGTTAGACCAAGACGCTCTGCAAGCTTGATGCGAAGCACCTTGTTGTTGTTCTTGGGAAGATCGTCCATGTACACAACGTAGTTGGGCCACTTGACTTGACTCAAGGAGTCCTTCAGGGCTTCTTGAACAGTCTTGATATCGGCACGACGAGCACCGAGAGGGGTGACGAGGACCACACCAGGAACTTCCTGCAACACATCGTGGGGCATCGAGAACGCCAGAGCAGCGGAAACGCGACCGAAGAGGGGNTTGCCTTCACGCTTAGCAGCAGTGACTACGGCTTCTTCGATTTCGAAGGGCGAGATGAGTTCACCACCTCTGTTGATGACCTCCTTGCTTCTGCCAGTCACGTAAAGGTAGCCATCTGCATCCAGATAACCCATGTCACCAGTATCGAACCAGCCATCAGCGGTAAAGCATGAGGTGTCCAACACATCGTTGTCCTTGAGATATCCACCAAATACGGGTGCACCTCTCACAGCGATGCGGCCGACTGTCTGGGTGGGTAGTCTGCTGTCGTTGCCGTCCAGAATCGCCATGTCTGGGCCGACACTGACTCCAGATGTGCCAGATCGGTCGAGCTGATAGTTGAGAGGTGGACTTGAAATAGGCATACACTCTGTCATACCGTAACTCGGGAGAACGATACACTTGAAGGTGTCTCGTAGCGTGCATGCAAGCGAAGGCAAAAGACCACCAGCCGCATTGCAAATCAATCTCATCTTGCTGTTCTCC